GGTAAATTGACCAAGAGAGACGCCCAGCCTACAATCCAGGAGGATTTGGCCAGAGTTTACAAGGCCATGACCAAGCAGGCTTCCGTTTCCAAGTCCACCAAGCTCGAGCTTGAGAAGTTGTACAAGCAGTTGACCGACTTTATGGACCAGTCCAAGGAGATCGAAACTGCTCAGGTGACAAAGGACGCTTTGAGCCGCCGCTCTGGAACCGAGACTCCTACTGACGAGGACGAAACGGCTTCCAGCGATGACGAAATTGCCTCTTTACCCGACAAGACCTCGATTTTGCAGCCAGTCTCCTCCACCATTCCTTCCCAGACCGTTCCATTCTTGCACTTGCAGAGAAAGACCAAGCAGGGCTGGGAATACGACCCCAAGTTGTCCTCGATGTACTTGGACGGTTTGGAGAGCGGTGCCGTCAACGGTTTGACTTTCAAGGACAGATACGTTTTGGTGACCGGTGCTGGTGCCGGTTCTATTGGTGCTGAGATCTTGCAAGGCTTGATTTCTGGTGGTGCCAAGGTGATTGTGACCACCTCCAGATTCTCCAAGAAGGTCACCGAGTACTACCAGGCAATGTACTCCCGTTACGGTGCCTCTGGATCCACCTTGATTGTGGTTCCTTTCAACCAGGGCTCCAAGCAGGATGTGGATGCTCTTGTGGACTACATTTACGACGCCAAGAACGGTTTGGGCTGGGACTTGGACGCCATTATTCCATTTGCAGCCATTCCAGAAAACGGCAATGGTTTGGACAACATCGACTCCAAGAGCGAGTTGGCCCACAGAATCATGTTGACCAACTTGTTGCGTCTTTTGGGTGCTGTCAAGGCAAAGAAGACCACCGACACCCGTCCAGCCCAGGTTGTCTTGCCCTTGTCGCCTAACCACGGTACCTTCGGTTTCGACGGTCTCTACTCCGAGTCCAAGATCTCTTTGGAGACATTGTTCAACAGATGGTACTCTGAGGACTGGTCCACCAAGCTCACCATTTGCGGTGCCATTATCGGCTGGACCAGAGGAACTGGCCTTATGAGTGCCAACAACATCATTGCCGAAGGTATTGAGAAGATGGGTGTGAGAACCTTCTCCCAGAAGGAGATGGCCTTCAACATTTTGGGTTTGTTGACCCCACAGGTTGTCAACTTGTGCCAGGAGCAGCCTGTGATGGCCGACTTGAACGGTGGACTCCAGTTTATCGAAAACCTCAAGGAGTTCACCTCCAAGTTGAGAACCGACTTGGTGGAAGATGCCGATGTGCGTAGAGCTGTTTCCATTGAGCAGGCCATTGAGCAAAAGGTTGTTCAAGGTGATGCTGTGGATGCCCTTAACTCCAAGGTCACCGTCCAGCCTCGTGCTAACATGACCTTCAGCTTCCCTGACATGAAGAGCCACGAGGAAATCAAGAAAGCCGCTCCTGAGTTGGAGGGCATGTTGGATCTCGAGCTGTTGATTGTGGTGACTGGTTTTGCTGAAGTCGGTCCATGGGGTAACTCCAGAACCCGTTGGGAGATGGAGGCCAAGGGTGAGTTCTCTTTGGAGGGTTGTATTGAGATGGCCTGGATTATGGGCTTGATCAAGTACCACAACGGTCCACTCAAGGGCAAGCCTTATGCTGGATGGGTTGATGCTAAGACCCAGCAGCCTGTTGACGACAAGGACGTCAAGGCCAAGTACGAGGAGCAGATCTTGGAGCACTCTGGTATCCGTCTTATTGAGCCTGAGTTGTTTGCTGGCTACGACCCAGAGAAGAAGCAGATGATCCAGGAGGTTGTCGTTCAGCACGACATGGACCCATTCGAGGCTTCTAAGGAGACTGCTGAGCAGTACAAGCACCAGCACGGCGACAAGTGTGAGATCTTTGAGATTGCAGAGTCTGGCGAGTACACTGTGAGAATCTTGAGCGGTGCTACTTTGTACGTTCCAAAGGCTCTTAGATTTGACCGTTTGGTTGCTGGTCAGATTCCAACCGGTTGGGATGCCAGAAACTACGGTATTCCTGAAGACACCATTTCCCAGGTGGACCCTATCACCTTGTATGTGCTTGTTTCGACGGTGGAGGCCCTCTTGTCTGCTGGTATCACCGACCCTTACGAGTTCTACAAGTACGTCCACGTTTCCGAGGTTGGTAACTGTTCTGGTTCCGGTATGGGTGGTGTTTCTGCTCTTAGAGGCATGTTCAAGGACCGCTACAAGGATGCACCAGTGCAGAACGACATTCTCCAGGAGTCTTTCATCAACACCATGTCTGCGTGGGTGAACATGTTGTTGCTTTCTTCTTCCGGTCCTATCAAGACGCCAGTCGGTGCCTGTGCTACCGCTGTGGAGTCTGTGGATACCGGTATCGAGACCATCCAGTCTGGTAAAGCCAAGGTGTGTATTGTTGGAGGATACGATGATTTCCAGGAGGAGGGCTCCTACGAGTTTGCCAACATGAACGCTACTTCCAACGCTGTGGACGAATTTGCCCACGGCAGAACCCCATCTGAAATGTCCAGACCAGCCACCACCACCAGAAACGGTTTCATGGAGGCCCAGGGTTCGGGTATCCAGGTGATCATGACCGCCGACTTGGCCATCAAAATGGGTGTTCCTATTTACGCTGTTTTGGCCATGACCGCCACTGCTACCGACAAGATTGGCCGTTCTGTTCCTGCTCCAGGTAAGGGTATCTTGACCACTGCCAGAGAGCACCACGGATCGTTGAAGTACCCATCTGCTATGATGAACATCAAGTACAGAAACCGCCAGTTGAAGCAGAGATTGGCTCAGATTGCCGCCTGGGAAGAGTCTGAAATTGACTTTTTGGGTGACGAGGCCGAGTTGGCTAGAGAGGACTTTGGTGCTGAATTTTCCATCGACGAGTTCAGCAGAGAGAGAGCCGAGGAGATCCGCCGTGAAGCTGCCAGACAGGTTGCTGACGCTAAGAAGCAGTGGGGTAACAACTTCTACAAGGCCGACCCTCGTATTGCTCCATTGAGAGGAGCCTTGGCTACTTTTGGTTTGACCATTGACGATTTGGGTGTGGCTTCCTTCCACGGTACCTCCACCAAGGCCAACGATAAGAACGAGAGTGCCACCATCAACGAAATGATGAAGCACTTGGGCAGAGCCGAAGGTAACCCAGTGTTTGGTGTTTTCCAGAAGTACTTGACTGGTCACCCCAAGGGTGCTGCTGGAGCCTGGATGTTGAACGGAGCCATCCAGATCTTGAACTCGGGTATTGTGCCTGGTAACAGAAACGCCGACAATGTCGACAAGTTGTTGCAGGACTTTGAGTACGTCTTGTACCCACTGAGATCCATCCAGACCGACGGTATCAAGGCTGTTTCCGTCACTTCGTTCGGTTTCGGTCAGAAGGGTGCCCAGGCCATTGTCGTCCACCCAGACTACCTCTACGCTGTCTTGGACAAGAACACCTACAACGACTATGCCTCCAGAGTCACTGCCAGAAACAAGAGAGCCTACAGATACATGCACAATGCCATCACCAGAAACTCCATGTTCAAGGCCAAGGACAAGGCACCATATGGTGACGACTTGGAGCAGCCTGTGTACTTGGACCCATTGGCTAGAGTTGAGGAGAGCAAGACCGGACTTGTTTTTTCCAAGAAGGGAGTGCAAGCTGAAAAGGCCTATGTTTCTGCCAACTCCGAGGCCACCGCCAAGGCATTAGCTACTTTGAACAACGGTTCCAAGGGTGTTGGTGTTGATGTTGAGTTGCTTTCCGAGTTGAACCTTGAGAATGAGACTTTCATTGAGAGAAACTTCACTGAAGCAGAGATTGCCTACGCCAACAAGGCCGCTCATCCTAAGGCCAGCTTTACTGGAACCTGGTCTGCCAAGGAGGCTGTTTTCAAGGCTTTGGGCGTCAAGTCCCAGGGTGCTGGTGCAGCTTTGAAGGATATTGAAATTGTGAGAGGCTCCAACGGTGCACCTCAGGTTGTTTTGTCTGGCGAGGCCAAGAAGGCGGCTGCTGCTGCTGGCGTGAAAAATGTGAATGTTTCTATTTCTCACGATGACTTCCAGGCCACCGCCGTTGCCCTCAGCGAGTTTTAGGTTATGTATGTTAATTGAGAGTATGTGATAGGCAGTTGTAGTAGTAAGTTGTTGCAATATGGATTTGGGACTTGAAATTTGGGATCGATGAAGTTCTGATGCTAGATTCGTGAGTTGTAGATGTATGAATAATATGAACATAAGATTAAGTAAATCGATGAAGATTTGTTAATAAGCATGAAGCTGGTGAGATCTAGGGTAATCAACGTCGGCCAGGTAATACGAACTCAAGGACTCTTCTTGACAACTCAATTGACATTTTCTTCAAGAAAGAAATTTTTACCGAACCAATAGACCTTCCCAATTACGTGTCAATTGTAAGACCGGAACGGCTACTCTTTCTCCATTGTAGTATACTGTGCCCAGGAATGGCTGCGAAAAGCTAACCAAATTCGATTTTAACACACTATTCGTCTCGCTTACTTCACGATGTTAATCACATTTCACGTCAACTCGTAAATCCACAATCACCCTGAAAGTCTTTCCGTGCTTCGGATTTCGGAGTATAGGGCTGTGATATTCGGATAATAACGGGATGCCCGGAGCGCCCAAACGGTTTTTGTGAACGAACCCCTTCATTGACATCGAATTTTACTTAGCACCCGATACTTTAATTTGAAGAAAATAAACAAAAAACAGCAAAAATGTCTCTGACCCGTGGTGGTTCAGGGTGGTTGGTTCTTGGGAGCCGTGTTGTCTGCAGGGCCGGCCCACATACACAAGAAAAACCCCAGAGTGCGGGACAAAATACAGAAAAAAAGCGGTATCTAAAAGGACAGATCGGCCTTATTCCAACACAGCGGCCATATTGCCCAAGGCTTCCCACGCGACTAAACTTTGCCACTCAACAGAATTTACCCCATTGAACGATCTGTGGTTTTCAGATTACACATTGAATAGGCGTTGACTAACTTAGAACAGCCTTTGGGTCAAATAATACCATGAGTGAAAGTGAACAACCGAAGGTTCTGAACGAGGAATCGAGACCCGAAGAGGTCCCAGCCGTCCCAGAGACCAGCACGCCTCAAGACGAAGAGGTTACTTCGAAATCTGACCCAATTGAAGAGGATCAACTGGAATCCAAGGACAATGAAGAAACCGAACCCACCCAGAGTGAAGAGGTGGAGGAGGCCCCTGAAAAGAATGATGAAACTGTTGAATCGGCGGAGGCTAACGCTGAGCAGGCAGATGACGAATCCAGTCTAGCTGAGAACGGTGTCCAGGAAATACTGACCCAAGAGGTGACTAAGCCTGAGGAAGACGGCAAACCTGCTGAGGAGCCAGTCGCCGAGAACGCTCAAGATGACGATGGCTCGAAGGAAAACGGCTTTGCTCACGATAAGCCATTGCCGGAAATCAACATTGCTGGAACCTCGGAACAGGCCCAAGAGGCTACCAAGGAGGCCGAGCTTCCAGCCAAAAAGTACTTCAACGCCACCGTTGATAACATCCAGATTTTCAACAAGACATTTGAGCATATTCTTGGCAGCAAGGAGGCCAAAAAGAACGATCAATTGAAGAACGCGACCCAGAAAGCCATCGATTCGTTGAACAACCTGTCTTCTAGAGACCCACACGTTATGTTTGACGCTTTGAAAATGGCTTGCGAGTTGGGAAACCACGAATTGAAGAAAAACGCTGTTGACTTGTTTGCCAAGTTGTTCGACTACGCTCTGTTCGAAGACGAGAGTGACAGAGTTAAGCTTACCGATGCCTCGGTTGACGTGGTGTCTGCTTGCTTCGAGGGCGAAGGCACCGATCCCGAAGTGGAGTTGCAAGTGGTCAGAGCCTTGATGCACAGCATTCTACTAATGCCAACCCACGGCGCGTCTCTTCTAAAAGCAGTGAGGCAAATCTACAACGTGTTCATCTTCTCGCTCACCCCACGAAACCAGGCTGTTGCGCAGGGTATTTTGACACAGGTCATTGGCGCCATATTCCAAAGAGTTCAGGAGTCTTTGGCGAACAAGTCAAGGATGTCCAAGTCCAGCAGTAATTTTAATCTTAAGCTGGACGAGGCTCCAACAGAAGACGATGAGCCCAAAGAGAAGCTCACCTTGGCTGCTTTGGAGAACAATTCTAGCCTAGATCTGGAACGCGTCAATGAGGCAAACTTGGCCTCTGAAAATGACGAGGACTTGGCTGTCAAAGATGCATTCTTGATTTTCAGAGCGATGTGCAAACTCTCTATCAAGGATCTTGATACCGACAATGTCGACATGAGGTCACACTCTGTTCGCTCCAAGCTTCTTTCGCTACACATCATCCACACCATCTTGAAAGAGAACATTGATATTTTCTTGAGCAAAGACGTGGTAATCCTTTCGTCCAATTCTGACGACAGAACACGCTTGATCGACGCAGTTCGCTCATACTTATGTCAAGCGTTGATCAAGAACGCCGCTTCTCCTCTTGCTCCCATCTTCGAATTGTCGCTTGAGATCTACTGGCTTTTGATCTCCAACTTGAGATCTGACTTCAAGATGGAGATTCCTGTCTTCTGGGAACAGATTTACATGCCTGTTGCCGAGATGAAAACATCGACGCCTCACCAAAAACGCTACTTGCTTTCAATCATCGAGCGTCTTTGCAGTGACTCGCGTTGCCTCATAGAGTTCTACCTCAATTACGACTGTGACAGCGATCAACCTAATATTTGTGAAAAGATCATTGATTTGTTGACAAAGATGTCGTTGTCCCGTGTTGAGGTCACATCTACCCAAAAAGCTGCGTATCGTGAGAATGGCCGCAAGGGTATTTCTTTGTACGATATCAGCAAAATTGCCAATTTGACAAGTTCCACTATGTCTTCCAAACCACCAGAGCCTGACATCTACAACAGCTTCCCCCTTGAATACGCCATGAAAATGTCATCCATTAACTGTACCGTGGCATTTTTGAGATCGCTCTATTCGTGGGCTCAAAAGAGTATCAGTACATCTAACAAGCTCAATAATGGCTTGAATGGTTCTAGAACCAGTATCAACACGGGCAGGATCTCGAACGGTGAGTCTCCAAACTCGAGCCAAATTACTTCAAGGAATGCTTCATTCGTTGGACCTTCCAGTAGTGCCGAGCCTTCAGAGATCAACGACGACCCCGAACAATTTCAAAATCTGAAGCAAAGAAAGAAGGCTTTCTTGGAAGGTGTAAGACAATTCAATCAAAGACCAAAGAAGGGTATCAAACAATTCATCGAGAACGGCTTCATCAAGTCAGACGATCCTGAGGAAATCGCATTGTTCCTTCTCAACTCAGAGAACTTGAGCAAGGCAGCTATCGGCGAATTCCTTGGTGAAGGTGATGAGAAGAACGTCGCAATCATGCATGCTTTCGTCGATCAGATGAACTTCAACAGCACAGGTTTTGTGGATGCTATGAGGACATTTTTGCAATCTTTCAGATTGCCAGGTGAGGCTCAGAAGATCGATAGATTCATGTTGAAGTTTGCTGAAAGATATGTACTTGGAAATCCTGGTATTTTCTCGAATGCAGACACGGCCTATGTTCTAGCCTATTCCGTTGTGATGTTGAACACCGATCAACACTCCCCTCAAATCAAGAACCGTATGACTGTGGACAGCTTTGTTGCCAACAATAGTGGTATTGACGACGGAAAAGATCTTGACAGAGAATTTCTCGAAAAGATTTACTACGAGATCCAGCAAAATGAGATCAAGTTGCAATCTGAGCAACATGCGGCTCTTCTCTCTGGTGACCCCTCCGTGACTCCAGCCACATCTGTTGGCTTTTTTGGTGGTAGAGATTTGACAAGAGAGGCATATTTACATGCTTCCAAGGAGATGTCTACCAAAACTGAGAAGCTTGTGAAGAATTTGGGCAAGAAGATGAAGTCTGATGATCCACTGGGCTCCGTGTTCCATGCTGCCTCGCATGTTATTCATGTCAGAACCATCTTTGAGACATTGTGGATGTCTATCTTGGCTGGTTTGACTCCTCCTTTCAAGGAATATGATGAGGATGATATCACGAATGTCTGCCTTGAGGGTATCAAGCTTTCTATCAAGATCGCGTGCATGTTTGATATCTCGTACGCTAAGAGTTCCTACATCAGCGCTTTGGTGCAATTCCAAAGTTTGACGAACATGGAAAATATCAAACCCAAGAACGTCGCTGCCGTCCACATTATGTTGGACATTGCTATTAGTGAGGGCAACCACTTGAAGTCCGCATGGACACAAGTTCTCACATCCATTTCTCAGCTAGAGCGTTTGCAGTTAATTGCTCAAGGTGTGGACCAAGACTCTATTCCTGATGTTTCAGTAGCAAGAATGGTGAACAGAACATCCATCGACAGTACTACTTCATCGGGTTTCTTCAGCCTGTTCACTCCATCGCAATCCGCGTCCATGAAATTCCACAACCAACAACTTAGTCCTCAAGCTGCACAGCTTTTGTCCAGAACTGAGTTGAGTGTCGCTATGGATAAGGTATTCACGAACAGTGCTGAGTTATCAGGTGAAGGTATCAAAGACTTTATTGAGGCTCTCAGTAAGGTGGTGTCTGAGGAGATCGAGTCTTCGGGCTCGTCATCTAATCCTAGAATGTTTTCGCTTCAGAAGGTCGTTGACATTTGTTACTACAACATGAGCAGAATTCGTTTGGAATGGTCTCAATTGTGGGCGATCATGGGTGAAATCTTCAACACTGTTGGCTGCAATGCCAATATAAATGTCTCATTTTTTGCCTTGGATTCTCTCAGACAATTATCTACCAGATTTATGAACATTGAGGAGTTGGCACAATTCAAGTTCCAAAAGGAGTTCTTGAAACCTTTTGAGCATATTATTGTTCACAACCCCTCACCCGATGTCAAGGATATGGTCGTCGAATGTATGAACAATTTGATCTTGGCAAATGCTTCTCAGATCAAGTCTGGTTGGAAGACAATTTTCAAGGTTCTTACAGCTGGTGCCCGCGAGAAGAAGGATTCCATTGTGACCAAGTCTTACAAGCTCGCTTTCACAATCAACAAGGAGTATAGTGAAGAAGTTCGCCAGCAGGACTCTTTCTCGGACAAGGTGGAATGTTTCACTCAATTCGCCAAGAATGAGAAGTTCCAAAAGGTCGGACTTCTTTCTCTTGAGGTGTTGCTGAGAATGATTGTCAAAATTGCTGGTCTCGCTGAAGAGGAGGAGAAGAATGACAAGGTTGTCATTCGTGGCTCTGAAAATGCAGACTCGTTGAAGAAGCTTTGGTTCCCAGTTTTGTTTGGATTCTTCGATATCATCATGACTGGCGAAGAGCTTGAAGTGAGATCGAGAGCATTGACGCATTTCTTTGACGTGCTTTCCAAATACGGTGCCAACTTCAAGGAGGACTTCTGGGATGAAATCTGCCACAAGCTTTTGTTCCCTATCTTTGGCGTTTTGGCTGACCCTTGGAAGTTGAAGTACGACGAAGACAACAGTGCTTCGGAGAGGGATAGAATTTCTTTCTGGGTGTCTACGACCTTGATTCAAGCACTCAACAGCATGGTGTCCCTTTTCACTCAGTACTTTGACAATCTCACGCCAATGTTGAAGGAGTTCTTGGACTTGTTGATCAACTGTATCTGTCAAGAGAATGATACAATCGCCCGTACGGGTAAATCGTGCTTACAAGATTTCTTGCTCAAGAATGCCGAAAGACTCAATGACCAGCAATGGGATCTGATCACAGATGCGTTCGACTCGTTGTTCGACCTCACTACTGCCAACGAGTTGTTCAACTTGGACCCATTGAAGAAGCATGGTGCCGAAGACGATGGCATTGATGTTCCACTTGACCTCAATGACAGCTCGATGCAATCACACGAGATGGCTTCTCCTATTACAGATGAGGCTGAGGAAAGATTACAGAGATCTAAGGACAAGTCCTCGATTGTCATCAAATGTGTGCTTCAATTGTTGATGATTGAAACCTTGCTGGAACTCTCGGTTGAAGAGGCTTTCTACGACCACATTTCTCACCAACATTTGATGAAACTTGCACATTTGTTGGAGTCGAGTTACAATTTTGCCAGATCTTTCAACGACGACTACGAGCTTAGAGTCAGACTCTGGAACGCTGGTGTAATTGAAAGACTTCCAAACTTGCTCAAGCAAGAGAGCATGTCCTCAGCTGTCTTCTTGAACATCATGTTCAGACTCTACTGTGACAATAGCAAGGTGAGCGGCGAGGCCAAGGACACCATCTTGAAATCTGTCGTTCCACTCTCGAATGACATTGTTTCGAGGTTTGCCGATCTCGACGAGTCCAACCAGCAAAAGAGCATTTCTACGTGGAAGCCGGTTGCAATTGAGATCCTCAGGGGTTATGTGGAGTTTGACGACTCGGACTTTTCCAAGCATGCGCCGGCCATGTACAAGCTCTTATTGAAATTGTTCGACAGAGGTATGTCGCAGGAATTGAGAAAAGCATTGCAGATGTTTTTCACGAGAGTCGGGGATACATTTTTGAGCAGTGACCAGGCCTAAAAAGGGAGAGGCTGCAAAAACAAGGGTATCGGGTGTATGCAAAAAGAGCCCCATATGTCGGTCACGCCTCACGTGAGCCCAAAGCTAAAAGATCACAGTGTGGACGGCGAGGTGAGACTGGGGAAGTTTCGCAGCAATTTGTAAGGCCAGGCTCCACAATGTGCGCACCAAGATCTGGTGAAGCATGACGCCGCAGGTCGCCATGGATAAAAAAGGCTTGGAGCTTGTCATTAGAGAACATGAGGAACAAAGGCGGCATTTTGCATGGCCGACCCTGATACATAATCATTTATTAATGCTGACATAATTAGGAACCCAGGTATACCCACTTTTGGAGGTACGGGTGTTCTCGTTGGACGTTCGCTCTGACGGTTTTTTTCTTCTATGAAAAATTTTCTTTGGGACTTTCTTCTCCTTGCTGAACTCCGAACGCTGTCGAATTACGACAACCATGTCTTTTGAAAACAAGGTATGTTTTATCAATTCTCGCAAACTGGAGCACCGATGAATTGGCCCTCAATTCGTCGGAAGACGTATTCCCGAATTGGGTACCGAAGCAAAATTGGCCGACTTGAAACGATCTTGAATTGAGTGACCAAATTTCCCATCAATTGGAGTTCATTGGTACTCCGTCAAATCACCACTTCCAACTGTGCCTCAATTACCGCCCCCCCCCCCCCCCCCTGAAGTTGCGGTTCCATCCAACCCTTGCTACCCCAGAAACTCCGGAATCCTTCGCAGACCGCACCCCACCAGCTACTAACCAAACCAGAACTTGTACGATTTATTGGGTAACGATGTGGAGGATGAGCTGGCGCTCCCTCCTCAGGCTCCAAGAGAGATCGTTAGGAACACCACCTCTTCCAAGAAGAGTGACGTCCCTCCAGCCAAGGCCGACCCTGCTAGAGCTAAGAAGAACAAGAAGGGCCCTACTGGTAACGAGGCTGCCCTCAAAAACAAGAGCAACAACAAGGATGTTGCTCCTCCTTCCAACACCCCTTCTTCCAGAGAGAAGAAGCCATTTGACCGTCACTCCAGAACCGGCAAGACCGACTCCAAGAAGAAGTTGAAGCAGGGCTGGGGTGCTGACGACAAGAGAGAGTTGGACGACGAGACCAACGCCACCGGCGATGCTTTGGTTGAGTTGGAGAATGAGGCTGCCGAGAAGGGCGAGCCAGCTCCTCCAGCTGCCAAGTCCTTGCAGGACTACTTGAACGAGTTGCAGCTTGCTGAGAACAACTTGGACGGTAAGAGAACCGTCAGATCCGCCAACCAGGGTGCCGAGCAGAAGTGGGCCGAGGGTGAGGTTGTGGAGAAGCACACCGAGGACTTTGTCAAGGCCACCCACGCCAGAAAGCAGAAGCAGAAGGCTTTGAAGGAGAAGAAGTACTTGGACTTCAGCGCTGTTTTCGCTGACGAGGCTCCTAGACCTCAGAGCGACTCTGCTAGAGGCGGCTTCAAGGGCTCCAGAGGCCCCAAGCCAGCCAGAGGCGGTAAGGGCGGCAACAACGTCAAGAAGGCCCAGCCACCTGCTGTGAACGACAAGAACTTCCCATCTTTGAAGTAAGCCGTTCGCGGGTTCTTGATTTCAGCGGAGCAGTTACGCCAGTATGAGTAATACACGAATCACTAGCGACAGAGAGTAGGATGTAGAGAAGTTATTTGGCTGCAATGGCCAATTGGCTATTTTGTATGGATTTGTGGGAGTCAGAATTGGGTCCAGGTAGAGGTATAAGGACTACTGCCGCTGCTTCATACTGAGACACCTGTAACTGTGGATCGCACAATCTCGATATTGCATCACGAAACATATTTCCAAAACGTAAATTGATAACATCTAGCCTTAAGCGGAACCAATTGTGGAATCCCCCTGGCGGCTCTCAAAAAGCAACGTTGTGGAATGGGTCAAGGTTGTTCACTTGCATGATTTACATTTTGCACCCATTTCCTCAGCAATGAACACAGCCCAGCTACAAAGCATGACATCTACGATAAAGTTCCAGAACCATAAACCCAAAAGCCACTATGATTTGAACAATGCCGTCATTTAATCCAAAAAACGTAATTTCCATCCCCGTCCTTAGTTCACCACCTTGATCAGCCGAGGTTGTGGACCCCTTGGATCCTCATATTACCACACCTTAGCCGACGATTTCCCAGCCACACAAGCTCCTACATCACAATACCAATTGAGCAAAAACACCCATACAAAGTACCCAAATCCACCCTTTTGGAACCCACTTTACACCAATCCAGCACACGACTAGCACCTTCGACGATCGCCATTCCTCGAGAACCCTTCAACATCCGTCTCACAATTGTCCAGATCGGCTCCAAGCCTCCATACCCAAAAATGTCATCTTATCAGATTCATGACCTTTGCCAAAATCACGCTATCCTGGGCACCCCACCATGCCCCATTTTTTTTTTTTTTTCACCTCAGTGACCCTTTACGGCATTGCTCCCAGCAGAACAACCAACTTTGGTCGATCTGCATTTTCTTCTATTTTTGGGCGGGAATCCCCATAATATTCGACTTTGCCAAATATGTCCATTTTCAGCCGACCTCGGAATCGTCTTAAAGTGACCGACTGACGGCCTTATCAGGCTACGGCGCCTCTTATCCGGATCCGGATAACACAGGTGCGGGTCACACCGTGGGCTGTCTCTGGCTGCCTGTCATTCACAGCGTGGGAGCGGAATCTGGCTATGTGCAGTACCAACATTATCTGCCGGAAATTTGCACCCTCTCGAGGCAAGTGACTCAGCGTGGGAGGGCCATGTTTGTCGGGAAATCAGCGAATGAGGAGGAGAGTTGGGCGTTGTGTTGGGGTTTTATTGGGGGACGGGGTCGCGTCACGTGCACAATATTATTTTTATCCCCGCCTTGACAAAATTGCTTTTTCTCCGAGCTAGCCTGTGGCGGCACTACCGAAAAAACAACAGAATTTGTCACGGTGCGACGCACCAGAATGTAGGAAGCCTCTTTATATCGAGCCCGGTGTCTCACGAAAATACATATGGATTTTTCAGTTGCTAAACAAGAGTCATAAAAAACAACCCCTGCAACAAAACAACTAAAACACACCAATCCGACCAATTTACTACCGTTCATTTATTTAAACCCCTCCGTCTACCCCAGATTTGAAGTCCCCCGCCATGAACACGGAATCCGGGGTCCAGGAGGACTCAACAAAACCAACAACACAGACCGCCAATTCCAAGTCCAACGGTCCCACCAAACATGTCACAAAATTGTCCACGTCCTCTCCCGAGGCTATTCGTGTTGCTGCCGAAATTACCCCTACAAGGCTCGCCAATCTCTTAATTAAGAAAGGTCCCTTGCCCATTCGGTTAATCACGTCTCAGTTGGCCGTGGAAGTTCCCGGTTTCGATCTCCTTTCGCTTTCCAAGCAGCGTAGACTTATCATGGCTGCTATGGAAGCCGGCGATGTGGAGAACAACGTTGTTTTTGAAAAAATCGGCTGGGGCCAATGGGCCGTGCGTCGGAAAGACTCAGACTACATTGTTACTGAGGGCAGTGCTACCGACGATAAAGCCAAGATTAGCGTTCAGGAGCTTAAAGAGAAAGCCAAGCTTGGATGGTCGAAAAAGAAGGAGCTGGTGCCTAGTACTCGCAGAGACTCAATTTCCAATGGCAAACACAACCTTCACAATGTGAGTGTGCCGCTAGATGCAGCGTTGGAGTCTGAGCTGGAGCTGGAGGACGAGAATTCGCCATTTTCCGATGACGAGCTCCCCAGAATGGCCCGTTTTGATGTGGACGACAATGCTATTGCGGAGGATTCGGATGAAGACGATATGGATACCGCCGAGGACGGGCTCTTCCAGTTTGACGACGAGTCAAAGGACAAGAAGCGGAAGAAGCTGCCTCCAGTGCTGTTTGCCAACAGGGTGCCTTTGAAAGTGCTGCCTCCTCCACATCTCCAGGGTTCTCGCCGTAAACTGTCTGGAGCCAACTCGGTCACGAAAAACACCCACACGGGCTACTCAAACAGACACCAATTGTTCAGCCGCCTGAGACTCAACTCCATTGAGAATTTGGACAATTACATTGTCTCTTCTGCTCGTGGTCTGCTGATCCTGGTGTCTTCTCCTCCTCCTGCTTCCTCGGTCCTTTCAGTGTCGCCAATTGGCTCGTGGCTGAACTCTAATGGTCATCTCCACCCTGGTGTGACCGTGTCGCCCGACAATTTCGGCAATAACATTGGAGGCAGACGGAAGCTGAGTTTCAACGAGTCCAGTATCCGCTCTACATTGCTGTCGTCGCTCCCACGCAACGGTGCAAATCCCAAACTGTCAAAGCAGGATGCCTCTGATACCGACGAGGAGGACTGGGCTACAATTGGCGCTGAGTCTTTGCGCAAACACAGTGCTGGTTCGCTGACAACGCCTGGCAAAGAGGATACCCTACGTAGCGACGAGAAACGGGCTGCCCGTGCGTTGGTCGATTTGATGTCGATCTAGCTCCTCTAGCTGGCCTGGGTTGTTGCGGCCGCTGCAGGGCAGGTCCTGGCAGCTTCATAGTATAGAAAATGTATCAACCAAGAGGAATCCGAGTAGCTGTATGAATTGATATAGACCATTGAGTCTGAGGGTTGATTTTATGATTTTGGTGACGCCAAATATTCGCTATATTGCTGGAGATCTACCAGTAGCCATTTTTAGACAGTTGCAAAAACAGATAGCTGATGGAATGTGGAGAATGCAGAAGCCTATTGTCACTCACCATACAGCAGCGTGGTCCGTGATTTCAACATCTATGATCGAATGACAACACTTTCAACAATTAAAATCAGGTCTAAGGAAATATGACTTAGAGTTGAGTACAGAAGCCGAACCGAGTCTTCAGTCTGTCTATAACTATGCAAGAGAACCACAAGCATGCAATCGAAACCATGAAATAACATCAACACTTCCGAGAACTTTTCACAAATAGAGTAAAGAAAATGAAGTTACCCCACAAATTGGACAATTTGACTCCAACTTAAATTTCACGTTTTCTATATTCAGCCAAAACGTCCATCCCTGTATTCTCGGACACCCCTTCGGACCGTGCTTTTCGCAGCCAATGCCCCACCAAGGCTTTTCCAATACATGGAGGCTATAATCGATTTTGACAAATATCAAATACACCAAACTAAGCCGACGACTTCAAATAACATTAAATTCGTTAATCATAACATCCTCTTCCTTTTTTTCAAATATCGTGGGACGTTCTCTTGCAGGGCCGTTCGATGCTGGAAGACGCGTGTATTTCACCCAATTAGGAATAGATATGGCGCGGCCGAAAAAAAGGTATACCCATCAACCACACGGTCTTTTCATAAAAACCTACATCTCCAATGTCAGCGACAACGGTGCTCCCCACCGTGCAAATCAATGTCAATTACAATGAGCTCAAAACGCTGATTCGTGATTTCTTCACTCATTTCAAGGCCTCCTCCGATGTCGATCTCGATGTGGAACCTGAGTTGCAGGAGCTGGGTATCAAATACTTGGATTTGTTGCAAAAAGTTGCCAACAGAGACATCTCCACTCTCTACGTGGATTTGGACGATATCAAGGCGTACCAGGAAAACCAGTTTTTCTCGTCTCAGCCCTCGCAATTGGGCCTGATGGACTTGGTCAACCAGATCCAGAAGAATACGTACCACTTCACCGAGCTTTTCTCCTCAGTCGTGGACGAGTTGATGCCTGAGCCAACCAAGGATGTCTCCTACAAGGACGACGTCTTGGACGTGATCTTGCACCAGAGAAAGTTGAGAAACTTGCGTGTTTCTCAGGAGAACACCGATGAGCTCAACTCTTTAAACGCGGGCTTGTCTCAGCAGACCAACACAGACTGGCAGAACTCTCAACAGCTGGGCGGCTTGTTGCAGGAGAACATGTTCCCACCCAAGTTGACCAGACGTTACCATTTGTACTTCAAGCCTGTGACTGGTAGAACCAAGGCTTTGGCTGTGAGAGATGTCAAGGGCAGCCACGTTGGTAAGATGATCACCGTCAGAGGTATCGTCACCAGAGTCACCGACGTGAAACCTTCCGTGCTTGTGAATGCCTACACTTGTGACAAGTGTGGCTACGAGATTTTCCAGGAGGTCAACTCCAAGGTTTTCCAGCCTTTGACTGAGTGTACCTCCGAAGTGTGCAAAACAGACAACCAGAGAGGCCAATTGTTCATGCTGACGCGGGCGTCCAAGTTCCTGTCTTTCCAGGAGGTCAAGATCCAGGAGATGGCTTCCCAGGTCCCCGTGGGCCATATTCCCAGAACACTTACCATCCATGTCAATGGTGATTTGGTCAGACTGATGAACCCAGGTGACATTGTTGATGTTTCTGGTATTTTCTTGCCTTCTCCATACACTGGTTTCAGAGCACTCAAGGCCGGTCTTTTGACCGAAACCTACTTGGAGGCTCAGTTTGTCCAGCAGCACAAGAAACAGTACGAGTCTCTCGAGATCACGCCAGAAATCAGAGAACAGATGATGGCTTTGAACCGTGAGGGTAACGGAACCATCTACAGGCGTTTGGCCCAGTCCATAGCTCCAGAGATCTACGGTCACTTGGATGTGAAGAAGATCTTACTTTTGCTTCTCTGTGGTGGTGTCACCAAGGAGATTGGCGACGGTATGAGAATTCGTGGTGACATCAACGTGTGTCTTATGGGTGACCCTGGTGTGGCCAAGTCTCAGTTGCTTAAATCCATTAACAAAATTGCCCCAAGATCCGTCTACACAACCGGTCGTGGTTCTTCCGGTGTTGGTTTGACTGCTGCCGTGATGAGAGACCCTGTCACCGACGAGATGGTGCTTGAAGGTGGTGCCTTGGTGCTTGCAGACAATGGTATCTGTTGCATTGATGAGTTCGACAAGATGGAAGAGGGTGACAGAACAGCTATCCATGAGGTGATGGAACAACAGACCATCTCCATCTCGAAGGCCGGTATCAACACCACATTGAACGCCCGTACCTCCATTTTGGCCGCTGCTAACCCTTTGTACGGTCGTTACAACCCTCGCTTATCACCCCACGAGAACATCAACTTGCCAGCTGCGCTCTTGTCTCGTTTTGATATCATGTTCTTGATCTTGGACCAGGCGTCTGAGGAGAACGACGAGCAGCTTGCAGAGCACGTCACCTACGTTCACAGAGAAGGTAAGCAGCCTGAGATGGACTTCACGCCGTTGGACCCTCATACCATCAGACAGTACATCTCTGTTGCCAGAACCTTCCGCCCCGTCGTCCCCAAAGAGGTCGGTGACCACGTGGTTCAGCTGTACATCAGAATGAGAAAAGAGGCCCAGAGAAATGAAGGGTCCGTCAAGAAATTTGCACACATCACACCTAGAACGTTGTTGGGTATCTTGCGTATCTCGCAGGCGCTTGCAAGAATCCGTTTCGACAACGTGGTGAGACCTACAGATGTGGACGAGGCACTTAGACTCTTGAAGGTGTCGAAATCCTCGATGGACTCGAACGATGACGTGGAGAGAGAAGACGTGACCACCAGAATCATGGGCAGCATCCGTCGCTTCATCAGAGAGAATGATGCCGACAACAACACCATCAACGTGGTTGAATTGTACACCAGATTGGCTGGCATGGGCTACACGCAAGAGCAGATTGACCTGTGCATCAACGAGTATGCACACCTTGGTGTGGTGCAGCTTGTGGACGACCGTGAGTCGTTATTGATTGTGGACTAAGGGTGTTGCAAAATGCGCACATTGATAATAAGGCAGACAGCGTATCGGGACGTCTAGTTGCCTACACATGTATTTTACCTTGAGCTAATAAAAAAGATAACAGGATGGTGAATGTAGGCACCACAAACAAGAGCCAGAATGATCAAGGATCTGAAATTCCAGAAATTCCAGACAACCAAAGTGATCTGAGACACAGTGATATTACAGATCTCCCCAATCCAACTACACCAGTTGTATCAGGAATCCTTGAAAAGAGGAAACAAAGCATCAATGCCAGTCAGCAATTCTCAAGAAGGGGCTCTGCTAGAGAACTTCACTCTCCACTTCCAAGAAACCCTGCTCCTACGAATAGAGAAGCATCTGAAGAACCTGAACAAACCAATGAACAGAAAGTCACAGATAAGCTAAAACCATGGGTTCTTGAAAACAAGGGCTCTGTTGCACGAGACCATATGGCCAATGAACGGACCTTTTTGGCCTGGATGAGAAGTGCTCTTATGACACTTACTCTAGGTGTCGCTTTCATTCAGATGTACTCAATTTCTTCCAGAGCCACGCATGCGTTAGTGAAAGATGCAGACGATAAGTTGAGGCAAAAGTTGACCCACGAGAACGCCGGTCTTGATGTCTTGGCCAGACCTTTATCCGTCATTTGTGCTGTTTTCGCTGCTTTCATGGTATTTGCTGGCTACTGGCGGTACCTTAGGGTGCAACATGCAATGACCAAGAATCAATTTCCTGTGAGCCGGGCATTCACGCTTACCGTGGTATTGTTGGCGTTGGTAGTGCTTGGTCTAGTTCTCGGGCTAGCGATCAAGACGGGTGGGTAAAGGCAATCGTTTAAGTGACATTCGGTTCGGCTCAGAGAATCTGCCTGCCTCAAGAGTGCATTTCGACATATTACTATTCAAAGTAGAAGGTTTCTGAGTTGGATAGAAGGCGTACTGTTTTCGAGAATAGCATACTTTCAAGTCGAGTGCTATGTAAGCCCATTGAGCATTTTTCTTTAATTTTTAAGCATCAGCACAGAATTCGATCGAGCTTCGAATAGCTATCATCGATGAACTCTTTCCATTGCTGGTTGTTTATCTTCACTATACTGTAATTTCAAGCAGTGTTGCAGCCATTAACTAGCGAGCCAGACTTATAGAACTCCTACTCTACAAACCCCAGGACCAGTTTTTCAACTTCACAATTGACATGACAATACAGAATATTTCTTTTTTTTTTTTCAAAAAAAAAAACTATACCAACCCTTTCAGCCACATGGCCTGTCTACCCATTATAGCTTTATCTGCGGCACGGTGAAAATGTATGGATGCGCGTTGGACGAAAAACACCAAGCAACAACCAGTGTTGGTACTTTTGTTGATACTCACAAAACACCTACTATGTCAGACTACGCGTCGCTCACGGTGGCCCAATTGAAAGAGCAGCTCAAGGCCAAGGGATTGGCCTTGGACGGCAAAAAAGCCGATTTGGTTCAGCGTCTTGAGGAACTGGACTCCAGCGCTCCAGAACCAGCCAAGACAGAAGAATCAGCACCTGCTCCCCAGGCCGAAGAGCCAAAGCAGGAAACCACTGAAACCACCCAACCCACGACTTCTGAAAACGGCGATCAGCTGCAGCCTCTGGAAGAAAGCAAGAAGCCAAAGGAGTTGACTCCAGAGGAAAGAAAACAGTTGGCTGTGGACCTTCTCACGAAAAAGATCCAGAGAGCCGAGAAGTTTGGTGACGAACTGCTGGCCGAGGCTGCCCGTAAGGATTTGAGCCGTGTGGAGAAATTCGGTGTGGACCCCGGAACTGCATTGGCCAAGGAGATCGGCTTGGTGGACAAGCAGGTGAACCTGGGCTTGGGGCACTTCAAGAAGCACCGTGGCCACAAGAACAAAAACAAGGGCAAAAAGAACAGAAACAAGGGCAAGGTGGGTAAATAGGCGGCCCGCCTCGAGAGACAAGCCGTATGGAGACTTTGTTCAATAGATATCAAAAATGTACGATTAATGTATGGCCTGGGTCTCGAGCACCGAGTCAATCTCCGAAGAGCCCGTCTGGACTCTATATAGTTGGTGTGGAAGCGGTTATGTCGAGCAAGTTTGACGGAATATAGGGTATAGCGCTGTATGATGAAGAGCTGCTTTTGCTGGAATTTATAGAGATTAAACCCGCTGAGCGGATATTTTCTGATTGATCTGCTGGCGAAGCATCAACCCTTCTATCTTCTTGATATCTTCAAACTTTGCCGTCTTGCGCCGTCTAGGCGCCACAGTTATTGCAAATCGAGAGCCACATCTTCCTCATACAATGAAAAGCTTATATAAGTTTTGCTGTTTTCTTAAAAATTGACGCCAATCTAGTCTTTAGCATTCATCATGGCCCCCGGATACAAGGTCTTCTTCTCTGAACTCGACAACCCTCAGCACTACGCTGAACTTAAAGAGAGCATCAAGGCTGGAAAAATCACCGATGCTAAAGAAACCGTCAGTGAACGTTCGAAGCTTTTATACCCTGAGTACTTGGTTTCTGCCACTCCAGCTGATTCCAAGGCTTACAACAACCAAAAAAACCCAGATGGTGCCAAAAACGATAAAGGTCACCTAGGCGACCCGGAGTTCAAGAGCTTGTTCAACAAGGCCCATAAGAAATTCGACTTGTCGCCAAACTTGGGGACTGAAATTGACGGAATCCAGCTCAGTGAGCTCGACGACCAGGGAAAGAACGATTTGGCATTGTTCCTTGAAACCAGAGGTTTGGCTATCTTCCGTAACCAGGACTTCCGTGACAAGGGTCCTGAATTTGCCGTGAACTTTGGCAAATACTTTGGCCCATTGCACATCCATCCTGTTGCCTACTCGACCGAGAAGCACCCCGAATTGTTTGTGACTTTCAGAAAAGCTGGTGATGGTTCCAGATACAACGAGCAGTTCAGGCACACCACCAGCACCATTGCATGGCACTCAGATGTTTCTTTTGAAGAATACCCATCGTCTTTTTCCATCTTTGTTGCTTTGGAAGCCCCAGAGAGCGGTGGTGATACTCTTTTCCTTGATGGAAGAGAAGCCTACAAGCGTTTGTCTCCACCAATGCAAAAGTTTTTGGAGGGTCTCACGGTGATCCATTCCAACTATGGTCAGAACAAGTTTGCTGCTCTTCGTAACCAGGTGGCCAGAATCAAGGCCGACTATTTCACAGAACATCCATTAGTGAGAACCCACCCAGTGACTGGTGAAAAGAGTTTGTTCTTCTCCAGAATTTTTGTTCAGAAAGTCAAGGGCTTGAAGCAGACTGAGTCTGACGCCATCCTCAACTTCCTCGAGGACCATGTCAACAACAACCCAGAGATTCAGGTCAGAGCTGCCCACAAGGGTACTGACTCCCGGTCTGTGATTTTGTGGGACAACAGAATCTTGATGCACTCTCACTGTAACGATTTCTTGCAGCACGAGACTACTGCTAGACACCATTTCAGAGTCACCTGTATTGGAGAGAAGCCCTACTTGGACAACTCTGAGAGCTCCAGTAATGAGAAGCCACAGGCCTATTAGGAGAGGCAGCAGAAGATATGGAAAAAATTTTAGAAGATTTAGTTTTGAGCAAAAGGATAGTGAAAATATATGGCGCAAGCGTCTGGAATGAATGAAAAGGTATTGAAGGTGTGGTTGTTAGGTTCATCCGACCATCCTAACAAGTTGTAGTGGGTAATGGGAAAGCCAGAGTGGAACCTAAATAACGAAAAAGCAATTCAAATTTTGATTGTGGTTTTCATCGATTTAACTGGTGGGAAAAAAACCCGAGCCTTCATCTTCAAACAATTGTCACTTCCTTGTCCCATAGCACCATCATTGCTGGTCCACTATAGAGCATAACCTTCAGATACTATACTAGAGCCCACACGGCCTCCGTAGACTCAATGGGCCAATAATCACAAAATCTAACCGAAAAATTCACCCCTAAGGCCATCTCCCCAAAATTTCTGGAATTCCGAACCACGTTGATGTCAGCAGCGCCTCACCGCCCATTACCGAGCCTTCCACTCACCAGCCACCTGCCTTCCACTGTACCGTCAATTTCTGTCTAGATCAGAATTTTCAAAAAGTTATAACCAAATTCTCTCAATTCGTAAAAGCGCCTCACAGTTTTCTCTGTTCTTGGCTCCTAACGTTATTCCCCTCCGGCTCTGAAATTTGCACCCATTCCACCTCCACTTCTCAATTCGCACAAAACTTATCTCAACTAACCATGTCCTCCAAACTCTATTACGAGGCACTCCCCCTCATTTGAAGCCCAGACACTACGATGTGTCTGTGTTTGACCTCGACTTGGAATCTGACTCCTACAATGGCGAAGTGGTAATCGACTTGGACATTGTGGAGGAGACGGATGAGTTGCACTTGCATTACCGAGACTTGGAGATCGGCGATATCAAGGCTAGCGTCGGTGACCGCGTGATTGATGCTACCGTGTCCGACCGCTTCCCAAAAAAAGAATATTTTGTTATCAAGCTTGCGGAGAAGGTGGTTCCAGAAAGCTCCACGGTCCAGGTTTCCGTTGGCTTCAAGGGTGTTATTCAGTCTAACATGGCTGGTATGTACAAGTCCTCCTACAAGGACAATGGCCAGACCAAGTACATGATTCTGACGCAATTCGAAGCTACCGATGCTAGAAGAACGTTTCCTTGTATGGACGAGCCTGCTTTGAAGGCCACCTTCGTGGTGAACATCACCTCTGATAACGCCTACACCGTTTTGGGTAACACCCCTGTGGAAAAGGTCCAGGAAAAGGGTGACCAGAAAATCACCTCTTTCCAGAAAACCCCGGTCATGTCGACATACCTCTTGGCCTGGGCCTTGGGTGAATTTGAGTTCATCGAGGGCTTCACTGAAGAGAAGTACTACAACGACAAGCCATTGCCTGTGAGAATCTACACCACGAACGGCTACTCAAAGGACGCTGAATTTGCTCTTTCTTTGGCCCCAAAAATTGTGGATTACTTCTCGAAAATCTTCGAACACAAGTACCCTTTGCCCAAGTTGGACCTTTTGGCAGTGCATGCTTTCTCGCATAACGCCATGGAGAACTGGGGTTTGATCACTTACAGATCTACTGCTCTTTTGTACAACCCTTCTACTTCTGATCCGGAATACAAGCAGAAGGTGGCCTACGTTGTGGCTCACGAAATTGCTCACCAGTGGTTCGGTAACTTGGTGACTATGCAATGGTGGGACGAGCTTTGGCTTAACGAAGGTTTTGCTACCTGGGTGGGCTACGCTGCTGTTGACTATTTGTTCCCTGAATGGGATATCTTCAGTGCTTTTGTCTCTACCTCGTTGCAGACTGCTCTTAAGTTGGACGGTTTGAGAAACTCTCACCCCATTAAGGTTCCGGTGGTCAATGCCTCTGAAATTGACCAGCTTTTTGACCAAATTTCCTACTTGAAGGGTGCATCCACGATTCTTATGCTTTCAGCATATTTGGGAACTGGTACTTTCCTCAAGGGTGTTGCCCACTATTTGAACGTCAACAAGTACGGAAATGCCACCTCGCTAGCTCTTTGGAAATCTCTCTCCGAAACCTCTGGCCAACCGGTTGGTGAAATGATGGAGTCCTGGATCACCAAGATTGGTTTCCCTGTGATCCAAGTTACTCATGAAAATGGAGACCTCGTCCTCAAACAGACTAGATTCTTGAACGGAGGCGGCGTGAAGCCCGAGGACGACGAGACCATCTGGTGGGTGCCACTCAACGCTGATGGCGACAACGTGGAGCTGTTGGGCCGGGACTCTATCGACCAAAAAGAAACTACAGTCAAGAACTTCAACTTGGACGGCTTTTTCAAGCTCAATCAGGATTCGCAGACAGTAGTGAGAGTGGACTATTCGCAAGAAATTCTTTCGAATCACATTTTGCCTTACTTCAAGAAATTCTCCTCCAAGGACAAGGTGGGTGTTATTGCTGACGTTGCCTCGATCGCCATTTCAGGTGACGAGAAGACAGACACCATTACGTTCCTCAACCTCGTGAAGTCTATCGTTCTTGACGAAGACTTGATCGGAGAGCTGTACGTTGCCTGGTTGGAGCTTTGTTCCCGCTTGTCTGCTTTGAAGACGACCTTCAGCGGTGAGGACAAGGACCTCAGCGAAAGAATCACTCATTTCATCCGCCTGGTCTACTCGAAGTTGGCTATCAAGTTGCTCAGCGAGGAAGTTGATGCCAATGACGTCCTCAAGACTAAACTCAAGGCGCACATCTTGAACAGTGCTGCAACCTACCAAGTTCCTGAGGTGAAGCAGCTAGCGCACTCGTATTTCGGAAGCTGGAAACAGTCTAAGACCATTGATCCCGCTTTGAGATACTTCACCTTCTCTTCTGTCCTCTCGTCGCCGGACGTTACTGAAGACGATGTGAAGGTGGTTTTGGACGAGGTGATTAACCCATCCGCTTTGGATTCTAGAGAAGTTGCCTTGAGTGCGTTGGGTAACATCTCCAGCAAGGAGCTTGCTAAGAAGATTATTGCCACGCTTATCGACATTAATGTTGTGCCTGTTATGGACGCCCACTTTTTGGCTGGCAACCTTTCCAAGAACACTGCTGTGAGAGACATTTTGTGGGACTTCATCAAGGACAACTACAACACGATCTACAAGTTGATGTCCACGAACATGGTTGTGTTGGACCGTTTCATTCGTTTCACGTTAGGCAACTACCAGCTGGAAGCCATGGCAGAAGACGTCGAGAACTTCTTCAAGGACAAGGACGTCAACGGATTCGAGAGATCCTTGTCGCAGGTGTTGGACTACATCAGGATCAACGCCGCCTGGTTCAAGAAAGACCAAGATCGTGTCAAGCAGTGGTTGACCGAACACGACTTCTAATCTACCTTCTTTGTACAATCTTCCCAATCTACGTACTATCATAATTTTTCAATAAACAATGTCTATGTAACCGAATATGGAATGCACCGCTGGTTTAAGCGAGCTTGTGGTCGTGAGTAGAAGCGTATCTTCCAGATGGGTCAGCGTGACAGCCCCATTCAGCCTTAGGCACCCATCTCATGACAGTAGAACCAGCAGCCTTGGAACCGTGGAAAACCTCGTCAAACTTGCAACGGTACCAGTAGGCCTCCTTGGTGGTTGGAATGTCGTCACCCCATTCAGGCTTAGGGTTAGCAAGCTGCTCGTCAGTAACAGCAGCCTCGGCAGCATCCTTCAAACCGTCGATCCAAGAGTAACCGACACCGTCAGAGAACTGCTCCTTCTGTCTCCACAAAATCTCCTCGGGCAAGTATGGCTTGACGTCAGGCTCGTCAGAAGTGTCGAAGGCCTTTCTCAAGATGTACTTTTCGATCTTGCCCAGCTTAGGGTCGATCAACTTGTCCTCTGGGTTGACGTTCATGCACACGTCCAAGAACTGCTTGTCCAAGAATGGCACTCTAGCCTCAAGACCCCAGGCCATGGTGGACTTGTTGGCTCTGAGGCAGTCAGCGTAGTGCAAGTTCTTGACTCTCTTGACACACTCCTCGTGGAACTCCTTGGCAGAAGGAGCGTTGGCGAAGTACAAGTAACCGCCGAAGATCTCGTCGGAACCCTCACCAGAAAGCACCATCTTGACACCCTGGGCCTTGATCTTTCTGGACAAAAGGTACATAGGGGTGGAGGCACGGATGGTGGTCACGTCGTAAGTCTCCAAGTGGTAGATGACGTCGTTCAAGGAGTCCAAACCTTCCTCCAAGGTGAAGGTGTGAGAGTGGTGGATGGTACCGATGAAGTGGGCCACCTTTTCAGCAGCGATCAAGTCTGGAGCACCAGGGAGGCCAATGGCAAAAGAGTGCAAACGAGTGAATCCAAGAGAGTGCAAGGAACCATCGGCATCCACACCAGAAAGCTCCTTGTTGGCATCAATACCGTCCTTCGGAAGAGCAGCAGCAGCCTTCTGGGCCTCTCTGGCAGCGATGGAGGCAATCAAGGAGGAGTCAAGGCCACCAGACAACAAGACACCGTAAGGCACCTCGGCCATAAGTCTCTTTCTGACAGCCAACTCCAACGTCTCTCTGACCTCCTTGTAGTCCACACGCTTCTCAGGAACCTGAGCACCGTCCCACCACGTAGGGGTGAAGTAACGGGTGATTTGGTCGGTCTTGGAGTCGTAAACGTGGCCTGGAGGGAAGGCAGTGATTTCGTCACACTCGTCAACAAGACACTTCAACTCAGAGGCAAAGTAACGGCCCTGTGGGTTTTTGGAAGACTTACCCATGTACAAGGTGGTGATACCAATGGGGTCTCTGGCAGCCAAGATACGGTCCTCCTGCTTGTCGTACAAGACCCAGGCGAAAAAACCGTCCAAGTGCTTAGGAGCATCGATGTCGTACTTCTGGACGGCTGGAATGATGGGCTCACAGTCAGAGTGAGACTTGTAAGGGTAGTCGGGGAACTGCTCTCTCAACTGGATGTGGTTGTAGATCTCACCGTTGACGGCAAGGGAGTAACGGCCGTCCTTGGACACGATGGGCTGGGCACCGGAGTCCAAACCAACAATGGCCAATCTCTCATGACACAAGATGGTGTTGTTGGCGGTGACGTTGCCAGACCAGTCTGGGCCTCTGTGTCTAATTTTTTTCGTGTTCTTGAGGGCAACACCCTTGAACTTCTCGATTTCGGGCTGTCTGTACGCAGCGTAGATTCCACACATGTAGCTTGTTGAAGGTGTTTTAGTTTTCGTGGAATTTTTCAATGAATCATCCCAGTTCCGGGGTAGATGAGATGTGGCACGTGATGTCGCTCCTACTTAAGCTGCACTTGTCGAGATGCTACCCTCGGATTGCTATGAGTCAGCACCTTGCGTTGTGCATCTGCTGTAGTATGGTGGCTCGGTCAGCTTATTTTGTGCAGCCGCTGACTGTGATGGTTTCAAATTGACTCTGTTTGAGATGGACGAGGTCGATTTTGGTTGAAGTGTGTTGAAGTGTGTTTTTGACGTTGGCTGCGAATTTCGGAGTAGGTATCGCGAGACGGTGATAGACCGGTACCGGGCTGCAAGTGAGACAGTTGGTTGTGGCATTTGGGCAGATGGAATGGAAGAAGCTGGAGTGGGTGTGGAAAGATGAGAATTTGTCATTTCATGAAAATAGGGGTGACATTTTTGAATTGGATACGGGGACAATTGATGTCTTAGTACGGGTATGCATCAAGACGGCCGTGGTTGCTTGACTACGACCATCTATTATCAAGCTTCGTAGTAAATGTAATTTTTTAACGTCTTTGAAGAAAGGATGACAAGTATTAGTCTCTCATCGAATTTGTTGCTGCAACCAGTGCTATCTGGCAATCCCCGTATCTCAAAGCGGTAGCATGCTTGTGTTAACAGTAATCGAAATAACGACTGATAATTGGTTTTATTTCGATATTGATGAAGTCTTTTTGTGACATTTGAAATAAGAGATCAAGCATCAAAAATATTCACTTCTTCGATACGTTTACATTTTCAAGATCTCTCGGTAATTGCAATAATTGTCGCAAGACTACAAACTATGCGAGTAGACGATTTTGAGTTTCCAGGTCAACTTCGAGAAGTACCATTGCTTACAAGGTTGAATAAACGTTCAACCAGAAAGCAGAAATTAAGAAGTAATCTATTTCACATTCCAATAGGCACACTTACCTGACTATTAGACCTTTAGCACCCAGCAATTGATGATTTTACTTTCATAAAAACATCAATAATTCTTTCGAAATATAAAAGTTAAAAGGAATTTTAATTTGAACTTCATTAATTTTTAAAAACAATCATCTATATTAATGTTCTTGGGGGTTCTAGAAAGTAGGCCTATGCCTGTGCGGTGTCTGCACGACCAGTGGCGCACATTGATATCTCGACTTGAATCGTACTAACAACCAATCCACATCCACATCAAAACACACAATGGCCCTTTCCAAACTCGCTGGTGAGTTGTATCAATTATACGACCATGACAAATACTCTGAGTGCCAGCGCCTCCTTCCTCCACTCAAAATGGAATTGATCAAGCACAACTTGCTTGTTCCGGTGCCCTCCAATTCGCAAACGAAGGACCAGCTCAACGATTTGAAGATCTCTGAGAGAATTCTTGAAATTGGCGCTTTGCTGTCTTTGTTGACTCACGACTACGCTGGCTTTGAGAACTTCTTCGCCTCCTTGCGTCCTTTCTACACATCTTCCAAGTTGCACGGCAAATTAGAAACCAACACCGACGCAACCAAGATTATTGCATTGTACTTGTTATACTTGCTTTCTCAGGGCCTTATAAGCAAGTTCCACGTGGAGTTAGAAACCATTTACAACAGCCCCTCATACAATGTCGAGAAGGACAAATACTTGAACTACCCAATCGACTTAGAAAGAAACTTGATGGAAGGTAACTATATCAAGATCTGGAAGTTGCTCCAGAACGAGTCTTCATTGCCTTCAAAGGAGTTTCACCTATTTACGCAAACCTTGATCAACACGTTGAGATTTGAGATTGCTAAGTCGATCGAGAAGACCAACGACTCCATTCCCGTCTCAAACTGCAGAACTTTGTTGTACTTCCCACAAGAGCAGTCCGACAAGGCGTTTGAGGAAGCTTTGAAGCAGGATCTCGAGGTTGAAGACTGGGAGTTCAAGAACGGTGTCATCTACTTCAACACTAAGAAGTCTCAGGGCGCCTTCACTGCCGACAACTCCTCCATAATCAGTAACGTGTTGGACTACGCAGAACATATTGAGTCTATCGTTTGATGGAATTTATTCTAGAGAGTTGAAGAAGCCTTTGTACGCCTCGTCGAGCTCGTCCAAGAACTGGTCTATATCATGCTGGGCCAACTCTTCGTCGTCTCCCAAGTTGTTGAGCTTGATAAGCCAGCCAACGAGCTTCGATTTCCCAGGAAAATCGATTGGCTTAGATGCGTCGTTTTCCCGCAGCACCAAGTCGTTCAAGCTGACGACTAGATCACTTAAAAGCGGGTGAAGCTGGGACTTAGTCTTGTAATTAAGCTTCAATGCATCCATGAGTGTGATGAAACTGCCTGTAGCCTCTGCCACAAGTCTTGCCAGCGCCAGCGCTGATGCCAGTCCTTGGGCTGTAGATTCCTCCTTTGGTTCGGATGAACTCTCCACCACGGTGTGAAAATGCTGTATGGTTGCTGGAACGCCAGATGTAAGTCTCTCCACTGCTAGTGGGACGTGCATTCTGAAAGCTTGCTGCATTAGTTGTAAAAGATTGGAGTGTGTGTCATCAATACCAGGTAGAATCTCAGCGAGAACCTGTTTGTGAGTTGGAGTCTTACCGAATCCCTTGACGAGCATCTGATACTGGTTAATCATACGCATTACCGTAGACGTATACTTCTCCTTATCAGTGATGTAGTCCTTCAAGAAGGAGTTCTCAATCATCTCCATTACCGTTGCTATAGAGTAGATCTCACATAGCGATTCATAGACTGACTTGTGTACCGTGGTGGTAAGCAAAGAAGTTCTTGAGAACTCCTGGTGGAAATTAACATTTGGATTATTTGCCGGTTGGTACGAGGTATTAGCCGTAGGGGCGTAGGCAGGAAGACCAGACATGGTGGTATATGTCGTGTGTTAGTGTGGTGCAGGAAAATCAACGGATTTGGTGAGAGTAGGATGCAAAGAAGTGTCTATTTTGTATTATTTACTCGATGCACTTAATTATCAGTTGGCCGTAATTGTCCACTGTATAGCCAAGAGCTTCCCAATCGGCCTTGTTGACTCTGTAAACGACGGGTGGTGGACAGAAGCGTTGGAGAAGCATGTGCACCTCTTCGTCTTTAAAGGTGGCTGCAACACGGTTTACTGTCTCTTTAGTGAAGCGATCGCGAGCTAGAAGGCACTCCCCTTTGATCCAGCTGAGCAAATACTCGCAGCTGTCTCGGTCAAAGGGAGAGACCGTCAAAGGAAGCGTGACAACGGTGTCTTTTCCATGACTGATTTTCACCTTCACAATTATCTCATAGCGAATGGAGAAGAGTCTTCCCAGGGTTGTGAATCCCTGAGTATGTGTCACTGGAATGCCTTCGGCCGCTTTGGGTAGATTTCTATTTTTGTTGAATGTAGCGCTGGGAAACTTGACCGAGAGTTCCTCGTTAATAATCTGTGCATCAGAAAGAGAGAAATGATGCACGAAGTCATTGTCATATGGAAAAGGAAACTCAAAAATATGCGTCGTGCCGTCTGAAGTGATAGGTTTATCGCATTCATCAGTGTCACTGCGCAACTTGATTTCTCTCTTTACTGGAAGACCCGAATCAAAGCCTTGCATGTACTCTTTGATTTGCATGGTCACCAGCTTTAGTCGAAGGTTCCTCTTCCTTTTATTGTGTAGGGGATTGGCGCCAATTTTGACTCGTAGATGGAATGGATCCAGCGGACCTACTGAGCTGATCGGTAGTTCGAGATCCACCAAGACCTGGTTATCTGAGGTGGGCCGCTGTTCCACTAAAGGCTCATTAAACTGACGATACAAAGGAAGCGTATCGTATAATTTTATAGGGATGGCGAATTTCTCTTCGAATGAAAACTCGGTGTGTGGTGAGGTTCCACCTGTGAAGCGGACACATAGGTAATGAACGGTTGAAGCGTTCCATGATGGAAAGAACCCACTTGACGTTATTGTTCTGGGTATCGGTATAAGGAGGGGAACGTCCAAGGCTATTAGTTTCTGGTAGAATTCTCCCATTGGAGGAGCATAGACCATCGGATCTTTACAGAGCATGTATTCTTTCATAGGTTCATTGGAGCCCAATTTCGAAGAAATGACGGCTTTTTGCTCTGTTCGAAGCTCAACTCCAATCAGTCGGCAGGTGAAGTGCTTGGATTTTGAACATCGTATTTCTATGGTGGTCTCTATCCTCGGCTGATCTGTTAGTATAAATCTTCAGTAAAGCTTAAATAAGTACATACAATGGAGTGGGGAACGCCAGGTGCACCTTTGACGATACTTTGCCCGTCGGTTCGTAGGCCGATATGGACTGGACACTCTAACTTTGGAGGTGCCATATTATCGGAATTTGTTCGGTACGAGGACGTAACTCCGGGGTACATCTGATGCGGTCACGTGTATTCCGTGGTTTACAAGAAATGGATAGTTTGGCTGCATATTTTCTTTGTGGTCATAAATAATCATAAAATGTATGGGATTATGGCGTACTTGACGTCGTACTTGTCGAACTTCTCCTTGTAGTACAATCTGGTACCGTGCGCAGATACACTGAGGTTGGTAATGACGAAAATCCAGGTACCAATGAAGTTCCAGTCGGGAATCGTATAGGGCTTCTGAACGAAGGAAACAAATATAACAACAAGGTAGATAATGACCTCGTCGAAGTAATGTGCACATGCCACAATCTTGAAGAAGTTGAATGTGGGGACTGAGTACTTGACCAAGGAGGCCAAGTGCTGGTGGTTTTTGAACTGGTCGACGGAAAAGAGAATAAAAATGGTGATAAGCAAGTGGTATTTCCAGCTCCACTCAATTGGCTCACCTCCCTCGAGCAAACCTAAAAAGCAGTTGGAAGAAACCCGAGGTAGTATAAAAGACCCGCCATGTAATGCGTGTAGTGCATCTTCAGCTTCGAGCTCCATTTGGTCAACGTGTAGCTCTCAATCATTCTTCTTGTTGCCTGGAGTGTCAATAGTGCCCAGATCACGGTGTACTTGGAGACTGTTGGATTTTGCAGCCAGATATATGCACCTTGCGACCACTGAAGAATCAGGTAAAACACGTAGTAATGTGCAAACCAGGACTTTGGTACTTGAAGAGTCAGTACCTTCTCGACGAATTTGGCCAACGGAGTATCAGGAGTAACCTGCTTCTGCTGTGCCGTTTTGCCATATTTGAGTAGGAGGCGGAATTGCGGGAATATCTGCATCAACAAGATGGCAATCGAGACAGCGACAAATGTCACCGAAACGAGAAGTCTTGGATCGTAGCCAAGAGTGAATGGCTTTAAATCGTCAATATTCATAGCTTCAGGATGTGAAGTACGGTTATGGTGAATATCTGGATGCGCGTGTAGTAGCTTTACTAGAGGGGCTCTCTACACAGGTTACAGTGAAAGCATAGTATTGAAGTCGATTGACTTAGCAAATTTACTGCCGAATAAAATATTTCACTTCATTTGTCGTCAGTTGATTTTTATGTTCTAATCCATAACAATTTTTTTATGTGTATTCGACTCACAATTGGCTTCATTTCAACACTGCCACTATGGGTTAAATGGCCTAGAGAAGCTGGTATGGCAACTATTTGAATATCGATAGGTAGGTCAACATATGCATCTTATTTCAATTAGTACATCTCAGCTTAAACAGTGATCACTTCTTGCAGCAAGTGAATTACACCTGATTCGCATATGAGCTATGAACACTTTCTTCGTCCAGATCGCTAGATTACTATCCCATCACTGGTGGTCCCAATCATCCTTGGTTTCTCTTTCCGCTTAAGTATTAGCAAAATACATTGGAGATAACTAGTGGGTGATTCTTCTCCAATATGAATGTCTTACTTACGCGACATAATGGCTGCGAAAACCTTCTCGTGAAAGTGTGGTAGCCATGTCGCTGCCTTAATAGAAGCTAAATGTTCTGTTGATGACTGAAGAACTTCTCTGTCTCAATCTAAGTATGATTCGCGTGTTGAGTGTCAATATTGCGTCTCCGTAATAAGGTATCGGCCGGTGCAGCCTTAATTAGTACTGTCAAACGACTCTAGAGTAGGTCAAGTAAGCCATTTATTTGGCCTTGACCATGTGGAAGTGACATTATGCGACTGGCTTTGTGTTCAAGATAACATGCACCCAAGTGCTTACTCTAGTGTTCGATTGACAGCTTGTACAATTACACAATGTTCATGCAAAAACACCTATTTATTCTCAAAGGTAATGGAGACAACACTTCAAAAGCCTCGGTAGGAAGTTTAAAAAATTGATTCGCTTAAATAGGCCCGCGCCACTCCACTTCCTATTAAATCCAATTGTCACGATTTATAAAAATAATAATTACACCGCCTCTGTGCTCCGGTGCTAAAGTTAGTCCCGCTACTTGTATTCCTATCGCGCTGCATACAGAGCGCTCTCAGCACCTGGTGTGCATTCGGAAGCGGCTATAAACGGCGCTAGGCGGACAGATATCCTAACGCTAGCATTAGCGGACATTCTCTCAAGTAAGAGATAGTTTCTCTTTTTGAAGATGGATCACGAACTAGCCGATCTAGGCTCCGACGGCGAGGACTCAGCCGCTTTTTTATCCAAATCGCCCCATGCCGATCCCACTACTGATAAGACTCTGCAAGATCATCGCAAGTTCACTGGGTTCCCGAAACCGATAACGACCCATTTGAAGAGTCGTTTGAACTTTCTGGAGATAACCTGCATTCCGTGAGTCCCCCAACGGACTTTGAAACTTCAGATCCAGACGACTCGGATGAGGAATGGCTCTCCTATATCGATAACCTACCAATATGGGCAGCTCCACTAGGCCGGATCGCTTGTGTGTTGTTTTTCGTTGGAATCGCCATGACCATATCGGCGCCTTCAATGGAGGTGATCTACTATAAGTTAGCCTGCCAGGCGCTCATCAAAGATGGAGCTGCTTCAGAAGAACTGCAGTGTGATTCAGTCCATACCCAGGAAATCGTATCCACCTACCTCATGTGGAGCCTGGTAATCAGCTCGATCGTCTCTTTGGCTACAGGTGCTTACATAAGTACCCTTTCCGATTCGTTCGGAAGAAAACCGTTCCTTGCATTTTTCGTCATTATGCTGTGCATCAGCTCGTACGCCAATTACTTCCTCATCACAACCACTGACGGGTTCCCCATGCTCTTCATGTGGCTTGTGACCGCCATAACGTCTTGTTCTGGTGGTGTGGTGGCTTTGCTGGCACTTTTCAGAGCATACATCACCGATGTTACTCGTCCTACTAACCGAGTGATCGGAATGAGTTGCACGCTTGTTGCATTATCCTTGGGCCAAATCGTCGGGCCTCTGTTATCGTCTTATGCATTGTCCAGAGCCAACGAAAACGGCAGCTCAGCTGACACAAACTCAGATTCGACAAACATCATCCCCTCTCGAGAACTTATACCTCTCAAACTTGCCTTGGTGGTGCTTACGTTGGCTCTGGTCTTCTCCATTTTCTTTTTACCAGAGCTGAGATCTCGCAAGTCGATGATGAAGTCAAGGTCCATGACCGATGCTCTACAAATCAACAGAGCCAAGGTGGCTTCAATCAAATCGAGGATTTTCGAAGTGGTCAAGACTTACTTCAGACCTCTCCGCATGCTCACATTTCCCCTGAACTCAAAACAGTGGACAATGCCGATAGATTTTCTCAAATACGAAAATGTATCATCTGTCTATCGATAGGGGAGATTTTGATGTCCGTGTTCATGATGCTGACAATCCTCATTGAACTACAATATTGCATTTTCAAGTACAAGTGGGATTCCATCACCATTTCTAACTACCAGGTGGCTAAATCTGTGGTGAATATTGCAGGTGTGGGAGCGTTGTTGCCATTTCTTTACAAGTTTGCCCTTCCCAAGATCAAGCGTCTTACGCCAAAGGCCGATACCTTTGATTCATTGGACTTTCTGTTGATGTATGCGTGCTTGATCACCATGTTTTTTGCCCAGATTGGCGTTGCATTCTCCTCCAGCGGCACCTCATTTGTGGTGTTCTCGATCATCAACACCTTGGGCGCCATTTCTGGCCCAGTTGCAGCATCCGTTCCTTCCAAATTCTTTCCTTCTGCCAAAGTAGGTGAATTCTACGGTGCAGTTTCATTGGCCCTGGGAATATTCAACCTTCTTACACCTATGGTCGGAACAGCGTTATACAAGAGCGGCATTAGGCATGGGTTCCCAGGAATGCCATTTGTTTTCGCTGCTTTACTTGCATTCATGGCTTCAAAATGCTCCCTAATAGCTAGGTGGGCTGTCAGAGACTATCAGGGCAAAGTCACATTGGTTTGATACTAACGAACATAGAGAATTATAGACAATTAACTACAGCGTACCAAGGTTCATATGCAACGTCTCTATTATACAATCTCTATCATCATGCCTCATCAATTACCTTCCCAAATACTTGATCTCAAGTGGTCTCATCAAGTTGAACCCAACAAAAGCGAAACCGGCTCCCAATTCGAAACCAATGTCACCTCCTCTCTCACCTATCTGTGTGGCAATCACACCACTGTACCATTGTTGGTTCATACCGAGAACAACACCGGCAACACCGCAGCAAAAGCCGAAGATACCTGCAATTCCAACAGGGTAAGAGCGCTTGTCCATGTAGTTCTCATAGTCGTAAGCAGACCAACGACCTCTGTTCCATATAAGATGTTGAGAAAGGCACATGGACTCGTAGATAGCCAAGTAGTAACCAATCAAGTTCATGAAGTTCTCCATGACAGACTCAAAATGGTAGTAAGCTGGAATGCAAATGGCCAAGGTGACGAAGTTACCGCAAATCGTCCACAAGACACGAGGCACCTTCTTCAAGTACGAAGAGAAGGCCTGGGCACTCATAGCAATAGAGTACATGTTTGGAATGTTGTTGGCGACAGTGGAAAGAGCCAAAAGCACACACAAGAACTGGCCAAATCCGTGAAGGGAGTCCTGGACAAGAATTGCGTAAACAAGACCACCAACGGCTTTCTCCTGGTAAAGCTGCTGCCAGTTGTCATTAGTCAATGTACCGGTGGCACAAGCAGCACCCAAAATCAAGGTGAAAACCAATGGTAAGAGAAGACCGGCCAAAATACCGAAGAAGATACGGAATGAGCTGGCGTTACGAGGCTGGTAGACAGTGTAGTCGGAGGCGTAAGTGGTCCAGCCAGTAGCGTAACCAAAAACAGTACCACCGAAGGACAAGACATTACCAGCGGTGGTCTCGCCGCCCTTGGTTTCGCCCCAAGTGAAAGTGCCAGCCATAGACATACGGCAGATGATGGCAATGAAGATAGCCATGTTTGGAATCCACGACCATCTCTCGTACATGTGGATGACGTGGTAGCCAAAGAAAGTGACGAGGACGGTACAAACCACCAAAATCAAACAGCCGGCCCATGGTGGGAGGGCACCGTTGTTGACGATGTTGAGCAACTGAGCAGAGGCCATGATGTTCACAGCACCCCAACCCACGCAAGCAATCATGTTGATAAATGCAAAAATTCTCATACCGTAGTTTCCTAGGAGGTACTTGGACACAATCATCTGACGGAGACCCAAACGGCAACCGAAAATGGAGAAAAAGGCCACTGTACTTGCTCCCAAGAAGGAGAAGAAGATGATCACCATGATACACTGGAAAAACGAAAGACCAAACACAGTGACACCAAGAGCACCCAAGGAGAAGGTGGCAATGACCAAGTTGGCGGACAACCACATGGAAGCAGCATTCCAGATGGAACTGTCTGTCTTTTCATCATCAAGCACCAAGTCCACACCCTTGGTCTCGGCATTGAGCTTAGCGGCCCATCTGTCGAAGATGTTGACAGAAGTTTCCGAGGTCTCGGCGTGGCCGGACTCTTCCAACGACTTTTCAAACGAATTGGCAGAGATCTTCTTCTCTATGGAATCGCCTATTGTTTTTTCCTGGTCCGACATTATGAGCGATGAGGCGAAAAATGTAGATACAAAGAGGTGACTTTGTGTCCTGGTAGACTCAGATGACTTTGATGGCAATGAGTGAAAAGTGACTCAAAAGTCTGTGCTGCTCGCCTTTTCTTATAAGCACGGAATGCTGCTATTGCAAAGTTTTATGGTCCTGATAAGAAACCGCGTAGAGGGCAATTTCTTTTTTTGCTTTGCCTAATTGCATCGATCTCATTGCCTGAGCCGACGCAGGTACTGCAGACTACATGGCGCTGAGCGACACTAACTATAAGAGATGCATACGGTCGTCTCTTATATGCACGAGGCCTTACCTAGCGAATCCGCCTTATTCCAATTCGAGCGTCCTTATCTCTGCTTATGTGAGCAAGCAAGATAGCAGCCTTTTTAATATAAAAGTTCCCCACAGTTCTCGGAGATCACCGTGGTGAATCTTGCTTTTTGTGAATCATATATATTAAGCCGCGGTGGCGCCGAGGGCTTCCGCAGAGCCTCTCCGGTCGGTAATTTTCGTCGGCGTCTGGTACTGTATTCCGGCCACGGCGTTTGAGAAGTTGGAAAAAGCCAAAGATAGCGAACTGGGCCCTGGAATTCAGGTTCGGGACAACCAATTGTGAATGTCATTTGGGACAAATTACAATTTGGATTACCAAATTCACAGAACGGCTGTGTTTTTTTCATTTTCCAAATTTTACTGTTCAATGGACCTTGTGCCACTCGGTATGCATGCTCGAGCGGCGTAACGGTTTTTTCATGACCTCTTCTAAGTTAGAGTCAACCTAATTGCAGCTTTAAATTGCTTGACTCCTGGTTGACGTTGCGTGAGGCTGACGGGCCGTTATTAGAGAATTTTTCAAATAGGGTGTGGTAAGTAGATCTGGCCGATCGCTGAAGTTTATTTAAACGAGGTCTCTTCACTTTACGACCAATGAGATTTTCCTGGAGATGCTCAAACCAGCCCTCTTTTCCTAGCACTTACTTTCAAGACATTGGCCGATTATTTAATACAATCTGCTTCTACGGTGCCAAGTTCAATGCACAAGTCTTGTTCCGCCTCAGCGAAGAACGTCAGGTTTACTTGCACTAGTAGCGTCGTATACAAGCCTTACTCGGCACCACCTATGTCACAGATCTTCAATGCCTTTGATGATGCCAAAATAAGCATTTCTCTCGATCGGTTGATGGTTTGCGATCTGTTCTTGAAGTGCACGCTCGAGGCTACACTTGATATGCGCCCACGATTAGTAGAATCACATTAGGAAATTTAACTTTGCACATATGTATTACAACACGCCCAGTCGACTTGCTGATGCACGCGAGGTCATGGCCCTGGCTTTTATACTCTAAGATGCTCCACCGGTGGATTAGTGCCAGGGCGACCTGAAGCAGCCGTCTGGCCTCATTACTTGGTACCAAAGTGGATACCCAACACCAATGCCAAAACAATCACCACAATAAGAAGAATGATGAAACACCACCACTTCTTCTTTCTCATAGCCTTGGCCGAAAACACCGCCTTCTGCGTGTGACCCACACCCTGCTCAATGTCGTGCTGGGCCGTGTCAACCTGCTCCTCAATCTGCTGGATTGGCTGGTCCTGCTCAATTACAAGCTCCTCCATGTCATGGAAAAGCTGAGTCAACTCAGCCATCGTCTTTTCCAACTTGAGCAACTCACGGTGACGAACTTGCACCTCATTGAGCACGGTTCTGGCCTCACCTCTACGGTTCGACTGCATCAACGCCTGCTGGAAAATCTGCTGGTTGGGCGTGCCGTCCTCCACGGCAGCCTCCACCTCCTCTGCGGTAGCGTTGGGGTTGATGATCTGGTACTGTCTGGCCAGCTGAGCCTTGGTCTGCTCTCTGTTGTTGGATTCAGTCAAACGGTATCTCTGGATATACTCCAAGAACTTGTTTCTGGCGGCTTCCGCCTGGTCGATCTTCTGGGGGTTTCTCAGCTGGGCCGCCTGGGTCTGGACATTCTTGATTCTCAGCTTCAACTCAGACTGCAAACTCAGCGCTTCCAGAACCAACGCGTCAATCTGCTTCGACGAATATTCCGTGTCTTCATCGTTCAAGTCCAACTCCTGGATGTAGTTTCTTTGCTTGTTCGAGATCAAGTCCACCAAGTTGGAGTAGTTGTCTAGCTGGGTGTGAATATCTTGAATCTCATTCATGAAGGCCACGAAGTCGTCTTCTCCGGCAGACCCGCCGTTGCTGTATTTCATGCTGGTCATTTCGTACAGACTGGCGTTGTGGCCGCCACCATTGTAGTACGGGTTGCTCATGGTATAAGGTTCGGTTTCTTGGAGGGGTGGTGTTGAAACGGCCTTATGTATGCTACCTTTTTTTTTTTTTTTTTGGTTGCCTGCCAGCTATGGCTATGTTATGTTCCTGCATGTACTTCGCGTATAACTGGCGCATTTTGGCGTCAAATCTTCACATCCCAGGGGGTTACCAGTGTATGCAAAGCCCGTTATTTTTCGTGAACGGCGTATGTTTATGAAACTTCTTTTTGTGTGTTTTTCGTCAATTTTTTCAAATAGAAGCTTTGAAGAGATCCACGTGATGTCGAACCATTTATCGTAGCATGTGCCGAAATTCACTAATGCAGGGCCGGCTGCCGGTTACGAAAAGTGACTGACTCAGCCATCGCCGAAAAATTCGTTGTACTAGGCGGCCAAATTGAACTTTAGACCGTATTGAGCTTGTCAAACGTGATAATTCTAAAAACGGTGCTTTTCAAAAATCTTGCCTAAATCTGTCTGTGGGGCTTTCTCGGCACCGCCTTGACGTGACGTGAGCCCTTTCACAGCCTTACTTCGAGGCACTTTGGCGTAAATGACCACGGCGGCGTATTTCGTATAATGTGAGGCAAAACGGCGGATAGGCTAAATTTTGGGCAATTTGCAGCCGTTCCAGGCAGAATACATGACCATGAGGCTGAAGCGCAGAAAGTGCAAGTAAACCGATGACTCGGTCGATGAAGAGGGGGGATTCGATTTTTGAAAGAGAGGAGATTATTGTAGAATCGAGGTAAAAGAAAATTAAAAATGAAGAAATCACCTGTAAGTGGTTGTATGGTGTGTTCACGATGAACAGAGGTATGCAGACAGATCGAGGTGCCCTTTGTTTGAGTTGATTGTTGGATCTGAGCGTACGTATGGTTCACGTAAGTCAATACCGCCCTATTCTATATGTTTCTAAAGAAGAGGAAAGAAAATGGGTAGATAATGACTTGAATGGCCAACAGATTTGTTACTTTTTCGATATATCTACTCTCCGTTTTTCAGCGTTCAATGCGACTGTACTTTCTATTCTCGTATCTTCAATGGTTAGCGCTACTCTATGATTGTTTCATAAGTCACAGCTAGAACCTGGTTTTGATCGATGTGGTTCACGCCCATATTGTAATGGCTGCAAAATCACCTAAACCAACCTCTATTCTCACGTACACTAAAAAGTCTCTCCCTATTCTTTAATTGTAATTGAATGAATTTCATCTATTCTAAGTGTTTCCCGCTATTTTCCAAAATCCGTATATATCCCATATCCCACCTCTCCAATCCACCTCTATTCTTATCGGTGCGCACATCGCAGATCTGATACACATTCCATCCTAGATCCACCTTCCAATTAAACCAACATCCTACTATGGAATCACATGATTTCGTGCCCCTGAAACACCAGGCGGCCGGCCATGACGGCTGCATGACTGCAGGGGCAGTATTTGCCAAACTCACAACGCAACAAGAGATCGACTTCTATGAACAGACTCTTAGCTCCAACGAGATCCTAGATCAGGGCGCCCATTTGAGCCACTGGATGCCCACGTACATGGGCACTTTGAACGAAGGTGTTATTAAGCCCGAGAATGCTGACGTCACGACGATGGTGGCGGACGATGTGAAGACGATAGAGGAAGTAGAGAAGAAAACACCCAAGAGCGATAAAAAATATGTCGTGTTGCTGAACTTATACCATGGATTCTCGCAGCCTTCCATTCTAGACATCAAGCTTGGAAAGGTTTTGGTGGATGATACTGTCACAGAGGAGAAAAGAGAACGGTTGGCTGCTGTGAGTGCATCGACTACTAGTGGATCTTTGCACTTTCGTATCTGTGGCATGAAGCTCTTCAAAAGCAATGACAAGCCGCTTCCTGAAGTGTATCCAACGATGAACGAAACAATCGCTGCCCAAGATGATAGCATACATTTCAATAAGTTCTATGGGCGCTCGCTAGATACATCCAACATCGAAAAGGGCATTGCCCAGTTTTTTGCATTCGTGGAGAACCCCACGCAGAAGGAAAGGCTTCTCACACGCTTCCACCAGCGTCTTCAGCTCCTATATAACTGTCTTTTGGACTCAGAAGTCCGAATCATTTCAGGCTCGCTCTTTTTCTTGTTTGAGAACGATCCAAAACGTTGGAAGGAAGCTCTACAGGACGAAGAAACATACTTTGCATCAGATCCTCTAATCCAGGAATTAGACGATGAAGATAGCGATACCGAATCGACGGACATAGGTATTCCCCTAAGCAGCCTACATGTCATTGACTTTGCACACGCTAAACATACACCTGGCAAGGGTCCAGATGAAAACATTATTGTGGGGGTTGAAAACCTTATCGACATCTTTGGTCGCCTTCTAGAAGCTTGTAAATAATCTTATTACCTAGTTTACAAACATCACCTATCCCTTATTTACAACAACTTGGTGATCTTACCAATAGCGATAGTCACACCCTGGTCTCTCAAGGTGAATCTACCCAACTGCTGGTAGTCGTTGTAGGTTTCAGCGCACACAGGCTCTGGCGTCTCCAAGACAGCAATGATCTTCATACCCTTCTTGGCGAATGGTGGAGCCTTCTTGGACTTTCTATTCGTACCCTTCTCCAACTTATGCTTCAATTCGAGGAATGTAACCTCCTCGACGGCAGTATGCAAGTGCATGACACAAGAGAAACCGTTAGACAAGATCGACTTCAATTCGACGATAGCAATCTGAGCTTCAAACTTGGTGACGGTTCTCACAGGGTTCTTTGGAGAGGTCAACACGTAACCAGGAGCAACGTCTTCCTCCTCAACACCCTTGATCTTCATACGAATCTGCTCACCGCAAACAGCGGTGTCAACCTCTTGCTCAGTCTCGTTGAAAATGTTGGAAACCTCAATGTTCGTTCTGTTAGGCATCATCAACAAGCTGGAGTTCTTCTTGACGTGGCCAGACTCAACCTTACCTTCGACAACACAACCCATGTCCTTCATCTTGGCAGCAATTGGCAACATGAAAGGAGCGTTGATGAAACGGTTCGCCGTCTTCATGTTGTCCAAGAACTCAAGAAGAGATGGGCCCTCGTACCATGGACAGTCCTTTGGATCAACTCTGTCCTTAAGACCAGCACCAGTGTAACCAGAGACTGGCATGAAGAGAATGTCATCCTTTTGGTAGCCAATACCCTTCAAGAACTGAGCCACCTTCGCGGTACAGTCCTTGTATCTGTCTTCGGACCAGCCAACAGTAGCGTCGTCCATCTTGTTAACAACGACAACGATCTTGTTAACACCCTGGGTCTTGGCCAAAAGAGCGTGCTCTCTAGTCTGACCACCCTTTTCGAAACCGGTCTCGTACTCACCCTTTCTGGCAGAAATAACAAGAATACCGACATCGGCCTGGGAGGCACCTCCAATCATCTCAGAAACGTACATCTTGTGACCAGGGGCATCCAAGATAGTGTATCTTCTCTTGTCGGTCTCGAAGTATGCCTTACCAACCTCAATGGTCTTACCGTCGGATCTCTCCTCCTTGTTGGTATCCATGACCCACGAGAGGTACCAGCCCTGTCTACCGGCATCCTTGGCCTCTCTCTCGTACTTGTCGACGGTTCTCTTGTCAACAGCACCAGTCAAGAAAAGAATGTTACCACCCATGGTACTCTTACCGGCATCAACGTGGCCCATGAAAATAATCGAAAGATGGTCCTTACCACCGAACATGTCCTTGATGACCTCCTCGTCAACCTCGTCCTCCTGCTGTCTCACAACGGCCTCGGCGGAAGGAGTAGGAGTAGACTCCTTGGTGGCAGCTGGAGTACCAGCCTTGGATGCGGTCTTAGAAGCAGTTGTGGAAGAAGAAGCAGACTTGGCTGGAGCTGGCGTTGGAGCCGGCGTGCTCTCCTTCTTTTCCTCCTTAGCCTCAGGCTTCTTCTCCTCTTTCTTCTCCTCCTTTGGCTCTTCCTTCTTCTCCTCCTTCTTTTCGTCCTTCTTCTCGACAGTAGCGGCCTTGGTGTTGTTCACCAACTTCACAGATGAGCTGGTAGCCAATTTCAAGGTTCTCTTAGGCTTGGCAGCTGGGGTGGCAGAACCCTGCTGCTGTTTTTGGAAATCAGCCAATGACATGCCCTGAGGCTGCTGCGGTTGTTGTTGTTGTTGGTAGTCACCGTATCCCTGGTACTGGTTGTAGCCTCCATTGTAACCACCATATCCCTGGTTGTAGTTGTTTTGGTATTGGTTGTAGCCCTGGTTGTAGTTGTTGTAGCCACCTCTTCCAGAACTGTAGCCTCCACGGCCACTGTTACCGTAGTTCTGGTATTGGTTGTAGCCCTGGTTGTACTGGTTGTACTGGTTGTAACCGCCTTGTCCCTGCTGGTACTGGCTGTAGCCACCCTGAGGCACAAATGTCTGGGTGTTAGGGTTGTAACCCTGCTGGTTCTCGTCCAAGCTTTGCTTGCTGAAGTCCTGGCTCAAGTTGTCCTGGTTGTACTGGTCCGACATTGAAAGCTGTAGCGATGAAGCTGGACAATTTTTTTGATTTTTTATGTCTTGCGCAGGCACGTGAGCTCCAGTAGAGATTTACGAAAGCAGATCCACATTCAATTGAAAGGCATTTAATTGAGAGGCATTAATTGTTTTTACGTTTTTCTTGCGGTTGTTTTGCCTACTAAATCTTCAATTGCCCTGTTTAGAGGAAGGGTGAGGAGGGTCTCACTTACCGTGAGAATACCGTGCATTCGGGCACCAAACGATACTGATCTGAGGCATAAGGCGAACAAGGAAGCATATTGATCGATTCGAGGATTTGATTCAAAGTTGGGTTACTATAGCTTCGTGAAATAGCTCAATTGAGTGGGAATTTTGGTCTTTAAAAGCTGTGCGTTGCTTCTGCTCAACTGTAGACTGTATCAACATGAGAGTGCTGTGTTCATCAAAAGTGGCAATTTCCATAATTTTCGGTTGCTCGTCATGACTTTTGTCTGTCTATGACTGAAGAAAGTTAGCTCCTTACTGAAAGCTTCCTCAAGGATCAACGTTCTCCGAACCCATTGTTAATGGCTGCGAAAAGTGAAGTTTATGGGAAATCGCCATTCACACCCTCTATATGACGTGAAAGACCTGCCAAGACAAACAATTCAACATTTTTAAAGAGCTTCTCGTCTAACGTATTGAAATTTCGACGAAATTCGTCGATATCCAAGAGATGATCACGTGATGTGATTTCTTTGAACCCAACAAGCCAACCCCACATCACCTTGAAGTAAAGGCTTCGATCAAAATAGGAACGAGCTAGTAATTGTTTTTGTATCCCGTTATTAATTTTCCCCGGATCTTTAGCCCCTCTGGTGCTTTCGTCGAAATTATAATTTTACATGCACTCCTCAGCCTCACAATCACCCCTCCGATCCCCAGATAACGAAACTGCCCCACCACAATTTCAGGTCCCTAGGACAACTCAACAACATGCCTATCTTCGGAGAGAAACCACACACCTCAATTACGGTGAAAGTGAACCAACTCTCTAAGCCAAATAGGAATGAAGATTTGGAGGACGACTCAATTGAGCTTTACTTGTCTGACTTGATTCTGCTCATAAAGCTTCAGCCAGGTCCTGGTCCTTCGGAAGCTGCAAGGGCAATTCGTAAGAACATCAAGTACGGTACAACAGTCCAAACTCAATTGAATGCTTTGCAAATCCTTGAGCTTCTTGTGCTTAACTCAGGGCCGAAAATCGGCCCTGTTTTGGCCTCAGACGATAAGTTGCTTGATGTCTTGAGGGGCATTATTACTGGATCAGGCTCCACAGGTACTGGATCAAAGTATGACAAGGCAGTTCAGAGCAAAGCAAGAAATCTTGCAATTGGCTGGAAGCTGGAACTCGAAGGTTTGGATGGCTACAAGTATATGGCAAGTTTGTGGAAACTGGCTGGAGGCAAAAGAAGGGCCCTGGGAAGTCACCAACGTGGCCACAGGAGAACCACGAGTGCTTTTGGCGACGAGAATGCTTTGGACGAGCCAGACCTCTTGGATAGGGATGATGAACTTCCAACTAGATCTCCAAGATCCCCAAGGACAACTCGTTCTCCACCCCCGTCTAGACCTGCCAAAAAGTCGCCTCCACCACGTCCTGTGCTGGCCTCGCCTTACTCGGCAGGAAGACCAGTCGAGGATAAACCCAAGAAGAAGAAGGACAAGTCTAAGAAGAAGAAAAAGAGATCCAGAAACGGCATTGTGTATGCTGACGAGCAATTCAGAATCCCTCAAATTAACTACAAAGTCGAGGCTCCAAAAATCAGAAACGTTCTCTCAGAGTGCCAAACGCACACAAGTGCGTTGAACAACGCCCTCCTCACAATACCACCCGGTACAGATCCTTTGGACGATGAAAAGGCTGGAAAAGAGTTTGAGAAATGTAGGAAGGTCAGAAGAAAGGTTCTTCAATACTTGCAGTTTGTGGGTGCCGGCGACCAGTCATCCAAATCAAGGGAGACTATTCAAATGGAAGAGGAGTTTTTGGGCTCCTTGATCATGGCCAACGAGCAGCTCGTCGGCACGTTTACTCAATTCGACAAGGCATCTGGCTACACCCCGGAAAACCCAGGTCCTCACCATTACGATGCAGCTAGTGACAGTGATTCCGACGAGAGCTACTATTCAAGCGACACTGAGGAAGAGGAAGAGGAAGAGCCTGTGGAGGATTCTATAGAGCTGAGGCTCGAATCGGCTCGAATTCTGGAGGGAACTTCCTCAAAGCTACAGGAGGCAGTCAGAAACTCACCTCCAGTGCCACAGAAGCCAGCTAAAGAAGCGGCTGCAGAGCCAAAAGACCTGACTATCCCAGAACATCCAAAACTCAAGCGAGTTGCTACGGATGCCACAGGAGTCTCTGTGGGTAGTGAGGACCCCTTTGGTGACAAGCATGAAGTCTCCAGTACATACTAGTATGTGCCGAGGATGTATCACATTGTAATATGATTGCCTAATGCATTTGCGATTGGCAAAGCTAATTCAGAGCTAACAATGCCCACATATCGTAGGTAGACCGTAAAATTCATTCCCTGTCGACAATAAATGCACATTTCGATAACCGCACTTTTTCCCTTGTATTGGCCTATTCGCATCTACCTGGGGTATGCAAATCTTAAAGATCAACACATTCTCAAAGCTCATAAAACCCTTACAGAATTTTGCTTCATACAACTTGTTCTTCACAATATGCCCAATGACTTCCGGCCCCGATTTCACAATCCCGTGCCACTCCCATCGATAGACGATTTCCGTCTATCTACTATCCTTCTGAAGCATGTCAATGAGGAGAACGAGGCAGTCAAGAAGGCACTTCTAAATGTCACCGAACGCCATCAGGATGATCTCAAGCAAGAGATCAGGCGCCTGTTGACAGTCGAGCAGAAAATTCAATACCTCAATATAGATGTCGCCAAAAGAGCACATCTACTACGAAGAAAGGTCGCAAGCAGAAAGAGGAGGCTAGAAAAAGCCATCGAGGGTTTGAAAAACGACAAAGACGGATCGCTATATGCTGATATAAGGGAACTCATGACTCTGGCAGTGCTGGTAAGTGCTCAAGTTCAGGGCTTAGCGAATCTGGCTCTAGAATACGAGCGCTCGAAAAATGGCCCACTTTCAGGACCTGATCCTCACAAATACCCAAGACTAGCATCATTTTTCGGTACAGGCACCGAATCCGTCGATGTGGACTCGACAGAGAGCGAGGTGGTGGATGGGTACATCGACAACAGAGATCACCAGCTTCACCATAGGGACAGTCATGAGTCCCATTTTGACGACAGTTTCGACAGTGTGTCCAACGGATTCCAGACGGCATTCAGCGAGCCTGCATTCCCCAAAAATACCACAGGGGACGGCTCAAACTCGGGCGATCTTAGTCCTGATGATAACGAGCTAGGTGCTTCCTCCTCCGAGGAAGAGCAAAGTGCCCCACCGTCGCCTAAAACAGCCGAGGCTGAGCTTGTCAAAGAACCTAGTCCCGAAGAAGTGACTGCCGAAATGTTTGAACAGATCATGGATATGAACATTTCGAAGTATAGGCTGCAACGACAACGCAAATACGACGAGCTTGATCTTTTCGGGCCTCAAGTCACACTGGCACACCCATCTACTGCACCCAAAAATAAGTCCAACCCATTACGATTGCTATATTCTTCACTGGCTTTAGCCAATAGCGACATGCTCAAAGCACGCACCGTGGAAGCGGAATCGCTCAAGTCACCATTCGTCAATTCCAAATCTGTGGCCACGGTGCTGCCAACCCCGCAAACATCACTTCATAAGAAGTTGAGAATCAGAGTGCAGCCATTGCGGTATAATAAGAAGAACGACAATTGTTGTCAGGAGTCTGAGAGAGAAGGGGAGACCAATATCGATTCATCGCCAGCAAAGGAGGCACTCACAAAAACGCTTAATAATTTCCTGGATTCAGCAATTGCGGAAGATCAAGATAATGAGTTGGACGACGATGTATGGAACTCCTCGGCGTATCAGACAGATACTGATGAGGAAGCGACTAGCAGCTCAGAGGATACGGAGAGCCAAGAAGCATCAGTGGATAATCCCCTCGATATTTCTGCTGAAGATTATCAATCGTTTCGAAAGGATTTGGCTAAAGCACGTACGAAGAAGAGCCAAAGAAGCGTTATCGAGAGTCCCATGCGAGAGTTCTCGCCCACACCAAAGCATCAGCCTTCTCATCGAACGCTCAAACCCAAGGGTTCCATTCTCAAAATATCGAATGGCACAAGGCGCAAGAACAAGGCTACGTCGTTTCTGCGCAGTCAATCTAGGAATTGCATCACCCTGGTCAACGGGCTGCCTTTGAAAGCTAGCTCTCCGCTTCCTGAAAGTGCAGCTCACACTCCGTACAGAGCGAGTCCGCGAGCATCATTTGTCAATGAGGTATCTGCATTGGGCATGATCCTCGGTAGCGAACCACCAAGAGCAGAGGAGTCTGAGGACGAAAACAGGGACAATAGCATCGAAGATGAGGAGTCTCTCGACAACGAAAGCGCCAAGTCTGACAACAGAGACGGCGGCGACTACAAAAGTATTGATCGGTTACGGAGTTTATTAGTTTAATGCAAATGGGAGGCCACTGTGAGGGCCAGTGACCGGATGATTTAATGCTATGCTAAAAGAGCCAGACGTAGAAGCACCAGACGAAGAAAATGGCGAAAAATGCAAGCCACATTTTCCACGAGATTCCAGCTCGTTGGCTCATGACCACCATTTTGTTGTAAGTGTTCTTCAAGGTGACCTTACCCTTTTCAAAGTTGTTCGTGATTTCGTCGTTAAGTTTCATAGACGTGTTGATTTGACCGCCCATCTTGACGCCGAGATTCTTGAGTGCTGCAACTTTTTGGGACATGGAGTCCACTTCATCTTCATTTTGACTCTCGAGCGACAGCAAAAAAGACTCGTTGTGTTTGGCAGACATGGACTCTGGTTTGTCGTATGGAGAGCTGATTCTCTGAGGTGTTTGCAGCCTCAGCCTGCCAGGAGTCGGCGTGTCAAAAAGTTGGTTTCTTAGTTCACGCAGGTGTGCTGCGGTCGAGTAGCGGGAGCTCATGTGTGCTGTTCTTTACGACTATCGTCAGTAAAAGAGTTGATGGTAAACTGTAACGTCGCGACCTGTGTGCAGCGGGGTATACGCTGTAAGTTTTGGTGGAGACGAGGGAGTTGAAAATAGTATTTGAAGGATATTGCTAGAGAGGTCTCTGATGGTCTCTTTTTGGAAGTAGCTAGGTGATTTTGTTTGTTGAAAGTTGTATTGTGGTTTTGTCGAGGTGTTTGAAGCCTTGCATCGATGAAACAAGTACCGAACGGCATGAAGGACTGGGGGCTCAGTTAATTTTCATTTTTGCTGATGAGGAACTCAATTAAAGAATTGCTTCAAAGGACGTATTTTGCGTGACTTTATTCTCATGTCACCGTGTTTTCCTCTTAGCCAAGACCTCGAGAAATGGTTGCAAAATGCGGGTGTAGGCAAAATGTGGGGCAAGGTGAGCAAAAGCTGAAATTGATGAATAATAGAAAGTCATCTGATAGCCTCAAAAACTCGAAGCGTTATACACATATGCAAACGAATGAATCTTGCAAAATGGCTATGTATGTCACAGCAGTATGAAGTAAGGTGATGATATCATTTCGAACATTCCGTTCATTTCACGGTCTATGGCACAAATGGCCTTTATCTTTTTACAAATACTTTATTGAGACCTCCTTGACAAATTCTGATAAATGACAGGCTTTTCTCCTCTAGTAGGTGATTCTCGATACGGGTACAATGGCTTTGCCGTTTTCGCAGCCGTCTCTCGGAGAAGGCTTCACCTGGGTAGATCCAAAAAATTTTTACCAAAAAACCAAATTCTCCTTCCCAAGATCTTTAACTCTACATTGTTAGCAAAATCTCATGTTGTAAGAATATATCAACTTCACCTTCATTTTATGCCACCCATCGTCATCTCTTATCAGACCCGCGCTTACAAAGCATCTCACGATACCACCTTCTTCATGGAGTCTCAAGAGCCGCCCAAGTCCTTGGCCTCGGTCAAGCACATCATGCTCATTCTTTCTGGTAAAGGAGGGGTGGGCAAATCTTCTGTCACCACTCAAATTGCCTTAGCCTTGGCCTTAAAGGGTAAGAACGTTGGTGTTCTCGATATCGATCTCACAGGACCTTCCCTTCCACGGATGTTTGGTGTGGAAAAAAGACAGGTCCATCAGTCCCGTTCAGGCTGGGTTCCTGTGCTGGTGAATCCTAAAACCCAGGAAACGGGATCTCTCTCGTTGATGTCGCTTGGATTCCTCCTAAAACAGAGAGGTGATGCTGTGGTATGGAGAGGACCCAAGAAAACAGCCATGATCCGCCAGTTTTTGAAAGACGTGGTGTGGCCAGACTTGGACTACCTCCTTATAGATACGCCACCAGGCACTTCAGACGAGCATATTGCCATTGCAGAGGAGCTACGGTGGGCTCTGCCGGTCGATGGAGCTGTGATTGTTACTACACCGCAGCAGGTGGCCACGGCAGACGTGAGAAAGGAGATCAATTTTTGTAAAAAAGTGAACTTTGCCATTATTGGCATTGTCGAGAATATGAGCGGTTTTATCTGCCCCTACTGTGCCGAGTGCACCAACATATTTCTGAGTGGAGGAGGCCAGCAGCTCTGTGAGTCGCTACAGCTAGATTTCTTGGGCTCTGTGCCCATAGACCCTACCTTTGTTGAAATGATAGAAAACCAGGACACTACGGAAGCCGAGCGCTCCGACAAGAAGCTCTTGCAGTTGTACAAGTCTGCCAACTTGTTCCCCGTTATGGATGGAATCGTTGACAAGATCTTGGACAAGAACTTGCCTGCAAGAGTGTAACTACAGCATATAGATGATGCAAAGAGGATGATTGTGCTGCCGCCCCGGGGCCGGCACTATAATGTACATTACTCGATACCGTTGGCCTTCTTCCACACGGCAATCTTTTTCTTCAACTGGCCCTCCGACAAGAACAAAGGATTGAGCTTCTTGTCCCACTTCATTTTGTCGTAGTCATCGCCGTATTTCTCGTAAAGGTTTTGTAGGATGATCTCCTCTTCCTCTTGAGGCTTGGGTGCCTTGACTTTACCACCATACTTCTCATTGTACTCCACGAGATCGTCGATGATGCTATTGTCTGCTTTATCCTCCTTCACGGGCGCCGTCTTCATGGTACCGTAGATGACCTGCACCACCTCGTTTGTTTCTGGATCACGGATCAAACGGGCTTCACCTTCTGGAATTTTCAGTGGATCAGTCTCGACTGCCACATCTTCAGGAGCAACATGGTTGATCTTTTCCTTTGCTTTCTGTTCTTCCCGCAGCTCCGTAACTGTCTTGTAAACATTCTCTTGGCCACCGTTGTACTTGCCCAATCGAGAGGTGAGCCCTAGCTTCTCATAGTTCTGTTTAAGCGTGAGTTTCTTATCCCACTTGGCAGCGAGAACTGGATGGTGTGCAATCTTTGGTTTTCTCTGTGAATCCTTTGTACGTTTCGTGTTCTTGGCCACCGACGAGCGGGCCATCTTTCTCTTTCTGACCGAAACCATGCTGAATTAATAGATAAGAAGCTGGATGGAGATTTCCTGAGCATCTTTTCGATGAGCCTGCGATGCTCTATGTGGTGCACGGGTGTGCTACCGATAAGGCCCAGTCTACACAATAGTTTCACGTAAATTGCATTAGGTCATGATCTAAGCGATTGATGCTGATTGTTCTTCGGTTTTTGGCGTGGTTTCAGTGGGTGCGGAGCTTCCTCTGCCGCCACGGCCTCCTCTGAAACCTCCTCTAAATCCTCTACCCCGGCCTCTACCTCCACCTCTGCCTCTGCCTTTTCCTCTTCCTCTGAAAGAGCCCCTGTTTGAGTCAGAATCACTTCCTCTAGCGGAATCAGATGGCTCCTGATCTGGCCTGACGACCTCCTTCTTCTTCACCAGAAGAGGCCTCAGCCAGAATTCCGCCTTATCAAGCTTCTCGATGGCTCTTTCAACGCTCTCCTCATTTTCAAACGTGACGAAGCCATATCCGCAAGGCCGCCTCGTCACGGGTTGAGAAACTAGCTTGACTTTTGTAATAGGTCCAGCGAAGCTAAAAAGGTCTTCGACGTGGCGAGGCTCGACTCTGAAATTCAAGTTTCCAACGTAGATTGTCCTTGTTGCAGGCCTGTACTCTTCTGGCATTTTCGATTGTCCCTTTTCTTCTATTGCTACTCCGTTGGGTCTCTCGTCTCCGGCTTCATCGTCCTCGGAGATGTCAAGATCTGTTTTGGAGGATTCACCATTGCTGGACTCATCAACCGCGGCAATGGATTCCTCAGTAACTGACTTTTGTAATTCAGTTGCTTCTCCTGCTGGAATCGAACTCGTAGCCGTCAGGTCTTCAATGACACTCATTTTGGTAGGAAGAACCGTGTTGGTTAGTTCGTGATTCCGGTACACAGCCTGAACGTGGAGTTCAAGGTGCGGCTACGAATAGGTCCCTAGAGTCTGGTATTCTCCTAAAAAGCCCTAATTTCTCCGTTTACTCTTATGCCTCGACAAATGCTCTGTATGTCGTGAATGGCTCATCGGTAGACGATGACTCCAACTCGACCGCCGTCTCTGGAGCGACAAAGTAGACATATCCTCTCTCCACCTTCTTGGTCTCACCGCCCTTGACACGAATGGTACCGTTACCGTTGGTAGCAATAACCACAGAGGGACCGTTGAAACCATCGAATTCCTGTTTCTGGCCAGCCTTCTTGTCGAAAATGGTCTGCAAAACAGCGAACTCGGCAATTGGTGGGTCGTACAAGACCGACTTGACGGCGTCACCTCTGGAGCGCTCGAATGGCAACAATGGCATCTTCTGCTTTTCCACGGACTCGTAGGAATACGTCAACATATCAACCAAGTTCTTGACATCCTTGAACTTGGGGGTAAATCCGGCTCTCACGACGTTGTCACTGGCAGCCATGCACTCGATGATATCGCCCGAAATGTAGGCGTGAGGGTCCTTGGCTTGCAAGAACATGGCCTCGCCGGCATTGAGCAAAACGTGGTTCAATAACAAGCAGCCACAGAACAAGCCAATGTCTTTGGGGAACTGTTTGTTCAACCTGAGGATCAAGTTGGCCAAGTTTGGTGCCAATTGGTCGAAAAGGGCAGGTTGCGTCTCTGCTTTCTCAACCAACTTGGTGGCTTTCTCCTCAATCGTCTTGTCGTCGGTGTTCATCAACGCACCGAACACCTTTTGAAGGAGCTTTCTGTTCAGCTTGTCGTCTTCAGAGCCAACCTCGACGTTAGGCTTGATGTTGTTAATAAACTCAGTGGCGATCTCAGAGCCCACAATCTCGTAAAGCTCTGGAACGGCCTTCAAGGTGGCAGCGATCTGGTCCAAAGGCTTGAAGCCGCAGAAACCTTCGAAGTCAGTGACTGCAATGGCCATTTCTGGCTTGTGGTTGTCGTCTGGGTAGTTCTTGGGGTCGCTAGCGTGAAGCTGTTTAGCCAAAGCCTTGTCTGGGTGAGCCTGGATCGACAAGACCTTCTCGATAGACAAGACCTTGAACAAGAAAGGCAACTCCTTGTCAGAGCCAAACTTCTCCACCACAGAGGGATGCAAATACAGGTTGGCGTCAGAGGAAACGACGTCTCTCAAAACCTGGCCCGAAAGCTTATTGTCGTCCACAACCTTTGAAGGAACAGAAGGGTGAGTGCCCATCCAAAGCTCAGCGTACGGCTTGAACTCGTCGATTTTGGTCTCAGGGTTCGATTTGGCAGCGAACTGAGCCACGGCTGAAGATGAGCCGACCTTGCCCCAGTCGTAGTTCTGAAAGCCGCAGTCGATTCTGAAAAGCTTGGACATGACGAAAGATATGCTGTAGTTCTGGTTATTTGAAGGGAAAGTCCCAGGGTGTCAGTAAAACGCGAGACTAAAAAAAAGTGTTATGGTATATTTTTCGTGGGTATTGGCGCTCATGCACGCATGCACTCCTGACAGCTTAACATAGCCTATAGCATCGGACTTCACTGTCATACCTTCCGAGCAGAATCACAATGGAATGGAGTTTTGGAACTTCATGAGGAGTTATTTTGGTGGTTCGCCTGGGTCTTTAAATGTCCGACGCGTCGCCATGCGCGTATTTCGTCAAAGAAGCGCTCTCGAAAGCCAGAACGGCTATTTTTTGAACTTGACAATATAAGAATCTCTAAATCTTCTTCTTCAATTGGTGCCATTTCGGCCTTGTCCGTGAGGAAACGTGGTGGCTGCAATTGTTTGTCCTGCAGGTATCACTCAAAACATCAACATTCTCTTTGCAGGTATCACCACCATGCGATCAGAATGGATCGAGACGGCATCAGGTAATCGGATTTCAAAGGATGCTACATTAAATGGAACCAAACAGATCTCGATTGGTGAGAAATGTACTATATCGCCGGGGGTGGTAATTACGGGCGACGTCGCCACCGATACTCCAGATCAATCAACCATCACCTTGGGGAAGTACTGCTTTCTTGACGAAGGCTGCTCCGTTGTTCCAGCAGAAACAAAACACCAGGGTGTCTTCAGCGCGGTTTACATCGGCAATTATACCGTCATTGGCAAGAATACCAAAGTCAGGCTGGCACAGGTGGGCAATCGGGTCTGCGTGGGTGACAATTGCATTTTGGGTGACCACAGCATAGTCAGTGATTGCTGCAGAATAGCAGACGGGACTATAATACCGCCCAAAGCAGTGATACCGCCTTACAGTGAAGTTTCAGGAGTACCTGGGCATTCACACGTGGTGGAAGGAATCAGCCCTGGTTACAGAAAACTCTTGGAGAATAATGCTCGCTTGAGACAAGTTCAAGGATGATTTAGTCGTGTTTTTCTGTAACATTGCCAATGATCCCTTTTCCCTTCAGCCCGATTTTGCTTCTTCTGATAAACCTCATGGCAATCTTGTACATGACGTAGAAGCCAATGAGTAAGAAAATTACACCGAGGGGACCGTGCTGGTAGATTGAGTCGAGCGTTCTGAACCAGCTGGTAAATGGGCTTGCCGCTAGCTTGCGCGTGAAACCCGAAATCTTTATGTCTTTTGTTAACTTAGTGTCTAGGAGATGCAATAAAACTGGACGCAATTTTGCTGGCTCCACCGTGAGCTTTTCTCCTTGCAAGGAACGATCCCAGTAAAATTTGGTATTTTTGGAGACGACAATCGAGTCGCCAGGCTTGTAGCCTTCCCCGTCAATATCCCAACCAACATATTTCGCCAAACCAGGGTGCGCTTTCAAGTCAATGTACACGAAAAGGGCATCGTCATGGTCAAAAAGATGTGGAACTTCTGCTTTCATAGCATTAATCACCTCGAGCGGCTCAGCTCCCTTCTCCTTGAGAGCATTGATCCTATCCCACTTTGCGCTTCTCTCCTCAGTCAACAGTTGGAAGTAGTACTCTTTCTTCAAAAACAAGTACTCATGAGCCACCAATGATATGTTGTATAATATCTCCTTAAACTGGTCCTCTTTGTCGCTGTCGACAAAAGTGACGACAATTTTGTCATCCATCTTATCCTTCACGTTGAAGTACCATTGAATGTATTCTGGGGTCAATTCTTGGAATAAAGGAAACATGTTTTTCAGAACCCACGCTTCGAGTCTTTCAGGATTCCTCATGTCCTCCGGAGAATAGTTTTGGAAGACTGTTGGGACCATGGAGTTTTCCTTGAACATATAAAGAGTTGGTTTGTTCGTCAATGTGGTTGCAATATGTAGAGGGCGATTATACTTCACATCTTTGAGGTCTTCGTCTGTGCGAATGAAGTCAACCAACCCTTTGGACTGATATTCCAATGTTTCCTCGAACTTCACTGATCCGGATCCGTATAAGCGTATGTTGAATGGCAGGGATGTCACCATTTCAAGAAGGTGCGGAAGAATGTCTTTGTCCTCTTTGGTTATTTTCTTCTTGTCGAACGCAAAGATGAGAGCAACTCTGGGGTCCAAGGGGAGCTCAACACTCAAAGGCTTTTCTGGCTTTTCGGTGACAAAAAGATCCAAGTCCTCGAAGTGACCGGCGGTGGCGATTTCGTATTGAGAATTGAGCGCTAATTTCTGAATCCATTTCTTCATTGATTCAATGTCCATTCCCCGGTTGTAATCGAACCTGATTATACCAGTATGTTTTGGCAAAAACATGGCATATTTTGGTGATTGACGTAAGTCGGAGCTCAATTCTGGGAAGCCGAGTTTTTCACACAAAGCAGGGTTTGACTTACAATTGAGATGGCCTGCTTTGGTGGAGCTGACGATCAAGTTAGACAATCTGTCCCAGTCACTCTTAATTCGCAAGCAGTCCATGCATGTTCTGGAAAACTTTCCAGACTCCCATTCCTTGTCAGTAGAGGAGAACATGCCGATAAACCATGGCTCTTCCATTTCTCCGGCCACGATGTTTAATGTGGTGTCAGTGTCGAGAAGCTGAGACGATGAGGGCATCGAGCCGGAACCATCGCCAAATTCAGCCGCCGTCTTCTTCATGAACTTTTTGAAATTTTCGGGGTTTTGTTTGAGTGCACGAGGAAATGAGTCCACAATCTTCGCCTTACCGGTATGTTCTCCCTCGGCATTAAGTTCTGGCACGTAGACTCTCAAGTTGGGATAGTAAGACACGATTTCACGTTCACAGAGATCACCGCTTTCGACGCAGTTCACTTGTCTCATATGAATGCCTGATGACTGCTGACTTTCGACTGTTTCCTTGAAGGTCTGTTCCCATTTTGGTGCTAACGCTTGACAGTGGTGGCAGTAAGGAGAAAAAAATTCAATGAAGGATAAATGTTTCGAAGTGAATTCATCAAACGTTTCCATAGTAAGCAACTCGGGCATCGTCACCTCAGCATTGGTTTCAGGCGCCTCTCCACTGGTATCTTGATTTTCACTCCTTTCGGCCTCGGCCTTTTTGCCTTCAGAATTAGGCTTGATGGCGGCTGGGCTCGCTAAAGCCGAAGCTAGCAAAGGCACGCATGCTAGAAGAGAGAGCCTCATTTGACTCTTGGAGCTTTCGGAGGTAAAAAGATAGGGCGGTTATCAAGGTGTTTTGGAACTTGTAAGTTGAACACGTGACTTCTAGGCGACCTTTGCCGAGGGCAATTTTCAACTCGGCTGCAGATGGAGAGTTATATTATTTGTGGATTTGAAATAGCTTTTGATACGATTTTTGGGTGTAAAGAGATAACCTCTCGGTTCCACGATCTGCTCTTTCGCAGCCATGGGTGCAAGACACTATGCTCACTCGATGTCTCAACGTATCTGCTAGATTATTTCGAGCATCTTGAGGAATATGTTGAACTTCTAATTTTTTGCCTTCCTAGTTTATTTGCTGCTTTAGCTCTAAAAAGCCGAGTCGTGTTTAGCAAAAAGAATGTGGGGACAGATATGGATCCCCTAAAGAGTATCGTAGCCTCCGTATAGGGTGCTAAGTAGACCTTCGAGCCCCTTTTTCATAAGATCAAGAAAAACTGATTAAAATGTTCCTTTTGCAAACCCGGTTAAGTAAAATGCAAAATAATGCGTTATTGTTCCAAAATATGCCCACTTTCACTACTAAATGGTCCAGAATAAAGGCTTCTTCCTACACAGAGAAAGTTCCGCACCGCAACCAGGTTGTCTTCCTTAAGCTTCGATCTTCAGAACCAACACCTACTTTCACAATCCCACATTATGGCAGAATCAATGCAAGTCGACCTGCCTGTAATTGACGAGAGCTTGTACTCGAGACAGCTCTATGTCTTGGGTAAGGAAGCCATGCTCAAAATGCAAAACGCCAACGTATTAATAATCGGTCTTAGAGGTCTCGGTGTGGAGATCGCCAAAAACGTCGCTCTTGCCGGTGTCAAGTCATTGGGCCTTTACGACCCCAAGCCTGTCGAAATCCAGGACTTGTCTTCTCAATTCTTCTTATCTGAAGACGACATTGGCAAGCCAATCGCAGACGTGACAGCCACCAAAGTTCTGGAATTGAATCTGTACGTGCCCATTTCCGTGGCCTCAGACATCTCAGAGTCTACTTTGGTCAAATATAAGGTTGTGGTGGCAACAAACTTGTCCTTGGAAGAGCAGGTTAAGATCAATGAATTCACCCACAAGAACGACATCGGTTTCATTGCAGCCGACACGAGAGGTCTTTTCGGTCGATTGTTCGTCGACTTGGGCGAGGCCTTCCCTGTTATTGACCAGACTGGTGAAGAGCCCTTGACGGGTATCGTGTCGGACATTGAGGCTGACGGCTCCGTCACCATGTTGGATGACAACAGACACGGCTTGCAAGATGGCGACTACGTCAAGTTCTCCGAGGTCGAAGGTATGCCTAAGCTTAACGATGGCTCTCCCCACAAGATCGAGGTTCTTGGGCCTTACGCCTTCAAGATTCAGATTGACGAATCCTACGGTACTTATGTCAAGGGTGGATTGTACACCCAGGTTAAGATGCCTTCCAAACTCAACTTCAAGTCTCTCAAAGAGCAGTTGGCCGAGCCCGAGTATGTGTTTTCGGATTTCGCCAAGTTCGATCGTCCACCACAGCTTCACTTGGGATTCCAGGCCCTTCATGCGTTCCAGACGAAGCACCAAGGCAAACTACCACGTCCTTGCCATGAAGAAGATGCCAACGAGTTTTTGAGATACGTTGAAGAGTTGAATGCTCAAAACCCCTCCATTTTGGGTGAGGCGGAAATCAACAAGAAGCTCTTAAAGGAGTTGTCTTTCCAAGCCACTGGTGATGTGCCTGGCGTGTCAGCTTTCTTCGGAGGTTTGATTGCTCAAGAAGTCTTGAAATGCTGCTCCTCAAAGTTCGGTCCTGTTAAGCAGTACCTTTACTTCGACTCCTTGGAATCTTTGCCCAAGCCAGAAGACTTCCCCAGAACCACTGAAACCACCCAGCCAGTTGGTTCCAGGTACGATGGACAAATCGCTGTGTTTGGTTCTGAGTTCCAAAAGGCTATCTCCAACCTCAAGGTATTCTTGGTTGGCGCTGGTGCAATTGGTTGTGAGATGTTGAAGAACTGGGCTATGATGGGTTTGGGCTCTGGTCCTAATGGTGGTATTATTGTCACCGATATGGACTCCATCGAGAAGTCCAACTTGAACAGACAGTTCTTGTTCAGACCAAAAGATGTTGGAGGCAACAAGTCTGATATTGCAGCCAAGGCGGTACTGGCCATGAACCCACACTTGGTCGGTAAAATCGAGTCCAAGTTGGATAAAGTTGGTCCTGATACCGAGCATATCTTTGATGATGCCTACTGGGAAAAATTGGACCTTGTTACCAATGCTTTGGATAATGTTGATGCGAGAACGTACGTCGATCGTCGTTGTATCTTCTATAAGAAGCCATTGTTGGAGTCTGGAACTCTTGGCACAAAGGGTAACACTCAGGTTGTGATTCCAAACTTGACTGAGTCTTACTCAAGCTCCCAAGACCCTCCTGAGAAGTCCATCCCATTGTGTACCTTGAGATCTTTCCCCAACAAAATCGATCACACCATTGCCTGGGCCAAGTCATTGTTCCAGGAATATTTTGCCGACTCTCCTGAAACTGTGAACTTGTACTTGAGTCAGCCAAACTATGTTGAACAAACCTTGAAGCAGAACCCAGACATCAAAGGTACCTTGTCCAATATTGCTCAGCTCTTGAACAACAGACCTTACACTTTTGAGGACTGTATCAAGTGGGCAAGAATTCAGTTTGAAACCAAATTCAACCATGAGATTAAGCAATTATTGTACAACTTCCCTGAGGATGCAAAGACTTCCAATGGTGCACCATTCTGGTCTGGTCCAAAAAGAGCTCCAAAGCCATTGGAGTTTGACATTGAGGACCCAGATCACTTGAACTTCATCATTGGTGGTGCCAATTTGTTGGCTTTCATCTATGGCTTGAAGGAGCAAAGTGTTGCTCCTGAAGACTACAAGAAGGTATTGGATTCCATTGATGTCCCTGAGTTTACTCCTAAATCTGGCGTCAAGATTGCCGCCAATGAGCAAGAGGCCGAGGAGCAGGCTAGGCAACTCTCTGGCTCTCTTGACGAGGAAGAGATCCAGAGGATCGCTGCAACCTTGCCCGAGCCATCAAGCTTGGCAGGCTACAGATTAACCCCTATCGAGTTTGAGAAGGATGATGACACGAATCACCACATCGAGTTCATTACCGCAGCTTCCAACTGTAGAGCTTTGAACTACGCCATTGAGACTGCTGACGCATCGAAAACCAAATTCATTGCAGGTAAGATTATTCCTGCTATTGCTACCACCACCGCTTTGGTTACTGGGTTGGTTTGTCTCGAATTATACAAGGTTGTGGCTCAGCACGACGATATTGAGGTTTACAAGAATGGTTTCGTCAACCTTGCCCTTCCTTTCTTCGGCTTTTCCGAGCCAATTAAGTCTCCAAAGGGTAAGTACAATGGCAAAGAATTTGATCAGATTTGGGACCGTTTCGAGCTCGAGGGAGACATCACCTTGAAGGAGTTGCTCACTCACTTCGAAGAAAAGGAGGGCTTGGAGATCTCCATGTTGTCTTACGGCGTTACGCTATTGTACGCCTCCTTCTTCCCACCAAAGAAGGTCAAAGAGAGATTGAGTATGAAGTTCACTGACTTGATCAAGACCGTTAGCAAGAAGGATTTGCCCCCTCACGCAAAGAGTTTGATCCTCGAGGTCTGTTGCGACGACAAGGAGGGTGAAGATGTTGAGGTTCCTTACATCAATTTGAAGTTATGAGTCTAGAATATAATACACAATCCTGATGAGTATTAGCCAATCTGCTATGTAGTGAGTCTCTTAAACTCGCCCATTTGAGAACTGAGTGTCTCAAAGTCACCATCCTGATTCACTTCGCCATCTTTAAGCACGAGAAGTCTGGGAAGATGCGACATCATTTCAACGTCATGAGTTATGACCACAATTGCCAAGGCAGGATTTGATTGATGAAGCTTGGATATGATGAGATCGGTAATAATGTCGGCATTTGCTTGGTCTAGATTAGACGTACATTCGTCAAACACAATCATCTTGGGTTCACGAATAAGAACTCTTGCAATACACAATCTCTGAAGTTGGCCAGACGACACAGTTCTCTCGTCGAGAACAGTATCCAATCCGTGTTGCATCGAAGATACCAAATCCCAAATGTTACATAGCTTGAGGCATTCGACCACAAAAGCCTTGTCGATAAAGGCCTTATCCACACCGTACAATAAGTTCTCCCAAATGGAACCTTCAAAAAACTTTGGTCGCTGTGGTACAACGGCAACATTCCTTCTGTAGCATAATGGGTCTAACGTTTTCACCGGTTTCGATTCATATTTCACGAGGCCTCTATCACAATCCATGAGACGGCCCATAAGCAGTGCAATGGTTGATTTCCCACTTCCCGAAGCACCAACAATGCCCACAACCTCACCTCTCTTGATACTGAAGCTCAAGTCTTGAAGTACCTTCTTTTGCACCGAGTCAGACTCTTGATATCTGAAGCTGACGTTCTCAAAACTCATGACGTTTTCGCTTTGGATGTGCTTATGAATTTGGTCCGTACCAGAGGTCTCGATTGGCGAAGCTGTAAGCGAAAGAAGTTGAGCGAACAAGGTTCCAGCTCTTTGTCCTCTTGCAATTTCAGGAAGTGAACTCATTAAGGTTGAAGCAGATGCCATGGTGAATGTGAGAAGCGTCAACACCTGAAGCATAGACTCATACGAGTATTCCATGCTGGCGACGAGATATAAGCCGTAGTAAAGAATAGCACCTGTTGCAATACTGACACACATCTCCAGGAGAGCAAATCCAAGACCAGTAATACAAGCACGAAGCTTGGCCACAGAAGAAAGCTCACTCAACTTCGTTTTCAAGCCAGCTTGGAAGTCATTCTCGACTCCGAATGCTTTCACAGTCTTGACTCCCAGAACAGCATTATGGTTGAACTTCTCGACTTCCCCCACTTTGTCCTTGTACCTCGTCTCGAACTTCAGCAAGAACAAGCCATATGAAACCGTCACCAACAAAATTAGCGGAACAAATGCTGTCCCGACTAGAGCCAATTTCCAGCCCGAGACAATTGACCAAATCAAACCCAAAAGTGTCAAGGCGATAAGAGAGAGCACAGCAGATAAGAATTCGGAAACCAAGTTGCGCAAGTCTCTTGCATCGTTCATCAATAATGCAGTCAATTCTGCTGGCTTCAGATACTTCCTCGAGAAAAATGACATATCTTGGTCGTTGATGATAACCAATGCCTTCTTTCTGAGGTCCACAACCCATCTTTCTGACGAGAAGGCCAACAAGAAATGTGAAGTGAAGTAAATGGCGCCGTCAAACACAATAAGCCCAATTACTATTGACGACCAAAAGAATGCTCCTTTTTCCTTCGAAGTAAGCTTGGTAGATTGGTCCACAACATTCGAAAGCAATTTTGAGAAGCAGAATGATAAGACTGGTGTGATGATTCCACTCAACAACGACAAAAGTAACCCAATCATTATAAGAAGCTTGCTTTGAATGGAATGGTAACAATGCTTCAAAACTGCAAACACACTGAGGATCTGAAGCTCATCACTGTTTGAGCCGTGCTCCAAGTCCTTGGCTTTGTTGGGCCCATAGTTAAGCCCATCGGTGAAGATCGACTCACTATCCTCCAAAGAGCTGAACTTCTCAAGAGAGCCAGTCTTCTGCTTTCCAAAAGTATCTCCTTTTTGTTGCTTATATTTCTCCACCTCACCGTTCATGAGACTAAGCACGTAGTCCCCATCTGCTATATCCAGCAACTCATGAGACACAATTATTGTCAACCGATCCTTTCTCCATTTTCTGATGTTCTCGTATAACTTTTGTCTCGTAATCTGATCAACAGCACTCAAGGCCTCATCCAATATAAGAATTGGACTATTTTTCAAGTAAGCTCTAGCAATTCCAATTCTTTGCATCTGACCACCAGAAAGGGAAGATGATATTTTCAGATGAATCCCATTTTCCAAAGATCTGACAAAAGTTCCAAGCTCGGCAAAGTCACAGGCCCCCATGGCTTTTTCCTCCAGTATTTCTCTGCTTCCGAGTGCAATATTCTCATACACCAGCTTATCGAACACAAGTGCGTTCAGCTCGACCAAGGTGATGAAGCTTGAAACCTGGGTTTCACTCAACAGGGAGATGTCCAATCCGTCAATTGATATTCTTCCTGATGAAGGACTGTAGAACTTCATTAAAAGTGAGACGAGTGTAGACTTGCCGCAACCTGAGGGACCCACAATGAATGTAAAATGTTCATTGGAGATTTCAGCTGATACGTTGCTGATGTTTGGTTTTTCAGAGGCCCCATAGTTAAAGCAAACGCCTTCAAGTTGTAAAAGTTTGCCCGAAAGTATCGGATCGAAGATCACCTCGGGATCTTGGATACTTTTGTTCTCGTCTTCTTCAAATTCCATGAATTCGGCGATTGTGGATGCCGCAGCTTGACCTTTATTGAGTAAAGCCAACACATTTGCCACAGTCGACACATGTGTTCCCAATATGAGACATGAACTGAAAGCTGTCAAAACCTGACCCACTCTGAGCTTGCCGATCGAAACCATGTAGGCACCAAACCAGAAGCCTTGAACGAAGATGAGGAAAGATAACACCCTCAAAATCAGTTGGTTGGAGCCGATTGAAAGAGACATCTTTATGAAAGCTTTAGCAGACTTATCGACAATCTGGTTGAAACTCACCAGGTCTCGATACTTGCCATTGAGTAAACGGACAAGGTTACCAGATACGAAGGACCAGTCCAAAATCTTTGAAGCTTTGGCACTAAGATTATTTTCTTCATTTGCAAAACGAAATGTCAATCTGCCAAAGATAATGCTCGAGAGGGCCATGAGCGGAGCAGAAGCCATGATTACCAAGGTTAGCGACCAAGACGAAATAAAGGCAGATACAAGGAGAAGCACAATGGATGAAGAGCCTTGCACCAAAAGTGCAATATTCTCTGACAAGGCAACTCTAACCTCCTCTATGCAACGGTTCACTTGAGCCATGCTACCCATAAGGTTCTCCTTTTGCTCGTACCATTCGAGATTCTGATCTAACAAGTTGGACAAGAGTCTGGATCTCGCTCTTTCCTGTTGCCTTTCCCCAATGAGAAGCCACAAATGAATGCTTAGCCAGGTGAAAAACATCCTCACCACTCCGACAACCATAATGAGACCGCACAAGAGCCGTATATCTGCAACAAAATCACCCATTCCATCGTAACCACCTGTGATGTATTTCGTGAGTTTGTCAAAAGCTTTACCGTAGATTTGCGTCTGTAATGGTGACCCAGCTGATGCTATCACCATTGTGAGGAGCCCAGAAATGAAAAATGGAATATCGCTTTTGGTTGCAAACATCAAAAGTCCGCCTTTTCTGGATGGGGCGCCAGTCCCCGAATCATCATTGACTGTCATTTTTTCAAAAATTGATTGACCTTATTTCCAAATCCATCCTTAACCATTTTATAGATTTCGTTGTAAATATTTTTGGTTTCATGAGTTTACCGTTTTTGGTCTCGCAATGGTGTCGGACACAGATATTATCTGCATAATATGTGGTGCATCAGAGATCGGCGATTATGCAAGCACTCAAGATTTAAAACTACTAATTGGATGTTCGTATAAGACATTAGCATATATACCACATAAAAAGACACAACATGTCGGGGTTGTGACTCAGTATATAGGAAAGAGCGTAGCCAGGTATTCCATATCGTCCAGACTATTTGTATTCTTTTCACTAGATTTTCTCTTCCTGGCAGCCTCTCTATTTTTTCTGGCTCTGGACACTGCCTCTATGCCGCTTCCTCCACCAAATTTTACAAGACCTCTGAAAAATAAATCCAATTTCTCGAAATCGTCCTCGCTATCCGTAAGGTCAATCGTGACCCGAAAGGGTAACTGTATCATGATTGCCCTAAAATCAAAAAGGGATTTGGAGAGCCAGTAGTGCTCCAGCTCTGCCACCACTAAATTTCTGTCGTAGCTGGGATCTGACTTGAGTTTCAAGAAAAACATGAGTTTCATGGTCTGTTCCACAAGACGTTTGATCATTGGATGACTTCTAGGTAGATGTAAAATACCTGGAGATGTGTACACTTTAAGGTTGAGAACCAAAAACTGAGACCTCAAAGCGACATCACAATAAGAGTAATGCTTGACATCATTGAGATCATCAGTGTCTTTAGCATACGCACTTCTGGGCAAGTATATTTTGCGTGCCATGTCAGTAAAATCAGGATGTGCTGGATGATCACGAGGAATTAGAAACTGGTCCTCGGCACTTAGTCCTGGTATAATACGTTGCTGAGCAACGATGTTAACTCGTGAAAGTAGTTCTCCAATCTCCTCCGGGCTGGCCTGTTTCAGCTCACTCTCGTTGACTCCTGCTATTATGTCTAGAAGCTTGAACATGCATTGAGATGCCTCATTTGTTAAAGTCAGGAAAAGATTGAAACCCGAATGAGTTGATGACGGTGGAATAAGCACACCTAATTTACGAAGTGTTTGCTGTTGGACAAAAGCTTCACGGCCTTCTGTATTTGTGATGTCAATCAAAAGGTGAAGATCTCTTATACTGCCCTTTGTGATCTGCGAGTTCAGCATTCCCAATTTCGAGATGTAATCGAATAAAAAGAATAAAAGTTTTGCAATTGTGATCCCTAGGGAGTCGGGTTTGGTGATGTTTGCCTGTTGCTTGACTAGCTTGTACTTGATCAAGAGTGATCTAGCTTTGTTGAGGTGAGAGATCCACGAAACGGGGACTGAAGTTGCGTCGACGAGACTTATGTCACAGAATAGCACTGTAAGGATGAGAACCGTCAATATAAGTCCTTCTATGTGTCTGAGGGAGTTCTCGTTATTTTTTAAATCGGTGAAGGCTTGCACCAACAATTTCATGCAAATTGCTGAGGAACGTTTCTGATTTCTATCATGCTTGGGGTTTTTAGTGATTGTGAATAAGCATGAGGCTCCGAGAGCTATGATTGCATAAACCAAATACTTGAACATCAACAGATATTCGAGAAGAACATGCATAATCTCGTTATCCTTGGTGGTTGGCGCGAACGGATATATAAACAAGAAAAGCTCCTTGCAAGATACAGCACGGAAGTATTCGAGTTCCTCAGCTGAGAGGTTATACGTCTCGTTGACACGCTCAACAAGTTCCTCATTACTTGGCTTGTTTCGTGGTTCGTTGAGCATAGGATCACGGATATGTTCGTTGATGTTTTCCCAGAATTGACTTCCCTCGGGCTTTCGGTCAAGATCTGTACCATAACGAAGATAGTCCTGAAGCTGGGCTTCATTAAAAAGATGATTGTCGCTGTTTGCCTCATTGAGAATAATATCCGAGTGGAAGGGCTTCAAATGTGCCCCATCTGGCGTACTCTGGGCTGAAAGTTGCAGAATTCCATCATTTCCCAAGACATCAAATGTAGCCAAGCCATGCACCAAGGTGCTAGCATCATCGAGAACGTTCTCAAACAAAAGCATATCCAACTGCCCATCATCCTGTACTACATCCGGTAGTCTGAACAGGGGAGGCAATGGGGACCCAGACAAATTCGTTGAGTCGTTACTGGGGATCATGTTGAGCTGGGGTAGGGGTGAAATTCCAGAGGCTGTGGTGGTAGGTAGTCCCATTGACAGCGATCCATGTAGATGGCTGAAGCCATTGAAACTACCTCTAGGATCACTGGCGTGATGGGGAAGTCCTGTGTTTGTTGCTGAAGGAGCCGATGTGGATATACCCGCTGCGTTGGCTGGTTGTTGGTGAAAGTCATGATGCATCACGTTAGTCCGATCCTGTCGTATCTTGTCATCTTCATGTTCTTCCTGTTCTTGAGGTAGTATCGGTAGAGCCTCCTTTTTAGCCTCTTTTGCCCGGCGAGGCTTGTTCCCGCTATTTTTGGTGGGGTAGACACATGGAAATTTAACTCTTTGGCAGTTCCCACACGTAGGGTGCACTTCATCACACTTGATCTTGCGGCGTTTGCATTCAATGCACCCAGCGCGAGAGTAACGTCGTTTGACGATAACCTTTCTCGGCTCAGGACTCATCAAAATGAGTTAGTGGCGAGTCTGAAAGAAGTGAAGCACTCAAATTAAAGGTCTGTTCGAATTTGGAGAATCGAGCCGATTAGCATGCCGAGATCTTGCACGTGATCTGCTTTTAACTAAAGGAAGCACAAATTCCCCAGACTTACAGGCGATAGATTGTGTGTAGGCGAGCTATTGAGGAAATTTCACTTCCAGCGGAATTATTGTGGAGTTTTTATTTTGACAAAATTCGCTGCATTTGTCAAAGAGGCTTATTAAGAAGAATCATCGTTTGAGTGAGTGAGGCGCATTTTCCGACTATATTTTTTGCAGCTATTAGCATAGCCATGCGCCTAAACTTAATCTGGTTGGGCAAGGGGGTAGTGTTCGGATTAGTTTTTTGTTTATGAATACAGCGTTCAGTCTATAAGTCGTTGTCTCGTGTCTTTCAATTTTCACTATCGTCTCAGTTTCGCCATGAGTGGGGAGTATCCTATACTCTCGTTCATGAGGTCAAGCTCGTGTTGTGAGAGATAAGTTGGTGCCTGCTTCTTCAACTCGGCATTTGACTTTCTCAAGGATTCCATTTCATTCTCGGCCGCATTGAGTCTGTCCTCTAGAGCCTTTAATTTTCTTAAATTGTCCAATTGGTCGTAGCTCATACCACCCCTAAACCCTCCGAGTAAGATATTCGTGGCGACGAAACTACCGATTAACAAGAAATTGCACAAAAATACCAGCTTCCAACTGATGGGTTTGAGAAACTCGTTGATGATTTCACCAAATGTCTGCGCTGTGACCAATGACTTTCCTATCTTCTCCGGGTCTCTATTCATGCATTTTTCCCATTCCAAGCAGGGTACTTCTAAGGCAGGAGCTCTATGGTTAGTGGCGCATTTATTGCGGTAGAATTCTCTGGAGCATAAGCTGATTTCTCGCAATGCATCAGTGGTTGCAATCTCCATCTTGTGTCTTGTATCTGCCTTTATGGTCGAGATGAAAAGGTAGATGATGTAAAAAATAATCAGTGCAAGTAAAACATTGAAAAGCAATTGGAGGTACATCAGTAGAATGTATGGAATAGTGTAGTTATTGAGGAAGCTTGGGCGAGGATTTGTCTTATCGTCTGTGGTGTTCCCTTCAGGCTCCGTTCTGAAAACACGTTCTCCGTTATCCTCCTCGTATCTCATGACCTCTTTTGTAGGAGAAAACACCACCCTACCCATTCTTGGTGGTGTTCTCAGTGGAGGTTGAGCTCCAGGTAGCGGAGTTGAAGATGAATTCACCGGCTCTGTGAAAGTTCGTGATGGGCTTGTTTTCAATATTGACGGTAGTCTCTTGCGGACTCCGTGTGCTTCGTTCTTAGTTTGCGTTGACCAACCCGTGCCATTTCCGTATCGAAGAAGATCTTGATCGAGGGTAGATTCGGCATCGGGTAGAATGTCATTGACGATTATGGGTTTTGCTTCGGGTGTGGCATACTGCGTTTCCTCATTTCGGTTCCCAAAGGGGATCCTGAATTGTGGCAGCATTGGGTGTGGAATTATGTGAGGCTTGTGAAAGTTGGTAATCAAAATGGAATTGACCTCATTTCGCTGTTTGTTATGAGCGGTGCGGCGCGCGATGGTCTATCGTTATGCCAAATCGTTGGGTCAACCGTTGGGTGACGTCAGTGCTCAATTTGTCTCCGTCGATCAAGAATGTCAAGAATTGGGAATTGAAGAGCTGAAGATTTGTCAGGATATCATGTTTCGGTCTCTAAGCACAATCGTGGAAAATAAAAGTTGACTCCGCTCTTTAGCAGCCGTATAGAATCAAAGAGTGCTACCTCATGTGAGTCCATTTTTGAAAGGACTGGGTCGAATGCTTTAGTTATACTGTTTACTCGTCTGATCAATTTGTCTGTCTTCTGAGATCCCTTGCGCTGGTTGTCGATATAGCCTATAATCAACACACTGAGCGAGAAGGAATCCAGAGTTTGCACTCGCCGAACTCAAAAAGAATAACTTGAAGATATTGTAATTAACTCTGAAACGAAATAAATTCTATGAAATGAATCACTATTTTTATCCATACTACAGTGAATTTTACCATCATAGTTTTCTAAAACGTATATTTCATGGAATCCTGCTCGTTCGCACTATAATCACAAACTTAGACCCACTTCTGTTCATAATGCCATGTCTTTGAAAGATCGCCTTCAAGCATACAAATACAATGAAGATGAAACCATCGAATTCAAGCCAGAGAAAGTTGCTAAACCAAAAACTCTGAAGGGCAAAAAGGCACCTAAGGAACTGACTGCCGCTCTTCTTGATCTCCCACCCTCGATCGCACCAGGAATCACAGTGGTGTTCGTGGGGTTCAATCCTGGTGTGGAATCTTCGAAACAACAACACCATTACGCTCACTTTACGAATCTCTTTTGGAAGCTCTTCAATGCCTCTGACCTACTAAGAAAAGTCTTGGCTCGTCGTGATATATACATTGAAGAACATGGTTTGCTCAAAGAGCTCTACGACAATGACGCAAAAATATGTACAGCTGCTGCCCGGCACGACAACGATTTGCTAGAATATGGCATTGGGTTCACTGATCTTGTGTTACGCTGCACCAAGTCGGCTCAGGAACTCAGCAAAGCAGAAAAGGTAGCCAATGTACCTCGATTGATGCTGGAATTCAACGAGTCCAAGGCACCATTCGTAGTATTCATTGGCAAAGGGATTTGGGAAATCGTGGTACAGTTTCTTATACCTGGGTATAAGCTTACCAAAACCAATTTTGCATGGGGAAAGCAAGAAGCTTCCACAACGCTTATCCAAGCTTTCCATAAGCGTTGCCCTGAGAAACCCTCAGTGTATGTATTTCCGAATACCTCTGGATTGGTGGCTCTGATGAAGTATCCCGAGAAGCTTGCCCTTTGGAATGCACTTGTGGATGAGATTTGAATAATTATTTCCAAAGTTTGTTGAAGACATCGTCCAAGTCCTTCTCGAACTTCACCAGCAGCTCATCATTGACATTCTCGCCTAGCTGGCCGAAATTTTTTGTGAATAGCTGGTCTACCACAAAACGAATAGCATTGCATTGCTTTTGGCTGTAGCAGTCGTTGTATCTTAGTTTGACAAAGGCTCTTTCCTGCAACTCATTGCACTTGGCTCCTCGCTTAATCTGAGCCGAACAGTTATCTATTCCAAACATCAGCCAGCCATCGTAGCATTTGAGCACTGCCTCTTGAAGTTCAGCACAATTTATAGCCGAAGACTTTTGTGCCAGATATTCTCTTTTGAACTGATCAAGCTCAAAAGAGTATTCATGCTGATTTTTCTCCAATACCTTGGCTACCTGTGCATCTTTTGAAGCTAGCTCTTGTTTCTGCTTTGTCGGGCTTACCTCTTTGTAGAACTCCTGCAAATTTTCGGGAAGGTCATCGGCGATGTCCTTTTTGGGTTCGCCTGATCCGAAGGGCCACATCTAAGTATTTTGCAGATTCGAGTACCGGTATATGATTACTATGTATGCGAGAATGAGTTGGTGCACAGGTGCATCACCTATAACGTATTTTGCAGCCATTACCCTAATTTCAACTCAGCTTCTTTCGAGGGTTCCTTCAAAAAGTCGGCCAACTTCGACATCAACTAGATTGAGAAGATTATCAGCGTGGGTGTTTTTCGAGTCTCTTTGGCGTGCCAATTCGTCGCGCAAGGGCCGTAGTTTACTCACAATGATAAGTCTTAACCTATTGGCTATGGGGAAGAGACGGACGAGCTGTGTTCTGTCAAACTTCAGATGCGGATTTGTCTCGGAAAGACCATCGATGAGTAGTGATATGCGAACATCCATTTTTTGGAAGAAGGAAAAAAGCCCGAAAAGAAAGACCTCTGTTTTCCTGTCTGTGCCAATGGCACTGAGGTCATACCAATCGACCCAGTCTTCCAAATCACCCATGATCTTTATAAAATACTCTTCCTGGCCGAAAAAGGCGTGCTCAGGTGAAACCAGCACCCAGAGCACATCGACAATTTGAGCCAAGTCGGTGAGCAATTGCTGCAAAGTATACTCTTTTCTTGTCTCTGCTTGGTTTTTCACAAACTTCCGCTGGACCTGTAGAAGCTCATGATCCAAGTACGCCACGAGCTTACTCTGCTGAGCGCTATTCACGCTAGGATGGGCATCTTTCAGCAACTTTGACATTTCAGCATCGTAGGCACTCTCGAAGGGAACAGTCCACAGGGCAATTTCGACACTGGGCTCTTCGCTTTTTTCATTCTCTCCCGAGTCTGGCGGAGCCATGCTGACGTCATCGTCAGACAAGTCGTCCTCGAGGCCAGGATTGAGATCTAGGTTGTCAGCGGCCAATTGTGCCTGCGGCAATTCATTTACCTCCTGGTCTGGCGCAGGGTGGAGCGGTGTAGGAGGAGCACTCATGATGGACTAGGCGGACTTGCTGCTGATGAACCCATAGTCTGGACATGCGATATCTGCAGGAGCCGATAAGCCAGGCTTTAGAAGAATTTACTTCGATGGCGGCTCGATTGAAAAATGGAGGCGAGTCTTGCCGAAAGCAACTTTGGCGAAGTCCGGAAGCATGCTGGCGCGAGCCTTTGTGAAGTCATGGTTGCAGCGTATTTCGCAGCCATCTACGGCGGGCCACAGTTAAGTGGTTCCAGGGTCGTCACGCGATGGACAAACAATAAAATCCCCGAAAACCTATTTTGCAGATCTGGCCCACGTGATGTCGAAGAGCAAACTACGAACCGGCTATCAGGTCGCAGAAGTGACATAGCAACGACGAAAAAAGAAATAGCTTTGTGTAGCCACAGCTGAGTAGTGAGGGTTACAGCGAAACCTGCGTCAGCGGTTGCTGTCATCGTGAGCAGAGGTGAAGAGATGAAAATAGAAAAAGCCGAACGGCCAACATGGCGAGAGAATAAATAAATGAAAAGCTTTCTTTATTTTATTGTAGTTTTGCCGCGTTCTCTCATTCCTCAGCTTGGAGTGACTTTCCCGATCATGGACCCGTAGATGCCGTGGCGAACGCTGTCTGGCTGATTTTGCAGCAGCGATATGTCCGAGCGCCAGTCCGCACACCGGAGGTGAGGTAACGAAGAGGCCGCAGAGAAAAAAAGACGAGCCACTGGCGATAAGGCAACGTGATTTGAGATATCGCGATCCTTGAATTCTCGTCTTTTCCACCTGCCCACTGTTTCTGCCACATTTTCCTTTGCCCATATATTTCCCATCTAATCCACTCCTGAGGACCGCTGTGTAGCCACCGATGCCCGTTACTCAGCACATTCCCAAGCCGGGCAATGAGCCCAGGGATTCCAAGAAACCCCATCGCCTGATCATCCGCCTCAAGCCAGTGGACTACAAGCCTGAGAAACCTCGTCTCCACGATGCTACTTCTCAACGCCTGAGCCGCCGCGAGGAGCCCCTGAGTCCCTCTCCCGTTGCAGATAGTCCTCAGCTTCGCCGCAAGAGCACCTGGTCATCTGCCTCAGGCTACAAGCATATCGACAAGTACGCCGAATTTTTCATGAACGATCCCGCTGTTCACAAGGACGTGCCACGCCTCCAGAACCAGTACCTTCGGCCCAACGCCAAGTTTGTGGGCGAACAGCAGAGCGGCGCTTACCGCTACGACATCAAGGTTGAGCTCAAGAGCGTGGACTTGGTGAGCTCCATCGTGACGGGCTTTTTCCAGATCCTGGGCCTTACGGACGAACATCCGCTTATTACCACCTGCTTCAAGGGCGAAATCATCAATAATCCGCTCAATAGCACCCGCTGGCAAAACCACCCTAAGGACTACCAGATGAAGGAATACGCTTTCATTACAGAAGACAGAAACTGGGGCTCTTCCCCCAGAACGATATTGACCACTGGAGGACGCTCACCCGGGCCTCCAGCAGCATGTCCGAAGAGCATCTTCTATCAAAGTTGCGCAGCATTCATGCCGGGGACCTGGACAACCAGTACATCTACATGCGCTGGAAGGAGGAGTTTTTGTTGCCCGACCTGAGAATCAAGCAATTGAAAAATGCTTCGTTCGAGGGTTTCTACTACGTGGTGCTCAACATTGGTGGTGGCGCCAGCAACAATTCGGGCGACTGCTTTTCCTCTCGCATCATTCCCGGCACCATCAGCGGCTTGTACTACCATACCCAGAACGATAAGTTCCAGCTGCTCTCCTTGCGGTACGTGGAAGACAGGGAGAGCTCCTACACATTTGACTTTGCCTAGCTGGGCAATGCGCTGCTCAAGAGCAGTATAACGATGAGACGAATATTTTACGAGAACTTTTTCTTCTGGGATAGATGCAACTGTTGAAGTCTATTTATAAGCGTTTTTGGAATAGAAAAGATGCTAGGTTAATTACATGTTGAAGAACTGAAGACCTCCCAAACTCTAAGATGGTGTCACTTAGTCTTTCTTCTCTGCTCTCTTTGCGTATATGGCAGCGGTGTATGGCTCCTCGAAAAGCAAAGCAATCTTGTACATGACGTAGACAAAAGCTGTCACGACCAAGCCGGTAGGCTTTCCGAACCACAAAGCGGTACCCAAGAAGCACAAAGTGGAACCATTGTACATGGGGTTGTCGTTAATGTTGAATGGGAACGACGTGACTCTTTCGTCCATCAAAATACCAAAGTAGTCACCCAAGTAGGTTCCAGTGACGCCCAATGCCCACATTGACAGCAAAACGAGAACATTGCCAAAGGCGAAGGTACCTACAGCAAGAGCCTTGACCAAGGCAGACTCAACCAATGGTTGAAAAGTGGGCTGAGCCTGGAGGGCCTGGTTGTAGACATGATCACGGAAGATACCCAAGGAAAAAATCGTGAATGCCAACAAGTAACAGCCGTTTCTGGCACCTCCAGCGGCCTTGGTGAGGAAGTGGGTCTTGTGCTCAAGACGGGCCACTATGTTCCAGAAAATGGGATTGAAGGCAATGCAGCCAATTGCAAGCTTGAGCTGGCAATTGAAGTCGATGTAGTCGGCAAAATTAGTGTAAAGCTCTGTCCACTGCAGTTTGTCCATGGCTGTTAGGTTGTGAATGCACGGTGTAGAAAACGATCTGAATCAGGTCTTGATATATGGGGCAACGTTGGCATGTGATAGGTGGACTTTACTCACGTGACGCGCTAGAAATGTTGGCCCTTCCGTTAAGAGGGATGTTTGTGGCGAGAAACGGGGGAGAGCTATCCGAAATGCTATAAGAAGGCTGAAATTTCGTTAAGGGTGTTTAGGAGATGTTGCGGAGACAATGGCGGACATGTATATACTTTGGCCGAGTGGCTGCGAAAACTAGGTGGCTTTTAGCAATCACTCAAGACAGGCCGAGAGAATTTATTAATTCTAATAAGTATACTTGAGTCAGTATCATTTGGACTAAATGTTTTATTTTTATCCTGCTCATCAGTGCTAGAATGTTTCATTCGAATACGCCTCAGACCCAATCGCGCACTCGTCTATGCGGCTCGAGGTATGGCTCTTGCTTGTTCAGAACACTGTATCTAATAGCTCCAGACTACAATTTATCATCAACCAGCACTCCCTCTACCTAGTTTCCCTTAAAATTGACCAAGGCTCGGATTCCCACCCAGAGTATAGAAGACAATTGAAAAATCATGAGGCATAGAGTCACTTTCATCCATTCCAAATCCTCAGAGGAGAAGGTCGTGAACACAATCAATGATACCTATGTGGGTCTTAAAGAAGACATGGACGTCGCTCGTGAGGATCGCTTTACATTTCCCGCCCCAGAATTCAAGAACGTGAAGTCGCTACGTTTGCAAGTCAACAAGGGTTACGACAACTCGCGTGTCACACTGCCGTTTTCATATCCTTACCAGATCGGGCTGCATTTCTATGTGAAGCCGCTTGTGATTTCTTCTGTAAAGGAGAGAGAGGAGTTCTACGAAAACAGTGCTAAGTTAATTAAAGATTACTTCGGTGTTGAGCCAGATGTTCAGACCTGGATTCCTTCTCTCAGTGCTCTTTACTTCCATGTACAAGAGCCATTGGCAATGGCCTTCAAGAACGTCGAACCAAGCTTAGCTGATGCGAATGGAGATTGGTCTTGCTTAGATTACCATTCTAGCGACGGGACGTCATCATTGAAGCTCTTTTACCCAGATGCGAAGGAGAGAATCGTCGATGTAAGCAATACATCAGACTTCACGGAAGTAGGAATCTTTGCCATTGACTCACCTTCTTCAAGAGACAACATCATTCTCTCTGGTGCCAGGGTGGTCATGAACGACGAGCCCGATCAGGATTTGGTCCAGAGGACACTTTTCCACGTCAAACCAAGACACAGGTATCTCGAGCCAATTGATCTTTCTTACAAGCCAAATGGATTGCACCCGGTTATCTCCTTTGGTGATGCTCCCGAACACCTAGTGGACGAGGATATTAAGAATTGCATCCTATACTCATACTACACCCTCGAGAAGTCGATATTCCTCGATCCATATCAGATTCCCCCAGGTTTTGATATCCTTGCAAACTATGGTACAAAAGATTTGGAATTACCTGAGTATTCCATCAACCAGTGGGGAAACGAGGTTTTAGTGGAGCATAAAGATACTACTAGTTTCCCTTTCGACCTCACATTGCACACTCGTTACCAGGTACCGGATGCCGAACAACATAAACACACAGCTCTCGATAAGCCTGTTGTGTTCTACGCTTGCGAAGCTCTCGTTGACCCATATCTCTTGAACAATTCTCCGTTCGATAACAAGAGGGCACCAGGAGGAAGTTTCGAAAAGTTCTTCACTGATGACACCATTTTCTACCATGCCCTGAAGCATGGGTACTTTGATGTTGACATCCCGAGGGCCACTTTTGATGCAAATGCAACAAATATCGTGACATTACTTTCACTTCTTTTGGGAGTCTCAATTATCTTTTACAAAGTCTTCAGAAAAGTGTCCTCACAGAAGACTCCAAACTTGAAAAAGACAGAATAAATAAGTTTAATTCGCCTCTATTAACAATCTTGTATATCACCTCGATGCTCTCCTCCCTCATATATCCTATAACTCATCTTTCGTTGAAGACCTTCCGACGGGTATCACCTTATATTCAATGAACAAGTCACCATATTCGTGTTCGTCATTGAAATGAGGCATCCCGTGCCCCTTGATCACTTCAACCTCTCCGTCTATCACGGGCACATTCTTTCCTCTCTTCACTGTCACGGATTCTCCGTCAAAGAATGCAATGTTTCGGCTCCAGTCACCTGCGATAGCTTCTTTGCTTGTGAGGAGCTCTGTTCTGTAGAGATGGTTCTTAATTCTACGGAATCCCCAGTTTTCCGCAGAAGCATCTCTGAATTGAAGGTTCATGTTTCCAGCCACGAAGTCAGGATTCTGATCACCCTCGCCCTCCAAAACATGACGATGGTTACGCGGCGTACCAGGACTCACATAAACATTGTAGTGTCTCGAAACACGCTCCGTACCTTGGCCATCACATTTCTTACAGGGCTTGGCTATCGTCTGCCCTTTACCACCACACTGATCACATTGGGACTGGAACTGCTGGATTATTGGACCCATTTGTCTTCTCATCATGACAACACCACGCCCATCACATTTAGTACATGTATGTTTCTTGCCGTCTGCAGATCTACTACCCTTGCACTTGCTGCAAATGTTGTTCATCTCGACGTCAAACTCCAAATCTTTGCCTAGGAAAGCGTCCTTCAAGGTCATTTCCACGTTCACTTGAGTGTCGGGACCCTTTTGGACACGTCTTTGATGGCCATGGCCACCACCGAATCCACCCTGACCTTGGAAGAATTGGTTGAACATGTCACCAAAATCGAATCCAGCGCCTCCACCTCCAAAGCCTCCACCGCCGTTCGCATCCCCAAATTGATCATAGTTTTGTTTTTTCTGTGGATCGTTGAGTATGTCATATGCTTCTCCTATCTCGATAAATTTATCGTGGGCCTCAGGCGACAGGTTTTTGTCTGGATGGTACTGCTTCGACAACTGCCTGTAGGCTGTCTTAATTGTTTTTTCATCGGCATCTTTGGATATTCCCAAAACGGAGTACGGGTCTATGGCCGCAACAAAAGCTAGACAAACAAATAGAAACGCCAGAAATATCATGGCTGTTGTTATACTGATAAGTTAGATGGTTGCAAAGCGGTTTGAAAGATCTTACACGTATTAGGTACATAACGCTCGCGCTAGTGAAAATACGCACACGTGACTTATACGTGACAAGTATGTGCAGTAGAACAAGTTTTTGGCAGCTACGGTTCTGGAAAGTCGACCGCTTCTGGGTCAAAATTCCCCTGGAATTATTGGGAGGATCATCATGAGCTTCTCAGATTTTAAGTGATTCGATTGTAGCACAGTACCTCAGACAGATACTCGACTTCTGCTCTATAGAATGCCACTATAAAATGCCAGACCCTTCCGATGAGCCAGAGCTTTGAGAGTAAATTAAACAACGTGGAACGCATACTAAAAGAATACTTTGTTGGGCCGACTTAAAGAAAAAGAAAAAATAATTATGATTTCGCCCAGGATCGAACTGGGGACGTTCTGCGTGTTAAGCAGATGCCATAACCAACTAGACCACGAAACCGTAACTATGTAAAGGAAATTACGCCACATGAATATAAAGTGCACTAGAAAGCCGTAGAATGCAAACCTGCATATACGAAACCACTAGAAAAGTCTATATTTTTGTCCCAAGTGTTTGCAATACTGATTTTTCGGTCTATATAATTCGTCCGAAAGTTTCTCTTAGCAATTGCATGATCTCTATCGCAAGGATCTTAAGTTTTGCAATCAATTAAAGGCTATCTTGAGACTGTGTCAATGCTGCGAAAAATGAGGCACTAGTGAGCTCAATTGGGCACAAATCTGCTTTATCATAAAAACTTAAAAAGAGCTCCCAATTAAAGCGCAAAAACTACAATAGATTTGTCGCTCCACTCTTTAGGCGTGTAGGTTCGAATCGAACTAGTGATGAGTTTCCTGTACATTGCATGCACTTACTTATGGTCCACCCAGGCCTATAGAGGAAGAGCTCCTCAAGTTAATACATCAATTCTGCTAGATGCAAGAAGTAATCAGCATTGCAGCATCATCATCACTGGGTCATCTTTGCACTCATCTTTACAACGTTCAGGAATCCTATATCCCCTACCTGAAAAAGACCAAAATCACACACCAAAATGACATCTTTCTAGAGCCATCAAGACAGAATGGAAGGGTGAACTACTACCCTAGAGCTATAAATATCCAGCTCAATGGTGGATTTGGATTTTTAGGAAAGTATACCTTTCAAGATCCATCCATCGATTTGTCAGCATTTGACGGTATCGAACTCGAAAAGAAACCTAGGGTCGATAAGAATATTTATCAGCAAAACTTAGACGAGGGTAAGCCGACAGATAATCTGATGCTCAATGTCGAAAACACGAAGTTTTTTACAGATTATAATAAGTTGATCTACAGACCTTACTCGCTACTATCTATCGAAGACTACACCCATCCAGAAGGTACTCACAAGCATTTTGAAAGATATAAATTTGATTCCTTCAAAATAGGCGCCGACGAATACAAGAATTACGAAGATGATGTCGACGAAAGTTTCAGGAAATTACTCGAGTCTCTGGATAATATACAAGGAGTTTCATTATTCAGCGAGCTTGACAATGCTTGGAGTGGGTTCACTAATGAAATGTTGGTCCATCTTCGTGACGAATATTTTAATAATGGTGTCAGCAGTAAGTACAATCTATGGTGTTACGCCATTGGATCCAAATCATTTACCAAGCAAGATACTTTGACAAGAATCAAAGGCTTGATAGAGCTATCCAAAAACAGCTCACTCCTTTTCCCACTTGGAATCGATCAACAGCTGAGTCTTCTACTGAGCACATACCACGCAGAGAGTCTATGGCATCGGGGGTTAGTGCATGCATACTTCGTCAACTCGATTTGGTCGACGAACAACCAATCGGAAGGCAAGACTACAATGGCAGAATATGAGGCCAATTTATTGAGAGGATACCACAAAAGAAACATTGTTAATGAGATTCGTCTCAATGAAGTCGAGCTGAAGACCGGAACCACAGTTATTGATGATCCACGGATAATAGAAGCAGTTTTGCGTGGCGAAACGCCTCCCAAGAAAGAGATGAGGCAACTTGACCTCAACCTCTTGTCTAATGCGTCGTCAAGTAAACGTTTCTTTTCTCAGTACATCATCCCTGATGATGAGAAGTTGAAAGAGAAGCTTGACGGAAAGGTCTGTGTGAACAAAGACATTGGTAAACTCACCTCATTGGACTCATCACCAGCTGTGTTTGAAACCGACAATTTATACACCGAGTTTGCACAATCAACTGGCCTCAAGGACCATCTCAAGCAGTATCGCCAGATAATTCAACGTGTGCGAGCACCCAAGGATCTAGAGATTGTGGGAGACAAGCAAGAGTTGGTTGAGGATATCTCCTATCTCATTGATGAGTATATCCAGGGATACGAACTGGAAGAAGAGTCAGATTAAGGCTAAGGAATCTGGCCATAATTGTATATACTGCAATTTTTACGTCCTCACGAACCGACAGTTTAGGCGACAGTCTTCTCGACCAAGAAGATACCGTAGTCATCCTTCAATGCCTTCATGATTGGCTCGTTGATGTCACCAGTCATAGGGGCCAACAAACCCTTCTTAGATAAGGTGCCATCGAAGATTTGCTGAACAGCAATGGCGCAAGGAACACCAACCAACTTAGCCATGGAAGAGTAGCCCTTAGGGTCACCGTAGTCAACCAAAGTAGAGGTTCTGGTCTCCTGAGTGCCGTCAGCCCACTCAATACCGAACTTGTGTTGCAAGCAGACCATGTCTCTCTCGCCTTCCTCGTATTGGCACAATTCCTCCAAAGTAGCACACAAGGTGTCCAATGGGTTCTTTCTTGGGATGGTCTGCTTGTCAGACAAAAGACCCAACCACTTGAAACCGGAAATGATTCTCTCCTTGTCCTCCTCACTCTTGAAGTTGGTCAACTCAGAGATCTTGGCAACAATGTCCTGCTCGGAAGAGGAGGCAGCACCAATCAATTGGGCCAAAGCATCCTTCCAAGGCTGAGCCTTCTCGAAAGATGGGTGCTCAGCTTCCTTCAAGAAGCCCAAGTCAACGAGCACCTTGATGAACTCTGGGAAACCCTGGTATCTCAAAGTACCTCTGATAACAGTCTCGGCCTCAGGAATGCTGTACAACTCCTTGTAGGTGGTAGAGTCTCTGTTAGGGTAGCAGACGAAAGCAAAACCTGGGTAGATGAAGTAAGGCTTGGCAGTAGCCATCAAGTCCTCAGACTTGACGTCAACAACCTGACCATCCTGCCAGTACTTGGCGAAGTTAGACAAAGCCAACAACACACCACGGGAAGACCAAGAGAACTTGTAACCCAATGGGTTTCCAGAAGCCTCTGGAGCAGGCAATCCACCACAGTAGGACAAGAAAGACTTGATCTTACCGCCAGCCTTGTGCACCTCCTCCATGGTCTTGACAGCGTACAAGTGGTCGATACCTGGGTCCAAACCAATCTCGTTCATAACAGTGATACCAGCATCGAGGATCTGAGGCTCCAACTCCTTCAACTTTGGGTTGATGTAAGAAGTGGTCACCACATGTTTCTTGTGCGCAATAGCGGCCTTGACGACCAAGTGGTGGTAGATGTATGGAATCAAAGAGATCACCAAGTCAAACTTGGAAACAGCGTCGGACAAAGCCTTCTCGTCATTGACATCCAAGGAAATGGCACTGGCAACGGAGCCCGCCAATTGCTGAGCCTTTTCCAAAGTTCTGCAAGCAACAGTAACCTCAATGTTCTTGTCAGCAGAAAGAATATCGACAGTTGGCTTGGCAACGAAGCCAGAGCCCAAGAGAAGAACCTTTTTAACCATGATTCTGAAGCAATAAGTTGTTGTGGGAGGTGAAAAATTGAGCCTTTTTCGAGGTTATTAAACGTCAGTACTATGCAATCACCCTGCATGAACTTTCGTTATCTGTCCCCGCGATACGGCATCTACCCCATGAGTCATAGAGGTAGGATGTATATGATGGCTTGAACAGCCATGAAATTGTAGATCTTGATTTCCAATTATCTATATGTGAGAAAATGAAGATGGTTTGATTCGAGTGCAAAGCGATATGCCACTACATAAGCAAGTAACATGAACACCATTCTTACCCCACAAGGTGATAGAATCGAAGCATGTCGCCTCACGATTATAATACATAAAGAATTTGGCATCACATTGGTGAAAGCGTATTTGAGGCACTTTGCGCATAGGGCTTGCTCTTGATGGACTAAGCTTCCTCGATCGTCATGATGATCGAAATACCTCATCACATGAATATATGCTTGGCCCTTGCCCGTATGAGGGTACTATGCCAGAGAGCCTTTCACAATTCTAAATTTAACCAGACTTCCAAATATTTGCCAGGAAATGCTTTACAAAGGCGATTGGATCCCCAATCTTACCATCTTTAGAAACTTCAACAGTAGAAGCGAAAGATTTGATCGGCAAAACCAAGACATCACTGACCAACTTGGGGTTTTCCAAGCCATGGAAGTCTTTCCACGTCACTGATTGGTAAATTGACAGTTTCACGTAGTCATTAAGGTATTCCAAAACTGTATCAGTCCAGAGTCCACTTCCTGTCCATTTCAGAATTGCCAATGACTTCTGATTCGACAGACCTTCCAATGCAAGTTGTTCGCCATCTTTAAGTGTACGCCTCAAACGCAAGGTATTTTCTGTGATAGATGCAATTATTTCACGAAGAATAGGGTGGCCAGGCTTGCACTGAAGAACATAGTTTCCAAACTCTAATCTGCGGACCGTGTCCAGCCTCCATTTAGCCAGTTTGGAATCTGATCCCACAGCAATGATCAAGCCTAGCTCAGTAGGAGAGACGTTATCCGGTATCCAATTTGGAACTGGTTGTAGTGGCACAGTGTCAACATCAGCATAAACACCACCTTTAGCGAAAAGAATTAAGTATTTGAAGAAGTCCATCTTCAAGATAACCTCAGGCATCAGTTTGTAAGCCTCAATAACTTCTGGAGCATGCTGGTACAAATGCTTCACGGTTGCAAAGGTTGTGTCATCATTGAATAGCTCATGGACAAATCCTGGGTTTTTCACAGCCCACTGAGCCTGACCTTCTCTATATTGAACATCAAATCTATCGTCGTTGAGACCATGCTTCCATGTCTGCCAGATGTAGGCAGGAAACTTTGTTTTTGGATCATACGGCGTTATGAAAGCCAATTTCTCACGAAGTGAAAACTTGTCCGGCGGACTCCTCATGAGCTTGATCTGCTCAATGAGATACTCGTTCTGGCTCTCCAAGTTTCTCAATCTCTCTTCATGCTTCAGATACAACTGTTGCTGCATTTTTTCAAGCTTCTTGAAAAACTCTTCTTGCTTCTTACTGTTCTCATTGGATATAAGTGACAGCATGCCAGCTAGGTTGTCGATGTTAGAAAGTCGAAGGTTCTTCAGTCTCGACACTGAAAAGTTGGTAACAACAACAATCACAACTAGGAGTGCCACAGCGGCTACCCCTAATCGTCTCCTGTTCGTCATTCGGGATTTCATGCTATGGGCTTATGCAAGAGCTATGGAAGAAGCACCCTGGTGTTATAGAAGAGTATTTTGGTTAGGATCAAGCGCGAAGCTTAAAAAAGAATCTTCATGGCGGGTTGACAAAAAGGGCCTCCGGTCTGTAGAGGGTAAAAAAAAGAGTGACGTGAGTTAAGGATAAGCTCAGTTTGAACAATTTATATTATTTCACTGGCCCGATCTATGTCTTTCGAAGAAATTTCTGGCTACCCATCAATATCGTGATTTCTGGCATATAAGCCACACACTTGAACGGAGCTGCTTTACGCTTTGAAAGTTTTTTCGTAAAAGTAAATTACTTATGAAATGCTTTCATGAAATTTCCTGCTTCACAAGCAGCTCCACAAATCTCCAGTATCTAGCGGACTAAACTAAATTAAAACTTAAGTCACATGAGTATATGCACGTGCAGGCCATCTGGTAAGCACACCAACCATAGTCTGTCTTCTCTTCGATTATGACGAAACTTTACGGAGGAGCCATAAGCTGTGATTTACCGGAAGTTGCGGTTGATGTTTCTGATTTTAGGGAAGTCCCAGACACTCAAGAAGTCTTTATATTAGAAAGACCAGATGGGCTTGATCGCTCTGTCATCATTGACTTGTTGGAGATGGTCAAAGCCAACACCCTACCTGAGATTATCGCCATACATCTAGAGGACATAATCGACGGACCTCCTACATTTTTAGCTCCCCTCGAGAGTTCCAAGACTGAAGAAGACTTTGATGCACATTTCTTCCTTGTGAAGCCCTCTCCATCCAAGCAGGAGACAGATGAGACCAAATTATTTATGCTCATTGCGTTATTGAGGTTAGAGAAGGCAGAGAGTGATTGTGTTTTCACATTTAACATCCCATTGAAGTGCGGCGATGTCACAGCAGAGCAGCTTCATGCACAGATGCTGGAAGTGACTAGCGGCGATGGAGAGCTCGGCCGCTGCTTCCAGCAGCTCAAACACTGGGTTTCTACTTTCAAAATTCAAGATTGGAATCTATTCAGTTGAATTATAATAGTTGTCATTTGACGTGAGGGCATTAACGGGGCATAGCGATTCGATGACTTCTCATCACTTCTTACGGTAAAAGTCCGCAGGCATACTGTTGGACAGATTGGAACGTAGAGCTGGTTGCTTGGGGCTGAATAATAGTTGTCTGACAATAAACGAGAAGACCAACGAGATGGATATTGTTTGGCCCGTGATGTAGTAGATTGCTCTCTCTCCAAGGAAGACAAGCCATGAGGGAACGACAAACATAGCCCAGTATAAAAGACCGGTTACTAGAGCAAACACGATAGAATTGAAGATAATTGTCTCATTGGCCGTCAAAACATGAATTGGGGTGTAGTTGCGGTAGGCATTGTATGCCCTAAAAAGCACGTTATTAGTTTTTGCAACCTTAACCTTCATAATGTAGTGGCTTATTGAAGCGTCCGGGGTTCCTGAGCGATAGAGGGCGTGAGGAAGTTGGTAAATAAGCGTGTTTCAGAGAGCAGAGGTCAGTCGGGACATTGCGGATATATATTATATATCAGGTAAGACAAGCCTCAAGCAGGGTCTTGTCTTCCTCGGGAGCTTCGGAAAGCAAAATACTCTGCCAGATGCACAGACTTATGCGGCTAATTGCATGCAGGTGGGAGGTTTCAGGAAACTCGGGAGGGTCAGGCAAAAGGACAATACACAGTAAACATGGTCTTAAACCGCGAAACTAGACCTCTCAAAACCCATTGTTTGTCATAGACACATTTACCCCCCCAATTGTACTGAAAGTCACTTGCCTCTCGGAACGGATTTACGAGAACGCGGATCTTCTAGGGGATACGCTGGGGTTGAGGACTTCCTGCCTGAACCACAGCTTGTGGAGAAATTCAGCGACTTTAAAACGTACGTTTTGCCCGACGTCTGGCCTTCCGAGAAGCTTCAGGGTTTAGAATTATTTGAAGTAGACGATCATCATAGATACACAAGCACCAACACTGTTCATTGTGTATTCTGCTGTACTAGAAGTCTGGGTCTAATATTACCAATTGCTCCGTTTCCCTACCATAAGCTGGTTGGTGTAGGTGCTCATCGTGTAAGTATTCTGCCTTATTGTGCTTGCTTTCAGACTAAATGTGGTGCTTCATCCAGAACCCCACTACTCATGCTTATGCATTGCATGCGCCCTATCTAACTAGCTTATCGGTTAACCCGGCCGTATACTTGAAATCCCTCAAGCAGCTATGTCTTACTTTTAAGAAAAAAGCACTTTCTGCATCAAAGCTTAACTGGCCGCGCAACCACACCCTGCGATTTGCATTGCGCAATTGAGCTCCTTCATGCCAATTCCGGCGAAACAGTCGGCGCGAGTTCCTTGTTTTGCCGACGATTGGTAGTCCTTGCATGCACCTAGACCTTAGATTTTCTGTCTATTTTCAATGCATTAAAGCTTATCAATTCCTCACTTCGTATGCTGATTGAGGCTAGGTCCAGCCATGGAGGCTCTGTTGTTTCTGAGAGATCTGCTAGAGAGCGACGTGTCGATTTCGTTAAATAAAACAGTCCTATCAACTCGGCTACAAACCTATTGGTCGTTTTCAATCCATTCAGACACACTTTTGGAGGCGTCTAGATTAGAGGATTTCTGCGAGATCAGCAGAATTGAAGCTAGGGTGAATTAAAAAAATGATAAAACCTCATATATCTAGAATAATAGCTCGAGCCGAATTGATGTCTAGAGCCACGACACTGTAGTAGCTGAAAATTCCACACGTGAGCAACTGCACGTGCACAACTATGCCTCAAAACTTCAAACAACCAGGTCAACCATACAGCATCCGTGGCTTCGTCTGATCACCCATGTCCTTGGAAAAGAAAATCTTGAATTTTTTGAAGGGACCCAAGAAGGGTGAAACCTTCGAGCTAAAGGCCGGCCTTGTTTCACAATACAAACATGAAAGAAAGGACGCCATCCAGCGCGTGATTCAGGCCATGACTGTTGGAAAGGATGTTTCATCCCTCTTCCCGGATGTCCTCAAGAATATCGCAACTTATGACCTCGAGCAAAAGAAGCTTGTCTACTTGTACATGATGAATTACGCTAAAACACATCCCGAATTATGTATCTTGGCTGTGAACACGTTCGTTCAAGATACCGAGGACACCAATCCACTCGTGAGGGCTCTTGCTATCCGTACAATGGGTTGCATCCGTGTGGAGAAAATGGTTGACTACATGGAAATTCCATTAAGAAGGACCTTACTGGATGATAACCCCTACGTGCGAAAGACAGCCGCCATCTGTGTTGCTAAACTTTTCGACCTCAATTCGGAAATGTGCGTTGAATTTGGCTTTTTGGACGACCTCAAGAAGTTATTGATGGATTCAAACCCCATGGTGGTAGCAAACGCTTTAAGTGCATTGTATGAAATTAGAGATATGAACAAAGATAGTTCATTGGAGGTTTTGGTGATCGACCATCAGCTCATAAAAACATTGATGGCTTGTTTGAACGAATGCACTGAGTGGGGTAGAATCACGATCTTGGGATGTTTGGCAGAATATTCCACCGATGATCAAGAGGAAACCCTTCATATTATCGAGAGGTGTATCCCGCAATTGCAACATGTTAACCCCTCAGTCGTGCTTTCTTCTATAAAAGTTGTTATTCATCACTTGGACAATTTACCAAATCAAGCGACTAAAACCAGTTTCTTGAGGAAGCTCTCCGCTCCATTGGTTTCCTTGGTATCCCTGTCTATTCCAGAGGCTCAATATGTGGGGTTGAAGAATATCAGAATCATTTTGGAAAAATACCCTCAAGTGCTCACGAAAGAGGTGAGAGTCTTTTTCATAAAATACTCGGACCCCTTATACTTGAAGCTAGAAAAGCTAGAAATTGTCATTAGATTGGCAAATGATTCCAACAGCGCTCTCCTTTTAAGCGAACTTAAAGAGTATGCGATGGAAATCGAACCAGCTCTTGTTGCAAAATCCATTCAGGCAATTGGAGCGGTGGCTATCAAGCTTTCCTCGAGCGTTATTCAGGCATCAAATCTCTTGATATCCTTGATGGAGCAGAGAGGAGGCGAATTAGTAATCAACGAAGCTGTTGGAGTCTTGACACAAATCTTAAGACGCTACCCAGGAAAGAATGATTTGATTACTTTGATAGTTCCTGTTATCTCAAATCACATAGATGAGCTCTCTGACCCTCAAGCTCTCGCAGGGTATGTTTGGTTGCTTGGAGAGTATCCAAAATACTTCACGAATCTCAAATCCAAGTTACAGGATCTTGTCGACGGCTTCCTTGAGCATGAATCACTTCTCCAGCTCAACATCTTGACATCAGTTGTCAAGATTAACTTGGTACTTCCATCTGCGGGTTGTTCACAGCTACTTCAAACTGTTCTTGAAAATGCTACTAAGGATTGTGAAAATGCGGACGTCAGGGATAAAGCGTACATTTATTGGCGTCTTCTTTCCACCTCATCTAGCGAAGCTCAGCAACAAATCATTGCATCCAAGCTTCCACCCATCAAAACAACAATTTCTTCCTTCAACCCTATTGTTTTAGATGCTTTGATTCAAGAGTTATCTACGCTTTCATCGGTATATCACAAGCCCGCATCAACGTTTATTGATGCGCAAGCATATGCCACTCATGAAAACCAACAATCAAACAAAAGACTGGGAAGAAAATCTGACTTGTCCGACTTAACCACTAGGGCTAAGCAAGAAATCATCAACAACGCCCGTAACGAGAATTTGCTTGACCTTGATGATGACGACCAGGCTCCTTCATCTAACCCTGAGGGTGCAAACTCGTTATTAGATGAGCTCAATGATTTGTTCAGCGTACCAGCCAATAATACTGACTTGAACAACCACTCGGATGGATCTCAAGTTAAGAGTTCGACAAACGATATATTGAGCCTTTTTGGAAACCCTTCCTCACAGCACGAGGACGATGGGATCCATAAAATAAGAGACTTGAACCTCAACCCAAGTGGTTCGAGCAACCTTGGAAGCGGAACCACCCAGCAAACAAAAAACACCAGCACAAATGCTGATCTTTTGGACCTATTTTAGCCCGAAGGCAGAAGGGAACCCGTAACGACATCTTAGCATAGTCATGGTATCAAGATTCATCAACGAGAGATTGTAGTGTTTTCACGATATTCTGCTCAGTAATGGCAGAGGAACTTTTTTCATCCATTTCAACGATCGGCTGCCTTGATGAAATTTTATCGGCAGACGAGACAAGCAGATTTATGCGCTTCTTAACACCATCCATTGCTTCATCTATCTCGCTTATGTCATTTCTTTTCTTTTCGATCTGCTTTTTCAAAAGCATTATCAAGCTTTCACGAGTTTGATGGGGACGATAGGTATTGAGCAAATGATTCATGTTGATCAAAAGAAGCTTTAAGTCCTCAATCTTGACATAGAATTTTGCTGGTTCCTTGGAGACAGAGCCCACAAGCTCCAAGAAGTTCAATAGTAAAGAGTCTAGGAGTTTGTGAAGCTCATCTATTTTAGTCTGCGAGGTGATTTTTTCGTCTTCGTCGCTGTATAATTGCTTCCATCCCAGCTCCTTGAGAGAAGGTAGCTTGTTGACCAATGCCCACACACTTCCGTATCCTCGATACTGTTCACCTGTTGGCGCTGAAGGAGGTCGATGGAATCGTAGATCACCTGGTGGGAGAGCATCCCCGTCGGATTCCTGTTCGAGCCATTGCTGGTATTTTGATCTATTTGACTCTGTGAAATACTTGTAGTAGGGTGGAGGCAGTGGATATAGCGATGAAATGAGCTCTTCCGACATCGGGAACTGTAGTCAAGTACAATGTAGCAATAAAGTATGAGGAATCTTTTATGTCACCAAAAAAAGCCCGATAATATAATCAAATGATCAATCAAATAGGGCTGCTATGTCCGTTGTGTTCAAAGCCAGGCAAGTACTCGAGAAGGCGATAGTTCTGTACAGTCCATAACCATCAACTTACTAACTCAGCTGGAAACACAGTAACTAGCTTCGCGTTATCCAACAGGCATACTCTACAAAATATGAATGGGGAAGATAGAATCGATGTTGACAGCCAACCGCTAGTGGAGGAAGCCGGCGGGACCGAAATCCTCCCTGAAGGTACTAAACAACAACTGAGCGAGATCCACAATCACGACCACCACGGGAATCATTCGCATCACACACAGCATGAGAGGGACGAAGAGCCTAAGAGGAAGCAGAGATTTGAAGTTAAAAAGTGGACTGCCGTTGCTTTTTGGTCATGGGATATAGTTGTCGAGACATGCGCCATTTGTCGAAATCATCTCATGGAGCCATGCATCGAATGCCAACCGAACAGCATCAACAATTCTGCTGATAACTGTATCGCAGCGTGGGGTGTCTGTAATCATGCTTTCCATATGCATTGTATTCAAAGATGGCTTAAGCTGAGAGCCGTGTGTCCTTTGGATAACAAGGACTGGACTTACCAGAAGTTCGGCTCGTAGATTTTTGTTGCTATTTTTGCAATAAGTAATAATTTAATGTTTGACTTGGCCAGATCTGTAGAGTTGTGAACGAGCAAACGATCCAAGTATCACCACATCACTACAACATCGGTGAAGACCTTCCTCGGCCTCCCTCATACGAAGACTATCATTGCTTCCTTCTGCCTCCACAAAAAACACATACTGCCACTTACTTTTCCTCGATGGTCTTGATGCTATAGAAGTCAAGTTAATGTTCTGTTGTTTGAAGGAATCAAGAGCTGCCATCAAGGCCCCAGGATCATCATGATTGAGCGTGAACATTATCGAGGTGATTGCAGTAAGTGGGATCATCTCTTTCGTCTCTGCTTTCCCTTGTTTTTGTTGTGGAAAAGCGGGCTTGTTCCCCAAAACTAAGAATCTGGTTGTATTGTCTGGGATATCCTCAATTTCAGCCTCTATTATCGGTAAGTTTGTTAACTGAGCACACATTTTGGAACTGATACAAGCTACTGTGTTCGTAGAGTCTTGACTCACTATTCGAGCAGCCTCAGCAGTAGAGCTTACATCGACTTTTGTACATTTTGCGTATGATTTCAACAGCTTTGAAACCTGACCCCAGACCTGCGGATGCGAATAGATCGTGTGTATTTGAGACTTTTCGGTGGCATTGGAAAGCAAGTAGTGATGTATCGCCACAAACTGTTCTCCCACTACTTGGAAAGTTGGTCTCGGCTTTTCATTATCGCCAATGAACCAGTCTCTTAGAAGGTCATACGTGAAGACCACTTGTCCGTTTGTAGAATTCTCGAATGGAACAACAGCGAAGTCGACATTGCCGGCATTGAGTGTTTTGAAACAATCACCGATTGAGCTTTGAGGGAATATCGATAACTCTGGGGAATGCCCAAATTGCTGAATCACGGCCTGATTAATTAGTACTTGATACAGTAGCATGAATCAGCATCTCATACACACCTCATGTGTATACGTTCCTTCGGGGCCCAAGAACGCAACCTTCATTTCTGGTTATTAGTTGATAAGTGATTTAACAAGGTAAGTTTAGCGGGCGCACCTAACGTCCATTTACGATCGTTATGTGCAAACCTACGGGCTTCTTCAAGTTCTGCTCAATAACGCCTAATCAGGAAGAGCACCTACCCTTCTTCACCAGGTGTTAACAAGCAAAACAAGAGAAAATTAGGACTCAAAGCCGTTGACCAATAATAAGATGATGAGAAAACCAATGAAACCTCGTCACTTATAGCAACAGCCCTGAGTCACATTCCTACAGTGAATCATTGGTGGCTCTGTATTGGTAATTGAGCTCTGTAATGTATTCACAGGAGACCAGGGGGGTAAACCGTAAAGCCGTATTTCGAACTATAAAAAGTTTGTCCCGTAGTGTTTGGAAGATAGTGTATTAACAATAACCGATGAGCAGTGAAGCATATCTTTCAATTAGTTGTCATCGATCAATCCACGCTCAGAAACGTAGATACCATCCAAAAACTTACGGATATCCTTGTTTCTAACTCTGCAGATCTGGTTGATGTCAGCAGCATTCTGCGAAACAGCCTCCAAAGAGTTACCAGAGATGATCAACTCATCCTTCTGGGTGGTAGACTGCTCCATGGTGACACCATCGAAGATCTTGACGTGTCTGACCTTCTTCTCACCCAAAAAGTTTCTGATCTCAACGTACTTCTGACCGTCAATCTCAACAGTGTTAACGTTGATAGGGAAATGGGCGTAGACGTATCTCATCTTGTACTTGTAACCCTTGGTAACACCGGTCACCAAGTTAGAAATCAAAGACTTGACAGTTCTCAAAGCAGCGACGTGCTTTCTGTCACCGTGAAGAACGATGATCTTGATAGCCCTGTCAGACACCTTCTCGAAAGTGACATCGATGTGCTTCAAGTCCTTGGTCAACTCACCTCTTGGACCAGTCACCTTGATGGTTCTGGCCTTGATGTTGACAGTAACACCCTCAGGGATCTCCAAGATCTGCTCAGACTGAATGAACTTCATGCTATACTATTGATGTGTGAGTAGTGAGTTGTAGCTGAAAATTGAGAAGAAAAATTTTGTAGTTACAAGAACTAAAACAATATACACACCCTATACTGTGCGACGTAGTATACATTTTACGCGGAGCAGGGTTTGCAGGTGAGCATCTGAGGGCTGCGAATGTGACGGCTTTTTTTGTTCGGTATCCCTTACATGAATAGACGTATAGAATTATAGTTTGTAATTCTTGATTCAATTTTCTTTAACCAATAGACTTTTATTCAGTTTGTGAAAATGGCACTAAAGCTGTGAAGACAAATTTTGATCCTTATTTTCTTTAAGTGAATATTGAATCCTGTGGCAGTATGTTGATTGTGACAAGATATTGAATTTGAGGTTTATTTACCGCTTGCGTCGCTCACGTATCATCTAGCTCTACAGGCAATCATTTTCAGACGCTAATATTCATTTACAATTGTGATGATCTTTCCAAAGATAGCGTAGTACATGTAGATCGAGAACACTTCATCTTCACTCTTGTTCTTCTAAAGTCTTGAACTCATAGTAAGGAGTATCTTTGGCGAACTCAATGCCATTTTCGAGCAATCTGGTGAAGGCCTTAGAGAAGTCAGCGAAGAAAAGGTCCTGATCAGCGGCATAGAGCTTAACATACTTAAGAAATTTGCTGTCTTCCTTAAGCACCATGTCAGTAGGCAACATCATGAATGAACTGGTTTCGTCGTCCTGATATTGTCTCTTGCCATCCCATTCACGAATGTGCCACTTTTGCAACAATCTAACAAAAAAGTCATTGGTGAACATATTTGGAGATGGGCCCAGGGACCATCATATCCAGATCTATAGGTGTGGCATTTGCCCAATGCATGAGCTCCGATAAGGGCCACCATTTCTCTGTCATCGAATCCCAAGCGGTTAAAGATCTTTCTCACGTAAGCACCCAGTTCCTGAGAGGCATCTGGCAAGTTGCCGTTCTCAGGGATTTTGTCCTTCTCTGATTTGGAGCAGTCGACTCTTCCAGGTCTCCACTTGATTTTTGGACCACCAGCTTCCTGTACAGCAACGACACCACCAAGGGTCCACAAGTCTCCTCTGCTGAGCCAGGGGAATTCATAGTGGAATTCATTGAGGAAGTCTCTTCCAGCATCCAAACCAGCGTTCTCAGGGTCAGTGGACTCTGGGGAATAAATCATTGACCCACTATAAGAGCCGCCTGAGTTTTTCTTCTTATCGTAGGTTCCTGAGCTATGCCACGCCAAACGGCACAACAAACCATATCTACCTGCTCCTTCGTCCGCATCATCCTCATCTTGAACCTTTTGCGCAATGGCGTTATAAACCTCTTGAAAGTCTTTCTCGGTCTTTCCTTCAAAAACTTGGGCCAACTTAGCTGGAGTAGCAGCTGCAAAGAACTTCAAGCCATTGTTCTTCTGAGGAGGTTTGTTGTTGTTACCACCAAACTGCTGTTGATGTAAATATAAAGCACCAGCGGTAGCGGTAGCAGCCCCTCCGACGGCGGCAGCATAACTTAAAATTTTAGAATACGAGTTCTTCGAACCTGCTGAAGAACGGAATACGATAGACGCCATCACGGGATTGTCTGTTTGATGTGAAGAAATTCGATAGAAAGCTTTCTATTTTTTTTTTTGTTTTTTTTTTTGCCTTTTAGCTCATTGGGCACGAGGAAAGAGGCTGACTTTATATATTCTGGCTGAAGTAAAATCACGTTTGCGTACATGACAGATCTAGCCGGTCGTAAGGTAAGACGGCACACATCGCCACCCCTCTTTATAATTGACTCTGAATTGGGCGTAAAATCCGTGACCTGGGCTTAAAGCTGCTCTCACACACCATACCCGAGGAACGAAAGTGGAGAGAGAACCAAAAAGAGCAGGATTGTCCTACAATCATTGAAGGATGCACGGCCCTCTATTGCGGGGGAGTGGTGCGATACAGCAAGGTCTCCTAAAGTCTGTTAAAAGAATATCTACTTTATCCTAACAGTCAATTGTATTCCCATATTGCTTTGACACGCACTACCCGCTATTTATATGAGGCGTGGGCAATAACCTTGCCAGTGTGAACTCTTGTCCATAATAATCACCATGCAAGTGTCGTGAGGCTCATGGACTTTGTGGTGAGGTGTAATCGCAACGGTTTTGATTGGTCGACATATATGCAACTTTGATGTCATACGGCAGACAATTGGACAAGGATTCTGAATGCGATTGATGAAAGACTTTCCTTTCTATAGACTATTCACATATTCCTCAATCTCTTCAGCATCTTGGAAAACCCAAGAACCTTCTTCGTTATAAGTTTTAGCATTAGAGCACATGAGTTTGAGCTCGTCAATAAAAGCCTCGAAGCAGTCGTAACGTTCCTGCGAAATATGCTTTCGAATCTGGCTTATCGCGGTAGGACGTTTAATGACCTTGTAGTAATCAGCATAGAGTTTCTTGGATGGTAACCGAAGGAAAATTTCTGCAAGGTTGTGACCATCCCTGTTGGACTGCATTTCCTGAATGTGATCAAGCACGCTAAGACATCTAGCAGATAATCCGTCGTCCCCGTTTTGTACAGCCTCGGGGTCAACAGGACTAGTGGTTTCCCGGCGGGCTCGCTTCCGCTGCACTTCGCCATCAGACTCTTCGTCACCATCATCTGAATCACCTGGTTCTTCCAGCTCTCCATTAGCAGCTTTTCTTTTCCTCCTTGCACGCTTCTCTTCCTTACGACGAATTGCATCCTCCACAGTATCATTATCGTCATCCATCGCCATGAGCCATTGCTCCTCCGTTAAACCGTCATCGTATTTCACCTTCTTCTTTTCACGCATCCGAGACAACTCTTTTGTATCTCTTTCGAAGTGATGTGAGATATCCTCTGTGAAAACAGGGGGAAGCTCGTCCTTCGGAATCAAACGACTGCTATAGCCACCTTGGCGTGCCTCGACCTTCTCCCTCACCATCCGATCGGTGTCCATCTTTGTGAATAAGATTTTTTCGTCTTCGCTTCTCGCTAAAATATCGTTCAACTCATCATCATCTAAGGAGTCATTCTCCTCATTTTCTTTGTCTCCCTGTTCAGCATCTAGCAATCTCTTCAAAAATTCTTCTTGCTCTTCTGCAGTGGACTTATTGTCGAACTTACCGGCTTGGATGACTTTGCCGTCAATTTCTAGCTTCTGATGAGCACGCTCAAGAATCACTTCTTCGATGGAATCATTTGAAATCAAACGAAGAATCCTGACCTCATTCTTTTGACCGATTCTGTGTGCTCTATCTTGAGCTTGCAAATCCTGATGCGGGTTCCAATCGGTATCGAAAATGATGACAGTATCAGCACTTTGCAAGTTCAACCCCAAACCACCAGCTCTCGTTGACAAAAGAAAGCAGAAGTAATCTGATTCAGGCTTGTTGAATGCTTTTAACATATCCTGACGATCCTCCGCCTTAGTAGCACCATCCAATCGCAAGTAACGCATATCCTTGAGCCGCAAAAAATCCTCAAAAATATTCATGACAGAGGTCATTTGGAAGAAGATCAACACCTTATGGCCACTAGCCTTGAATTTGGGAAGTACCCTGTCCAAAAGCTCGAATTTACCCGATGTCCGCCACAAAAGGTCATTTGTGAGGCGGCTAGTATTCAAGACATCTTCAACTTCCTCAAAAACGAATGGATGGTTGCAAATTTTCCTCAATTGCATGATTTTGTTATTCAAACCTTTGATTCCCGACTTGTTATTGGTGCCTGTTGTCTGGGAACCAACGAAGAGGGCATTGTGCTTCAACATCTGCTGATATAAGATATACTGCAAACCAGAAAGATTACATTTCAAAACCTTTTCCACCTTGTCTGGAAGATCCTTCTCGACGTCCTTTTTCAAACGTCTCAACAAAAACGGCCTCAAAACCTTGTGTAATCTTCTGATGACCAACAAGCTCTCCTCCTCTGTAAGCTCGATCTTTTCTTGTGACCCTGTATTCGCAAAGGGAGTATTAAACCACTCATCGAAAGATTTGACCGAGTTGAAAATTTTGGGGAGCACGAAGTTAAGTAATGCCCACAACTCGGGTAAGTTGTTTTGCAATGGTGTACCTGTCAAAATAAGTCTGTTTTTGGTACGATAATATTGCTTGAGAGTGACCGATAACTTGGACTGAGCATTCTTCATCCTATGACCCTCGTCGATAATCATGTGCGAATAGCTGAAGCGCGACAACATGGGCCTTTCCTTAATGATATACTCATAGGTTGTTAACATCACTTGGAAATTTCCCATTCTAATATCGAACAGAAGCTCCTTACGCTGTTGTGGAGAGCCCTTAAAAACAATAACCTTAACAGATGGTGCCCATTTTTCAAATTCAACAGTCCAATTTGTGATTGTAGACAACGGGACAATAACCAAGAACTTGTCCTCATTCTTTTTCTCGATCAAGTACGTGATGAGGGAAATAGATTGAATAGTTTTTCCGAGGCCCATCTCATCGGCCAAAATACCATTCAACTTGTTATTGTACAAAGACACCATCCATTGTAGCCCTTTCAATTGATACTCTTTCAACTCTCCACCAACCAAGATAGAAGGCTGGGCCTTGACCTCCTCCTTAATTCTGTGGGCGACCTGGTAATAATCGATCTTTTCCCTCAATTCATCGACAGTGTCCTCTTCCTCTTGCACGATTTCATCCAGTTCCGCTTGCTGGACCTTAACAGCCTTTGCCAACGAGTCCAAGAAACTATTCGTTTGCTTCAACAAGTGTGTAATTCTATGATCTTTTGTTTGGTCAAGAAGCTTTATGTACGCTTCCTCATCATTAGCTTTCAAGGCTTGCAAACGCTGCTTCGCAGTCTTTTCCATTTTCTTCGATTCATCCTTCTCAGTATTATTATGAAAATTGTTTATGAATCTCGTTAACGTTGCCTTTTTATTCACACGATTGAGCTTGATCTCATTGGCTATCCTCGTGTTCTCTAAGATTCTGTTTATCTTGTCAACTTGGAGTTTATGCTTTTTCGCATCAGCTTCAAGCTTGAATTTGTTCTCTAACTGCAGGGCTAAAAGCTCTGGGTTGGGCTGATTCATCTTTTCTCTGATGTAAAAGCCTCTTCTCCCCTGCAATACCAATGAGTTGTTCTTGAGATCAGGGGAATCATAGTGTGCTGTCAATGAAATCTTCCTAAAGATGGCATTTTTCAATCTCTTTTGAATCGCCATTACCAGAAGGGCTTTCAACTCGATTAATGCTCTTACTTTAAGCTTGTTCAGCGTTTCAGACTCCGTACCACTTTGTACATCGAGCGTTCCGAGGTTGCCTGGAAGATTTTCTAAATCATGTAACCGAGTGGATATCTTATGCCCGATAACTTGGTCCTTGTAGTAGTCATTAATGGGGCACTAGAGGAGGATGTTGGGAACTGGGCTAAACCGAGCGACCTCAACGTTGACAAGAAATTAGCATCGGGTTCCTGTTGCCTTTCGAAAACAGCCTGAATATTCTCTCGAATTAAGGTTTTCGAAACCAGCGTTTCATCAGAAGTGTTATCAGCTGTATCATCAAGAGAAACTTGAAGTGGAGTCGGCAAGTCTAAGTTTCTCAGGAGTAATTGAAGGCTCGCAAGCTGCTTGGACAATAAATTTGAATCAATGTTCTCCATCAGACTGGTTTCTTCAAGGGAGCGAAGAATATCATTTTCTAATGCACCCTCCTCTTCGACGAAACTTTCGTAGCGTGCACTTATCTTCAGGAGGCACGTCTCGATTTTTCTCAATTCCTTTTCGTAAGGGTCGACAAAACTTTCAACGTCACTTTCGTCTGCAAACAGCTGCAGCTGATCGGCAATTTTCTGATACGCCTGATGCTTTTCGAAAGCGTCTCTGGAAAACTGAAGAAGTTGCTGATAGCGGGACACCAAGTCATTAAGCTCTTGAGTCGATGAAGGAGCTTCGATGTTGAAATCATAGCCTGCTTCGCTACGAGAACCGTTAATCACGTCACTCTCATCGTGGGCATTGCCATTTGAAGTGAAGTGATCCTCACGTTTCTCAAATTGCACGCTGCTCATGACAGTTCGCTGAGTTCGCAGTATATAAAGACGACGTTTGGTGGTGTGAACTTTCAAAAGTGTGCCAGTGGCTCTCAGTCAAAGGCTGCTCCGGAATATTCAAGTTTCGTTCTGGGTGCGTAAACGTTGAAGGAGCTGTAGTTGGTGAGGGTTTTTTATTTAGTTTTTTTGTTGTCCAGGGAAACTTCGCATATACAGGAATGGTCTACGATTTAATCCGGTGAATGGTACATGGCTAATGTATCTGCCAGAGACAATTTTACAGCGAAACCGTGGTGCATTCTATGAGGTGATTGAAGCCTCTGCCTTTTTCAAACGTTTTGTAAATTGATAGAGCATCTCACATTTCTTGCGCCTAGATGCTGGTAAGCTTTCAGGTTATAATGAAGCTTCATTGATCAGAACCTAAACAGGCCTATCTTACTATGGTGAAGCATCCTTTGTACTAACGTATGGATCGATATGACCTATAGATGTGAGGTGTAGCGAGAATCGTGTTCTCCGGTCTCCCCTTGTTTTCCAGCAACTGAAACCTCTCTAAAAAAGCAATAACCAATTATCATATGAAGACACGACTTCTATTCCACGACTTCTATTTCGAAATGTACCATATTAGCATCGACGGTAATCTGATTCATGAACAAAGCGAAAACAGTGTGTTCACGTGATTTACTTTGATCTGGTGAGAATGAAACTTCACGAACTAAGCTCACGAAGTGAAGAACACTATGCTAGCACGGAAAAGTATCCTCACACTTGGCTACAAAGGGTCTACATCTTTGAAGGCTTCGGCCAACATCATGAAATTTCAGCAGATTAGACAGTTGTCAGCATCAGTCAAACCAGAGATGAACTGGGTCGAGTTTTTCCGTTTAAGAAAACAAAATAAAATGTTGAATACAGCAGCATCGATTTGTACTGCTGGATTGACTGCATTTGGAACGCTCGAGTATTTGGGAAACATTGAAATTGATATCGAAAAGCCAATCTTTGGTATTGACCCATTCATGATATTGGGTGGAGCAGTTGTCCTTAGTGGTGCCGTGGGGTACTTGTTTGGCCCTTTCATTGGGACTCCGTTGTTCAATTTGACTCGCAGTGCTATCTTGCCTCTGTTTAAGAACAAAGAAGAGCAGTTCTTACGCAGAATCAAACGCTACCGAGTAGATCCATCTTCGCAGTCCTTCTCCAACCCTGTTCCAGATTACTACGGTGAAAGGATTTATTCCTTGAAAACCTACAAGCAATGGCTCAGGGATTGCAATGCCTACAAGAGAAAAGCGAAGGAATTCATCTAAATCCGCGTTTTGAGACGGCATTATCAGACAACCCTCTGGCACACCGAAGTGTTATCTGAGCACCTTGTATAAAATGATTCAATGTTTTTTTTTTTTTTCCTTTTTTTTTTTTATTTTCTTTTTTCACGACAAGAAAGTGATATCAATCAATTGTTTACCTGCAAAGGTTTTTGTAGAGAAGCATCATGAACCAAGTTTGTATGATGGCTTGAATAGACAAAAGTTTGACTCCTGGAGCCAGATATTTTACAAAGACAAAAGTCAAAGCCTAGAAGTATAACGGATCCAGAGTTAAGAAAGGCTGTGGCAACCATGGCCGTTTGACTGCGATATTTGGTGGAGTCACCCAATGCCTTGTAGAGGACAAACGATCGCCCCTCACCCTATTGAAGTCCATGGAGTCCGAGATTCCGAATTTCAATCCCCGCGACACTGTATTCGGTGAACTCCGTATTGATTCACGCGAAGTTGTCTTGGCCTAGATTAAAGAACTCCATACCAAATAAATGTAGGTGCTCTGAGAAGTCAAACGTTTGATTTCAGTGGCCGTGGCACCTCATACCTGAGTTTCCGGTCTGCTGTATATGTTCAGCCTGTATATAATTAAAACACAAGACATCCGTACCTCGCGGCAAAACTCCGGGTTGTCCAATCAGAACGCACCCTAAATTTGTTATAGACCCAAGTAGCAATAACTAACTTCAGAATTTCCTTGTTTCCTGTCACAACGATGAAAGAATTCTATTTTTGGCTTGATTTCTTTCGTTGTACTTAAAAACATGAAACTTTTACTATCCCGGAGAAGCCGGAACAACCGAACTGCAAGTGACAAAATGGCCACAGAGTGCAGCACAGTAAATCCCTTTATATAGGGCGCTCATTCTTTTTTACCGGTTAGCAAAAAGTGCCCAATCAACCCCTGGGTTTTCTTAACTCTTTCTGAACCACATAATACAACCTTCAGTATTTAGCTGTCTGCCATGCTTAGAGCTTTCAGACATTTAAATTACGCTCGAGGCAGTTATGCCCACGCTTTCAAAGCTCAGGCTCAAGCCCATGCCAGGAGCAGTGTTCGTGCCTCTGGTGCTATTGCCATTGGGTCTGTTCGGAGCTTGGCCACCGACACCTTTGCACTTTCGAACAATTCCAACTACATTGAGGAGATGTATGAAGCCTGGCGTCAAGACCCTAAGTCTGTCCATGTTTCGTGGGACGCTTACTTCAAAAATTTGGATGCTGGTGTTTCGCCATCTGCTGCTTTCTCGGCTCCGCCCACTTTGATTCCTACCCCAGCTGGCGGTGCAGGTGTTGGTTTCAATCCAGGTGCTGGTGGACATAGCGAGGATGTCGTCACTCATTTGAAGGTACAACTTCTAGTTCGTGCATATCAAGTTCGTGGTCACCAGAAAGCCAGAATTGACCCTTTGGGCATTTCCTATGGTGATCAGCTGGATGTACCTAAGGAGTTGACTTTGGAACATTATGGATTCACTGAGAGCGACATGGACAAGTCTATCACTCTTGGTCCTGGAATCTTACCGCGTTTCGTCGAAAATGGTAAGAAATCGTTGACATTGCGTGAGATCGTCGATGCTTGTGAGCGCTTGTATTGTTCATCATATGGTGTCGAGTATATTCATATACCATCCAAGGAGCAGTGTGACTGGTTGAGGGAAAGAATAGAGATCCCTCAACCTTTCAAATACTCCTCCGATGAGAAGAGGCAAATTTTGGATCGTTTAATTTGGTCGTGCTCTTTCGAGTCTTTCTTGGCGACGAAGTTTCCTAACGACAAAAGATTTGGTCTTGAAGGTGCGGAAGCCGTTGTTCCAGGAATGAAAGCCATGATTGATACCTCTGTTGAACACGGAATTGAAGACATTGTAATCGGAATGCCGCATAGAGGAAGATTAAACATGTTGTCGAACGTTGTTAGAAAGCCAAATGAATCGATCTTCTTCGAATTCACTGGTTCGAAAGAGTTTGACGAGGGATCGGGCGACGTCAAATACCACTTGGGTATGAATTACAAAAGACCTACAACTTCCGGTAAACATGTGAACTTATCCCTTGTGGCAAATCCCTCGCATTTAGAAGCCGAGGATGGTGTTGTTTTGGGTAAAACTAGAGCCATTCAGGAATACAAGACCGATACAGGTGAATTCAAGAAAGCCATGGGTGTCTTGTTGCATGGTGACGCCGCATTTTCCGCTCAGGGTGTTGTCTATGAGACTATGGGCTTTGCAAATTTGCCAGCATACTCTACAGGTGGTACTATTCACATCATCATAAACAATCAGATTGGTTTCACCACTGATCCACGTTTTGCAAGATCTACCTTGTACCCCTCGGATATCGCCAAGTCTATCAATGCTCCTATTTTCCATGTCAACGCAGACGATATTGAAGCTCTTACTTTTGTGTTCAATTTGGCAGCTGACTGGAGAGCAACCTTCCACTCTGATGTGATCATCGATGTCGTTGGTTACAGAAAGCACGGTCATAATGAAACCGATCAGCCTTCTTTCACTCAACCATTGATGTATAAGAAGATTGCGGAGAAGAGGTCTGTGCTCGACTACTACGTCGACAAATTAATTTCCGAGGGCACATTTACGAAAGAAGACATCGATGAGCATAAGAAGTGGGTTTGGAATCTCTTGGACGAGTCTTTCGGTAAGTCCAAGGAGTATCAGCCAACGTCGAGAGAATGGTTAACAACTCCGTGGGAGGATTTCAAATCTCCAAAAGAATTGGCCACAGAGATCTTGCCTCATTTACCAACTGCTGTTGATGCTGAAACATTAAAGAGTATTGGAAAACATATTTCGGAGACCCCTAAGGGATTCGAGGTCCACAGAAACTTGAAGCGTATTCTCAACACGAGAAAGAAGACTGTTGAAACTGGTGAGGGAATTGACTGGGCCACCGGCGAAGCTTTGGCCTTCGGTTCCCTTTGTCTCGAGGGCTACCATGTCAGAGTTTCTGGCCAAGACGTTGAGAGAGGTACATTTTCACAGCGTCATTCCGTTTTGCACGATCAGGAGTCGGAGAAGGTTTACACTCCACTCAATACCTTATCCGAAGAGCAAGGTCCCTTCGTGATCTCTAACTCCTCTTTATCGGAGTACGGAGTGATGAGTTTCGAATACGGTTACTCGCTTTTCTCCCCTGATGCCCTCGTTCAGTGGGAAGCTCAATTTGGTGATTTTGCTAACACGGCGCAGGTTGTGGTTGATCAATTTATTTCGGGAGCGGAATCTAAATGGAAGCAAAGATCAGGATTAGTCTTGTCTTTACCTCATGGTTACGATGGACAGGGTCCCGAGCACTCTTCAGGAAGGATTGAAAGATATTTGCAGATGTGTAATGAGGACCAACGTTACTTCCCTTCAGAAGACAAATTGGAGAGACAGCATCAGGATTGTAACATGCAAGTTGCTTACCCTACAACCCCAGCTAACCTCTTCCATTTGTTGAGACGCCAGATGCATAGACAATTTAGAAAGCCTTTGGTCTTGTTTTTCTCAAAACAGTTGTTGAGACATCCCTTGGCAAAGTCTGAATTAACGGAGTTTACTGGAGACTCACACTTCGAATGGATCATCGATGACCGTGAGTTGGGTAAAAGCATTCACGACAGAGATGGCATTGAACGCATAGTACTCTGCTCGGGTCAAGTGTACACCGCTTTGCATAAGAAGCGTGCCTCTCTTGAGGACAAGAGTACGGCCATAATCAAAATTGAGCAATTGCATCCATTCCCCTTTGCGCAATTGCGTGATACTTTGAACAAATATCCAAATGTTCAGGATTTGGTCTTTTGCCAAGAGGAGCCTTTGAACATGGGATCCTACTCCTATGTTGCACCTCGTATGGTTACCACGTTAGAAAACACCGAGAAGCATGCGGGATTTGTGATGCGCTACGCAGGAAGAGATCCTTCAGCTTCCATCGCTGCCGGTTCCAAGGCGATGCACAACGCCGAGGAGGAGGCCTTTTTGAAAGAAGTTTTTCAGGAATCTTGAGGAGCTCTTCAATAAATTGTGACTTTGGTAAACAGCTGTAGATTTTTTTTTTTTTTTTTTTTTTTTTTTTTTTTTTTTTTTTTTTGATTGTATTACAGATACGGTATATTGCTTTCACGCGAACTGGAGACTTGACTTATCGCTTTTACTGGGGTATGCCTTCTTATTTGTGGTATAGAGACCAAAAGCCATTAAAGCTTGGGGATGTCAACAGATACACTATTCATTATACTACCAATGATCAATCTCTAACTGAGATATATCTAAGGGTCAAAAATTTGGAGAAAACACCACTTCGAGCAATACATCTTTTGAATGGCCCCTTCATTCTCTACGCTCATGTCGTCCCAATTAGATACCACCATAGAAGTGAGTTTGTTCCCGAAGACTCTAGAAGAAATTCTGAAGTTGTGTTTAAAAATGCCATTAAACCTGGACAGACTTTCAACGTGAAATTGTATTTGAATGGAAACAGTTTAGAAACGACGCATGCAGATGGAAAAAAAACTTATTCCTGGTCCTGCGATATTATTTCCCAGATAATTCTAAACAGAAAGGCGTCTGTGCTCTACGATTTCATGATTGGCGATGACTTGTTCAGTATGCGAAGGCTTAATCGCTCTGTCATCACTTCTTTGACAAAAGGGGACTTCACTGGGACCTCTAGTGAAACACCAAATGAGGACAATTCTTGTGACAACTTTGGAGTATCTACAAACCCCGATCTTCAAGTAGTCAGCAGTCATACAGACGATCTATGGACTCAGGTACCCAAGACGCCGAGCTCGCCAATTCACCTTGTTGTTATAACTCATGGTGTCTTCTCTAACTTAACTGCCGATATGCTTTATTTGAGGGACCAACTATCGACACTAGATGAAAATGTAGTAGTTACAGGCTACAGAGGAAATGCAGGAAGGACGGAGAAGGGAATTCACAAGCTCGGTGTGGGGGTATCATTCTTCGTCACGAGCCTCATTGATGAGTTTAGTGCCAAACTGTTGGAGATAAGTAAAATCAGTTTTGTTGCCCACTCACTCGGTGGGCCCGTTCAACTCTACGCCTTGAAGCACATCTTGCAGGTTAAAGGTGAAGATTACTTTAAATCGAGAAATATTCTGTTGGAACATTTCGTTTGTATAGCTAGTCCAATGCTTGGAGTATTGAGTGAAATGAGTTTTTGGATTTCTTGGTTTTTAGATCTCGGCACCTTGGGAAAAACAGGTCGAGACCTAACATTACTGAAAAAATTACCGCTGTTTGTGAATACTAACTCAAAGAGCGAAAAGTTCAAGCCAGTTTTGGAGTCTTTGCCTGATGCACTTGTTCAGACCCTTCTCAAACAATTCAAGCTGAGAACTGTCTATGCTAATGCATTCAACGATGGGATCGTTCCCCTAAGAACAAGTTCCCTCTTATACCTAGACTGGGCCGCAATGGGTGATGTTTCACAGTTGAAAAAACACCCCGAATATATGCGGAAAAGTTCCATAGATGATGACCAGAGTCAGGCGACTGTGGAGACAAACGCACTGGGTCATGACGTTGGCGCAGTACCGTATGGAACATCAACCCTAAATCCAAACGCCTCAAGTCAAACCTCTCATAATGATACAGAGCTTTCAAAATCACGGACTTTTAACAACGATCAGACTCAGGGTCTTGATCCATTTCATCGGAAGCGAATATCGAGAAAGACCGTCTTATATTCAAAAATTTCGGCGAAAGGCACCGACACATCGCTCGATGATGATCTTGATGACGATCTGGAAAGCGACGAGGAAAAATCTGTGCAATACAACATACCCCGAAGGCTTCTGCTGTTGAGTCCGCTCTCAGTACCATGATCTGTCCAGTACCGTCGCAAAAATTCATTTTGAGACCTCAAGATCGCACCCTGGTAATATTCCATGATCGATTCTACCATTTCAATAATATACCCGAAGATTCATCGCCTAGTGTGGGTCCATTCAAACGTTTGTTTAGATCGAAAGAGTGGAAACTTGAAAAACAGGTGAAGATCGCACAGAAATACCACGCAGATGGTATCAATTGGAGAAAGGTTCTAGTTTATTTACCTCCCGACGCTCATAACAATATAGTCGTTAGACGAAGGTTCGCCAATGGCTACGGTTGGGGGGTTATAGATCACCTCAAGGATCAAATATTCGAGGATCTGCGACTAATTGCGAAAATGTGATTTATCATATCATTGCTTTGACTTATATACTAGAACACTTCAAGTGAAAGTTATAGGTCACCTTTAATTCATTCATTACTCAATCTTTTCCTTTGAATACTTCTCTTTCAAAAAGTTGAAGATCCCCACAAAGCGAAACTTCCGGATAAGAGCTCTCTCGACAATGAACCTAGGGCACCAACACAATAAATAACCCAAGAACGTTGACATGTGCCCTCTGTAAATATTGAGTCTTCCATCGCATGTCGCATGCTCAAAGTCATTGACAACCTTCTTTGCGTAAACGTCTGGTTCCATTGGCTTATTCTTCACAGCCATTGCTCTTCTTTCTTCCAACGACTCATGGATACCGGGCACATTGTATATGGATGATTCTGGTAGAGGCCTGATATCCTGAATGGCGGTCTTGACCCCTCCAGTGACAATATTTATGACCTTCACATCAAAAGGTTTCAATTCGAGTCTCAAAACGGCAGCAAATTGGTGAATAGCACTTTTGGTGGACGAGTAAATGGAAGAAAAGGGGAAGGGTATCAAGCCACTGACGGAGCCAGTGAAGCCAACAGTCCCTTTCGCATTGATTAAAAGCGGTGCTAGCTCCCTTGTCAAGCGAATCGGGCCAAATACATTAACTTCGAAGCATTGTCTAAACTGCTCGTCGGTTACGTCTATGGCGGGAAATGTACAAGATTGGCCAGCATTATTGAATAATACATCTAAATAACCATCGGTCTCTCTCATCATAAACTGTTTGCCCTTTATGACGCTATCTATGTCAGACACATCCATCTTGAAAGTTGTGACACCCTGGCGCTCAAGCTCCACCATAGGTTCGAGTCTCCGGGCGCAAGCGAATGTGCGATAGCCCCGTCTTTGAAATTCAAGAGCAGTGGAGAAGCCAATGCCAGACAGAGCGCCTGTTACAAGCGCAGTCTTTTGGCGCGTAATCTGGTCAGTCATGTCGAGCTTAATCAAGAATTGTGTAGCTAAAATATACCAGAGTATATTTTCCCCCGCGCGTCCTTGTGATCTTTATCTCCGGCATACCAGAGTATATTTTCCCCGCGCGTTGTGATCTTTATCTCCGGCACCCCTTCGCACGGCCCAGCCATCATATGAGTCTTTCCCGAACTATCATTGACTCACAGCGCCTTCATCAAATTCGAAAACAAAAGCTCGACCAATTATTCTGTGGCTCACGATCACGATAGCTCTACACCCCGAGTTTGAACATCAATGCGCCGTGACTAGTTTACTTGGGATTTGATCCTATTTCCTCCATGATTTTCTCCTTGTTAAAATAATGCATGAATTTCGTCATTTTGGCTCCCTCGTCTTTCTCAATGTGAAGCACAGGCACGTCGTAGCAGTATAAATCGAAAGCCTCTGAATTTTCTGGGTCGAGTATGTTGATCACTTTTAAGCTAACATTTTTTGTCGCATTTGCTTCTATAGCATCATGCAAAATCGTAGCGGCATTTTTGCAAAGTTGACATCCGTCTTTAGTGAAAAACGTTAATCTGAATCGCCTTGCCTGGTGGAGCGTAGAACACCATCTACGTACGATGAATCTAGATGCGATCATAAGATAAAAAACTGTGTTAGTGGAATCTGAGTATAAACACCATTAGATTGTGAAATATCTTACTTTCCTGTATATTGAATGACTGTCACCCAATAACGACCTCCGATGTCGAGAAGAAGGAAACAATTTATGACTTCAATTAAACAATACTTTGGTTAGGCTTTTTGCGTAATTTTAGTAATTCGAAAAAATTCACCTACGGTCGGCAGAAAACGTCAAATTCATATTAGTCCCTGCATATACTTCATATGAATGGGCTAGAATCCATTTATGGATGCCAATGCGGTTTATACCTTTCCTTCTCCTTGCTGTCGGAGCTGCCTCCAATGTGTTACAGGTGTCCGATACAACGTTCAATGAAATTGTTTTGTCATCTGGTGTGACAACTTTGGTTGACTTTTACGCCACTTGGTGTAGGCATTGTAAAACTTTGATGCCAGTAATCGAGGAATTGGCCGATGAATTTTCGGAAAGTGTCAATATCCAAATTGTCAAAATCGACGGTGACGGTGATGGGAAACGTATGCGTAAAAAGTATAAAGTTGGAGGGTACCCCACGCTATTGCTTTTTACTGACTCACTGGCTCACCCCATTACTTATAACGGTCTGCGAGACCAGAAGTCATTGAGTAACTTCATCAAGCTCGCTTCTAAAGTTGAAAACAAAAAATATGTGGAAGACAGTGAACAGTCCCAATCATCTGTGATTTATTTAAGCGAAGGAGATCTTGATTCGCTAGAAAACATATCATCAAACAAAAAGCTTGTCTTGGTTCAGCACAAGCAATTGCTGTCAGACTTCCTACTGAGTTCATGGAACCAAGCTGCCCAAGTCTTCAGAAATAATGCTAATGGTGTAAAGTTTGTTGAACTTCATATTACCGATCCAAGTGTACTTAGTCTGAGTTTCGATGTCTCAGATTTACCAGTGATAATTGAAGTCGAGTCTGATTCTTTTGAAAATTCATCATGTGTGCAGCAAGTGACGAAAGATAACATTATGAGCCTCGTCGAACGAATCTTTAGCATTTCAGACAATGGAGATGTTCTCTCTGATAGAAATGCTGGAAGGCTTTTTTTTGTAGACAAGCGGATCAGGTTTGAGAATACCGAAGATGGTGAAAATCTCCTCAGAGATATTGTCGTGATGCTTGACTGCGATAGTACCGAGGCTAAGGCTTTGTTTGATAAATACAATGTGGAACATGGTGCTGATTTATCGATGCTTCCGTATTATCAAAAAATTGTGGCAAAAATCCTTGCGAAAGAGGAATCATGGTTGAAATCTGAGTCAAATCGCTTGCAACTGATGATTGGAAGCTTGGACATGATGACGAAAAGTGACGCTCACTACGCCATGAAGAGAGCCAACATTTTAAAGGCAAGTATAGCAGGAAGAAGATTATAAAAATTCTATAATATCCAAAAGAATATCTTATTACCAGTCAATAGGCTGAAACTTCTGTATCTGTCTCACCTTATCGGGCCAAACTCTGCCATCATTCACGACACACTCATCTATTATTGGTATGACGTTGCTGGGCTTACATCTCGCTAGCCAGATGTTTTTCCCTGATTTCTTGATATAGATAATAACATTAGCAGCGTACTTATGGCCTCCAATATGGTTCACGTAAGACACGGGAACCCCACCCCTTCTCTCATCGCCAAAATCCCTGTAGAGACCAATCTCTCTTAGATAAAGATCCATCTCTTTCTTCATGATAGGAGCTGTCACGCCACATTTTTTGTCTCGGGTTTTATGAGAGCAAAGAAATATATAAGCTGAGCTCGCATCAGCTACCACTTTGACATTAGGAATCGAGGTCTGCAATGACGCAGGAATCTCTTCTGAATGATTAGTTCGGCACTCAACAAGTCGAGGCACTACCTCATTCAAAACTTGCGTCGTATCTTCAGCCTTTATGTTTTTTATCCAAACAAAAAAAGGTAAGAGGAGTAAGTCGCCCCTTTCTCCGTCCATATACTCTATATCCGACTCGAGCTTGAGGGATGAAAGTGAGCTCACAGTCACCTTCACTTTGTTCAGGTCGCCCAAATCTACCGAAGACTGTGAGGCCCATTCTTCGACGCTAATCGCAAAGCGACCCGAGCCTTGTATAGCGTCATGCGGCCAATCAGATTTGTTGGTGGGTATGACTATGTGGAGACCATATGGCTTAGTTGTACCCCATAAGTCATCACTTGAAGCCTCGGACAAATTGATGGATGAGGGATACTTAGTGGTGCAAGAATCGCATTCTTGGTCACAACTAGAAATCTCGAAACCTAGATCTTGAATATCTCTGTTATGATCCGATGATCTTTTATAGAAGTCGAATAATCCCATGCTTTACGGGAAAAGTTCTATTGTGTTGACGTTATTTCCAGATGGCCTCGCTCTCGTGCGGCACACGGACTCGTGAGCCGCACACATACAACCAACATCCCGTTGGACTCACAATAAGGTCTATAGAACTTTGAAATACGACCTTCAAACTATGAAGCATGGCAAGATGGCTTAAATGAAATCATCCAGGCCTCTTTAAAAACACTTTAAATTCTTCATGGTACTTGTAGCGCATAGGTACTCGCTCAGACTAGTTCCAGTTTTGAATTCAAGAGCGGTTGTGTTTCGAAAGGCCGATTGACTGACATATTCACCGGACATGTGGTCGAAGCTCATTTCCCGCACAGCGAAGTGGTAACTGACTGTCCTTATTCCCCTCAAAAACACTTGTACTATTTCACCATGCTCTACATTGCAGGTTACTTTGTTTGCTAGATCATTCGAACCACCCAAACTTACTTTGGCCGTCAATTCCAAAGCTGGTAAAATAAGGGTGGGTGAAAGCCCAAAAGTTAAAGTCGAGGAAACCGACTGTTGAAATCCAAGCAGCAATGCTACTGATCCTCCTTCGCCAGCAAGCTCTCCGTGGCAGTTTGAAATGGGCATTAGGTCTGATTGATGATCAACAATATCGGCAAATACTTTGAACTCCAACAAGTCAGTTACTTTGAAATCGTGTGATTCAGTCTGACCATCGGTACTGAGGACTCCAGGATTATCTAATGAATTGGGATTTGCTTTCACTAAGAAGGAGTTATCGGAATAAAGGTGAAAAACAGTAGTGTCATTGATGGCGAGCAAAGTATTTCGATTGTTTTTTAGGCTTTCAAGCAGTTCCGCTTGTATAATCTGACACTGATTAATAGAATCTCCCCTATAGCCATCGTCAGGATGCGGCGAAAGGGAAATTGTGTTTGCAATAGAGCAGAATGAAAGACATAGCCAGACATGAGAAATGAGCTTTGCGAATGACATTGCTTCTAAGATTTCGTCCCTACCCGTGAATGAGGAAGCAGTACTTGATTTAAATAACTCAGATATGGTTGCTTTATGAGTAAAGATTGTATATGCTTCTAGGACCTACGCTAAGAAAGCATTGAGTGATCATTTTGTTTGCTGGAATTTTATTATCTTCTAAAATTTCCTTTTGTATTCGCTTTTTTCTTCTCTAACTATCAATTCAATCCTCGTGTAGTGAACAGAATCGGAAAGAAAAAAATGGATATTTCTTTAGAAAAATTGTCATCGTTTCCTTCTTGTTTTCCTTCATCCACAGACCCTCTTGAGGAAGCTGGAAGGCTACGGTGTACCGGTGATATCAACACGCTTATTGTCCCAGGCGCCGACAAAAAACCAGATTATATTTTAATTAAGCCCGAGTGTATCATAGATAACCCAAGCAGGACGACTCTAAAAAAAAAAAAAAAAAAAAAAAAAAAAAAGAGTTCGATTGTCTCGGTTAAAAAAAAAAAAACTGTCTCAATTCCACGTCAGCAAGGAAATTATTATCACGCGCATACATACGAAATCATCGCAAAAGGTCCTCAGGCAAGTTCTGGCGCGTGTCATCAATCCGAGTTGCCCATTTTAACAAGATAACATCTTTTTTTGGCCGGGTGTTATGATTCTGCTAGAAACGTTACCCGCCAATGACGCTCAAGCCCGAAAAGTACTTTCGAAAGTGCCCGAGTCACCGAGCCGAAAGAACGATAATCCTTTGACCCCAACTTCAAGGTCCCTTCGTGGAGCACCATCAGATGTTTCGGAGGCTGGTACTGGAGATACGGTTCCAAGCTCTATAGCTGATGAGGCTCTTCCCCAGACAGATTCGTTCCACACCCTAACTAACAAATCCCTCAATGACCATAATACTACTCTAGATACTGGAGTGGCACCGCACACAGAGAAAAGAACGTCAAAACCTATTGAAAATGAAAATGTGGATCCAAAGGCAGTAATAATTCGTGCAATTGGCCCTCTGGATGACTTGAATCGTTCAGCGCCCTTTTTCAATTCCGAGCAACTGGATCAGAATAGATCAGGACTACAAAACTCTAGAATCAGTCCACTTAGAAGGCATACGTCACCACAGACTCATAGGGATGCTGGATCTATTGTGGAACGACAAGTTGGGGGCCCTTCGAATGCCAAAATCCCGCCAAATACTGATCATCAGAATACGCTGGATCAGAGCTATATTCGCGTGTCAGCAAGAGCAAATTCCACAGCCGACATTCCAAGACTTCGAACTGCCAATAAGGACTTTTTCGATGACGAAATAACTAGAATGAGGAATTCTATCATTGTTAAACGTAATATAAAAAAGAGGCAACAATTGGGCCATACAGAAGATGAAAATGTGTTTTTGGGCAACAGAATTAGTGAGGGGCATGAAAATTTCGTGATGGCGTATAATATGTTAACTGGTATCCGTGTCGCTGTATCGCGATGCTCGGGGATGATGAAAAAGATCCATGATGAAGATTTCAAAAGTACAAAGAAATTGACCTTTAACATGGATGGTAATGAATTAACGCCATCCTCGAAATATGACTTCAAGTTCAAGGACTATTGCCCAGAAGTATTTCGTGATTTGAGATCTCTTTTTGGCGTAGATCCAGCCGACTACCTTATATCAATCACAGGTAAGTACATTCTTTCTGAGCTTGGATCGCCTGGAAAAAGCGGCTCTTTTTTCTATTATTCGAGAGACTTCAGATTTATCATCAAAACCATACATCATTCGGAACACAAGCAGTTGCGCAGGATTTTGAAGGACTATTATCATCATGTGAAAAGCAACCCCAATACGCTCATATCGCAATTCTATGGGCTACATCGTCTCAAGGTCAGAGGTAGTATTAAAAAAGTTCATTTCATCGTCATGAATAACCTATTTCCCCTCATAGAGACATACACACAAAGTACGATTTGAAGGGCTCCACATGGGGTAGATATACCAAGATTCCACTTGACAAAGAGGGTCTTCTCGATTCCTCGCACACGACTTTGAAGGATCTTAATTGGCTTGAGCAAAAGGAGAAAATTATGTTTGGCCCAAAGAAACGCCGAATATTTTTAGAGCAGCTTCGTGCAGATGTCCAGTTCTTGAAAAATATCAATGCCATGGATTACTCTTTGCTTCTTGGAATCCACGATGTCCAAAAAGGAAATTCTACAACTATCACCAACCTTTCGGTTTTTGACCCAAAATCTAACAGCAAGAATGATTTAATCAAGACTAATCCGAGAGACATTGATCGCGAAGCTGACCTACCTGCCCGAAACTTCCCTGGACGGTCCAAATATATTTTCTACGGACACGATGGCGGGATACGGGGAACAAATGAGGAGAATGAGCCCACGAGAGTCATTTACTATCTAGGCATCATCGACTGCTTAACTCATTACTCCATCAGAAAGAAACTCGAAACTTTATTTAGATCTGTTGGTCAAAACCGGAGTACGATCTCCGCTGTTCCCGCAAAAGAATACGGTGATCGGTTTTTTCAATTTATTCAGAAAAGCGTCTCAAACTTAAAAAGCAAAGAGGCCTAAATTAAGTCGCCGAATGTATAATGAAAATGGTAGCTTCAGTCAATCAGTGTAAAGCGCGAACTTGAACTTAGTGGCAGACAAGTCCGCGAACAACAGTATTCAACAACATGTTGCGCAAGCTGGTCGCTCAATTGTTAACGACATGTCGGGCACTTGGATTTCATTCATTATCCCCTTTGACGGGCTCTACACGTATTGCGGGAGAAACATCATCTAAAAGAGTCGAGCCTTATGTGGAGAGATTACCCAGTATCAAAACGAGCGACGATATACTGGTGAATATCCTTGGAAATCCTCCTTCCATGGCAACCATTGCAATTCCACCATCTATACCAATCAACATTCGAAAAAATTCTTTGGTGATGGTCCAAGGGAATTTACCTCGGTTAAGATCGAAAGTAAGAGCATTGTTTCCTTTTAAATCCTTTTTGTTTGATGGGAGAGTCCAACTCTATGAAGAGATCACGTCAACGGAGCCTACATCACTTATTGTGTCTGCGCAAACATGCAGCATGTTTCAAAGGTATGTCGGAAAGTCTAGTCAAAGGTCATTTGCTTCATTGGAATTAAATGGTGTAACAGACTGGGCTATTTTACAGAAGGATGCTCTACAAGTTTATGGAGGACCCTCTTTAGTCGTCGGTAAGCACAAGACTCCCAAGAACATTTCCAGAGCTTTTGCTAGAACGCTGGGTCTTTCCGGAAGACCTCGCACTGGATTGTCGACTCTTGGGAGTCGTGGTTTCACATTCATTGGCGGAAGAGGTGTCGCTGCCTTGGCAGGACACGGACAAGTTTTCGCCATTAAAGTGAAGGAAAACGAAGAAATTCTCATAAACAAACACAACCTTTTGTCGATTTCAGTCAATGGGCCTCATGATTTAGAAAATTGCGTTGTGGGAAGACAGGATTCTCAACCCTCAATTACAGTGCAAAAGGTAAAGAGGCCAAGTATGCTGCCAATTCGTAGCTTCAAGGACTTGACAACAAATCTAAGGTCCATTTCGGAATTTATTTCATCAATTTGGCAATTGGTTCGAATGAAAAGCAAGGATCTTATTTTGGGAAACTCAAATTTCGTCAATATCTGGGGACCAAGAACTATCTTGTTGCAGTCAGAGGCGTCGGGGTTTTACCGTAATCTCAAAAGAGAAACCCTGATAGTCAGCGCTTCTCGCACACCCGATCATACACCCGAAGAAACACTAGAACTGAAGGACTATTTGAATATTGTCACCTGCAGGCCTGAATCCAAGCCCACAATCGAAAGCAGGCTGTCTTTTACACAGTTGTAGATTAAATACATGACGCATAAATATTACTCATTACGTAGCTCTCTATATTTTTCTTTCTCTGGTAAAATGTTTAACGGCTGGAGCTCTCCGTGCTGCTGCCCTCCGTGCTAATCGGTGTGGAGCTATCCTTACCACTGTAGGGGCGAGGATCTAAATGAACAGAATCCTCCCCCTAGTATACAATTCGATCTGCCTCGGATTCGGAAGTGGGAATTTTCTATCCAAACCTGACGATATCTCGGGAGCTTCAATCTCTTCCGTTTGTTCCGACTCCGTTTTCTTCTTTTTGACTCGCTAGACTCTGTGTTGGATGACAGCTCTGCAGCCGCAGCAGCGGCTCCTATATTTGTAAATTTTGAACCCTCACGCTCCAGTGGACTCATTTGAGCCAACTCAAGATCATGCTTCTTCATATTAGCAGTACTTAACTTCTGTACCGGAAGGTACTTGAGATGAGGAGGGTGAGATGTTTCCACAGGTGTCGGTGATTTACTGTCTTCCGAGTCTTTCATGTCTTGCTCTGGAATAGCGCTAGGTTTATGCTTAAAACTCCCTTTACTCAATCCACTTGAGTCATCGGATCCAGAGCCGTCGTCGGTGTTTTTCCCGCTACCACTGTCAGTTGAACTTGATATTCCGGACGAGCTTTTTTCGTCAAGTGAGGCTCCCACAGATGTTGACGCGGTTTGGGACTTAGATTTGAGAGACAAGTCTGTCGAAGAGCCAGACGTCTCCGAATTGTTGAAAGCATTTAACTCACTGTCTAATTTAGGTAACTTTGAGCTACTAACCATAGACTGTGGATGGTCTGAAGCTGTGCCATTGTGATTCAACACAGCAACCTCGTGATTTGGATGCTTGCCATCTAGCACGGATTCGGCATTCCTCGAGAAACCTAGTTTGTCTGGCGATGTCGGATAAGATCGTGGATGTATAAGACGGTAAGGGAGTGACTGGTGACTGTGTATGTATGGGGGCGTTGCAGCAACTCGCATTTTGGTCCGGTCGGGGATACCACTTCCCGTGTCCATTACTCAGTGTGGACAACTCGGTTTTTGAAGCATCTCCATCATTACTCGTCACGTTCGTCGTAGTCAAGTTCTGGGCATTTGTATTCTCCGGATTCGCCGAATACTTCGAAAGCACTCTATTGACAGCGACAAATAAGTCCGACCATTCGAAGACTTTGAGTCCCTTCTCAATATTTCTTGGACGAGGATTTTCCATTGACATCAAACTTGAGAATAGTCTGCGGCTTTCATTCGATGACTTAGTGACAGTATACGGCTTGAGAAACTGTAAATTTCGACGAACACGACTTTTTTCTTCGATAGAAAAGTGTTCCCCAACAAGAAACTCGAGTACTAAGATAACATCAACAGATGTAACAACGCAAATGTCCTTTTCTTTCCATTTGATGCATGATATAACTAAAGAATCGTCACTTGATGAATATGAGAATGGCGATACGGGCTCGGCCAGTATCTTGAAAGTTGCGTATGACTCCCGATGCACAGAGAGGCGTACAAGTCGTCTTTCCTCTTGCTCTTCTTCCTTGCACCAGTTCAGTTGCATTTGAGTAACCTCTGAACCAACGTCAAGCAGTATCGGAGTGTTAACTATGTCGAGATGCTGACGGATAAATTCAGAGGGAAGAGTGCTCGTCCTTATCAAATTTGGGCATGTGAGTTTCGGTAACTTATCCATCTTTCTAAAGGTTCTTTCAGTAGGGATGCTGAATCGATTGGAAAATCTTTGAATAAAGCCAGAACTACTTGAGTTCAAGAGCAGGTCGGAGTTATATATGTCTCAAAAATATCAGCAAGAATATTAAAAGCAAAAATGCAATATGTCTCAGTTTGCTAGAACTAGACATGCGCCTTATATAAAAGGTGTGGCAAGTGTGAGGTAACTAGCCCCTTATAATTGCTTGCGGCTAGTAAAAAATTTTCCTGTTGCTTCGCCACATCTTGTGGCGGGCCGCTCTGTATACGTCATTCCGGTATTCAATTATACTTGCTGCCGCGCGAGCTCTTAGCTGTGAGAAATTTGATGCAGAGCGACTTGTCTCACAAGTCGCGATTTCTGACTGGTTCGACGGTATTCCCTAATGGTTGTTCTAGATCAATTAGCCACAGAGGCCGTCGTGCAAGGCATCTCAATAGGTCAAGAGATCAACGACCACATTCACAACGCTGACGAGTACCTCGATGCATACTAGGACAATTACAATGAACTCGAGATTTTCTTCCTGCGAATGGCCTAGTTGCTCTTTCAACATCTGTAGTAGATCTGATATAACCTCCAATCTTTGTTCGAGCAATTCCACCCTTTGATTGATTTCGAGATATCCTCTAGTCGCCTGGTAAATTGGCTCTAGATGCGGCTCTGCCCACATGAGTTCTGGAGAGTCGAGAACTGAGCCATGCAAGTTTATATTAATGCGTAATATGAAAAGTTCCCCGATAGATTTCATAATCTCGTCTCGGGTCATCTCGACCTTTCCAGTGTGCGCGATTTGTTGTGGAATATCTTGGGTATCCTCTATGGTATTGTCGACGAGTTCCTCAAATAACGAGATTTTAACTGATTGTGCCAAGGCATGAGATATAGATAATTTGAGCATGTAGTTGGCATCATCACGGAGAGTTATGAAATCATTGTAGATCCGTGGTTGGTAGGACGTAGTAATATAGTAGTTAAACTCTTCTACTTGAACATCCTCGGAGGAGAGCTTTTCACTTTCAAAGCGAGCCAAATCTTCCAAGAAGGCGATCTCTTCTTTTCGCGTGTAGCACCACATAATCACGACGCCATATTCGAAGATGAAAATATCATTCCTTTTACCAAATTCAATTTCGCCACCATCATCAGCTAAGCGAATCATTTTTTTCCCTCCATCTTCTGAATCATTTCTCCAGTCTTTATATGTAAATGGAGTGTATAAGCATTCGTCGAAGAGTTTCGGCATGGTGTTATGAATTCTTTTTCTATCTTTAAGCCATCGAAGTAAATCCTTCATTTTGTAGGACCCAGACGTACAATAAGCTGTTACTCTTGGTAACAAATCACGATGCAGCTTTCCAAGAATTTCGGCATCCTTCCTCGCTGGCTTATCAGTAATTCTGGTTACTTGCGAATATACACCCCCTCCTTGTGAAACATCACTTTTCAGGTCTTGATTCTCGTCAAAAGAGAGTAGCTCGCTCTCAAAAGTCGGCGGGTCTTCCGGTAATAATTTAAGTTTCTGGCTCGTCCTACTTAGTCTTTGAAGGCCGAGTTTTGAGTTATTGCCAATTTTCGATGAAGTTTTCTGAGTAAGTCCTCCTTGACTTATGTTGACCTTCCTGTTTTCTCTTGGACTCTCAGAAGTGTTTCCAATGAGTGGGGTCTGCTCTGAATGATTTTGCATGGTTATAGCTAGGTTGATCTTGCCCCTGCTCTGTGCACCTGACATTGCGTAGTGTACTGTATGTTAACCTTCGTGATATTGAACCATGTTTCATTATTATTCTGTCCCCAATTCATATGTTGGATTGATTTGAAGCTGCACGAGCCACACCACTTAGTAGCCTGGCATGTGTGTGAAATTGCGTACGAGTCCATGTAAACTCGCACTGCTAAAAAGGATTCAGCTTTGCTGTTTTAGCTTTGCAAACCAGTTTTTCTTGAACACATCGAGTTGTCTTTCATCCATCTATTTCTGTTTTTGGTTTTTTGAACGGGAATTCCCCCGTTCTTTTTCTTCCTTTTCTTTTTGGTAGCAGATATCTCATACCCCTCCTCAGTTTCCTGTCGCATTTGGACCGAAGATGAAACCGTTTGAAAAGAAAGCTACCATTTTAGATTCTGGTTTGTTTCCAATTGCCCCAATCGAAAATCATTCTCATTTTTCTTGTTATATTAAATCAACTCCTCATGTGTTGACCGTGAGTGGGATCGAGAACCATTGCATTCTTTAGATTGTTAGTGCCAAGGGATTCATCGAAATATCGAAAGTGCTTTGTGTTGGCAGTCATCCCAAAATGGTACAATATAGTCCCAAGATCTTGATCTTCTTCTATTTTCAGTTTCGATGAATTTAAATTGCTCATGAGGCTATTTATGATTTGAGCTGTAATCTAGTAAAATGCTTTCGCATGGTGTTTTTGGTTTAAAATTAGAAATTCTTGCTCGAATTCTCTTTACACAGCTAAACGGGATACTTGATTGAGGTACAGGCCATCCTGATTGTATTTGTATCGTCCTTTTTATTTTATTTTATTTTATTTTTTGTTTCATTTTCATTTCATTTTAATTTTTCTTCTTTCCAATGGCTTCCACTATCTAAACTGCAGAAGTCTAAACGAAATAGAGGAGCGACGCATATTATGCACGTGCTATTCACGTGACTAATATACGCGATGAGCTCCTCTGTAAAGTTAATGCCAGTGACTAGAATTTATCCTCATGGCAAAGCATCATAACTTCAAATCTTTTAAGGAGCGTGTCAACGCCCTCAAGATTCGTCCGTACTCCAAACTTGGAGTGAGAAGCTATGAAGATACTACCACTTCTTTCTACTTGGAGACTTTAGCCCACTGGAAAGAGGTCAATATAAGCGGTAACTTCACTTCTTGTGTTGAAAGAATCGAACCGTTTAGCCGATCCTTAGCCCAAGTGTTACATCACAAGAACCAGCTTTATGATATACTAGAATATCATATTTCTCAGCATGATATCCACTCACTTCAACCTTTATTGGAAATTTTGACTCAATTTATCCATGACTTAGGTCCTGAATTTTTAACATTTTACAAAAGATTTATTCATTTATTGATGGATTTATGTCTTTCAGTGTCACCGAACGATTCTCAGAGTATGAAAAATTCCGCCAACATTCTCGAATGGTGCTTCAACTCGTTAGCATTTGCGTTTAGGTATCTCTCTCCTGACATCTGTGAAGACTTGTGGAACTCATTCGAGGATCTCATACCTCTTTTGAAAGAACAAAAGAAAGCATACATAGGTCGTTTTTGTGCAGAAGCGATGTCACACTTGATTAAAAAGCTGTCAAAGGAGGCCTACTTAGACTTTGTCGATCGTTGTTTCACCTTAATCTCAGAAACTGACCTAACCTTAGAGTTTCTAGAGAATATAGCTGTCATATTCACAGAGGCTATCAAAGTTGCAAATGATAATCTACATTCAAAGACATTGATGATTTTGAAGCCCTTACTAAACAAAGCTATGCGCTCGTGTAAGGAGAATGATTATGGCTTTCTACACCTTACTGCACGAGTTATTATGTGTACTCTTCATCATGCTAAAAATGATCAAGCTTGCAGCATGAGTCGAAAAATTTTGATTGAGCTTAACACATACCTTCCCCTGATTAGTGCGCCGCGTCAGCTACACTCTATATTGTTCTTATACCTGGCCATAATTTTCACTGATAACGGACGCAAAGTCTCGTTAGATCAAGATTTTGTCCAATTCATGAAAGCCATTGGCCTAAAATATGCAGAAGATGATGAGCCGGAAGCGCAATTCGCCACTTGCTCGACCATGTTTGCCTTACTTTGGACTTTGCTCGTGAGAAACCTGGAAGCGAACACAGCTGCAATGTTGCTACTGCAGCTATGGGATACATTACCATCCACTTTCAGCGTCTTGCAATTGAGCGTGTTAGAAATTGTGAAAGACTTGAAACATGAGGCCCCCTATCGCTTGAGATTGACAGACGCTTTCAACAAGTCATCAACGGTCTTGACCTGGAATCGGGACTTCAACAATTATCACTCATCATAAGCAGGAGCGAGATTGATGAATCGCATGATCTTTTGAAATTAGCTATACCTATCACTTTGAAAGATAATATCCTTGATCTGATAGCGACTGCTGTCAAAGACGAGAAATCTGAGCTCAACGATATCAAATGGAGATGTAACATTTTAAGACTTCAAAGTGTGAAGTCCGCTGACGATCAAAAAGTTGCCTTGAAGTTAATCAACTCAATCAATCAACGCTGGGATACACCAGATACCTCTGAGTTAAATGGTCAGCTTATATCATTTTTCGTGAACTGTCCAGAAGGCGACGACACCATTCCCTTGGCGAAAGATCTCACAGACATGTTACCCAGTCTTATCAACGTCTGCTGTAAATCTGAAGTTTTTCTTTCAGCGGTGCAAAACTTTTACAAGTTCTTTGGGGGTCCTTCATTTGCTGCACCTTTACAGGCGGCGTGTTTAGGAAATCTTTCAAGCACAAATAGACGGTTAAGGCTTGAAAGCATTCAGACACTTCAAATCCTATGTCCAGAGCACAAGGATATTTTGTCTCAAATGACGTCAGTTGATCAGATTGCTCTAGAAGTTGAAAATGCCAGTTTAATGAGATTGAGAATTCTGGAGCTCTTCAAGGCGTATTCAATGCATCTGGGTACGAGTCTAATACAAATTGGCATGGCCCATTTTATAATGGGGCTTTTATGCAAGCAGTATCAACCTTGCTGGGAAGCTGTTTTCGATGCTTTAAAATCGATGGCAGACTCTGCTTTAGATGATTTGCTCAGTCGACTCCTCTATGATCAGCTTCTAGCAAAGCCATCTATTGAACGACCTTTAAAGTTCGACGAAGAAGAGGCTAATCAAGGCTCTGACTTCTGGATTCTTGAAAATGATGATGGCATTTTCAAAAGTCTTTTCAAGAAGGTGAATGATCGTGTCCCTCACTCTACAAAGGAACTCGTTACGAGAATCAACAAGATGGGAGTGGTCGAAGAAGTTTCAGATCAGATCACATCTCAAATGAGAAACAGGTTTTTAAAATGTCTCAAAGAAGTTCCTAAAATTGCATTGGCGGATGTGGACAGGTCTCTCGAATTAATTCATTGTGTCGTTTATGACGAAAGTGAAAATAGTTGGTCTATGGAAGAGAAGGTTACAGCTCTTGAGTTGGTGAGCTCTATAAAGGGACGAATCTCTCGTTGCCTGCGAATCACCTTGTCATCGACTCTTAGAGAGGCCATAGGTTCAAAACATTCAAAATTACAAGAAGCAGCATTGAAAGCTTATTTGGCTCTTGACACCTCTCTTCTTCGTTATCGTGATGAACTTATGAATTTGCTTGATGATAAGTTGTTTAAGGACGAAGTTTTGAGCCTATTGGGAGAGACATCTGATGAAAGGGTTAAGGAAGAAGACGAAAAAACCGTCATCCCATTGATCCTTCAATTATTTTTTGGGAAAATGCAGACTTCTTCGAAGAAATCCAAAAAGTTCGGAGCAAGATTCACTATTGCATCAATTCTCCCAAGTTTGAAACCTCAATATGTGACACATTTCGTCAGTCACATGAGCAGCAAAATACCATTTCAGACGTATTTTGCAGCTGCCAGCTCACCGGAAGACTATTTCGATAATATCAAAATAATGACCGGTTTCGTGAATATGCTTAGCGAAGTTTACGATGCTTTGGGATACAAGTATTATGATGTGCTAAAGGAAACTATACAACCACTCGCTTACGTTCTCATTTGCGTCCAAAAAATTGCTAGTTCAGAAACCGAGGGAAACTCTTCCCCTCTCAAATCTTTGCGACAAACTTCGTTCAGATGTCTTAATACATTTGATAAGTTAGTAGGGTCGCAGTATGACTGGTCCCTGTTGATGCCAATTTTATTTGAACATGTTCTTCGGCCGCGATTGACAAATTTCCAAGCTGAAAACAATCAGCTGGTCTCGTCATTGTTAGAATTCACTCTCAATCGAGTGAATCATGATTTTTTTATGGGCTTTTACAGTTTGGATGACTGGATGCCTCTCAAAGCCATCACATCCCTCATGTCAAATGAGCATTGCAAAGATGAAGTCATCATAAGCTTAATGGATTTTTTTATATCTGCATTGACGAAGCAGGTGAACAGGGAAGATTTGCAGTACATCAAATTTCTTGCTATGCTTGTGGACTCCTTACTCAGTAACCTTCCTCGGATTCTAGAAAGCTCCAAGAATAGAGATGTATTGTCAAGATGTGCCACGCTTCTATTACTTTTGGTCGAGGGTCAATTTTTGAGTCAAGAATACGACAAAACGATGTTTATTCATGCGTCTTGCAAGGCTTTGCAAAAATCATCCTTTTTCGTACGTTCTGAGGATAAAGTCAGCTTATTAATATCTATAGCGCTGATGATGGAGTCTATGGCTTGTGATGAAAAGGTGGAATATGAGCTTACTCTAATGAGCTCCAAGATGCTCCGATTCTCGAAGGATTCAAGAATTCGCAAAAGCATCACAAAAGTTTTCGATGCGTACTCAATACTAAGACCGGACTTCAGGAAAACGGTTGAGATTCTTGATCATCTTAATGCGTCACAATCACAATCTGGTGACTACGATTTTTCTAGAATACTAGATGGATTTGACCTCATAGACGAGACATTTTTTACGCACTCTAGCCTGATGGGATGGAAGTTGGCTCTTTCTTCCTGCCTTTTTTTTATGGACAACGAGGATGAGAGTGTTCTAAGATCGAATGCTACTCATGCAATCAAAAAGTTTGCAGAATTTCATTCAAGAGCAGAAACGGACTCCAATAAGACGGCTTTTCGAGAAGTCTTTGATGAATTGATCAATCCGGCGATCTGTCACGGGTTGCTGAATCCGACTGATGATGTAAGAAGCTCCTATATCGAGGTTCTCGCTGACTTGGCTCGTTTCAAGGATTTGTTACCACAATTGCAGGATCTAGGCTGTTTATTGTCGGAAGATGATTCGGAAGATTTTTTTTTAAACGTGAGACACATCCAGGTGACAGCACGGCAGAGAGCAATTCGTGAACTTGTTGCAAAAAGAGACTCATTGACAGAATTTACTGCAAAACAATACATTTTACCTTTACTCGAAAACTATTTGTTTTGCAAAGAAGAAAAGTCACGGAACCTATGTGATGATGCGCAAGGGTCATTTGCTGCCTTGTCATGCGTTTTACCATGGTCCGTATATGTTCGGTATCTCAAGAAATACATCACGATTGCTTCAGCTCAAACAGATCAGATGAGAGACGCAATAAAAGTGGTTATTCACCTCATCAACAATATGAGTGTTATTCGCAAAGAACACTTGCAGAATGGGTCGAAGTTTTTGCAAGGGTTTCCTCAACATGATGAAGAATTCAACAATTTTGTTGTCAATCTGGTCGTGCAACCTATTAGAAAAACTCTTTCGATTCGAAATGACTCAACGATATGCATGAGGCTTCCGCTTCTCGAGGCTTGTGTGGTTGCTCTCCTCATGACACCATCCCAAATTGTCCTGAGTGAACTCCCTGGCATTCTCATCAGTACATGTCAGGTGCTACGATCAAAATCGCAAGAGTTGAGGGACCACGCCAGAAAAGCGCTTTGCAAGGCTTCAAATCATTTGGGTGCAACATACTTACGATATCTCCTTCGCGAGCTTCGTGGAGCGCTTTCTCGTGGATCTCAAATACACGTGCTTAGTTATACGTTGAATTCCATATTGAGAGAGGTTTGCTGCACTGCCAAATATGGGGACATTGATGAAAGTGCTCGAATCGTTGTGGACATTGTCATGGAGGATGTATTTGGGGCGGCGGGTAAGGAGAAAGATGCTGAAGGATATCACAGTAAAATGATTGAAGTCAAAGCAAAGAAAAGTTTTGATACGATTGAGCTTTTATGTTCCAAATTGAGTTTTGACGCATTCGATAGTATTCTCGACCCAATGAAGGAGCTTCTTGATCAAGCATTACCAAGCAAGACCGAACGAGCAATCGAGGAGTGTTTCAGGCGAATTTGCCTAGGAATTCTCGCGAATGAGCGAGCAGATTCAACTGATGTTTTGTTGTTATGCTATAAAATCCACAAATCATCACTGGACGTCAAGAGCGCAAATCAATGCAAGACGCCAAAGCGGGACGAGTCACATTTCTTGGTCGATATCAATTCTAAGTCGAGGATGAACAATGCAAATGAGTTCCAGCGTTCTCAATATTTGCAAAGACTATCGTTTGAGATTTTGAGATCCGTTATTGGGAAACATCGTCAACTCCTCAGCGTTGCAAACATTGATGGCTTCATTCCGCTCCTTTCAACAAGTTTGAACTCATCTAATGAGCCATTGGTTGCGACTGTTTTGCGTGTGGTTGTGCTTCTTATTAAGTTAGAATTTCCTCCAAGTCGTGACGATGTGTTTGAAGGAATCTGCGAAAAAGCGATCGAGATTGTGCTTGAAAGCCAGTCCACAGCAGAGGAATTAAGCCAGCTCTCTCTCAAGTACATTGCCACTGTTGTAAAACATTGGAAGAGTGAATGCTGCTCCAAAGAAGCAATTTGTGCGCTTCTTCTCAAGATTACACCAGATCTTGAAGATCCCGAAAAGCAAAGCTCCGCGTTTAACTTTGTGAAGGCAGTGATTACGAGAAGAATACAGATCCCAGAAGTCTACGATGTCATGGATAAAATTTTGCGCATCATGGTCGTCAATCATTTTCAAGAGATACGTGACATTGCAAGGGGTTTGTACTTTAAGTTTATGCTTTTGTACGATCAAGGTCAAAAGCGAATGGAGGCGTCTTTCAAGTTTTTGATGGACAATTTGAAGTATCCCACACCTAGTGGAAGACAATCTGTGATGGAGTTGATGCATTCGATCCTACTCAAATCGAATACCTCAATAGTTGACAAAAATGCTTCCAGTTTTTTCGTTGGTTTAGCTAATCTCATGGTTTCAGATGAACAGGAGAAATGTCGAGAGATGGCAACAATTTTGTTAGGTCAATTACTTGAGAAGGCTAGCCCTGACAAGTTGAAAGTCTTCGAACACTTGATAGATACCTGGTTACACAACCAAGACAAAAATGTTTTACGCAGATGTGGACTACTATCTTATAAATGTTATATCTCCAAATTTGGTATGGAGAGAAATGAAATTTTGAACTCGTCTGCATCAGAAGTTATCGAGTTGTTTTTGCTGTTTGCGCAAACGCTGAACTCATCAGAGGGGCGCTGGGAAGATATTTTCTCAGCACTTAATGTTCTGAGTCACATCATCGGCATCACGAGTAAGAATTACTGGGAAAAGAAGACAAAATTCTGGGACCTAGTTTGTCAATGTTTGCTCTACCCGCATTCGTGGATCAGGCTTCTTAGCTCCAAACTTCTCGGGACATACGTGGATTGGGCAACAGAATCTTCATCGGATAAGAATAATGAGTTTTTACAGCTCGTTTCGCATCGTTCTATAAGACAACTTGCAGCGCCGGGGCTTCCTGACTCGTTAGGGAAAGCTTCTGTTCATAACATTTTGAAAATTTTCAGTTTTTTTGAAGACAATGATGTGTTATATGTGTCTGATACTAGCATGACAGATGCGAATGATAGGGAAAAGTTCCAGCATAACTTTGCTGCTGATATAATATCTGATCGAATCAATTACTTACTTCGCAGATGTGTATCGAGTGAATTCGGATTGAGCTCAAGAAAAGCGATTTTAACGTTGACGACAACGCTTATTGGAAAGTTGACCGGAGAAAGACTTCAGAATTTTGTTCAACAAGTCATTACAACGTTATTGGGAGTCGATGAGTATTTGTTCGCTGAGGATACGATGTTCCAAGAATATTCCCGGGAGTGCTTCAGGATTGCAGAAAAAAACCTTGGTACAAAATTGTACAGTAAAGTCTTCGCTACAGCGAAAGCTGAAATTTCCACCCGCCGGGCGAAGCGGAAGGCTGAAAGGGCGCAACTCATGTTAGATAATCCGACTAAAGCATCAGAGAAGAAGATGAAGAAACATGCCAGATTCAGAGAAAAGAGGAAAGATAACAAGGATGAGAATGGATATTACAAACAGAAACGGAGGAAAGTCTAACAATATCACCAAAAGAAAGTAAATTTTAATTTCCTATCAAATTATGGGGTACACAACTTGTAGATCGCACTTTTCATTCATGAACAGAACTGTGTGAATAACGATAGAATTTAAATACGGCAAGGTTTGCTCAGCTTGTCTCCTACAGAGCTACATATGGAGTATAGCAAACTCTGATAGATAAGTGAGTACAGCATGGGTAAAAGACCAAAGACGCATATTAAACTACTTATAGGTTTCAACTGTGTTGTTCCTGAGATCCTCTTCTGCTAAATTGGCACATCCGTGTCTCTTTCAGGAGCTGCATGAGTGACATAATTGCTTTCTGGGGTATCTGTGGGTTTTGCTGTGAACTGCGCTTGCTCCTCGGCTGACAGGGTGTTCCGCAGGTTACTGAGGGCCTCTCGTTTTGAACCCTCGGCTATATGACCAACATTTTTATGTTCTGATAAATCAAATGACTGGAATGGGCTTTTGAATACTTTTTCATCTGTAGCAACGCCATGTAAATGTGTTATTGGTGCAGATGCGTGGTCCCCGACCTGAGAGTTGTCTTCGAATAAAACTGGCAGCCAAGGGCGAGTACCTTCTTGATGACCTTGTGAAAGAGCCCGATCGTGGAGTCTCTCCAAAAGGGTAGAGTATTGTAGTCTATACCTTCTTATCGACGCTCGTGTCCTCGATAAAGCAAGTAATGAGATTTCGTTACATTCCTCCACTTCCTGAATTCTTCGCTTCAATTCGTTGCACTTTTGTTTGATCTTCTGCTCTTCATTTGTTAGATTTTGCGTTGAAATCTCGAGTAGAGAACATACCTTCGCTCTCTGGAGCTGCATCTTTTACGTTGGCCATATGGTATAATCTTACGGGTACTTTGTTGATCTAAGTTCGCCAACTGAATCACGTGACTGAGCGATAGATTTATATTGTGAGGTTTGGGGAAGATAGCTTTAGATTTGACTTACGAATTTGAAAGCTCAAATCTTGTTCGCGAAATATCATTTAGCGTTGCGGTTTATTTTTAAATGTATATTTTTTGTTAATGCCGCATCGTTGCGTCATATCGCGATAAAATGTACGCAAGATGTATCATGAAAAAAAGATCAAATATTCAGAGGGCTACGCTCTCAAACAGAGAATGATCAATTTGATCACGCCAATTCGACAACCTCATTGTCAATCTGAATCCTTGAAGTTTCCATCACACCATGGATACCTATAATTATTGCCTTTCGCTCTTACAGCAGTTACGTCAGCTAGCTCAAGGTTGTTGTGAATAGACGAGGACGTGATCAGATCCTGTTACTCAGGCCACTGAAATAAATTTATGAATCAAGAAAGCTGATGTTGCTTGCACCAAGATTCTATACCATCCTCAAATAGTGACATGGTCAATCCAACCTCATTATCATGAACATAACAGAACTTACAACCAAGCTGTTCAACGTCCCTATTTCGTATCTCATCGTCAAAGAGTACGATACGTCCGCTTTTGAGGGAACTCTTTATGTTAAGCTCTTCAACGGCTCGCGCTAGATGTCGTTTTTTTGAACCTTGGCCCCACTGCAATGAACTGAATAGATCTATCATCTTCAGGTCACCAACTTGAAAGAGAGATAACAACTTTTTGGCAATATCTGGCCTATCAGTGCGACTTGCTGCTATGATTGGGATATCCTGCTCCTTGATCTTTTCAAAAATGCGTTCAACATCATCATACAATTCTAAACGAAACCCAACAGCATCAACCACACAATTCTTCAGAATTTGCTTCAATGGCATCGCAATATGCGTGTCACACCAACATGGCCATAGTGTATAGTCCAAGTCAAACACTATGGCATCTGGATACATGAGATGTCTATAAGATGTTGAAGTAGTACGAACCTAAATGCAGTATAGTACAGGATTACTAAACTGCAACCGCCAAAAACAAATACCCTAATGGGAAGATTCCTCTTTAGTTGGGGTTTGTTCACATTCATGTCGCGAGTAAGAGTTGCGACGCCATGTAATCACACCACATTCAGATACGATACAAATAAGAGCATCAATTAGTAGGTTTAATCCACCATCTCTTGCCATATACAAAAGGTCAGCAATAGGTTTACCCCACAACGAACATGCCAACTCTAAGCATCCTCAAAGGATCAGCAAAATTTAAAGCGGCCATCAACTCTACACGAATCACCAACAGCATGGCTTATTCAACCAAATATGCTTGATATCAAATCTTGTCGTAAAGTGCGATGCATTTCTATTTAAAAAAAATTTAATGTTGTTTGGAAATCTCATTCGCCATGACAACAAAAAAAATGGAACGGTTGAAAAATTCCTGAAACAGGCAACAGTTTACTTACTATATGCGGTTTGATTTTAAATAATGTTTGATTTCAGAATAATAATCAAAACGGTTACGTTATGATTACATCAGAAGATTTCGTTTCTTGCAACACGTAGAGATTGATGAATTCACGGCTTCACTTACGTTTCCGGATATTGGAAAACATTCGAAGAAGTGATAACGCAATAAATCTGTAGCGCTAATACTATCTACGAAGCGATGTTTTAGAAACTTAGGCCTTCCTCCGTTAGCTGAGACTGATGCCATTATAGTGCAACTAGACGTATGGCTAACCAAATCGATACAAGCATGGTGTATGTGAAGTTGTTGAGCAAACGAAAAGAAGACATCACCATCTTTAAGTGAAGCTAATTATCCACTCGAGCTCAAGTGCTCCAACTTTAAGCAAATTTCAACTAAGGCGGTTCACATAATAAAACTTGTAAATCAGTAATCTGCTGATCGAACGAATGTCGCGATTACATGAGTCCTGCTCGTCTGTTGTTGATGTTGCACATTTAGAAGGTTAGTATCGATCCAACCCGTCAACGGCATTTCTAAAGCTGTACTAGCCCAAGCCATGTTTGCTCTATCCACATCCCCCCAATGAGGCATTTGATCTGCTTGTTTGGATTAGTGCTAAAATTTTAAGGAACTATCCATTTACGAACAGGTATCTAGCTCATAGTAATGGTCGCTACAAAGACTTGAGGGCTCAATACGAAGTCGATTTCACTCTTGTTTATTTCATTGAAATATTTTATAGAGTGAACTGGACTACGATGACGGATTCGTCAAACCAACAGAGCTTTTGATTGTGGTTTAAATCTGCTCCAACTGACTGCATGGCCAATGAAGTATGGGATATGTATTTGACAATCGAGAAGTATGTGTCGGAAGAAGATCAGATCCGATCGTTGCGGAAGAGATCTCTCTTTAGTCATTAGATATCACACGTAGAAACATGGTTCAGTTTTTAATACAGCAAGTACAATTTTGCATAAGTAAATAGTCACCGTTGTTTGAGGCCTGGGAAATCTTTTCCAGTGATGAAATTGTAAGCATTTGGAATGACCTTTTGGTAAACTTTGGTGAGAATTTACAGCTTTCTTTACAGAAGAATACTGATTTTTCACTCACCAACCTAAAGGATGTCTAGATTGTATGATGTATCTTTTGTTGTGGTCTGCCAGCTGGAGCCGTTCCGTAGCCCAAATTGTTCAGAATGTTTATCTTTTACGTCTTGCCGATATAATGGCAATTTCCAGTAGTTTTTCTTTTACGATTCATACGCGAACATGTATCTTCTTTTCTAATTGTTCTTCTTGTTGAGCGATTTGTTCAATGGAGACTCGGTAGACACTAGGAATTCTTTCGTCGTGCATTTTCTTGTTCAAGCCTAATAAATTTTCTCCGGTCGTCCCTTGAATCAGGCGGTCGAGATCAGGGGTAGGAGTTTCTGGTTAGTAATTCGTAGTCGGTTTGGTAAAGGAGAAGTAGAATTGTCTGTTCGGATTATATATTTGAGTAAACATGGATTTTGATCCACATCGATAAAATCTACTGTCTAATAATTTATTTAAGGAAGCCATCAGATCTCAAGTGTTGGATGAGTCTAGAACACAATCCACTTGCATCTGTGGGCTCGTTGCCTGCAACAGTATATTCGAAAGCGGCCTTACCAGCCGAGGCAGTTATCACGATGCTGTTCGCCGGTCCGACGTTTGAGACGATCGGCTCCAAGCTTGTGTCAGATTGCAAGACCACCGCAGAGCCTGCTTTGACCAACTCTTGAACTAAGAATGCATCATTGAGGGACCTTGGTAATCTGGTAACTCGCCTTCCTTCACAGTGCTGATTCAATGACAGCTGCAAAGCAGCGGCCAAAATTTCACCGGATTCCTCGCCACCGGTAGATGTATCGATTGCAACCACAAAGCCCTGGCGAGAGCGTGGGGGTTGGAATCTCTCAAAATCTTAACGACCTCTGGGTATGAGAACCACTCTGGGATATCAGTACCATCTCTCAAACGTTGTCTTAATTCAGTGCCGGAAATATTAGCTGTCTTTACTGAAGAGGTATCAATAGTATCAATGGGAGCATATCTGTCTTCGTCTGGGAGATAAGTCACCATTCTGAAAGGGACAATGTTTATCTTGCCATTAAGCTCCGAACTCAAACTAGCTAAGAGCTCTTGAGCATCATAAGGTCCGTAGAAATCAACACCTTTTGAGTTTTTTCCGGGACCTGCATGGTCTCTCCCGACAATGAAATGGTCAACTCCATAATTCATTCTGATAAGGGCATGCCACAAGGCCTCTCGATCTCCACCCATTCTCATTGCCAATGGCAATAAAGAGAGGGTAGCTAGCCCAGCAGGATATTTCTTTAAGATTTGCTGGTACACTTTAACACGTGTATGATGGTCAATGTCGCCAGGTTTTGTCATCCCTACCACGGGATGTATCAAGATGTGAGAGTTTCCACCAAGATCTTTGGCGGCTCTAACTGTGAGCTCTCTATGGGCCCTATGCATTGGGTTTCTAGTCTGAAAAGCAACAATCTTTTGATCGCTCCACCCACGAGTCTCAAATTCTTTCCTTAATTGAATGGGATGTTTCCGGGAATCGGTATAGTCATAGTGTTTGGGATAACAAATTCCCTGAATTGACCCACCCAAATAATAATCACCGGCGACGTTGTAGAGATAGTCGACCGCTGGGTGTTCTGGGTCTCCTCTGAACACTGACTTCGCCTCACGCTCCTTGTCTGGCTTATAAATCGACTCAATTGTTAGGATAGCAAGTGCTTGCTTATCGCGCGGGTCTTTAAGAACAACCTTGTCACCCAATGAAAATGACTTCGATGCTGCCTCTGAAACATCAAGGGTGATGGGCATAGGCCATAACAATCCTTGACCTGCTTCATTCTTAATAGTCGTCAACCTCATGTCTGATACAACAGAGTTATAGTCATCTTCATTGAGGAATCCGATCAATGGGGAAAACCCTCCGTTCAAAATTAATTCCAAGTCACAAAGCTGTCTGTCACTTAACAAAAGCTCAGCGAGGTTTCCACTTAAAGCCGCGTTAAGAAGCAGATCTCTTATGGATTCATCTCGAACCACCAAGTCTTGCAAACAGCCTCCATGAGGTTGAGGAATTGGCATCTTGAGTAGCGGGTTTATCGTCCAAACGAATCTCTTCCATTTTATACGCATGGGTGCGATACACTCTTTCAATCATACAATCTCACGTGACATGGTGTAGAGTACAATGTCACAGTTGGCCTTGAAAACATCGTGGCCTTCGGGACAAATACTCTATTTTCGGCTCGTTTGAGATTTCTGTGTGGGGCTTGTTTAATTGGCCCATTCTTCTGGAGTAATTCCTAGATGTGATTAAAAATCTGTCGCTGAAAGCCAGCTTTTTACGTTTGAATCTTTTGGCTTTTGCATCTGCGATTGGCCATTATTGTAGGTATGAATGTTAAAGCTTTATTCGAAAGCACCACTGTGCATTTAATTATCAATTATTGCCTACAAACGTTCAGTAATAGTACTTAAGTACGCTTTCTGAGATCGGGGCTATTTTTATTCCGGTCAATTTTGGTGAGCGGCGTACAAAAATTTAAAGAAAAAAAAAAAAAAAAAAAAAAAAAAAAAAAAAAAAAAAAAACCAGAAAAGAGCTATGATGGAGAGCGAGGCGTGGGGTCCTTACGACAAGTGCCCCGCATGCCCACAACAAGTGGGGGAGGGGTATGAAAGAAGTGACTGAATCCCATCAGATCTCGTTAATCGAGAAGTGTTCATACGTTGTGACCAAGCACTCTTAATGGGTTTGACGTAGTTGACAGAATAGAAGATAAACTCGCGAAGCAAGCTCTCAAGCCAGGCCTTGTCTACGGGTCTGAATTGCTTAGCTAATCCAAGCGGTTCTCATCAACCCGTAAATCACGTGCGAAATGGGTGCCACCTAGATTATACCTGAATTTGCATTTGTAGATTGAAAGTATTAAATTTTCATTTTGTTTTGAATGAACAACGAGATGATAAGTCTCGATTGAAAGGGAGAGTTGTGCCGATGAAGAAAGGATGAGGCGCTAGAGTCCAGGCTCTACTACTGACATAATCGAAAAAAAAAAAAAAAAAAAAAATCCTGCGTGTGTAATATAAATGCACGACTCCCGCCTCTCCAAACTCGATCCTGTTTTTTTCCAAACTATAGATACTCGTCTATTGAAATCAAACTAATCTTTCGATCAATTAATTACTCAAGAATGTCTGCTCCAACGTATGTATCCATTGAGTTACGAGATGACTCTCAATAATAGATGTTCTTTTCCACATAGCAATTGAACATGTCTTACCCCTAGGCTATCCGCAAGTCCGCACTCTCGGCTTTGGGAATGAACCTCGCAACGATCGTGCAAGATACAATTGTGGACGGGTTTAAGTAGTCGATTCGCTTTGCTTCAATCTCAAAAATAATGGGGTCCCAGGAGAGAATAATGACTTTAAGTTCACATCTTACTAACACCGCAAGTGGTGATATCGGTTTGATCGGTTTGGCCGTCATGGGTCAAAACTTGATTTTAAATGCCGCTGATCATGGTTTTACTGTCGTTGCTTACAACAGAACCGTATCTAAAGTGGATGAATTTTTGGACAACGAAGCAAAGGGGAAATCCATCATTGGAGCTCACTCCATTGAGGAACTCTGTGCTAATTTGAAACGCCCCAGAAGAATTGTCCTCTTGGTTAAGGCTGGCAAACCTGTGGATGCTTTCATTGAGCAGTTGTTGCCACATTTGGAGAAGGGCGATATCATCATCGATGGTGGTAACTCCCATTTCCCAGATTCCAACCGTCGTTTCGAGGAATTGAAACAGCAGGGAATTCTCTTTGTTGGATCCGGTGTCTCTGGAGGGGAAGAGGGCGCCCGTCACGGCCCCTCTTTGATGCCTGGTGGTCACCCTGATGCTTGGCCTCATATCAAGGACATTTTTCAATCAATTGCTGCTAAATCTGACGGCGAGCCATGCTGTGACTGGGTCGGAGACGGTGGTGCCGGCCATTATGTTAAGATGGTCCACAATGGTATCGAGTACGGTGACATGCAATTGATTTGTGAGGCATATGATCTCATGAAGAGAGTTGGAAAGTTTTCTGATAAAGAGATTGGAGATGTTTTTGAGAAGTGGAACAAGGGTGTGTTGGACTCTTTCTTGATTGAGATCACTAGGGACATTTTGCACTTCAATGACCCAACCGATGGAAAGCCTGTCGTCGAAAAGATTTTGGACACAGCTGGTCAGAAGGGTACTGGAAAATGGACTGCAATTAATGCTTTGGATTTGGGCATGCCAGTCACCTTGATTGGAGAAGCAGTGTTCTCTAGATGCTTGTCTGCCCTTAAGGAAGAGAGAATCAGAGCCTCTAAGACTTTGGATGGTCCAAGTGTCGAAGGTGACTCTCCAATTACTGATAAGCAAAAATTTGTTGACGATTTGGAGCAAGCTTTGTACGCTTCCAAGATTATTTCTTACGCCCAGGGCTTTATGTTGATCAGAGAAGCTGCCAAGGAATACAACTGGAAGTTGAACAACCCAGCCATTGCGTTGATGTGGAGAGGAGGCTGCATCATTAGATCCGTTTTCTTGGGTGAGATCACTTCAGCTTACAGAGAGAACCCTGATTTGGAGAACTTATTGTTTCACCCATTCTTCAAGGATGCCGTCATCAAGGCGCAACAGGGTTGGAGATCCACTGTTGCAAAGGCCGTTGAGCACGGAGTTCCTGTTCCTGCGTTCACGACTGCCTTATCCTTCTACGATGGTTACAGATCAGCCAAGCTACCAGCAAACTTGTTGCAAGCTCAAAGAGATTACTTTGGTGCGCACACCTTCCAGGTCTTGCCCGGTGAGGAGAACGACTTTTTGAAGAAGGACCAGTGGGTTCACGTCAACTGGACTGGAAGAGGTGGAAATATCTCTGCCTCTACTTACGATGCTTAATATTCTCTTAAATTTCCAAGGTGAACATTTTAGTCAGTAAAAGAATTAGTTCGAAGTTTGATATGTAGATTCTTCCATCGCATATAAGTCCCTCGGAATCGATTCACCAGCTGGGCAAAGTTTGACAATGAAGATAACCCATCACCTACTCAAAGATATTGATTTAATTTATTTAAATGTGACTAATTGGTAGATAAGGGATCCCTTGCATCCCATTCAAGTATTAAGTCATCTTTAGGGAAAATAGTTGCAAATACCCTAATCTTCTCCGACAACGGAGTCACTGTGTGCTTGATTTCACTGTTCATGAGGAATTTGCCCAACATTCCTGTAAACATCATCAAAACGTACACCTTACCAAGGCAAACATGTGGGCCGGTTCCAAAAACCAACCAACTTCTCTTGTCCATATCGCCGGTTGGGTTCTCCCATCTCTCAGGAATAAATGAGTCGGGCTCGGGGTAAACCTCGGGGTCATGGAGAGCAGGATACAAGGTTGGCACGATCATAGAGCCCTTGGGTGCCGTGTAATCCAGCGTTACGGGAAAGCTCTGTTTCACAACATATGGAACCATGAGGACGGGAGGCCTGTAACGTAAAGATTCTTTGACAACAAAGTTTGTGTACTTCATCTCATTAATCATCTCCAAAGTGAGTGGCTTCAGTGGGTCATTTCCCCTCACAAGCAACTGCTCCTCTCTAATCTTTTTGGCGATATCAGGACGATCAGCGACAATTTGGAATAGCCAGCATGCTAACGAAGAAGAAGCGTCCTGAGATGCGAATAGAAAGGTGAAAATTACCTCCGAAATTTCCTTGTTGGAGAAGTCTCTGATGAGAAGCTTTGACTCGGGGTCTTCTTTGTGATTATCCCTAGCCTCTTTCATGAGGTAAATCCACTCATCCATGACACATCCTGGTTTTCCATTGTTTTCATTTATATGCTTTTTTGCCAGTTGGGCACAGCTCTCAAAAATCTTCATAGTGTCATCAGCGATTTTTTTCCCGTACCAGGTCTTCGTGTATGGAATAATAATAGGAAAGTTGACAAGCTCCAAGGCAGCGGTGATCTTGAAATAGTTATCGGCGATTAATGCAATTTGCTCCTCAGTGATATAGTCACCGCAGAAAGTGCGGAGCGACAAAGCACATAGCAATTCTCTGAACTCTGGGAAAAACTTTTTTGGACCATCAAAGCCGATAAATTTATCGAGATAAATATCCATATACTTCTCGAGAACTGGTATATAGATCTCAAGGGCTTTCTGTGAAAACAAGCCGTTCAAAGATCTCCTGTAATCCACATGGGCCTTTCCATCTAAGAAAACCCAGTTTGTGGGACGCAAGATCTTGATAGCAACATCAACAACACATGGTTTGACGTATTTTGGAGAGCTCAAAATTTTCCTTGCCAAATCTCTCGTTGACGCGATCACAACGAACTTATGAAAAATGGATACGCAAGACAAGGGACCTGAATTCCACTTGTCCATATACTCTTCGAACTTGGGGTCCAAGCTCTCTAAGAAGGGTCCAATGATCGGCCAAACTTTGAATCGGGGGCCAGCTATAGTGCCTTTCTTAATCAAATACAGAACTTGGTCATAAACAATAGCACCGAGTGCAACGGTAACTATGATCTGCCACCAAGAGGTTGAGGTCCATACGTTGGTAAACTTTGTTAGGACGGCTCTAGTGGAGCCCTGCTCAATAACGCTCAGGAAAGCTTGAGTGCTGTTGGCGGTGGACATGGGCATTGCAAAAAAAACACTATTAGTTGTATGCTGGGGGGGCCGCACTTACTTTATACGAGTTGGTCGTACAGGCTTTTTTTTAATCTTACAATTTTTAATCTCACTCCATGCATTCTTCCCGCGCCTGCTACGAGCTAAACGAGGAGTGCCAATCATGCGGTACATTTTTCTGATTACTATGACCTACTTATCGTTCGGTGATGAAAACTGACCGATAAATGTCCTCTATCGCGTAAACTGTTATTCGACAGTCAGTTCTCCTTGTTGGAGAAGTTTTTAGTAAATGAGATATTAATTAGATAAAGTAATGTTTACTCTGTTGTCTTCCGATTTGTTTTTTTTAAAATCGCACAGTTCTCTGGTATTGCATGTTCATTCTTTTGCATTTTTGTATTGAAGTTATAGCTCTAATTATCTGTCTCTTGTAAAACCCGAAGTTGATCTATGTTTAGTGATTGGAAAGTTTACATCTTATTACCATGCCATTCTCGATGATCGAAATATTTTCAATATATTACTTTGCCCTTATAGTTTTCGTTTTGAAGCTTTTGTAGTTTTTACACATTTTCGTATCACAAGTACTTTTTGCGCGGAAGTTAAGATGTATGTACTCACTTGTTTTATCATCGCCAACGTGTTCGCTTTTAAGAATTGATGGTTACTAACAAAAAGTGTTGTTCAAATGTGTGCTCAGTTTTCTCCAAGTTCACCACATTGAATAGGATAGCAGTATCACTTCAAAGCCCAGTGGGTCAGTATCAGGTGATCAAGTGAGGGAGTGCGCTTGCAGCACTGTCATTCAGTTCTCTGCGCTCATCGCGATGCATCTAATACATATGAAAAAGAGAAGAGCTGAAGAGGCAGTATACCCGAGTAAACGGCGCTCACCAGGCTCAACGAAAAAGGAAAAGTGGCTGTCCAAGAACTCTTCTGCCCATGAGGGCGAGCCTGCTGAAGATGTGGAAGACATATATGCGAGAAGACAAGATGACACTGGTGCTGAGCTCTTGCACGAGGGATTGCCAATAAAAATGGGAAAAAGACTTCATCGTGTGTCAAGAATAATGGCACAGAAAGAGATCGAAGATTCGGATGAACCCAGCAACCCTCAAAAGCTTCATGTTCAGGAGGACGCTGAGGGGCGGCACTATTCACCTCAGCAAAAGCTATTAACTCTTAAAGAGAATATTGCCAGACTCGCCACGCAATTGCAAGAACAACCGGATGAAAATTCTCACTCTTTGAATGAGTTATGTCGCTATGCATGCTCCGAAGTGGAAGCGGAATGTGTTTTAGCTATTGCAGCTCTCGTACCTGTTTTTAAATCGCTAGCACCATCCTATAAGATTAGAACACTATCCGAGTCAGAGAAAAGAGAGAAAGTTAGTCGAGAAGTTGCGAAGCAAAGGGATTTTGAAGAAAGTTTTGTGAGGTATTACCGAAAGTTTATCGACCGTCTCCAATCGTTGTCTATAGGATCGCAAAAGCCCACAACTTCTTGCTTACTATTGACCACATCGATCACAGCGGCATGCGAATTGTGTATGTCCTCATTAAGATACTTCAACTTCAATGAGGACTTGTTCTCGATTTTGATAAGATGTTTGGGCCGAAAACCTCGAGACATTGATGCAACCAACCAGTTCACACACTGTATCCGCACTATCGAGGCTTTGTTGAAGGATGACGGTGAACAAGGGGAAATTTCGCTTAAAATTACCAGAATTTTAAGCTCAAAGATCAAGAAGGTGAGTTACAGAGTTGACGAGTCAGTGTTCAACGTATTTTTATGTTTGTCAATCTTAAACAACGCCGATCCATTCACCAATAATTCGAATCAACGAACAACAGAAGGTCTACAAAAAAAAAAACGGGTTCATCTTTCGAAGAAAGAAAGAAAAGCCAGAAAGGAAGCTAAAGCAATAGATGAAGAGATGTTAAGGGCGGAGCAAGCAGTCTCGGCCAAAGACCGAGTTCAGTTTCAGGCACAAATTCTTCAGTGTCTTTTCAAGTTATATCTTGAGACACTTCGAGAAAGCTTGCTGAAATCCTCTGATGCTCATCACCTTGTCGCCGCCGTTTTAGAGGGCTTGTCGAGGTTCGGGCCCTTGGCGAATATCGATCTCGTTGGTGATTTCCTTGAAGTTCTCAAGGAACTCATGGATAGAATAATATGGGACCAGGAAGTTGGCAGTATCCACAAGTTTCCAGCAAAAGGAATTTACAGTGCAGAGGATATCAGACAGATTCTCTTGTGTGTTGCAACATCATTTGCTCTCATTTCAAATCACGCGGAACATGGAAAGCTCCCTTTCCCGGTTGATTTATCCAGGTTTGTCGAGGGTCTTTATGCCGTGATCACAGATATCGGCCTCGATGCCGACTTAGAGCTTTCCACCAAATCGCTTAGACTTGAGGACCCTCTTGGAGAAGAATTGGGAGAGGAGAAGCCTGCAGTCAATGTATCCACTAGATCAGAACTTTTGGTGAAATGTTTAGACTTCATCTTTTTCAGATCTAAAAGTGGTTCGAAAACTCGGGTAATGCTCTTTTTAAAGCGACTTTTCATGATGTCCCTTCACACCCCTGAGAAAACTACAAATGCTAATTTTAAATTCATAAGCAAACTTTTGCAGAGATACGGTGATTTTGTTAATACTTTATGGTCAACCGAGGACAAAGTGGAGGATACTGTTCACAAGTTAGGATTCGAACATGACTTGATCGATTGTAACATGAAAACATCGAGTGCGAACAGTGCAATTTTGTGGGAGAATATCCTTTATGAATCTCATTACTGTCAAACGCATCGAGATCTTTCGAGGTCTCTAGCGAAGCTTAGTAAATAAGAAAGCCACTATCGAAGATGTCTAAATCTGTATTCAAAATATGTAAGCTAACAAAGTTCGCGATGACATGTTTCAAACGAGGTCCAATCTTTTATAATTTTCACCTCCATGACTGTAAAAACTCAGCGGTTTGACATCCTTATCGGAAGATTCATTGGCCTTGAGTTGTTGATACATCAATCTTGATTTCTCACGTTCCTTGTAACCATGCAAACATTCAAAGTAATCATCGAAGATGGGCGTGCACTCTTTTTTCGTAGAAGTTTCAGATGAGGTATAGCATGACACAAGCGTTTGGAATTCATAAAAACATTTCCTTGTTCCTCCAGTTCTTGAATAGGGCTGCATTTCAACAAAAGGTAGAAAGTGATGTTTCCTTAATGCTTCGCGAGATTGGCTGAGATTATTGTGCATGACACTACATATTGTGTGTGTTGAATGCTCATACTTACTATTTAGTCATAAGTTGAGCTTATTGAACGTATGCTAACATGCTCCTAATGCATTTTCTCACCTTGTAGTAAGTTGGCCCCACCTGGCCATCTATAACAATATCACCAAGGCCAATATCGCTGCTATCATAGGCATCTGACTTCCTAATGGCGATTGCATCTTCCACAACTAAGGTTCCCTCGCCTTTAAACTCAGCTTCAAATCCAAGAGTCTTCAATTTCTTTTTCAATTCGGGCATTCTTATCAGGCCAATTGCCTGCGTTCCTTCATGTTCTTTGCCGCAAGGGATGGGATCAAGTTCAATTAAATCTTGCGAAGCAGATGAGGCTTTGAGATCGATCAGCACGATAGATTCAGATGAGTTTTCCAGTCCATTTTCGGAGGGTTTGGCACAGACGTCGAAAATTCCAGAAACATATGCTACCTTGTATTTTTTGTCGATAGACCGCCAGCTGAGTTCAGCCCAAAGATCGTCATCGATGGATATCTCAAATTCTCCGGTGCTGACACTATGACCAGTTTTGCCAACTTCGATGGTTGCATTGGGTTTGGCAACACTCACTTGCATCTCCGCTGCTATCGATGACTTAAGAGATTTTTGAGAGAAGAAACTGCTCAGCTTCATGACAACTTCAGATGGTATGGTAGAGCTTGAGAACCCTTCGGAACTCGCAGTTCGTTTGTGCGCTTTAGCAACAAGAGCGGCTCCGTCGATACCAGCTTGTAGCCCCTCCTTAAATGAGTTATCTGGCAATATAATAAGATGAGAAGGTCTGAGCGAAGAAATCACCAAATTCATAGAACGTGCATCTGCATAGCCCGAGAAATCAATGAAGGCTAATCCGCAACGAATCACAATCCCTGTGCGTCTATTCATTCTCACCCTTTTAATAGGGTTGAACGTGGTATCAAGATACTTTCTTAAAATATCGTTGTTCAAAACTTGTTGAGGCGTGAGCTTGCTGTCCACTAGAAACCTCTCTCGATCATTCCTATTCCTCTCCCTTCTTCCATCTACATTGCCCCATTCTCTGCCATGTCCTTCTTCAAACTTCTTCTTGCTTTCAGATATGAGTCTTGAATTCACATTTTGCTCGTCCTCCTTTCTAAATCTTTTGGGGTCAATCACTTCCCCGTAATCATCGACTTTCTTTCGTTTAGAGCCAAGGATCGGGAACATTGCTTGTCTAGGCCGGAATCTCGTGGTGATGCGGAAATCCACAGGCTTATTGTTTTCACATCTTTCGAGAATAAAATCTGTTATGTAACTCTCGTCGATAGTTGGCACAGAAAGCACATTTGGTTGCACGGTCAGTCTCGATGATTGATATGTCTCACCCCCCGTGCTCGAAGCGATAGAAAAATCGTTTTTTGGCGCTTGCGCTTCAATGACATCATGTCCTGGGTCGACCATATCTCCGACAATGTCTTTCAGGTCAGAATGAGTAATGTTGCTAATGTTCGAAGACAGATTATCGAGCGGTAATTCATCAACATCGTCCGACAAATTATCATTTTCCATCTCTTCATCTTCATCAGAGTCATCTGATTGAATACTTGAATGAAGGAGATTCAAAGCCCGCTTAGACTTCATTTTGCTCAAGGCTTTTTGATGCCTGCGACCAGAAACCTCAGCTTGATACGTGGATAGCTCTGTACCTTTCAAGGAGAGTTCATCAAAAAAAAAGTTTGCTGGTATATGCTTTTCAATGGGAACTGGTGTGCCATCTTCTACGACACCGGCATTTTTCTTCGAAACAAGATTATGCCATTCAGAATAGAGCTGCGATGATAACGATTCCTTATTCAGCAGAGCTCCTTTCTCAGTCAATATGATCGTTGTTTTTTCATCCAGACAAAGCAATGAAAGTGCCTTTGTTGAGAGGTCACCGTCTTCCATCTCGACTCCTGAGGCGAACACGATTTTGGGACCAGGGAAGCGAGTAAGCTCGGACGGATCAATAAGGAGATCCACCTTCGAAGGGTCAAATGATGTACCAAAAAACGCTTTATCTTCACTTTGAAACCCTTCGTGGTCCTTCATTACGTTCGAAGCCATCCAATCAGAGAGTCCCGATGCGTAATTTAGCACTTTGGTTCCAGAGTAAGAAAGGAAATAAACAGGTATTGCTGCACCTTGGATTGCAGCTAGATGATGGTCAATGAGATGTAAAATCTCTAGAAATCTTCCTGAAATCGTGACAGGAAAGAGCACTGCACCACCATTTGCCAAAGTAGCATCAACGAGGTTGAGTATTTTTTCAACTCTCCTTTTGTGGGAGAGGGTGGAGCCAAGTTCAGATCCAGTAATGAAAGCAGTCGGCCGACTTAATGAAGAATGTGCATTTCCGGTTGCTCCGGAAAGAAATTGTGCATTGTTGAGAAAAGAATCTCTAGACTGATTCCAACCTGGGGCGTAGATAATCCTTTCGCTTCTTTTAGAAATGAGCCAAAACGATCCACCCAAAGAATGCCCCGCATTGTAGGCGGATAACGTTAAACGATTATCTAAAACACTCACATTCTGTGAGTACTTAATCAGTATAATTTTGTCAAAATATTCATCGATATCACTGACCTCGAAAATTGCGTGGGCCACCGGACCAAGTAGTCCCTTTGCCCTGTAAAACTCGACTGTGGAAACCCTTCCCAATTGGCTGACTGCAACAGTCGAATAAACAGGAATGGTCGCCATGAGGGATTCAAACTTAGAACATAATAAAGCATAACCACCGATGAATTCTGGCGTAGAGTGTGACAAGAGGATTAAGTTGATACCGTTCAAAAACTGTTCCATGAACTCAACATCATTCACATCGTTACCATCCCAACTTGGGTCAGCGATAACCTGAATCTCATTATCAAAAACCAATTTGGAGGCTTTAAAACCACCAAGGTCGGACAGGCTTAAGAGACAGTAATCGAACATGTCTACTTGAAAGGCTCATTGTATCTTGCATTTATTAGAGGTCGTGTATTTATCACTATGTTCGATCAAAATTGATGCTGTGTCGCGTATGATAACTGAGGAGCGTTTCGGCCTGGGTTAAGCCTGGAAGGCCCTGCCTTGTCGAGAATCGATCCAACGAATTTCTTGCTCCAGTTTGATACTCTCCAGACTTCATCATTTCCAGGCGAATCTGGGGTAGATCGAGTGGCTTACTAAGCAACTTCTGATTAAACTTGGCTTGATCGCTAATAGTTTCTCTTCTTGAACGTAAGGTGTTGTTCCTGGATCTTGAAATAGTACCTCTGCGAATGGATTTAAACGCTCTAGAGACCTTGTTATCATCCTGCTGATTATCTGATTCTCTGTCTTCACTAGGCTCTACTGCGTTCTTGACCTTCTCTAAAAGCTCGGTGTCGCCTTCATTTAAGCGTTGTAAAATACGCTGCCTCTCCACATCTTGAAGATCTGTGGGATCGTAATCAGTAGGATAATTTTGGTAAGCACCATCTCTCATTTTCTCACGGATGATATCGACATCCTTGGGCCTAAAATGCCTCATCAAAAAATCGTAGGTAAATCTTGGCCAAACACAAATAATGGTTGCCACAAAATAGCAGCACCAAAATCCAAGGGTTCCGAACAATTGGGGAGCAGCTTTATAGAATTCGCCCACCCACGCTCTCGCCGACCAAACGCCGACCCAGAAGAATACCACCAATGTCGAAAGCGCGTAGAATAGAAGAGATAACCAATCCCACCTATACTGTTGTAATAAAACATAAATGTTGCAACCTGTTACGGAAATGCAACAACACAAAACTCCCATCCAGAATCTATGATCGACCGCCAAACCCTCATGATTTTGAAAAGAAATATAATATAGGAGGTAGGGGAAAAAGAACGCGATCACTGACTGATAAAGCCCATCCATCATATACCAGACGAACTTGAATTGAGACCAGTCCAAACTCAATATGCCTGATCGATAAAGCTGTGGAACGATGAGTGCCACTGCACCACTGACATCTTGATCAAAAATTCCAAGAAAGATAACTGGTAGCGAAGTAAAAGCCAAGTTGTAAAACATCAAAAACGTGTACTCGTAAAGATAAGATCCATCAAAGTCGTTGTAGATGCCAAACCAGAAACATGTAAACGTGAACACGACATTCTTATAGAAAAAGCAGGGAATCATCTCCGCGAGCTTTTTATAAGACCAGTGGCCATGTACGAGCAAAAGCCTCGTGAGGAAGCGAAATTGACCGATGGCATAGTCAGCAGACATTACAGCTTGTCTGCCTTCTTCACCCGCAATTCCCACCCCGACGTTGGCGGCTTGAATCATGGCTACATCGTTGGCTCCGTCACCAATAGCTAACGACATTGCGTTGAGATTTTCCTTCACAACCTGAACGACTTGAGCTTTCTGCGCAGGTGACACACGACAGCAAATTACGGATTTGCAAAGTTTCCCAAGAAGAACGAATTTCTTCTGCAACATCATGTCTTCTGTTCGATCTCCAAACACATGAGTCAAAGCGCCACCATCCACGATCAAAGCTGTATTGGCCTTCGGCATAGATACGTCCTTCTTTGCTTGATTGAGAGCTTCATCAATGTTGGCGTGTGATTGGTCATGTAATCCGGCGACTTCACCAAGGTATTCAGAAAGCAAGTTATCGATGTGATTCACGTTCTCGGGGTCGTCCTCGTTCACACGCACAACGAGAAGTCTCATATCGTTTCCGAGCAAATTGCAAGAGAACCCGATGTTGATAGCAGTTTCAATCCTATCACCAGTCAAAACCCATAGTCTAATTCCAGCCTCACCCAATAATGAAATTGAGTCCGGAACACCCTCTTGTAATCGATCTTCAATTGCCGTTCCACCCAACAACTCCAAGTTGCATTCCAACTCGTCATTGAGGGCATCAATGGCTTCGTCTCTATCATCGTCTATAGAGGAAGATGCTTCCTTGTATCGCAGTAGCCAATCAGTGAAGTCATTTTGATCCAACTCCTTCTGTGCAATGCAGAGTGTACGGAGTCCTTCCTTGGCGAAATCTTCAAGGTGAAGTGCTGTCTTTTTAAGAATTTCGTCCATACTTGCTTCTCGGGACAACCGTTGATATATGACACTGTCTGCGCCTTTACATATCAATAATGTACGCCCATCGTCATCACGCACGATGCACGACATCCTCTTTCTCGCTGAAGTGAATCCAATCAAATGGAGCATCTCGAACCTTTTACGTTCACCATAAATCTCTAATTCAATGCTGGTTCGATTTCTCAGCTTGAAAACAAAACCTAAATCTCTCGCAACAGATACCAATGCAGCTTCATCAGGAGACTCTGCCTTGAACTCATTAAGCTTCTCATCCTCCGCATCTGGTTCAGTAACAACAGTATGGCAGACAGCGAGAGCCAACATAAATTTCTCATTTGATAGTTTGACCTCGTTATTGATCTTGTCTGGAAGAATAGTATCTTCAACATACTGATTGGAAACAAATTTCAACGCTGATTCCCTGAATTGATCATTTTTCACGTAGGCCTCGAGATTATTAACCATCTCAGAACGATCTTTCTCGATCGCCTTTTTCCAACGTTCGGACTCAGCTAATATGTCAACACCACTCCGCTTGTCCATGCCCTGCTTTGCTTCAGTGTACGCGAGGCCATAAGATTTTCCGTTGATGGTGCATTTGCGAAACTCCATAACATTTTGCGTCAATGTTCCTGTCTTATCACTGAAAATGTATGCGATTTGGCCCAAATCATCAGAGATGTTCCATGATTGTGGGATGCAAGGAAAGTCTAGCTTAGGATAATACATCTTAATATCGGAGTGAATGAAGAAGGCTTGTGCCGTCTTTATGATCTCGATGGAGATGTAAAGGGAAATGGGCACCAATGATTGATAAATGATCAAGGCCACAAAAAAGGCAAGAACACCGTTTCCAGCAGATGTCGGAGAATAAGGCTCAAATTCAAAATAACGACGAGATTCGTCCTCACGGTTGTAGAACAACCCATTTATGAGTCCGGAAACAAAGCACAATATGAATAAAACCAAGAAGTTAATGAGCACCAGAAAATTTAGCTCATTGGAAATCCTCGATTTTTTGACAGGGGTGTTTCCACTATTCATGTCCACTTTTGTTTCACTACCTGTGTAAACAACCACACCTATGACCCACTTCGTGTTACGCAAAGCACAACCACGCAAAAGCACATTATCGTAGGTGATCGCCTCCTTTTCATCCGGATTTAGTAAGGTTCCTTGTTCATCATAGTTCTCATAGTGAATGGTACCGCGAAAAGAGTAAAGGTGCGCATTAGGTGGATCACATTCGATCCAGAACTTAGTGTTTCCAAGATCAGTGGAATGCTTGAGATGATTTCGGCCACCACTTTTGAGACAGCTCTTAGTTTTAAGATTTGTCTCGCCATCTAAATTTTTGGTCTCCACATAACAAATTCCATCATCGTCCGAGGTTGATATGATAACCATATCCGCTGGTACGCCCTCATTGGCACGAACTCTGACAAAATCCCCAACATTTACATCCTTCCATCTTCTATTTTTGAATGAGGTTGCATTGTTTGAAGGATCAAGGGCCCTACTTTCCTGCAATTTAGGGTTCAATAGACAGTCTGCCGATGGTTTCGTTGGGGCTCGAAATTTATGCAGCTGAAGCGACTTCCTTGGATTCTGGGAAGTCATAGACGATCGAGGGTGAAAAGAGGAATATGAGCGCTCTGAGTGCACTGTTGAAACTCGCCGCAATTCATTGTCTTTCGCCTGCAATACAGATTGATTGAACTCCTGTTTCTTCTCTTTGCTTGCGAACATATTGATACAAATTCTTTTAAACCACTTGTAAGTTTTGACGGTACCACGGGTGCAGCTCTTTTTGAACTTCCTCCAGGAGCTGACATAGTCGGTAGTAACATTTTTGTTGTGGAGGCCAGTCAACAAATGTATCGGCGAATTATTAAGCTCCGCATCACTAACGACTCTTCTGAAGTCCTCGAACCCGTCTTTGATCGCGGTAATGCAAACAATGACGATCAATGGAACAGCTGCTAGCCCTGGACTTTCCACACCGAAGATTTGAAATGCTCCCAAAATGACAAGGATCAAGAAATAAATATTTGCAATGTTCTCGAACTGATAGAACAAATTCTTGGGAATGAACGAAAGCGGTGTATACTTTGTGGATCTAATTTTGTTTCGTGGCATTTCAAGAAGAGGCATCTGTGTATCTTGATGAACGGAGTCCTCGGGTAAATCCGTGTTAACATAAACTCTTCGAGGAATCTGTGCATAGATCTCTTGCAAGTACGGAGGCCTTGCAGCTAAACCATGATTGAAAAGGAATTTATGGATTCTCGCTTTGAATGATGGCGGGACCGCTGTTTCTAAGTCATGAATGGTACATCTTTCCTTTCCCAATTTGTTGTTATTGACTTGTGGCTGTTCGTTGTGCAGCATTTGAGTAGCATCGGACGAAACCTTCGATTCAGACGTATTGGTCATCCCTGCTTACTCAAGGGTAACCCTAAAGCGACAAGGTTATGATGAGTATTTTTGAAGGAAGCTTAAGGGTTTTTGTAGATCCAACAATTAAAAGAACAAATAACTTGACCGGAAAGTGTTAAATGGATGATTCAACAGAAGAGGCAAAAAAAAAAAAAATTGGTGAGCACTATTGAACTTTACTTTCTGTTAGATTGCCTAGTCGGCTGCCGGAGACAAATATTTCCGCACCCCTGCACCCGTGGGTAAAGTGTTCGTGACAGGTAAAATAATGTACACTTGCGGTATAGCTTAGCTACTACTAATGAAACTAGAGTACGAAGATGAATCATAAGATGTGCTCACTGAGTTCCTCGAATGTTTTGGGAAAAAGTTCCACGCTTTATACTACCTACTCACCAAGTACTGTATCCAGGCGGGTGAAGCGGGCCCTACGGAAGAACAAGAGATTTCGGTACTCGGTACTACTGTCCTACATATTATTCAGCGCCAATGAAATTTTAGTGCGATTAAAAATTCGTTGGAAAAAAAAAAAAAAAAAAAAAACTCAACCAACTACTTGAGATATACAGATATGTCTATCGAAGAAATCCCTCAGGGCTCCGAAGTCAGCATCATCTCTAAAAATGAGAAAAAGGCTAGAGAGATTATTAAAAAGTTCAACTTAAAGCAAATTAAAGGTATTTCCAGAGTGACCTTCAAGCAAAAGGGAAACTTGATTTATGCCATAGACGAGCCAGATGTTTACAAATCTGCAGCTGGCACTTATGTTGTTTTTGGTGAAGCAAAGGTTGATGATATGAACCAACGCATCGCTGAAGCACAGGCCCAACAACAGGCCGCTGCTGCATCTTCGGAAGCTGATGCCGCTGAAGGCTCTACTGACAAGTCTCCAGAGGCCATTACAGCCGACCTTGAGAAAGCTTCTTTGAATAGTGCCAAACCAGAAGAGGTTGATGAAGATGATGTGAACGAGGATGGCTTGGAATCATCTGACATTGATATCATTGTTGAGCAAACTCATGTGTCAAGAGCGAAGGCAATTGCTGCTTTGAGAAAACACAAGAATGATATGGTTAACGCAATTATGGAATTGTCTTAAGTTTTCAATAAATTCTTCTCTTTACCTATTCGCGTCATAATGGACTATTGTAATACACCGCATTTATTCGGAGGCCCTTTCTATAAATGGCAGCTGTGAAAGCTCTGCGGATGGGCTTGAAGTCGACGTTTTCAGAAAGCCAGAGTTGCTTTGGTGACTTAATGCTTTGCGACCATTCAAGCAACCACATTTTCTGCAAATGAAGATGACTCCAGAAGGGTCTTTACAACCCGGAGGAGCGAGACCGTTGTGTGTGAAACATCTCTCACATATCAAGGCATACCGATTTTCCACACTTTCGTTGTGGTCAGATCCGATGATATAATCTAATAATTTATCTTGCAAAGTACGTTGGTCCTGCCTCAACGTGATACTTTTGTTCATAGATTGGGTGGGCTTGTTGCCCGTAAGTGACACATTCGTTTTGCCTTCTTGTGAATTCTCTGATGGGGCGACTGGGCTTTCTTTTCTTGCTCTGCTCGAAGGTTTCATTTTGAGTGGTTGAGGGGCGGAGGCACGAGAGTCGTAACGATTTATTATACCCTGCGTTGCGTCGAAATTTGTTTTCTTTTTGAGATCTTCAAGCTTATTTCTCCTTCCTTCAAGAGAACTTCGTAGAACATTTTTTTGGCGTTTGATGAAAAAGTCGAATAGAATAGTAAGAAGGTATCTCACACATATCGCTGTTACTGGCAACCCAACTGCTATCGAAACACGAGAACGCAAAGCTTTGATCAACAAAAGCATCAAAGACGTTTGGGTTCTCAAGTCATTACCAAGCATGACCATCGTATAAGCGATCCATAGTATATAAAATGCAGCAACATAGTAAGTGAGGTAGCGTTGCACGGCTTTCTTCGTTTTGTTCAATCCATCTATTCTGCTCTGAGTTTCCTGAATTCTAGAGCTAAGTAGCGACAACTCCTTCTCGAAAGCTGCAACATCAAAATCCTGTTTTCCAAGGAAATTGAAAAGACCCATGAATGCAAGATACCCGAGCGCAAGCTATTCCCTGAGTAACTTACTGTTCGCACTGCAGGTAACACACGATTTATGAATAATACCTTCTTGGCTCAGAGAATTTATCAAATACTATCCAAATCTTTTAAGTGTCTCTTTCAATAAGAAGTTGCACAAAGTTTCAACATATTGTTGAGGCACGCTCTAGTAAAGCTTATGGAAGTCATCAAACATCACGAGCTGTAGGCACGAGCCAAGGCACGTGACGTGACCAACTAATCATCTTTAGGTACTGATTAAGAGTAAAAACGAAAAATCATCGGATTCGAAGGATCTCCCTGGCTCCTGCATTTGATAACTGGGCAAGTTTTTCTCATCGTAGTAGTCGTAGTGATTCCTTCAAGGTTCTTCTATTTCGCGATCATTGGAGAAAAAAAGTACATAAAGGGGAGCGTTTTTCTCAGTATTTCTATCACATTAATTAAGGTGGCCTCTTCTAGATGCACAGGACACCCAGCTTGTCATTTTGGGGATAGTTTATAAGATGACATATCGTGCCGGTCTCAGGTCGGTATCCTTGAGAGGTAATTTGACTCCGGAAGCCATTACGTTTATAAAAGCACGACCAGAGATGTTCCTCATATGTCTAAATCACAATGTTCGAGAATGGCTTTTGAATGCCAAACAGATCATACATGTACTTTGTGACTCCGTGACAATCTATGCAACCTTGTTGAATAAGGTCCCCCATTTCGACGACATAACAGCTATGGCAGATAAAAACAAGGCAAATATGAGTCGCCTAGAATACGATATTAACAATATTTTTGTCAAGTCCCTGAACATTTGGGAATGGGAGAATCTTTCATACGAAGAAAGAGTAAAGACTTTCGCTTCAATAGTATTGAGAAGTATCTATGAAGCTGTGGAAGAATTGCGTAAATGTATTGTATGCGTGGAGCTCTTCTTCCTGCAATTTGACAATTTAAGGAAGCTTATTGTGCCGTGTCTCATGATAAACGTCAAAGTGGTACTACGTCTGGTGAAAAAGACAACTTTCTTGCTCGAGACAAAGACAATAGTTGACAGGAAAGATGAAATTTGTTGGGATCCCCTTAAGAAGCGTGCCGATCTCATAAGGATCGAAGATGTAACAGACGGTTTGAGACGTGAACTGCGTGTTTTGGAGACAGTTTTTTTGACGCTAGATTCGTCCTTGAAGAACTATACAGACATACTTCTCGGAAAGCTGATATTAAAGCGCAATATCGATAACGATGAGCGAGAAAGCATCAAACGCAGAACAATTTGCTATCAAGCGGCCGAGCATGTGTTAAGTATTCCTCTCACAGGTGAGCAGCATTCACGTTTGTCGGTCTCCGATATTAGGAAGCAGCTCCTTTATTTCACGTCTCTCACTCTTGCCTTTATGGCATTTGTGCTATACAGGTTTTATAAAATTATAGTAGGTTAAGAGGAATTTAGTTTTGGTCAGATTCATGGATACAAGTAGATTCGAATCTTTTGACAGACAAGCTCCCACGTGACTTCTATACGTAAATTTAAGCTTGGACGCTCCTCCGCGCATTCCTGCTGGACATACACCAAACAATCGCAGAAGCTAGCTGAAGCGATTCTCGGAAGTCCAATATTGAAACTTTGGAGGTCGTTAATTGAGGCCTTAGATATCAGCCGTATTAGCTCCATCAACTCATTCTTCGTGCCGACTCGTGGTTTAGTGCAACTTTCTCATCGAATCCGTCCCTGAGAGTCTTATCATAGCTCTAGTGTCATGTCTTCAAATCCGAACCAAATATATTCAGCCACATATTCAAATGTTCCAGTGTTCGAATTTGTGACATCTGAGGGCCCTATTATGCGCCGAAAATCCGACGGATGGATAAATGCTACTCATATACTCAAAATAGCGAAGTTTCCTAAGGCGAAACGAACGAGGATTCTAGAAAAGGATGTTCAGACTGGTGTTCACGAAAAGGTGCAAGGAGGCTACGGTAAGTATCAGGGCACCTACGTTCCGTTAGATCTGGGTGCCGAAATTGCCCGCATGTTTGGTGTCTACGAGGTTTTGGAGCCAATTTTCAAGTTTGTGTATGTGGAAGGAAAGTCTGATACACCACCACCAGCTCCAAAGCATAATCATGCGTCTGCGTCCAATATTGCTCGAAGACAGCAATCCTTTAAGACGTCAAATGACCATCTACTGCCAAATGACGTGGGCCCTAGGAAGAAATCGAAAGTAGAAGATAACGGTGAGGAGCCTTCTAAAAAAAGAGGTCGTCCAAAGAGAGTACCGCTTCAAGGCAGATATAAACCAGAATTATCATCTAGTCAAACGGTGCCAATTTCTAACCCTAGAGGTCCAAGCATGGGAACATTTTCCTCCAGACAAGATTCTTCCGCCTCCCAAATGATACCATCATTCCCGTCATTAACAAGACAGGACACGGAAAAGGATGCACTTCAAATAATGGCAAGTAATCTCAGCATAAGAAATGATGATTTGGAACTGGACACAAGTGCAGACGAGAGTAATCGTAAAAGACATGATTTACGGGACTCGAGTACGCGGGATGATGATGATGGATTTTTATCAGGAAGAGAGCTCTTTGGCGGGAATGATTCATTCTCAGGTAGGGAATCTTTTGAAAAGCTTTTGGATTTTCATAGGCGAAGCAGAATCCATTCAAGCATGCCGTCTGGTCGCCAGAATTCCCTAAATGGGGTGAACTCATCTTTCAATGGTTTAACACAATATCATCACACCCCGATATCAACGGGCCTTGTCGCTGAGAAGCAGAGTGGTAACGGCCTCTACGATTATTTCACAACGCTTCTTGATTATTTTTTACATGATGACAAAAGCTCGCATACTGAATGTAAAAGCGAGCAAGGTTTACCAGATGAAATATTGAATCCACCTGAACCTTTGAGCGATATCAAAATCAACCAGAGAGTAGACAATGATGGGAATTGTCTACTACACTGGGTATGTGCGATGGCGAACACTACGCTTCTACAGTTTTTGGTCACAAAATTCGGCTCCTATATCGATGTAGGAGCAAAAAACTATTTGGGTGAGAGCCCCTTGATGTTTATGGTTAAGTTCAACAATAGCTTTCAACAGCAAAATTTTATGAAGATCATTGATTTGCTCGAAACGACTATTCAATTAACTGACAACAGGGGCCAGACGGTCTTGCATCACATCGCTAATTCCTGTAAGGCAGGCCACCACAACGAGAGAGATTCTGGCCATCGACGTTTCATGGAGCGATACGCAAACTACTACTTGGAGAAGCTTCTAGACTTTCTTCTGGAAGAGATTGGGTCCAAGAGCACCATAAAGCTTCACTTTGCTGAATTTTTGAATGTTCAAGATCTGGAGGAAAATACAGCATTACATCTATTTGCGTATCATCTCAGCAAAAAGTGCATCAAAACAATGATCCGATTCCACAAGTTGCTCAACTTGGAACTTAAAAATGCTGTGAATCACACGGTGGAGGATTACCTTGCATCTCACAACTATGTACTAAGGATCGAGGATGATGCGCCTGAAGAAAGAAAAGTTTTGAATGTTTCCACAAAGGGTGAAATGGATCTACGGCACGACGATTTTAGTCGCTCTCAAAGCTTCCAATCACAATTGCAAAATACAAAGTTGGAGATCAGTCGTCAAAACGAAGTGTCCAATACTGTGACAGAGAAGCTTAGCGAGTTGGCTTATGCGATTGACCGAGAATTGGGTGCTAAAGACGAGAAACTTTTCAGACTATACAAATGCCTTCGAAAATTCTGCTATGAGAAATTCACCTCACAAAAGGCTAATTTGAAAATATTTAAGCTAGACTATCTTGTGGAGGACATGGAAAAGGAATACGAATCAGGAAAACATATCAATTCAAAGCTTGATGGAGACAACATGGTTTTTAATGCATCCCGAGACTTAATTATCCAAGAGGAGATTGCAAGGCTTTTAAATGATATGTCGTTTCAGTCTTTAATCGCCAGGGAAGACTTGCAACGAATGTGCGAGCAATTCATTATTAGGAGGGAAAAGTTATGTCTGCAGAGACTATGGAATGGTATTGAAACGTCACAGAATCTGGCGAAAGAGAAGAGCAACGACGAACGATTACGTTCCGCGGTTGAACTCCAAGGTGAAATTCAAAGAAGAAGACTCCTTGCTGGGCAAATTTACCATCTCGAAGGTGCCACACCACTAATGAACTGGAATAACGATGACTACAAAGAGAACCAATCTGGCAATACAGACAAAATTGATGAAAGTCTCGCGAAGCTAGAGGGCGTGATGTCTGGAATACCGCGCGAAGATAAGTTGTTCAAGTATTGCAAATTGATAGCCTTGAGTTGCGGTATGTCTATCACGGAAGTGGAGCAGTCCATTGACTTGATTGAGGAATCACTTCTTCGAAACAAGCGTTAGGTTGCAATTTGTTCAATGTACCCAATGCAGCTCTTAACTCGATGTCTGATGAATGGTATTGGTCTTCGAAAGTGTTTTGAGACTGAATACTCTAAGAACGAATTCCATGTTGTATGTATTAAAAGCAAATTGTGGTGTCGGTGCTTACGGAACACTTTCTTGCGATTCTGTCTGTATATAAACCTATATCTAGTGGTCGCAAATGAGATGATAGGGTAATGACGAGTATGAGAACAAACAAGATGACCGCAAACGATATCTCAATTTCGTATGATCTACGGAACCTACCAGATGAGTATCAAATGAACTTTTGCAAGGACCATAACTTGCTTTTGGGCTATGTGACATCGGCGCCGATTTATGAGGACTTCCGAGCAGGACTCTTGAGTCTGCTAGGCGCTCTTGAGCCGAAAATAAAACACCTACTCGTAATGATAAGGGAGTACCTGAATATTTCAACCAGGATTCAGAGCCAAATTATCCTACTTGATCAGATCTTCAAAGAGTTCATCACTTTGGAGACATACCAGTTCCAACTTTTGGCCTCAAACTTCAATCAGAATGTCCTAAGGCAAAAATTAAGAAGCAATACAGAAACAGAGGCTTCAAATATCACCGTAAGTGCCTGTCAAAATGACAGCTCGATGCCTACATTCCTTGGCTCTTTGCACCGATTCAAGGCATCTCGCAAATCGCATCATCTAAGACAAGAGAAGCTACACAGGTGGACGGATGAAAGAGTGAGCGGATTTGTATAGCCGAATTCATTTTAAACGCAGTAAAGCGATTGTAGCAATTTGAACACTGCGCAAACATGCGAGCTCGGAGGTGAGGCGCCGATAACAAAGGATCACAAAAACAACTTTTCAAATTTCAACTCCCATCCTCAGACGGTTTACGCCCCAAATCCTAAACTCTCACCATTTTCTGAACTGTAAATTTTTACCAATTGCGTGGCATCTATTACTACGGCCGGTGCAGCATGTACTACCCAATCAAACTTTAACGGCGCGAGATAATCGGCTCCTGTCGCCGAGCAAGCAAAAGTCCGAAAAAGCCGCGACGTCTTCATAAATTCATTCGTTTCAAACTTGCCTACATTTTCTTCTACAATCTCAGCCCTGTGATGTTTAGAACGAGATTTATAGGCTTTGGTGCCTCGGCAACAGGAAGGTTGGCAATTCGTCGTTCATTTGCATCCTCTCCTCGCCTTGGTAGTGCCGCTCTGCAGAAATCTACTGGGGGTATTTTCAAGAAAACTCTCAAAACCATTGGGTACGGTTCTCTTGCATTCACCTTGGCTTCAATTGGTTATGTGAGCTTTAAAGTTTGGAGGGAATCCTATCCAGAGGAACAACAAAAGCAAGCACCCACCTTTCCAGATGGAAGGAAGAAGAAAACCCTTGTGATCTTGGGATCCGGTTGGGGGTCCATCTCACTTTTGAAGAAGTTAGACACCACGTTGTACAACGTAGTCATTGTCTCGCCACGGAATTACTTTCTTTTCTCACCGTTGCTTCCCTCGTGTCCTACTGGCACAGTTGAAGTTAGGTCGATTATTGAGCCTGTTCGTGCTATCACTAGAAGATGTCCAGGAGAGGTGATCTATTTGGAAGCAGAGGCCACTGATATTGATCCCGTGAATAACCGTCTTACTATCAAACAGCTGACAACGGTTCATTCAGGTCACTCCGGCAAGGACTCAGGTTCTGCTAAGCCCACACTTTCTGAGGACATTATCACGTCTTTGGACTATGACTATCTTGTTGTAGGTGTGGGTGCTCAGCCTTCGACTTTTGGATTGCCAGGTGTGGCTGAGCATTCTACTTTCTTGAAAGAGGTCAGTGATTCGATGAAAATCAGAAGAAGATTGATGGATGTTATTGAGGCCGCGAACATCTTGCCTAAGGATGATCCCGAAAGAAAGAGATTGTGTCATATCGTTGTCTGTGGAGGTGGCCCTACTGGTGTTGAGGTTGCCGGCGAATTGCAGGATTACATTGATCAGGACTTGAAAGCTTGGATGCCCGAGATAGCATCAGAACTCAAGATTACTCTTGTTGAAGCTATGCCCAATGTTTTGAGCATGTTTAACAAAAAGTTGGTGGATTATACTCGCCAAGTAATGATGGATACCAATATTAACTTGTTGTGCAGTCACGTTGTCAAAAAGGTTAATGACAAGACTGTTTATGCTGTCAATAAAGCGGATCCGGATAAGATCACGGAGCTTCCATATGGTATGTTGATCTGGGCAACGGGCAACGCAAAACGCCCAATTATCGGAAATCTCTCTTCTAAAATTGAAGAGCAGAAGAATGCTAAGAAAGGCCTTTTGGTGGACGACAGATTGCTTGTCGACGGAACTGATAACATATGGGCATTGGGTGATTGTACTTTCACCAAATATGCTCCAACTGCTCAAGTTGCTTTTCAACAAGGAATCTTTTTGGCAGAACATTTCCACAGGTTGCATGATGTGGAAGATTTGAAGTATAAGATCTCGAACTCTTCACCTGATGAACGAGTTGATAGGCTCAAGAAGAAGCTTGTGAGAAGCCAGAGCAATCTTCCTCCCTTTGAGTACAATCATCAAGGATCCTTGGCATACATTGGTTCCGAGAGAGCTGTGGCAGACTTGGTTTGGGGTGATTGGTCCAATGTTAGTTCGGGTGGTACCTTCACCTTCTTGTTATGGAGATCAGCTTACATTTACATGTGTCTCTCTGTCAAAAATCAAATCTTAGTTTGCTTCGACTGGATCAAAGTTGGATGGTTTGGCCGTGATATTTCCAAGGAATAAACCATTTCTTTGATTTTTGTTTGGGTGCAAAATGAATTCCTTTTCGGCCCATGTATGACCTACTCTTGTTCAACTGTTTGCAACATACACTTAAAGGACGCTTTCTACAAAACGAAACTTTTGATCGTAGGGTCTTTGTTTTATGCTGCAAAAAGCTTCTACCAATTCGACTCCTCAACTCTATTTCTAGAAACTTTGCAATTCATCACTCGAGGCATCACATTTCTGTGGGATTGTACTCATGGTAAGAAAGGGCGAAGCCATCGATTTTAAATTTATAACATCCTTCACAATTATAAATATTCGTTAAGGGCCGAGATCCTTGCTGCCCGATCCCACGTGTATTGGTAATTCACTTCCTGCAGCGGGCCACTTTTGGTCCCTTGAGCCGCCTCGATAATGTCACTAAGGCATCTCTCGGAAATTGGCGCGCACATTATCTTCAGAGCTTGAAGGGTTTTTACGAGCCTAAGCCAGACATCAAATAAACAGGCTCACCTTGGAGATGATACCCCACATAGCGGCATATATTGATAATGAAATTTGCTAAAGTTTTTCAGCAGACACTCATTGAGGAAGAAATTCCGGATGAGTGGGCAGAGGCTGCTATCCAGTACAAGGTTCTAAAGAAGTGTATCGGAAGGGTGGTGAAAGAGCTAGAGTTTTTGGGATTATCCAAATCAGACGTGAAGCTCTTATTGCAAGACGAAAGTGGAAATGAATCGGTTGAACTTCTCGACGAAGAAACCGTGCCGAACAACCCTGTTATTGCGAAATATCTGTTGGCCAAGTCGAGGAAGTCCAACGAAGTTATTCCTTTTTTGAAAATTTCTGTCAACAACACTCTGATCGACTCAAATCAGTCTCAGAAGACGCTAGAACTTGCTGATGTCATTCGCTCAAAGTTACAACGAGTTTTGGACGCTACTGATGAAGAACATCAATTTGTGGAGATCAGGGAAGACGATGACGGCTTGACTTTATCCCCACAGACCTCTCACGATGAAAATCATATAGTATCTGTGCGGAATAACGAAATTGTCGTCTTGTTGAATTCAGATTTGAAGTTCTTTGGAATGCTCAACACCGAGATTGAAAATTTGGATCAAATTCGGAAGACAGAGGAGGCTAACATTATTCAAGAGATATCGAATGTTTCTGAATCCGTTCTGAGGCTCACAGAAAAAAAAGCTGATCTATACTTATGGCGTGAATTGTTCAAAATTTATCTAGATTCTGAAATATTTTTCCGCTACAACGAGACCTCACTGCAACAATTAGAAAGGAATTCTGATATGATAAAACAGAACTTGGAAGTTTTTTCGGCCAATGTTGCAAAAACCAAGCTTCTCGAGAAAATGGCGAGAAAGAGATCCGTTAACACCTTCGATCGATTTGTGGCGATTAACGAGCGTTTGTTCAAGATCTTGATGTTTCAGTCCATCAATACTACAGCTCTTCGAAAAATTCTAAAAAAGTTTGACAAACAGACAGCTTTCAATGTATCATCCGAGTTTCCGGCCCTCATTTCACAAGATCATGTTTTTATTCATGGATCATCATTAGCTCAGTCGATTTGCTACACTATTCAAACGACGCTTCTCGTTATCGTACCTCAACTAGATGATTATAGTTGTCCAATATGTGTCAGCATTGCCTACAAGCCAATAAGGCTTCTATGTGGTCACCTTTTTTGTGTACGATGTTTGGTAAAGATGAAACAACGAGGAAAGATGGATTGCCCCTTATGCCGACAGTCTAGAGCAATAGCATCTGCTGATTCATCCAATTTGGATTTGGACGCTATGCGCACTATAAAGATGGCATTCCCGGAAGAAGTAAAGGAGAAACTCAAAGAAGCCAACAAGGAGAGATACAATGAAATGGTTGGTCAGCACAAGTCTTGTGAAATAGTTTAGTGTTTTATCTATCAATCCAGAATAAGATATGTAATATAGTCCTCACAAGTAATGGAAAGTGGCCTTAAAGTCCTGGAGCAACATTTGCGCGCCACACAATCAGTCCCTCTAGGATATCACCATGGCTACAGAACTAGACAGATCCGAGAGATATGATCGTCAGCTACGATTATGGGCAAAGGATGGCCAGTCTCGACTCGAGAGAAGTCACGTCTGTCTCATCAACGCTACTCCCACCGGTGCAGAAGCCCTCAAAAACCTCATACTACCGGGTATTGGCGCTTTCACAGTCGTCGACGAAAGGGTAGTGAGCGAAGAGGACTTGAGTGGGAACTTTTTTCTCACGGAAGATGATATTGGGCTTGAAATTGCGTATCAAATGTCACGGCTGCTTCTGGAATTGAACCCAGATGTTGTTTATCGTGCTGTTCCCGAAAGCATTGAAGAATGCTTACTAAATCCAGCGTTCTTCGATGAGTTTGACATAGTGTTGGTCAGTGACTACATTCCACTTTCCGACATGTTGGTATTAAAACAACGATTGTGGAACAAGAACGTGCCCTTGTTGCATGTCAACTCATGTGGCCTCTACGGCACTTTGCAAGTCTTTTGCGAAGAGACTACCATAGTGGAGACCCACGACCCTTCACAGCTATATGACTTGAGGATTGACCAGCCGTGGCCAGAGTTGCAGCAGTATGTCGACTCTTTCAATTTGGATACTTTGGATGATACAGATCATGCACATGTGCCTTACATCGTAATTTTCATTAAAGGCTTGCAAAACTGGAAGAAGGATCATGATGGATGCTCTCCGAAAAACTACGCCGAGAAACGCATATTCAAAGCTGAATACATCGAGAGCCTTTCCCGCAATATCAACCTTGAGGCCAACTTTTTGGAGGCTAGCCTGCAAATACATCGTGCATTGCAGGCGACAGTGGTGCCCAATTATTTAAAAGAGCTCTTCGGAGATAAAAGAATCAGTGATGAAAACTTGAGTGAAGAGACGCCTCTTTTCTGGATGTTTGTCAAGGCCTTGAGCTACTTTGTGGAGAACGAAGGGGCACTACCGCTACCGGGGTCTCTACCAGACATGGTGTCGAGCACTTGCAATTATATCACACTACAACAACTCTACCGCAACAAGGCTTTAAAAGATCAAATGAAATTCGCTGATTTACTCAAGCTGCTCCTCTCAAGAGTTGGTAAAGCTGAAGATGTCTCGATCGATCTGGTTGCCTCGTTCTGCAAAAACTCAGCATTCTTGTATTATTCTAGGGGCTCGAGCGCTTTATTCTCCAACGAACTCAAAAATAAGTTATTGTTTCCAGAAGATAAGTTTAACACTTTGGCAATCCATTATGGAATACATGCCCTACATTCATGGATAACTCGTGGAAAACCAAATTTATTCTCCGGGTATCTAGAATCATTTTCGCACACCCTGGCTATTTTCGACTTGCAATGTTTGCCGGAAAATTGCAAGAAGGTACTCCACGAAGTGTATCAGCATCACACCAAAAACTTTCATGGAACGTGCAGCCTAATGGGTGGAATTGCGAGTCAAGAGATTCTCAAAATTGCAACTGCCCAATATACACCCTTGGACAACCTTGTTATTTTCGACGGCATTAACACCATAAGTGAGAAATGGAAACCATGAAATTATAAATCATCAAATTCTCCTTGCACCCCGGAAGACTTTTTTTTCTTCTTATTCTGTCGCACTATGTCCTTCCAATCAACGGCGAGCTCTTCTTCATCTGAGGGCTCCTCCAATAATTGCTTTTCAATTTCTTCTCGTTTTCGTTTGAGACGCTCATTTCTTTCCGACTTTAGTTCCTTGGAGTCGAGCTTGGACGACCAGGACTTATTCTGCTTGGAAAGGCGCTTCCTTTCTTTTGCGTCCTTTATCATTTTCTGTTTATTCTCCTCCAAAGACTCAAGTCTGGACTTCTCTTTGGCAGCATCAGCGTATGCATATTTGTCCATGTCCAAAGGAATGTCGGTGAGCCATCCATCGATGGGCATAGTATTCTGAGGGATATAACGGGTTTCTGGCATTTTGGGAAGTCTCAACAATCCATGCATTTTCGCTAATCCTAGGAAATCGAGAGACTGTATCCTGAAAATTGATTTTGCAAGATGTTTCAGGTAACTTTTGACGAATGCAACATAAGCTTTGACTGCCAACTCATGATGAGATCTATCGGATAGCATGAATCGTTCCACTTCCTTATAAAACCTTTCATGAAAGGCTGCGTCTAGTTCAAGGGGGATCTCGCTCAAAAAGACTCCTTTGACCTCCATGAAATCAACATAATTTATCTCGTTTCCACCGTCATTAAGGAAAACGATGGAATTGCCCACTTTATTTGCTCTTCCCGTTCTTCCTGCTCTGTGCAAGAAAACATCGGGATCATTAGGAGGATCAAGTTGAATAACAAGGTCAACATCTTGAATATCAATTCCCCTCGCTGCAACATCCGTTGTCAACAAAACATGCTTTTTACTCATAGAGTCACCATCGGTAAAAGCTTTGAGTGTTCGAAGGCGAGCTGTGGTCGATAACTGACCAAACAATGAGTAGAATTTGACATTTTCAAGCCCAGCCTTGTCCACCAGCAGGCACAATTGCAATAATTGATGAAAATATTTGACGGACAAGCATGTAGGAAAATATACCATACATTTTTTGAAGTTATAGTGCTGCACAAGTTTGATGAATGTGGTGAGTTTTTGCTCTGGTTTCACCACGATATACTTCATGGTGAGAGAGGCTGGTGCGGCTGCGACGGACAGCTTTGATTGAACAGCCACTTTTACGGGATTTAACATACCCGTTTTGAAAATCCGATCACCGGAAGCAGATAAAGTGGCCGAAAAGAGGCCAGTTCGCCGTTGTTTTGGCAAATGTCTGAGTATTGAGATTACATCAGTCTCGAAAGACTGGTCGAGTAGTCTATCAGCCTCGTCGAGTATAACAACCTCGACATGAACTGCAGAGATTTTGGGAGTTGATAGGAAATCCAACACTCTTCCTGGAGTGCCAATCACGATGTGAGGTTTTGCTTGATTAAAGCTATCAATATCCTCCCTGGTACTGTTAAGCGAGCCCACAACAAGTTGTGTTTTGATGCTGCTTAGGGAATCAGGAATATTCGTGATAAGCTGGTCGAAGACGGCCTTTATCTGGAAGGCCAATTCTCTAGTTGGCGATAATACCACGGAACATAATGTGCTCTTTTTCAAAGATGTGGGCTCGACATCCTTCTCTGGAATACCATATAAGATACGTGACACATGTTGCAAAACCGGAATCACAAACGCCAATGTCTTTCCCGAACCTGTGACTGACTGTACCACAACGTCCTTATTTCCACTGAGAAGAGGAATGGTAGAGGCTTGAACGGGAGTCATCAGGGAAAACCCGAGAGTTTCAACAGCATCCCTTAGCCATGGATGGAGATCTTTTGTCACATTTTCCCATTCTAGCGACATTACTTTTGTTTCCTCCCGTGTAAAATTCAAGGGGTATTAGCTTCGAGGTGAATCTGCTTAGGCTTTTTTTGCGATGCGCATCGCACCATGATAGTACACATATAATCGATGAAGAGGACCTTACAAAGGATGGCAGAAAACTCGAAAAGAATTGCAAGCTCAAACAAAATAAATTATGAGTCGTGGTCGAAAGCTGAACTCATTCAAAAGATAAGATCCATGGAAGGAGATGAGTTTCACGAGTGTTCAAAGTCCACTGGAAAACCGAAACAAAAACATTTTGATTTCTCCAAGTTCAACACGAGGTTCATTGCATTGAGGTTTGCCTATATGGGGTGGAACTATAACGGGCTCAATTTCCAATATGATCCCACTCCATTACCCACGGTTGAGGAAGCTATACTTGAGGCAATGAAGAAAGCGAAACTAATTATGGACGCTGACCCAGCAGCTTGCGAATTTAGTAGGTGTGGGCGTACTGATAAGGGAGTCAGTGCTTTGAATCAAGTAATATCTTTACGAGTTCGTTCTAATTTAGCATCCCACGAGCAAGCAGAGCGTGCATGCGACGAGAAAGAGCTTCCCTACGTGACAATTCTTAACGCTCTACTTCCGCTAGATATCAGGATAACAGCAGTATGCCTTCGACCACCCGAAGGGTTTGACGCAAGGTTTAGCTGTGTATACAGACATTATAAATACGTCTTCAGCGGTGAAAACCTCAATATCGAGGCCATGACGGAAGCTGCTAGCAAGTTCGAAGGCGAAAATGATTTCCGGAACTTTTGCAAAGTTGATGGATCAAAGCAGATAACTAATCATAGAAGAGTCATACATTCAGCGAAAATATTGCCCTTGCGAGACAATTTCTTTGTTTTTGATCTCAAGGGTTCGGCATTCCTATGGCATCAGGTTCGTTGTATGATGGCTATTTTGTTCCTCACCGGACAAGGCCTTGAAAAACCTTCAATTGTTTCAGATCTAATGGATATCGAAAAGTATCCTAGTCGACCACTATATGATATGGCCCACGATGTGCCTCTAGTTCTATATGACTGCGTCTTTCCGGAGATGGAATGGCTCTCACTTGCCACCGATTTCGGCCCGCAACAACTGTTGAAGTTTCAAAAAGAATGTCAGAAGCTCAACGGTTACGTTGTGGACCAAAAGATTAAATCGCAGATTGTGTCTATGATGAGCGATATCTTTATCAGTGGAAATATTTCGGGGTTGCGTAACACCATGAACCTTGGTGACGGAGTGGGAAGGGCTTATAAGACTTATGTGCCCATCAAGGCTAGACCCCTCGGAGAGACGGTGGAACAACAAAATGCGAAATTTCTCGAGAAGAAGAAAAGAAAAATCGAACAATGAAGGTTATTTGGATATCCATGATGGTTCCCAGTATTGTGTCTCATTAGGGCCTTGCGAGTCCATCCATAAGAATCCGTTCATGATCATCTCATCGATCACAGTTCTCAGACGGACTTTATCCCAACCATAGTTATCACGTAGTAGCCGCACAGTAACGAAACCTCCCATGAACTCACACAATTCGTAAACTTTTTGTTGGTCAGAAGAGATGCTGTTCTTGCCCGATGATGTGATGTGTCTTACCCATCTTTTCTTATTTATTGTAAGTAACTCAAATCCCTCACCTAGACTATTGAGAACATTGAGTGCTTTCACGACATCGTCTTCTGCTACTTTAAGTGGAACACTGTTGCAATCTTCCATTCGCGAGCGTAGTTCCTTCATTGAGATAAGCCCTCCATTGATGTCACGGGTCTGGTGGCATATCTCCACAATTTTTATCGCTAGACCACAAAAGTAGTTATCCTTCTTCTTCAGCCGCAGCTCCAAGAGTATTAGAAGCTCTAAAGCATCAATTCCTATCAGCAGGCAGATGCTGGTGAATTTGGATCGGAATTCAGGATTTGATCTGATGTTGCTGCTATGGTCTACGGCAAAATTGACCACAACAGATTGAAAGACGGATAGCTGAGCAGAGAGCTCGTCAGCATGCTTTTGACTAATCGATTGCCCTAGCTTTGAGTACGCATCCCTATCAGAAGTTAAGCGAGACATTTGCTCAATCCTTTATCTCTACCGCGATAATCAGTAAGGAGCGTTATGTTGAATCTGGTCATTCACGTGAGAAAACAACACGTGAATGTTGTTGACCATGGGGACAATAATTAAATCAGTGGAAGAGTCTTCCAGAATAGGCAGTCTAGTAGGTGTATAGTGGCACTTGGCCATAGCGTGACGGTAGGATAAGATTATAAGATTAATTCATAAAAAAAGTCACTGAGGAGGAACATGTGACCTGTGGTATGTAGTTTTTTCTTTAAGGAAGGAAACCCGAGGATGAAAGAAGTCCAGCTATTTATAGACAGAAGCATACCAAAAATCGGCCAACATAGCCATAGAGGCAGCGTCAAACGTAGAAGACGGTGCTCGTTTGCAGTTTTCAGTGATAATATGCAATACGCATATCTCACTTCAACATGTTAGTAGCCTGCAGGATCAGCTATTTCACAACCTCTTCCGGATTTGCTTGGTTCTAGTCAACTTGAGAGTGAAATTTAGTTGTGTTTTCGTAGATTCTCGGCACGTACATATTTGAAATAGAATTCCTCAGACTCAAAGAAATCTTGAAGTACTGATTCTATTCTTAGCATTGTGGTTATGGTCACTGGGGGCTGCCCAACTTTCGATGTGATGGCTCATAGAACGAAGTGCCCAAGTGATTGACTACTAAACCCTATCGACGTACGCATATAATACATAGTTCGATGCAATGAGACATCATCAGACTGTTCAGAATTCACCATGACTCTTGCAAGCTAAGATAGAGCTTAGCATATCATAAATTCGACCTCGGCACCGCTTCATCCACCCCGCACACAAACAGGTGCGGGCCGTTCGTAGGAGTTTAGAGCCCAGGAAACGCAATTCATACTGCATGAACACGGACGATAAATAGTGCACAACGGTCTGGAAAAGTGTAATCTTCAACAAGATGGGATTGAATGATGATTTGGTGATCAAGGAGACCACTGTGCCTCCGCGTGAAATCAAAGTTAAAATTCCAGGAGGTGTCACCGGAACTCTCGCTATTCCTCATGCTGCCGATATCGATGGGGACGAGAGATATAAATATGCCTCTCCAACCAAACGAGTGGCATTACTTTTGCATGGCCAGGGAGGTCACCGTGACTACTGCTACCAGAAGGTAGTGGCACATAGATTAGCCGCAGAATTAGGCTTGTATTCTTTCAGAATTGATTTCAGAGGTTGTGGAGATTCGGACGACTACGATGATCCCACCCTTGGAAGAACGCTTGAATCCGACACCACCGACATTCATAATTCGGTGATCTACCTTGTTGATGGAGCCAAGAACACACTTGGCATTGATTTCGAGATTGCAGCTTTAATCGGCCATTCTCGTGGCAGCGTGGCCATGTTTCTTTGGGCCATGGAACAGGACAGAATCTTTTCTATAGATCCGCAAAGAGCCATTATAGTTCCAAACCTTATCAACATGTCGGCCAGATTTGAATCAAAAACAGTGTATGACAGATATCCCAGTGAGGACAATAGCTGGGAATACTTGTTGCAAACCGGTCTTCGTTATGGTAAATGGGAAAAGTACAAGATCCCAAAGAACGAGATTGATGAGCTCCTGAAACCTGACTTGACGAAATTAAGAGACCTTTCGCTTAAATGGTCAGTGTTGAGTGTTTATGGAATGGAAGATGATATTATTCCAAGGGTTGATAGTGCTCATTATGCGAATCATCTCAACCGTGGCTTTTATTCCCACGAGCTTCAGTTGATTCCTGGAGCGGACCACAACTTCTACGGAGTTGAACCATTGGAAGATGAAGACGACGCCGATATCATCAATCCCTATAACCTTCCTTTAAACAAGAACAAATTGGTCAACTACAACTACTTGGCTGCCGCCTACATCATGAGGTATCTTCAACCAGAACAGGAGCTGATCAGGTTTCTCTTTTCTTCTAAGCTGATAAATGATGTTTCAAGGTGGAAAACTATCGACGGGATTTCAAACTTCAGAGATATTGGTGGCTGGCGAGTCACGAGTCCTCGCTATCCGATCGATGGTATGAGATCGGCCATTGTTCGCCCAAATTTTATCTATAGATGTGCCAACACAAACCTTGTGACTGCCAAAGGAAAATTATCTTTGAGAGATTTGAAAATTAGAAAGGTATACGACCTTCGTTCTAATCAAGAGTGCGCCAAAGATGGTGTGATCGAAGATTTGGAGGAACTAAACATTGAGAGGGTCTTCAATCCAGTTTTTGCAAACGAAGATGCCTCTCCCCAAGCGCTCGCCCTCAAAACAGCCAACTTACTTACTCATTGGGACACTTATGTGAACATGTACGACAACATGCTTGAGGAAGGATACGCCTCTTTTCAAAAGATGTTTAAGCATATTCGTGATCACCCCAGTGACCCATTTGTTTTCCACTGCACAGCAGGCAAGGACAGGACAGGCGTATTTTGTATGTTGGTCTTGAGATTCGTGGGCGTTGACAAGCACACCATTGCAAGAGAGTACGACTTGACAAGTCATGGATTGAAGCCAGAATATCCCAAGATTGCGAAGGCTTTCCAGGCTGGATTAGAGAAATTCAAGACTAAGATCCTGTTGCACGACTTGGAAATTATGGTTGGTCGTGGACGTAAGGGATGGACTCTTGAAAAGGATGGTTTGCAAAATCTTTTAAGCTCACGCTACGAAGCCATGCTCGCTACGATTGACTTACTTGATGAAAAGTATGGAGGCGTCGTGAATTACATGCAAGAATATCTCAAGTTCACGGAGTCTGATTTGCAAAAGATTTTCTATAACTTAGTGTTTGACGAAGACAAGTTAGCTTGGAGCAAACAGTGGACTGAATCCAAATTTTAGATGCATTTAGTTTCAGCCTTAAATTCACATGATTGGTAATGGCCTTTGGTTAAATGTAAGTTTTTTGTGGACAACATCAATTAGCTTGACATCGTCAGAAGCTGATTCCGCCGTTGTAGAAACTCGTAACACTCCCACCGGCTTTGGGAGATCTTCGATCTTTCCAAGTAGACGCTGCGAATTTCCAATGAACAACGTCACCCTTTGCAGCGAAGCATCGTCAAATATGAGCCTGCCAAACTTGACAGCATCGTGGATTTGGTCTATGATTGCCATATCGTGCTTATCACTGGTCTCATCTTTAGACGGTAGATTTAGTTCACCCTGTATATCCAATAAAAGTAGTCCCATGGAGGAAGAAATCACGCATGAGCTGGTGGGTTTAGCTTCATATTTTGCTGTATTCAACGCCTCACGACCAACTGTACAATCTATCCTGGTGGCTGGCATTGTGAAACTAATATGGTGGACCAGGTAAGAACGCGTAATCAAGTAACATCTTCTGCAGGATGTGCAAGGTGAGAGCTTTACCTGAAGATATGAGACATGACGAAAGACCAGTCAGACGTTAAATATTGCTTCTCCAAGTTTATGTATTTAGTTTTGGTAGCACTGATGATTGGCAGTTCTGATTTATTTAAAGGTGCGGCTTGACCAAACACGAGTTAATGTTTAAAAGTGATACTGGTTGTCCAACGCAGGTTTTCATTGCCACGTATCTCAAATTTATCAGTTTTCATCTTTTTTTTATTCTTTAGCGAACACGGCTAACGGTTTACATCATGTAACCCGATACGGACTGTTCCAAACAAACGGCAAATCAAACGCTTACTACATTATGCCTAATTAATGAAGGGTAATAAAGGATAAAACAAAGTGGCAGTGCCGTGGCTTGATGAAGTGAGGCTTTCCAAGAAACGTAGCTGCGGAAGGATCCACTAGATGTTGATGTTCCAAGTCGGACGACTCAAAAATTGGGATCGCGCGGTGCTATCTATTAACTGCATATTCAGCTCCAATGAAAGGCATTTGATAGCCCTCGAGGGATATTATTCCATACATTTGTTAATTTGAGACCAAAAGAGATGTGAATTACCATCTTTGGTTTATTGAAAGCCTTTTCTATTTTATTATTTGCTGAGCATAGGCGAAAACCAAACATCTGTACTTATATCCTTCATATAAACACGATTCGTGCATGTAGAGTCAGCTGAGTTTCCTCTTTAAGGTAAATGACTTTGTGCCGCACTCATTGATGTAGCCCTTTCTCGATCGGGAAGTTTTCCTTGGGAGATGCCCCAATAGGCAAGTTTCAAGACAACGTGAACAAAGGTAACATGCTGTTTAAATATCCTGCCTAGGCATCTGAAAGTTCAAGCTCTTTACTCCTTTTTATCTGGAGCTGCCGGATTGTTACCCGAAGATCACCATAATACCCCCGCAAACCTACAATAGGGCTTCACAATGACTGTCCAGTCAACTACAGACTTCGATTACAAGCCTGCTACGGCAGGGTTGATGCTATTCTTGAGGTATGTCAATAACAAGCCGGCTGAAGGAACTGGTATTCAACAGCTAGCGAGTCAGGGTCATAACCTTCTAGGGAGCGAGCTTCCGTTGGAATTTCTCAAGTATCAAGTGGGGTACCAGATCAACTTGATCGGAAGCTACCCGACCGACACAGATATCGTACCTAGTGCCATCTTCGTCGCAGCATTTGCAGTCTTGATGTTTTTGCATTTGGGCATCTTCATCGTCAATTGCAGCAGGCACCATTTCTTCTGGGTGTCCTTAGGCTGGGTATTTTATTGTATTCTTCGTTGCCTTGGCTTCGGTTTGAGAATCCCTTTCGGAAAAGACGTCACTCGTGTTCCAACCGGTATCGCTAGTGAGGTTCTTTTAATTCTTCCTTCGATCGTGTTGGTGTCGTTCAACTTGATATTGGCGCAGCGTATTTTCACCTGGCGACACCCCGTCGGTGGTTCCAGAAAGTTGTTCTGGAGCTTTATGATAACATTGTATGTTTTAGTCCTCGGTATTATTGGAATGACAATTGCTTGTGCCGCTATTCCTTACATTCACTTTCTTTCGGAGGGCGTTTACGACTCGTACTTGAAAGTTGTACAAGCCTCATCTGTCTTGATTTTGGCTTACTCGCTTACAGCCATTTCTTTGATTGGTCTTGCGTACTTTTTCAAACCAACGAGAAAGGATGAGAACTTATACACGTACCAACCTTGGTGGATTGAGTCCTTTAGACCAACCTACTTTGTGAAAAAAGGTGCAGTCTACGATGCAGAGGAAACCTTCATGAAGCGTAATCATAATCATAGACACGCCATTCGTGTGATTGCGGCGACGCACCATCACTACAATATGGTCGAAGGTCTCACAAACCAAAGAGGTGATTTGAGCCATAACTACTCCTTGGGTTTGATTGCTATAACTACACTTTTCATTTTTGTTGGTTCTTTGTGCCGACTCATTGTGTGCTTTCAAAACAGGTACACCCGTGATCAAAGCCCCCTCTGTAAACCGGTCGCTATGTATATCTTGTGGGGCTTGATGGAGGTCATTATCAATGTGCTTTACATCGTGGGCAGAGTTGACTTGCGGTTCTACCGTCCAGACATATTGCCTGCCAAGGTTCGTGCCATCATTACTGCGCAGCAGTCTATTGAGCAGAGTGACGCTAGCAGTGAATTCGAGCGTTACTCCTCTGAGGAGGAGATTACGGATTCTGAATCTAGTGAAGGCTTTGACTTAACCCCAGGTGCAAGAAAGGAGGGATTTGTCAAGGATGCCAAAGAGCTCGAGTCAGATGACGACGAGGATTTCCATTTCTGAGGTGATCATCCTCACAATGGAGCATACCAATCCCACGCATAACGAGATTTTTAGATGATACCACGACACCCTAAGCTACTTTCGTTAATTGTTAACAAAAAAGTGCTGGCTCATTTCTGAAAGTCGGCAAATGGCTCTATAGATTTTAATTCTACTACAATGTGGTTGGTCTGGCGATAATATCGTGGACACGTCTGCAGGCTGTCTTTCTTTACCAAATCGAGTAGTTGTCATGTATGTGCGTCATGGAGTCTGCACGTCGGCATGAGATAATCCTTATTACGAGCTCGCCTGGATGCATTCCCCACAAATGGCCTAATATGGGCATGGGCGAAGCGACTTATCCCATTCTTTCGGTATGAATGGGAGGGGACGTTCAGTGAGGAGACTTGGAGAAACTCATATATATAAATATATATATATATATATATATATATATGTATATGATGCAATACTTCATACTTCCTGACATCTTTTGCAAGGAGCCGAATTTCTGAACGAATCATTACTTGACTGTCTCCAGTTAACTTTATAAACATCGGTACCAAAACCTTTTTGCTGCCGAGACCATAGCTGCAAGAGTCCATATTGTTGAGTTTTCACAGTCATGGAGTACGATAATAATGCTCCTGGAGGGCTTATGAAATTCCTATCAGCATGTGTTAACGGCGGTGCTCCAGGAACTGGTATCAAGCAGATTGTTGAAGTTGGTCAGAATCTTATGGGACCACAGTTACCCGATATCCTTATTGAGTACAATGTCGAAACACAGAATGTTTTGATGGGTGGTTACCCAACTGAGTGGGACATAGCTCCGGCAATTGTTTTCACTGTTGTGTTTTTTGTATTCTTAATATTTCACACGGCAATTTTCCTTATCAATTTCTTCCGTGGGCACTACTTTTGGGTGTCTCTTGGTTTCATTGGTTACTGCCTTATGAAAATTCCAGCTTTCGCAATGAGAGCTTACTGGGCCACAGACATCCTAGAAATCAACGTCGGTTTGGCGGGGTCTGTGCTTCAAATTGTGCCCGCATATTTAATCGTATCATTAAATTTGATTTTGACGCAGAGATTGTTTACTTGGCGTCACCCTGTCGGTGGTTCGAGATGGCTTTTCTGGAGCATTATGTTGCTGATGTACTTCTTGGTCTTTGTGTTTATCGCGATTATTGTCACTGCATCATTGGTGCCATATATCCACTTTGTTAGCTACAGCTCATACGAGAAATGGGCCAAGGTTAACCAGGCGTCTGGTGTTATTATCGTCCTTTACGTGATGACTTCGGTTTCTTTGCTTGGATTGTCCTACCTCTTCCCCCAACCAAGAAGGATGAGAACCTCTACACTTACCAGCCATGGTGGATCAAGTCTTTCAGCCCGTTCTATTTCGTTGAGAAAGGAGCAGCTCAAAGAGCTGAATTGTCTTTTATGAGACGTAATCACAACCACAGACACGCTATCAGAGTTATTGCTGCCACTCATCATCACTTCAACATGGTTGAGGGATTGACTAATGAAAGAGGAAGTTTGACCCATAACGTTTCTATGTTTATCATTACGGCAACCACTGCTTTGATTTTGGTTGGTGCTCTTTTAAGATGTATTGTGTTGTTCCAGTTTAAATGGAAGAGATACGAAGACACCATTGCTGAGCCCCTCTTGGGTTACATTACCTGGGGTGTGTTCGAAGCTCTAGTGAACATCATCTATATTGTGGGCAGAGTCGACTTGCGATTCTACAGACCAGACATCTTGCCTCCAGAGGTCAGAGCCATCATTACGGCCGAGCAGAGTTTCTATCCATCTGAGTCAGAAGAAGATGAGGACGACATCTACACTCGTTCGAGTCATGAATCTGATATTTCTGCCGCATCTAAGATCTACTCATCAGATCTGCCTTTGTCCTATGACAAGGTGGAGCCTCCATATCCTACGGACGATGTCGAGGATCTTGATGACGATAGAAAGACAACAGATAGCTCATCCTTCCAATTCCCTCATGAGAAGCAGGATGAAAAGGATACCAAACGTGAGCGAGCTGATGAAGATGACTCAGTATTTCACTTCTAAATGCCTATACTTCATTATAATATATCTATTTGTTCCGACTCATGTTGACTCAAGTAAGTTCAGCCGTTATTGTCTAAACCCAATTCGGCTAATGGTTCACATGAACGACTCAACGGTTTCCCCATTAGGAAAGTAGACTTACCCTATACACAGAACCGAGGCAGCATTGCATAAGTCGAATACAAGATTTAACCGACCACAGTGTTGCAAATTACCACTGCAAGGGCTCAGAAACTCGGGCTTTTGAAATTTCTAGAAACACAAGTCTTTTAATCTACAGCAGACTGTCTATAAATAAGACAAGCAAAGACTAGTCATGTTGTGAGCTCGACCGTTAGGATTTAACACCTTACTTTCGCGCATATTGTTGGCGGAGCTTAGCAAGTTGAACAAAGCGAAACTCACATTTAATGGTTATATCCGCGAGGAATCACTCCCATTGAAACGTAAATCCGCTTTCTCTGTCTTTTCCTATATTAAGTCGGCCATTTCCTCCCATTCTTGGTTTTCCCCAGAAAGAAACTTACAAGCTTAACGCAATGGACTCCCGAGGCTTTGCGACGGACCCGTCCGACTTTTCCAAAAATACAATGGTCGAAGGCATCTTCAAGGTTTTCAGGTACTTCCTTAATCACCCAGCCAGTGGGACTGGTATCATGGAACTTATATCTTACACAAGAAATCTTATCGGCCATGATATGTCGCCACAGCTTGTGAAGTTCGCTTTTGCAGTACAGAATAACCTTTTTGGTGGATACCCACAAGAAAGTGATATAGTGCCCAGTGCTATCATGGTGGCCTTCTTTAGTTCATTTGCACTTGCACATGCACTTATCTTTTTCGTTAATTTTTCGAGAGGCCATTATTTTTGGATATCCATCATGTGGAGTTTTAACTGCATTCTAAGAGTACTTGGATTTGCCCTCCGTATTGTGTGGGTGAAGGATCGTCCTGACGTGCCATCAGCGTTGACAAGTGAGCTTTTCCTCATTTTACCTTCCATCATCTTGGTGACGTTCAACTTGATCTTGGCTCAGAGAATCTTCACATGGAGACATCCAGTTGGTGGTTCCAGAAAGCTTTTCTGGGGCTGTATGCTTACGCTTTATGGTATTGTGTTGATCGTTATTGGTATCACTATTCCATCAGCTTTTATTCAATACATTCACTTCTTGGGTGTGCCAGCTTACGAGCTGTGGAAGAAGGTGAATGCTGCTTCCTCGATTTTGATTATACTTTACTCACTCACATCGATCTCCTTACTTGGCCTTGCTTACTTTTTCCAACCCACGAGAAAGGATGAGCGCTTGTACACATATCAGCCATGGTGGATCGAATCGTTTGGTCCATTCTATTTCGTTAAAAAGCATGCTGCACAGGAAGCTGAAGAGACTTTTATGAAGCGTAATTCGAACCACAGACATGCTATTCGTGTTATTGCCGCCACACATCACCACTACAATATGGTGGAGGGACTTACCAATAAAAGAGGAGAGTTGAAACACAACGTCTCCTTGTTCATTGTCTCAGTCTGTACTATTCTCATTTTCATTGGAGCTGTGCTTAGAAGTGTGACTATCTTCCAAAACCGTATGAACTATTTTAGCAGTTGGGTCTGTGACTACAAAGTCTTGGTTGTTGTATACGGTGGTTTTGAAAGCATCATCAACCTTCTTTACCTCGTTGGTAGAGTGGACCTTAGATTCTACCGTCCAGACGTTCTTCCTGCCAAGGTCAAGGCCATTATTACCGCAGAGCAAAGTTACTTCACCACTCCAGTGGGAAGTGACTCTGAAGATAGCGATGATGTCTACTCAGATACGTCCGATGAAGAGTCTGGGAAGTCTACTGACTCGATCCCATTTAACGACACAGTGACACCCTCTGAGACTGAGAAGCGGAATTCTACCAAGAAAGTCGACAGTCATGAAGGTTTCGAATTCTTCAACAGTGATACTTCGAGCATGAACTCGAACTTCCGCTTCTAAACCAACCATGGTGCAAGACCGCAGCAATTAATCCATTATAACTTATGACCGATACCTGATATTATATTCCAAGTGACCCGAACTCCTCATAATCTTCGTTGCCCCAGATTGGCACCACTATAGAGAGGTCGTTTATGTCTTTTTAATAGAGTTGAAGAATATGATATGAAATAAAAGCAAAAAAAAGAACTTAAACCCACGCCGGGACTCGAACCCGGAATCTTTTGATTAGAAGTCAAATGCGCTAACCATTACGCCACGCAGGCAACACTAGATATGCTAATTTGTCAAGTACCATATGAAATAGCCTATTATCAATACAGGATCTCATCGCACTATATGCAGTATTTGTTCTTCCGCAGCGATCTTTGGCTCTTGCATTGGTGCTCCAAAAAAAAAGCTCCAAGATAAATGGAGCGGTGAAAACAGAAAAAAAAATAAAAAATTCCTAAGATTAAACGACATTAGAGTAAGAGAAATATTGCAATAGGGTTGAAACACTCGCCAGCCCCCACGTGTGCCATGACGACAAAACTATTTGATACGGCTTCTTTGGATCCAACGCAAACGAAAAGTCGTAGCTGTCATTATACACTACAAAATAAATTGAATTCATAAATCATATTATTAAATACTAACGCAACATCTGTTCAACGGCCTCGCGTGTGAACGAATTGTCGCGAACCTGAGCTGTGGTCAACCTATAGGTGACAAATTTTCAAAGCTGGCTTATTTCTTAGAGCACTTGCAGCCGGACTCGGAAGAGCAGGTGCAAGAGGCACAGGAGCAAGCGGAGCAAGGACAAGTAGTAGTTGGAGCCATTGTATAAGATATTTGATTGATGAAAAACAGTTTTATTGGGGGATATTGGACTCCTTATATATTCGTCCATGCGTTCTTTTTGCGGAGCGGCTGCGTTCTTTTTGCGGAGCGGCTGCGTTCTTTTTGCGACCAATCTGCACATAATGCCTTTCTTTGGAATGTGAGTGCTTTCTGCGATCACTTTGCCTGTATATAAGTACTGACTGTCATCGCTGAGGCAATTGTGCCATACAGGCGCATCGAACAGTCTGGGTGCAAAATAGTATCCTTGATCTTAAGCAAGAGATCATGAATTTCGTTGTATGCCGTTAACAGTGTCATGATCCAAATCACGTGCAGATACCATTATTAAGGGCAAGCCGAAAAAGGAAACAGATCGGTGTCATGACGTACAGTAATTCTTGTCATGCGTTTCATGGGGACGCATCGAGAGAGGAAAGAATAAATCCGATATTACTGCGGTTGCAAAATTACCTTTCCCCAGTGTATAGCTTTTAAATGACTCTCTCGATTTCCATCATCTCTGCAATTGACGTCTCATGCTATTTTACATCTTCCTTCTATGGGCAGTGTCGGCTCTTCCGACTCTCACAAACAATACTACTTTGATTCCACTCAAAAATGGGACACTCAATTATATTTCAATTGAAAGGGTGAACACCACTTCGCTGCCTGCCAAGTTCGAAGGATTCTCCGCAGCGGTCGTAAAGCACAATAGTGAAACACCCCCTCGTGTGAAACACTGGACCATCTCGGATTGCGAATCATTTAGCAGACAACAGATGGCAGCAGTTATCAGATACTATCCTTATGTTGAGGTGGTTTGCGAGAAGCAAAACTCGCTATTGTATCCAGCTGTTCTTGATGACAGCCCTACAGGCCCTAAACAACCAGACGCTACTGATTGGCACCTGACCAAGCTTACATCCTATCGATTCAAGGAATTCAAGATTGAGGTCGAAGCCGAAGAAACAGCTTTGAAAATGCCCTTGGCCCAATGCATAGCCTTCAGTCATGAGGAGGCCCCTGCCACTACAGAAGTTCGTCTCACCATCGCTGGTTCACCAAAGGTCACTCCAGGGATTTCTGGGGGGATGCCAATTCCGTATTTTGGAATCAATTCTGGCTTCGCTGCTGGCCTTGGAATTACCGCTTCAATCTACGTAAACCACGCCTGCAACGGAAAAACGGCGCCAGTTAGGCCGTTCATTTCTCTAACGATTATCAAGCTGAGAATTCGCAGCCGCCAGTGGAAAGTCAACTTTCATAGATACAACTTTATCAAAAAGCTGGAATGGGAAGAAGGGGAATTTACCTTGTTGGGTAGGAGAGCGCCCATATTGTCCTGTGTTAGTGAGCTTTACGAACCAGGAGTTTGTGGCTGGACTGACTTTCCCATGGACGATAAACCACAATTATTGCCGGAAATTGATGAAGTGTACGAAATAGCCTAGTCAGCCAAAAGTGGATGGCTTCCTCTGAGAAATTATTTCAATTTGAAAATATGCTCGAAATAAAAAGTAATCAGATATCATATAATTACAGGGCCCAGGTCATCGCTGCATACTATGTAAGTAGTGCCAAAGTAGAAACAAACTGATCCGCCTGGAAGCACATGGAACACATGCGCGCCTTACATATTCATCGAAAAAAGCACCAGTACTCTACTCTCTCCACAAAGATAACATGGATTTCGAGCTAGAACCGACTTTGGAGTCTATCGTGCACCAAGATACCTTGAAATGGGTTTTTGTCGGTGGTAAAGGTGGTGTCGGTAAGACAACCACTTCGTCCTCGATCGCTGTTCAGTTAGCGTTGGCAAACCCAACCGAGCAGTTTTTGCTTATCTCGACTGATCCAGCTCATAATTTGTCTGATGCTTTCTGTCAGAAGTTTGGCAAGGACGCCAGAAAGGTCGAAGGCTTGTCCAACCTTTCGTGTATGGAAATCGACCCCGAGGCCGCCATGAGTGACTTGCAGAATCAGGCTCAACAGTACAATAACGACCCCAACGACCCGTTGAAGAGCATGATGAAAGACATGACCGGCTCTATTCCAGGTATCGATGAAGCCTTGTCGTTCATGGAAGTGTTGAAGCACATCAAGAACCAAAAAGTCGCCTCCGACAAGGAAGACAGCGACTCCATTTCCTACAAGACCATTATTTTCGACACAGCTCCTACAGGACATACATTGAGATTCTTGCAGCTTCCTGCTACTCTCGAGAAGTTGTTGTCGAAATTCAAGGACTTATCGGGCAAATTGGGCCCTATGTTGAGCATGCTCGGCGGCGGTGCTGGCCAACAGCAAGACATCTTTGAGAAATTGAACGAAGTGCAGAGAAATGTCAGTGAAGTCAATGAACAGTTCACCAATCCCGACTTGACGACCTTTGTCTGTGTGTGTATTTCGGAGTTCTTGTCGCTTTATGAGACCGAGCGTATGATTCAAGAGTTGATGAGCTACAACATGGACGTTAACTCGATTGTGGTGAACCAGTTGCTTTTTGCCGAAGAGGATGATTGCAGAAGATGCCAGTCTCGTTGGAAGATGCAGAAGAAGTACTTGGATCAAATGGGAGAGTTGTACGAGGACTATCACTTGGTGAAGATGCCTTTGCTCGGTACCGAGATCAGAGGCGTGGAAAACTTGAAGAAGTTTTCAAAGTTTTTGTTGAAGCCTTACGACCCCAAGGCCGATAAGAGCCTTGTTTTTGAATTAGAGGAAACAAAATAGGGAAGGAATGAAAGTCTAGCTCGTTGTAGGCCGTTGGTAGTCACGTGCCCCAGTTTGCTGTAAAAAGTTTGGGATCATGAAGTAGTTTCGAGCTTCTCGACAAGTTCGCCAATGGCTAGAGGAAACCAGCGAGACTTGGCCAGAGCCAAGAACCAGAAAAAGCAACAAGAATTGGCTAAAAGCCAGAAGAAGGAGGGCGATCCTAAAAAGAGAATGGAGAGTGATGCCGATAAAATGAGAAGAAAACAGGCCGAAGGTATGTATCCATGAAGCAGTTGAGGTACGTAAACTAACAACATAGCTGATGCTAGAAAAGCCGCTGCCGAATTGGAAAAGAGGAAAAAGTAGGACTTCGAAAGAGACACTCGGCTACCAATGTCTAGCCTCCGCAATATGCATCCCACGATTATTTGTAGTAATACACTTGTGCTCAGTAGCTCGTGTAGAGTATACTGATTCAAAAAGAACGGCTTGCGTATCAAATGTAGACTTTGTAGTTGATAGACAAAAACTGGGTATCTCAGTTAATAGTGTACACGCACTCACCCAACTTTAACTACACCTGAAACCAGAATGTTAATCAAGGAAACATACCATGACGTCCCTACGGCGGACGGAACTACGATGCGTTTATTCGTTTTCCACCCTGTCATTCCTAATTATCCAAAAGCCAGGTTCCCAGGTGTGATTGTCTACTCCGAGATTTATCAGGTGACTGGTCCAGTTGCCAGATTTGCCAAAGACATCGCCGGCCAGGGTTTCATTGCCGTTGCTCCCTCAATCTACCACAATTTTGAGTCCCATGAAGCATTGGCCTATGACACCGAGGGTACGGACAAAGGAAACCAGTACAAGATCGAGAAGGAAGTTTCACTGTACGATGAGGACAACAGATTAGCCATTGAGTACTTGCAGCTGCTTCCAACCTTCAATGGTAAGATTGGAGCGACTGGTATGTGCTTGGGAGGCCATTTGGCATTCAGAGCTGCTTTGGACCCAAGAGTCAGTGCTGCTTTTTGCTTTTTTGCAACTGACATTCACAACCATGCCTTGGGTAAAGGCAAGAATGACGACTCATTGAAGAGATCAAAAGAAATCAAAGGTGAATTGATCATGGTATTCGGCGATAAGGATAATCACGTTCCCTTGGAGGGTAGGGATTTGATCAGACTGACATTGCGTAAAAACCCCACGCAGCTCACCTTCATTGAAATCAACGAAGCACAGCATGCTTTTATCAGAGACGAAAACTCGAAGGACCGCTATGACGCTGCTGTGACGGGTTTGTGTTTCCAGTGGTTACTTGAGTTGTTCAACAGAAGATTGAAATTGGACTACGGTGATCACGACGGTAAGGATGTGAAGATCGAAAATGTGTGTTAATCTAGCAAAATGAAAGACTTTTGACATGTTCACGAAATTTGTAATATTTAACGTCCATGAAGAGTGGAGGGTTGTATTCTCTCCACACTCATTAGCCTTGCAGCAATACCCATGAGATTACCTGATCTTATATTTACTTCAAGGTGATTATTTCACAGAGACGGACTAAAATGCCCCAAATTTTCTCTTATTATAATATTGGAATTCCGTAGGCTTGATATACCGTAGAGGATGCCTAGGGCCACTTCCCTTGATATGAGCGCGGCACTACCACACATTGAAAAAGTTTTCTGAGCCTCAATAGCTAACCATCGACTCAACCATATATATCCAACCATGAGACCTATTAAGTTGATGGGACACGAGCGTTCGTTGACGCAGGTCAAATTCAACAGAGAAGGTGATCTTCTTTTCTCTGTCGCCAAGGATTCTTCCGCCTCCATCTGGTACCTGTCCAACGGTGAGAGACTTGGAACCTTGGAGGGTCATCAAGGTACCATCTGGTCGATCGACGTTGACAGCAAGACCTTCTTGTGTGCCACCGGAAGTGCCGATCTTACCATCAGATTGTGGAAGGCCGAGACCGGTGAATGCGTTTACAAGTGGGAGACTTCTTCCCCAGTGAGAAGAGTCGCCTTTTCCCCAGACAACACCAAGCTTTTGGCAGTTACAGACAAGGTCATGGGAAGCAAAGGTGCCATTTCTATCTACAATATCAACCAGGACGATCTTCTGAACCAGCCTGCCGAGCCCAGCCTCGTCATCAACACCAGAGAGGATGCCACCAAGGTCACCGTTGCTGGATGGTCCGCTGAGGGCCAGTACATCATTGCCGGTCACGAAGACGGTTATGTCAGTAAGTATGACGGCAAGACTGGGGAGTTCCTTCAAACAGTCAAGGCTCACGGAATCCACAACGAGGAGAAGATCGTCTCCATCACCGACATCCAGTTTGCCCCAGAGGACAAGCTGTACTTCATCACAGCATCCAAAGACAAGAACGCCACCTTGATCGACGTGGACACCTTCGAGATCATGAAGGTTTACAAGGCTGATGCGCCAATGAACACCGCTGCCATCACCCCCAAGAAGAACTTTGTGATCTTGGGTGGTGGTCAGGAAGCCAGAAATGTCACAACCACGGCAGAGAGTCAGGGTAAGTTTGAGGCTAGATTCTACCACAAGATCTTCACCGAAGAGATTGGCAGAGTGAAGGGTCACTTCGGTCCTTTGAACACTGTCGCTGTTCACCCAGATGGTGTGGGCTATGTGTCTGGAGGAGAGGACGGTTTCATCAGAGTTCACTACTACGACAAACTGTACTTTGACTTCGAGTTTGATGCCGAGAGGACCGAGCGTGTGATGGCCCAGTCTCAGGCCAAGGCTCAGGAGGCATAAGCTCTCACTTTATTTACGGCATATCATCATCTGTATAGTATACTTTATAGTTCTCATTATAATGTCATGGTTACTCATAGGAACTACTTTCCTCGGGAACTACTCATTTTTGTTGACTCATGAATTCGTTATGTAAAAGCACTTGTGTTTAGAAGTTGCCGCTCTTTAATGATAGTAAGTTGTGAACGCATTGTGACTCGTGGGCTGCCTTCGCTGCTGGAGCGGGTATGTTTGTGTCGACTTGGCCCAATGGTTTACGGGCAGCTGGTTTGCCGGAGCTGTTTGATGCCATGAATGTTGGAGTGTTGGCATTGCCAGCGGAAGAGGGTGCCAATTTGAAGGTCATCACTTGGGTAGATGCAGCAGGAGCGGAGCGAACAAACTCGGGCTGTTTCTTGTTGGTGAGGTTCAAGACCAAGTTTCCGTTCTCCTTGGGCTTCTCATCCTCGGCTGCAAGCATCCTCGAAAGCAATGGCACTTTCATGCCCTTCTCCTTCTTCGTTTGCTTCTGAACTAATGAGGGTGTGGAGTATGATCTGATTGGGGACAGTTGGTCCATGACTCTGTGAACAATCTCCTGCGAATGGGACTTCGTCAAGGCAGGCTTGATAGGAGTGCTCTCCACAATTGGCGTAGGAGCAGATTCAGTGGCAGGAGCCGATGCAAGCACAGAGGAGTCTGGGGTAGGAGGCAACTCTGTGATTTCCTTGTCTGTAACCTTGAGACGGCGAAGCGACTGTCTCTTGTTCTGGAACCAGATCTTCACGGCCTTCTCGGTCATGTTAACACGCTTGGAGATATCCGTGCGTCTCATCTTGTTTGGCGTGGAGCCCAACTCAAACTCCAGGTTCAAGATGGCCAATTCGTGTGGAGATGTTCTTCTTCTCTTGCGACGAGCCAAAGAGGCGTTGTCTATGGAAGGCTCCTGTGATGGGTATGTGGCAGGCGAATGACTGATAAATGCAAAGTCCTTTGTGGGAGAGACGGTCGAAGAGGCTTTTCTCTTCGTGGCTGGCTTGACCATCGAGTCGTTGATGCTACTGTTCATGGACGAGTCAGCCTCATAGTCCATTGATGTGTTTGCGGCAGAGCTGGGGCCTGGAGCTGGGGTTGAGCTCGCAGCGGAGGTGTCCAAAGGTGTGAGAAAGTGTTGGTTTTTGGCATTGTATGTTTGGTGCACTTGAGCCGAGCTGGGAACAGCAGTTTCAGACACGGATCTAGGGGAAGCACAAAACGAGGAGTAGAAGGCGTCAAGGAAGTGATGGAAGGTAACTTGGGCCTTTCTGGCTGATTGAGGAGCAGCAGCAAAGGTGGGAGCGAATAAGTGCTTTGTTTGGTGAGGGCGTCTATGGAAGGCAAGGAGGGCTTCTTTGGAGTTTCGACCTTCATGATAACGAGCGTATAGAAATGAGCGGCTAGGTGGTATGGTCGGGCGGTGACAGGCGGCAGCGGGAGTATTTAAAGAAAACCGTGAATAAACAAGCGCCTACCAAACAACACAAAAAAAGTAAAGTCGTGTTTTATGATCTTACCTGATCCACCATTAATTGCAGGCACCGATGCAAGTAATTTCGTTATTTGTTTACCTTTGGAAGCGCGCCTGAGCGTTTGTTCTGGCGTACAGAGCCACTATACCTAGGTTGCGAACAAAGCGTGTATTTTTTCCCGTTTACCGTGAACAATTGATGGCCACATGCCTAGGAATCTCGACAATTTTCCTTAGCATTCAAAAACAGCATATTAGTGGCAGAGAACTTAGTTTACCTGTTTTGGGTAATGTGGGCCATTTGTGCTCTTCACCTCGCTTGCCCAAGGTTACTTCAAGGTGGCCTCGCATTTTCGCTTCGCAGGAGTTTGTTTACCTAAGCATGCCATTAACGTGCGTGGAACGCACGCTATATTGTCGCGTTTGTGTGTGAAAGATATCCTATTCCGTTCGAGCCGCTGGCTAGAAAAGGCACCAAGGGTGAATTATACATGCACATTTGATTGACCAGACCGATCATTCCCGTAGTGTGATGATTTGACATACGGAGCGATGGAGAATGGGGGAATGTTTGGAATTTGATTATTTGTGGGTGATGTTGAGAGACCGATTAATAGTGTGTGGCGGAATGGTGGTTTTAGTGGTTGTTGTTGTTTTTTGTAGTTTGTTTGAGGCTGTGTGGTTTTCGCAGTTTGCAGCCGTTTTGACGTACGAACTTGAAATTGTGAGGCCGTTAGACCCTGAGGGAGATGAAGCAAGAAATTCTAAAAAATACAAAATGTGTATGACTTTTATCAAGAGCGCTGTTGGTTAGGAGAGATAAACGACGAATTAGAGGGAAAAGTTAGAAATGGGGGTATCCGGCTGAAAGTGGTGGGATAGAAGGATTTGCGGCTCACCATGTATCGCTAACGGTCGCAAGACGTAAGTGACGGCATTACAGTATTCAATTGGCTTCATAACACCCATATTTTATGAAACAGCCAGAGCATAGCTGTTACATCACGGAAAGCTTTTTCCAGATCATGGCTCAAGCGATCCATTGTTGAAATGACGTCATAGCATCTAGTAGTGAGTTGAGTCCACGAGAAAACAACAATTGATGTTTGCAGCTTAAAGCGGAGTCAACTAAACACTTCGAAAATCAAAGGCTTCTGGACAATATTGGATCACCCCTATAATAGACGATTGTCCGGGCTTGATTTGCACTGTGCTTCCAGTATTATGGTGCACCTGATTTAAATAGGGTCTAGACGACTTTTATATTTGCCCTCACTTCTACGGTAATTTTTTCATCATTAGTGCTTATTACTACTACTTCTCGACTTCCCTGATCATGTCATGACATTCTGGTATCTATTCTTGGCAAAAAGTCAATTCACCGTGGTGGTCTCCGAGTTTGAAACTAGCAAGCACAATTTGCAGCCAAAATTTGAAAGAAACAAAACTTCATCTTGTGACTCAAAAACCTACTTCCAAATGACACCCTGAAAGCCAAAAACCGGCAATGCCGAAAGGATAAACAGTTTCATCGGCACGTGACCGTCGTTGTAATGAATTTCGGTTGCAACTTGACCTCATCCCATTCCACCCACACAGGTTAATCGCTATGGTTTCGCTTCAAAATGAAAGGAAACCTTTGAGATGGTCCCTAGCGGCGCTTTTGATCTTTGTGGGAGCATTCGCTACCCTACTTTTTTCCAATGAGCTGTGGCTATTTTTGTTGCTGCGTTCTCGTCCGTCACCACTAGAATACACCCAATTGAAGCTTTCTGAAGAAGACAAAGATGAATTGGCAAGACTCGGATTGACGCCAAAAGACCCCGTGGAGGTGAAAAATCCTCTCACCGGAGAGAAGAGAACAATGCATGGAAGATTCCTCCATGTTACCGACTTCCATCCCGACCCTTACTACAAGCCTGGTCTGTCAATTGACAAAATGTGCCATGGCGGTAAAGGTGACGCTAGCAAATACGGTGATGCTATTCTTGGCTGTGATTCTCCTTTAGATTTGGTCCTCGACACCATAGACTGGATTGAGGACAACTTGAAGGACAAGATTGACTTCATCGTGTGGACTGGTGACAATGTTCGTCACGACAACGATAGAGACTATCCTAGATTCGAGAAAGACATTTTTGATTCAAATGAGAAGATTTCAAAAATCATGCATGAGAAGTTCGACATCTTGCCTATTCCCTCTCTCGGAAACAACGATGTCTACCCCCACAATTTGTTCGCTGAGGGCCCCACCCTCCAAACAAGAGAATTTTACAAGATCTGGAGACCATTTGTTCCTCCTCCCCAGCTTCATCTATTCAACAAGGGCGCCTACTTCTTTCAGGAGGTCATTCCTGGTCAGTTGGCTGTCCTTTCCATCAACACTCTTTACTTGTATAAATCAAATCCACTCGTGGACAGCTGTGACAAAAAGAAGGATCCAGGTTACAAGATCTTCAAGTGGTTGGGCTTTGTCTTGAAAGAGATGCGGAGAAGAGGAATGAAGGTTTGGCTCACTGGCCACGTTCCTCCTACACCCAAAAACTACGACATCTCATGTCTTCGTAAATACATCATGTGGACTCATGAGTACAGAGATGTGATCATTGGGGGCTTGTACGGTCACATGAACATTGATCACTGGGTCCCATTGGATGCTAAGATGGCCTATGATTCCTTCGATTCAAAATTCAAAACTTTGATGAGACAGAGCGAGTTCAACACATTCGAAGACGATGAAGAGGATGGAATCACCCTCGAGAAGGTTTACGACGCACTCAATTCTTCTATTCCTCACGACTCAGTCGAGGAAGCACCAGCTTTCGTTGACTTTGCAAGAGATATTCACGTGGAGGCAGGTGTACCAAAAAATAAGGTCAATTATATGAACACCGTCAGGGAAACGATGTATGCGGACATCAAGCGTGCTAAGAAATGTGGTAAGCTTTCTGAAAGATACGCTGTCGCACATGTCACTGCTAGTGTTGTACCAACATTCAACCCGGGATTGAGAGTCTGGGAGTACAATATCACGGACTTGCATAATGTGAAGGCCAATGATTTCGGGTCTTGGGATTCATTCTTCACTCAAATTGACGTTTTGCTCGAGAAGGATGATGGTGCCGACTATCACGACCAATTCGCAACTTTTAGTGATAAGGTTGATGCATTCAAAAAGGACAAGACCATACCGCCAAAGATGCCAAAGAATTTGCCGTTAGGTCCCGCTTATGACAAACAGCTTTTCACGCCTGAGCGTTATGTCCAATACTACCTCGACTTGAAGGGAATTAATGAAGGGAAGAAGAAGTTTGAGTATGAATTTGAATACTCTACCGACAAGTATGACATGAAAGACCTTACCGTCAGTGAATGGCTTGATCTCGGAAGAAGACTAGGTGCTCCAGTGAAACAGGACAGCAAAGAAGTTACTGGAATAGAGTCAAAAAAGAAGGACAAGAAGTTAGAGGTGCTCTGGAAGCAGTTTCTCAAGCACACTTTCGTTGACTCAAACTACGAGAACCTTGACTACGGTATTACTGGTTGATATGTCATTCCACTATACTTAAGTAGTAAGATTATGCAGTTATGAATTAGCAAAATTAAGCCCGTCATTGAAATCGAAGTGCTGGTCCTCCAACTGTTTGTCAATAAGCTCGGTCCAAGGACCAACGAAATCAAGGCCAACATCTCTATTGTTCATCATCCATTCCACAAGTTCACTGTCGCCCAAGAAGTTGAGACCACTACTGCTTGGTTGTGTTGTTGGAGCAGGCTCGTTGCCTAGTGGAACACCTCCTTGCGGTGGATCAGTAATCGCCGATACAAGAGCGGCATTTTGTGGGTAGCTTTGCTCCTGGTAAGCATTGGAATGTTCAGGGGGTTGAACCTCCTCCTTGGCTTCATTCGATTGATCTTGTGTAGCAAGGTCTGGGTCTTCCTCGGTCGCCAGTTGCTTCAACTTGGTCCTCATTTCTGAACATAAGTACATTAAAACATTCGAGTATCTCGTGCAAAGATGAAGCTCGTCTGGTGAGCAGTCTCGCAACGTAATGGCCGCTTTCTGGATGCTATGAACAATGGTGTGCACCGATATTAATGAAAGCGAAAGGATGGTTGCATCGAGATTCTCACTGCTCGTTCCGGTCTCTTCGTCTTTTGAGGAAGACTTGTGAGCTGTGATAGAGAGGTAACATTTCACAATAAAAGCCACAGCACGAACAAGCCTAGTCACCCAACGAACTGGCATGAATCGAAGCATCTTAATCTTGTGAACCCTGTGAATCATCAGGAGAATCTCATTGGCGGCGGTGAAAGCCTGGTCAATATACTTGGCGCTTCGAGAAATCTCATCCAACTTCAAGTTGACCTTGCCGCCCGATGGAGAGGAGTTTTTGGGCGTCGGACTGAGCGCCAAGGAGAAAACGTATAACCTTGCATAGTTGTACTCAAAAACGAAAGATTCTGCCTGAATGTATGCAGCTAGTTTGCTGGCGGTGGCATCGTCACACGAGCTTGGATCGTCAATGTTGTATTGTCGAAGCCATTTGCTTGATGGTGGCTGCATCAAATGTCTGTATTTCCTCGCCCAATTATTGATCATAGGGCTGATTATGTTAAGCACCGCGAGATTCTGACGCTGAGAGAGAGACCCAAGTGGTGCTTTGTAACCATACAAAGATTCGTGACTCAAAGCCATGATTTGTAGTAACTCGATATGGGCCTTCTGTGGCTCAGTGAATGATAAGAAGTTCTCGGCAGTGATTTTCTTCTGCTCGTTTTCGGTCATGTTGAGAACCTTGTACTCGTTGTCCTCTCTCAATTCCATATCGGCTTCTGAGATAGTTCCATGGTCGAGCTCGACATCGGCGAGAGAAGCACTTAACATACTTCTTCGACTCATGTTCATCACACTGTTCATTTCAGCTACGTGTGTAGCCAAAAAGGTTTTTGAACTCACTTCCATGAAACCAGTATCTTGTGCCAAACGGACAGCAGAGCCAATGAGCATCCACGCCATCCTATACGATCTACGTATAGCACCAAGACCAGCTGGCTCATCTGAAGTGGCAGCAGCAACCGAGGAAGCATATGAGAGCGGATTCGAAGACATTGCTGTATCACACGGGTCGTCTGCACGGTTAGCGTAATCCGACCATCTCCAGTGAATAGCACGAGGGTTCCATTCAGTGAAAAGTAAGAATGCAAACACTGTTCCGATGGACCTCGTAGAAGCCTCAGCCCAAACGGTTTGTGAAATAAGCCTTTGGACGTAAAGCCATAACCTGTCATGAACGTCAATGTTTTTAGGTGTTCCGTCAGCTGTGGTGCTATTCAACGTATGGTAACGAGATGAAATCGTGAGGACAGCACAAAGGAGAATAGGGTATCCCGCTAGAACTGAGGGCAGATGCAAAAATTTGGGTATGTGAGGGTAGAAAGGATGCATGGTTGTGAAGAACATTTTGATCAAGTATTCTGCTTCGGATGCCGTGAGGATCCCATCTTCACCGATATAAACGATAGCGTTCAAGTCCAGCGTTCCTCGTGGACGCACATCCGCTTCAGACTCTGCCGGTGGCATGGTGAGACGCTGTGACTGATCTTCAGGCCGGCTGAGATACGATGGCCATTGAGCAGCACCCATGTTGACTGAAGCAGAGGGTGGATTCGAGCTTGAGCCAGAGTTAGAGCTGGAGGTGTTGGCGTTTGTAGAACGGGGAGCAGGACCAGAGTTGCTGTTCCTGTGGCTTGGTGTATCTGATGTCATAGATGACTTTCGAGAGTAGGGCACCAGAGGCAGGTGGATAGGGAAGTTTGGATGGACTTGCGGCAGCCCCGATAAAGTCAGAGTTTGCGCTTGGCCTGGAACCTGAGACCTTTCGCTCAGCACTGGAAACTGAGACGTTTCTTGGAGGTGGTTATACATGCTCCTGCCATCGATCTTGTCCCGCTCGTCAGCCGACGCTATCTTGCCGGCAGCATTCGCCAAAAATACAAGGGCACCCTCCATGGTACTGAAATGCTTTGGGTTGGCCCGATTCTGGTTTTTGCTAGCCGTTTGAGATGCCGAACCTTGAGCGGCTATTCCCGGAGTTCCTGGGGAGGACAGCGACAGCTTCGGTGAATTAGGGCCTCCAGCGGCGGCATGATTTGATGCTTGGCCCAGTCCCATCCGCAACCTTTCCACCGTTCGTTTCTTCGAATCAACAAATACACAGTCTCGGCGTTCCCGCTCACACCGGGCACATTTCCTGTTGGGCAGCAGTAGATCACCCAAATCACACTTGACTTTCCTCACCCGGCAGTTGAGGCAAGCCACGTATGTTCTTTTGAACTTCTTTGGTGCTGGCCCTGCTTCGGAGCCACTGACTGCAGACATGCTCTTGAATATGAGGACGGGTCAAATGCGGGAGAAGTTTGGATTAGCTTTGGGGCATTAAGTTGTAGAGGTTGATGCAGGAGTGGTGAAATTTGCCGAGACCCCACACAAGCACTTTCGGAGCACAATGAGTAGAGTGAGGATGGAGGAGGGATGAATAAGATAGCTTTGGGAGGGTTTTTCGAGATTTTGTCGTTTTCATGGAATCTGAGCGATCAGGACGTTAGGTTGCTCAGAGATTTTGTGATACTGTAGCATAGTGAGAGATTATGGAGGTGCCGTTCATTCCATTTTTGAACGTTGCAATTTGTGAACTTTGCAATTTCTGAACGTTGAAAAGATCCTATAAGAACGGAGAGAAATTTTTAACCTCGATGTTCATTGGCTGGAGGAAGATCAATTGCTGAATCTACGCAGTAGTTCTGTGGAACACTCAAGTGAAACGGAATTGTGAGAGGAAGAGAAGAACGAACATCTATTTTGGTAAAAAAATACAAATAGTTCTTCTACGAGCGCATGTGCCCCAGAAACTTCATCTATTTTGTTGCCTTTCTTCAAAAAAGCAGCGGAATAGGTGGGTCCCTGGGAAATCCCCACCATCCTCAATTGGTCACGCATCCAGCTTCGAAACCAATCACTTCTCAAAGCATCGGGTCATTCATCCCTAGATATTTTCGGAAAGTCCTACCAAATAAATCCATCTTTGGTAACTCCACCAGTGCGTAGCGTCTCGGACCTTCCTCGATATGTAGCGAAGCTTATCATCATGCAGGCCGCACGATGGTTGCAAAATGCTCCTGGAGCAGCCCCCTCTGGGTATATAAACCCCCCGAAAAGTCATAATTTTTCCTTCTTCTTCACCACCACAGAATGACAAGAATGAATCAAACACCAGTTTCGCCAGTTGACACCGCTCGCATCCTTGCCATCTTAGATGCCTCGCAGCCAGAGGTTTCACAAAGAGAGCCCAGAGGTGCTGATATCGCAGCATTTCACAATACGGATAAGTTTTCTACCACCAACTCCAAGAAGAAAACATCTCATTTCACCATGGACGCCTTCAACGCCAAGATGAACGCCCTCAATGCCACTTTCAAGCTCAAGTCTTTCAAGTTGAGAAAGATGAACGACAGCTCCCTCAAGTGGAAGCCCTTAGTCGAAACTGACGCTGCCAGCGTCCACCCCATCACCACTTCCCCCATCCAATCCCCCGAGGCCCAGCCTCCAGCAATTGTTGTCCACGCCGTGGATTACAAAACCATCGCTGCTTGCAGCTATGTGCCTCCATGGGCTGCGGACGCTCCAGAGATTCACAACGGCGTCCCTCACTCGGTGAGCCGGAATTCTGGAGCCCCTCGTGTCGCCCAGGAGGTCAAGAGAAGCCCTTCCGAGTTTGTGAAGGAAGCCGCTTATGTCGAATCGAAGCACTCTTCAAACGCTGAAGTTGCAACCGACAAGGCCTCCTCGCATACACCTCGTGAGTATTTCGCTCAACACTTTGACGCTTCGCCAGAGCAGTTCGCTGCACCGGAAGCACCAACGGGCCCTGGAGTTTCCCAATTCAAGGCCCGTTCAAGACTGTCTACTCCTTTTGTTGAAGAGGTCCCCCCACCTCAAGAGCCCAAGGTTCCACTCAACAAGCGCTTTTCACAAGCAGTCTCTCGAATCACGGCTCGCTGGAGCTACCGTCGCAAGCTCCGCAGAGAGCACCGTCAGGAGGACAGAGCCCTCAAGGCGGTTCAGAACGAGACGAAGCACAAGATCAAGATGGAAAAGCGCAAGCTCAAGCTCATCGAAAAGGAGAAGCAGTTGGACCGCTTGAGGTCGCAATACAAGGCTGCTGTGCACCAAAAGAACCAGCAAGTCCAGAAGCACAAGCAGGCTGCCTACCAGAGAAAGCTTGACGCTGAACAGGCTGCACAAAGAAGAAAGCTAGAGAACTTGGAGTACCAGATGCTCCAGGTGAAGGCTAGCAGAAAGGCTGCTGCCGCCTTGAAGGCTCGTCTTTCTGCAAACCACAAGCACTCTAGCTCGAAGCAGCCTACCCCCAAGGTCTCTCCCCAGACCTCATCCAAGCTTTCCCCCAAGTCGAGTGTTTTCACTTACAAGGAAAGCGTGTCTTCTTCCAAGACATCTGTTGATGGCCATGCTGCGAGACTTTCACAAACTCCCCCAAAGTCCAGCAAGGCTCAGACCCCAGCAGCTCCACACCAACACCTTCCCCTTTTGTTGGTGAACGTTTGCATCAACGAGAAGATTGAGGACAATCCTTGGAACCATGGTGTTGGTGCCGAAGTACGCAGCATGCTTGGAAAGGAGAGACCAGTCCTCAACATTGTTTCGAAGCCCAAGGCTCCCCAGCCGGCTCCACAAAACAAGACCAAGACCCTTACTCTTTCAGTTCAAAAGTTGAAGAGTCCCTTCTTGAAGAAGGCCAGTCTTGTTGTTGACGAGGCTCCTCAAATTACCAAGGAGTCCCTCAAGGAGTCTCCCAAGAAGTCTCCCCAGGCTTCAGCCAAGTCTTCTCTTAAGCCTACTTCCCCCAAGGCTGTCAGGAAGAAGACCCCCTTCTGGTTCACTGAGGAGTACAAGAAGAAGCGTCAAGAGATTGCAAAGAGAGATGAGCCCCCTCGGTTTGCGCCCTCTCAAGCAGAAATTGACAACGCCATCTTGAGCTTCGCTCGTTCCAGACGGTGAACCTTCAACACCACCTACTATTACAAAAAAAAAAAAAAAAAAAAAAACAGAAAAACAGAAAAAGAAGAAAAAAAAAAAAGAAACAGAAAATGACAAAAATAAGAAAAAAATAAATATAATTCAAAAAGCCCGCATCGTAGCAAGTTACCCACCAGCCCTACACTGTGTTCCATTGATATTCATTCTCAATTTGATGTGTCCCATCGTCATAGCAGCCAAACCTATTTCTTCAGCAATTGCAACTTCTTCACCAGATCCTCTAATCCCTTCAACTTCGCCTGCATCTCCTCCAAATCCTGGTTCAACCTGTTTCTCTCCGTGACAATGTTCGTCTCCCACTGTCTGAATCTCTGCTCCTCGGCCTTCACCTGCTCGGTAAAGAACTTCTTCAAAGCGTCTTCCTCCTCCTTGAACTTAGGGTTATGCAAACGACGGGGCTTCTGTCTCGACGAGGTACCGTTCTCGCCCTTGTTCTCCTCGTTCATGTTGCTCAACTTCAACGAGCGGAAAGTCTCAAAGTGGATCTCCTGCGTCGACAAGACCAAGTCCAACATGTTGGTTCTCAACAACAACGAGCGCAACTTTTTGAAATCGCAGTGCTTGTCGTTCTCCACCTCCACAACACCCCATGGGTACTTTCTTCCTCTGACGAAGTTGCCAGGGCTGACCTCGACCTCCTCCTCGGAGCCGATTATGGCAAAAGGCATGGCCTCGATAAGCTGCTTCGAGTGCTCGGCGCTGGCTGGGTCGTCCACATCCATTGGAGGGGTGTATATGTTGATATCCTGGGCCTCAATGACGTCTCTTATTCTGGTCTTGAAGGTCTCCAACTCGGCAGGCGCCAACGTGTCGGCCTTAGCGATCACAGGGATCAAGTTGACTCGCGTCGACAAACGCTTCATGATCTCAATGTCCAAGGGTTTCAACGAGTGGCCGGTGGGGCGGATGAAGTACAAACAGGCGTGAACACGCAAGTCCTTCTTTTCATGACGGTGAGGCTGCTTCTCCTGCTTGACGTACGCCTCGTGCTGGTCATCAATGAAGTCAATAATTGGAGTCCACAGGTCCAAGTTGTTGACGTTGTTACCAAAGCCTGGGGTATCGATGATGTTCAAGCGGATCTTGAAGTTTTTCTCCTCCAAAATGGCACGCACAATAGAAATGTCCACTGTCTGGTGAGCGCTGGTAAATTTGTTGTGTCTTTCGTTAGGGTCGTCGTGGTCTTTCAAGGCTGTCTGGAAAAGGGTGTTGACGAAAGTGGTCTTTCCCAAACCGCTTTCACCAGCCACCATGAGCGTGAAAGTGGCGCCCTGGTTCAGCACGATCTTGTACCTCTGGTCGGGCAAATTGGAGATTCCCACGGGCTCGGCAACAGGCATTTTGTATTGGCGTTGTTTGTTTGAGTTTTTGACAACACTGTTTTTCCACTTTTCGTTGATGCACTCCCACGCGTCGCCTATACACACCAGGAACCTCTATCTCTATTTTTATTCAGCCATTGAAGGGGACAGGTGGAAGTGAAATATAATGTGATATGTGTTCCTTGAAACTGAATTTACTGAATATTATGTGATTGTGTTTGAGGAGATTTTCTGTGTTGTGGGTGAACAAACTAGTGGTGCTTCACGCACAAGGATCACGGAAATAGACCTTCCCTTCTGCGGTAGAACTCATATTTTCGTTGCAACCGTTAAGATGGAATCGGTAAATTGAAAGGTCCAGAGTCTTAGTAAAAAAAAAAAAGTTGATGATACCTTCAATTATCTCGATTGTATGTATTGATACATTTTCGCAGCCAAAAACACTGCGCCACGAGAAACGTAATTCAGGGAGTTGACGAAAGTGATTCACAAGGCGTTTCAAAAAGGAAGAACAATTGTAGAATATTCGAGAAATAGTAAGATAGCCGATGAAAAAAAGTTATAAATCGAGATGTTAGAAGAGCAAACCCCATGTTCTGTTGTTTGCATGAACTCTCTGAAATGCCTGTGATATTGTTTGAACTCTCATCAATGTAACGTAGAACATATGGTCAGCTAGGCATACTGAGTACAATCAACAGCTTGTAGCTAAGTACTCACTCTTAGGTCGATTACAGCAATTTCATCACCTCAATGCTACGTTGTCAATCCACCTACTACATTCCTTCTACACTTTGGTTTTTTGCTTCATTTATTATTTTAGCATCGGCTCATATTCACAATCCCCATAATGGCTCATTTCTCAGTCATTCAAGATATCCGCCGGCTCTCAAACTCGTAAAGCACGTGGGGGACGGAGGACAAAGTATAAGTTACAAAGATAGAGAACTGAACAAGAACAGGAAAGGAGAATGGATAAAAAAACTTTGCGGAATTGCGTGGATCTTCATGCCTCGTCAAGACGAGCTCTCTACTCTTCTTCAGCCTTGGTCTCTGCTGGCTGCTGTTCCTGTTCCTCCTGCTGTGCTGGAGCCTCCGACAAGTCGGTCCACAAGGTCAAGTTATCTCTCAACAACTGCATGATCAAGGTGGAGTCCTTGTATGAGTCCTCAGAGAGAGTCTCCAAGTCAGCAACGGCATCGTCGAAAGCCTGCTTGGCCAAATGGCATGCTCTGTCAGGAGAGTTCAAGATCTCGTAGTAGAAGACGGAGAAGTTCAATGCTAAGCCCAATCTGATAGGGTGAGTTGGTGGCAACTCAGTGACAGCAACATCGGAGGCAGACTTGTAAGACTCCAACGACAAGTCAGCAGCCTCCTTTCTCTTCTCGGAGATGGCAAACTCGGCCAAGTAACGGTGGTAGTCACCCTTCATCTTGTAGTAGAAGACCTTGGACTCACCGGTCTGGGCGGAAGAGATCAAGTGGTCGGACAAGACGGACAAGATGTCTTCACAGATCTTGGTCAATTCAGCCTCAATCTTAGAACGGTACTCTCTGATCAAAGAAACCTGCTGCTCGTTGCCCTTAACTTCTTCTTTCTGCTCAATGGAGGAAACAATTCTCCAAGAAGCACGGCGGGCACCGATGACGTTCTTGTAGGCGACGGACAAAAGGTTACGCTCCTCAACGGACAATTCCTGGCCAGAAGAGGCGACAGCCTTCATGTTTTCAACCATCTCCTCGTAGCGCTCGGCTTGTTCAGCCAACTTGGCGAGGTAGACAGAGTCTTCACGGGAGGCGGGCATTTTCAAGGATCAATATTCTAGGAAGGAGTTAGTAACGAGTTTCCGGGCAAACAGCAACGGCAGAAACTGGCAGGGGGAAGCTTGAAGACAAGGGAGCGGGCGTTGTTCAATGAGGACAACTGATAAAACAGAAATTGATTGGTGGGAGGCCGTGGAATGGGAAGGTTGGTAGGTTTGTTGACAATGAAGAAACAGGTCACCAGAAAAAAATCGACGTGAGAGGTGCGGGCGCCGGTCGTGTCTGGGTGGTGCGGTGTCGGGTGTACGGTTTTTTCCCTCCGTCGTGCGCCCTGTTGCGTGAATCGAATCGCACTGTTCCACACTCAGAATGCACCCCGAGCCCCGTCCGGCGAGCAACACGGCGTGGTGCCGCAGAGCCTTGGCGAAGGGGTGTCAGGGTGTACTGTAGCGTAGGCGATTCAACTCGCGGATGTGTAGATCGGGCGGGGGTGAAGTCATTCCTAATACGCCCTGCCTACGCAAGCGCGAACACCGACAACACCGATACTCAGCCAAGATAGGCAACTCGCCGAAACAGCCCATGGAAATTTTCTAGGAAGCGAGATTGCTTCTATGCATCGACCGTTGGGTGTTTCATATAATTCCTCTCGAATTTCTTCCTTGTCGAGCGGACTATTGCAGTCGCTTCACAGACGAACTGTCGTCTTTGCCAGCGACCAATTCCATTTTCCGTTCTCTCTCTCTAAAAGAAAAAAAACCTCTCCTCGTCATTCACCTACTACGCCCGAAATTCCACGGGTCTCTTCTCCTCAATTTCGATCGCGTCCTTACCGCAAGTTCGGTGGCGTTGTTCGCCTCTCAACCTGATTCACAGCAGAAGCGCCAATTCGACATAAAAACACACGATTGGGTATTTTCCAACGGGGATACAACGCTGCTGGACTCGAATTGGCCTGAATCAGGCTGGATCACGAAAATAGACGCCCTTAAACGGTATTCGATTCGTTCCAGGCTGTATCGACCCATTGGGCGACCACGGTCCGACAAATAGGGGCCAATTAGCTGGGGCGGCATTATTTCCCTGCCTGATGGGCTTTCTCCCAGTTTCTGACATTAAAAATCAATACATACTCAAAAGGTGGAATAAAGAAGGGATCTGTTGGTGAGAGTTTGGAGGTGTTTCTTTTTTCCCACGATTTTTTCCTGTCTTTTGTGAAGGAGGGACAGGGAGCAAAGTGAGGCTAAAAATCTAACTTTGATAGGCGGTGGCCCCACAGGCGAGGCGCTCAATTAGGACCACAAAACGACTTTCTTGGGTGCGGCAACCACCGCCTACTTTCCCCGGCAACCAAGGAAACGGCACTTTTTGAGGCTTTTCAAGAAGATAATTTGAAATTCTTTTCTTTTATTTTGAACCAGGGTCCCTGAATGCCTCGAGGCTCCTGACTAGCCCACGCGACATTTTCTGTCGCGACATTATGGCTTGCTGGCTTGGTCAACAACTACACTATTATGCTGGCGTGGCACTGCCAATTGCCTCAAATTAGCGTCTGGGAATGTCGCGGTCGTAGCGGTATTCATGACGAAATCATTAAATCAAAACCAATTTTGATAAGATCTTAATATAGTTGACTGCTGCAGGTAAGCAAATGCCAGAACTGGCTTCATTCACCGGATTCTACCTTAAAACCCTCTATGCTCCCTTGCAGATTTAAATTCGCAGCCATTTTGGCGTACCGCTTAGGCATAGTCTAAAACGCAAGTGCAGCCACTATCGAGCCACCCATATCTAACATTTTCACAACTTCTCTACATTCACTTCCGCCTGCGTCTCTGTTTATGCTCGTTGCTTTCTATAGTACACTCTAGTCCAACTGCATCGTCTCCTCCAAATGCAAAACGTCCTTGTTCAACTCGTATGGCTGAATCTCCTTCACCTTGATACCAAACCGGCTGTCTTGCATCAATTGACTCAAGGCCTCGACAGTAGGCTGGATGGCTCCACCCACCTGGTATTGCGAGTGAACCCACGACGGCGTAAAGGCTCTGTTTCCTCCTGTCAAACGCACAACGTTGTTTTGGGCATTGTTCAACACAATGGTGGTGGATTCTCTGGCGACAGCGTCAGCGTAGGTGCCGAACTTCAAAAGAGACTTCAACTTGATGGCACTGACTCCCAAAGAAGGCAATGGCACTTCCTTGCCGGGCAAAGTCAACTTGGTTGCGTCAATTCCGTGTCTTCCGGTCTTGTTGTCCAGCGTAAGGATCTTCAGCAATGGCACGTTCTTGACTCTCTGCACTGGCTTGCCTCTCACGAGGTATCTGTTTGTCAATTCACTGAGGCCCAATCTGTGGGTCTTCATCTCCTTCTTGATCTCCTCCAACTGTTTGATGGCATTGCCGGACTCGTGGTCAACAGGGAACGAGTCACAGGTGTGGGTCAACTTGAAGGGGTAAACGGAAAACAGCTTGTCGACAGTGTTGAGCAAGTTTCTGGCTGATCTCAACTTCAACTGATGGGTCACAGCAAAGTCACGGATGAAAATGGTCTTCTTGGCCAATTCGTTCTTGAGGTCGTCGGCATCCTCCAAGGTGATAACACCCTTCTCAAGGTCCTTGACAGAAACCATTTTGATGTCAACGTTGTAGACTTCACCAGCCTCAATGACGAACTCGTCAGTAGGAACAGCCAGCGAGGATTGTGTAGTCATAGCAGCCTCCTTTTTGTCGTGAACAATCAACAGAGTGTAGTTGGTGGTCTTCTTCAAAAGTCTCTCCTCCTGATCGCTCTCACCCCACACGGTTCCCTTGAAATCTCTCTCGGCAACAATACCTTCGGCCTGGCCCGCCAAAAATCTTCTCACTCTACGAACCTTGGAGCCTGGCACAACCACACAGCCAAAGTTCTCAGCTATGCTGTCAACAAGCTCTCTGATGTGGGCACCAGTGATAGCAGAAGCGCCGTTCAAGCCTGGAACAGCAGAAAGCTTCTCTGGCGTCAATGCAAGGCCAAGAAGGGCCACGGTGGCCTCAGTGGCGATGTAGGCGGCAACAATAGCGTCGGCCTTAGGTCCCAAAAGCGGACCCTCGGGCTTCAACTGATTGTCGATCATCACACCTGGTGGGAAAATCACAACGGTATGCGACACCAAGGCAGTGTAACCGTCGATATGGGCACCTGTAGAAATAGTCACAGCATCGCCGGCCAGGAAGGTGTAGTGCTGCTGAGAATCAAGCTCTGGCGAGACATTGGAAACGTAGTCGTTGACATCAATGGTAACTGGGTGAGCCAAGCCCTTCTCTCTGGTCTTTTCCAGGTTGTTGTACAGCTGACCAAGCAACTTCTGTGCCATGGAGTCTCCAAGAACACAGAGCTCTTGCAAACTGTATGGTCTTTCGGTCTTTCCCAAGTGGTAGGAGTCGTTGATGAGTTGGATCAAGTACTTGAGGGTGGTCTGGGCAATGTGACCTGCGGTTCTGTACTTGTCCAAGATATTGTCCGAAAGGACATTTCTCTCTTGGAGGAGAATATTGGCGTCGTCTTGGTGAACTGCCAACTGCATCGTAGATATTGCAAAGAAGGTGGTCTTCGATGTGACTTTTTTAGTGCGATGAGATGCCCTATGTTTTTCGCACCCATGGTCCACCTCATAGTGAAGAGAGAGAGAGAGAGAGAGGTACTTATTAGGTAGGAAGGCGAGGAGAAAATGTTTGAATGAATTTTGCTAGAATGGGTTCTGTTAGCGTTTGCTGAAAATCGAAGAATTGGTGCTTGGCTGATTGAACACCGGTAAAGCTAGACGATTGATCGCAAAAGCCATGTGCCCAAAAACTAAAAGAATTTCAAGTAACTGTAGAGATCAAAGTCGAAATAAAGTAAAGTGTTTGAATATGCCAAGAAAATCAATCTCTCACTTGCTGTTGGTAAAGTATCGTGGCATCGATTTCAATTTCGCAGCCATTTTCGTTAGCGTCTTTTCAAGCTACAGCAATCACGGAAGACTTGAAAAATTCTTTTGAAAAATGGTTTTCATAGACCCATTAGATAAATCCAATACAAAAAAAAAAAAAAAAAAAAAAAAAAAAAAAAAAAAAAAAAAAAAAAAACGCAGACGTTCACGTAGAACTATCTGAATTGATAAGAATCAAAAAATAACGACAACTGCAGGACTCGAACCTGCGCGGGCAAAGCCCAAAAGATTTCTAATCTTTCTCCTTAACCACTCGGACAAGTTGCCTTTGTTGAAGATGTCAAGTACTTGATTAATATATATAAGTTAAATATTTCAGGCAAAAAGGAGGTTAAAAAGAGTTTATTTGTTGGAATAGTAACTTGTAAGTTTTAAAAATGCACACAAGAAGTTGGGCGGTGTAGAGAAATCTGTGGAAATTTTGAGGCGACAATTACGTTTTTTTGGTGCATCCAGTTCTTAAGTAGCTTGAACTTGGAACTAGAAACTTTTTTGAACCTGTCGAAAGGGACAAGAAGGCCTAACTATGATGATATGGACATGAGAAATGGGTCATGACTGCTTAACTAGTCTGTAAATACAAACCTTCGTGTCTCACATGTGAATATTGAAGAAAATAATAAGAAGATCGAGATGCCACGAATGCTTAAGAGATCACTTAACCATATAATTCTGTGTTGTTTGTTTTCATGCAATTTAAATTATATACTCAATCCAACCATCTGAGGAATTTATCAAGCTCCTTCTTGTTTTGCAACACCACAGTAGCAGCACGACTCTGGGCGTTCTTCTTGGAGGCATCATATGCCACACTAAGCACACTGCCCTTAACCTTCAACTCTGCTTTGTACCCGTTCTCTGTGGGAGTTATATCATATGTTGGCGTGAGACCAACCTGTTTGCCAACAAATGCATAGACTTCATTTTTTGAAAACTTGTTAGGTTGAATGCTTTCAGATGCAATGAGCGGAAACACATCCAGTTCACTTGACTGAGTCTTGCTGACCATGGATGCTGAGCGATCGGTCTCCGCCCTCTTTCGACTGAACTTCTCGATTAACGCAGTGTTCTGAAGTGCTGCTTTTGCGGCCCGGAGTCCAGCATCACGATGGTTGGGAGCTTCACCTTCTCCTAAAACCTCACCTTCCATGATGCACTGAACTTTGAAGTGGGAATCAACTCCGTTACCATTGTCGACAACGAGATATTGTGGATGCAGAGCGGCGGATCCCACCAAGGCATAGAGCTCAGCCTTAGCATTGCGGTCGACAGGTGCTTGACCTTCGAGCTCCTTGCCCATTTTCCGAAGCATCTTATCCATGAGAGAGGTGAGCCACATCTGAATCTCCAGGAGATCGTAGCCACGCTCCATTGACAAGGCGCCCACGTAGGCTTCAAAAATATCAGCGTAAACTTTCTGCCTTCCGATGCGTAGCTGCTCTTCGTCGATATTGCAGCGCAACAGAAGGTGGAAGTTGTATGCTTGAGAGAACTCAGCCAATGTTTTGTTGCAAACAAGCGTAGATCTCATTTGCGAAAGTTGGCCTTCTTTTGCGTAGGGGAATCTATCGTACAAGATCCTGGTGACCATGGTGTTGAGGACGGAGTCTCCCAAGAACTCGAGTCTCTCGTTATGCTGAGTGATGATCTCCTTATCATCCAAGTAAGTTTTGTTGGCTGACATGGATTTATGCTGGAAAACCCTTGCTCGAAGAGCCAGGCTTTCGATTTTGGGTAGAGGAATGACGCTGTCGAACTCCTTTTCCTTTTCTTCTGAAGCAGGCTTGACTTGTGGTAACTCACCCCTGGGAGCCTTGGAGACTTCCTGTTTCAGGACGTGAACTTTCTCCTGAAGTATCTGATCAAAGATCGGAAGGCCATTTGCTGCGTACTTCGTTTTTAGAGCTGCAGCCATGCGGACTAGGTTGTTTGTCTTGATCTCACCTTTAGTGAAGTCATCCACATTGGGATTTCTAGACAACGAGTCCAATTCAGCGAGCGTAGGAGCTGCCTCCAAAATCTGTTTAATGTTCTTCTGAAGCATCCGCCCGCTATGTTCAAGCATATTTATCGTTGCATACCCAAAGACAGAATCCAGCTTTGAAGCTGGTTGGCTTCTTTTGGCTGGTGGTTCGGCCAGAGCAGCATCGACCAACAGGCCCAAGAAATCCTCTAGGCTTGCTTTTGACATAAATTCCGAAATTGTGGTGTAATTGTGACAATCAACGGAGGAATCGAAGAAAGAGCTGAAGCTTATGGGATGAGCATCGATATGTAGGCGCCAGTATCAATACCCTGCACGAGCCTCCAGGACACATAACTAGCGAAAGAGATTGGAATTAGGATAGAAGGGTCTTCTAGAGATTCTAACAACCTTCGAGTTAAAGAAGAAAAAGATTTAGGTATTTTAATTTGGTAGAACTTTGGTGGATGTTAAATAGAATTCTCGTTCTCGCAGAAGAACAACCGACTAGGTGCATATTTCCCAAGTACTCGTAAAAATTGAAGCTGAGGAAAAACTCCATCTTGACCTCCAAAAAAGCTATTAAATGCCTAAAAACGTCTTTTAAAGCAAAATAATCCATTCTATTCCTCCTCCAACGATCAGTCAAGCACCACTCCACCAGTCGTGCATACACAAAAAAGAGCGAGCTGAAAATCTATCGCTTTTTAACGCTAGTGCCTTGAAAGACTAACATTTGGCTATGAGACTTGCGCCATTTTCCCTTTTAGGGCGCCTTCGCCAGGCTCTTCCCAAAGTTCCAACGCCTACGGTCCTTTCACCCCTTGCATTTAGAAGCTTGTCTTTATCGCCCAGACTTCTTCAGGTCCAACCCAACGACGACTACGACGCTGCTCAACTCAGCAGAAAAACCACCAAGCATCCGCTTTCAAGAAAAACGTTTTTGATCGACTACTACAAGTACTTGAACGACAACAACCAGATCGTGCTCTATTTGCATCACAATAACTTGGTCAAGAATGACACTCTCAAGGTGAGATCCGAGTTGAAGAAGTTGGGTGTTACAATGACATACTTGCGTAACGCTTTGTACAGAGTTTACCTTCGGTCTGCCCACGAGGAAGATCCTGCTTTGCACAAGAACACCTTGAAAAACAAGAACGTCGAACACCCATTGGCTCCTCTCTTGAACGGACCCAGTGCCGTCATCACCATCAAAGACTGTGATCCGCCAACTGTCGAAAAGGTTGTCAAGCTCTTGAAGTCTCAGGACGAAAAGCTTTTCCTTATTGGTGCTAGAATCGAAGGAAACGTTTACAACGTTGCAGACGTGGACCAGTTCAAGCAGTTGCCTACCAAGGAGCAGTTGCAGGGCCAGTTGGCCGGTGTGTTGACCATCTTGGGTGGAGCTGGTCTTGTAAGAACATTGGAGTCTGCTGGTACTCACATGTACTTGACATTGGAGCAGAGGAGAAAGGACCTTGATCCTGAGGAGAAGAAGGACGAGGAGTAATCGCATTGTAAATAGAAAACGCGAAAATCAGAGGAGGTATGGCGTAGATTGGATGTATTTAAGGTTGTCTTGAGTAAGAATATGACAGAGTCCATGAAAGGACAATCAGGCTGAAGAGTATTAGGTTCGTTAGGTATAATTGTTTAGGACATGTGTAAAATTTGGTTACCATAAAGAGTCTGAAGAGACATGAAATGAACTAAGGCTTCGAACGAATTTTTGTCATTCACCGGATTATGTAAAGCCGTGATAGAGAGATTTTCGCAGCCACTTCAAGGTGAGCCAGGTGGCTGGAACACCGTCACATTCAAATTCAACTTATACCAAAAGTAGCCTCAAACTTTAAATGAAATGACCAAAATCATCCAGTTTTATAATTTTTCCTCCTTCCTCCACCCCACCCACTCCTTCATTACTAGTCAAAATGTGGGATGCTCATCAGCGCTGGGTGCCGGAAAGCTGAAAATCTACTACTTCACCAACCCACTGTTATGTCAGCCGAACTCACAGAAAAAGAAAAGAATGCCTTGATACGAGAGCAGCAGGAGGCAGAGTCGAAGAAAAGGGCTTATAGAGAAAGAAAGCAGGAGGCCAGGGACATTGCTAAGAAGAACCAGGTCAAGTTCGAAAACCAGAACCAAGGGCCTGACTACGATGTTGCCGAAATGCCCAGAAAGAGATTCTACAGACAAAGAGCACACTCCAATCCTTTCTCAGACCACAGTTTAGAGTACCCAAGGGACCCTGATTCCATGGACTGGAAGAAGTTGTACCCTCATTACTACGATGAAGAAACACAGAAGATGACCAAGAATGTGGAGATTGCCGATATTGGCTGTGGATACGGTGGGCTCCTTATAACGTTGGCGAGAGAGTTTCCAGAAGTTTTGAGTTTGGGCATGGAGATTAGAGTGCAAGTGACGCAATATGTTGAAGATAGAATCATCGCTTTGAGAGAGAACAACCAGGCCAATAACGAGTACCAGAATTGTGCTGTCTTGAGAGGCAATGCCATGAAATTTATTCCTAATTTCTTTCACAAAGGACAGTTGCTGAAGATGTTCTTCTGCTTTCCCGATCCACACTTTAAGCAGAGAAAGCACAAGGCCAGAATCATCACGAATACGCTTCTCACGGAGTACGCCTATGTGTTGAGAGAAGGAGGCATTGTCTACACAATCACCGATGTCAAGGATTTGCACGAATGGATGGTGAAGCATTTGGAGGAGCATCCAATGTTCGAGAGAAAGACCAAAGAATGGGAAGAACAAGACAAATGTGCACAATTGATGTGGAACCTGACGGAAGAAGGCCAGAAGGTGACGAGAAACCAGGGAGACAAGTACATAGCATGTTTTGAGAGATTGCCTACGCCCGAGGATTGCGACTAAATCGATACCCGTGCTAGTGCATTCGTATACAACAAAAAGCAGCAATTGCATCAAGAAGCTGCAAGCAAATCATAAATAAACGCCAATTGCAAGAGATAGCTGACGAGGGAGCGACCGCTAGGGGCAGGCCACCTTACAACGCAGCGGTCTCGGTGGAAGCGGGCTCTGGGTCCTCGGAGACAACGCCGGATGGAGTACCAGATGGCACCGATGGGAAAGAAGAGCCGGTTGCGTGAGCAGAGGCAGCGGAACCAGCGCCTTCGAGGGGCTTCTCCACGGCAACAGGCTCGGAGCCAGCGCCGGTGTTGTAGGAGGTGTCGTTGCCGGAACCAACGGTGGAGCCGGCGGTTCTGGTGGGGAACTTGGACTGGATGAAGTCGCCGACAGGGCCGGTCTTCTTGGCCAAGGTGTCCAAGTGAGGAGCGACGGACTTGTGGGCCTGGTCGGTCAACTCGGAGGACTTCTGTCTGACGATCTTGGAGTAGTGGGCAACGGCAGCGTCAATCTCGTCCTTGTTCTGGACGTACAAGAAAGGCACGGTGAAGGCCAAGACAACGGAGACGATGGCAAGGGTGTACAAGGACAAGTAGGAGGTGACGAAGTACAAGACGTACGACACACCGGCAGCCTTCAAGGTCAACTCAATGTCCTGGGCGTAGACAATACGCTGAACCTTGGACTCGGCGCAAGTAGCAAATCTGCCAATGGCAGGCAAGATGGAGTCATTGACAAATTTGGAGTAGGATGGAGCGTGGGCGGTGTACTTGGTGACAAAGCCCTGTCCAGTGACCAATTTGCCCACGTACTCAGCGGCAGCAGAGACCAAGAGGCCAAGGTAAGCAGCGTAAAAGATGTAGTTGATAAAGTTGACCTTGAGGAGCACAAGGCCGAGCAAGAGGCCACCAAACACCTTTCCTGTGGCGACAGGGTCCTTCCAGGTAAGCAAGCTGCAAAGGCTGGAGGAGGAAGGATTGGCCGTGGTCTGGTGGGAGACAGGGGTGGTCTGGGAGGCGTCGGAGGCGCCGTTGAAGTCAAGAGACTCTTGTGGAGAAGACATTGGAAAGAAAAGGGTGGTAGTGAAGGGAGAGAAAATCGCACCGAGGAAAATCAGGAGCAAGCGGGTGCGGCATCACCAAGTATGAGCGAGGTGGCATCCTTGTGCATTGGGTGGCGGGGCAAAAAAAGAGGATTTTATGTTGTTGGAAGGCAAATGGGGTTGAAAATTGTGGAATTTGTATTTTTCACGAAAATCGGCCTCGTTGGCGTGGCCAATGGCCAGTGCTGTTTGGATGAGTAGGCTGATGGTGTCACAAGACAGTGTTGCTCGCCACGCCGACACAGCGGTTATCTGTTTGCTTGCTGAACGGGAGGCAGCGAAGGAGTAGTCAGGCACGAGCGAAGGAATTGGGAGAAAGGCGGGGAATATCGAGATTTGGGGATTTTGAATCATTTTGGTTTTTGATGGCACTTTTTCAGGTGGTTCTTGTTATGCGGTGTGTATGGCGGTTATGGGCCGCAGGGCATCGAATAGGGATTAGTGGAGATGGCATAACTCCTTCGAGGCTTTTGGGAATCTAGTGGATCCACAAATAACAGATGGAAACCGAGAAGGATCAGATCTAAAACGATTCATGAAGTTAATCACCAGCATGTCTCTTTTGTGGCTTCGAAAAATTTTTCACTCCCTGGGTCTGAAACACTGGGGCTGCGAAATGGTTGCAAAATGGTGGCGCCAAGCTGCGCATCCGCATGGTCTCGCCAAACCATCGCAAAGCCTTGAAACCTAAAATGCTTCTGTGGAGTCTCCTGCTTTGATGATCTGTTCTTTTCTGCCATGGAGGCGCCACAGCTATTTTTGCTGTGACCACTTGCCCGATCCGGGTGGAGCCACCGCTAACAATGCTGCCGGGCATCGGAGACAATGGCACAGCATACTGGTACGATGAATCAGGGATTTTGCCATCAAAATAATGGGCCAACCAGGGGTGCCGTTTTGCAGAATCAAATGAAAACGTTATTCAATTAAAAACGTTACTCAATTAAAAACGTTATTTCAAATCACACGGTGCTTCCCCGTCACTCTGATTAGCCTTTCGCTTACAGCCATCGTTACTGTCAACTTCCATTGACAAACATCGCTCAGTGGCTAGCACGGCAGCTCCGTACTCTCTCTCGATCTCGCTCCACAGCGCTCCACTAAATCCTATAGCCATCTGTTCGTACCATTCAGCCGAGGATAAAACTAGACTGGACGTAACGAGCCGGACGAATTGGTCAACTTCAGCCTTGTCAATTGGCCCACTATTGCAAAATCCAGCCAAAGCGCTCACCTGCTGACGTAGCCGGGTCAATCTTTGAATAAAAAGCCCGGAGTTTTGTGCCTGCCAGCGGCATTTTTCAATGTACTGTTCGTAGCAGTAATCGTACTTGTGGCCTCCAAGAAAGTCCAGCCACCAATGGGCGTACCGTAGCTGGTCTTCACAAAAATTTACCACCACGTAGAGCTGTTCCAGAATGGACGTCTCGAGACGTTGCAAATCTGACAAAGGGCCTTGGCGGTTGACAGCTGGTTTGCCTGGATTTGGAGCTTCTTTGAGTCGTTGAAGACGTCCAATTGCCAGCTTCACTTCAGCCCTTCTGGACCCTTTTCGTTGAATTTTTGGCGATTCCTTTCCCGCCTTGGTCGTGGTTATCCGTACATCGCATGCACTGTTCAACGGAACGTTCCAGGGATCGACTTGCCTGAGCTCTTCACTTTTTGGCCTTGGCGGATTCACCATCCGAGAAAATTTCACCATGGCTAGACCGGCCTCATAATTTTCAGTTTCCTGACTCTTGCCTGGTCGACCAGCACCCTTGGCCAATGCAAAAATACCTTGACCGAAATTCTCAATCACCATAGCGAAAACCTGTTCAAGCTGTGTGATTTCATGATCCAGCGCCTTGATCACCTCTGAGATTCTTCGAACTGCGTTGTGGATATCTTCGTTACTGAGTACCACTCGATTGAGTACCTCACAGACTTGAAGCCTGGGATCATCTTGACGATTCGCCACTTCAAATAAAAACAGACTCAACTTTTTGATATAAATAGACACATCATAGGGTAGCTTGGGGTAGTTTGTCGGGGAATCCTTGGGTAAAGTCACCTCTTGTGCGGCCCTCTCAAGGTACTTCACACTCTTAGCCTGACTGACACAAAAGTCATTACAAAGTTCTCGGAAATTCATATTGATAGATAAAAGAAGTGGTTTTGTATATTTTTTCCTCACTTCCCCTGCAATGCCATCTCATGGAGATGTCGCAGAGGTGTTTCAGACTACGGCTCGATTTTTCGCAGCCATTCTGTATGGGGTAATCTGCGAAACTTCGCCAATATCTCTCACTCCATGATTCCTTTACCAATGTAGTCACACATGACCTTGAACTTGTCGTCGGCGTCTTTTAGCTCTTGCTCAAAAATTTCAGTTTCCTCCTTCATGTGAAGCTGTCTTTCGCGAGCCGCCTCCAAAGAACTCAAGTCATTGACACAGATCGGGCACTTTGGATCATTGTCACCATTCTCCGAAGACTCTGGAATATAAGTATTTTCGTTCAAGCAACGCTGATGGTAGGCATGTTTGCATTTGAAGTAGATCACAGGGAACTCGAGATGCAACTCGCAGCCATTGCATTTTGCATTATTCGCAACCACTGGGTTGGAGGTGAGTTCAGTGAGAGCAAGACTGTTCTTGGTGGAGTCCTTCTCGTAGGAAGAGATCAACTTCTCATTGTTGTCGATGTGCTTGTTGGTTTGCTCAAAATGGTCAATCAAGTAGTCTCTGACCATACCAATAGTAGCATTTGGGTTCGGACTTAGGGCTTTGACAATTTCCAATGGCGTGAGGAGCCTATGCTTCTTGATCTTCTCTAGAAGCAAGTGGAATTCCTTTTTCGGTAAATCGTCAATCTTTTCCTGAGACTTGCCCAAGAACTTAAGCATAAGTGCGTACAATTTTGGTTTGTTCTCACCGTGCTTGTGAACAACTTCAAGACATCCATGAATATCACCATCCAACTGACGCGACCGGAATAGCGATTCCTCAAAGTTTTCATTTGTCTCGTTGACAATGTTGATACCGTCCTCGAAGTAGTACATGTGCGAGATCAACAAGGCCTTTGACTTGTCAATGAGATCCTTATTCTCGATGAGTAAGGTTTTTGCCTTTTCGTTCCAATCACTAGCCTGCTGTTGATCTTTTGAAGCCATCGAGAGATAAATCTCAAACAAGGTAATGAGCAAGTCCTGCTTGTCGTTCACATTGCCCTGATACTTATCGAAGGTTTGAAGACATGCTTCAAGAAACACAACAAACTCGCGTTCGTGACCAATAAAGCAGTGGAAAACAAGGCTTGGTCTTGGAGGTAAGTAAGTGGGCTCATCAATCTGAACTTCATCTGCTCCATTAGCCTGCTCCGTCGTTGACCCAGCGAGATAGTTCAAAAAAGCCCCGTAAGAGGAGATTGCAGGGTTGGATTTTTGTTCAACCACATCTGCTGCGACATGAGAGTTCTCAAAAAAGTCCAGCTTCTTGTCGGGTTTGTATTGACCAGTGAAGACGTTGATCAAAAGTTCTGTGGTTTCCATGGGTTTGTACCTGAGAAGCGCCTCCAGGAAGTCGATAAGAATTCGAAGTAATTCGTCAACAGGTAAGGACCTGATATAGGTGATACACTTTTCATGCTGGCCGAGATCATTTAACTGTATGTCCACAATAGTATGTGGTCGATCAAGCTTCAACAATAGTTGGGTAACTTGATGATAATAGCCGCATTCTTTGAAAAGATTTATGAAAAGCGAATAATTCAAGGAGTCGTAGTCAAGTCTAGACTTACTGTCTGTTTGTTTCTCGCCCTCGGGTTTGATTTCAGCAATGAAATTATCGATCTCTTTCGTCATCTTGAGTTTGCAATAACAACAAACTAGCAATGTGACATGGTCGCTATCGGCCAAGCCCAACTTGTGCAATTCAGCCAAGAAGCTGGTCATGTTTTGTATGTTGGAGACTTGCTTGAAACCCATCACAACACTAATGATGAAATCATCCATGTTGTCATCGTCCGCATCGTCTCTTTTAGTTGACTCTTTACTGTAGAATCGAAGACATTGAATGTACTTGTCGATCGCGCCGTCGAAATCTCCTTTTTCATAAAGATGATCACCAAAAAGTCTGTAGATTCTCAAAAGAGTTGAGTCGTCAAGTTGATTTTGTGCAGCGAGGTTGAGTGCAATGCTGAAAAGTTCTCGTTGCAAAATCGTTTCCAATTGCTGGTTGATTGGCTTTTCATGAAGCTTGTACAAAACACCATCTGTGGAAAGCAAAAAGACATTATTGTCGTTGTTAGAGGCAAACACATGGGAAATGGTCAGGTTGGGAATGGTCAAACTGAAAGAAATATGCATGTTTTTTAGGTCCAAGATAAGCAAACGGGTGAGTGTTTTGGAGGTACCACCATCGCTTGTCTCCTCAATTGGACACACTATCAATAAGTAGTCTTTGAAAAGACGGAGAATCTTCTTTTTTGGAACATTGAAATTGATGACGCTAGATCTGCTCACATGGTTGAAGAACTTCAAGTCCTCGGTGTTACCCGTGATCAACTTCGATGACCGATATTCCAAATCAGAGCAGTCAAGGTCAACGCCCTGGTTCTTCGATAACACGCGATGAGGCTTGCCCTGGTTTCTTCCTGTCGTGAGAACTGTGAGAACTTTCGAAATTGTAGTAACGTAGATGATCTCCTCGAATCTGTTAAAGTGGATGCCCGTAATGGGATCAATACTTTCATAGATGACTCTCTGCTTCGCCCCTCGATCCCTGAGCATATCGCCTCGGACAAGAATGACCTTACCGTTGGTGTAGCCGATTGCGACACATGTCAACGAATCGTTGAAAGCAAAACACGAAACAGGGTAGGAGTTGTCTCCCTCGTGAACAAGAACTTTCGTAACAAACTTGTGTTTCATAGCATCGTCGTCGTTGACTGTGCTCGGGCTCAATTGAGTAATCTTGTTGAGATCCCACACCTTTATAACAGCAGGCATGCCCTGAGCTTCTGCCAAGGTCACCAACAAATTCAGGTGAAGCAATGGCTTAGCGAAGGTGATTCTGTATTCTAAATCATAAGCACAGAACAGCCTTATCAGCTGCAACAGTTTCTTGTCGATAAGTCGTATGTAAGCATTCTGATAAGCGAAAACGATATAGGACTGTGACGAGGTGATGGCAGATAACGACGGATCGGAAAAGAGGGGAAACTCCAGCTGATAGTTAGGGTCTCTGATGGGAAGAAAGTCGAAGAGCTGGAACTGGCGCCAGGTCGACGGTAGAGACATGCTGGGATAAGTAGTAGTAACTTGTAGTAGGCATATGTCGCACCCACACACCACTTTGGGTGGTGAGAGTGAAGAGCTGAAGAAATCAGGAAGGGGACCAAGATTTGATAATTGATTTCGATGTTTAAAAAAATGGAGTCTGTAGGGGTATGGGATGAAGACTCGGTACATGATTATCATGTGCGTTGGTACTCAATTACGAATGAAGCTAACGAGGATCCCACCTCGTTCGGTACAAATAATTATCCTTGACAGGTACACGAATCATTGAGGTCAAATAAGGCAGAAAGCAGTGTCCTTGTTCGATTTGTTTATATCTCGATTGCCAGTGTTCCATCGGTTGTCAGTGGTAAGGTAGTCTTCATAGTAGAACCATTTGAGCTTTTGAGAGAGGCACAAATATCCATACGTAGATAGCCACGCAGAACCAATAGATAAAGTAATTTACGGATAGGTGAAGGTTTACCGTAGTCCCATCATAGCAGTGATCACAAATGCATTGAATGGCTGCGAAAAGGACCTGAACCATAGAGCAGAAGACCACTTAACTTCCACGCCAATATCTGAATAGACAACTCATGCATATGTTTCTTTATGTCACAATTGGTTATCCCTTCGCCTCCAAATAAACTTTTTGCTTTCTACCACTCTCTGGATACTACTTAGGAGACCACCGGTGACACCCGTGCACCACATACTTACAACCTCTGCTCAGCTCCATCGCAGATTTTTCTCTGCACTCCACCATCAATTCTTCAACTTCATCCATATCCATAAAACAAGCAATGCTCCCCGGATTGAGCGACCTGTTTTCGCTCGTCGAGCTACCCAGAATCGCCGATGTGCCCAACCACCAGCGCATAGTGCTTCCCCACAGCCAGAAAAGCCTCTCTTTCGAGGAAACCGACTTCATACATTTGGGTATGTCTAAGCTGATAATCTCGAGCTACGTGTTGAAACCCACGCCGAAACTCGTTTGGTCTTTCCCATTGTCGTCTAGTACTCTTGTGGACAGCATGGACGTGAAGGGCGATTTGTATGTTGTGGGACTTAGCGAAAGAAGAAAGCACTTGGTGAAGTTGATCAAAAAGTTCGGAAACGAGGAGTCCAGTACAGCAGAATATCCCGTCACAGCACCTGCAGCGGGAATCATGTTTGGCGAGGACTCCTCCATATACGTGCTTTCCAAAGATGGCTCAGTGGAACATCTCGAATATAAGGAAGCTGAAGCCGATGCAGAGGATCCATCCCACATCTCCTTAAGCAAAGCATCTATGTTGAGCAGCTTGCCTGTGCCCACCAGATCTTCAGTACACAGCGTCATTTACCACACATTCATTTCCGAGCATTCTTTCCAGCACAAGAGCTCTCTTTTGTTCTACATCACTCGTCTGAACAAGTCGAACAAATACACTTGCAGATTGGTCGGCCTTGATGGCGCCAGGACGTTTGAGATCTACAGTATAACATTTGAGAGACCCGGTCTTGACGAGTGCCTCTTCACTTATGCTGACGGCGTATTGTACACATTTGACAAGACCACCAAGTCTGTCTCTTCTGCTTCGCTCATGAAGCCACACAAGACTATCAAACTGGTGACTTTGCAGCCAATTCTTAGTAACTTCAAGGACGAGGAATATGGCTTTTATGCTCCTGCTCCCGAGAGATTGCTTATCTCAGCCCTGTCAAAACTCTTCTTGATCAACTTTAAATACGAGTCGTTGCTTGACAAGTTCCAGCACGATCCTCAGATCAAGTTGCACTTCAACTTTGCATTGCCCACAAAGGGCGACTCAGATATACTGAGCTCCACATATGCCTTGTACTTGGGCTACAACGAAAAGAGAAAAGCCAGCAAGCTTAATTACATCCAGGTTGAGGTTGGCAAAAATACTTTGAGAGAGTCTTTGGGCAAGGCTCTCCAGAAGGATGGACAACAGTTGAAGGTGTACCCTGCCCTTCTGTCCAATAATTTGAAATTAGCCGTGAAGAAGGACACAGCGGAGTTGAACGAGGTGTTTGAGTCTTTGAAGGAAAAGACGGATCCAACAGAATTCAGCAAAGCCGTGATCAAATTCTTCAAGAAGGAAGAATTGAAGGATGGCAAATCCTACTCGCATGCGATCACCGACAAGGTCATTGACTCTGTGTTCTTGAACCGTATTCTTGGTCTCATATTCCAGGTTGACCAAAGAGACAAAACCGTTCAGGTGAAGAACGAGTCTTTCATTCCAGAAACTGCAGTGGCTTACCTTTTGAGTCACCCTCTTTACCCTACAAAATACGCAAATGGTCTTCTTTTGCTTTTCAGCCAGCTCAACGAACCTGAGTTGCTCAAGACTGCCATTGAGAAATGTCCAGCACTTTCAATTGACGATCTCACAAACGAACTCAATAACTTGACGGAATTGGCGGACGAGTTGGACAAGGACTCTGAGAATGCCGGTCTGGCTCAGTTGATCCTTATGTTCTTGAAGTCCACGATCGACAGACTTGTGAAGAACTTCTCTCTTCCACAAATTACCAAGAAGTTGCTGGAAATCTTGACCGCAGAGTACGACGGCTACAGCAAGAAATTGGAGCGTATGCTTGGTGTTTTCATCAACATCAACAGCACGAGCTCCTGGGATTTGGTGCAAGCCGTGATTGATGCCGGTGGACTTTTCAACTGGTCCATTCCAGTAATTGAGAAGCTTGGTTCTCTTATCGACGCCAAAGTTGACTCCCTTGGTGCTAATAGCTACAACTTGACGCTTGTTAACCAGGCATTGCAGGCTGACAGCAACAAGAAACAGAATAAAAAGAAGACAACCAAAGCATCTGTCGTGGACAACATCCACGAAATTGGCACGCAGAAGGAGGAGTTGGATGCTCTCTTGACCATGAGCAACGGCACCACCAACCAGAAGTTGCGTGTGGACGAGGGAATCGAGTTGGCCAAGCGGATTCCAGCTTACTCGAGAGAGAAGTTGGTTTTGTAATGAGTATCATGCATTAATAGACGAAGGACATATGAAGGTGTAGAGGGGGAATGAAAACAAAAGAAATAACAAAAGATATATATTTTGGATCCATGATGATTTTCAGTGTATGGGTAATTATCCTTTGAATTTCGCAGCCACCTATAGATGATCATGTATTCCGTGCCAGACAAGGCCTTAAAGCCACACCGTAATGGCTAAATGTAAAAAGTTCAAGATCCATCAGATTTCGTGTTTCTCTGATTTTCCAAAGTCTACCATACTTTGCTGCCGGATCAACCAGCCGGCCTGCATAGACTGTTCCATTTTCCAGCCACTAGTACCTGAGACAAACCTCATCACAAAGCTACATGACCAAATCAGCCCTTCTGGTGTACCGTTCTGCTCTTCGGGCCACGCGGACAGCCTTTAACGGCGATGCTAAGATTCTCGCAGCCTCCAGACTCAAGATTAGAGAAGGCTACGACAAGAATAGAAACCTCACCGACAAGGATGAGATCAACAAGGCCATCAACGACTTGGACGAGGTGGCCAAATTCCTCGTTAAGAACATCGTTCAGGCCGAGGAGCAGGAGAAGGACCGCTACTACCTCAAGTTCCACAAGGACACTGAGTTGGGCGACAACGCTACCATCAAGCAAAACAACCGAGCCAACATGGGCTCTTTGGCTGGCGCCAAGGTTAGACGTTGCAGCGACAACAAATAATTTGTAAATAGAAAAGGAAAGGGTTTTGGAAGGTGTTCCGATGTAGTGGTGGGGACTTGTAGTGGAGATAACTGGAGAGGATGATGTGTGTTCAGGACTAGGGGAACTAGCCTATTACACTGTTTCATGGGGTTGTGATTTTAAACATTATCGTAATGAAACTGGACGCAATACTTGAAGTGATGGGGAGACGGAATGGATAGACATTGATTATCCTGGGTATCCCAGTCCACTGACTTAAAAGGATGATACACTTCTGCTAGGCACCATGTCTGTTGAGTGGGGACGCGTTAGCTGTATTCATCAAAATCGAATGATAGGTTTAGTTAGTGGAACTGTAAATCGATGATGTCAATATTGAGAAATGATACTCTTTATATGGGTACCTCTTTGGGTATAGTGTTAGTGTAAGGTGAAGAGACCAACTTCCAATTCTAACAGTCCTGAAAAATCTATTCAAGTTTTTGTGTTCCACCCCGTCTCTTTCAACATTTTGTCCATCGGCCCCAGATCAACACTCATGACTCAGATTCATTCATCTAGCGATGATTCCTCAGTAGACCCCTCCACATCTCAAACACCCGACACAAGACACCATAAGCCAAAAGAAAAGACAGAAAGACTCAAATCCCACAAAATCTAACACTAAACCAAAAATCAAAAACCCCGTCCTATTTCACCTCATCCTGCGCCGTTGCCGCTTGCACCCCATTCACCTCCAACGGCTGCGAATTTCACATCAACTACCGCACCTACTCCATCTATGGCACCTAGAGAAGTACTCATTTCCAAAGCGTTGCTGTACCTTCTCCGACACGGCGCAGTCAAAGAAAAACTTCCAATTGACTCCCGCGGCTATGTAGAGCTCACGACAATCCTCAATCACCCTCGAATCAAAACACATCGTGCCACTGTGGAAGAGGTCGAGAAGGTCGTTGCAGAAAACGACAAGAAACGGTTTACCATTGAGACCCGAGCAGACGGAAATCAGTACATCTGCGCCAACCAGGGCCACTCCTTAGACCTGGTGACAGAAGAAAATCTCCAGCCGCTTCCGTACGGAGATATGCCCGACAACGTGTACCATGGAACCTTTGCCAACAAACTAGAGGCTATCAACAGCAGCGGGGGTCTTCTACGTATGAAACGCAACCACATTCATTTTACCTCGGACGCCGAGTGGAGTCAGCTGGGGATCAGAAAGACATGCACGGTTTTGATCTACTTGGACCTCGACAAGTGCAAGGAGCAGGGGCTAGAGTTTTTTCGTTCGGCAAATGGCGTAATCCTTACGAGGGGAGACGAGCGGGGGATGGTTCCAGCGAGCTGTTTCCGGGAGATCAAGCATTTGGCTCAAGTGACCAAGAAGCCCAAAAGCCAAGACTGAGAGGAGACTGAGCGGAGACTTTTAGGTTTAAGTACTGCTTTGGTGTTTTGGTGATAATTTCCTTGATGGTGACCACTGCAACACGTTTAGGTTAGGCTTCCGGAGAAACTGGCCCCAGTGTACAGAGGGATCAACCGAGTGATGGAGTACGAGATAGACCGGGCCCCTCGTCAAGTAAGTTGCAGCTACTTGGGCCAGTAAGGTTTGAGCACCCCCGCTTGTCGAGACCAAGGGGCTGATCCACAAATTTTGCTGTGTTATCGTGGTCTACTTGGTGGATGCTGCCGAGTAGCACAATGTGCTTAACCGGAGTTTGCTGATCATGCAAGGAGGCCCATCTGTGATGAAGAAAAATAGACGACGATCTCGTGACAATGGAGGGAAAGACGATTCGCTCGACTAAATGCTGGGGCGCCGCCTGATCTGGGTCAGGAGGCTTGCAGAGACAATTGGGTGGGCGGTTATCGGTTGGATGTTTCTAGAGCGGCAGGGGTGCAGAGGCAGGGGGTCGTAACCGTTCTAAGCCGGATATTGGTTGACGAAGTTTTTTGGCGACCGATCGCCGACGGGAGTAACTACGTGGAGATGGTGTAAATCCATGGAATAGTGTCACAACGAGGGTGTCAAAGGGGGAAAAAGAGGAGGCCGCATGATTCGGAAGCGGATGGAAAAGTGGGATACCCGCAGAGGCAGGGCTGGAGCGTTTGTCTCGATTTCTGTGCTTGGCTGCCAAGGGACAGGCCCGAGACAATGGCCAACAAAGAGTAAGCTTCGAGAACCACGTCAGGCGGTGTCGAAGGTGAAAAAGAAAAAAGAGGGCCGGGTCGAAAAAACTAGACTGACCCAAAACTTTTTAATTCTTTTTTTGTCATTTTTTGATTAGGCAAAACGTCACGCCAATTTCCCGAAAACGTGCCAGGAAAATCTCAAACGGCCCTAGCACCAGATCGTTTTTTGTTGCCCAATTGTTCCTGGCGTTGGGGCCCTGCCTGAGGCGGCCTGCCTGTGGGTATCGCGCCGGGCGCTTGGTCCCGCGCGGGCTAGACCAAATTCGCAGCCAAAAACGACGGCTCTGGACGGACGAAACGGCCGTTTGTCGGGAATAATCGAAAAGAAGGGATGCTTTTTGTTTGAATTTGCATTGTGCAGAGGGAAGCCCGCTTGATTTAAGCCATCCCAATTTTTTTTTTTGTTGTTTCGTTCGTGTGCGCCGGAATAACCGGTGGGCCTGGGCTTTGCGCTGCTCGCGGGTCTAGAATGGCAGCGGGGGCAACCGAAAGATCGTATAAAGCAGCGATGCCGCCGAAGCTGGCGTTCTCAACGGTAAAAAAAAAAACCACCCTTGAAAGTTCAAAAAAACTTCTTCTAGCAAACAACGGCCTCTTGCGTTCCACCCCCACACTGAAGTCGGCCCCCAGCCTCATCAACCCCAGCCACCAGTCCAGCCGTTTCTCCCACGCATCTCCAGACTCATCAGGCAAATACCTCCCTCTCACAACCGCCACCGAAACCGCAATTCCAGCATCAAAAGGCTCTCCGTTCCCAGAGCCTCCCCTTTCAGCGTTGATTACAGCTGCAGAATACACGAGAGCTCGCTCCGTCGATTGTCTACCCACCTCGGCGCCTCGGGCTCACCCTTTCCCCCACCCCCACGCCGTTTCCTCCTCCACCGTGCCCCAAACAGTATTTGAATATACTCCCATGAACAACGTGAAGCTTCGAACGCATGCTGAACCGCCGCCACCGGCGCCCGATACAAGGATATGCCAGTGGTACTGCTGTGACTGCGGCAAGGCCTACGGGACTCTACGATCAGAAGCATTGGGCGAGTGCAAGCCCCACGAAGTAAACGGCTATTTTGACAACCACCCTGTGGTTGTAGAGCCCGCGTCTCGCTTTACCTGTCTGCGATGCCGCCACATGATGTGTCCGTACTGCTTGAAGCTACGGTATCTGGACCTTTCACCACGGACGTGAGGGCCAGGGAAGCCAGGAGCAGGTTCTGCTGGCAGACAAGACGCCGTATTGGTTTTTGATAGAAGCGCAGTGGCCCATGGCTGCCACGCTACGGCTGTGGTGGACGGTTCTATTCGGCACCCGGCGGTTAAAGCCGGCATTTTGTCGATAAGCACCCGTGGTGCTCACGGCACAATAGACTGTCACATCCGGCCACTACACTACAACGGGTCTCCGGCAACAAGTCCCAGGACCTGGCTCCGGATAATGCTTCCGACCGGCCCCTGACCCTCCTTTGCATTGTTTGTACTATCATATACGTTCTCCACGAAGCTCCACTCTACTCACGCCATGCCGGCGGCCTTAAGGTGTCGCCTAACCGAGCCGCCACTTGCTCTTTTTAGAAAAAACACAATCTCTTTAGTTGTAAATCTCGATCTTTCCGATTCTGAGATAGATCTCCTGGGATGTAGATTTGTGAAGAATCCTGGAGGGGAGTCACTTTGGCCGGTTCCGCAAACCCCACCAATGAACGGCAGAAACACAATACAGATGAAAAATCGTCACCTGTTTGAAGCCTCGTTTCTAGCATTCTGTCACTCTTGCATTGTTCCTGTCTGAATCTGCCGACAGTCCCATGGGTCCAGTAGTTGCAGTAGTTGCAGCCATCTACATGTTATCCACAAAAGCACAGCAATGATTCAAAGAGGTAGACACAAATTTGAAAGATGTCAAGATGATGAAATCCTTTCCCGATGACTCTTCCTGAAGCGGCTGACACGGCTTGGACTTGCCGTGGAACCAACAAAAAGCCCATTCAAGCCACCACTCAGCAAGAGAAGCTGAGGGGCAAAGAGGAGAACGGGCTGGGCTACAGTGGAGCAGAAATGTACCCAAGAAACGAAAAAGAAGCATTTGAGAAACAGCATGCACTTGAAAAAAAAGCATGCTTTTTATCAATTTCCCTCCTTCGGCTCCATCCACTCGCCCATCCTCATGCTCACTTGGCACATCAACAATTTTCATGGACCCTCACAACCTCACCTTCACGCCTCGCTTCCACGACCTCTTTCCTAATCCGTAAAAGCTTTTCTCGTCCTGGCACCTCAATGGCGGTCCTCTCGCTTCGAACCACGTTTTTCTACATTTTTACCTGGGAAAAACTACCCATTATCGAGCACTTCGGCTATTGTCACTGGCCCGTGGTTTCCCGTTTGGGGCCCCATGTGAGAGCGAGTACACCCCCCACTTGTCTGCAGGCGCCGGCCGCCAACACCATCGTTAAAAACTGGGGAACTTCCGCCGATATCTTCCCCTAGGCTATGCGTATTGTTCCTCAGCACAAGCACCAAAAGCTTATTCTCCAGTGCTACCCGCCTGGGAAGCTTAGCGATAAGAAACCCAACCCATCTGAGCTCAGCTACCTTTTGTACTATGCTCTGACTCGCCGTATCAAGTTGGTGAAAGTGGTGGACTTTTTGGAGGCCAAGACGAAACGGGACGTCAAGGGCTCCAAGTCGGGCAACTTGCAGGTCACCTTGGGCATCTTGCTGGCCTTGATTGATAAATGTGCCGACAATTTGAACGCGTTCGCTACCCAGGTGGTGTCGATTTTGCACACCATGCTCCTGGTGAAAGAGTTGCCCTTGTGCAAGCTGCTTGTGTCGACCTACGGCGTGCTTTGCTCGAAGCTCGACGGCGGGCTTTTCACCGGCGACAAGCTGTTTGTGGAGTCTTTCACCAGCTTCACCGATTCCTTTATAACCACAGGTGTCACTCAGCTGAGCGGCTCCACCACCAACAAGGCCGAGTGGCGCCTCGTGGCGCTCTCCACTTCCAAACACGTCTTCAACTGCTTGGGCTTCAACTCCCGCTTGCTGCGCAAGTTCGTCTCCAAATGCGTGCCCTTGTTGGCCGAAACGGTGCTCTCTAACGCTACCCAGGGCACTTTGCTTGCTCGCTTGAACAGTAACTTGAACGTGGAGGACGACAAGTTGCACAGCTTGAACAAGACCGTGACCGCCCGTACGGCAGCCCAGGCCCGTGAGATCGAGGAGCATTTAGAGGCCGACGCCGTTTCCGATCTGGACCTCAACGAGGAGGCCTTGGCGGCACTCAAGGCTCTTTTCAACACCTCCCTCTCCAACCAGATTTCCGAGGCCACCAACGAGGTGGTGGACTTCAACTTTGCCAACTCCTCCCAGACCGAGGTTGACAATTGGGGCATCACTTTCTTGGAAATGTGCGCCTCGTGGATCCCCGTCCAGTTACGTTTCATCGCTTTGCTGACGCTCTTGCACCGCTTGAGCGCTGCTTCGGATAAGACTGACGACAACTCCAAAAACTACCGCGTTTTGGCCCACACGGCAAAGTCCCTCTTGGGCCTTGTTTCCTCCAACTTCAACATGATCGGCCTTTCCATCTCTGACGTGATCCAGCAGTTGCTCACGTTGCAGACAAACTTGCATTTGCTGTTGGCAGACTACTTTGATGCTGCTGAGATCAAGGACTTGAGTAAGATCTACACTCAGTGTGTGTGCAACCTTTCCAGCCATATCTACTACTTTGACCAGGTCCAGGACTCCATCGAAGGTATCTTGATGCAAGTTGACTCTGTCATGCTCCATGCCGACTCGCATAAGACAAGCCGTGTCCAGGAATTGGTTCTCGTGTTGCTCGACAACATCTCCAAGGTGATGAACTTGTTGACTCGCAAGTCGAGCTCCATCACCAGGAACGAGGCCACTTTGGAGAACTGGGACTTGGGATTGCAATTGTTGACCATTGACAAGAGCTACGAAGAGTTTGCCCTGGAGGCTTCCACCGAACAAAAGGCTTCTCTTGAGGCTAAGTTCTTGCAGGTGTTCCATGAATTCTTGGAAATCGAGTTCCTCAAGTCCGGTGGAAAAGCTTCGCCTAGAAAAGCCCTGCCAAAGATTGTCTACTCCGAGAGCAACCTGACCGAGGGACCAGATCGTTTCTTGATTCCCGACTACAACGAGTACATTAGCCATTCGCAAAACTTCCTCATCAACATCCTCGTTCACACTAACGAATACCTCGCATCACCCAGCAGCCCATCCGTCTCCAAATCGCTCTTGAGGACTTTGCAGACGTTGCTCAACGTCACTGGCATCAACTTTGTGCACAATTTCATTCCCTTGTTCCTGTACTGGCAGCTTATCGATGGCACCGGTTCTTCTGTGGAGGTTGAGAAGGACAAGTTCGCCTACCTGTTGTTGAAATCCCTGGTGGAAGTTCTCAACGAGAAGTACGCCGACTTGTTGGAAACCGACCTCACCAAGCTGAGCTTGTGGGATGCCCTCTCGCAGGACATCAACGATAGACAGACGGCCTTGTCAAGCGGCGGCACGTTCAAGACTAGAGTAACCCAGGACTTGATCTACGAGTTTTTCGCTACCACCTCGGTTAGCTCCTACATCAACCCACAAAAGTCTGTGTCGCTCGATGTCAGTAAGATCCACTACGACCACGACTCTCGTGCCAACAGCAAGACACCCAAGACGGAGGAAGCCGACCGTTTCCAGGATGCCCGCGACAGGGTTGACCTGGTCAATGGTAACGGTCTGAGCTTTGGTCTTGGAAACGCCAACGACATTTCGTCTATCCACTCTGGTCTTGCCAACGGACACGCCAAGGGCAATGGCCAGGGAGACTCGCTGGCCCAGGAAACCCTCAACCTGAACAACCTGTTCAACCTACAGCACACGAACAACTACCGGTACTCATTGCTCCCGAAGGTGTCGGACCTCAAAAACACCGTGAACGGACAAACACCAGACGACCGTTTCCTGTTCCAGCAAAACAGCACGCCCCGTTCTGTGCTTCAAAAAAATGCACCTGCTACCGATATGAGGCTGATTCTCAAGTCGCTCCTGAGTGAGGAGGACAAGAACATTGTGGTTTAATATATTTATCTGTCTTCCCCCCCCCCCCCCCACTTCTCTACATTCTCTTTGCCGCACAGGCCTACACTGAATCTGTCATGAGCGTCATATTCCTACTCGTCGTCGTCGCCAAGCGCTTCAAAAGCATTGAAGGTATTAGTCTGTTTGTCGGCGATCGTGTCCCGAGGGTCCACGGCCTTGGACGAGCCCAAGTTCTTGTTGTTGGGTTTCACCTTCACCGCCGTGTCCTTCAACAGCTCTCTGAACTTGTCTCTCTCGTCAGTAGCATCGTCACCAAACGACTTCTTAGGCTTGGTGTAAGTGGCCCATCCGTCCTCATCCACAACCTCGGCGGCCTTCTTACGCAAGTTGGGCTTAGGCTGACCCAGTCTCAGCAATCTTCTTCTGTTCAAGTGGTTGTAAGAACGTTCGTTTCCGCGTTCGTCAATGTAAGTGTCACCGTTAGTCTGTCTGGCTCTCTTCTCGGCGGCAAAGTGTTCTCTCACCAGCTCCACCAAGTCGTTGAAAGCCTCCAAGATCTCCGGCTTGGGCGTGTATGCGAGCTCCTTGGCTTCGAGCATCTGCTCCTCTGAGTACTTGGCCATGATGGATGTGTTGTAGTTGACTGTGGAGAAAATTTTTGCGCGGATAGAACGAGCATAGTCGGGTTAGGGACCAGTGGGTGGAGGGGTCGAGAGAGGTGGATTTTTAAAATTGGGTCAATTGGAGAGTTTGAAATTGTAGGTTTGAGTTGTCAATTGAAGGGTGGCGGGAGGTCTAGGGTGGGGTCGTCTGGTTCACTCGTGTGAGCATAAGAGGGGGGTGTATATGATTGATGGATGGGGGAGAGTAGATGGTGTAGATGGTGTAGAAAACGGAATTGAGCGTGGTTAGCTTGATTTGAGTGAAATGGGAAAGTTTCGTTGATGTGGTTTGGAAGTTGGAGTGTGGTGATTATGGTGTATGACCGAGGGTGGTTCACAAAGATCAGTAATAGCGAGCCGTTGGGATCTAGGGGAAGTGAGTGATTCAGAGAGTGTGGTTACTGATTTTATTCACTAGACTGACTATGGTTTTGTGTTTGCATTTTTGGAGTTCCAGGGGGTTTTGTCAACATCGGGTGTTTCCGAGGACTGGTTGCGAAATATCTACCAAGGTAGGTAAGGTGAGTATGCCCACCTCTTATAAAACTTGACAAATGATAATAATTGATCTATTCGATAGCTATTACACACATTGATGCATGGATTAGGATCCCGTCAATATGGAAACAGCACAAGCTTCAATAAAGCTGACAGGTTTCTGACGGTTCCATGAGTGGCCTATCTATCGGATTTCATACGGTTCATCATTGACGCCTGAGCATAGGCTAAAACTCAAAATACAGTTTTATGAAGTGCCTATCGGCTTGCACCTCTTCACTCTTGTCAAACCGCATTTTGCAACCACTGCACTTCTGGGCCATCGAGAGCGTCCTTGATAAACACCTTTGTTACATCTTTTGAATTGATCTGAATAACAGCCAGCTAGAATTCATTCTCTACAGCTTTAGTTTTGTTTCTTTGAATATATTTTTTTTGAACTGGCGAATTCACCTTCGAGGACCCACAACCTTACTACATCCCTGCGCACCTCATCGCCTGCATTCTCAGCTCATCACAACCATGCCTCTTGCTAAATCACTCAACAAAGTCAGTAAGAAGATCGCTGGGTCCTCGGCAACGCTTCATGCTAAAGGCAGAAAGTTCAAGCAGCTCGGTAGAGCCACCGAGAGAGAAGCCAAGATCAAGGCCAAGAAGCAGAGACACATGGAGCAGAAGAACCACGAGCTTCTCTTCTATTTGCATATCCAAGAGAGCATCAAGGAGAATCCTCAAGAAACTTTTGATTTGCACGAGATTAGGGAAATCGTCAGACAGTGGGTTATTCGTGACGACGAAGAACTTGCAGAGATCGACAAGAACAGAAGACCCGGTAGACCATTGACCAGCAGGCAGCAGCTTCTTAAGGAGAAGAGAAAACACGATGAACACGTTTTCGAAACAGGCCTTCGTACGCCTGATCTTAGAGATAAGGACACTGTGGTGAATGTCAAGAACTGGAACGGAAACGCCGGTGCCAGTACTGCCTGGAAGTTTACCTTGATCACCAAGAACGCAGGCGACGACGAGATGACTAACTAATGTATTCTAACTATAGACTAACGGCTCCAGAACAATCTCTTCCAGAGAGTTGTTTTACCGGCTGGCTCCTCTTGCACGGCATGGTTCTTCTCGTACTCGTCAACGTCAGACTGTTCCATCACTCCGATGTTCTCGCTCGGTGGGAACGCCAACTGGGGTGATGTACCATGCTCAACGTCGTCTAACCAGACATGGAGGCCCAACATAACGACGAACACCATACCGGTGGTGGTGAAGATGGTACGGATCAATTTCCACACCTTGGCACCCTTGGCTGCTAATGGCCTGCTCACAACAACGAGACGGTCATTGTCGCCTCCACCAATCACTCTCCAGTTCTTCTTCTGAAGCTTGTTGATCCTCTTGGACACCTTCTCAAGCACGGATGGGGAAACTCTATTCAAGACAGTGACCATCTCTTCAGGAACATGTTTCGCTCCAAGAGGATTCTCGCGAGAATAGATTGTGTCGCCCGTGGGCGTTACCACAAGGTATTCCATGGCAACGCCCTTTGCGTTTTGCATGGGGTTAAAGAAGTTTTTAGACTCCAAGGTACGGTTGCTCAGGCACTTGCTTTTGCTCCACTCGTAGGCATTTTGTTCACGGAACTTGTTCTCCTCGTTGATGTCCTTGGCTTCCTTTGACGACTTGAGGAAATTTTCCAATGATTCCTTATCGATGGGCTTCGTCGACTTGGACTTGTTGGTGTAAGTATCTCTGATCTTTTGGGCCGTCAAAGAGTTGATAGCAGCGTATTCCTCAGGGTTTTCTTTCTTCAAGTTACTTTCCTCTTGACTCATAGCTGAGGCAAGGGCGTCACGGATAGACGCCTCAACCTTGGGATTGTCCACACCAACATCAGCTGCAGAAGTGTTGCTGTTGAGCAAAGCCAAAACCTCATTTGCATCATTGTACTTGATGGTTTTCTTTGGCTTGGACGAGGTTGTCTTCTCGAGAAAATCAGACATGATGAACTTGTTTCCAGTGGCTTCTGCAGAAGCAATCTTGTTCTTCATGTTGTCAAACACCTTTCTGCTGATCAAGACCGTATCCAAAGCAAAAGTCAGGCCGCCATTGTGTTTCAAGAGCATCCTGATGTTTCTTTGGAGTTTTCCAAGGGTCAAGCGTCTTTCAGGGTCTTCTTCGGAGTTCACCATCTTGTCCAACTCTCTGTGCACTTGATAGGCCGTATGATCGCCAAAATTGGAACCGAGATTAGCTTTCAATTGCTCAAGCTCCTCTGCGTACTCTTCAAGCAAGACATCATCTGGAATCTGCTTGTATGACGAAACCTCGACACTGGACAATTTGGTGGCAGGTTTAGACTTCGAAGTTATTTTAGCTTCGAAGTTGTCAAAAACTTTTTGTGAATAGATAATGGTGTCCAAGATTGCAGTGTTTCCACCATTCCATGCCAAAAGTTTCTTCAATTTGGCGTGGAGCTTGATGAACGAGACCAAGTTGTCTGTGTTGATTTTCAGCGAGGCCAAATTAGCTCCATTGTAGACCTCCTTGGTCCTCCTTTCCATCAAGTCGAGCACTTCAGTGGCAGAAGCATCTTTATAGGGCTTCTGAAGCTCATCTCTGAATAATGAAAGGTGCTCAACAAAATCATGCAAGCCTAACTTCTCTGGGATTTGAACGTAAGGACCAGGTGCGTATAAAGTGTTCTCTGAAGTGGCCGCTTTCTCAGCATCCTGCTGGGCTTTCTTTTCGGCAAGCTTAGCTTCAAGCTTGTCCAATGCAGATTGAGAGTTGATCACCGCATCCAAGATCTCAGTGTTGCCATTGTTGATAGCAAATAGTCTCTTCAAGCGACCACCCATCTTCATGAAAACAGCCCAGTTGGATTTAGACATTCTAGATGCTGGGTTCAGATTCTCGAGGTTCTGCGAGAATTCAGTACACCTACGGTCAACCAAACCGACAATCTCATCTGGAGTGCTGTTTTTGAATGACTTTTTGAGTTCATCATTCCTCAAGATCTCGAGTTCCTTCACGAAGCTGTGGATCTTGAGCTCTTCAGGGATCTGTTGGTAGCCCTTCTCAGCAGGTGCAGCTGAACCTTCTGCAAGTTCGTCTAAGAAATCGGTCTTTGCATTATTAGGCTCGATATTAGCGGCCAAGAGCTCATTAAGCTGACCATACAATCCAGCGTTTTTTAACGTCACAGCAGAGCCAGCAGAATGCTCATTTCTAGAGATAGCATGAGCTATGGCGCTATTGATGTACTTCAAAAGCTTCGGGAAGCCAATGTCAGCATACTTGAAGTTCCGCAAGTCCTTTTGCTTGAAGTCTGCAAGCTCTTTCTTGAAGTCACTGAGACATTTGCCCAGGATCTGCATGACATCAATGCTGACGACCTTTGGCTTGATTTCTTCGAGAGCTGCAATTTCGCCCTTAAGATTAACAACGGTTAAAGATTCGTCTGGGTAGGAAGTTCCTGTGAAAAGGACATGACGCTGCCATGCAACAATCCACTGTGGGTTCAGCAAAAGCTTTTCGAAGATTATAAAGCCTGTGTTAGAAAGTCGAGTGAAGGACACAAGAGCTTCATGGACCTTAGCAGCATCCTCCAAGATCAATGGGCTTGATTTCTCTGCCAATTTATCAATCGCATCCGTCAATTGTTCCAAAGAGACGGCTCTGAGCAGCTCAAACTGAGGCGCCACAGCACGAATGATATGGAAGTTAGAAGTGATACCCAAGATTGTGGCAAGGGAAAAGTCGTAATTTTCGAAAAAGTTTTGCAGCACTAAGTAAGTCGTAACAGGGCTGGCGTCTTTCGTGATAAGAGTCTTCTCGAACTTGGGGTCCTTAAATGCGTCAATTGTAAGTACGCCCCCGCATACTAAGGGCAAGTACGTTTCAATAAAGCTTTCCAAAAGTGCCTTTTCAGTGGAGGTGTAGACGCTTTTCTCGGTCTCGGCAGAAACGGCTGCAAAAGTAAAGTCTGTCTCGCGGAGTCCCACATTAGCAAACACAATGTTCAAGATGTTTCTGCTTGAGTTGCTTATCAAATCGCTGAGCTTCTCGACTTCAGCACTACCAGCTCTGATAGCTTCCTGGAGATCAGCGCTTCTTGGGTTCTTCGCAAGCTTGAGCAATGCTTTAGGAGACACGTCCTTCTTCGAAAGATCCAACAAAATCAGCTTCAAGTGTTTGTAGCGAGAAACGTAGATCAAGACACGGAAGAAATCAGCATCGTAGTTATGAGCCGCTCCGTTGACCTCTAGAAAACGGGAGAACTCGGTAACCAAGACGCCAATCTTGTCGACTATAGGCTGCACCGAAGCAAGCGTATTGAAATCGTACTCTTTCGTCAAAACACTCAATTCCGGAAGGAAATTGCCAATGCCGCTACTCCACAAAGCCGTTTGCACTGATTCTTTTGGAGGGTTCTTCAAGAGGGAGTGCACGGAGGTAGTCAAACTCCGGGAAGTAGAAGGGGCATCTGAAAGCAATGATAAGAACTCGTCAACCATTTCATCCAAGGTCCGGACATTGGCGCCTGCAGCAAGTTCCAAATGGCCCTTGCGGTACAAGCCACGGAAGATGTAGAGCACATTGGAGATCTCCACAGATGTGAGGGTGGAGATGTCAGGGATGGTGTTGGCATAGGAGAGCCTGATAAACGACTCAAGGATTTCCAATTCCTTATGGTACTGCGCCACAAACGCCCATGTAGCGGGAGTTCCACTGGTATCCTCAGCCCGACCACCCTTCTTGCTCAATATCTTATCTACCACTTGAGGGTCATACTTTCCGTTAATTGGAGAGTTTTGATCCAAAACGGTTGGGAATGGAGGCACCAGGGGGTTTTCCGGAGCCGACTTTCGACGTAAAGTGATCAAATCGATCTCAAAGTCTTCAGTTCCGCTGGAGAAGGTGGCATATCCGTGGTTCGGAGATGCTGAAAGATACGGGTACGCGGTCCGGGCGCAATGGAGACCGGAAAGCTTGGTGGCAAAAGGTCGGAAACCTTGTGCACGTAACGCTCTAGCACCAGATCTTCGAATGGAACTCTTGAGCATGCTATGGAAAAAGGAGAATAAAACTGTGGATGATGTAGGTTATCGGATTCAGGGAGTAGGCGCGATAAGGGATAGCACGTGCTGCATCACGTGCCAAGCGTGATACACCAGGTGCGTGGAGACTAGATGTACGGGCGTTTAAATCAGAAGCAGGGTGCACCGGTCTCGGACTGTGGTGTACGGATGTTTCAAGCAACCCTTCGGAGTCCACGGATGGGCCGAAAAGTCGAGGGCTACGAGTATTTCGAATTGTTTTTGTGTTGTATACAAAAAGATCTAGCGATTTGGCCCTCCGAAGTTTGCCGAGCCTCGATGACCATAGAACATATTAATATTCTCGGCTTGTTACCGGGCATTGCTCGATGTCTTCGTATCACGCGATAAAGCGCAATTTGTGACGGTGCATGCACAACCCGCATGACTATCGGTGCAGTAATACATGTCTCGCTAATGCCGCCAAGATGTGACTCCGACTAGCGCTAACAACTGTTAGCGCAGTCAGGAAGCCCTAATGGTGCCCTGCTTGTCGCATAAGCGCTATGCTGAAAAACTTATGTGTTGAATAACCGAAGGGAATGTTTAAGCGGGTCATGCAGCAACGCCCGCCTGTCATGGCGTTCTCCTCCTAGATGCCGTCAACATTCTGGGAAGAACACAGCCGTGGGAATGGAGGCATGCAAATTTGACGGAGAGGAATGAAAGGTGATTTGAAACGCCTCGCAGGACGAGAAGAAACGCATTACGAGAGTGAGGCGGACCGAGGCATATGAGGTGGGAAAAATTAAAGAGGAATACGAGAATTGCTCAAACCGGGCTGGACCATAGGGTCCGGAAACAGGCCGACGCAGCCGAACAAGCCACATTGGACCACATAGACCCAACAGGGCAAGCCGAAAAAAAAAGGCGTGATTGACCGAAAATACTTCATACCCAGACCACGATAATTTCCTGTAAGATCATGTTGGCTAATCGCTTGTTAATCATGGATCGGAGGTGGCCTCGGAAGCTGATTCCTATTTTCTTTCGCTTTGTACCTGATCTCGGAGAAATAAATCGGACGATCTGCACGGCGAGATGCCCTAGTTGCAAAAATAGCGCCGCACTAGCCCTAGGATTATTGGGCAATTTGTAGCAGCCCTAGGTGGAAAATAAAAGTGCCTATGCTGGATCCGCCTGCGGTGCTTCTATGCATTGCGCGTGGAAATAAAAAATTGCTTTTTTCACCGCACCGTTTTTTTTTTTTGCCTGCTGCCTCCGCATGCATGCAGGTCTCGCGTCACTCTCAAGCCCATATCAACCCTGCCTTTCCTACAAGAAACACTCGAGTCTTTTTAGACGCACTTTTCTAGCGAGTTCACTATGAACCAGGCCCTGCCCCCACGCTGCCCCGCCAGTGTGGCGTCCTCAGCCCCTCCCCCACGCCGTCGGCCTCCCTGCCCCCGTTGTCCCCACAACCCCCAGACTTCAGCCATCATCCTTGGATGAATTGCTCGACGACTGTTTCCAGCTTTCCATCGGCCAAAACCACTCCCTATGCGATTCTCGGATCCGCTACGCATCCAGCTTCGACAAGTACTTGACTTCGCTTCATTGCCATGAGAACTTGGCTTTCCTTATGGAGATCTTTAAGTATGAGTACTTCTACGGCAAGATCTTCCCTGAGAACCTTTCACAGTCCCGCTGCCAGGTGGGCCAGACTTCGTCCTCGGCAGCCACTTCGTCATCGTTTTTAAACCGCAGCCTACCGTCGGCCATCGATACGCTTCCGTTTCCTACAAAGCAGATGCGGAGAAAGAGCAGAAGGAGCTCCACTCGGAGCACAGCTTCGCTGATATCTGAATTGCCCTCGGAAGGCAGCGGGTTTGATTTTGGCTTTGACGAGCATCTCCCCACGGAAAATGTCTGGGACAAGCTCAAGGACCAGCACGTGGACAGCACAGACCTGGAGCCCGAGCTGGACTTAGACTCTGAAATCGACAGCAACACTCTACTTCTTGATCAGTGGGACTACATTATGGCTACTTTTGTCAGAAGAGATTCGCCGCAGCAGCTTAATTTGGCTAACCTGACGGTGAAAGAGCTCCTAGAGAAAGACACTCAGGATGTCATTCATAACCCAGCCGTGTTGCTCGAAGCACGCCAGGAAATTATCCAGCTCCTCAGAGAAAACGTCTACGGCCTGTTTCTTTCTCAGCAAAAATCCATATCCAGCTCCAGAGCTACTTCCGCATCGGTATCTCGCGCCCACAGCAGACACCAGAGTCCTCCCGCAGACGAGCCAAGCTTCTTCTGCAACTCTTCTAGCTGTTGTCAAAATAACCGTCTTCTTTCACCCGGCTCTACAGCAGCAGTGTCCCTTGGCAATGGCTCAGCAGGATCGAAAAGCCTGAAGTGCCATTCACCATCTCATTTACAGCACCCACGTGCGTTGAAGAAGACCATCCTGCCAACCAGTCCCTTGGCGGAGCCTCGCAAATCCATCTCCGACCTCAGCCACGAAGTGGTGTCGCCTGTGCCCGTTGTGAAACGCAAAACCCCAAAGTTCTTCCCTCACATTGGCAGCAGCACGCCCTCCGACTCCAGTGGTTCGGACTTCTCTATTTCCAGCATAATCTCGCATTTCAAATCCACAAACCCCGGCACTCCTGCCAACTCACGGAGTATCAACACTTCGCATCCGCAAACGACGTCAGCACTTTCTTCTGGGCTTACACTGCCTGTTATTAGTGAGGCTGACCAGTTGCGGCCATCTTCCACGCTGGAAGCAATCACGCAGACCCAGAGCCATAGCCATCGTTTGGGCAAGCTCTGGAAACGCCGCAAGTGAGTCCAGCACCAGCATCCATGTTTGATTTTGCAGCCATCATTCGCTCACGGCAGCATGATTTATAGACCAACGCCTGAACATGGCAGAGACTTGTAGACAGTAGGCGACGACCAGGAACGGATGGAAAAAGAAAATGAGCTTTTGGAGGTTTAGTATCGGAATTTCTCTTCTATCCATGCCACTGATAAGCGGGAAATAACCGTCGGGACTAAGCCCCAAAGCCGATTTTGCGGTTTAGACTGAGCATATCGAGACTTTTGGCGTTATCATTAAAAACAGATCGTTTTGAATATATATCAAGAGTGTAGGCGAAAATAAATTCGGTGCTCATACTAGGTGGGCCATCAGCCTATGCTACTACATACACCACAGCTCCACCCGTCAATACATTCCACAATCGTCCGAACCACTTTTTTTTTTTTTTTTTCCCCAAATCCCCTCAATCCCCAAAACCCTCTATCCATCCAAATCCCCAATTGGCCTTTTGTACGACCATCGCTTGCTCACCTTGCCATGTGCCACAGTGTCTCACTTCCCCAGGCTCAGCTGTTAGATACATGCCAGCATCTGCACCAGCTTTTGCAGCCAGCCAGCCACACAAATGATGATTTGGCCTGGCCACAAAACCAACTTTCAAACATTGATCATTAAAAAAATATCCAGTGTTTTACTACAGTAACATTTAAGACAACTGAAAACAGAATGGAAATCATCGTCCTCCTCGACTTCCCCTTCGGGAGGACATTACTGTCTCACGTCACTGCGGCAGTGCCATTGTCTACCCTGCCTACCTTATCTGGCTCTCTTCATCGCAAAATAAAAATCACACATTTCTGCAATTTCCCTTTCCAACTATAACCCTAGGCTTCGGCGTCTGCCTCACTGAAATTCCCAGCCTATAGCCACCCTGGGGCTCCCACCTCAGACATATAGATGCGCACGATTGCTCTTATCTTTCTCCACACACCTTATCGCTTTTTCCATGTCTGACGACGAAGACGGGCCTGGGTCACCTGCAGCAGACGATTTGACATACGGACTGCTTTTGCTCGGCCTGGGGAGAAAACTGGTCAATTTGGCCGAAAGAACCGCTCAGCTTCGACGCCGTAATCAGATGGTGGTTGCGAAAGTCCAGGAAACGAAAAGACGCCAGCAGGCCTTGGAGGCTCTTAATTCCGCCGAAATGCTTCTTCTGATGACGAGGGCCAGCGAACGGAGACTGCGCCATTTGGAGCTGGTCCGTGAAAAGGCCAGGATCCTGAGGCTGTTTCTCGAAAAGAGGAACAGCGATCTTCAGGATACGGAGGCATTGGCGTTGTGGGGTGACGCCGACGAGGAAGAGACGCTTGAAGTTCTGGATCCCCTGCTTTTGGTGATCTCACGGGCAGTCAGGCGCTACAAGCTCCGCAAGGCATTGAAGTCCAGACAGTGCCGGTTGTACTTTGACAAGATCCTCCGGTTTGAAGTGCTGTTTTCCGATGCCGTGTTGCTCTTGCGGCTGCCTGCCATTGGCTGCATTGAGAATCTTCTTCACTGTCTAGGATTGCCTGACCTGGGTGATGACAGCTACAAGTGGTTTCTCTACTCCATTGCGTTGATTGGTGACTTCCACGATTCCTTGGGCAGCTCATTCGACATGCACCCGGGCTTCAATGTCAATTTGAAGAAGGCATCGCCTACGTCTGTCCATCTCCCTATCATGCTTTATCACTTGGCGGTCCGTATGTTCTTCATGCTCAGACTGTTCTCCTACAAGGACATTCATCCATTTTCGTGCCGACGTCTCCAGTTTGCCCGCTACTGGCGCTTTTACCATTTTCTATTCGCTATTTATAGAGACAACCACAAGCATGCACTTCGGGAGATTGCAGACGAGGCCTTTTCGATCGCCAGCACTCAACATCGGATTCTAGAAGCATACGACCTTTTGCGGACTGGTGATGGTTCCAAGGACAGAATGCGCTTGTTCAAGTGTACAAGGGCGAATTTGGAGGCTCTCAAAACACCCCAGGAGCTCCCGTGGGCTCTGGTTGGTGTATCGTCGGAAAGCTTTTGCGAGGACTTGAATAGCGTCTCTGGATACTGCAAGTCGCTTAGAGAAAACGCTGGTAACTCGCTCATGTACGATGATAATTTTGCTACAGACACAGAGACGCCATGTGACGAGGCCCAAACGCTTCAGTTTGGTCCAGACGCTTTCACTGTTCCTCCTATGACGTCCATTTCCAACTGGCGTATTCAGTGGTTTGCAAAGTTCAAGAATGAGCTCATGTCCCTGCAGAACACAAATACTCCGGCGAACATTCGTACGGGTTTTGTGAGTTGTGACAGGGCTGGTGAGATCGTGGAACCCCAGGATGTGAAGAGATTTTTCTCTGAAGTTGACCAGGTTGAAGTCAGTGGGAACAATGTGACTTTTGAGAAAAAGGCCCACCGCTTGGTGGCCCGACTCAAGGGGTTGTTCTGCTTCTACTTTGAATTGTGCAAGCACATTGGCAAGGGAAGTCTTCTTCACCATGCTGAGATCAACTATCTAGAGTTGTGTGCATCTTATGAGCTTAAGGTGGAAAAGGAGTCTGACAGACTGGCCCAGAACTATGTGAAGCTTCTTTTGCTTCTTGTGCTTCAGCTTGTAGAGATTGCGGGCTTGAGTAATCCAGAGGCCACACAGCTTGCCGGATCGGTTGATGAACCTAATGACGATTTCCTTGTCCGTTCAAGAATGATGATTGAGGAATTGTTCATAGCAGCTCAGACGTCGTGGACGAACCTCTGCACTTTTCCAACTTCACAAGAGTTCTTCGTCTTTGAGAATGTCATGCAATTGGTGTCCAACGAATCATTCAGAAGGAGCTTGGGTAACGATTTCCCTCACCTTCGCTTCTCAGAATTCTACCACTTCTTATACGAATATGGTAGCCCGCTTTCCCGCGTTTTTGATCCGCTTCTGGTTGTGGCAGCTAAGGAAAGAGGGCTTGTCATTGATGGAGCATCCCGAAATGACAAGGCACGAAACTACTTCCACGAAGCATTCATGCGGTTCTTCTTTGCAGACCTCAGAACATCCAGCGACGAGAGAATGACGGGTTTGCGAAAATGCAAGCTATTTTTCCACTTTGACGACGAAATTCACACAATGCTTGACCAAGCCAGAGGCCTTGTCCTTGCACTGACACTTTCAACCGCTTTGGGCCTTTCACAAGGTGCTGCAAGCGAACTTCATAGATATCTTCAACATCACAATGGACCCACTGGGCTCGAGGTGCCGCATGCCATGACAGATTTCCAGATCTCCTACATTTCAACACAGCTTTGCAAGCTTGATGATGGCGAACCAAACATTATAGACGCTTTCACTGAGAGAATTCAGAAGGCAATGCTCAATGAGCACACGGAGACGATGCTCCGTAAGAACGTGAGGCACTTTACCAGCGATTTGTTGGGCCTCCAGAAACGTATCGGGACCTTCACCAGCTTATTTTACGAGCTCTACTATCCAGTATTGAACTGGATTCATGTCGACTTGGGACTTCCCAAGTGACCGTGCAGCGCTGGCGCTGACTTATTTTGAACTAATTTTGTACCTCACACTAATAAACCATTTCCTTTAAATTGCATCTTGTGTTTTTTCTTTGTTTAGTGTCTCTGCATCTTCCGCCTGACTCATCGTGCATCTCCAACTGATCTCTCACCGCGCTTAGCGCCCAGGTTACTCTAATTGGCCAAAGGGTGGGTAAAATTTATCTCTAGCCGAAAACCCGTGCACCACCATACTTTGGCTTTTTCCACATTGACCGGCTGAACTTCTTCACCACATTTTTTCTTTATCATGTTGCTACTTCGGCAGCCAGCTGTGGCGAGAAGAACGGCCCATATGGCCAAGTGCTTGACGCTGCTGGGGCTTCAGTCCCCTCGGCCTGCTGTGTATAAACAGCTTCCAAGTCAAGGAAGAAGCTTCCACCATTCTCCCATTCATGGATCCACCAGGTCCACTGTTATCCAATTGTTGAACAACATTGGCTCCAAGCGTGAGGTAGAACAGTACTTGAAGTACTTTACGTCCGTTTCGCTGCAGCAGTTTGCTGTTATCAAGGTTGGAGGTGCCATTATCACACAACAGCTTCCTGAGTTGGCGCTGTGTTTGGCATTCTTGTACCATGTTGGTTTGTTTCCAATTGTTTTGCATGGCACGGGGCCTCAGATCAACGAGCTTTTGGAGTTTGAGGGCGTCGAGCCAGAATATATTGATGGTATCCGTGTCACCAACCCCAAGACCATGGAGATTGTGAGAAAGTGCTTTTTGGAGCAGAACTTGAGACTTGTCACTGCTTTGGAAGAGATGGGCGTCCATGCTCGTCCAATCACAACTGGTGTGTTTGGTGCTGACTACTTGGATAAGGACAAGTACCAGTTGGTCGGTAAGATCGACGCTGTGAACAAGCTGCCTGTTGAGGCTGCCATTGACTCTGGTTACTTGCCCATTTTGACTTCCTTGGCCGAGACTCCCTCGGGCCAGTTGTTGAATGTTAACGCTGACGTGGCTGCTTCTGAATTGGCCAGACAATTCGAGCCATTGAAGATTGTGTACTTGAACGAAAAGGGTGGTCTTGTGAACGGTCAGACCAACGAGAAGATCTCTGCCATCAATTTGGACGAGGAGTACGATGACTTGATGAAACAACCATGGGTCAAGTACGGTACCAAGTTGAAGCTCAAGGAGATCCACGATTTGTTGGAGCACTTGCCCAGATCCTCCTCTGTGGCTATTATTGACGTGCACGACTTGCAGAAGGAATTGTTCACCGACTCTGGTGCTGGTACTTTGATCAGAAGAGGTTACAAGTTGATCAACAGAAACTCGTTGAGCGAGTTCTCCAACCCTGACTTGTTGCGTCAAGCTCTCTTGAGAGACCCTCTGGTCAAGTCGGGCAAGATCTCTGTGGCCTCTTACTTGAAGCATTTGGAGAACGTTCCATTCAGATCCTACGGCGACGGTCCTTTGGAAGTTTTGGCAATTGTCACTGAACAGCCTTCTGCCAGCGGTGAGGTTATTCCTAAGTTGGACAAGTTCTTGTCTTCCAGAACCGGCTGGCTCAACAACGTTACCGACAACATTTTCAACGCCATGAGAAAGGACTACACCTCATTGTACTGGGTGGTGAACGAGAATGACGCCAACTTGGCCTGGTACTTCTCCAAGTCTGACGGTTCTTTTGCTAAGAACGGTGAGCTTTTGTTCTGGTACGGCCTCGATACCGACCAGGCTGCTGAGCTCATCAGACAATTCGACGCACACAGAGTTGGTGCTGCCATTTCTTCTGAAAACGACTCCGTTTTCTCCTCTTCTGTGAAAACCCAGAAGAGATCCTTCCACACCAGCACAAGAAGAAGAGCACCCAACTCCACCACCAACCCAAACCCACCAAGAGTCAAGGGCACCAACACCAAGAGAGGTAAGGTTGCTCTTATTGGCGCTAGAGGTTACGTTGGTCAGAACTTGATTTCTCTCATTGACAAGCACCCCCAGTTGGACTTGGCTCTCGTTTCCTCCAGAGAATTGAACGGCCAGAAGCTTGTGGGCTACAACAAGGCCAACATTGTCTACTCCAACTTGCAGACCGAGGACATTTTAGAATTGGAGAAGAACAAGGAGATCGATGTGTGGGTGATGGCTCTTCCCAACGGTGTTTGTAAGCCATTTGTGGAGGCCTTGGAATCTGTTGAGGGTTCTACTTCCAAAATCATTGACTTGTCTGCTGACTACCGTTTCGACACCACCGGTGAGTGGGTATACGGTTTGCCTGAGTTGATCGACAGAAGCGAAATTGCCAATGCCAGAAAAATCTCCAACCCTGGCTGCTATGCTACTGCAGCTCAGGTTGCCATCAACCCATTGGTCAAGTACGCCTCTGGTACTCCCACCGTTTTTGGTGTTTCTGGATACTCTGGTGCCGGAACCAAGCCTTCCAAGAAGAACGACCTTACCTACCTCACTGACAACTTGGTGCCATACTCTTTGACCGACCACATCCACGAAAAAGAGGTGAGCAAGCAGCTTGGCCTTGACATTGCGTTCATTCCCCATGTGGCCCAATGGTTCCAAGGTATTTCAGCCACTGTTTCCATCCCCATCAAGCCTAAGTCCTTGACAGCAAGAGAAATCAGACAAATCTACCAGGAGCGTTTTATGGGCGAGCAGCTCATTGAGGTTTCTGGCGAGTCTCCAGTGGTGAAGGATATCAGCGGCAAGCACGGCGTTGTTGTTGGTGGTTTTGCTGTCAACTCTCAGGAAAACAGAGTTGTCATTGTGGCAACCATTGACAACTTGCTCAAGGGTGCTGCTACCCAGTGTTTGCAGAACATCAACTTGACCATGGGCTACGGCGAGTACGACGGCATCCCCACCAAATAGACATACGTGAGTACACGAAAGGAACTGAGGGAGTGTAGAAGTAGAGACTACGGCTGGAGCAGTGAGCAAAGCGTTTATTGACTTTTTGATTATTGTCTGCCTGAGTCAGTACTGAAGCAGCACTGTTTTTGATTAACGTACTTGGTTACCTTGTAACAGCTTGACATGCCATCGTAACCACAAATGGCATAGGCAGCAAAAATGGGGCTCTTCGAACGCTCCGTAAAATGGCGTCGACCGCTCCTTCTGTCCATTGGTGCCACAGATTCCTTACTTTGGGCCTACTCGTTGCCTCTGCCCCAGGTGGGCCTGGCAGAGGACCCGTTCATCATCTTCTCACGCAACCGTTGGCCTGCAGCGGTGCTTCTAGGGGTCGAGCCCGACGACTGGCTCCGTCCAGGAGCACTGGGGCTGCCCTGGCTTCCGGCAGAAGCCCTCAGTCTCTGGTACATGTCTTGCAACTTGGAGCTCAGCTTTCTTGTGTAGGCGGGCCTTTCGTCCGAGGAGGAGTAGCCACCCAGCGTTGGTCTGGGTCCCGTTTGGCTGGCGGTGGCGGGGTTTGTGGCGGTGTAGTTGGCGCTGTTGTTGGAGTAGTTTGTTGATGCCGAGGGGGTGGAGTTGTAGCTGGCACGCACAGGCTGGTACTTCAGCTGCTCCTGGTAGCTGCCTCTGTAAGGCTGAGCTCCGTTCTGGTTCTTGGTTCCTAGCCATTCCGGGTACCCCTGGCCCTGTTCATCAAAGAACTTGACAAAAGCATTGTGGATAAGAGTGTCGTCTTCTGTCAGGCCGTCTTTTTCTGTGTGCAGCGAGATGGCCATGGTGGAGAATTTCGAGTTGATCTTCGAAATGAAGGATTTGCCGGGAGCGGCATTGGGCTGGTACTGGCTCATGGTGCTGAGGATGGAGTAGTGAGTATGGAGTAGCAGCTTCTGGCATGAGTTCGCAGGGCGGTGCAGGGACTGCTTGTGTGACGTTTCGGGAGGAATGTTGTTCTGGGATTTTTTGAAGATTCCAGAGAGTTTGACATTTGGGTCATGAAGGAAATCTATGTTTTTGGCCTCTTATTCGTCAGTAAAAAGGGTATGTGGTGTGCTTGCCTTGATGTCTCACTCCAGCCATTTGCACCCGCATGGAGTGTCACATTTCGCTTCGATAATTTGTAAAGTAAAGCATGACGGAGTTCGGTTCTGCATGAGATATGAACTTGTTTGTCAACTGTGTCAATCTGGCTCAATGGATGTCACGGAGTGTCTCTGGTGATTGGCTAAATGCGCAAGAGCACTATGTCCCGACGAACCTCACAGCTGTCAGTTCAGTGAAATCAGATTCAGTTAAACTCGATCTTTTACTGATTATGCTGTTCAAACCCTCTAGGTCATCGGTATTGGCAGTCACACGGTAAAATTTGGTGAAGTAGTAGGGAAGTTGAACCATTAAGTATAGAGGTGCTCTGTTACTATATCTGTCGCTTGAATCTCTAGAATATGATTTTTACTTCATAGCCCGCTCTTTATAGAACTTCTTTTCACGCTTGAAGGGACACATGAGCAGTTGTCAATTATTTTCGTTGTTCAATTATTCCCAAAGTACCTAGCTGCTCACTTTGCAGCCAACAGTTTGCAGCCAACATGTAGATATCACCAACACCACCAAAAAATACAACTATCGTGAAAAAAGCGAAAAGCTCAAGCTAGCCTATGTTCTTTTTAAATAATCAAACATCGCTTTCGTTGCCCACCACCAACCGGCCCGCTCACCCCTCCTCTGTTATCGCTGCATCGCTATTCCTACACCATTCTCTACCTCATCGCCATCGAGCATCTCGCATACAAAGTCCACAACAAAGGACCCACCTGGCTTAAGGCAAACATCCAAAACCGGCCTATCTCTTTAATTCCAAAAAAACCATCTTCCGTCACCTCCCACTATCAACATCCCTGGGGAGTGTGTAGATCAAGCTCATCGGTGTGAAAAATTAGTTCCCAGATTCATTAACTACCACAATGCTCCTGCTCCACCGAAGCCTCTGTGCTTCTCTCCGGAGCCCGTTTATTGCTCCTGCCACTCGTGCATTGTCGGTGTCCATGGGCCGTTTCAAAAAGTACGAGATGATCAACAAAACGTACAGTGCGCCAGAGCTTCTCGAGTACAACGATAAGGATATAACCTTGGAGGACCTCGAGAAATTCCCGGCATTCCACAAGAAAATCGCTCATTCTTTCAAAAAACTCGGTTACTCGCTGCTTACGCCCGTCCAGTCCAAATCCATCATCCCCACCTTGTTGGAGGAGAAGGGTGTGGTCTGTAGAGCCAAGACCGGAACCGGTAAGACCATGGCTTTCGTCATTCCTACGCTTCAGACCGCCTTGGACTACCATTTCGAGTCCAAGGAAGGCATGGGCAAAATCCACACCTTGATCATTGCCCCAACTAGAGATTTGGCCATCCAGATCAAGGACGAGTATTTCAAGATCTTGAAGCAAGACAGAAGCTGGAGCAAGATCAACGTCAAGCTTTGCATTGGTGGAAGAAAAGATAGCATCAGGTATGCCCCTGGCGTTCTTGTTGCCACTCCAGGCCGTTTGGAAGCCGAATTGAGAAACCCTCGTGTGGCAGCCTTATTCTCCGACTTGAAGTACAGAGTGTACGACGAAGCCGATCGTTTGTTGGAGACTGGTTTTGAGGAGAGTTTGATGAATATCGACCGTATGCTTAGAGACGCCAGACATAAGGCATTGAACCGTTCGACCAAGATGAAGTCGGTGCTTTTTTCTGCTACCGTCGATGAAAGAGTGGAGGATTTTGCCAGAGCTACCATGGGCGACGAATATCGCTACATCAACTGTGTTCCCGAGAACGAGCCTGAGGCCCACGAGAACATCCACCAAACCTTGGTGAAGACGCACAATTCGTACGAGCTGATGGTTGCTGCTTTCAGCGACATTTTCAGAAACTTCTCCAGCAAGCCCGACTTCAAGGCCATCATGTTCTTGCCCACGAAGTACGGAACCGACTTTGCTTATGACATCTTGCGTCAGGCCAAGCGTTTCGGTCTCATTGAGAAAAAGAATGCTTCTTTATTGAGACTTCACGGTCAGATGACTCAGGGCCAAAGAGACAAGGCTACCGCCGAATTCAGAAGCTGTAAATCTGGCCTTTTGGTTGCAACTGATGTAGCTGCCAGAGGTATGGATTTCAAGAACGTCACCGACGTGATCCAGCTCTGTCCAAGCAGTGAGGTTGCTGATTACGTACACAAAGTTGGCAGAACTGCCAGAGCTGGCTCTAAGGGCAATGCCACGCTTTACTTGTCGCAGGCCGAGGTGCCTTATGCTAATGCTTTGAGCAAAAAATACGGTATCACTTTCGCTAACGAGGTTCGCTATGAGACCATGGATGAAGATGCTCCTGCTTTTGAGAAAATCGCTTTGGAAAAGGAGGATGTCGATGAGTACACTCGTGCCCATCTTGCCTACCTCTCTGGTGTCGTTGCAAAGTACCGTTTAAGATTGGACGATGTGATCAAAAGCGCTCACCACTTGTCCAAGGGTTTGTTGCAGGACGAGAACGCCAAGTTGTCGATCACAGCTACCACTTTCAAACAATTCCGTCTCAGAGACCCATATGAAGAGACCTTCGATGTTCCTGGAGGCATTCCTCACAGTCAGTTCAACGACCGTAGAGGCGGCAAGGGTTTCAAGAATAACAACAAAAGCTACAATCGTTTCGACAATCGCAGCAAACACAGAGGTTACGACGGCAATAGCTTCAGCAACCGCAACAGGTATGGCGACCGTGACCTGGACAGCATCTTTGACAAACGCAGAAATGACCGTCACTCGAAACGGACTTTCAATTCGAGATATTAGATAGACAACAATTCTTGTAAATAGTTATTCAGGTTATCTGGTAAGGGCCTTTTTAGAAGCCACTGTAAACTTTCTTTTTGGTCTGCGCTTTGGACGTCTAGGAGCTTCATCTCCCAAGTCAAACTCTCGTATTATGATGACGTAGACGAGAAGGACCAAGATGAGCAATGTGTCAACGATGATGATTTTCCGTTGAAACCCTAGATCTGAGACCAATGCCTTGTTTCTGCGAACTAGATCACCAAGGACATTGCGAAGAGCCTGCTCCTGTCTCTCTAGAAGACTATTCGATTGTTGATGCGTGAGCTCAAAGGAGCTCTGAAGGTGTTGAACTTGTGCGTTCACAGTATGGTTGAATTTCAGAAGCAAGTTATTGAGCTTGAGAGCATGACGTTTCTCTAGGTTTGTGAAGGCATCTGATAATAGCTTGCTCTGTTCCTCGACATATAGAAGCGAGAGACTGGCGTTTGATTCTAGAAGAGAGAGTCGCTTGACGATGTTCTTAAAAATGGACTCCTGTGTCGTTTTGGCCGTTGACGTGGACTCTGCAATGGAGGAGGTATTAGCAGGGATATTGCAATACTCGCCAGTGCCATTATTGATATCTTTCAAGAACTCGTTGAGTGCAAGATAAGGCGAAAGCGCTTTGCATCCCTCATCATCATCGGTATATTCAAACAAGACGTTAACTGAGGACGCTGCAGGCTCGGAGACCGGCTCCAGCTTTGGGCTATCCTTTTTGACCTCCTCCATCATTGTGGTTCCATGCACCCTGACCACCGATATAGGGCAGTAGAACTCATCTCCATAATGACTCAAAATATCGATCTTCAAGTACCGAGCCCAAATGAGCGGGTTCTCTATATCGAACACTTGAGTATCTCTGATATTCTGAGCTTCAATCTCGCCAAGCACCTGCCAGCTCGAGGAAGGGAATTGATCCGAGACAGAAAAACGGACCCTTTTGAACATGGAGCTGAAAAGCTCGAAATTAGCCATGACAATCGAGCTCACTAAGATATCCTGACAGAGCTCAATAACCACAAACTTGTTGGGAGTAGCACACTTATTCAAAAGGTACAGATCCTTCACTTCGCTCAATATTGCCAGTGCTCCTTTGGCATCGCTATTTGTTTTCATCACAGTAGCAGCACAATCTCCTGAAGCGTAGTTGAACTTGTCTTTGTACGTTTTGCCCTGGTCCTCGACATCCACATCAAGAAGCAGCAGCGACACAATATCCTCCTTTATGGTTTCTAAAGCATTGCCCATGCTTTGTGTAGACGACACTTTTGGCGGTTCCTCTTGGGCCTCTAGTTCTTTCTGTTTCTTCCATTCTTCAAACGAAAGGAAATGACAATCGTCGGAGTAGTTCCCGTGAGCGGAATCCTCAATATCAATAGCTAGTGACTCATTAAGTCCAGAAGGCTCTTCAACAGAAGCCGATTGATCTAGAGACTCTGATGTTCCTTGAGGTGGAGCCTCAGTATCAGCATAAGCAGCCACAATCCATAGTAGCCAGATCCAACGCATTCACAGATATCAGAAATGAATTCCAACTTCAGATTGACCAGATAAAGGGATACAAATTTTAAATGGGTATGCAATCAAGTTACTGGGGTAGTGGATCAAAGTGGTCCCTGATTATGTCCTGTTGATGTATGTGCGAACATCATCGCATAGAAACTACTCATGATCAAGACGTTCAAACTCGACACACGTGCCGATACATCGTCGCTCAAGTTTCCCAAAGAGCTTTTCCTGTATTCAAGGGATATCGACGGCCAATGGCAGACGGACGATACCGTGGCTAAGGAGGAGGCTCTCTCATACTACTACTTTCCAGATTCATACGTCGACAGAAACTTCAATCTCGGAGATGGCGTGAACAAATTTAAGAAGATTCCTGAAGAGCAGAATGTTGCTGATTTTGCCCCATTGCTCACGGCGATCAAGCAGCACGAGCAGCAGACCGGAAAGAAGACCAAAGTCGATATTATCACTTTCAGAGGCATAATGACCAAGCTCTTGACTCTTCCGTACGACACGAAAACACCCGTTCATTTATACGTCATCGGCTACGATGGTCAGCTTTTTATCAAGGCCGATACCGATTACGAGATCAAGCAGAGAGATGCAGAGAAGGAACAGCTAACTGCGTCTGATCCTGAAAAGGCAAAGTACAACGAGACATGCGAATACAGTGGATACAAGTTTGAGGCACTTGCGACATTGCCCAAACCATGGGCTCAGTGTTCACGTGCAATGATCGAAAAGCGTGGTAAGAAGGCGGTGAACAACTACGAGCAGTATATCAGTGTTGTTCGTTCAGGAATCGGCAAGGTGAAGACGCTTTTAGCTGGAGAAGTCGATTGTGTCTGGGACTACGTTCCAACCGAAGAGGACGGCAAAAATGAAACTGTCAAGCATTACGTGGAGTTGAAGACATCGGCAATGGTGGATCTGCCGCACAAAGCCGTGAACTTCGAACGCAAGCTTTTCAGAACATGGGCACAGTGCTTCTTGCTTGGCATTCCCAAGATAGTGTATGGATTCCGTGACCAGAAGCACCTTTTGAAAAACGTGGAAGTTTACAATACCGAAGAAATTCCTTTGTTGATCAAGAACAGTGAGTACCCAAGAGGAACGGTGCAGAAGTTCCACTGTGTTGATGCGCTCAAATGGTACGGTGCTGTATTGGAGTGGCTCACGCAAAGTGTGGATGCTAATGATGAGCTGAAGGCATACAAGATTATTTACGATCCGGGCTCGAGGACGTTTTCGTTGAATGAGTGTATGGGTGACGAGAACAAGAGGTTGAGAAACGGTGAGCTCTTGACGGAAGACTTCAAGGCGTGGAGAGAGCAGTTGAGATGAAGTTGATGGAGAAATTGAAGCAACAGGGTATATAAATGGCCGCTGGCCACTAGGTGGTCTTACATTAATGCATGAGTCTAATGGATGCGATATGGAAGTGTGCTTTAAGAAGGTTGTGTCACAAGGTATGAGATAGCTTAAGCGTGTTCGCCACTAAACACCTGCAAGGAACCTTATCAAGAAATAGAAATTCTTGTCTCAGCCTTCACCGCTCGGAGTCGGAAATACCCCATTCTTCACACACTAATGTTTCGGGAAAGTCCGAGCCCGAGAGCAAGGTTCCGTTTGCCATGCAAAAAATCTAAAACCTCTACGGAAAAGCCCGCTTGCCAAATACCTTAAACTCAAAACCCAGAAACCGGCGCTTTTTGTATCTTTGCTCAAATCTCTCCTGTCAGATCGATGCACCGAAAAAGCTTCAACCGGAAAAACTAGACACCAGCCAATATGAGATATTACAAATGAGGCAATCCAGACCCGCTGACAGATAGATACCGTCTCGCCGCACGCATCGATCTGGCCAATTTTCCACAAATTCCATCATCAATTTTTCATTTGCTTTCCAAGTCACGCCCGCCCGCGCAGCATATCGTTCGATGACGTGAAGCCGTTTTTTCTAGAGCCATGCGTTGAGCAAGTAGTACGTTTGCTGAGGCATCGCATAAAATCCAGAATCGTTTGCAGCCATCAGGCAGATAATGGCAAAGCAGCAACACACCAAAGCTTAAAATCAAGATATTGGGAATTTGTTGACGGGAACATGGCGGCGTGGCTCATGCAAAACGTGCAAAAAGGGCAATAGAGAATTTTTCATTTTGTTTGCCTCGTTGGGAGATTCTTGCTCAGGACCCAAAAAAGGCAGCGTTCCGGGGCTCCAACACGGTGGACAGACAATGGAAAAACGTCCAACAATACATCAACCTTGGTGGACGCTCTACAGTTTAGGAGCTCGTCTAGGAGCCCTTGTAGCTGACAATTCCGCTTCTGTGATTCGCCAAGGCTACTCCACAATTTGAAAAACATCTCCTATGGATTTGCTTTGGGGCCAAAAGCCAGGGACGTAGATCGAGACGAAAATCAATTAGAAATGCCTCTCTCTTTCTACGTTTTTTTTTTTTTTTATTGATCATTATGTAAGACTCCTCTAGACTTGTCCCCTAGATCACCCCATTTTGCAACCATTTGAAAGCACGCTTTACGTCAACTCCTCTGTCCAAAAAACCCGACTCCTATTGGTAAACAAACCTGATCTGGCTTGAAAGGCCACATTTACGTCATGAAGGTCTGGTTTGTCAAGGCCTCGAGTCTCGCCTCGAAACACTCGGTACCCCGGAAGCCACAAGCCCACATGTGGTTGGCAAATTTCCACACCTTCAGAACACATGTCGAAGACTACGACTTCAGAGAAAACGACTACTGTTCAATTCAAATCCACTTAACCAAATCTTTTTTTTTAAACCACTCTCCTTTAATTGTCGTTGTAGAGCGATCCCTTCTCTGGTCTCCTCATGAGGGGATCGGACATATCGCTGCGACTTCTGGCTTGACGTGCCGCGGCTTCAGCTCGGTGAACGTCGAGCTATCTCGCCACCCAAACCCGCTAGAAAAATTCTGAAAACACCACTGTGATCAGCGGCATCACTTTCGGCGACACTTTTTTCTCCTAAACCAATTGCACCAAACCTCGTCCATCTAGCCCTCCGTCATGCCCCTCCCACATGTCTTATAAAAAGAAGGAACCCCATTGGCTGCGGCGCGCTTACTAACATACCCCAGTCTGGCTTGGGCCGTGGCTCTTTGCTGAGGGTACTGTCTCTACATGCAGTACACAGATATCCCACGGCTGCGGCCGCAATGGTACTCCCCCATGTCTCAGGGTCCACGGTATATAAGGCCGGGGAAATCCGCAATTGGGGTGCCCATATCCACTTTTTTCTTGATCGACAAAAATGGCCCCTGTTTACACCAACTCCAACGGTTGCCCAATCCCTGAACCTTTCGCCACCCAGAGGGTCGGCCAGCACGGTCCTTTGCTTTTGCAAGACTTCAACCTTATCGACTCTCTTGCCCACTTTGACAGAGAGAGAATTCCAGAGAGAGTTGTCCACGCCAAGGGTTCCGGTGCCTACGGTGTCTTTGAGGTGACTGACGACATCACTGACATCTGTTCTTCCAAGATGTTTGACACCATTGGTAAGAAGACCAGAACCTTCACCAGATTCTCCACCGTCGGTGGTGAGTCCGGTTCTGCTGATGCTGCCAGAGACCCAAGAGGTTTCTCCACCAAGTTCTACACTGAGGAGGGTAACTTGGACTGGGTTTACAACAACACCCCAGTTTTCTTCATCAGAGACCCATCTAAGTTCCCCCACTTCATCCACACCCAGAAGAGAAACCCAGAGACTCACTTGAAGGACGCCAACATGTTCTGGGACTACTTGACCAGCAATCCTGAGTCCATCCACCAGGTTGTGATTTTGTTCTCTGACCGTGGTACCCCAGCCTCTTACAGAGAGATGAACGGTTACTCCGGCCACACCTACAAGTGGTCTACTAAGAACGGTGACTGGAAGTACGTCCAGGTTCACTTGATCTCTGACCAGGGTAACAAGGGTTTGACTAACGAGGAGGCTGGCCATCTTTCTGGTGCCAACCCAGACCACGCTCAGGAGGACTTGTTCGTTAACATTGCCAAGGGTAACTTCCCATCCTGGACTGCTTACATCCAGACTATGACTGCCGAGGAGGCCAAGAAGGCTCCATTCTCTGTCTTTGACTTGACCAAGGTCTGGCCACACAAGGACTACCCAATGAGAAGATTCGGTAAGTTGACCTTGAACGAGAACCCAAAGAACTACTTTGCTGAGGTTGAGCAGGCTGCTTTCTCCCCATCCCACTCTGTTCCATACCAGGAGCCATCTGCTGACCCAGTCTTGCAGTCGAGATTGTTCTCTTACCCAGACACCCACAGACACAGATTGGGTGTTAACTACACTCAGATCCCAGTTAACTGCCCAGTCACTGGTGCTGTCTACAACCCTCACATGAGAGACGGTTCCATGACCGTGAACGGTAATTTGGGCTCCAAGCCTAACTACATTGCCACCTCGGAGCCAATTGAGTTCCGTGAGTTCAGCCAACAGCAGGACCAGGAGGTGTGGACCGGTGCCGCATGCCCATTCCACTGGAAGGCTACTGACGGTGAGTACACCCAGGCTACTGCTTTGTACCACACCCTTGCCAAGTACCCTAACCAGCAAAAGAACTTGGCTCACAATGTCGCTGTCCACGTTTCTGCTGCTGACGCTCCAATCCAGGACCGTGTCTTCGAGATGTTCTCCAAGGTGCACCCAGACCTTGGTGCTGCCATCAAGAAGGAGGCCTTGGAGCTCTCTCCACGTAAGTAAGCCATCATTTATGTTGACGTGAATAATGCATGAAATTCAGAATACCATTTGTAACTTTTGTCTGCTGACTGGCTCCGGGCTACCGGTTGTAGTGCGGGGTGAAGAACTCACATGAAGATAACGCTGCATGTAGCCGCACGCATCCCCACGCTTACTCAATAGATGCGGGGGCTGTTATTGGCTATGAGAAGTCGTGTGTGGCACATAAGACTCGTAGTGAAACCAGGCGGAGTAGAGATGGTGATGGATGAAGCTGAATTCACACGGCCTGGAAAATAAGAGGAATCTCGGGATAATATTAGGCAGGCCAAAGAACCGTACATGCCAATTTTTAAGGGTATACACGAGAATTAAACATTCGGCTAAACTTGTTCACGGTGAGCTCGCAACCGAGGAACAGCCCAGATTGGCTACATTTACTTGACTTTTCCGTCGGATTGCCGAAACCCCAGTAAAATGTGGCTTCTCTACGGAGCCAATGAGAGAAGGTTTTGAACTGCTATAGTTATACGTGGGACCTTCGTAAATTGATGGAATATGCCAAAGGTTAGTATTGGTTGAGGCAGACCGTTTTGGGTGCAAAACGTCCACAACGGTTATTTTTGATGCATAATAGGGAGGTTTCGGTGAAACTATTCATTACAGGTTTCAACAATAGGTTAGGTCGCCTATACATGGTCGATTTGGTTAAGATGGCTACCAAATGCACACCCAGTGGTAGCAGTACCACACTAGGCACACATAAAAAGACTTGATTAGCTCGAAGTAGCATCTCTAGTAAATTCAGCGGAAAAGCATGAAAGCATGGTCATCCAATTGATCACCAAACCACTTTCCAAAACAAGTATAGGTGAACATCCAGTTAACCAGGGAATTCGCCTAGGAACACGCTTGGGAACTCCTACAATGCTTCCCGGACCTTTAACTTAGCTTACTGCGTCTCTCGATTTCTTTACTTTTACGAGTATGGAAGGGATTGACAAGGTCACTGTCAGGTAATTTACGGTATCTGAACGATAAGAGATATGCATCATTTAGCAAATTACCTGACAATGTAAAGGGGATCAAGAGATTCATTTTAATGGTCCAAGTAAGCCTAATCCATGTCCTCTCAATTTACAAAGCGAGGAACTCATGTCCTAGTGTGACACCAAAGATACTAATGATACGCCTGAGCATGCTTATATAGTAGTCCTCAACTCATACACTGCAGCAGTGAAGCGAGTAGCCTATGGAAGCTCAAACTCATTATTCACATAATTTTCAATAATTGCCTTCACCCTCAATAAACTTAAACGTAAGAAATCATTCGATTCACTTCTACAACATTCTCTAACCGGTTTGTGTATTCTGTTCGTGGCGTTAGGTAGCCGGCCCGTACCACAAATTCCCTATAATATACCTTTAATGATTGGGGCTAAAGCGTTCCGCTCAGTCGTTTCTCTCAACTATCTATCTCCTGAAACCTTGGTGTCTTAAAGCTTGGTGGTGTTGCAAGAGGTACACTGACAGGAGGAACCGCATTTGCAAGAAGCACCACAGCATCCCTTCTTTGGGGTCTCCAGCTTGGCGGCGGTTTCGTTTCTGACAGGAGCAGTGGTTTGTTTAGTGGAGCAGCACATTGTTACTGGAAGGAAAAAAAAAAGCTGGGGCACTCTGGGGTATTTATACTTTCAGATAAGGCACTGCGCTAGATGCGGTACCCCGAAGCGAAGGCGCTTTCCTGATGCGGGAGGTCGTCGCGGTCCCCCATCGGCTGATTTGAAGAAACGGTTATGAGAATTCCATGAGCGGGATATAAGTAGGGGAGGGTTTGCTTTCAAAATTAAAGATTTGAGGATTCGTTTGGAGTTTTTGTTGATATGGTGGGTCGAAATGTGTAGGGGGTGTTTTGGTTTGCGATAGATAGCGGTAACTGCCTTTCGCAGCCAGTTGATGATAATCTACAAAACTTGATGATCCACAAAACTACAAAAAGAAAAGGACCCTATCACGGGGCGACTTTGTGACTGGCGATAGACTTTTTCATTCACTTCGTGGATCCAAGGCGAAATTTTATACTATTCTCCACGACAAGATTTACGCATTACGTCAATCCTCTTACCTACCGTATATCCAACACACCCGGCTATCGGTAGACCAGCTAAAACCGATAAATAAAGTACGGGCTCTTGTCACCCATCTTCATGAGTTCCTCTGGAGTAAGTTGGTCGTATTTGCCCTCTGCAATCTCCCTCTTTCTCTTTTTGTTAACATACCAGTATCTTGCAGCCACGCCAGAGGTCAAAAGAAGACCCATACCTGCAAATCCCACACCCAATCCATGACCTAACTTGTAGTAAGGCGAGTCCTGTGCTCTGTACAAGTTCGAAGCAATGACACCACTGAAGTTTCCGAGACCGATCTGTAAAGCAATGCCAATTGCTCTTTTGTAGGAACCTGACAAATTGTTGGCAAGCCAAATCACACAAAGCGGCAAACCAGCACATCCGATAGCGATAGGGTAAACGCCAGCGTAAACGGCACCGGGTTTGCTGACTGGATCGCTTCCCAAACACACTGCAAATCCAATAGCAATGCAAACGAAATCGAAAAGCATGAATGGGGATCTCACACCCATTCTGCCAGAAATGTAGGCCTGGATCACACACCAAATGGATGCAACAACGTAGGGCGGAACCGCCAAAAGCTGAGATTCGGTGGTGCTGTAGCCCAAACTGAAGATAATAGTAGGACCAAAAAGAGCCACAGCGTTAAGTGGAACGTTGATACCGTAGATGATCAAAAGCTGGCACCAGACCTGCCAGTCCTTGAAAGCAGCCCAAATGTAAGATTTATCACGGGAATCGTCTTCAGCCAAAGTAGGCACTGGAGCCTCGTCACCAGTGATTTTGTTGGTGTCGGCGTTGGTGGAGTATTTGACTTTGTGAACAATGAAACGGCGTTCCTTTTCAGAGAGGAACTTGCAGTCCTTGGGGTAAGAAGGAAAGCACCAGTAGGAACCAACACCCACAACGAAAGTAAGCAAACCTTCGAGAATGAAAATCCATCTCCATCCCTCGTAGCCTCCTACTCCGTCCATCTGAGCAATAGCCGCAGCCAAAAGACCAGAAAACGCACCAGCGGAAGTAGCAGCGCTGAAGAAAATGGCCTGTCTGACGAGAATCTCTTTTTTGGAGTAGTACATCGACAAAAGGTAGGAAATACCTGGGTAGAGTGGCGCCTCAAAAATACCCAAAAGCGCTCTGGTGGCCAAGAGCTGGTCGTAGTTCTTCACGGTTCCCATCAAGGTCATGACGATCGACCAGAGCACCATGGTCGTAGGGATGTAGATGTTAGGCTTCACACGGTGCAAAATGATATTGGAAGGCACCTCCAAAACAGCGTAAAAGACAAAGAATATCAATAAGGCCATGTTGAACTGGTTGCCCACGAGCCCCAAGTCCTCCGGGAGCCCTTCGATTTTGGCATTTCCGATATTCGTTCTGTCCAAGAAACTAAGCAAGTACAATACCGAAAAAAGCGGGAGAATTCGGTAGTCGATTCTGCGGCGCAACTTCTGCTCGTCGATATCTGAGAAGTCCTCCTCGGGCGAGCTTCCTATGGACTCTGTGGAGACGTAGTTCTTCTTTTCGTTCGAGGCAACCGAGGCAACCTCGGTAGTGTTTTCCAACATGGTGGATGAAAAGTGCCAGGCACAACGGCTGGCTTTATAGTAAGCCATTTGCTGGAGGATTCACCCGCCGGAGCAGAGGTGCAGATTCCGAAAGTTAGTTATTTCCCAACGGGGCCAAGAACGCCGTATCGAGTTTGCAGCCATTATTCGTGGCATACCGCGACCGGCATTGGATTAGATAGTGTTTTTTGATTCGGCGAGTGATGAGTCTGGTGATGTCACGAATTCTTCATCTTTCCTTTTTTGTTTTTCTTCTATTTTCTTCATATTTCAAATTACTCTTTATTCGCAGATGGAGGCCTCGTCAGCGGGAGAATCGTAAAGATTCCTGTTTGCGGTCCCTGCGGCTGGCTCGCCTAATCTCGCACAATAGCCATCATCGAGACAATCGATAGCGGTGATCTTTTAAAACTCGTCATTCTTATTTTTTTTTTCTTATTGTTCTGCAAATCGCTATTTCTCATTTTTTTCATCGACGATGGTCTTGCCAAATCTGGGTGGGCCGATTTAGAGTGGCTTGGGACCCAGAAAAAGAGTACCGCCTAGCGTCCAGAGCTCTCATTCTCCCCCACTGCCTACTTCGGCCCCTCAGCGCAAGCGAATCGCCAAGCATCGATGTCCGCATATCTCCATCGGAGTCGTCCCTCTGGCAGCGCATTCAACGAGCAAAGTGGATTAATTTCAACAAACTGATCGTTGGTAAATTGTAAGAATTGCATCAGCGGAAGACTATAATCCGATTGAGCGGCTGGCCTCAGAAATTGCGTTTTTGGTAGGTCCCGTAGGAGACCGTTGGCTTGGCGCTATTAGGGCGGTGTTGCTGCAACGGTCCGAATTTACGGAGGGGGAGTCATTGTAGTGTAAGGCAGTGCGAGCCAGGTGAGGTGAATGGCTTCTCCTCAGTAGCTTCCATTCGTCCCTTGCACGGCTGTCCTCGGAACCAGTTAAGAGATAAAAATATACTTGAAAAGTAGAAGGTTTTGAAGTAAGGACTGGCTAGACATTTGGACCCCTGACGGGGCGCTACTGCTTATATACTTTTTAAATACTTTTCAAAACAACGGACGAACTCCGATTTTTCCGATGGCTCTGCAGCAGGCACAGACAACGATTCTGGACCACTGCCGCTTGGAAAAATTCCTGAAAATTGGACTTTGCTCTCGATCCGGCTGTCGTATTTCTTCCCCTCTTGGACCTAAATGGCGGCGCTCCAGGACGGCGCGGGAGCATCAGTTGAGGTCCCCTCCTGCTTATATCCTGGAGCCTTTCAGGACTTAAGAATTCTCCACTCAACGGTTGCTGCGGCTGCACCTATCGAACGATAATGATAAGAGTGAAAAGTGGGTTTATGGACAAAGAGAGGGAATTATTTGATGAATTTATTAGTGGTGGTTTTCAAAAAGACCGTGCGTCTGTGGCATTGAAGATCATCTCGGTAGGAAGCTTATTTGGTGGGGTCGCAGGAACGAGATCCTGCCGTAGGTGAGGCACAAGTGGGGGAGCTAAGCTGTGACGCTCCGGGAACGATTTCTTTGAAGTTAGCTATTAGATGCTTCGGAGAGGCCATTACGTTTAAAAAAACTATTTGGAATAACCTGGCTAAAGCTGTAGGGACAGATGCTCGCTTGCAGTGTCGACTATTCTTTATCGTGGTGATGCTGGAGATAGCGTTGGTTCGACAATTTACTCTACTTCTGACAAGAATTTGCTTCGGTTTTTTTATTTTTAGTGTTCAGTGGCTTGCAGCTGGATTGAATATCTAGGTTTGTGCTAAGGTAAGTGACGAAATAAGGCGAGTGACAAATTAGCAATTGCTGCGAAAATTGAGTATCTCAAGACGCTGGGCCTTGAGTACGCATCTTCAACCATCTGCAATGCAATGTGAAAACGGCTTCAAATTAAATACTCAAGTCTGATCTAGAGCCAAAACACTGCCTTAAAAGTCCAGCTTTCATGGCAAATAAATGCTGCCAGATGAACCTGCCTCGATCCTTCGCTCACAGCTTAGCCACCTACTAGCGACGGCTTGGCCTCCAGCCTCCAGCGCAGCCTCAGTGACCACAAAACCGCCTTTCAGCCGTTTCACCCTCACCAGCTCAGGCCGGCAAATCTTAAACTTCCTTTTTTTTTTTCAGAAATCGTCATCAACCCTTCAGGCCCAGGAACGCGATTCCTGAATGCTGAGGACTCACCGACGCACCAATCAAAGCACTGGCGGACGATCTCCAGCCAAATCCGCTGTACCAATCCCCATTTCACCAAAAAACCCCCCATTCAGCTCAACCTCACCTCCTTTTCACACTCCCAAGAATGCAACACGGCCTCCGCTGCACCGTGCCAGACAATACCCAAACAATGTTCAATGTTCGGTTGTCAATGCCGCTGTCAAGCCCAGGCCCCGGCTCTAGAACCCCTTCAATGAATTTCAACAGTCTGCCCGGCGTGACGGTATGGCTCCATTCCAATTCCGTACGTTTCTCTGCATCTTCTGTGCATTGCACCCACTGCGATAATTAGCAACCATGCCCTGCACTGGTGGACGCTCCAGTGACTTTTTCATGTTCACCTGCACAGCCAGACCATGATCACACCGAATAAACGCTGTACCTCGACGTGTGGGACAACAAGGAGCTGGTTACCTGGGGATTGGCTAGTCGGGGTTGAAGATTTTCGATTTGTAGTGTAGACTTCTGACTTTCGACTTTCGGCTTCCAACTGTAGAGGGCCCTGCAGCTCCGGGTTTTCCAGAATTTTCACCGCGCCAGCCCAGTGGAAATTCACATTCCAGATCGCTGGAAAGCGGGCACCACGGCCAGACGGCCTGGGATTGAAAACTGCCTCCAAAACCGTCATTTCTCCATCGCGTCCCGTTCTCAAAATAGCAGCAGCTCTCGTCTGGGCTATGCTGCCGCCGTGGTGTTGAAATCCGTTTTCTCAGCCCTGCGCAGTCCCCTATTCTGGACCCTAGGTGCAAAGAGCATCGTAGCAGAACCAGGTACGAGGTTGGTCGATTTTGACAAAATCACGTTTCTTCCATCCAAGAAAAGGACGCCCACCGCCTCGTTTTCTGTCGTCTCCACAATACCTGTCGCCATTGTGGGTTCTTCTTCACTCCTCCATTGTCCTCGACCGCAGCACAGTTGCTCCTGGTTCCTGGTCTTGGCTGCGAAACGAAAAAGTCGGTTTTACTGAATCCACGATGATGCTGATGGAACGAAAAACACACATCTAATTCACCTCATCATCCCGAAGACTCTCCCAACCTCTTCTATTTTTAAATCAAATCCAACAGCCCTCCGGCTATTTTCCTTCTTTGGGCCGCCCATGCAGAAGTGTCTCATGCAGCAACCGCGCCCCGCGGTGACCCGGCTGGGGTATATAAGAACCCGATTCGCAGCCATCACCCTCCACCAAACCATCTATATCTTATACCATGGCTGAAATTGTTTCTGGAATCGGAGGCCTCGTCAACACCGTCACCTCGGGCGCCGTGGGCGCCGCCACTGCTCTCACCGGCAACGCCGTCTCCATCGGTGAACAAGTCACTTCTAGAGGAGGCCAGTTTGCTACAGACGTGACTTCTGGTGCCGTTGGTGCTTTCGGTACTGTCACTTCTGGCGCTGTGGGCGCTTTTGACACGGTCACCTCGGGCGCTGTTTCCCAGGCGGACCAGATCACTTCGCGTGCTGGCTCTGTGGCTCTGGGTGCCGCCACTGCCGGTAAGTCTGGTTCCTCGAGCGCCTCCACCGCTCTCTCGTCGCTTAATTCCGAGCTCAACTCCTTGACAAGCTCCTTCGTTTCGGGCGCTTCTTCTGTCGCTTCCCTGGGCTCGGCGGGTGCTTCTTCTGGCTCTTCCTCGGCGTCCTCCAGATCGTCTTCGGGTTCCGCCTCGGGCTCTGCCTCCACTTCGGGGTCTTCCTCCAGCGGCTCTTCCTCGTCTTCTGGCGACAGTGCCGCTGCTGGCCTCGACATTGCTGGCTCGTGGAAGAAGAGCGCTGCCGTTGCTGCTCTTGTCGGCTGTTCCTTCCTTTTGTCCTTGTAGACGTGACGACAGACACTTAATATGAAAATGAATAAAATGAACTGATATGAAGACTTGTAGGATGGGTTCTGCCCTTACGCGTCGGTCTGGCGATCACGGCATGGGGTACATTATGGTGGGGTACATTATGGTGGGGTACATTCTGGTGAAGCCATAGTGCGGTGCTGGGTGGACCTTTCGATTTTTCACATTTTCGACTTTTGCCATTTTCGACTTTTCACATTTTCGATTTCCCCATATTTTGCTTTTGAGTTTCAACTGAGTAGTTCGGTGAATTTCATGAATCCCCAGCTTCTCCGGATTTCGCTCAACTCCACACGCAAAATACACGCCTGGCATGGTTTCCATTTCAGTGATATTCCCGAGTATTGCGCTGCAGCCGATTTAACCTTCACACTGGCGATATACAGACCTTGAGCTCAATTTCAAAATCCATTAAAGTTCAATCCACAAAATCGGAACACCACACTTTCGTGACCAACGGTCTCAATCTATATCCATCTCTGGATCCTGCGCCAGTGAGATACTCATTGCATCCAACGCGGCAGACAGAAATACCGTGGTACGCAAGACGTCAAAGCCTGATATCTTTGTAGCATCCTCAACTTTCCATTTTACCTTTATTTTGGCCTTTACTTTGACCTCAAAATTCCTTCACTTTCTCCATTTTATCACCTTCAAAGACCAGCCTGCCAAGGCTACTGGTTCCGCCAAGTATAAGTATCGATCAGGCCGATTCGCAGCCACCATTCCACCGCGGTCTAGAAAGCTAAGCACGGCGGAAGCGTAAATAGGCTGACAGAATAGGAGAGACGAGGCCCGAAAAAAGCCAGACCCACCGTGTCGCCAGAAAGCCACCACATTCACGGTGACAGCGAGCGGCTGACCCGTCTGGAAGATGTATCAGAGGGAGAGGTTTGCAAGGTCAAGAACTTGCCGATTATAGTTCATCAAAAACCTAATAGCTTATCGAATAGTGACAAAAATAACTTTCGGGATTTTCCAACACTGCCCCGTCATGGCCTGAGACCAAGCAAGAAATGGCTGCAACTCATGGTTTCCTTCCATGGCAAGTGGCTGCAAACCGAGACGCAGCGATCCCTCCCCGGCTTCTATGACGCAATGGGCCAACCAGAAACGGCTCCGGCAATCCGATTTGCAAATATCACAACTCTGCGCCTCCTTGTCGATTGCTGGATCCTCCATGGGCCCAGTGGTGCTCCTGCATCACTTGCTCCTCAAAGCGAAAACACAAATATCCAGCATCCGCGGCCTCCACACACCGTCGTTGGCTGTGTTCTAAGCCGGACCCACTCTGCCGGAAGGACGGCGAGAGCAAGCACTACATTTGCTTGAATTTTGTATTTGGTTATCAAAAAAAACATTCATCGAAGACTAGAAATGCCCTCGCCAGGAATTCGCTTTTTTGTCTAGTTGGGTTGGTCGCTTTGGCACATTTGGCGCCGTTTTTGGAAAATATCACCGCGAAAACCCTGGGATTCCTGGCTCGAACGACACAGCCTAGCACTCGCAACGTCGGGATGTGACAATCTTTTTTTGGCGCGTTCCCCTGCGCCAGGGGCACAGATCGAGCGCGAGATCTGGAAACACTGAGAACAGCGGGTTTTGAAAAGTCGAAATGTGGTTTTCGATGTGGTTTTTCGATAAAAGTGATAGCAGATTCTTATCAGATTTAATCTGCTAGCACCAAAATCTTACCTCCTAAATCCCCCCATCAACTGACGTCGAGTGCAGACGCTGGAGCGGCTGTGGGCTGTGCGATATGCAGACTGCATTCTTATGGCTGCAAAACTCCCAGGCACAAACTATATAAGGCGGCTGTTTTCCCACCACTTTTCATCTCCACAACCATGGGTTTGAACGCTATCAACTACGAAATCTCCGATGCTGCGGGCGCCGCTCCCGCCCCTACTGCCTCCTCCCTCGGTGCGGGTGCTGGCTCCAACGGTCAGGCTGGTTCTGATTCTGGCCTTGGTGGTGCCGGTGGTTCTGGTGGTGCTGGTGTTGGTGATGCTGCTGCTTCTGGCGACACTCTTGCTGCCTCTGGCGCTGCTGGTATTGGCTCCCAGGCTACTGCTGCCGCCGAGTCTTTGGTTGGCGGTGCCTCCGGTGCTGGTGCTTCTGGCGCTGCTGCTGCTACTGGTATTTCTGCCATTGCTGGTGCTCCAGGTGCCGCTGCTTCTGGTGCTTCTGGTGCCGGTGCCGCTGGCGCTTCCGGTGCTTCTGGTATCGGTGCTGCTGGCGCTTCCGGTGCTTCTGCCATCGCTGGCTCCTTGACTTCTGGTGCCGGTGCCATCGGTGCTTCTGCTACCTCCGGTGCTGCTGGTGCCTCCGGTGCCTCGGGCGCTGCTGCTGCCTCTGGCGCTTCTGGCGCTGCCGGTGCCTCTGGCGCTTCTGGCGCTGCCGGTGCTTCTGGTGCTTCTGGCTCTGCTGGCGGCATTGCTACCATGTCTGACTCTGAAGAGAGTGGCTCTGCTTCTTCTGGTGGCTCTTCTGCCTCTGGCTCCGGTGGCGCTGGTGGTTCCGGTGCCTCTGGCTCTGCTTCCGCTTCCGGCTCCGGCTCCGGCTCTTCTGCTTCTGGTACCAAGTCTGGCTCTTCTGCCTCTGGTTCCTCCGGCTCTGGCTCTGGCTCTGGCAGCTCTTCTTCGGGCTCCGGTGGCTCCAACTCCAGCTCTTCGGGCGACTCCGGCGCCGCTGCTGTTTTCGATCAGGCCTCCTGGAAGAAGGGTGCCGCTGTTATGGCTATTGTGGGCTGCACCTTCGTTTTCAACTTGTAATAAGAGTACTAGAAAAATGTTTATAAGCCGGGCTTAATTGAACTTTAATGATGGAACAAGTGTAGTCGCGTCCTCCTCTTCAAAATCGTATCTTCACACTTCTTCGGATGAGTCCCTCAAACGCTTGAGCCGAAGCATTCTTTCCAACGGAATTCGGATATAGAGCTTTTCAGGGGTTTCCTTGCTTTGCGGCTTCTGTGGGGCATTCTGGGGTTTTGCCGCAGGGGTTCCTATATGTCTTGATGTCAGCTTCTGTGACAGAAAACGGTGCAGCAGCTGAAAGGTGCCCTTTGGAGTTTTCAGGTTTTTGATTCCCAGGTGCTCTTTTTTGTGATTTTTGATGGAGAAACTAAGATATAACTTCTTTTGGTCTTCTGGAGGGTTGGTTTCCGTGGTCTTTTTTTCAAGTCGAGGCAGTCTCTTAGTATAAGCTGTGGTTGTAGTCTGAGCGGTCGCCATGGCAATGATGTTATTTGTATTTAAGTTAAAGTAAGCAAAGTGATAGCAAGTTGTAGCAAAATGATAGCAAAGGAAGAGGAATAGGAGTAGTGAGGAGAGTAGGATTGTTGGTTGGTGAGGATGATTTCACAAACGGTAGTTGCAAAAGTTTCCTATTTCGAGAGAACGTGAGCGTTTCAGGAAGAAGACCCCCAGACCTCACCGAAATATTATCAACCACAAAAATAAATGATAATTGGAAGTTGGCTTTTGTTAGTGCTTTAGGTTTTGTGGAGGCCTCTTGCAAATGTTCCATAGGCGAGTAACCTCCACCTCAGTTTGACATTTTTATCGTTGCTTTTTTCTATCATTTTTTCGATTCGTTGCTTCAAAGCTTTTGTTTTTCTTCCTCAAGCAACGGAAGAAATGACCATTTCATTATGCATTTTTGACATTTCCTATGTTCGTGAGGCGCTCCTATCAATCTACACATGTACCACCATCACAGAACCGCAACGCCAAATCCAAGACTTTGTCTTCTCGAACAAAATTTCCATCGTTTCATCGAATCCCTAGATTTCTATCTTTTTCCCATTTACATTCCCCCTGTCTGTCACCTATGTCACCCATGTCTCTGGTGATGCGTAGTTACCTGCATTGAGATGAGCATCACCATCTTGCAACTACTCATCCTCCAGTTTCCAACATGGACCGTCCTGCCAGAGTGCAGGTCAATCCGGATGATATACCGGACGATGACAAGCCGCCACAAACCGGTCACACTTTCAATATCTGGTACCTCCAATGGGCCGGTGGAGATCGGTCTTCCAATGTTACTCAGCGACTGAAGACTCGAGTCAAGATCCTGGAAGACTCCGGATACACCAGGGCCAAGGATGGGAAACTGCCCCTCTGTTTGTTTTTCGCCCGTGGCTGCTGTTATAAAGGAAAGTCCTGCCAATTTTTGCATAGACTACCGCTTCCAACAGATCCAGCAATACCATCACAGGACTGTTTTGGCAGGGACAAAACAGCTGACTACAAGGATAACATGAGTGGTGTCGGGCTGTTCAACAAGGTCAACAAAACGCTCTATGCTGCGGGTCTTCATGTCAACGATGAGATCGAGGAAACTCTTGCCAACCAGTTCGGGGAGTTCGGGTCCATAGATAAGATACGTGTTTTGAGGAGCAAAGCATGTGCGTTTATCTCCTTCAAATACGAGCTGGAAGCTCAGTTTGCCAAGGAGGCCATGGATGGGCAGACTATGGATGGTAATGATACTTTGACAGTGAGGTGGGCCAACGACGATCCAAATCCAAACGCACAGCAACTGACGAAGCGGTCAGCCGATGACGCGGCGTTGGATACGGTAAAGCGGTTGCTAGCGGAGGAGCCCAAGAAGAAGAAAACTCAGCCCCTCCAAAGAAGAAGCCTCCCAAAGAGGAACCTGTTGCATCTGAAAAGGATGTTCTGGACGAGGAGGAGATAGTGGAGGAGGAGCCTACTAGTTCTCGAAGGCTTCTAGGCACCGCAAGATTGGCTGCACTTGGAAGGTTGCAAAAGTCTGGAAAACCCAATAGCACCGACAGTTCAACAAACGGTGGAAACGACGCAAACACCTCCAACGCACCACCTTCCAATGGAGCATCCAATGGAGCACCCAGCATAAAGCCTGATTTGGATTCACCTGTCCAGGCTACATCAGCATCTCAATCGCATTTTGGGGGTTACGGCAGTAGCGATGAGGACTAAGCAGAAGTGAGATACCTTGTTGCTTCTCTCAACCAGTCTGGCACACGCTTGCCGCCCCTGCTCAAGAACTTCTTGAGCTCTATAAAAGTATCCTTATCGCCGTCATCAATGAAGGTGTAACTGGCACCATGCTCGCCTGCACGGCCGGTACGACCGATTCTGTGAATGTACTCTTCGAACTTGTTGCTCATTTGAAAATTGACCACAAGCGAAACGTGTGGAATATCGATACCTCTGGCTGCAACATCTGTGGCTATGAGAATGGAGGCAGCCTTGGAACGGAACTTTTCTATTGCGGTTTCTCTGGCCTCTTGTGATTTCGAACCGTGGATGGTGACCACGTTTTTGAGGTTTTTGTCTGCCAAATCCTCGGCCAACAGCTCAACCACTCGTTTATAGTTGGCGAAAATAATGACAGAAAAGTTGGGGCCCTTCTTGTGTTTCTCCAACAACTGGACAAGCTTTTGTAGTCTGGTAGCATCGACCTCCTGTTTGTCCGAAAGTGCTGGACCCATGTATTCGAATTGCTGGTCGATGGTGTCCACGAGCTCGTTGGCGTTGCCAATAAAGAGGAATCCGGGATCGACCAAGTAATTCTTCGTCATTTTCTCAATAGTCGGCGTGATTGTTGCAGTGAACATAACAGTAGTTCTTTTCTGAACTCTCAAAATCCTCAGATCAATGCTCTGCTGTAGATGTTCGCTTGTTGGCAAGTATTTGAGAATTTGGTTGAGTGACTTTTCAAAGCCCATGTCGATCATCTTGTCTGCTTCGTCCATAGTTACATGGTAGCACTTGTCTAGGCTGATGATGCCACGCTCGAGAGAGTCAACAAGTCTACCGGGCGTGGCCACCACAATGTGAACACCGTTTCTAAGCGAATGAATGGTCTCCTCGTACTTGTGTCCACCGATTATCGTAATAACAGAAAGATTCAAGCGATCTGCAAACTTCTGTGTTTCCTTGGCAATCTGAAGAGCAAGCTCTCGAGTAGGAGCCAAAATAAGCCCTAGCGTCTTGTTGCTATTGGCTTCCTGGGTGTGTTCGTGTTTCATGTACTCGGGCTCGATGTTTAAGATGTACAGAAGAAGCGGGATCACAAACGCTAGCGTTTTACCAGAACCTGTTTCGGCCACACCCACCACATCCCTGTTTCCTAGCACAAGTGGCAATGCAGCTCTCTGAATAGGCGTGGGTTCCTTGTACTTAAGGTGGTTGACTAGTACATCCAACACATTCTCGGGTATTCTTGAGTCCTCGTTCCAGAATCGTAGAGGAAGGTCAATGTCTTTTCCCTTGCTCGATATGTTGTAGTCGTCTCTGAATATCCGCCAGTCTCGTGCTGTCATATCTGCTAGAGCCTTCTGGGACCAGTGTTTCTCAGGTATAGCTTCAGTTAAGGGTCTAGTGGGCTCGATGGTCACCAACGGCAGATAATTGGCAGACGTGTCATCCTCGTCGTCCCAGTCAAAGTTGTACTTTGGTGCTTTCTTCGCTTTCTTCTCCTCGGGTTCTGCTTCTGGTTCAGACTGGCTTTGTATACGTCTTTTCTTCTGGACTGAAACCGCTGGAGCTGTCTTTTTCTTCAATTGTAGACGCTGCTTCTTCAGAAGAAAACGAGGTTTCCCTGCCTCCTCGCTTTGCTTGATCAAATCCTCCACAGAAACAGGCCGTGACATGGATATCTAGTTGTAGTTGAGATCGATGGTGCGAATAATGTGGGGCATCACCAGAACGAGATGAGCTGTGGTAAAGAGGAAATTTCAAGAGATTTAATTAAATTCAGAGCATTCTTTAGATTTGAGAGTGATTCCCAGTCCGTTGGCTAATAATTTCGAAATCGGGGTCCGAATGGAAAAGTGCTTATAATGGCTGCAAACCAATATGGTCTAGGTTACCCTAACACTTGAGCTAGTTTAAAGCATCTACATTGAACTTAGTTTACAAAACGTCTAGACTACCCTCTCTCATGGCATTCACATCAGTGAAATCACAAATCACATACAAGCAGTCTCTATCACCATGGCATTAATAAATAGTCTAGGTCCGGCGCTTTCTGTAAAAGGCAGCGACAGCAATTATCACCACCACAAGAAACAACGCAAGCGGCCCGGTCACACCAAACGTGTGGTCGTAACACTTGTACCCTTGGTTGCACACAAGTTCACCGTTCTCCACCTCGGAGTGTTTATCGTAGTTGTATCCAAAGAACTTTGTGAACATCGTGAGGCCAGGCACCGTCGAGGAGTACATGATTCCCCAAAGAAGGGAGTAATTCTTCATGGAGAAGAGGTCCGCAATAATGGCCGGCAACGATGTGAAGCCAAACCCGTAGGCGTAACCGATAAGCGACGATATAAAAGCCAATCGGATGTTGCACAGCCAAATCAGCAGCGAGTACCGCTCAATAGGGAAGATAAGTGCAGAGTGACCAGCACCCATAAGCACAAGAGCAAGGACGAGCACAGAATGACGTTTCCAGCCATGGCGGTTAACAAGGTAGTCGGCAAAAGGACCTGAGGTAAGGCGTCCAGTAAAAGAGCCGATAGCAATGACAGATACATGGAGAGCCTGGAGAGAGCTGAAGGAAGGAATGTCTGCGACGTTTTCCGCCTTGATTTGTGCGTGTGTGAAGTAGTAGTGGATAGCTTTGAGAATGTAGCCCACCGAGTAGATGTACATCTGGCCAAGGCCCTGGAACACGGCAATAAGCGCAAAGTGGGACCAAAATACACTGTGAGTCAAAATTTCCTTAAGTTCGAGGTGGTGGTATGGGCCAACAGGGGTGGCTTCTGGAGCCATTGAAGCTGGTTCACCCACAGGTCCCTCTGCTTCATCTAAAAGCTGAGAGAATTCTTCTCCAACCTTCTGGGCCTCGTGGCCAGGAATTCGGATAAAAATGACTCCCACAAACTGCATCACAAAAGACGAAACGGCCAAAACAAGGAGAAACGCTCCCACATCGCCATGGAGGATGTGAGAACAAACGAACGAGTACAACAAACTTGCGATGGCAAACAGCGCAATAGGCACGCTCTGCGCCAGTCCTTTCCATTTTGGAGAATTCACCGTGACCGCTTTTATCGCTGCAAAGTAGCTAGCGGTAGAACCAGCTCCAACAAGGAACATCGCCAGAATAAGCATCCAATGAGCAGCATCCTCGCCCAGAAGATAAAGCGAACGGAGCCAGTAGTAACCAGACGAAACTAACAACCATCCGCTGGCCACAGGGTACTGAGAACCAAAAGTGTCGGTGACATAACCTCCTATCAATCCACCCAAAGCGGAACCCACAGTAGCGGAAATACTTAGGTTTGCCGCCAGCGACGAGTCAAGGTGACATTGTGCTGCGAGCTGAGGCCCATAAACAGAATATACAAAAAGGGCACCTGAAGAAAGCCCCACGGGGATGGAGGAAGCAATAACCAGAGCCATAGCGGAATTCGACTGGATGGGTTTTCAGCACTGAGTCGGGTGTGGTGTTTCTGATTTGACTCAGTTTATTGCTGAGGGTCTAGCGTTCAATGTGAATGAACTATGAGTGGTCTGAGCGATATTGACCTATTCTTGTGAAAATTGTAGAAAGAAGTGTGGTTGTAGTGATAGAGCGCGCCGTTGATTTTGAGCAACGAGGGGTGGTGTGGATCAGAGTCAACGGAGGGGTCCGTAAGATGAAAGGGTTTTGGATTTTCACTGAATCTTGAACATTCAGATAAAAAGTGTTTGCGTGTTTGTTTGGTTGCAAAACGGTTGCTAAGTGTGGTGCAGCGTGAGGCTTTTCTTGAAGTCTATTTACGGGGTCTCTGCAAGGAAGCCGAATTTGCCGACATGACAGGCTTCTGGGGTAAGAAAGGGAACAGCGAGTATGAAAATCTTCTTTGCTTGAATGGACTAATAAAATCTGAATTTACTAAGATCTGGTAGAGGGAATTGGTGGTAGTGTGGAGAAGTACGCAAACGCCAGGGCACATAGGTGGTTTCGATACTTCCTCAAATGGGACAGCTTCTTCGGTGTTGAATAAAACGTCAAAGAAAAAAGATGTAGTAAATATAAGTACTGCTGTTTCGGTCTGGGAGATTGGTGAAAGCAGCCAACAGTGATGAACTGTGGGGTACCAGCGACATCTCAAGGCCTAAACAATTAAGATGTGGTCCTACTTAGTAAATTTCCCACCTATACATTCAATTTTCACTTCCTATTTAGGTGCTGTTTTGAAGCACCATTCTAACTTATTAGATACAAGGGTGATGTCGCTGATGTCAGACAGTGTGTAGCAATTTGCAACCAAAATGTCGCAGCACAAGAGGTCGATCTACTCACCCCACGGAAGTTCATTCATAAGAAAAGCTGGGCAGTCTCTTTACCTCAAGAGACTCGTTGTTTGAAGGATTCTTCTTTTGGGCTGATTTTTTCAAAAGCTGGCTAAACCGCCATGGGGTACACTTTTCAATCCTGCAAGTCACCCTTAGCTCCGATCCACTTCAGCCACACATACTCACTACTGACAAGAAGAAAACTGGCACGTTCTGAGCAATCGCTCATCCCGAAATCATCACCAAAATTGAAATACACAGCCGTAAGTGGCAGACGACCGGCTATGGCCGGTCCGTGGTCACGTGATCAGTTTTCACGGTCGTGCGCATCCATGGTGTCGAGAAAATTTCAATGCTTCCAAAAAACCCACAATCTCTAACCCACAGAATGCCAATTGATCCAGAGAAGTTAGCCAAGTTGCAAAAATCCAACCCCAAGAAGGTTGGTGGTGCCAGAGTCAAGGCCAAGAAGGTCGTCAAGGAGGTGGACGACGTCAAGCTCGTCGAGACCTTGGGCAAGTTGAAAGCCACCAAGGTCGAGGGCGTCGAGGAAGCCAACTTCTTCAAGGACAATGGCAAGGTTTTGCACTTCAACAGAGTCGGTGTCCAGGCTGCTTCCCTGAGCAACACTTTTGCCTTCACCGGTTACCCCCAGGAGAAGGACATCACCCAGTTGATTCCAGGTATCTTGCCTCAGTTGGGTGCTGAGAACTTGGAGGCCTTGAGAAAGTTGGCTGAGCAGATCCAGGGTGGTAAGGCTCCTACCGAGTTGAACGCCGGTGCCGAGGGTGCTGACGAGGACATTCCAGACTTGGTCCAGGGCGAGAAGTTCGACGATGTCGAGTAAGGAAGATGTACATACGAGGTGCAGGGCCCCGGGTTCTGGCGTAGCATTAATTCACGAGATGCAGCATGGAGAGATTGTAGAAGGATGATGGAGGAGATGTCTGGGTTGGAGGGGAGTTGGGTTGTAGGTGGAAACCGTAGATCGCTTAGCGAATGATCAGCGAACAATCGCCAACGTTTGAAATACATTCGGTTGGGTAGGAACAAAAGTATTTTGGCAGTATGATGATTTTTGATTGGATGGATTTTTGATTCTTCAATGCCGAGTCAAAGATATGGACAATGTGCCTGGACTAATGCTTCTCGCCCATCTATTGGTTCATAGGGCGCTGATCATATAATGGTGATTTTGCAACCAAAAGAACATGAAAGCCATATTATAGCTTTTATTGAAAATTTCCAAACTCAAATACTTCCCTTCCACTTGAAGTCTTTCCCTGTAATTGCTTTCCTTAGTTTTATAAGGCAACGATCCACCCTACAACTTTCTCTCTACTCAAATGCTCATTAATTACAAATCCTATGGGTTGTGGTCGCCGGCGTTATGTATCGAGATGTCCAGCTCAGCCTTGACATCCACAAGGTCCAGCACATCAATGCAAGCGTCCACGCTCAAACCCTTGGTGACCTCCTTCAAACGCTGGTTCTGCGCCCGAATCTTCTCCAACTCCTGGATGTATTTCTCCTCTGGACCGGTGATGTACTGGCCGGTGAAAACACCCACTTCGAATGTCAGCGTCTTTTCGCTTGAGCAGCAGTCCACCAAGTCTTGAAGATCCTGATAGAAGACGTTGTCGGCGCCAATGACCTCGGCGATCTCCTCTTCCGTTCTGTCGAATCCCACAAGCGCCTTGGTGTCGGCCAAATCAATACCGTAGATGTGGTTGAAACGGATTGGAGGAGCACAAGAGGCAATCATGACCTTCTTGGCGCCGGCCTCACGGGCCATCTGGATGATCTCCTTCGAGGTGGTACCTCTGACAATGGAGTCGTCCACCAAAAGCACGTTTCTGCCCTTGAACTCGGACTCCATGGCGTTCAACTTTCTTCTCACACTCAGGCGTCTTTCCTGCTGGTTGGGCATAATGAATGTACGGCCAATGTATCTATTTTTGACGAAACCCTCTCTGTAAGGAATGTTCAAGGAGACAGCACACTGCAAAGCAGAGGTACGCGAGGTGTCTGGAACAGGAATCACCACATCGATCTCACCCAAAACGTCGTGGTTGGGGAAGCTCTTTCTAATTTTGGTGGCCAAACGGTTGCCCATCTCGATTCTGGATCTGTAAACGGAAACGCCGTCCAAAACGGAGTCTGGTCTGGCGAAGTACACGTACTCAAAGATATCTGGCGAGAAGACCTTTGGTTCCACCACCTGTCTGAATTCGGGCTTGTTGTTGGCGTCAGGCGCCTTGGGGATGATGACGGCCTCACCGGGAGCAATGTCTCTAAACTTGTTGTAACCGTGAGCCTTCAAAACCACAGACTCAGAGGCAAGCATGTAGTCAGAAGAACCATCCTCGTTCTCTCTCTCACCAAACAAAAGCGGACGGATACCGTTGGGGTCACGGAAACCAATGACACCGTAACCGGCAAGCATGGCGGTACACGTGTAGGCGCCTCTCACAAACTCCATGGTGGAGGTCAAAGCAGCAAAGAGATCCTGGTTGTTCACACGGCTCTTGTTGGACTTGTCCAACTCGGACGCAAAAATGTTCAACAAAAGCTCCGAATCGGAATCGGTGTTGATGTGTCTGTGCACGGTCTCGTCCAAGTACTTCCTCAACTCCAGCGAGTTGACCAAGTTACCGTTGTGAGACATGCAAATACCATAAGGCGAGTTGACGTAAAACGGCTGGGCCTCGCTGCCGGCACTGGAACCGGCAGTCGGGTATCTCAAGTGAGTGATTCCCATGTTGCCCACCAAGTTGACCATTCTCAGCTGGGTGAAAACGTCTCTGGCCATTCCGTTTCCTTTGCACTGGTAGAAACGGCCTCGGGCTCCACAGGTAACGATACCTGCGGCGTCCTGGCCTCTGTGCTGGAGGAACATGGCGCCTTCGAAGAGCTCGGAGGCGACATTGTTCTTCTGGTTCGCTAGCACGACCGCCAATATTCCACACATGTTAAGAAGAGATGAGCTGAAGAGATGAGACGGAGTCAGAAGTCGCGAAAACCTGGAGATGAGGGTACAATGGAAAAACCGACGAAAAAGAAACCCGCAGCTTTTTGGGTTCTACTCTTAATGGCTTTTGTATTTTGATTGTGCATTTGAACGTAATTTTTAGAGGAGTTGTCTTTTTATTGACCTGATGGAACTTTTCGTGATGGGTCGCTGACTGTTTCGCAGCCGTTGGGATCGAATTAGCCAGCCCAGATAAATTACATAATTCGCAGCCACACGGTCAGATATCGCGCTGAGTCAGTGGATGACGATTGAAAGTTCTTAACGATTTGTTATATTTCGATATGATGCGTAACAATTTGTTATATTTCGATATGATGAGGAATGTTTTTCTGAATTGGTCTGATATTTTCTGTGGCTCTTGACCGTGAATAAGCGGCATGCTGGAAAACGGCTTTTCTAGGACCAATAGAAAATGAGAAGGTAGAGTCTACGACAAGTTCCGCAAACATGCACCAGCTTGTGAAACCAAGCCTTTAAATTGAAGAATTATTTATAAGTGACTCAATGGTGATCGACCTCTCCATCAAATCAAAGTACGCATCTACAATCCTGAAAATGAAATAATAAAACAAAACTATGAAATGAAGACACCATATGAATACAACCCAAATTCGGATGTCCAGTGATGTGAAAATAAAATCTATAACTGGAGCGGAACATCCCAAACAAAGCATCAGCTGAAACTGAAATCGTAACTCGTTAATGTAGGCACAGGAAAGTGAATGCAACTGGTAAGTTGTGAATGACTTGTGTTGAACTGGGCGGCATGGCCGGCCGGCCATGGCCCGTCGTTATGTGAACATGCTAGTTTCTTGACAGTAGACTCGTGCTGTCATCCTGTGAACCATCGATTCTTAGATACGGTTGTAATGCGCTTTGGGGAACTCTCCAGGGTGGAGATCGAGGCGATGAGTTGCCTGGGAGAAGATAAACTTTTTTTCTTTTTTTTTGTATGATTTTTTTGATTTTTTTTCTTTTTTTATTTTGGATTTTTTAATTCGTAACTGATTCTTCGCATTTAGGTCGTCAGTTCCCGGTGTCACTCTAAATCCTTGACACCATAGATATTCAAATGGGAATGACGCATAGCCTGGGCCGTCTATTGTTTCTGAGCCTGGCCATTGAATTGCTGTGGGTGACCGTTAAACTGAGGTGGTCCTTGCATGTGGGGTGGGTAACCGTATTGCGGTGGGAACTGACCGTATTGAGGGTATTGGGGCATGCCTTGTGGAGCCTGCTGGCCGTTAAATTGATGGCCCTGTGGTGGCTGTTGAGGCTGCTGCGGCGTCTGTGACTGCTGTTGTTGCTGTGGAACTGGTACTTGTTGGAACTGCTGAGGAGGGAGTTGTTGAGGAATACCTTGTGGCACACCTTGGGGCACTTGCGGCTGACCTTGGTACTCGTAGCCGTTCTTTCTGGAATCCTTGGTCTTGGGCAACTCGTCAAGCTTGAATGGCTTAGGGATTGTCTCCTCGTTCTCGTTGACGTAAAGAGACTTGTCGATGTTGGCTGGAATAGGCTTGATCTCAGTGCCCAACTCTTGCTCGATCTTGTACAAGTTGTATCTGTCATTCCAGGACATCAAGTTGATGGCCAAACCCAAGTGGCCGAATCTTCCTGAACGACCGATTCTGTGCAAGTATGTCTCGGCGGTTTTGGGGAAGTCAAAGTTGATGACGACGTTGACGGCTTGCACATCGATACCTCTGGTCAACAAGTCGGAACATACCAAGTTACGGACCTTGCCCTGTCTAAATTCGTGGAAAACCTTGTTTCTAGCGGACTGTGGCATTTTAGCGTGGGAGTAGTAACACGAGTAACCCAACTCCGTGATCTTTTTGGCCAATAACTCGACTCTGTTAGTGGAGTTACAGAAGATAATGGACTGGTTGATTTGCAACTTGCTGAAAAGAGTGTTCAAGCAGTGCAACTTTTGCTTTTCCTCAACGAAAGCGTAGAATTGAGAAATACCTCTCAAGGTCAACTCGTCCATCAAGTTGATCTCATAAGGCTTCGTCAAGTGCTTGTCCATGAAAGACTTGACGGCGTAGGGGAAGGTAGCGGAGAATAAGAGCGACTGTCTGCCAGCGGGGAAAAATGAAAGAATCTGTTCAATGACGTTTCTGAACTCTCTCAGCAACATCTTGTCGGCCTCATCCATAACGAAAAGAGGACATTCAGACAAGTCGGCGATATCTCTCGAGGCCAAATCCAAAACACGGCCTGGGGTACCCACGAGAACGTGGACGGTTTCGTTCAATCTCAAAATGTCGTCTTGCAAGTTGGTACCACCGGTGGTTACCATGCACTGAATGCCCAAATGCTTGCCCAAGGTTCTGACGACCTGGGAGGTCTGCAAGGCCAATTCTCTGGTGGGGACAAGGATCAAGGCCTGGATTTTATTAAGCTTAGGCTTCACTTGTTGCAAGGAAGGAATCACGAAAGACGCGGTTTTACCTGTACCATTCTTGGCTCTAGCCAAAATATCTCTGCCTGCAAGGGCCATAGGAATGGACTCTTCTTGAATTGGGGAGGGCTTCTCGAAACCAGCTTCAAAGATGCCCATTAACAATTCTCTCTTCAAGTTAAAATCCTCGAAAGTTTTGCCGTGTGTCGTTAACACGTCTTCTGTTTGAACTCTGGTGTCCTTCGCAGGAACATTTAGGTTGGTTTTCCAATCTGACATTGTGTATGGGGGCTTATTATATGAATTTAGGTGTAGATGAGAATCGAGGTGGTGTTCGTTGAAATCTTTCTGTAAGGTGGTGCGTGCACGCCCTTGACATCCAGACACCTGGGCCGAAAGCAGCCCCTTAAGGGACTGTTATTCCAGGTATATGGTGAAATCTTGGGGAATTCTCGGAAATCTAAGGTGAAGCTTCCAAGCCTTTATGTGGTTTTTGTTATTTTCGAAAGTTTTGAACAAATCGGGATATGAAGGGTGGCTGCGAAAACCTTCCTTCGGTCTATCTACAAGGATAAGGGCTTAGAGAAGATCTGTTTATGTTTCGTTTTTCATGGTGGCAAATAAGACGGAAATAGGCCAATCTTGCGAATTTAGGCTTTTTAAGTTGTATAGATGGATTTTGAAATTTGGTTTTCGTGGTTTACGATTTTCAACTTTTACGGAAAGTACTCACGGACCCGAAGTTTTTCACCGTATAGCTGATATAAACATATTTGTGAATACACAAGACGCCAAAAATTTCGTTTGAACCATTGACCTCACAATGATTGAAACTGCCTTATCACACAACTGAGTTCTCAATTTGAAATTCTTCAATATCGACTCAATGGCTTGGAGTTGATGGAATATATAGATGATACACATCGGAAACCAGTTTTGACGGAAAGACCTGGAGGCCACATCCTGATCTCATATTATGAGATCGTTCTGACCCCACCTCATGGCTTTTATCGATTTAATAGCTATTAGCTCTTGAGATGCCCTCCCTTCGACTAATCTCTCAGCTCTACATCAACACCACCTACCCTAACCGACTTCCCAGTAAATGTCCATTCTCTATAATTGTATTTCAACCCTTTTCAAACACCTTCACAAACCCCTAAACAAACCCCACCCTTTTGGAGCACTCATTCATCTCCATCACTCTCCTTCCATTTCTTCACACCGTCCATGACTTCTCCATCGGGCTTCAGCAAAAAGTCAACCATCTGCTTCTCCACACCGGCATTTTCAAGCTTCCGGCGCATCTGCTGCATCACAGCCTGCTCGTTCGTCCTGATTAGCACCTGCTTCCTCACCATCTCATCCTGGCTCAAGTTGAAAGGATAGATGCAACTTTCACTGACACAAACCAAAACCGCAACATCCGGAGAAACGAGATTCTGCCGTAGCTCCGAGCAGCACAACGGGCAAATCATGTAAAAAAAGTGAAACTCAGATCCTGGTGTGTAGCAAGTAGATGAGCATCGCACTGCGAACTTACTAGTACTGATACCACCACCATGAAATTATCACCAGAAAAAGTCCGGGACTTGCAGAGTTCCACGGCCAATGTCAGGAATATCTGTATTTTGGCACACGTGGATCACGGAAAGACGTCTTTGAGCGACTCTCTCTTGGCCACAAACGGAATTATATCACAGAGAATGGCAGGCAAGGTCAGGTACTTGGACTCCAGAGAAGACGAGCAACTAAGAGGCATTACCATGGAGCTGTCGGCAATTTCGCTATATTTCAGGGTCATGAGAAAGAAGGAGGGTTCGGAGGAGGCCGAGGTCAAGGAGCATCTCATCAATCTTATTGATCTGCCTGGTCATATTGATTTCTCCTCTGAGGTGTCCACCGCCTCTCGTTTGTGTGATGGAGCTGTTGTTTTGGTGGATGTTGTTGAAGGCGTTTGCTCTCAGACGGTCAATGTGCTTAGACAGTGCTGGGTGGACCGTTTGAAGCCGCTTTTGGTGCTTAACAAGATGGATCGGTTGATCACAGAATTGCAGTTTTCGCCACTCGAGGCGTACCAGCACTTGCTGCGGCTTGTCGAGCAGGTGAACTCCGTAATTGGTTCATTCTACGCTGGCGACCGAATGGAAGACGATATGAAGTGGAGAGAGGCTGGAGCTGAAGGGGAGTTTGTAGAGAAGTCCGATCTGGATCTCTACTTTTCTTCCGAGAACAACAATGTCATTTTCGCTTCGGCCGTGGACGGCTGGGCATTTTCTATCAACACTTTTGCACGCATATACCTGGCCAAACTAGGCTTTTCCCATGCAGCCTTGTCCAAGACGCTATGGGGTGATTTCTACTTGGACATGAAGAACAAGAAGGTGATTCCGGGGCTGAAGTTGAAACCATCCCAGTCTTCGCTCAAGCCGCTTTTTGTCTCGTTGGTGTTGGAACAGATCTGGAATATCTACGACGCCTGTGTTTTGAATAGAGACGACGAGAAGCTCGAAAAGATCACCAGCAAACTCGGCTCCAAGCTCTCACCTCGTGATTTGCGTTCTACAGACTACAAGGCGTTGCTTAATCTGATCATGTCGCAATGGATACCTTTGAGTCATGCCCTTCTTGGTGCCGTGATTGAGTACTTGCCCAATCCATCTGTTGCTCAGGAGCTGAGAATGGAGAAGATCTTGGATGAGTGCATCTACAGCGCTGTTCCTGAAACCACGAAGGAGCAGTTGCTTGATGCTGGTTTCAAGAAGGCGCTAGAGGCGTGTGACTCGAATTCAGCCGATTCACATACCCTCGCATACATTTCCAAGATGCTCTCGATTCCCAATGCTGAGCTTCCAAAGGAAGCCACCATTGTTCCTAGTGCCGAAGAACTCCAAGAAAGAAGCCGAAAGGCTCGTGAAATCGCCAAAAAAGCTTCGGATGCTGCTGCTGCTTTGGCTGATGCCCGTTTGGAACAAGAAGACGGCGGTGAAATATACCTCGAAACCAAGCCAGATCAGTTCCAGTGGGAGTTCGAGGAGGATCCCGATGAAGAGGAGGAAACTGAGGTGGAGAAGGAAACGCTTATTGCTTTCACAAGAGTTTACTCCGGTAAGTTATCTCGTGGTCAGAGGGTTTGTGTGGTGGGTCCAAAATATGACCCAGCTTTGGGCAAAAACCACCCGTCCAACATTGAGCAGCTCCGTGAGGATGTTGAAATCCAGGATCTCCTTCTAATTATGGGTCGTGAGTTCGTCAGAGTCGACTCCGTTCCTGCTGGTAACATTGTTGGATTGGTGGGTTTGGGAGACCTCGTGCTCAAGAATGCTACCATCATGTCTGAGGTGCCTGAGGAGAAACCATACCTTAATTTTGCCTCTACAGCCACCTTGATCCACAACAAGCCTATCATGAGAGTGGCCATTGAGCCTGACAATTTGCTTAAGTTGTACAAGCTCGAGAAGGGATTGGAGTTGCTTACCAAAGCTGATCCTGTTCTTGAGTGGTACATTGATGACGATTCCGGTGAACTTATCGTGTGTGTAGCTGGTGAGCTTCATCTTGAAAGATGTCTCAAAGACCTTGAAACCCGTTTTGCGCCTGGGTGTGAGGTGGTTATCAAGGAGCCTGTCATTCCTTTTAGAGAAGGCTTGAATGCTGACGCCAAGCCGTCAATCACAAAGGAGGAGCTCGAAAACGACAGTGAGGCTGAAGAGGAGGAAGTTGAAGAGGATGAGGTTGATTTGCAAATTGACGTTTTCCCGTTGCCTGATGAGGTGACAAGCTTTTTGACAAAGAGCGAGCTTGAGATCAAGGAGTTGGTGAACTCTAGACTCTCCAACAACCCAGAGGATTTCGAGAAGCATGTTACCTCGTTTCATGAAAAGATTGTCGCTGTTCTTGAGCAGCATCCTCTTCCTCGTGAGGTGCTCGATATCTTCAAGTCAGTGACGGCTTTTGTGGACAATATCATCAGTTTTGGACCGAAACGAGTTGGTGCTAACGTTTTTGTGGAGGCACCCTCGAATGGCCAACAATTCCGCAGAGTTCTAGCCAAAGAGAATGAAGAGGCCAAACGGTTTGAATTTGAGTCTAACGTTCTAGGAGGTTTCCAATTGGCAATGCATGAAGGACCACTTTGCTCCGAGCCCATTCAAGGCACGATTGTGGTTCTTCAAAAATCCTACAGACCCGACACCGAGGAGGTTTTGCTTAATTTGGCAGGAAGAATCCTCAAACAGACTAAGCAGCTCATCCACAAGGGCTTCCTTCTCAATGCTCCAAGGCTCTTCCTCGCCATGTACACCTGTGAAATCCAGACTTCGCCAGAGGTGCTCGGAAAGGTGTACGTTGTGATTCAAAAAAGAGGAGGCTCCATCATTTCTGAAGAGATGAAAGAGGGCACACCTTTCTTCACGATCAATGCTCGAATTCCCGTTGTTGAGGCGTTTGGATTTTCTGAAGAAATCCGTAAAAGAACGTCCGGTGCCGCAAGTCCCCAGCTTGTGTTTGACGGCTTCGACATGCTAGACATTGATCCGTTCTGGGTGCCTCATACTGAAGAAGAGCTCGAAGAGCTTGGAACATTTGCCGAGAGAGAGAATGTCGCCAGAAGGTACATGAACAACATCAGAAGAAGAAAGGGACTTTTCGTGGATGAAAAAGTTGTCCAGAATGCCGAAAAGCAAAGGACATTGAAAAAAGACTAAGTAGTATATTTCTCAACACCGGTGGTTGATCCTCCATCACGGTTGCAAATGTGCGCTGCGCACCTGAATAAAAAAATTAACTAAGAACAGAAATCCCCATACTTAAACCAGACACTTATGAGTACCGAAGAGGCCGTTTCCGGCCCGCATAAAACACCAGAGAAGCCTCTGGAAGCACAGCGAAAGCTGGATACACAGAGAAAATTGGAATTCATCTCGATGGTCAGGCGAAACATGGAGAATAGAAAGATGCAAGATTCAAGCAATGGCAACTTTCTGCCGTTTCCCAAGGAAGAAAACCCGTTTAAAATGGGCTTTGGGCTCGAGGAAATCAAGCTAATAAAGCAGGAGATGGAGAAGATGATCCTGACGATTGGCCTCAAGGATGTGGTGAGTCTACGTGATACAGATGAGATCATGAAGCTTCAGCGGAAGATCGCCGAGGTTGAAGCAGAGAGACAGAACGAGGGGGTTTCTCTCTTTACGGCACAAAGGACGAAGAAGGGCTCCACGAAGGCAACGTGGACGAATACGAGGACTACGAGGATCTAGAACAAGACGACTACGACATTGGAGAAATCCAGGGGGACCCCGAGTTTCTGTACGACTACGGGCCCACGCATCATATTGAAGTGGAGCTTTCGGACGGACCGGCGGGAGAACACAGAAATAGAGACGACGAGCCGTCGTGTGAGTTCACGTTTGAGTACGACAGAAACGGCAAGCTTGTGCCCACATACTGCAACGTGGAGGAGCAGCTTCGTTTCATGAACTTGCGAGAAAAGCAGGGCCATGTGGAGGCGCCCGTGGAGGAAACGGGGAAGAAAAAGAAGAAAAAGAGCAGCAAGAAGAAGAAAAAGGCAGCACAGACGCCCCAGCGCAGCGTCGACGAGAACACGGGGTGTCTATTTTGCCAGTACGAGGCGTTTTTTGGCGTCAAGCCGGTGCACATGATGCGGTGGTACGACCAGAAAGTGATGAACGAGGAGAGACACCGACAAAAGGTGAGGGAGAAGCTCGAAAAGGCAAAGGTGAGGGCGCTTCGGAGGCAGCAGCCTGACTATCATGAAGAGGTGCAAGACGATGCCGAGGACCTGGACGGCAGCCGAACCACCGTCGTGGACCAGGGTAACGAACACTAACTTATATAACGATTAACGAATGTCCAAGGACCAGGAGGGTGTAGCGGTGGAGAAGGAGGGAGGTGAGGGATAGAACGAATGGAGTGAATGAGGTAAAAATTGAAGATGAAGAAAGCTAGGGTTGTGAGGAGTGGGTATTTGTGAGACAACCGTGCTAGTGTAAGTGCATGAGAAGCTTTGAAGTACCCACAAGTTCGGGCAAAAGCCAGTGCTTTGAAAAAGCCAACTTCATATAATTGAAAGACTAGAGGCTTCATCCCTAAACTTCTCTACTAAATACCACTGACTGCTCATTAACGTTGGAACTATGAGCACCAATCAATCCTAGGCTAGTGAGACCAGTGGGGACACCAGATACGATATTGCAATCAACCCGTCATTTCAAAGAGCAATTGAGGCAAATTTTACTTGACCAAGTACGTCATCAACATAATTTCCTCATCCCTTTAATACTTTCTCTCTCCTCCCTTGTAGTCGACATCCCACCAGCTTTGCACCCATTTGGTGCGAATATCAACACCAACTACACCTTCTACCTTCTACAAACAAACCATGTTTGCCAAATCCGCTACGCCGGCCACGCCCGTCAACAGACCCAAGTCCCATATCAACGACTCCGTCACGTGGGTCAAGGAATGGTACAATCCGCTTGAATACGGCTCTGGTGGACCTGCCTCTTTGAAATTGAAGGGCTGGGTCAAAACCAACGCTGCTAGTGCTGAAAACGCTGCTCCTGACGTCGACCCTGCAGGATTATTGAACTTGGAGGCCAGCAAGTACTTGCAAGATCCTGTTGTGGTGGAGGTTGTTCAGGAAGTGCCTGAGGACCCTGAGCAGAACAAGGACTTGAGACTGGCCTTGAGCATGGACAAGAAGGACGACCAGATTTCGTCTCTTTCGGGTTTGGGCATGTGAAGAAGGAAAAGCTTGTGTATATTAGGAATAAAGTTATCGTTACTGTGCTGTAGGAGATGAATGCATTATGGGCATGGGATGGACGCTTGATGGGATCTATATCAAAGGCGTTTCAGAAACAGCGCTACACAGAAGGTGCATTGCCCGTCTTGAGACCAAGGAAACAAACAGACGCTCTCGCCTCTTGAACGAGGCTCTTGAGCTCAGTGTCCTTGTCAAATGTCCATACCTGCTCTGGATCGTCAACCTGTTTTCCCTGTTTTTGCATCCAGCTGTACTTCAGCTTTGTCAGTTGAAGCTTCTGGATTTTCGGACTGACGTTGCTACCGCCAATGACGATAAATGTACTATTTTCAGGCAAAGACTCCCATACCTTGTTCAACTGCTCATCTAGCTTGGCCTTCTGCTCGTCATCACCTCCTTTCGGGTACTCAGAAAGCTTGCAGAATATAACTTTGCTGTTTTTGGTGGCCTCGTCTATCTTTTCAACCAACAAATCATCACTGCTCTCCACAACCTGCTTAATAGTATCTGCATGGACGGAAGTGATACCCCATTCAGTCATAGACTTGTCGAGGATCGCTACGGGCTTGTCTCCTTCCTTCTCAATTCTCAACGAAATGGGCTCAGAGTCGGGCTCCTGGCCAAATAAGGGACCTTTGCTGAGCTTCAACTTGACCAAATCCAAGCATGCAATGGAGTCCTCCACTGAGGAATGCCCTTTACCCTCGGCTTCTCCGGCCTGGATCTTACGTCCAAGGTAGGTCTCTGCAAGCCACTTGAGACTCGCTTTGAATGGCTTTTTGCGTGTATGGTCGTAGATCACGCAAGTGTCGACGATTTTGGGATGGCACATTTTCAAGACATTGAGGTCAAACAGAAGCGAGTGGCCGACGAGAATGTCTGATGATGAGATAGTCTGTAGAAGCTTTTCTCGAACCTGCTGCTGTGTGGTTGTAGCCTTATCCATGATGTCTTCGGTAATACCAGAGAACTTTGTAGCGTAATCTATGATCTCCTTCTCAGGCTTCACAAACTCATCGTAAACCACGTTGTTGTCGTAATCAACGATAGAGATCCTAGCCAACTGGCTTCCTTCCTTGGTCTGACAGAACTCACAGTCTAATGCAAAAATCTTGGGCTCGTGGTCCAACTGTTTAGTCTCAAACCAATCGTCCGGGAGTTCATGGCCAGAGCCAGGAAAATGCTTGAAGTCGTGGTCCATCCAATCTGGCATCTTCACGAATAAGCTCTCGATGGCGACTGGTGTATTCAGCAGCTGTTCCATCATGTCGTCTTTGGACTTTCTGGTGATCTTTACGTTGATCAACGTTCGTTCGATTGAAAACACCTCATTGGCCTTTCCCGGAAGCCTTAAAGGGATAATATCCTTGAATTTGGACTCAAAAAAGGGGAGTTTCGTGGCCTTAGAGCTATCAAGCTTCAGAACCTTCTCTGTTTGACCAAAGTCGTCCATGACAAGCCCTGGAATCAAGCACACCACAACATTCGGCACCTTCTCCTTGTGCTTCACTTCAAACTCCTTGAGCGAAGGTACACTTCCTCCTGCTAGATCAATGGCAAGGGACCTGATGGCTGGAAGCACTAAGTGATCGTTCTTCACTGTGATCTCTGGCGGTGCAAGCATCTTTTTAAGTTTTCGTTTGTGGGTTTTTTGCTTTTTCTGTTTGGGCTGAGATTCGAGGGAATCTGCCCTTTTTATACTCTCAAGTGGGGCTTCTGGGGTGAGATCAGCACTCATGGAACATGCGTAGTTGAGGTGCTTGATATCGCGAATCGATGCCCTGAAATGTAGAGGTATGTCTGAGACAAAAACATGTAGTTTTAGAGTGCAAAAAAGCAAATCAATTCTTCAGTGGCACTTTTAAAGTCTATTCTATTCCCGAAAGTTTACAAATCGTTAGTTTTCACAGAATCACTTGCTTCTTGACGGTATTCTGTGTCATGGTTGCAAAAAATCCTGATGCGGATGAAAAAGGCAGTATGATCCCGGCACAAGGCCAGGCCGAAAGAGTGATGCACGTAAAGCAGTTTCTTCCCTATTCAATCAAAAAGAAAGATCAATGCAGAGCCAATTTTGGCCAAATTTATCAAGTTGTCAGATAGTCCTCACTTCTTGAGAACAGCCTCCAACTGCTTGATTGCATCATCGTAGGTCAATGGCGGAGGTCTCTCAGGTTTTGGCGGCTCCTCCTCAAAACCCACAAGCTTCTTGGCTTTACTCACAAACTCATCGGGATTGCCCTCGATATAAGCCTCGTAGAGATCCTCAAACTCATCCATCTTCACCTCCTCGTCAATTAAATCCCAACCCTCTCTTTTAGCAATCAGCCTGGCGATCATCTGGACTTTGGTCCACAGGTCCCAGCCAAGAGCGAGTTGTTGATGCAAGTCAATGTTGTCCGATACCTGCTCACCATTGGGCGAGAAGATATGCTGCTCTCCCTCCTTAAGCCCTCCTTTAAGCGACAGAACCAAAAGTTGACATGTGCTTGGATCTTCAAACTCTTCCAATTTTCCCGAAAGCGCTCCGTAGTAAGCGCCATGCTTCAAGGCAAGGTATCGTAGGAGCTGCTGGACACCCGTATTCGCCTCCAGAAGGTGATCTTGCACTTCCGTAGCATCGAAAACATAGATTGTTTCAAATCCAAAAATTCTATCGGCCTGACCCTGGGGTAGTCTGACTTCAAAGTCTGTATTCACGACTCCATTGGTCCTGTTTGCAGTGGCCTGGGCCAAATGCCGCTTATAATGCATTTTGTAGTCTTCAAGCCTTTGCTTGGCCCTTTCTGCTTCACTACACTCATACAAGAGCTTTGAAGCCTCGAGTAGAGCAGGCAATTGCTTGTAGATAAGCACAACGATGGTATTCTTGTAGTCACCAAGTAGCTTGCGGATGTACCTCAGAAGAAGGTCAAAGTTGTATATAATGTAGAAATCTGTGTCATCAGTGTAATTGTATCTGATTGCCTCTCCTGGCTGCAGGGTGCAGTGGATAACGAGAACTAGGTTCTTCATGGAGTAGTTGATGGTGTGCGTAGAGGTCAAACACCGGACATAAGATCAACACGTGGACTACAGACAAATCATAAAGTAATTGAAAAAAAAGGTATATATATCAGCCCTAGGTGCCCAAATCACGTCTCAATTAATATTTATATCCTTGGTTTGGCGTCTTCTGGGGACCAACGGACCACATCCGTGCACCATCACCAACCATATCAGTGTGCCACTACTTCTAAAAAAACAAGCCTTTCAGTTGTACCCCACAAAATGGCACCCAACGGCACCAACGGCACGGCCCGGTCCAAAAAGTCAGGTGAAGGTGACGGCTTCTACAATTCGCTTGTCAAGGGCGACGTGGAAGTGCCGGACGAAAAGGTTATTGATGAGATATTCACCGAGAGAACTACCAAGCATGCGGATGACGCCATAGATTACGAGGATATCGACGAATTGGCGGACGAGGATGACGACTTGGATGCCGTTCCTGGCGCCGAGGATTCCAATAATAATTTTACCGTTGATGGACTAGACGAAGAGGAGGATCTACAGAACCAGGCAAACGACCAGTTTGATGCATTCTTTGGTGACGACGATAAGCCTGGCGATGATGGAGATATCGAGATTCCAGGCGGCGATATGGGCATGCTTGACGATATGAACAATCAGTTTGGTTTTGAGGACGACGGTCTTAACGATCTCGAGTTGGGGTTCGAGGACGAGGACATGATGGTTGACCAAAGGATCCCGAAGAAGAGGAAATCTCCAGAAGAGCTAGCGGCCAAGAGATCCAAGCTCCAGAAACTCGTCAAGGATATGGAGTCACGCCAAAAATCACGTATGGTGGCCAAACACTTCCCAGACTATCAACCAGACAAGCCGGTCAATTTCCACACCATGTCGCTTCCGGCACCAAAATACTACAAACATCTCCGGCCGGCTCTTGCATTCAGAAGCAACATCAAGCCCCTAATACCGATGAAGCTCAGTTTGGAAGTGGCGCCGGACCAAAAGAAAGCATTCAAGTCAAAGAGAGGAGTGACGAAAGATCAATCACAGAAGCATGGCGTTGTCGAAATCACAGAGAAAGACTTAGAACTAATAGCTGACTTTGAGAGCAACAAGGAAAACTCCGTCAGCGTCAAGCTTTTGCCATTTATAAGCTCAGATGGCGTGGAGTACGACAAGTTTGCGGAGTTCAGTAAGGACCTCGTTCTTGCCAGTGCCGACTGGGATGACGCCTCTATCTTGGATGCCGGTGATTCCGATAAAGAAACTACGAAGACCAATGGTATCTCAAGCGACAAGTTTGTGGATGATGACTTCTTCTACGACGATGAGAACATTTTCAATGGCCAAGCAGCTCCAGAGAAGTTTGAGCTCAATATGAATGACCCTAATCTTTTGTTCGTGCCAGACAAGAAGAAGGCTGACCATTCTAAATCTAAGGCCGTCATTCCTACAGACTTGAAGCATTTGCATATGAAGTTCAACATCTCGAACGACAAGCAGTACGAGATCTTGCGCAACAACTATAATACCAAGGTGAGATCGCAATTGAGTAACTTGAATATCGAGCACTCCGTTCCTGCCATGCGTTTACAAACACCATACTACAAGATCAAGTTGTCTACTGAGGAGGCCAGAGCTTACCACAGAGCCAAGTTCCAAGTCAGGCAAGGTTCATTGATCTGCTTCTCCAAACTCAAGGTCCGGAAGAAGAAGAAGGATAAGGGAAAGACTCAAACAGAAATCTTCAAGAAGACGTCAGACCTAACAGCTGTGGACTCGTCGCCTTTGATTGCTATGGAATATTCTGAGGAATATCCTAGCATTTTGTCTAACTTCGGCATGGGCAGTAAATTGATCAACTACTACAGAAAAGAAAAGGAGGAAGACAACCTGAGGCCGAAGGCGCCTCTCGGAGAAACGCATGTTCTTGGTGTGGAGGATCGGTCGCCATTCTGGAACTTTGGTCATGTTGCTAAGGGTGACTTTGTTCCTACCTTGTACAATAACATGATCAGAGCCCCCATCTTCAAGCAAGAGCCCAAAAGCACAGACTTTCTTCTTATCAGATCGCTGGGATGTGGTAATCATCAGAGACATTACTTGCGTGCTATCAATCATTTATTTGCTGTCGGTAATGTATTCCCAGCGGTCGAGGTACCGGCACCACACTCCAGAAAGGTCACCAACACATCCAAGAATAGATTGAAGATGATCGTTTACCGTACCATGAACAAAAATGGAAATGCTCGTCTTTCGGTGAAGGATATCTCGCTGCACTTTCCAGATCAGAATGATATGCAAAATAGACAAAGGTTGAAGGAGTTCATGGAGTACCAGAGAAAAGGTGATGATCAAGGTTTCTGGAAGATTAAAAACATGGATGTTGTTCCCACCGAGGAGGAGGTCAGGGCTATGATTACGCCCGAGGACGCTACCCTCTTGGATAGTATGCAACATGGCGCCCAGGTTCTTGACGATATTGACTCGTTGTACAATGACGATTCTAGGAAGCAAGATCTCAGGAGAGAGAAGAGAGAAAAGGAGGGTAGCAAAGAGACTGAAGATCATGAGAATGAAGAGAAGGAGAAGGCCGAGAGAAAGAGAAAGGAAAGAGATGGCGAGACAGACGAGACGATTGACGAGGGTCTTTCGCCATGGAGTCTTTCAAGAAGCTTCATCATCTCGAACCAGACGAAGGCCATGCTCCAGCTCAATGGTGAAGGAGACCCCAGTGGAATTGGTCTTGGATTCTCGTTCTTACGTGCCACTCAAAAACACGGTTTCAGACCTCTCATTCCACCTCCAAAGGACACTGTGCCCAAGAATACCACGGCCGCATATCAACAGAAGCTTTATGAGCAGGAGGTATCTAGAATCTGGTATTCTCAGAGAAGTTCGTTGACGGTCGACAACAGAGAAGGTCACAATCTTGACGACATCTACAGGGAATACAGACCGCTCGATCACAAGGATTATATGAAGCAGAAGTTTGCGAAGGAGAAAGAAGAAAAGGTCAAGCAAGAGGGTGTTCAGTCTGCTAGAAGAAATGTGTTGAAGATCACGCGTCTCGTGAGAGACGAGAACGACGTTGTTCAGAGAAAAGTGGAGTTTGTTACCGACCCTCGTCTCATCAAAGCTTACATCAAGCGCAAGAAGCAGATTGAGGGCGACAAGATGTCGATGGTCAACGCCAATGAGATTTTGCCAACCAACGACATCGAAATGAACAAGATTAGAAGAAAGGCCTTGGAGGAGAAGATTGCCAACTTGCAGAAAAGAGCTAAGCTCAGTAAAGGAAGAAAGCCAAACAAGGATCCCCTTCATCTCGCTGCTGCCGCAGGAGGTACAATCATTGATGCCAACACCGTCATGTTGCCAGACGGATCGTACGCATTTGGAGGCAAGGGTATTGGTAAGGGTAAAAGTAAGACGAGAAGATGTGCCTCGTGTGGTGCTTTTGGTCATATCAGAACGAACAAGACCTGTCCATTATACGAAGCCACCAAGGGAGGAACCATCAAGATTCCACCTGAACAGAAGGATATCATCATGGCGCAGTTCAGGGCGAAGGAGGGCAATACAGAGGGCTCTGATCCTACAAGCAATACGGCCCAGTCGCTGCCGCAACCAGCACCACCATTCTGATCACATTCACAATTCATTAAAGGCGTAATAGGGAATATACTAACACCAAAACCTATAGATCCGGTACCAGAAGCTCTTGGATGCTATGCGGGCTCTATCTTCGGCGATCTCCTGTTTCAAAACTTCCACGTTGATTTCTCTTCTCCCAGTGTCAAGGTCCACTTCTTCTAAGGGAATGAGCCATTGATTGAGAGTTCCTTTGTATACTTTGAAACCCACACACAATACAATCAACAAGGGTAAGGAAAGACAACTTTTGAAGAAAGATTCAACATCAGCAGAGGAGCCAAGTGGCCAGATGGCAGTCCAAATCAAGCCAATCACAATCAAAATCAAGATGATCATACCGAAAAGAGAACCCCAGATTCCCAATGGAGACACAAAAATGACCTCATCAGTGTTACGACCCTGGGCATGCAAAGCCCATCTGAAACGCAAATGGGTGAAGCAAATGGCGATCCAGGTGAAAAAGGCAGCCAAGGAGCAGACAGAGAAAAGCCAGGTGAACACTTCCGACTGGTTTTCAGATGATGCAAGGAAACCCAAGAGTCCAAAAGCGTTGGTGATGAGAATGGCCACTAGAGGTCTTCCTGATCTGTCAATGTAACCGATACATCTTGGAAGCAAGCCCTGGACGGCAAGGGAGGCCAAAGAACGAGAACATCCATAAACCGAGGAAGCACCCACCGAAACCACAGCAACAAGAATCACAGCGTTCATGATATCTGGCAATACGTTGATACCTCCGTTGTTGATGGCAATGACAAACGGAGAAGCAGCAATATCCTCGCTGGAAGAGCCATTGAGCAATCTTTCGTCGGTATAAGGCACAAGGCAGCCAATGACAACGGCCGTGGTGACATAGAAAAGGGTGATTCTCCAGAAAACCTGCTTGGTGGCTCTGGGCAAGGCTTTTCTTGGGTTGGCTGTTTCGGAAGCTGCCAATGCCACAAGCTCCACACCTCCAAACGAGAATGCTGCTGAAATAAAAGCAGAACACACACCTTTGAAGCCGTGGTTGAAAGAACCAGGATTGTGCCAGTACCGAGAGCCAATATAGCCCTGGTCGCCCACACCGCAGATGATACAGATACCGGCGATGATGAAGCCGATAACGGCGAGAACCTTGATGATGGAAAGCACAAACTCCACTTCACCGTATCCTTTCACACCGAAAAGATTGATGGACGAGATACCCACAAGGAAAACAGCCACCCACACGGCAGGATTCACCGTATCGTTCCAATAACTGATGGTCAAAGAGCACGCCACCAACTCGGAAGGAAACGAGATCAACCACGACACCGAGTACATGAGACCCAAGGTGAAACCCCAAGCTGGATCGACAAACCTGGAAAAGAAGGCGTTGAACGAACCGGAAACAGGAAACTGCACCGACATCTCGCCCAACGCCATCACCACGGCAAAAAGAGAATAACCCACCAAAATGTACGAAAGCAACACGCCTGCTGGCCCACCTGTGGCCAAAGCGTAGCCCGATCCCACAAAAAGACCGGTACCGATGGAACCTCCAATGGCGATCATCTGAAGATGTCTTGCCTTAAGACGGCGGGCCAACGGATGGCGGGACGTGGCATAAATGGACTTTTCCAAGTCCGTCATGTTCAGCGTGTCGACGCCATCTTCTTCGAGGTTGATGGGCTTGAACGAGTCGATGGCTCTCTTGAAGAAGGACCTGTCATCGTAGTAGGACGAAATGGACGAAGTCTGCGAGACTTGGTCATGGAACGCTCCGCTGGAGCCTTTCTCCGAAGAATGCCCAATTTCAGCCATGGCGATGAATTTAGCAGAACAGCGGTATTTAAGGATCCGATAAGAATGGGTGCAATATGCGTGCACGGGCGCTGCACGGAATGCGTAGAGACATAACGCCCTGCGTTGTGCGTCGAGCCACACTAGTTTCAGAAAAGCGCCGTGGCTCGGGTTGCAGTGATGATTTTGGAGAATAAAGGTGGGAGGGTCTGAAATAGATGGTTTCTTCTATATGGCCTTCTTTTTCGCTAAGTATGCAAGTTTACGGCGTCAATGGCACGGCTGTGGCGTGCAGACAGCAAACGTGCTTAGGCGATGAGAGAGGAGGGGCACCACTTAATTGAAGAGAGAGACAGGGCCAAAAGTGAAGAACCTTCAATTTACAAATTTCATGTTGTCTCGTCAACTCTCGCCTCGTCCTGCCCCTCAGCCACAAGCTAAACGTTTTCGTGGTTGCAGGATCAGGATTTGCATCGATTTGGACCAATAGAGGCAGGGTGGCTGACTCGCGTGAGGAATGGTCGACAAGAATAAGCCGTTTCAGCACACGATGCCCGAGGCTTCTAAGCGATTCGGTTGGCTGTTTCAGTTTTTGCTCCTTGTTTCTCCCTATGTCTCGGAATTGCGTTCTTTCTAGGTTTTCCAGGTCTCATAACCCAAATCCTCATAACCTGAAAATTTTGCGGCCTCGACTCTGCGGCAATACGGAGGCATGCAGAACGCTTGAAACGGGCCAAAATACCCATGGCGTCTTTTATTAACGGCGGGAGGTCAGGTGACGAGATGGGCCTTGGACCGTTTCGGCTATGCGGGTGTCCAGCCTCACAACGTTGCATTTACGGCACAAAACGCCTTGCGATGTGACATTTGATGAAGTGAAGGGTTATGAGGTGGAATTGAGATGTTGTTGAAGGTCGAAATCTTCACGATGGTTTAGATTGTGGCTTTGGAAAGCGCCGTTTACACAACTTCTGAAAATTAAAGCTTCGTCTGAATGCGGCGCCCGGAAGGTCTACGCGATCGTCTAGACGACGAGAGAGGCTTATTGGGAATGGGAGAGGCCCGGTGTTTGGAAAAGGTACAATTTCAGCTGTGGTTTCCACGATTGAGGTCTCGGGTGTGTCAAAGGAAGTCCGAACCCGACGATCTCCGGGTCACCAACCGTGACTCAAAGAATAAGCAAGCGGAGTCTAAATATACTTTAGTGACTGAATCACCGGCTGAGTCACAGCTTGGAACGTCTAACCACACAGCTACAATCCTCTGCCTGTCTCAATCGTCTACTGGTTTTGCCAGGACCTACACTCTTTTCACATATTTGTATATTGCTATGCGCTCAGACCGACGCCTGCGTTGGTGGGTGCAAGATCTTGACATTTTCGTAGTTCTTGTCAGCCGTGACGTAGATCTTTCTGAAAGACGACCGCTGGTAGTAGTTCTTGACCATGTATGCGACACCGCAGCCGTACAAGGCGCCTCCAACAAGTAATGCGTGCTTTGGGTTAATCATTTTTGAATATATGTTCTTGAATTTGTGATTTGTAATGGTTTAGAAAAAAAATCCTCACGGCATGCTTTTATAGGTGTTGCGGGGCACTGGTGGGACGATATGGGTAACACCACTTTCTGCCAAGTTTCGCAGCCATGTCAGGCTTCTAGAAGAACTTGGATGCGATTATGTGGAGAAGCAGTTATGGGTACTGATTGGACAATCTACAATCGGTGGATGCAAAGCAAACAATTGATATTTCACCAATTTTTCAAAAGTTCATTCTGGGAACTTCGAACCCTTTTTTCCTTTTGGCTGGTCTACAGGGCGGGAAAAAAGTTGCACCACTTGTCACGGTTTCTCGGTTAAACTCGCGCCATAATAAATCGAATTCTCTGGTCAGCTATTGGAGGACGGAAAAAGTAGGGCCCGTTAGGGGCGTGGACGAATTAAATTGATAAAGTGAAGACTATACTTTTATTTTGTGGTGACTGAAATCAGGCGGAGACGTCTGGTGATGTATGGAGTGACCGCATTGTGACCATGAGGAGTTTCAAGGTGGAGGGGAGGCCCCTGAGTAGATAAGCTTTCAGGGGGAAGCAGGCATAAAACATTGTTTAGAGTTTCTGTGCTCGTGCTTGGTCACATATAGGGAAGTTGCACTGAATGCAATGGTTGGGTCTTTCGCAGCCATTCTGCAACCATGCTCTTGCAGCCATTTTGCATCCATACATTAACCCACAAACTAAATCTCCTACGAGTTGAAAACGATCGATGTGCTTTTATAAATACTGCGTTCCTGGTGCCGGACCGTGGATTCTGCTTTTTTTACTGCGGTCTTAGTACGTCCTGATACTATCGCTGGTGGGTAACACAGGAAGAAACTGACCAACTATCATCATGGGAATGTCGAAAAGATCCCGCTTGACCGTCCAGGCCGAGCAAAACTCGATATAATCATAATCCCTGATTCTTGTGTTTGTCCGAGCAATTCTTTCATGTTCCGTAAACCGCTTTATGAGCTTACAACGAGTGACAATGGTAGAGTGAAGGTTTCCCACTGCTACCGATTTGAACAAGCGGAAGTACTCCACGATCGACTCGTCGTCGTACATGAGCTCGATGATAAACGTACGCTTCGAGAGAATGTCGGACGATCTGAGACCAAGAAGGTTGACCAAATCATTAGATATACTGACAATCTCGCCCGTACGACGCCAGATGATTGTAGGGGAAGCATTCAACTTTGAAAGATTCTCGTAATCTAGCAAGCACCGCTGGAACGACATTTCCAAGAACTGGAAATCAAACGGCTTGAAAAGCGACTTGTGGGCACTGATAAACGTAGGTCTGTACGAGGCAATGAGCTTCAAGATTATTAGTAGGTTGTTGCGTTTTCTAGCGTTTTCCTCCGGCAGCGCATCCGTATCGCTTAATGCAAAGCGTTTCTTTAAAAAAAAGGTGAGCGAGTGGTATGACGACGGGTAGTCGAAACCAATGATTTTGTTGGAATAGATATCTTGCACCGTTTGGTAGATATGGTGAGAAAGCAAAGGCAGCACGTACTGGGCCTCTGTGGCTTTGGCAAACTGGAGCGAAAAATCCAGGCCCGAATCGTCATCTCTAGCGTCCCCCAACGCAATAAACGGCCTGCTTTCTCTGTCTGTATCGTGGTCAGATACAATGTTTGGTGAGACCATCGGAGGTGGCATATTGAGATTGTCAAACGACAGCGACGGCAGCAGCGGCTTCAGGATCAAGTCGCCAAGCATCATGTACTCCTGGTTGAGGAAATTGGAGTTGAAGTTCGTTGAAGGCGTCAGTCCACTGGAATCCTTCCCTAGTGCCAGTTCGATGCTTTCTGCGAGGTTCATGCTGTAGGACCTGCTGTGGAGATTGTGGAGGTCAAACTCGGGTTCTTGTTTCGGCTGGGTCACCTGGGGTCTGTCTGGCTCCGGCGGCGTCATGTACTTTGCCTTTTTTCGAACCACATCCTGGCAATCATTGGCGATACCTCGTTTGATGCAATTCTGACACGGTCTTGTGTTGGAGCACTGGAGGTGCTTGGAATGGCAGAACGTGCAGGCTCTGGAGGCAGGTCTCCTGGCCTTTTTCTCCTGGGGTGTGAGTCGCCTGGTCATGGTGTTGGTGATGGTGTAATTGAAAAATGCTGGGGAAGAATCCGGGGTACCCCGGGGCGATCGGGTCCCGGGGATGCAGGAAGCGAGTGGCCAGAACAGTGTGGTGTTTTTTGGCCCCCAGGGAGCGTATTGCAAAAGAATAAGAGGAGAAATACAATCTAGAGTTGGTGTTTGCTTGTTTGGGTGGTTTTGTTTGGTTTTTTATTGATGGTGATGTGGTTGTGGCTGTGTATGGGTGGCTCACCCTTGTGTATAGCCGATTGGTTAGGACCTCTTGATCTAGGTGATTTGATGAAATAAAAGAAAAATCTTTTATAAATCAAAAAGTCTAAGCCATCTGGTAAAAATCCACGCCAACATTCTCGGAACCTAGGGTGGTAAGCCTGGAACCGTGTGTGTTCGCTTATGGTCTAGCCATCCTCGGTGCCGGACCTGCTGATTCCATCAACTTCGAAACAGAAGCAGAAGAGATGATTTGGGGATATTCGAACAGGCACATTGATAAAAGATCCCAAAAAGCTCGAAATCTTCAAAATTTTTCACAAAGTCACCTCCACCTTGAGCACCCTTGCCTCTATGTGCTCGGTCCTGGAGAGTCCCGGGTAAGCGAGGTGGGGCGCGGAGCGGGGCATTTGCAGCCATTGATTCTTCACCAAACGTCTAAGGAATCTATTTCTATATAATGTAATTCACCAGAAACTTAAAGCTTGGGACGCACGTACCTGTAGTGGTACAAGTTCTCCACGTCCACGGCCTCCAAGAACTTCCACTGCTCTTCGAAGATCTTCTTCCTGTCGTTGCCGTACTTGACCTCAGGGAAGTTCTTGCGAGCTTCTTCGGTGAACTTGGCCCGCTTGTCGATAAAGTCGATCCACAACCTCACCAGCTCGAGGGGCTGTTCGCCGTGAACCAAGTGGCCTCCCTTGGGGATGTCGGCGGTCTCAAGAAGGTGTTCAGGCACTTCCTCTCGGATCCAGTCCACAGACTCCCTAGGGGTCCACGTGGCGTCGGCACCGGTGATGTGGTAGAAGGGAATCTGGAGGTCTTTCAAAATGGTCATGCCTTTTTCGGCAGAGTAAGAGACGCCGCAGTAGGTTGCAACCTGGTGTCTTCTCTCAGCCTTGATGCGAACGGTTCCGTCCTTGTTGACAACCAACTCGTCGTCCAAAAACCCGTCAAGCACGTTCTTCTCCATCACATTGTAAAAAGTCTTTTTCCTCAAGTGCTCGTGCGCTGCTTCCACAGATGGGTACTCGTTGACAATGAACTTACCCGCCTTGATCATACGCTTGAAGAACCACTCGTTCAAAGCCTGGGTGTACTGAACCACAGGCTCCACCAGGATAATCGAATCAAAGAGCTGTGGCTCAAGGTAACCCGCCCAGAGCACAGCAAAGCCTCCCAAGGAGTGGCCCACTAGGATATTTCTAGTCCATCCGTCTGGGGTGAAATCACCTGTTTCTCTGATTTCGTGCTTCACCACTTCAACCAAGTCACGGCCGCCGTCACACCAGTCTGCCGTCCAGCCGATCTTCTCCCTGTTGAGTTCAGCAGAGTCTCCATGAGAGAAGAAGTCCACAGCAACGATATTGTTGAGTTTCCACGACGTGTACTTCTCGCTGGCCTCGTAGAGCTTTTGAATGTGGTAGTTCCACGTACCCTTGTTCATTCCCGAGCCGTGGGCGAACACGAGGTTGATTTTGGTGGTTTCCTTGGGAATAGGCTGCTTTGGAGTGAACTTGTTATAGACAAGCTTGATTTTGTCTGTGGGCAAGGTGGTGGATCCCGGAGCACGGGGGAACACGCCATCGGATACCTTCTTTTCGACAGTATACATTTCTGGCATTTTCTATGGATTTGGTGTGAATAAATAGGGAAGAATAAGTGTGGTAGGGAATCGAAATTGTGGGGCTGACACCGCGGCTCAAGTACCCCAGTTTTTCCACCAATTATCCGAGGCAATCTGAGTGCATCAGGGAAAGAAGTCATAAGGTCATTTTCATTGAAGAGATGTCAAAAAGAAGATTAGAGAAATGGCTTTGATGAGGTTTTTGGTCTATTGGCGAAGGAGGACCGGATGCTGGAGTGATCTGAAGATCTCAACATTACGCCTATTATGTACTGAAAAGACAAGTACACAATATCGCTGACCAGCGAAGATGAGACAAGTATACAATTTCGCTACCAGCGAAGAACCGACAAGAATTTTCGGATTCTCCGCTAAAGCTGCCTTCATTGTTTCGTAGAATGGAGACTTCGGGCGCCCACGTGAAAATGGTGAGCAGTGATGGTTATGATTCCGGAGGAGATGCACAATCAGGGATTTTAGTAAATGAAATCCGGGTTTAACTTGGAGTCAGGTGCTGGACTTGAAGGACTACTTTCAGGTCAATTTTGTGACAATGCAACGTCCAACGTCTTTGTTAGTACGCAGTATTTTGCAACCATTATGAGGAAGTGGTTTCACCCTGCGACGTAGGTTGATGTCTATGGTGGATGGGGAGGTGGTTTGTTGCTATTTTATATTGTTTTATTGAGCTGGAGAAGATACTTCATTTTGGCTTCGTGTTGTCTCTGGAAAATAACCAGGGGTCAAGTACAGTAAGGGTCTAGATGTACTTCTGAGATTCGCTATACCCGTCTCTTGCCAACAAGATGTATAAAAAGTCTTCAATGTATTTCAAAGAATCTTTTTCTTCGTCTTTCTATCTTTTGCTTATATGATACCAAAGCGCAAGATCTCCAATGAAACAGATAACCATAAACCTCACCACTCCGAGCCTGAAAACGCATTTTGGGTCAAAAATCTCTCAGCCCAGTACAATCCCTTCCTTCTTATTGCAATATATATACCCTCTCCTCCAAATACCCCATATTCATAATTCTTAGCTTACACCGTGTAGCAGCCATAATACACCCACACCCGTGCACCGCTTACATATCGCCTTCTTCACTCACCAGATCACTATACTACCCCATGAGTAGCCAAGACGATGTATGTACAAACAATTTTTCATATTTTCCAATTCATTCTAACTTTTTAAGATCCGTGCTAAGCGATTGGCTCGTTTGGCGGCGCTCCAGCAGTCGTCCCAGCAAGATCAAACAACCAGATCTGAAAGTCCCAAAGCAGATCCACCAAAGAAGCAGCCAGAACCGGTCAAAAAGGCCCCAGAACAGCCAAAGCCTTCTCCTGTTCAGAAGAGGGCTGCGGAGGAGCCGCTGGCTGCTGCAAAACCGCAGAAACAGACTCCTCCTGTGGAATCTACATTGCTGACTCCAGAGTTGGTGGATAAATGGCTTCGAGCTGAAATCCCTAGAATGTTTGGGGTCGACCTTAACAAGCTTTCTGATTTGGGCTCCTCGGGCCAGCTTTCTGCTGAATCCATCGAGGATGTCTTTGTGGAGATTTTGACTGACATGGGTACCCCAAGCTCCACTTTGCCTATAGTGTACCTTCACGACGTATACAAGAAGTCGTTTCAGTTGAAACGTATTTTGCCCAAGAAAGATAAGATTTACGAGCAGAAATTGGCCATCGTCAGCACTATAGTCAACTTCTGTGCCTCGTATGGTCTTATCTGCTTCCAGATCCCAGAAATGGTCCTCAACAACGACATAGAAAAGTCCATCGACACCTTCATCGACCGCAGCGACATGAGCCCCTTCTTGGTCGATATCATTCATAAGTCCATCGAGCTGGACTACCTTTTGGACTTGATGAGCTTGCTTTTGCCTACAATCAGTGCCAAGTTACATGGTCTCAATCTCCAGAGACCTGAATACAGCAAGTACCTTTCTATTTGGGAGAACTTGGTTTCTGTCAAGCCTGTGGCTGCAATCTTCTCTCAAGTCGATGGGTTTGCCCCTCCAGATCCGACTAAAGGTCTAGATTTCGAACACAAAACATTGTTGGGTTCTTTCTTGAGACTATCTCCTCTTGCCGGTGAAGTGGCTGCCTTCTATTTTGCTGGCGGCTCCAAATCAGATGCTCTGCTTGAGCTCTCCCCAGCTCAGTTACTTCCGCTATTCTCCTCTGCTCAAAATGAAATGAAGGTGGTTTTCGACAGAATCTGGTTCATCATGGATAAGCTTATCCGTGGATCGCCTCGGACAAGACAGGATATCATGAAGTGGTTTGCCGACTTGGTGAATGTGTCACACTTGAGAACTGGTTCTCATGCTAAAGCTAACAAGTTGCCTAGTGACGGATTCATGTTCAACATCTCCTATCTCTTGATCCGTCTCAGTATGCCATTCTTGGACTACCCCATGTTTTCTAAACTTGACAAGATTGATCCTGACTATTTTGGTCCAAAAAACAAGTTGTTGAATGTCAAGGAGGATGCCAGAATGTATGCGTCCAGCTCGGAAGCTGATGAGTACTACAGTGACGCCATGGAGACAGAAACTAACTTCATCTCAGACTGCTTCTACTTGGCTTTGACCTACATGGAATACGGTATCGGTGGTATGATCACTCAACATGGAAGATTGAAGAATGAGTTGAAGAGGTCGACCGAGATGCTTGCAAGAATGCAACGTGATCCTGCTGCCAGAGGCATGTTGCCACGTATTACCGAATTTGTCAACACCTCTCGTTGCAGAGTGTATGCGATTGATGCTGTGTCTCTCGATCAAAATGTCAACCTGGAGATCTTTGACTTTGTCATTGGTGCTTCCCAATTCATGGCTCGTACCATCGACCCACAACACAAGCACCCCTTCCCCAGACTTGAGGTTCCCATTTTCCAAATTGAAAGAGTCAGTCAATTGGATGACCATGACTTTTTGAAGACCAAAACGCCCGTGCCATGGAAATACTTCCCTGAGTACATGTTGCTGGGCCTAATCAACTACTGCAAGTTTATCAGCAGATACGGCTCGAACGCATTAATGACCAACGAAGAGAAGCTCTCTGTATTTGTTGAATTTGCTACAATCTTGTTGAGATGTCCCGAGCTCATTGGTAACCCACATATGAAGGGAAGTATCGTTGAGATCTTCTTTGGTGGATCGCTTCCAATGAGAAACGGGTCTCCAGGATATATGGCCAGCATTTTCAACACAAACAAGTTGGTTTTGAACAACCTTCTTTACTCGCTTTTGGACATCTACGTGATGATCGAGAAGACTGGTGCTTCCTCGCAATTCTACGATAAGTTCAACAGCAGATTCTACATCTCGATGATTATAGAAGAGTTGTGGCAGAATGATCACTACAGGAAACAATTGACAGACTACCTGAGGCATAATGTTGAGTTTTTCATCCGTTTCATTGCACGTATGTTGAACGATACGACATTCTTGATCGACGAGGCCTTCAACTCGCTTAACTCCATTCACAACTTGCAAGTCGAGTTGAATGCCAGAGAAGCTGGAAGTGAAGGAAACACCGATGAGTTTGGTACCACTGAGGAACTCGAAGGAAACTTGCTGACGGAGGAATCTAAAGCTAAATCGTACATGGGTTTGGCAAATCAAACCATGAAGTTATTCAAGCTTTTTACAAAGCAGGTGCCTGAGGGTTTCACCATCGGTGAGCTCGTGGACCGTCTTGCCGGTATGATGGACTACAACTTGTCGCTCTTGGTGGGTCCAAAATGTTCCAGCTTGAAGGTGAAGGAGCCCGAGAAGTATGACTTTGATCCTAAGAAGACCTTGGCTGACATTTGCGAAGTCTACGCAAACTTGAGTGGAGAAAGCAAGTTCAAACAGGCTGTGGCCAGGGACGGCAGATCCTTCGATGTCAAGTGGTTCGAAAAGGCCAAGAACATCTTGACCACCAAAACCACAGTTGACGATGCGCTAATCCGAGACTTTTACCTGTTTGGTCTTGCGGCAGAGCAGGAGAGAGTCGCCTACGAACAGGAAGAAATGGAGTTGGGCGAAGTACCAGAAGAGTTGTTAGATCCATTGATGTTCACCTTGATGGAGGATCCTGTGATCTTGCCAGGATCCAGAGTCACCATGGACCGGTCTACCGTCAAGGCACATCTATTGAGTGACCCAACCGATCCATTCAACAGAATGCCCCTCAAGCTCGAAGACGTCATTGACGATGTCGAGATGCGGGAAAAAGTGGCCCAGTTCAAGCAGGGCAAGAGGCCCGCCTAAGGTCTACAGCAGCAATACACGAATATTACCATTACGTTATTTAAGCCTTGATAGCGTAAACTCTCTTTGGGAAAGCAGCTCTTCTCTTTCTCTCTCTTGGAGTGATTCTAGCAGCGTCCTCCTTAGACAAGGCTCTTCTCAAAGCTCTGGTCTTCTTCTCTCTCAAGTCCTTTGGAATGAGCTTCTTGTCAGCGTAGAAAGCTCTGACGTTCTCTCTTTGGAGAGCGTTGATGACAGTCAAAACTCTGGCAATGTCCTTTCTGACAACACCAATCTGAGGAACAGCTGGTCTGGTCAACTTCTGGACCTTGAGAGAAGCAAGCTCCTGCTTCAACTCGAGCAACTGCTGCTCCAACTGCTCCTTAGACTTAGTTCTCAATTCGGCAACCTTAACTCCGGCCTGGTTGTTAGTAATGTGTTTATGGAAGAGTCTTCTGCACTTTGGATGGGATAGATGAAAGTGTTTTTCAGGAGGAAAAGTGATGGCGTTTTAGATTATTGTAAAGTGAGTGTCTCCCGTGGGATCGGGATGGTTTGCTTTGTGGATGTTGGGGACATATTTCGATATTACGTTCTTCAGGTTTGATGACTTGTAACTGGGTGTCTAGACGGTGATTTTGAGCGGGAATAACATCTTTCGATTTGGAATGAAATGGGCTATACGGTGTGCTTGGGGTGACTCGGGTGTTTCGTTGTGTTTCGGCGGCACATACCATTGTGTTGTGTATTAGTCTGCGGTAAAGAGAAGATTTCTGAAGAAATTTTTTTTCAGAGTGGATGGCAGTGAGGAGGTACTGCAGATGGCACCTCTAAGCTCGCCAACCTGTTGTGTTAACTATGGGGCCGCACTATGTGGGTGTACGGATGTCTTGGGTTGAATGACATCACGTGCTCACGGGGCTCGAGCCCTAGTCGGATCAGCGCTCGGATCATGCTCGATCAGGCATCAGTGGCCTACATGAATCGAAATATTCATCACCAGATGAACCTTATCTACAACAAACTTTTGATTACAATTCCATGCGTTCTATACCCGTGGGGCACAAAAAGTAAATAAGCATGACTTCATAGCGAAGCGACAAGTAAAAGAGTAGGACATCGTAGGCAGAAGAAATACAGGTCACCGTTGCCGCCACCCTTCCGGGTTCCTCTAGGAAACCCTAGTGGGCAATTACGAGGAGTTCTTCAAGTTAGTGGACAACCATTCCAAACCCTCGTACAAACCGTCACCGGTGGTAGCACAGGTGGACTGGATGAACCAAGGTCTCTGTCTGATGGAATGCAAGCCCAACTTCTCGGTGATCTCGGCGGCGTTCATGGCGTTTGGCAAGTCCTGCTTGTTGGCAAAGACCAAGAGCAAGGCGTCTCTCAACTCGTCCTCGTTGAGCATCTGCTGCAACTCCTCTCTGGCTTCGGCAATACGGTCTCTGTCGTTGGAGTCGACAACGAAAATGATGCCCTGGGTGTTCTGGAAGTAGTATCTCCACAAAGGTCTGATCTTGTCCTGTCCACCGACATCCCACACAGTGAAGGAAATGTTCTTGTACTCAACGGTCTCCACGTTGAAACCGATGGTGGGGATGGTGGTAACAATCTCACCAAGCTTCAATTTGTACAAGATGGTGGTCTTACCGGCGGCATCCAAACCAACCATCAATATTCTCATCTCTTTGTTGCCAAAGAGGTTGCTGAACAACTTACTGAACGACAATCCCATGGTGAACTGAGGGGCGAATCTGTTTGGAATTGGGCAGGGGCTTTGCAACAAGGTACTTCTAAAAACTTAAAATCCTTTTGATTTTAAGATCGATCTGTGAGAAGGCGGTGCTGCAGTGATTTCTGAAGAAAGGAAGGTCCCGCTGTTGTGGAGTTTTATTGTCGGATGGGAAAACTGAACAGCAAATCGCGCCAAGTGACGGGTCGTGCTGCGCACACAAAAGCACGCCCGGGGCCTTTGGGCACCGTTTGGCACAGCCCGGGAGATTTGAAATAAAAAAGAGAAAGTGTGGGTGGCCGGGGAAATACGTGGCCTTGCTTTCATGCTAAAAAATGTGTATTTTTTCGGGTGGGACCCTCTGCTATTTATACCCGTGTGCTCGGTCTCCTCTCCTGCAACGGGACGTCAACACTGAGGAAGTGACAAGTAAACAGAAACGGTAAACAAGAAAGTTTTGGTGAAAAATTTGGAATCTTGTTTTTCGAATCAGCGATTTCATCTTTTTCCGTTTTTAGAAATTCAAATTATACTATGGTCTGCTACGGTAAGCGTGTGGACCGCGTTGGGTGCAAACGAACGGCAATACGACACTACACCATTGGGCAGGAACGACAGTGCTCAAGGCCAGGGTCCAATTCTTGGATTTCATGAAAATCAAAAGTCATATTGAGTTTAATAAAATGAAGTTGGATGTTTTTTTCAGTATTTTTTTCTGAATCAGGAAGGTGGTGGTTGGCTGCGAAAAACGGCTTCGTGCATTGTAGCCGAGACAACGGTGATCAGAGGTGGGGAGCTGGGTGTGAAGATAAAATTGAAGCGTTTAAGGTATATTGAGTAATTTAAGGTTATCCTGCTATGAATTTTATGAAATTGTGCTCTGACGCTTTGTGTTGTTATTCTATGTCACCGTCCTCGGAACCAGCGGCATTGCGTGATCTCACGAATCGTCAAACCAACGATCAAGCCAACGACCGTGGCTTTTTGAAGAGCTTTTGAGTATCGTGTTTTTACAATAAACGAAAGTCTTTGTTTAAAAATGCTTGTGCCAGTGTGTTTCCTTGGATCTTAACTACTGAAATGCAAGTGAACTGCTTATACCGTAGTCTGGGCTACTCTTTCTTAATGACTTTTTCACCTGTGTCTTGATAAAAATAGAGCTGAACTTTTCGTTTTTCTTCGATATGCGTTCTCCTGAAATCATCTAGGTTAAAGAGATATTCATACCACTTCAAAGCAAACACTGATATTTCCAGGTAAATGATCAAAATAATTCTGTTTTTGTTCTATTCTTTTTCTTTGGGCTTTAAAATTCATAAAACACGTCTCGTTAAATTTTTTGCTCTATTTAACTTTTTATTTGGCCTGGAACTGTTCCTCATTCTTTGGTTTTAATCTTTTTCGCAGCCATTCACACACCCTACAAATTGAACATAACATGATTAAATTGACCACTAGCTATAAATTCAAGAAATTGTTCTTCAGAGTTTGAACACTGAGTAGAAAGACCAGCAAGCATAATGTAAAACCCTTCAATTCGACAAATCCGTGGTTTATCACCTTGAGGTAATGTTTCAGCCGCACCGCATAACGCTACACATCTATTCTACAACATCCTTCATAACTGATGCATTTCTATGACGATATTAGTTGCTTATGTTGACACCTAGGTATCCATTATTAATCTATCTGACGATCTGTTGACCGCCCCCATGACCTAGCACTCTTCTGGCAATTGCCTCACCATACTATAGGGATAAGCACATCACGACATGCAAGGAAGCCCGAAGGGCCCCTCAGCATAGGCTGGGAACACAGCCTGACCTACTTACCCACATTCATCTTGCAGTTTGCGAATTGGCGCAACGCACGGATAAAGACAGGGTAGTTGACGCTGTCGTTGTCCGCATCCCAGTACAACTCGCTCAAACGCAAGTGCCATGGGGGGTAATCATGCAAATCCAAGACAGGGTCGAAACAAATGAGCAAGTCTGGCTCCGGGCCCACAAGCTCGTTGAGTTCCTCGTCGATCAACTGCACGGTGATATCTTTAACCGACAACTCGTGGTTGGCTGTGAGTTCGCTCATGGTTTTGGTGAGCTCCACGATCGTGGGCTTGCCGTCCACACGCGAGAGCAACGCGATGTCCAACGCAGGTTGGCTCTCCGACGTGTCTCCCAGGGTCACGGTTGTATTTGAATGAGGCACTCTCAAGGTGAAAGCAGGCGTAGGCACGCCAAAGTAAGCACGGAGGTTCTTCTGGATGTACCTCTCCAACTCGCCCAAATTAGGCTTGACGGCACCTGTCTCCTCGTAGATGGTCAAGCTAGGGATACCAGCGCTCAAGCACCACGCGGCGAGTTCAGAGATATCGGATACGGCACCTTCGATACCGCCGTTCTCGTCGTCCTCGCTACGCATGCTGATGATACAACTAAGCCTCTTGGGGATTTTGGCCAACTGGGTCACGTCGTTGCGGATCACCAGGGGCAGCTTGTTCGGGTAGTAGGTGATCAGGAGAAGACGAAGGTATGCCTTGTGGTAGGTGTATTCGAGATTTCGTATGATGGACATGAGGAAAAACACTGCAAGGAGGATCATATGGCTGGCGTGGTGCTGTGCCCACAGCACGGCTTTGCTAACTTCCAAGGCCATGTTGGTGGGAAAGGAAGGGAAACTGCTGGTATTATATAGTGGGATGTGGTGTACGGGTGCACCATTCAGGGACTGCCGTTTCAGGTGTCTCTTTCGATAAAAATTGTTCAGGGGTGGAGTTTTGAAATTTGCAGCGGCGGCCAATGTTTGAGAATTCAACGCTTTGTGGTTATTATGTAAAGGGGGCTGAAACTTCTGGGGTGGTGTTTCAGGAGATGGCTGCGAAAAAGTGTCATGGAACCCGAGGATCTCGGTAGCTGAGGGGAGTTTCAAGGAAGGTGGATTCTTGTCGAAATGTGGATTTTTTTGATGTACTCTGAAAAATTTCAGGATACAAGATGTTTGGAGTAAGGAAGTTGAGTCACATTTGGAAATATTACGATTGTACATTATCTGGGGCTCTACGGTCCATTTTATACGTAGTAAGTTCAGTAGCATGAATTCAGGGGGCACACGGTACAATTATTCAAATACAGATTTCTCCAAGCCGACAAAGATTCAAAGCAAATTAATGAAACACCAGAAATTTACCCCCAATTCTGCTTCTGCCTGATTGCCTCACCTCACCTCACGCTTCAGTATCATCAATTACACCACCAAAATCCCACCACCACCGCAATTGAATAAAGAACCCACCTTGACTTTTTTTTTTATTATTCGTAAGAATCCAGGAAATTCATGAAATAAAATAATCCCAACCCACTCCTCCTTATCTACCCTCATTGCTCATGCTATCCCTATTCGCAGCCATAGACAACCCACCTCCATCAACCCACCAAAACATCCAAGCCAATGATCGTTCAATTACCCAATTTCCTGAAACAAAGGCAATCAAACAAAAATCAATATAAAAAAAAAACCACATTTTTCTGCCGTGTTGAGAAACCCCACTGGGGCAACTCCTCCCATATCCAGGTCCTGCACGTTTGCTTGCCATCAACTACTCCTCCTCCTCATGTCCAAAAGAGTTCTTGACAGAATCAGCAGCCTTGCCCTTCCTGCAGGTCTTGCCTTTGCTGTGCTTCAGCTGGCCATGTACGACGTTGAAGGCGGCAAAAGAGCAGTCATTTTTGACCGTCTTAGCGGTGTCAAATCCAGGGTCATTGGTGAGGGTACCCATTTTGTCATTCCTTGGTTGCAGAAGCCAATTATCTACGATGTGCGTACGAAACCCAAGACCATCGCCACCACAACGGGTTCCAAGGATCTTCAGAACGTCAGCTTGACCCTCAGGGTGTTGCACAGACCAGAGGTGTTGAACCTCCCTAAAATCTACCAGACTTTGGGATTGGACTACGACGAGAGGGTGTTGCCTGCCATTGGTAACGAGATCTTGAAGAGTATTGTGGCGCAGTTTGACGCTGCCGAATTGATCACCCAGCGTGAGGTGGTGAGTGCCAGAATCCGCCAGGAGCTCTCCAGAAGAGCCAACGAGTTCAACATTCGTTTGGAGGATGTCCTGATCACGCACATGACTTTCGGCAAGGAGTTCACCAAGGCCGTTGAGCAGAAGCAGATTGCCCAGCAGGACGCCGAGAGAGCCAAGTTCTTGGTTGACAGAGCCGAGCAGGAAAGAAAGGCTTCCGTTATCCGTGCTGAGGGTGAGGCCGAGGCCGCCGAGACTGTTTCCAAAGCATTGGCCAAGGCCGGTGACGGTCTCCTTATGATCAGACGTTTGGACGCCTCGAGGGAGATTGCTCTGACCTTGGCTTCCTCGTCAAACGTTTCCTACTTGCCTTCTGGCAAGGCTGGCGAGGACTCCAAGAACAGCTTGTTGTTGAACGTTGGTCGCTAGTTGCGGCTGCTTACCTACGTGGCCCGAGGGCCTGCTTTGTCCCTGTGAATAGAAAATTTTTTTTCTCTATATGCTGATTTGCACCGCTTCGTCGTAGAGACCTGGGGTGGTGGCACCCAGACGAACAAGCAGCTCCACGTCGGCCACTTCCTTGGCGCAAAGACTGGTCAAGTTGAGGATATCGCTTGGAGTGCTTCCCACCACAATGTCGTCCTCCACTCTCACACCAATACCCTGATAGTGCTTGGGCCATTTGTCGTTGTAGGGCACGTAAATGCCAGGTTCAATCGTGATGACATTGCCTTTACGTAAACGGCCAAAACGAGAAACTGAGGGTGTATCGTGGAGATCAAGGCCAAGATGGTGGCCAATGTAGTGTGGGAAGAGCTCTCTTGAAACGTCAGATCTTGACAAGTTTGAGAAGCCAGGAAGAGAACGGAGCTCCAGAAGCAATGTCGTCACGGAAAGCTCATGAACGTCGTGGAGCGACATGCCGTAGTTTTCGTTACATTGGTCAATGCAAATTCGGTTGGTGTTGAGCACCGCGGTGTAGATATCTCTTTGAGGATCAGAAAAGCCGTTTGGTGAATTGGGCCATGTACGGGAAATGTCGGCACAGTATCCACCTAGTTTTCCACCAGCATCAACAAATACCGTTTCGTCTTTATAGAGAATATCGTCGTTGCGTGTGTAATGAATGGTCAAAGCATTGGGGCCACTGGCAACCACCGGAATGTATGCTTCTCGGTCACAACCACCTCTCACAAAAGCGTATTCTAGATATTTGGCAAGAAGCTTTTCTGTGACAAACGGTTCCAGACTCACCTGAGCCATGGCGGTGTTGAACGCTCTACTGGAGATTTGACCAGCTTTGTGCATCACCTTGATTTCGGCAGGCGATTTAATTGCTCTGTGCTGCGCCAAAACCAGCTTCAACGATTTCACGGATTTTCCACGGAGCATCTCGTCGATGGAGTCGCTTTGGCGGTGGTAGCCTAGACTGAAGAAGTTGCCGAATTTGGACAGTTTGGCGCCTTTGCTCTTGCTGTCAAAGTAGATATGGTCGTTTCGTTTCACGATACCCTTGAGGTAGGCATCAAGGCGGTTGATCTCAACAACCTCGTCTGCGTTGAAGTAATCGTAGGCACCTTCAAGTCCTGTTCTGGCACCTTCCCAGAGCTCTGTGGCTGGGCTTTTGGGAGGAACCAACATGTGGAATACAACATCATCGTCGTTTCTGTTGTCTGCAACCTTTTCGATCACGGCGACCGAATCGGGCTCAAGCCATCCGGTGAGGTAGTATAGGTCTGTGTCTTGTTGGAAGTGGTAAAATACCGAGCCGGAGCTGTGAACAACGTTGTTTCCAGCCACAATCACCGCTGAACGTATAGGAAGATCTTTAGCGAGACGCATCCGGCGATCGTAGTACTCCAATGCCGTGATTCCTGGAGTTAGGAAGCCTGGTTCGGGTAGGTAGTGTGGTCTTGTTTCGTGCATTGGCTGGCCCGTTTTATACGGGATTACCAGCGGAGGCCGAGTTGCATAGCTGTGGCTGAGACGTGCCCAGTTGAGACGGCACACGCTCCGCAATCTCATGTTTGATGGTGTCTTAGTAGTTGTGGATGCGAATTTTCACTTGATGATAAGGCATAGAACCCCACATCACCAACTCCCCAGCAACCAGGATCAAAACGATGCTTGTTTTGGACCCACACAAGGGGTTCCTGTTTGTTCCTAGCCAACATACGAGCCGGGAAAAGGTCCACAGCAACGGCTTTGACCAGCTTAATTGGGATGAGCACTTGCCGGTTGAGGAGTCTGATACTACTCCAGAGACCGATACTCATCGGGAGGAAGACGGTCTGAGCCCTAGAAAGCTTTCAAGAAAGATGCGTAAGGAATTGAAACAGCAGAAGAAGGCAAGCGCCCGGAAACTCAGGAACGCCAGAAACGAGGTTGCTGAGACTTTCACTGATCAAGACTTCAACGAGTACACAGCGAAGCATCAAATCAAAAAGATCCACGACAAGATCTTGAAGAAGAAAACTCTGTCTGACCCCACGGACTTCAAGGTGCTCCATTATGAGTCGATTGCTTTTTTCAAGTCTGACGTGGATTATCTTGTGCCTGGGGAGTGGCTCAATGATAACAATATTGCGCTCGTGTATGAGTTGCTCACGCATTTGTTTTTGAAAGAAGCGCCCTTCGGCCACCAAATCCTTTTACTTTATCCTTCGCTCGTTCAATTGTTCTTGCACTACCCTGTAGTGGAAGAGGTTCTGTCGATCTTGCCTCAGAAGGAGTTGGCCAAAGCAAAGTTCTTGTTCATTCCTTTTAATTTCATTGAAAGCACCATTGACTTGGAGAACGCCAACAACGGAGATCATTGGGCATTGTGTGTTTTGAGCATCATGGAGAAACGATTGTACGTTTTCGACTCGATGTCTTCTGAGGACGATCACGAAGGAGAAGAGCTTCTTGGCCAACTTGCCAAGCGTCTCCAGACTGCCATATTTAAACCCACCGATACACTCAACGTTATGAAGATGCCATGCGACCAGCAGGATAACTTTGACGATTGCGGTGTTTTTTGCATAATGTTTACCGTGTACCTTGTGTCACAGTTAATCTCCGAAGAGCCCTTTGAAGTTGACGTTAGAAACGTTATTTTCAACGCACTCAGTGGGCGCTTGTTTATGATGGAGTTGGTGTACAAGCTTTCACAAGGATATTGATCATGATTCGAAGTGTTTTTTCATGAGCAACGATTTGAGCATACTGGCGGAAGCCTCTGCCCGAACCTCGTGTGTGAGCTCCTCCACGCTGGTTTGAAGATCAATTTTATCCGCATCAGGCGACAACTTGTAGCAGAACAGGTCGGTCGCAGATTCATAGACTATACTAGACTCTCCCGCACTTAATACAGAGACCAAGAGAAGCAACTTGTTGGAGACATCATCGTAGATGGCCGAGCCAGGTGCGTAGCCAAGCATGGCTAATAGCTTTTCCCGCAGTATACGTTTCGTGAGTGAAAGAATCAACAAAAAGGCTTTCTGGTCGATGAGACGACAGAGACGTTCAAAAAAGCTTTCCTTTTCATCCGGCAAAGCAAACCCTAGACAAGCATGAAGTCTCTTTAGAAGCTCTTCGTCACTCAAAGAGACCTTGGCTGCGTGAAACTCACCGTTGGATAGAAGAGTAAGAACATCGAAGACCCTCAGCTCTAGGGATCCTGCCTTTTCAGTAAAAGCGTCCACTAGCGCCTCATTCAGATTAAAGTTGAGGTCTTTAAACGGTCTCGTGGCAATTGAAGCCACCGCATACATCAACAAAGTCTCAGATCCAAGATCCAAGCATTCTAGTGGCAGGATGTGCTCGTACAACCTGTCAAACTCGGCAATAAATACGTGAAACTTGCCCTGGGTGAACTTTGCTAGCGCACAGAGCCACTGCACCAAGTTGTAGTACTGTAATTCCGGCTGAATTGAGTTCACAACCGCCTCTGGCTTGTCCTCAAGCGACTTGAACAAAAACGAGCAGCGGGTGTGGTAAGTATGGGTCCGTTTCTCGATAGATGCAATATTTCGTGGTCCCGAAGGCCCACTATATGGCTCGTCACTTTCGTGTTTCACTTTTTTCGCCAGTTCAAACCACCAGTGACCGAATATCAATGCCACCGTTTGGTAGAAGAGGTGTTCGAAAAACCTGTTTTCCGTAAATCCCTGAAGGCTGGTAACCTGGCCGGGAAACTGTACGATATTCTCTAGCTTGCCCAAGTAGAACTGGACCATGCGGAAGTCACACTGGATCACCAGAACGGCCAAGATCTGCTTGAACTCGTCGACAACCTTCTGCTTATCTGTGGAAGCAGCCTCGTCCACCTCGACCAAAAAAGACGTGTTTGGGTGGTTTCCGTCCACTTTTCTTGCCCATTCGCTGGTGAATTGGGCCGCCTCGGGCCGATCTCGGACGTATTCTTGGAAACTTGTGTACATTGGATGAAGCGCCTGATAGTGATCCATGATCTGGAGGGCCTCAAGGGCAATTGCAGAGAGCTCTTCATTGGAGAAGGCTTCCGGCAGGCTGAATTTCAGAGCCAAGAAATGCACCTTGAGAAAGCCGGCGTCCATAGTTTGTGGTGGGTTTTGATCGTTCGAAGGTGTTTCTGGGGTAGTTGATAATGAGTACAGGATTGCGGGCTGGTTTGGGTGATGGGATATGGGGCAGGGAGGTTGTAGATTTGGGTTCCATTAATCAAGTAGATCAATAATGAGGAGTACACTTTGTTATTACTTCCCTTCGTTTTTGAACAATGTATAACCTTGAGTGGCGGGCTCAAATTGTAGTTGATGGATTTCGCAGCCAAGCTTGATATGATATTGGGGGCGGAAAGTGATAATTGTATGACAAACAGGGGAATCTGGATAAGATGAAGGTAGTGATATCTTTACAGAAACCACGAATATGAATTGGTCAGCGGGCCAATTGGCATTATGTGACTGAATTCCATGCCCAAAACTCGTACCTAACACTATTACCATTCCTCGAACTTCAGAAGTCTATAAATTAGAGATATCCTAATAGTCGTGGATCGTTCTTGAGGCGATGATTCCATATCCTCCTTACTTCATACCTACCGCGTCTCTCCTTATCCTCCTACAATATACAACCTCACTAACCAATCCCAATTATCCATTAGTTATATCCATCCGGGGCTTTGCCCAATTAGTTCCAACGCTTCATACCCACCTCCTATATCAACAACAGACTCGTCGAGTAGGACGAGCAGATGTGATACAAGATGGATGCCATCCCCCAACTGAAAGGGATCCACGTGCTCATGGCCAAAGCACCGGCTCTGTAAATGGCCGCTAGAAGAAGCCCAATAATCGCCCCCAGCATGAATCCCTGTGAAACTCCAGCCACCAAGTACAGAAAAGCAACAATCACCAGTTGCACCACCACGGCTTTCTTCTTGGAAGCCACGATCTGGCGCTCTCGATACGCTCGGAGATTCATGGAAAGTGCCGCAGCCATGCCAACGAGAAAATACGCTCCGCTGAAGAAAATGATCACCCAGTAAACGGTGAACTTCCAGATGTCTATGGAGTAATATAGAAACAGCTCATTGTAGCGGGGCAGGGTGCCTCCTAGGGGCCAGAAAATGGCAGGGAATTTCGGGGTCAGGTAGCCGATCGGCACGTCCAGCGAGCTGACGAAAACCTTCATAAAACTGTGAAGTTTTGTTGTAGATGTGGTTCTGAAATATGAGCCTTGATACTGTAGTGAGGTGTTGGTAGTGCATACGAGGTGATATATAGACAGATCGGTGCCTAGCTCTTCTCCCTATATAAGATGCAATTCCTCATTTTTTTTTTTTAAAATAAGAAAACACAATTAGTTGGCTGTGGCCCACTTTACGTTCCTTTCACAATTTCACTAGAACTTGTTGAAATGTCGATACACTTCTGAGGACACTTCTGACGATGTCATTCCTACTACTCCGAGGTCGCTTGGATGCTTTAATGACATTGAACTTATTAAGCGGATCCACAAGGTTACGTCCCAAAACAAAGGTTATGTAGAGACGTAGAATAGAGAGCATGTTCTCACTAGAGACTGTCTCGTTAAATTGATGTCAAAGCCTCCATGTACATCACTATGAGGCATCACTCAGATTGAAACTACGAATTGCTGCCGTAACACCATTAAAATGCCGATCAAGAAAAAATCATGTTTTTGTCAATTGAATACCATTTCCTCTTTGGTCCAAGTTAATGAGTATGTGATGTCTCGCTTACAACTTACAACTTCACTAGACACCAACACCACACGCCCACAACAACAATTAGACTTTCAGGCAATAAATTAGCCAGTGAATCCTCTAAGATCCTCAATGCATGTAATTTCCCAATTCAAGGGGAACATATTGCCATTTTGACTATGATCACGTGACCATATAAGAATCTCCCGATTCCTCTTGACCCTGTCAACTTTCATTATCATTTTAAATTGATTTCCAGATACTAACTAGAACTCTTTCTATTCCGCCAAAAAACATCCCTAATATCCCGTGGGAGTGCCAGGGTAAAGTGCATACCTCCTACTTCAGGCCTGCACACGTATCGCCACTTCAACACCAACTACTACTTCATGTCCAGATACGACTCCAGAACAACCATCTTCTCGCCTGATGGGCGTCTTCACCAAGTGGAGTATGCGCAGGAAGCCATCTCCAACGCCGGCACCGCCATTGGCATTTTGTCTCTGGAAGGTGTGGTGTTAGCTTGTGAGAAAAAGTTCACCTCCAAGTTGCTTGATAACGACGGAAGCGCAGAGAAGTTGTACATATTGAACGACCAGATGATGTGTGCTGTTGCGGGCATGACGGCCGATGCATCGATTCTTGTCAACAATGCCAGGGTGACGGCTCAGAGATACTTGAAAACATACAATGAGGAGATCCCCTGTGAGCTTCTTATAAAACGGGTTTGTGACGTCAAGCAAGGTTACACGCAGCACGGTGGTTTGCGTCCCTTTGGCGTTTCTTTTATCTACGCTGGTTACGACGATATCCACAAGTACCAGTTGTTCACATCCAACCCCAGTGGTAACTACTCCGGCTGGAAGGCCATTTCCATCGGCGCCAACAACTCCGCCGCACAGACGTTGTTGAAGAAGGACTACAAGGACGAGATGCTGTTAAAGGAGGCGTGTGAGTTGGCGGTGAAGGTGCTTTCGAAGACGATGGATGCGTCTAACATGAACAGCGAGAAGTTGGAGTTTGCCACGTTGAGCGGTGGTGGCGAGAAGCCTGCTGTGTTGAGGAAGATTTGGAACGACGCCGAGATTGACGAGTTGATCAAGGTGTCTGGTGTCTTGGAGAAGGCCGATGAGGAGTAGGTCCTCGTACATACATCACTAGAAGAAGCGTAATGACGGAGTGTAGGAAGGAGATGGCCGATGGAAAGGATGCTAGTGGAGGGCTAATGTAGGCTCGTCATGGGAATTAAAAAATGGGTCATTTGGTGTTAAAGTGATGATCTTACAAGATAACACCGATTTGTTGCTCAAGGTGTAAATGAGTATGTTTGAAAATTTCAATGACCACAATTGAAATTTACCAAAACAGGACAATGGATTGATTATTTGGGGCTTGAAATACTGCTTTCAAAAGTTGGGGACTTTAAAATAAGAGATAAGCCTAGCACCAACCCCAAGACAATTCTTCCCTATTTTCGTAATTAGAATACTTCAAGAGGGGACAAACGAAGAAGACTTCAGACTGGTTCTCGACGATAATGACTTTTGAAAGACAGTGGTATTCGCCTTTCAAGACATCTACTCTTCGAATTCCATGCACCGATGAACTACAAACCATACTATCGATTACGTTTCTGTTTTACAACATTTGTAACCTCCAGGAACATTATGCTTCTGCTAAAACAATAAAATAAAAATCGCTTACGATTGTATCCTCCTAACCCTTCTTCTTACTATGAATCTCCTACCCTCTATGGCTGCGAAAACCACCCCATATTCCACTTCATCAACTGTCCAACAAACCAAAAAAGCAGCAAAAATACCATAAACCAACCCAACCTTACCCTTCACAAAAACAAAATCACAAATCCAAAAAATCAAAAAATCCACCCCGACCACCCCACCGTGTGCACCCACACCATCGTGAGCGCTCACTAAATGAACCGCAACAACCATGAGCTTCTTTCAATTGGGGCTTCCGGCCAAAACACTACGGGAAATCCGGGCCACAAACACCATTCTGGCTCGGCTACACGACCAGTTGAACAAATTACATGAAGAAACGGCGTTTTTTCTCCAAACTGCCCAGGCTCCAGAAGATCCAACGGAGATCCAGCAGTTGTTCCAGGACTTCTACTTCTTGGTGGCGGCCAAGACAGCCAAGTTTCCGGAAATCCACCTCAGCAAGTTGAAGGCGTTTGCTTTGAAGCTTGATGATTTGACGCCTACTAGCGAAATCGACTCTGCTTTGATCCACTTGGTAGACAGGTACTTGGTGGTTCTAGGGGCCCACGAATTGGCCAACTCCTTGATTTACAAGACCATTGTTTTGACCAGTCAAAGCAACTACTGGGACGACGTGAAGCTGCTGACTTACGGGAAGGTCTGTTTCGGTGTACAGACGTTGCCTTATAGACTCTACGATTTCACTTCCAGGGGCGTGAACAACACGGTCTTCTCTCAAAGCCAGAGTGGCATCGTGGCGAGAATCAAGAGCTCCTTCTACGCCCTCTGGAACACATTCAGCAAAATGGCAGCCCAGACAGCGGCCCACTTGAACAGGAACTTCGTCTTAAGAGGATCTAAGCTTCGTTTCTTGAAAGTGCCGCTTTCGTACATCGACACCGAGATCAAGGAAAAGAAGGAAGCTGTCCAGGCGCAATTGGACATCCACTACGGCCAGTTGGGCTTGTTCATCAACAGTTTGCCTGTGGATATCGAGCTTTTGGGCAAACTTCTCGAGTGCAAACCAGAAAGAAGTGAAGTGCTTCAGAAAATCGAAGATAACGCAGAAAGCACTTCAGAGTATAAGGCTACCCGCCCTCCAGGTTTGGTAGCCCGCTACTGGCCTGTGCTTCTTTTGTTGGTCAAGTATGGTCCATCTACAACAACCTCCATCTACCAGAACCGTCTTGCCATTGTGGACTGGATCAGGCTCAATTTAGTGGACACCGTGGTTGGGTTTTGGAAAAATTGGGTCGTCAAGCCTGTCTGGGACATGTTGGCGATACTCCGTTCAGACGACACCATGACGATCACATCGAAAGAGTCCCTCCAGTCTGACCTCAACTCGTTGGAGCGGATGGTGACTGACTTCATGAAAGACAATGGCATGACCGTGAACTTGGAGCAGGTCCATAGGGAGGTCGCCCAAGGCGATTTGACGGTTATGATGTCGCAATACGAAAAGGAAATCAAGACGCCGTACAAGCTGATTATCCAGGGTCTGTTAATCCGGTCGATTTTGATTCAGATCCAAAAGACCAAGGTTGACGGCGCCATTGCAATCAGCGGTATCGACAAATTGCTCAAGCTGCAGCAGTTGCTTTTCGGTATGCTTTCTGTGCTGCCTTCCCTTTTCATTCTTTACCAAGCCAACCTGGCCCTTCACAGAGAAGGATATTCCAGCAAGAGCCAGCGTATCATGTGCTTGAAGAGCCTCAATCTGGTGGGTGCCTTGGTGAACAGAGAGGGACAGGACGATAAGCTTATCGGAGATGGAAAGCTTTTTGTCGAGACAATCAACCTTACGCTTCTCCTGAGAAAAATCATCCCCAGCAAGCTCCAAGAAGACTGGCTCAGAGATCTCAATGAGCTTATGGTGGCCAGTGCAGAGGACAAAGAACGTGCCAGTCGTGCCGTGGAGCGGATTTGGTCAATGTACCTGCCATTCTTCAGGCGGGGGATCTAGAGAAGATACAAGATTTGCGTCTTCAGCATTCCCCTCGATCGAAGCTTCCATGACAGCATGAGGTTGCAGTTTTCCGAGCGGATTGGCATGAAGTGGTGGATTCCATGCCCGTAATTCCACATCTTGCCAAGAGAGGAAATATCGTTCGGGCGGTGTCTACAATTGATTTGGCAAAGCGGTAACTCCATGATCAAATATTCCGCTGAATTAGTCGCTGAACTTGCAGAATAATTATCTGACAGTGCCGCATTATTCGAATTATTTGTTGAATGATTTTATCCCACCAAATCATGTGGACCCTTTGCTGACATTATTTGCGACATGTGAGCCCTGGACTAAAGGAATGCCCAGGAGGGGAGCTAAAACAGCAAAGCAAAGCAAAGCAGGCTGAGGCCGGTGATCAGGCAGCGATGCACAGATTCCTAAAGCAGTAGAGAGCTTCACCAGTCAAGGAGCCCATGGAAAAGAGACTTCTGACTTCTGAAGCATGCTTTTCGTGAAAACGACATTTGGTTGACATTTGAGGAGGGGTCATCAAAGCTGGTCTAAAGCTACAATGGGCGGGGCCCAGTAAGAACCAGCTAGGTTGCAAAAGAAAGTTTCAAAAGAAAAAAAAAAAAAAAATACCAACTCCAAGCAAGTGTGGCTCACAAGAGGGTCGGGGCTCGTTCCGAAAATGCACCCTGGCACCCCGGCTGCCGCACAATACAATCAAAGAAGGTCATTGTCAAGCGGGGGCAAGTGTCCATTCAGGCTGAGGCCCATGGAATGAAGAGGCGGCTGTCAAAAACGGAAAACTTCCTATGGTACGGCTGCAGAATAGGAGGCTTCAATGGAGGGGAGTCCGAGGGGATGGGAGGGGAGATGACAATAGAGCAGCAAAGCGAGAGGCAGCGCTGCAGTATGTGAGTGAAGTTGATGCGATTGCAGCGAGAGGGAGGAAAATACGGAAGCGCTGAAACGCAGAAGAAAAACAAAAAAAATACCAAATTTAATTCCGACGGGAAATTCCCTTCTTTTATGCCAAGCAGTGTGCGTCGCTGGGACTGGCTGCGAAAAAAAAAGAAGTGGACTGGATCTGGCAACGTCCCAAACCGGCAATAGGCAACCCGTCCACCCACGCCCTGAAGTTAGCAGCATCAACGCTAAAACAAAAAAGAAAACTAAAATGACGGAAGCAACTTCAATTAAATTGAATATTATTTTGCCGCTCAAGTGACGTCCCCTTAACCGCTTGGCAGACCGGGGGGTAAAACTCCGAAAATTCGACCCCACCATATAACCCACCGTCCTGTCGCAGTGCTCGACTCTGGCCCTAGCAAGCTGTTTGCGGGGAACACTGACAGATATAAGGACCTCCACCGCCGCCTTCGCACAACCAGTTCGTTTTCTGGACTTTCACCGTTTTACACTTTTTGGGTACTCTGCTGCCTAAAGCCTGTCTCCGTAACTACGCTGTCTCCGGCCTCGCTAGAGTCAGTGCACAAAAGCTCCTCCCAAGATTCCCCATCCGTATGTGCTCACGATGGCTCGTTCGGCAGACGAGCCAGAAACCGAATCTACGCCTCGTGCCATGCTAGACCAAAACGACCTGGCCTCGCTTTCGTCGCTGGGGTTCCACAATGCCACCACTTTCCCGCCATTGGCCCACGGCGGCTATGGCACCAAAACGGCCACCGGGAACCTGCGCATCTTCAATTGCAAACACTGCCAGCGGGCCTTCACCCGTGAAGAGCACCTCACCAGACACATTCTACTGACTCACAACAAGCTCAAGCCCTACATCTGCGGCATCTGCCTGCGCCCGTTCTCTAGACGGGACTTGCTACTACGGCACGCCAAAAACCTCCACCAAGGTTCGGAGGTGGCGGTTCTGCGGATCCGCAAGTCGTGCAAAAAGGCGCCCGAGGAGGACGACGATAAGGACAAGGACGACCAGCGGATGAAGATGTCTGTCAATATGTTGGTATCATGATCCTTCGGAAACGAAGCGGGTGGTATCACCAGGACCAGGTGCGGCTGCAACTGCTGTGACGTTGCAATCGCCGATGTTTAGCTGGGCCCACGCCGGTGTGCTCTCCTATTCGACCCCTCCTCTAGCATCCCTCCACGTCAAGAAATGCCCTGCGGCCCGACGGACCGGACTGGCGCTGGAAGTCTTTTTCCAGGTATTTCCCCCATTACTGCTTTTGGGCAGCAAATCTCTCCGCTGCAAGAATGCAGTCACGTGACGCGACAGCTCAAAAAAAAAAAAAAAAAATTAACAGGCAGGGAAACAAGAAAATTTACGTTGAGCGCGGTGGGGATGCAAAAGGGGAAGTTCGGAGTTTTTGAGCCGCCCCGGCGATGCAAGATCCCTTCCGAAATACCCACCAGGGGTCGAAATTTCCTCCCACAAGCAAACATCGTTCAGGCCACTTTTTCGCTCGCACGGCGGCTATCGTGCACAAATTATGTGCCACTGCCAATAATGGCGACTCCGCTCCGTATATTCCCCGCTACAGCCATCGCCTGTTGCTCCATTTGCAGCCAATGGGGGGAAGAGCACCCGTGGAGCCATTATTTTCTCTCTACTTCTCTGGGAAGGCTGGCTGGGGTGCTCGTGTGACTCCAGCAGCTCGTAAGCATAGCTTGATTTATTAATATATTCGGTTTTTGGAACATGCGTAAAACCTCGTAAAATTGTTGGGTCGATCTCGGATAGGGCCCAATTGGGTACCAAGCCAACAGAAAACATTTCTTGTCCCCTCAAAAGCTTGGTATATCAATAGGGGGATCCTCTTGATTCTTCTTTACACATTGTACCATGAAGTGGAGCGTCTTTCTACGTTCTGTCAGATTGAGGAAAAGGAGGAACTTCAATACCATTTGTTCCGTTTTCATGATTTCTTGGTGAGGTCTTTTCAATGAGGTTACGAAATTTATAGTGCAATACAATGAATGACGATTGATGAAAGAATCAGTAATGGCGATTGGAGAGTGGGGGGGTAATGGTGATGATCAGGGGTGGTGGATTGCGTTTGGAATTTTGTGGATTTCCTGTGGATTTCCGATGTATTGGGGTTTAGAAGCAATTGAGCATAAATGGGGTCTAATTGTGTTCATCGATTTGATATAATCGACTGGGTGTCGTTGATGGATGGATCGTCTGCTGCCCCAGGTGCATTAACATCGACGATCAATTGAAGTTGCATCTGCTTTGAGGACCCTTTTTGTCAAAATGAGTTACCCCTGAGCCACTGTCTAAATCAGGCTTGATGAGGATAAGGGTCGGAAGCTTTTGAAAAACATTATATGGTTATGACTTACAGCATATTGACGCTTGCTGGAGTCGACGTTCGACAAATGGATGTCTTGGCAGTCTCTCATTAACTATGCTAATGAAAAAGGAAATTTTAGAGACTAAGATTTGCTGTTCCGCAACCTTCAACTTTTGTGTTGATAACAAGGAGGCAATACATCCAATGATTTGTCTGACTTGAACGAAGGTGTGGAAGACACTTCTCCGGCAGTATCCAAATCCAAAAACCATCGCCCACCATAAAGCTCAATGCGAGATTCATTGTCGCTCTTTGACATTGATCTTGATCCTTTGACAATATTGCCTGAGGATTGGTGGTGTCTTTATAAAGGGCATTCACAAATGCTTGTCAGTTTCGTGTCAATATCGGTGTTAGACCATCGGGACACCACAGACCCTCCAAAATAACTGATTCGAAAATTTAAAGAAGTACCAAATTTGTGGGTTGTTAGAGATCTTGCGGAGTTTCCACTGCATGGCGACCCAGAATGAGGTACAATGGTGTCGCTAGACCAACCAAATGCCTAGACCTCCCTAATTTTTAAAAATGAAAAAGCATCAAACTCCTCACAATCTCATCTTCATAGAAATAAAAAACTCCACCTTGTTCGACTACATCTCCATCACCACACCCTCACCTCTCCAGCCTTGCAGATTATCAACATCGCGGTTTGCAACCAAAACCACCTTCAATTCACCATGGCGGCTGGAAATGCCCTTTTTGTGTACTCTGTGCCGGAAACGCCGTGGCACGTGGTGGTGACGGACCAAAGCCGGCATTTCTACTTCAATTCGGCCACGAAAGCGTCGGTGTGGCAGATCACGGAAACCGATGAGGGAGTACTGGAAAAGATCGATTACAACCAATTGGCTGTGCTTTTCGCCAAATCTCGTGGCTGGGCGCCCAGGGAGAAAGGGCGGCCGCGGAAGGAGGTGAAGAAGGCTGAAAATGAGGAAATTGTTGAGGAGGTGGAGGAAAAGGTGGAGGAGATGGAGAACCCTGAAAGTGAAGAGGAGGAGGAACACGTGGAGCCAGAGGTACCTCACGACTTGATTGGGTCGATTGTGGCGGATGCAGGGCCAGTTGAAGAGGAAGAAGAGGAGAAAGAGACCAAGGAGCAAGCTGGAGGATTGGGTATTCTTCAAGGTTACGGAAGTGACTCTGAAGAGGAGGCCGAGAGTCCAAAAGAAGTTAACGATCCAGAGGAAGCTGACCAGGCAAATGATGTCGCGGAATCTGAAGAGGACGTCAATGCCGGGCTAGAGCTCGGAATTCTGGAGGACGAAGGTGAAGATGATTCTGAAGAAGATTCCAAATCTGCCTTTAAGGAACTACTATCGCAGCATCAGGGCACTTTCTCCAAGTTCGACCCGTGGTTTCTTGTGGCCGAGGAGCTTGTTTCCGTTTTGGCGCAGGAGCCGGCTTTCTATACGCTTCTGGACGAAACCAAGGAGGCTATTTTCAATGAATGGGTTGCTGAACAAGGTGAGTCGAGAAGCGGCATATACCCCACGCAAGTCTTACACTTCTTTCAATCACTCCAGGAGCACAAAAGCGAAATACGAAAGTTGCCCTATGTTCAATTCAAGGACCAGTTTCCCATAGACTCTGAGGTCGAGGATCAGGACAAGCTATACAGACAGTTTCGGGCCACCTTGGTGGAATTCGCAGAATACGAAAAGCAGCTTAAGAAGAGCGGCTACAAGGGCGAGAATCTCAAGGTGAAGCGAGTCGCCGAATTTGTGGCTGCCGAGTTAAAGGGATTGGAAATTGCACATCAAGAGCACGAGCTGCAGGCAGATCTGTTCTTTGAAAAGTGGCTGGATCTTTGTAACCACTTTGACTTGCCCCAATCCATGGTGGAGAGCCCGATGAATTTCATTCTTGGCGACGAGAAGAGGTACATTTGTTATAGAGATGCCTTGAGGAAGTGAGACATCGGGAATGCTCATGGGCACTTGGCGGTTGTCTCTCAGAAGCATAATCATTCCAAACAAATTCATTCGACGATATGCTGTTGTCGTTAGGTGGAAGTAGTTTAAAGTGGTTGGTCATCACCACTGATATGGTCCATCCTAGCCCCATGTCATGTAGTATAGAAATAGAAAAATAATCTGTAACGTCGATAAATACTCGAATAAAGAAAATTGACAGAGTTTTGTTTCGATTCAATAAATCCATGATTCCGTGACTTCTTTGACTCACATTCACCGGCTCCAACTTCATCAACCTGCACAGGTTATTCCCCATACTATCACCTACCCGACCTCAATTGCCCAATCACCCACAACTGCAACGTCCCATTTGATCGACATAACTGTAACGTTGCACTCAAATCTCCCTAATCAGAAGAGCATTGATTCAGCATGTCCCGCGTGGCAGTCACAGGAATCGGTTTGGTGACTCCTCTAGGTATCGGTACCCAGTCATCCTGGAACAATCTCATAAAAGGCGCCTCTGGGCTCATTTCTACAAAACAACTACCCGACTACAAAGAAGGCTGGGATAAGGTTCCGTCCAAAGTGGTTGGAAAAGTGCAAAACTGGGATCCAGACAGATGTGCTGATAAGGACGCTAGAAGATGGGCCCTTTTCACTCAATACGGAATTGTCGCTACTCAGGAGGCCCTTGAAGATTCCAAATTGGATTTAAAAAGCATAGACAGAAGCAAGATGGGTGTGGCGGTCGGTTCAGGAATTGGCCTGTTTGAGGATGCCTACAACAACTCGGTAGCATTCCACGAAAAGGGCTACAAAAGGGTCCAGCCGCTCTTTATTCCGAAACTTCTCAACAACATGGCCGCTGGAAACATCTCCATAAAGTACGACCTTCGAGGTCCTCTCCATTCAGTGTCTACAGCCTGTGCTACAGGTTTAAACGCTATAGGTGATGCCTATAATTTCATACACAATGGTTATGCTGATGCAATGGTCTGTGGAGGTCTGGAAGCGTCCATTCACCCGCTAGCATTAGCCGGTTTTGCTAGAGCTCGTTCTGTGGTGACTGAATATGAAGATGAACCTTGGAAAGCCTCGAGGCCTTTTGATAGAGATAGAAACGGTTTCGTGCTCAGTGAAGGATGTGGCATTTTAGTTTTGGAGAATATGGAAATGGCCAAAAAAAGGGGAGCTAAGATTTATGCAGAGGTTTCTGGTTACGGTTTATCTGGAGATGCCAACCATATCACTGCACCTTTGGAAACTGGAGATGGAGCGTTTGCAGCCATGAAAATGGCACTTGAAAGAGCCAAAGTCGATCCATCTCAGGTCGACTACGTCAATGCCCACGCCACTCTGACGGTGATTGGCGACCGGGCCGAAAACCACGCAATACTGACTTTATTTGCTAAAAACTCTAACCTTGCCGTGTCCTCGACGAAATCGTCCATCGGCCACTTGCTCGGCGCTGCGGGAGCGGTCGAGGCGGCCTTTACGTTGAAGGCAATTGAAACGGGGCTCGTGCCGCCCACTCTTAATTTACAAAATGTTGGTCGCCACAAGGACGATGACCCGACACAGTTCACATTCGACTATGTTGCCAACGAGGCCAAGGAGAGGCTGGTGCACCACGGCTTGTGCAACTCGTTCGGGTTTGGTGGCGTGAATAGCTCAGTTCTCTTCAGCAAACCTTGAGCTCCACCCTTCTTCATTTTCATTTTTTCATTTTTTTTTTTTTTTCTTTTGCTCTTTATAGTGAAATCAATCAAGCGAAGGACTGGAAATCATGCTTAACACCCAACAACCTTGTTCTTTGGGAACGTGAAGCCGGCCATCTCCCACGATGTGTGGTTGTTGTTGTAGTAGGCATCCTTGTGGTTCTCAATGTACTCGGTGGTTGGGTAGCCGTCAGGGTCACAAGTCATGCTGATGGAATTTGGAGGCTGGTAGATTCTCACGTAATCCACTCTCATGTGCGATGGGAAAATGAGGGAAGGCCAGTCAATGTAAGCCCACGAGTTGGAGATACCCAAGTTGATAACGATGGCCATGGGCTCCTTGGAAATTCTTCTCCAACCAATGTTACCGTTAGGGCTCAAGGCCCACGCGTGCAAGGTGAAAGCAGCACCTTCCTTGCCCTTACCGACATACCAGGTGATGTAACCATCGTCATTGTCGCTCATGTACTCGTATCCGTACTCCTGGAACTTACCAGCACCCTCACCACGCTCGTACCAGGTGGTGTTCAAGGTGACAAGACCGGACACGGCCTGCTGGAATGGACCACCAGTGTAGGTGTTCATGGCACAGACCTCGTTGTTGTGAATCTCAATGAAACTGTAGTCTGGGTAATACCACACATCGTATGGAGCAATTTGGTACGACATGGACACCACACCGGTCTTAAGGGTGTCATCAATGGAACCCTCAATGATATCAATCTCAGGAGCACCACGACCCGTGCCGGCGTTGGGGTGGTCCTGACCCGAACACGTGCAAGCATTCAACTTTTGACCTGGCAAGTAGGAGATACCATCTGGCGACGACTGGTTAGCGGTGATACCGGCGTCACACGAGTCGTAAGTATAAGGCCAAACACCCTCAGTAGAAGCCAAGTAACCTGGACGGGCCAAGTTACCCAAAGTCCAAAGACCAGGCCAGAGACCCAACTTGTGACCGTAGTTAGGCAAGTTAACCGACGTGACAATAAGACCCTCAGAGAAACACATCTTGTTCCACGACTGAAGCATAGCCGATCTGTAGAACAAGTCGTGGTTCTTGTAGGCGTCCAAGGTGATGTGAAGGGTACCGTTGGAGGTGGTGGCAGCGTCAGGGTCATACCACTCCAAATCCTGAGTGGCCTGGTAGTGGATGTCCACCGCCTGGAAAAACTGGTCATCTCCGTCGTAGAAAGTTCTGCCTTCGGCGTTGAACTCGTCCGAGAAAGTCAAGACCCACTCATCGCCGTTGGAGCTAACTCTAGTGTGCTCGTCCTCTGGGGTGTCAGGGTCGATCAAAGACGTTCTGATGGCGCTGGAGAGCGGGTAGGTGTAGGGGGTCAAAACCTCGTAGGACTCTGGCTTGTAAGGGTTGGTGACGCCCGAAAAGGTGAGCACGGGAATAAGAATGAAGACAGCGATGGCACCGAGCAAAAGAAGAATGAAGCCTAGGAGACCAAAACCCACGCGTCTGTCCATGTGCTTGAGATCGTACCAGAACCTATTCTTGTCGTATGCAGCGTCGGCGATGGGGTCTGGGTTGTGCAAGTAGTCGTCCGGTTCCTTTTCATCAATGTGAAGAGGGAACTGGTCAGCAGGGTACCCACCGAACGGGGAAAGGTCCACTTTGGCCAAAAAAGGGTCCAGCACGTTCTCGCCGTTGCTGGAGGTGGTTTCCAGGCCATTCTGGGTCAACTGCGTGTACTGGGAGTGGGATCTCTTGAACTGCTCCAGAAGCGATGTCAGGGAGTGTTCTCTCAGGTTGGCAAGACTAGGGTACCTGTTGAACTCAGTGGGAGCGACCAAGTTGCCCTGCTGGGAAGGCAGCGACATGGGGCGGGTGTTTCTGTCGACGTAGTAGCCGTTGTAGCTGTTTCTGTTGGAGTCATCCACGGGAGAGTGTTGGAGCAACTCATCCAGAGCAGCTTCATCAAAATGGCTCAGATCGTACAGACCCAGTCCGTCGTCAAAGGGGTTACGAGGGCTGTCCACGTATCCGTTGTTGGTTAAGTCACGGTGGGACATGGGAAAAGATGGCGTAGTGTTTAATGGATCAGAAGGAAGTTTTGATGGTTTATTTTCGGCTGTGCGCGGTATAAATAGACCCTGGCGTTATGGCTTTGTGGAATGGGGATATGTGGGGATGGTTTCGGCGCCAGCGATGAACGAATGAAGATTTGAACTTTCTTAGATCTGAAACCACAAAAAAAAAAGAAGTTGTGGAAGAAGTTGGTGTAGCTTTTTGGAGGCTGAAGGAGGCAAGCAAGACTTGGCTGCCAAGACCAGGCGCGACGATGAAGCAAGGCTTGATTCCGGCAGGTCAGTGCACAGAAGGCATGGTGGGCACAAAAGACGAAGATTTGTTTAAATACAAAAAATAACAAAAAGATGAAATTTGAATCCTTTCACTTTTCCTTCTTTTACTTTTTCTTCTTTTCGTCTTTTGTTGTTTTGATTCTGGTGGTATGCCGCTGCGCAAGGACAAGGCGCGAGAATCGCCAGATTTAGCCGCTTGCGCACCAGATGAAGCGCAGAAAGCGAGAAACGGCTCAACCAAAGGCAGATTTTGCTGTGGGCTGGAAATTTTTGGAAAATACCGAAAAACAGCTTCTTCGAAAATGTCCACTTTTCGGGGGCCGCCACGGCAATCGTCCGCTTTTTTCATTGGCCGAGCCTATACTTTATTTTCTGCGGTGATGGCTGCGAATGCAGCTGCGCCCGAGTCGGTTACTGCGGCACACAAAGACGATGAGCTCCTAAAATTATCAGATCTGGGGGTTGAAAGCCGCCAAAACCACAATATTTAGGGAATCTGCCAAAAATCAGCGAATCCTCCAATCATCGAGTTTCTTCCTCCGGGTACCTGTCTCAGCCTCTGTGCTGTACGCAGGACGGCTGGAGCAACCCATGGACCACGAAGCCTTGACGTCTGGTGACGGGGTGATTTAATCAGATTTGGGCGATTCGGGATATTTTTGGCGAAATCCTGAAAATCAGCGTTTTTCCAGTTTCTCCGTTCTTCCGTTGAATTGTATACCCAGCGAGGCGAAGCAGCGCGAGACCTGCCAAATTTGTCTAAACAAAGCAGACAGAAAACGGCACCATCCACGGCACTGAAACCACAGCCTGGAAAATGAGCACTGACCAGTAGCGCTGGCATTTGAGCTTTTGAGCTTTGAAGCGGCATTTGGAATTTTGGCATTTCTTGCTTCTGCCTGAAAAGTCGTTTTCCAAAATGAAATTCATCTTGGTGGTTCTTCAGGCTGTCTTCCATGTGGACCTGGTGGCTGCGAAAAACACAGAACCTCTGCTTTTGCAACCAAATCATCAAACTTAATCCTCAAACTTTGATCAAACTCTGATCAAACATCTAACACTTATCGGCGATCTTGTTACGGGGCACCTTGTTGCCCGTCTCGGACCAAAGCGTCAAGTTGCTGTTCATGTATGCGTTCAAGTGCAGCTCGATATAGTCAGTGGTTGGGTAGTCCTCGGGATCACAGGTCACGCTGATCTGGTCCTCAGGCTGGTACAATCTAATGTAGTCCACCCGGAGACGAGCAGGGAAAACCATCGAGGGCCAGTCAATGTATGCCCACGAGTTGGAAATACCAAGGTTCATCACCACAGACATGGGCTCCTTGGAAAGTCTTCTCCAGCCGACATTTCCGTTTGGTCCAAGCGCTTTGGCGTGAACGGTAAGCGTGGGGTCCTCGCCAACGTACCAGGTCAAATGCCCGTCTTCATTGTCGTTGAGGTACTCGTATCCGTACACCTGGAAATGGCCAGCACCTTCTCCACGCTCGTACCAAGTGTTGTTAAGCGTGGTGACACCCGAAACAGCCTGCTGGAGCGGACCACCAGTGTAAACGTTAGCACTGGTGACTTCTGGGTTGTGGATTTCCAAGTAGTTGTAGTCTGGCATGTACCAGATATCCATCGGGGCGATCTGGTAGGATTGGGACGCCAAACCAACCTTCAAGGCGTCGGTGTCGGTTTCCGCTTCGATGATATCGATTTCGGGTGCTCCACGGCCGGTTCCGGCGTTAGGGTGGTCTTCTCCAGAACATGTACATGCGTTAAGCCTCTGGCCTGGAAGATAGGAAATTCCGTCTGGAGAGGACTGGTTGGCGGTGATACCGGCATCACAGGAATCGTAAGTGTATGGCCATAAGCCCTCTGTGGATGCTCTGTAACCTGGACGGCCCAAATTGCCCATAGTCCAGAGACCGGGCCAAAGACCACCTTTAGCACCGTAGTTGGGAAGCTGGGCCGAAATCAAAATCATACCTTGAGTGTAGCACATCTTGTTCCACGACTGCACCATTCCGGAGCGGTAGTACAAGTTGTGGTTCTTGTAGGCGTCCATCTGGGAAATAAGCGTACCGTTAGCGGTAGTAACAGCATCGGGATCGTACCATTCCAAGTCCTCGGTACCACTGTAGTGGATATCCACCGCCTGGAAAAACTGGTCGTCTCCGTCGTAGAAAGTTCTGCCTTCGGCGCTGAATTCATCCGAGAAAACCAACTTCCATTTGTCGCCGTTTTTGTTTTTCTTGTACAAGGCGTCTTCTGGAGTGTCTGGATCGACCAAATTTGTTCTGATGGCGCTCGAAAGCGGGTACTTGTAAGGAGACAAGAGCTCGTAGTGTTCGGGGTGGTAGGGGTGGGTGACACCAGAGTAGAAGAAAACAGGCAAAAGCACGAAAATGACAATGGCTCCGAGAAGCAAGAAAAGCACACCAAAGGCGCCTCCGGCAGCACGCTTATCCATGGTTTTCAAGTCATACCAGAATCTGTTCTTATCGTATGCGGCGTCGGCAATAGGATCCGGGTTGTGCAAGTAGTCGTCTGGTTCTTTTTCATCGATACTGAGAGGAAATGACAGAGCAGGGTAGCCGCCAAAAGGCGAGAAGTCGACATTTGCCATAAACGGATTCAGGCTTTTCATCAGCGCATCGTCCTCAGGCGTACCCAGATCCAGCCCGACATTAGGCAGGTATTCTTGTCTCATTTGAGACGCCAAGGAAGTCAGCGAAACGACTCTCGATCCTGTCATCAGCGGGTACCTGTCAAACTCAGGCGGCATTTGAAGCCCTGCCTGTGCCTGATCCAGCGAGCTGTGACCCAGCAATAAGTTGGCAGAAGTGTCGTTGGAGTAGTATCCCGAAGCAGCACCTAAGCGGTTTCCGTACTGGCTTGGGCTGTGCTGCAACTGCTCCAGAGAGGCAAAAGACGAGTTGGAGTCTCTGGAGTTGTTTTCGTTGTCTAGCTCGGAAGTAAACGGGTTCTGTGGTGTTTCGTAACCCAGCAGGGGACCGTTGAAAGTGAGATCACGAACCATCTTGGGATAGCTTATCGTCTAGGGTTCCTGGTCAAAAAAGCTTAAAGTTGCAAATCTGCGGACAAGAAAAAAAGACTGCGTTGACAGTTGTGGATTTTCTTGTGTGGAGGTTAGGCGATGCTTTAGTGGTCTTGGCGCTGAAGAAATTGCAGCAAAAGTGAGGTAATTAATGCAGCAGGGGACTTGGGGTCCTGTGGATTCGCCTGATCTGGCAGGGTGGGTTTGGTTCGACTGGGAGGAAAAGAACGTGTTGTTTGTAGAAAGCAGCAACGGGCGGCTAGGCACGGGAGTTTACTTTTTTTTTATTTTTGGTTTTTTTTAGGCTGCCTCGGATCGGGCACTTGCTGCTGCTGCTGCACCTCTAAGCAGGGATACACGCCCTGAAAGTCGGCATTTTTCCTGCACACCGGCCCTATGTGCCTGAATTTTCTACCAGACCCCCGACACAAGCCCTTCAATTTTTACACTACGCTTTTAATTTGGCAAAATCTGCTTCGGCGCGTCCACACAGCCTCCTAATGGTTCAGGCCGTTTTGCAGTTTCGCACGAAAACCTCCTTCAGGACTGTACACAGTCTGCACTGCCGAGCCGAACACAATCGGTTTGACAGCTTTTTGGCATATTTCCCGACGCGAAAGCGTGAAGTTTTTCCGGCGCGGCCGCCAATATCTACTGGATTGACTTTGAAGAGTAAAATTTTAAAAAATTGTGGAGATGTGAAAATTGGAATGTGGTGGTGGTGAACGCGGCTACTGTAGATTAGTAGGAGGCGGCGCGAGCGGTGGCTCTGCTACATCTCAAATAGTGTAGTCAAACAGCGGCTGTGTCTCAATGTAGTATGAAAAATAAAGCTGGTGCGATCACGTGGAAACAGCTGGTCCTGGGCTGTGTGAGCTGGGGTTGTAAGATCTCACTGAAGGGTCTTTAAGATCTTGAAATTCACATGTTATGCTTTTCAATAGCATGTTAAGTGGGCAAATTGTACCTGGTTTGGGCGAGATGCTACAGTAATGGTGCGTCTGTGCATTCCCAGTAATAGCGTGGAAAGTGTAGTTGGATCTTCTTACCAAAATCAGACTTCAGATCTGTATCTCAGAATGATCCTTCAAGTTTTAATCACTACAATGGTTCTTTTTTTCAGAGGTTGGCAACGTTGCTGTGTACCTGACGCTACCGTGGCTGGTTGGGGCTGAGTAGACTATTTGGCTTTACTCTGAAGCTAATTATACTTTTTGAAATCTTCTTCCAATTTGAATATCTTCATGGATGTTTTTCTCTCAGTATTTTTAGTCGGCGGATTTATTTTTCGTGGTGCAATTCATCTGATTTCTGCAAAATCCCAGTAGTCTCGCACAAATTAGTGGACTCACATGGACCATAAGGAAAACAACAGCGAATTTGCAAAACCCATGAATTCAACAAAATAACTAATAACCACCCTACATTTCTCTCATTCTGTCACCGTAAACACCTGCCGAGCAGTATCTAAGATAGACTTCTTCACGGGAATGAAATCAAACCCTAGAATCAGTCTCGTCGTTGAATTATCAAAACCAGCTTTTCGACTTTGCTCTCTTCTATCTATTCCAGGGCACCCCGCCGGTAGCAGAGCCGACAAACCAGGATTTGATCGAATTACTTCAAAAATGGCCTGTTGAGAGATTGGACCAGCTGCCAAAAGCAACCTTCTATTTTTGGCCTCTTCCTTTTCAAAAGCCACGATATGTGCCTTTGCAACGTCTCTCGCATCTACTCCAAATGCACTGATTTGTCCGGTATCCTCCATAGTCAAAAAGCCTCTCATAATTTCCCCAGATCTGTCTAGTTCAGAAACAAAGTCGGTCGGCAGCGGACCTATAATGCAAACTGGGTTGATGGTCGTGATGGAAAACGAGCGATTCTGGAAATTAATAAAATCCCAGGCGACCTTTTCGGAAAATGTCTTTGCTCCAGCATAACCCAAAGAGGGACTCTTCAAAGCGTTATCCCAGGAAGTGGGGTTCCATGATGTCTCGTCTATAGTTCTGCCTGCCTCGTTTTCCATTTCCTCAGAAGCCATAGCGGCATACGATGATGTGATAACCACTCTTTTTATGTTTGGTCCGTGATCTCGAATAGACAGAAGGGCGTTGTTGGTACCGTGGATTGCTGGCATGAGTAGCTCTCTTTCGATGTCATTGACTGGATGAGGTCCTGGGGAAGCCATATGAATAAAAACGGAGGCATCTTGGTGATTTTTGACAAATTCGTCAAAGGCGCCCATTCGGCCTATTTCCTCCACTATCTCATAGGTAAATTTGGTGGAGTAATGTGTAACTTTTCTTGCGTATTCGCCTCTTTCTATGCTTCTCACAGATCCAACCACTAGGTAGCCTATTTCAAGAAGCTGCTGAATAGTGTGTAAGGCTACGAAACCAGAGGCTCCAGAAACGAGCACCTTTGTCGGCACATCATGGGTCATAGTGGCATTTTAAAATACGGTAGGATACTTATACTTACGAGCTTCTCGATCTGAAGCTTATGTGGTTTATTAGGTAAGCGCATCTTTGTTCAAGCACAAACGCTTACATGCGGCGTGCCATCAACTGATTCGTTGTATACGGTTTATTGGATCCGATATAAGCCAGGGTGCTTTTTAGAGTTACGAGAATGAGGAGAAAGAGGCACAAAGATGTGGGAGTACCAGATATTCCACTACTAAGTTACTGGTACAAAGTCGGAGTTCTTTACGTTGTTGATGAAAAAGCAAAAAAAGAAAACTCAGCCATTATTCGCTCCAAAAGTTGCCTGGCCAAACGTGGTTGCAATTCTAGAAATAGTGCCGTGTCTTTTTTTGGAACACAAGCCTTACGATGGTTGAGATGCCCTGACGCATGATTGTTTACGTTACAGCATCCATTATGCCCAGATTGATCCATGTGCTTGAAAAAGGTCATATAACCTCTCTATATTTTGTGGGTAAAGGTGGCACGCCAATGAGACAATCAATCTTGAGCTTCCTCAAACCGTGCCAACTTACGTCCTCTACACTTCCATTCAAATCCTGCTAGCTTCTAACTTCTTTCATTCAACATTACTTACAACGGCTGGTGCTTGGAGTTGAGGTCGTTGGTCTTGAGCTTATCCTCGACTTCAAGAATCTGCTTGGCGCTGTCTTTGATGGACTGCTCAACAGAGATCAACTCAAAACCCAAGATCTTTCTGGTCTTGTCGTTGTTCAAAGTGGCTCTCGTCTTGACCTCCTCTCTGTCAGAACCGGGGTTTCCAATAGGAACATGCTGGGCTTCACTGGGGAACTCGACGTGCAAAACGTCCAAGATGGTCTGCTGGGTGAACAGACCCGAGTTCAAAAGCAATCTCTGGTTCTTGGCCTCGTCCCTCTCAAAAGCAACAAGGTGGGCCTTGGCAACATCACGAACATCCACAGCAGAAGCGTTCACTGGGTTGACCTTCTCCTCGGTGCCCTTGATCTTCAAGATGCTGTTGATGAGCTCGGAGGAGGTGTTCAATTGAGTGGTTTTGAAAGAACTGGATGGCTGGGGACCGAAGACGTAGGTTGGGTTGACGGTGGAAATGACAAAGTTGGGCTTCTCTTCCTTGACAAAGTCCCAGGCGGCCTTTTCGGCAAAAGTCTTGGAACCGTAGTAACCGGCAACAGCGTTTTCAAGAGACTGCTCCCAGGTGATGTTGTTCCATGAAGACTCATCGTAGGTCTTGTCAGCCTGAGCATCCTGTTCAGCAGAAGCAATAGCAGCGTAGGAGGAGGTGACAACCACTCTCTTGATGCCGGAACCGTTCTTCTTGATCGACTTCAAGGCGTTTTTGGTACCGTTGACGGCAGGCAAAAGCAAGTCGTTTTCGATGTTGATGGCATTGAAGTGGAATGGAGAAGCGGTGTGCAAGAAAACGGTGGCTTCGGGGTGTTTCTTGACGAATTCGTCAAAAGCGCCTTCTTTCTCGATATCCTCGACGATTTCGTAGGAGAATTTCTCGGGGTTGCCAGACTCTTTCTTGACGTACTCACCCTTCTCGCTGGATCTCACAGATCCAATGACGGAGTAGCCTTTCTTGATAAGTTCCTGAACAGTGTGCAAGGCAATGAAGCCGGAGGCGCCGGAAATAAGGACGGTGGTGGACATTTTGGTATTCAATGGCGAAAAATCCAGGGTGATCTCGCCGCTTTATAGTCCACAGCAACTGCATCAGCAAACTGTGGTTTTGCAGCCATGGACCGCCTAACGCTTGCTTGCAGGTGCATCGACAGCTGTTCCTGACGTAATTGAAGCGGCGGTCCACCTTGAAAAAACGCTTGCTAAAGCTGCTTACTTAGCAACTTTCCATTGTGCATCGGGCCGGACTTTTTCGGTTGCGTGGGTCTCTTGGATTTAGGCGCTGGACAGTGGAAGCGTTTGGAAAGCGTTTGGAAAGCGGTTGGAAAAGCAATGGGCCTTTTGCTTGAGCCGCTGGGCAGGTGTTGAAGATTGAGGCGTGGAGTGACTTTGGCGAAGGCAAGTGTGGGTGATGCTGGGTTGAATTAGTTGATCTGGATGGTATTCAGTGGTTTGGATGGTTTGGGCCTTTTGAGGAGGATATACGGGTGATTGGATTTGGCGTGTAAGCATTTCGGACTTCCACGGGGAGCTTTCGTACGCTGCTAGTTCAATTGAAGGGCTGACCATTTGTGGATTGTCGGTGTAGCAAATGGAATAAGGAGGCGACAGTTTTTCCGGCGGACAAAGTCGGGAATGGCATGTACTTTGGAATGCAGTGAAATGTCCGTGGAAAATGTAAATTAAGGTTCTGCCAATGCCCGAAATCCTTTGTTCCTACCGGTTTTCATGTGGGCTCTTCCGCAAGGTACCGAGAATATCACAGCTATTAGCAAGCCCAACACGCTATCTAAACAGGAATCGAGCAAATGCTCATTTTGTCTTCGAAAAACCCCCTCAAGGTTTAAAACCAAAAATTCATGTAGTTCGTCTTGGTTCCCGGTCAGCTCGTCTATTGAGATACTTGTACAGCCACAGTTGCAAACGCAAACTTGCAAACTTATGGAACTCGAATTCTGGGTATAATCAAGAACTCACAATCAAAACATTGATGATCTCAATATGCTCTTACTTTCGACATCATTGCAACGAATTCCCGCCTTGACAACGGTACATATGGTCCATTTCGCAGCCACAACGCAGAGTAGCTTATCAGACAATACACCCTACAAAATGACTCCCAATATGACCTAATAGAAACAACCCCCATAATAAACTCTTCCCATCCATTTACTGAAATCTACTCCCCTCCATGCCCAATGGCACATACCCCTGCTTCACTCCGATAAGCCTACATATAGCTGCAGCGCTATCAGTGACCCACATAATCAGAAACACCATCAACACATCCACTACACCCCCACAAAAACACCCATCATGTCATTCTACGAAGGAATTGGCTCTTCCCGCCACAAAGACCACCAAAACCAGTCCGACACGTTTTTGTCCCGCGTCTTTGGCCTCCATTCCATTTACAACAATCTTCCCGAGAACTACAACTACTACGGTCACGAGATCGAGCAGCTCGAGGAGTCCAGGCCGGCTGAAACCGGGCCTGTTCCGCTTCTGGACTCAGAAAATGCAGAACAGCCGCCATTGGCCGAGCCTCTTCTCCAGCTGGAACTGGATCTGGACCTCTCTCTGGATTCTGAAGATGAAAGCCAGCAGCTGCCGTTTTTAGCCCCCAGACTGCTGGTGAATGCTAGCAAGACAGATCAGCATGCACACGTGAAATGGGGTACCGACGTGAACCGATACGGCAAGGATAGCGAAGAAGCTCTGGGATCGAAAGGCCGTTTTACGCTGTCTGGGAGACTCTTCTCTAGAGGACCCAGGAGGAGCTTTTGCCTATGTACAACGTGAATGACGCGGCTTTGCAGCATAGACGGGAACCTCGAGCTGAGCCTACTCCGTCGTTCCACACTCAGTACCAGAAAAAGAACCTCAACAGGGTGCTGATTCCTCCAAGAGAGAGAGCCCTCTATCTCTGGGCCAATATCGTCAATATGGACGAGTTTCTTATTGATATTTACTACTACTACCGTGGCAAGGGCTTTGGCAATATCATCGCTGGACGCTGTGTTGACATCTTCATCCTTGTGTTCATTTTGTCCTTCACCACGTTCCTCAAGTGGGGCATAGACTACGACTTGTTCTTCAACAGGTGGTCGTCTCACCTGGAGGTCTCCATCACCTTGCTGGACTTGGTGATCAAGGGCTTCTTCTGGTCGAGGGTGCCGTTCTCAGTGAAGGTTCTCTTGTTCGGCTTTTTTTGTTATATTGTGCTTCGAATTGTGCAGTTGTACTTCGACTATCGGTACAAATTGCAAGAGCTTCGGAACTTCTATGCTCAGCTTCTAAACATCCACAGCGAGCAGGAGCTACTGACCATTCTGTGGTCCTCGATCGTCGAGAGCCTCATGCTGTTGAAGGACTACAACTCCTTGACGTCAACCACACCCAATCTCCCGCCTCACTACGTCAATGACCTCAGTTCAAAGGTCAGACTCAACGCTCACGATATTGCCAATCGAATCATGAGAAAGGAAAACTACATGATAGCATTGATCAACAAGGATGTCCTAGATTTGGCCATTCCAATGCCGTCATTCCTAGGCAACATTTTCTCCAGCAAGGCTGTGCTTACAAGAACCTTGGAGTGGAACCTCAAGCTTTGCATCAACAACTTCATCTTCAACGACAGCGGACAGATCAAGCAGGCTATCTTGAAGGAGGGTTCCAGAAATAGTCTCTCACAGGAGCTTAGTGCCCGCTTCAAGATGGCTGCCCTAATCAACCTTTTTCTCTGTCCTTTCATCGTGATCTACTTCGTGTTGTTGTACTTTTTCAGGTACTTCAACGAGTACAAGTCGAATCCATCTTCGCTCGTTGGATTGAGGCAGTACACTCCCTGGGCAGAATGGAAGCTCCGTGAATTCAATGAGCTTCCCCATTTTTTTATGAAAAGATTGCAACTCTCCATTGGACCTGCAAGCACCTACATCAACCAGTTTCCCAGCAGCTTCTTGGTAGTGAACGGCATGACCTTGGTGAACTTTGTTTCCGGTGCCATCACAGCTGTATTGGTGATTATGGGTTTGCTTTTCGACGATGAAGAGCACAACTTCTGGTCCTTTGAGCTTTCTCAAAACAGAACCTCACTCTTCTACATCAGTATCTTCGGTACGCTTTGGGCTATTACTGCGAACTCTCTTAACAATTCCACAGTTTCAAACTCAGCCGAAAGCTTGAATCAAGGTGCTACCTTTTTCTACGACCCTGAAGCCAGCTTGCGTTATGTGTCACAGTTTACCCACTACTTGCCAAGCTCATGGAATGGAAGGTTGCACTCAGTTGAGGTTAAGACTGAATTCTGCGAGCTCTACAGCTTAAAGATCATCATCATTCTCAACGAGATATTGAGTTTGATCTTGACGCCGTTCGTGCTCTGGTTCAAGGTGTCCAGTAACTCGAGTGCCATCATCGACTTCTTCAGAGACTACTCCATCCATGTGGATGGGTTGGGTTACGTATGCTACTTTGCAATGTTCAACTTTGAAGAAAAGGACAAGAACATGATGCACAACATGAACAAGAAGAAGCAAAGAAGACACGAGTCTAGGGTCAAGAAGGAGTCTAGAGATAAAGCCAAACACTCCGATCTGGAAGTATCGAGCGACGACATGAGTGACCCTGATCTCAACAGCTACTACCAGGATGACAAGATGATCAAGTCATACATGTACTTCCTCGAGAGCTATGGAAATGGCGATCCCAAAAAGACGAGACAGCCTCAACGTGCGCAGCAGCTCAACAGCAGCCGGTATCCACGTGCTGCTCCATCGCCTAAAGAAGGACCATCTTCATCGTTGCACATGTCCAAGGGTCAATGGAACGGTCTGGCTTTGGACAGTGTATACGAGTCCAATTATGCTCTAGGCGAAACAAGTACTCATAGCGAGCCGCAGAGCCGAAAAGGCGTTTTGGGCATGATCAACCAGTTTTCCAAACAGCAGGCAGGTCGATAAACTGGTAGGTGGTTGTTGATAAGGGTGCGCTGCACAAAAAAGTATCGAAATTTTGAGCAGAGCATCGCATCGCGCATACTAAAGATACAACCCCAAAGGCTACGACATACATAAATCATGGCAGGTTCTCAGCTCGAACAGTTGAAGGCTGCCCTTAAATCCAAAGGCCTCGTAGGGCAGACGAATGTGAAGAAGAAGAACAAAAAAGCAGCCCCTTCTGAGACAAGAAAGGATCAGGAAGAGAAGAAGAGGGCCCTTGGAAAGATCCATGACGAGTTCAACCTTTTCGATAACCGCATCAACAGAGCAAAGCATGACTATACAATTATCCAGGGCGGCAAGTTTGTCAAGGCCGGCTCGAGGCAGCATAACGATACTGCCAAGTCCAGGTCTGGAGTTGAGCAGGCCATGAAGTTGAACTACGACGCTGACAAGAAGCTTCGAAACCGTGCTGGTGGCCTTGTTGATCGCAGATTCGGTGAAAAGAACAAGAACTTGACCGAAGAAGAGAAGATGTTGGAGAGATTCACCAAAGAAAGGCAAAGTTCGTCTAAGAAGAACGTATTCTCCTTGGGAAGCGACGACGAGTACGATGACGACGATGATCTCGCCCTCACACATTCCGGTAAAGCCATTTCGTTCGAGCAGGACTTCGACGAGGGCGACTTGGGTGTTCCTGAGAAGAGGTATGTCGATGAGGACAGTGAGCAGCCGCCTAAGAAGAAGTCCAAGAAGGACGTCATGGCCGAGATCATCGCCAAATCCAAGTTCTACAAGAAGCAAAGACAAATGGAGTTTCAGAAGACGCAGGATGAGATCATGGACTTGGACGACGAGTTTGGTGATATCATTGGCGACTTGCATAAGCTGACGCCCAAGGGCAATGCCTTCAAGCCAAAGTCACAGGAAGACATCGAGTACGATAATAAGGTCAGAGAGTTGACGTACGACAGAAGAGCAGTCCCAGCAGACAGAACCAAGACTGCTGAGGAGCTTGCAGCTGAGCATAGCGAAAAGATGAAGAAGCTTGAGGCAGACAGGTTGAAGAGAATGGATGGCTTGAACGAAGACAGAGCTGCTGATGCCGATGACTTGGATGATGATTTCTGGGAGAATGACAGTGAGAAGGAAGATGAGGAAGAAGCTAGTGGCAGCGAGAGCGAGTCTGAAGAATCGGAGTCTGAAAGACGTCAAAGAAAGGCTCCATCTGTTAGCATGCCTCCTGGCCACCCTCAATTTGCCGAAAATGTCAAGAACATGAAGGGAGATCAGGTCATTGAGCACATCAAGAAGATCAGCGAAGTGTACCATCCACGTCTTGCCGAGGGCAATAAAGAGAAGATGGACAACTTTGTGGGTATCATCTTTGAGCACATTTTGCATATCTCCAACGAGGAAGTGGTGGATTCCAAGCTAGTGGACGACTTGACCAAGCTTCTCAGGACTATGGCCGAAAAGTATAACCAAGCATTGGTTGAGACTGTCAGACTGACCATCGATGATATCAAAGAGAGAGTTCTCAAGAACGAACTTCGGAAAGGTGACCTCGTCTGCTTTGTCGTTCTCGGCTATCTCTTTTCGGCTTCCGACCACTACCACCTTGTCATTACCCCTGCATTGATCGTCATGAACCAATTCCTCAACAACGAGATTGGTCAAACTAACGTCGACAACATCGGCAAAGGATTGTTTTTCTGCGACGTCCTTTTACAATACCAGTCATTTGCCAAGCGTTACGACCCTGAGATTGTGATGTTTTTGGAGAGAGCTCTCCTTTTCCTTCTCCCTGAACCCAAAAAGCTCGTGGAAACGCTTTCCGCCAGAAAGGTTGACGGTAAGACGAACCTCAGCAAAAAGTTTCATCCCAAATCCTCACCCGAGCGCCTCCAGGTTCTGGAAATCTTCAAATCTCCAACGGACGAGATGAAGTTCCACTTGATTGGCCGTGCATTTGCCATCATTGACCGTCTCATGAACCTCTGGAAAGAGAAGTCTGCATTTTTGGAGGTTTTGCGTCCTCTCGTGCACATCACGAAACATGCATCGAGATACTACAGCAGCCAGCTTCCGCAGTTGCAGAACATGCTTGAGAGAATGGGCAAGCTTGAAACCAACCTCAGCAAGAGCCGTAAGCCATTGACGTTGCAGGAGCACAGACAATTGGCCATCAAGACGTTTGCACCTAAGTTCGAGGAGAACTTCAACCCCGACAAGAAGCTGTACGACGAAAACAGAGACAGACAAGAGTTGAACAAGATGAAGGCGCAGATCAAGAAGGAGAAGAAGGGTGCGCTCAAGGATCTCCGGAAGCAGACCAGATTCACTGCCAGACAGCAGATCAGCGAGAAGAAGGACATGTACTCCACCTACCACAAGAAGATGGCCAACATTGTCAACACCATCTCGACGGAAGAGGGTGCCGAACGGAATCTGTACGAAAGAGAGCGCAAGAAGCGTGCCAACCAGAAATAGGTCATATTATAGAGAAGGTCATGGACAAGGTGTAGAGGTGCATGCATCGAAGAATCTCCAAATTGAGAGAAGGATCGGAAGTATGTCATAACATTCCTGGACTGCGTCCGGTGAAAAATGGAAAAACACAAACCAAAACAAAGCTAAGCCGAGCGAAGAATGCACCGGTTTGAAAACAGCCAAGGCCAAAAAGTAGCAATTTTAGAAAATTGATGGAGATTCTTGAATACGACAATTTGAATCCTGTGATTTTAGAAATTCAAAGTAGGTAATGGAGGTCCGTTGGATATGGCACTTTCGCCGAGAAATAGACATATAACGGTCTCTTATTGTACCTCGGCTTTTTCACAGCCGTCGCATTGCAGCTGTGGGATGAATGTGAAAATGGTTGTTTTGATGGTTCGGTAGAAGAAATGAAAAATTGGTTAATCGTGTTTGAAGATCGACTTTCTCTGTTTACTTTTCTAGGTTGATGATTCTGAGATCCATGCAATTTGGTGCCCACCCGTCACAACGGAAACGTTTCTAAAACTGAGTACCAAGTTGGGCCTGAATCAAGAAGTCAAAAGATTAAAAACAAGCTGTTTATGGGAAGTAGCTCTAGAAGTAATTGTAAAGCACCTCACCAAGCAGTAGTATGAGCAATAGTAACATACTCAAGGGTAAGATACGCCTAGTCCTTAAAATAACAGTCCATTCGACCATTTAACAAAAACACACAAAAGCGTCACTCGTCATACACGAAGTAAGCCAAAGTCCGAAAATCACAACTCTACTACTGTAACCAGCACGGTCAGGCCGGATCTTGATCACCGAGATGCCTTTAACTTTCACCCACACTCCATTAAAAAAAATAACAATACATTCATTCAAAAAAATCGGACACGAAAAGACTAATATCTGTCAATTGAGTCCACAGACCTCATGGTTCGTCTACACCTCGAGGGGCATCTACTTGCATGGAGCTGCGATGACGTCGACGCAATTGACTAACCATGACGAATTGTGGATTATCAGAAGCATCAGTCGTTGCTTCCCAATTGACAAGGATACACTTTCGCTGATTTAGTAAAGTCAATGTTTGGGGCACTTATGTGGTCCTCAATACACCTTGCTCATCGAGCAATCACATGTACATCTCAACCGTTGAACAATAAACATCAATTGAGCAGTCAATTGACACATTGAGATAAGCTGACCTTGTTCTTCTACACTCTCTAACTGGTACATCGTCAATTAGATACATACAGACTGGGCCTGAACAACCAGCTCTTCGGCAAGTGCACCCGTCAGTCTCATGCTGTGGACTTGTCAAAACGTATATTAGCGGCGAGCCGTATATTACATGTCTAGCAAACCTAGACCTGGGAGACGGAAGGCACACCGACGCCTCTGGAGCGGGAAGAGGAGCCGAAAAGACCGCCCTTGCCAATGGAAATGCCCGAGAAAACCGACGAGGCCAAGAAGATGAAAAACGAAAAGTAGAGGAAAGCAACAGAGGCCTGGGCCTTTCTGCATCTGCCCGCCAGGCCCTGGGTAATGTTGTTGCTGTCCAAGTAGTCCAGGTTGTTACACGAGTGGACATTGATGCCGGCAGCAATGGCGGTGGCAGCGGCAAAAGTGAAGACAGTGTTCAAAAAGTCAAAAGTGAACAAAATCACTGGCCAGGCGAGGGCAGCAATGAAGTAGGCAACAAGACCATAAAGCGAGGAGAACAAGATGCCAAAAGCAGCGGCGAAAACAGCAAAGTTCACCTGGGGGTTGGATTGCCAGTCAGTGGTGGCGGCAAGAGAGCCGGTCAAACCAAGGGCAATGACAAGGAAGACAAAGTTGACGATACGCAAGACGGCGTCACCGATAGCCAACATGGTTAGATTTTTGGTATTAAAAGGGTATTGGAAAAGAAAGTGTAAGTGAGGGAGGGGCCGGGGATGGGAGTTTTATATAGGGAGGTCACAGCAATTGTTAAGTCACAGCAATGGGGAAGATGAAGGGTGCGTTATGCATGAAGAAGGGCCGGTTTCCGGAACGGGGTGTTGATGTTTTCGCTCAAAGCGGACGGGCCGGCTGAGGCCGGGGGGCACACCGGGGGTACCACCGAGGGTCGCAGGTGGTAGGAGCCGGGGGTACTGCCGACTACCCGTAGTATGCGCGCCATGTGACTCGGTCACGTGCCCTGCACGTGACTGCCCTCGGGCGAGCAAACCCCCACCGGCCGAGCCGGCCCTCTTAGCAAGTTTGGCCGGTTATGTTGCGAAGGCCATAAAGTCCCAATCGGGCTAATTATCTGTGGCGGTGAAGAAAACGTCATGGCAAACGGCGCCGCAAGAAAGATGCAAAAACGTGAAAGTCGATGGCAATTGAGGTGTGGTGGGCTAGATCGCACGGCTGAGGGAAAGGTGGACGATGTTTCAGGATGAAACGGCAGTCAGAGATGTGAAACGGGGTCAGAGATGTGAAACGGGGTCAGAGACGTGAAACGGGGAGTTCCAGGAGTAGAGGCGTTAAGGAGGGTCGATTCAAGCGGGTTCGGCCTCTCCAATTGGGTGGGCCGGCTACAGAGCATAATATCGTTTTTGAATATTATTATTGATGGCCAGGAAGCCGAAGTACTCCGAAAAGTCACCTAATTCAATTCAAACTATTGCAATTGCCCTAGACCCACACGAACCTCGATTGTCTTGAACCTGGCCAACCTTGCATCTGAACCGCTGCAGCGCTATCTATGATCAGCGTAGAGCCTCCTCGAAAACGAAACGTTATCCGTAGAATCCGTATCCGGTGAAGCCGTGATCCATCCTTAGATTCCAACACTTTTATTTTATTCCTCGATAGAATGCCCCGCTCTCGCATGTCTCAGACTTGGCGAATGCTCAGACAAGAAATCGAACCTCGAGAAGCGGTTGTACATGGGCATTGAAGCAGATTGCTTAAGCTGAGACACAAAATTGCTAAACCCTTTTCAAAGATTCAGACTGTTGTTTCAAATGCTTTGCTTTTGTCACGTATTGTCAGCCGCGTGGTAGCAACTCCTCCGGTTGCTCAGGACCCTCGGATTCAGCAGTAGCAAAAACCGGTCCCACCACCTGATGGGTCACCCAAACCTTATTGCTAAATTTTCCGAGATCGTATTGAGTCACGTCCTGCTGAGCGGCAGTGAAAATAAAAACTCGTTTTCAACATCATCGCCAAGTGAAGCGTTGCAGTGTTCATTGGTTGGAGGCTTCCTTCTGCTTGGCATAACAGATTCTTCAAAAATTGCACCTACACCTACCACCTGACTTCGTCGTACATTCGTTAAACCCCAAACTTTCTCGTTTATGTCCTCTCTTCAAAGTACCGTCTGACACCCTCGGGCGCCACATCTGCCGGTCTATCTCCCGACCCTGTCTCTGCATCCTTGTTGGCACCCAATTCCACCAAAAGCACCCCGACATCACCGTGGCCCTCGGCCAAAGCATGGTGCAAGGGCGTCCACCCGTCTTTTTCCGTGGCATTGATATTAGCCTTGGCCTCCACCAAAAGCTTCACCTCCACAGCGCTCCCAATGGCTGCAGCTCGATGAAGCGGTGTTTGACCCCGAGAGTCTCTGGCACGTGCCAGCGCCTTGTATTGCTGTAGAAGCTTTTTCACCAATTCGTAGTGGTTCTTACTCACGGCAATGTGGAGCCCAGTGACTCCCGTGGTCGTTGCAAGGTTGATATCTGGCTGGGGCTCATGTGACATGAGTTTGTCTAGCACCGGCTCGTTACCTACACCACAAAGAATGTGTATAGGTGTCCAGCCGCCATCATCGACCAAATCGTCGATATCAACGTTTTTCATGTGGGGCAAGATCAAGTCCACGATCTTCTCGTTCCCCATGGCACACGCCCAATGTAAAGGAGTACGACCATCGGAGTCCTTGGAAACAGCCAATTTGCCGTTTTCGGCAAGAAGCCCTTCCACAATCAAAGGTTTATTATCACGAGCGGCCTCGTGAACAGGGAAAGATTCGGAATTCATGCTTATTTTGCAGCCAATTGATGGGTACAAGGTGCTTAGTCCGAAGGCGAGGTGAGGCTAGTTGACACCCGTGCACCATGTAAATGGCCTCATTTCGAGCAAACTGGGTAAAACATTCATATACTCACTCGGTTCCTGGCCCTGTATACAGTCAGTCATTCACCAGCAACCACTACCAAAACGAATTTATTAAGTTCCTGGCAGGCACGAAGCGTCGAAGGCAAGATAATGCAGGTCTGATCCAGACGTGGTGTTACCGGTCGGCCAACGTGACCGGAAGTCGTCTATGACGAACCGGTGGGGGAACAATAATGTTAGCAGCAAGCGATGTGACCGTCGAGCCCTCGGTGCGCAGTGACCGGAACACACCTTGCACTGTCGTCAGACGCCCCCGGCTGCAAGCGCACCGGGGGGTGCATACCGGGGGGCTCAAGCCGACCGTTCACGAAGACCGGTCCTTCGAGCACGAAAACAACGAAAATGGCTAGAGCCAAAACCACCACTTCCAGCAGACACTTGACCGAGAGCCATGGCCCAATTGACTGGAAAACCCGTCTTAATCCCGCCGGCTTTACTACAAGACCGGCGGTTGGTTCCGGTAGACATCCGCGGCACGTGAGCAATGCGCATTTTAATCATTCCGCATCACGTCATTAAGCCCAATGGAGCGGAAGTGAGCCGCTTTTCCCGGAGTCATGCTCACGGAGACAAAGGTCTGACTTATGTAAAGTCGGAAAGCCAAGCATGCGTTTGGTGAAAACCGGAGCCAAGCGAGTTTCTGTGGCGAATTTTACCGCCTGGAAGCTTGCCTTTTGCTGCCATACGTTTGCTCAAGGGGCTGCTGAGCGCTGTATGCGCCGCTTTCCATTTTCGGCATGGAACAAACCCAAACAAGAAGGGAATTTGAGAACCTAATGCGGCATGACAATAGCACCTGGAGCGAAGAAGCGGCAACCAGCATATGTGCAGTCCTTCTTCGACGCCGCCCGCTGTGGAAGAAACATTCACTGGATTATGAATTAGTGCGCATTCGGCACACCCGTACATCCCACACCCAACGTTCCCTGTGTAGACGCCTCACTGAGCGTCTGTTTTGGAATCCTGTCAAAAGGTAAACAAGGTATCGTCGCTCAATAAGTATAATAGAAAAATATGCAAGCGAACAAAACACTCTCAGCGTCGCTTGCGCGCATCCCAGTGAACCACAGTATATTTTGCCGGCCTTACCAAGCCTTGCTTATTTGTTTTTGTGTTTTTCTGAATATGATGTAACTTGTTTGACATGGCGCCAATTCCAGGTCCATATACACTGTATACCCCAATGTTTCCACTGTATACCTCCATGTTTGGGTTTGTAAAATTTCACCTTGCTGTGCAGCGGCTCTTTATCTTTTCCGGTTCTGCCTTTTTGGGATCAATGCAAACCATGCTTATCTTTGGTCCACGCTCAGGGGCGTGTTTTCGTCTGCATACCCAGATCCAGTCGTTCGGATCCAGTCTTCTATCCTGATTTGGCTTTCTGGCGGAACTTTATGTAGCGAGAAGGCCTCATTGAAAGCCTAATTTTGCTTCGCTAGACCTGATCTTTGGGGTCTGAAATGTCCTTTTCTTGAGGAGCAGCCCCCTCTTCGTCCTCTTCATCGTCACTGTCTGAATCACTTGGGGACTGGCAAAAAACAGCGCCGCATTAACCAAACCACCTTTTTTGCCAATACCGTCCTGAAGGGCGTTACTTGAGAAGGAGCTGGTGTGATTCGAAGTGCCAGCCTCGCTCAGCTGGCGCTTTTTGTCATTCAACTTGAAAAGCCTGTGAGTTGAGGCTGATGTATGCGATGAATCGGTCCGCCTCATGGCATCGCCAGACTGCTCTCTCAACGCAAGAATGTATTTTTGGTAGTCTGTAACCCCTGGAGTGGACATGGTAGAATCGGCACTGGACTCGCCAGAGGTGTTGCTAAGAGTAGGCGCCAACATATTATCATGAGCCACAAGATGCACGTTGTTAGGTGTTTTTCTCTGTCTGAGATCGGCCATCTCCACGCTGGTGTCTGTGTTGAAACCATTAGGGTCTCCAGTCGATGGAGACGATGTTTCTTTTCCGCCTGTATTGACCGCTGTGGATGTACCATTGGGCATTGTGGAGTAGTCGATAGCACGACTCACAAACTTGGTGGAGACCCTAGAGTTTTCACAGTTCATGTACATGAAGTCGACTTCCTCCAACTTAAGGCCCTTTGTCTCGTAGACCATAAAGTAAACGAAAACCACGCCAAAGGCGTTGAAGCCGCCCCAGATGAAGAAGATCTTGTTGCCCAATGCTGCCGTGTGCTGACCTGTATCAATAAGATACGGAGTAATAAATGCACACACAAAATTCACCAACCAGTTGGTGGCAACAGTGATGGCGATGGCTTTTTGACGAATACTGATGCTGAACATATCTGCGGAAAGGGCCCATGTACAACCACCCCAGGAGGAGGCAAAGCAGGCAATAAAACAGCAGGAGAAGACGATGCTGACAATGGAACGTGTTTGCTGGGCCTGGACCAGTACACCGACTATGGCAATGATGAAGTTGCTGACGCTCATGGAGCATCCGCCCCACATCAACAACTTCCGTCGTCCGACGACTTCAATCAAAACGATTCCTGGAATCGTGAACACCACGTTCACCAAGTATGTAAAGAAAGACATGAGGTAGTAGTTCCCAACACCCGTGTTGGAGAAAAAATTGACCCCGTAGTAGAAAATGAAGTTGATTCCCAGACACTGCTGGAAAGCGTGCACGCCCATGCCTGTGGCCATGCGTAGTTTCTGCTTGTGGCGACCTCCGCCCAGGCGGAAGCAGTCCAAAACAGAGGTTTTGCCGAAACTCATTTCGTAATCGTAGTTGGCCTTGATCTCGACCAACTCCTCGATGAGATCGGCGTCGTCGTCCGGAAGCCGTCGGAGCTTACTGAGACTCTTGAGGGCAAGCTGGAGATTGTCTTTTTGAACGTAGAAACGAGGACTCTCGGGAAGAAAAAGCATACCCACGCAGAGAGCCACCGACCATGCAAACTGGATCCCGATCGGGATTCTGTAACTAGCAGAGCTCTGGATCCGTCGCGTGCCTTGGCAGATGGCCAGGGCTATAAGAAGCCCCCATGTGATAGCCCACTGGTATGTGAAAACGATAGAACCTCTGACCCATTTGGGCGAGGCTTCAGCTTGGTACAACGGCACGATAGCAGAAAGAATACCAACAGAAAGCCCAGAAACGCCTCTTCCAGCGCATAGGAGCCCCACGTCGGTTGCTGAAACCTGGAGGATGTTGCCGATGTTAAAAAGGATCGCCAGAGATACAATGATAGACAGTTTCCGGCCGTACGTGTCTGAAATCAACGGCGCCACGAGAGCACCGAAGAATGTCCCCAACAGCAATATCGCCGTGATGAGAGCCCTTTCGTGGGTACTAAACTCGCCCTTCTGCAGCGGAATATGGGCTTTCACGTATTGCATTTCCAAGATATCGTTGATGAGCCCGGTATCGTAACCGTACAAAAAGCCGCCCACAGCAGCCACCAAACCGACAATTATGGCCAGCTGCAGCAGCAGTTTCTGGCGGAGGTGGCGTAGATGTTCCTCTTCTGAGGAGATGCTATTTGTCTGAAGAATCGGTAGCGTCATTGTCGGCACATTTAGGGAGGGCTGTTTTGAGTTAAGGCGGGGTGTTTTATGGTTTTGTTTCGAACCGAGTCTGTGTATTTAAGGTTCTGTGCTGTATTGTGTGGAAAAGGATCCAGGTATGTAGCTCTGTGGGGTGGTGAAAAGATCAGTGAGGGAGTACATAGTGCGATGGTGATAAGATATGGGTTTGTGGTTTCCGGGATCAGAACTTGATGTGTTTTGGATGTAGAGGGGGTTTTTGGAATTTCTTTTATTGAGAGGATTTCTCAAACTTTTCTGATCTATAATATGTCTGGTTGTGGTGGATTGGTGGAGACCTAGGGAGGGGTAGGTGGTGGTGAAGTTGGCCGAGGAGAATAAAACGGAGGTTTTTTCTGGAACCCTCGGGCGGCATGAAAAAGGGTTTCTAGAATATGGCGAATTTGAATTTAGGGCACTTTCCGGTGGTGGTGGCTGTTTTTGTAAAGTGACTCATGCGCCAGATAAGGCGTTTGCGAGATTGAGGAGTATCACCGAAAAAGGCGCCATACAAGGACGGTTTTTGATGATAAGTTTGAAATTTCGATTTCTGTTGATTTTTTGGCCAAATTTTTCTATAGAAGGCCTTCAGCAGACTACTACGATGTAAATGCAATCGAGCGATTAGGTGAGGTCTGGCCCCTGTGATCTCGGTAAGCACCATCACCAGAAAAGTTCGTGGTTTTTCGAGCCATTATATTTCAAATGTTTTAGAAAGGGCTATCATTGGCTACTCCGAATGCTAAAATGATCTTAGTATGATATTATGGTATCCTAGGTCCTGACCAACGTGAGTATCAGCTATCCTATGTATTGTACTCTGGATTCCGCTCTACACTACCAAGGCTAAAGCTTAATCTGTATCTCTCAATGCCAAAATATAATAAATACCTCCAATCCATGGTCTTTGGTGCTCCATAATCTCAAAAACCCCAACCCATATTGATAAGACCCTTGGGAAGTAATGCGTGTGATTTTCATTGCATCGTATATTGAATACCTTCGAGTCTCCCGATCCTCGCTGTATTGTTACTTCCGCTTTCATCTCGCATTAACAATAGTCGTTCTATGAGATGAGGATTTTGTGATCTAAATTGTACCCTAAATTCCGCTTTCGCAGCCATTCCATGATACACCCTGAATTCCAAATTACACAAGATCAGTGAAGATAAAGGTCCCATCGTGTGACCGTGAAACGTTATTTCTTTTGCTCATCTCTGAGTTAGCCTATTGTGGCTTTGCGATTTAGACTTTTGATGATGCAGAAGAACTAGACAGTGCATGGACGATATTGTTGACATCAAATTCAATATCCTTTCTTTCCTTATACCCTTCTCCTACAACTTTATTCACACTCAGCTGATGCTGCTATTCTACTATACAAGTGTCTCAGGACACATAGTGAGACACGGTTCCTAATGCATTTCCCGTTGCGGTTAGTTGTCAATAAAATACACCAACGTCCAGGCGGCGCCGGCAGCGACAGAGCCAATGGCCACCATTTGAAGACCCTCCAAGATCTTCCGGCGGTAGCCACAGTCCTCTCCAAGAGAGACAATGGTCTTGACGTAGCCGAATATGAACAAGGTGATAAGCATGACAATGACAGAGATGATGAGCCCCGTTTTCACGACGGAGGTGAAGAAATATGGGATCAAAGGCACAAAACCGCCGAAAAAGTAGCCCAGGCCAATGGTCAAGGCACTGGTGAACTCACGACCCTCAGCGGGGGCTTCCAAGCCCTTGCCAAAGCGAATGACAAAGTCAATGAGGTTTTTGGGGCTCAGGTCCAAATCCTTGAGGAATGATGCGATGGTGGTTTCGGAGGCGCCAAGCTCCAACATGATCTCGGCGGCGTCCTGGTTAATGAGCTCGGGCTTCTTGAAAAATTCGAGCTTCTCCTTCTTGACTTCAGACTTGTAGTAGTCGCCTTCCGACTTGGCAGCAAGATAGCCTCCAAGTCCCATGGAAATGGCTCCCGATACCAATTCGGCCATACCACCTGTGATGACGATTTTGGAGGAGCCCAAAGACGAAAGACCTGCGGTCAACGCAAAAGGAACAGTCAAGCCGTCAGAAAGACCAATGATAATGTCACTCATGACTCTAGGGTCAAAGCTGGAAATGAAGCCGTGGTTCGACAGTTCTTCATCATCAGACACATTGTGGCTTTTCACAGCGTTTCCAATAGCCTCTTCGTTGGCCACTTCTTGTGCACGGTCAGAAGAGTTGGTGGCACCGTAAGGGGATTGGTTGTTGTCCAAAAGCCTCTCAGCTCTGGCCAACTCCTCATCGGATTGGTCAGGTTCGAAGAGCTTGCTGACTGCTTTTTTCGCTTGCACCAACATTAAAAGATACTTGTGACTTTTTTTTTTTTTCTAAATGGCGCCGCTTCTTTGACTTTGGGGTTGCGCAAACTTATATAGAAGCAACGTTCAGGCACTGGGCTGCTGTCGTACTGCATAAACAGCCCCAGGTGCATCCCAGATAGTGTCTTAGGAACTCTGGCACCGCGCCTGTCAGTATGCGCTGACAAACAAACGAGCCGTGATTGGCCCGCTTATCTTAGGTCTGCATATAGTGAAATGGTGGTTTCCCCACACAGGCATTTTTCACGACATCGCAGCACACGGCGGTAATCCAAACGCTGCATTTTTTGCCATGCTTTAAAAGAGGGGCTCCTTGGCCGCCTCAAAGCTGACAAAATGCATATGCCCGAACTCGGAGTATATGGTATCCTGCATATAAGCCGCGAGCATTCCCAATGCTACCCTGATAACGGCTGACACACCCGTACCTCTCGATTCATGCCTGGTCTTTTCACTGTGGATAAGCAGTGTGTGGCTGCGTTTGTAAGCGGCCAAATTTCCAAGCTGACAAAGCGCCTTCTCTAATTGGTCCAACCCCGCAGTTGAACGAAAACAAACAGAGTCAGACAAAGGCACAAAAAATCTTAAAGGAGGTGTTCCAAGCTTTATTTGATTCGAAGTTTCTTGTTAATTTCCACTTTGAGCCATTCTTCTCCAGGGATACCTCGAGCTCAAGATGGGCTATTTCTGCATGCGAGAAAGATTCACTAGATCGTAGGCATTTTGCAGCCAGTGCGCCATCGAGGCATACCGGTAAAAAATAATGACATAAGCATTTTTTGTACTTCTGATTGGTCTCTGCTGAGGTGAAAACTCTGTCGAGGAAACTAGATTTCACCGATTGGTCAAGGGAGAAGCAAGGTGGTCGTTTGAGAAGAATTATCGTTTACTGGAATCAGATTCGTAGTACACTTTTTTGAGATAAATTTGTAGCCAGAATGAGTCAAGCATATCGATTGAGATGAGCATGCTGAACTTGTCTGATAGTGAATAGCGGTAGCTTTCAAAGTTACTTCGCCATCCCTGAATATACTGCATTCGTCAATAAACTCTATGGACTCTCTAGACCCACATGGGTATACGGCTGGCTGCATGTAGGAGAATCATCATCGGGTGAATTTTGGTTCTACAGAGTATGTCCACAGCATTTTTGGAATATCCTTCAAAGAATTGGTGTGGAAAGGAATCTGATGAATTTTGACGACCAATGTGGATGGGCATGTATGATGGTGAGGTTCGAGATCCATCTTTCTCATATCGCATGTTATCATTCTGTGAAATGCATGTATAAGGGAATTTTTGAAGCTTTGAGCTTTCTGCTTTTGACGCTAGTACTTTTTGCTTACTCGAGTTGCTTTTTTTGACATGATTGTGTTTGGTCTTTAATTTCAAATTTGGAAACAGCAATGGATATTGGGTGCAAAATGTTGAGAGAAATGCAGAGTCGTAAAAAAAGCGACATCATTATAACCAACCTAAGTGGAAATAATGGCAGACTTGCTAGTTTTTCTCTAAGTAACTTCACTCTTCCATGCAGCTGTGTTCTCTCATCACGAAGATGTCTTGCATTGTCATGCGAGCACCATAGGGCAACTCTTGTGGAAGGAACACAGGAGACCATGAATACAGAATTTTCAGTCTCTTTTGAATTTCTTTTAAGACACTTCGAGCAAAGTTTGGTCTACCTTCTGTGGACTACTACCGACCTTTTGAAATGAGCTTACTGTGAGCTGCTAGAGTAGTTATTATATTACACATTGCAGAATGTCACAGAATTATGTGAAAATTGCAAGAAAATATCACTAATGCTTTTGCTTGCATGACCACGGAGTTCATTTATAATATAAGGCTGACAATAGTTGCCTCAGCTTTATTCCCCAGAATTTGTACCAATGAACTCGACAAGCTTACATATCATTCAAAGGAAAAAGCCTCATGAAGGCATTATCCTTGCGGTTTCATATGAAATGGAAAACCGTCCCTCCAATTACATCTCACACGAGACTTTTGCGTGTAGAGTAGATGGAGAGTTATGGGGGTGAGTTCTCTCAATCTTCGTGAAGTTTCACCAGTGCCTCCAGATGTTCTTGAAGAGATGAAGAAGAATGAAGGCATGCTGAGCTTCGGCAAATCGTTAGATTTGACTGATGACAGAGGAAGGATAGTTTATTGTTTCACCAGAATGAACCAGCTTCTCACAAACCACTTTCCTTTTTTGAAAGGTTCGAAGAAGGATTCTATTGTGGGCATTCGTTGCCTTCAGGTCAGAGACGACCTTGTTCCCCTTGATGTCGGTGTGACCCCCTTAAGAGCCAAAAGCTCACCAGATACGCTGGAAAAGCTGGGGACTCTTGGGATTCTGGAGGATTTCGTCGACATTCAGAAAGAGGATACGATCAATGTAGAGCTCTTGGCGACATACAAGCCGCCTGAACAGTATGAGCTAATACTGCCTGGGAATATGGTGAAAAGCGGTTCATGTTTGAGTGATTTTGTTCAACTTGAGCTCAAGCAGACTAACACGTTTTTCTGTTCCTGTCACGGTGATATTTCCATAAACCACATTACTATTATTCTAGAGGAGCATCTGAGATTCCAGCACATAGCGCTGAAGGGTTGCTGTGTAACCGAGGATGTTCAAACAGTGGTCTTGAAAGACTCAAGCATCAACAATTTCATCTCCCACACTGACTTCAAGAATATCGGAACTGGGTTTTTCTATTTTCCAAAAGTGTCAATGTACAATTGCAACCTTCCAAATATTGGGCCCACCTACAGTTCGAACAAGTGCACTAGGAGTTATGTCATTCGATTCAATATCGATTTGGAATGTGGGTCGAAAAAGTGTTCGAAACATATCTCTACAACAATGGAAATTGCAGTTGCTACAGAGGTTGATCTGGCGGAGCCCATTCTTCAAATTCAAAAGAAGCAAGATGTGATGTTAGTTGAGAAATTCAAATTGGATTCTGATCTTGCGCAGAATGCTATTCAATATTGCATCGCAAGGCGAGACGAGATGACGTTGGACATGATTAGTTTTCACATTTCCTCTGTTGTTGAAGGCGATAAGGCTTTGGTAATAGCCACCTTAAACACAACTGACTGCTATGGCATGCAAAGTGAAAGAAAGGTGAAAGCGATCGAGTCAAGTGAAGTTCTAGCGTTGTATCCGAGAAAAGGGGTTTGGACAGTCAATGCTGCAATGTTGACTACTTCAATTGCTGGTATTCCGGGACGGATGTTTCAAGTTTCCAGGTTCGTGAATGTTTTTGATGAATTTCGGTTCTCAAACTCATACGGTTCCAGAGAGGGTCGCTATTCCTTCTTGTCTGATTATCGAGGAGTACTTACGGCTGGCCCAGGAATGACTCTCGATTCAACAATGACATTCAAATTCATTTCAAGTTGCCGTTCCTTTGTTTCAATTTACTTCAGCAATCTTGAAGTTATTCTTGGTCAGCAGACTGTGAAGCTCAACAAGAATTGCAGAGAAGCCTTTCACAAAGAGTACAAGTTGCATAGCGAACATGCTAAACATGTGAGTTTCCGAGAAATTGACGAAAACGGGCAAAAAAGTTTCTTGTTTGAAGGATTACTCGAAGGCTGCAAGATCCCGAATGTCTTGCCCTCCACCCTTTCCGACTGTTTCAACAAGAGCTACAAACTCAATGTTAGCTTGGAGGTGCATGCAAACGCATTGGGCTCTGGTGGCTATTTGGAGAGGATTGATTGTAAAGTTTCGGAAAGTATTGATGTTCTCATGGGCATCAATGAATGTTATCGTCTAATGGAGAAAGAAGGACACGAAAAAACCTATATTAACTAGACATCGGAAGCTGCAGTACCTTTGCAACCTTCAGTGAAGGGATGAAAAGGGTATTCTAGGGGCCCCCGGTCCTTTCGTTGGACAAGCGCTGATGTTCGCTCAACTAAATTCTATTTTGTGTCGACATTAGGAACTCTTGGAAGTGAACTTAACTCAGATGCTGATGAAATTGTGCCATGGAGTTGACTTCTTATTAAAGGTAGTCAGTGAGTTTTAAAGAACCTGCCAAGCTTTGACATGAGAAGATTCTTGTACCATAGATTTTACATCTCAGAATGAGAACGAGGTATTCATGATTTGGGGATCTGTTTCATGTTGAATCATGTTGAAGGGCCTGGTTGGGTGACGTGACTCTTCCTTGATAACTCTCATAAGATTCACGACTTCCATCGCCTTGAATCGATCCTTCAAATGCAGCGGTGGCCGTTCCAGTGGGAACATTTGGTTTTAAAGAGGGATGTACAAGGCTTTTTTTGGGATAATTTTTTAAAGAGTAGGTGTGGAGGGGAATCTGATGGATTTTGTGGATGGGCATGTATGTTGGTGAGGTTTGAGATCCATCCTTCTCATATTGCATGCTATCCTTCAGTGAAATGCATGTATAAGCAAGTTTCTGAAAGTCCTATGGTTGTTGCTTTTGTCGCTGGTACTTTTTGCTTACTCGAATTGCTTTTTTTGACATGATTGTATTTGGGCTTTGATTTCAAATTTGGAAACAGCAATGACTAATTGGTGCAAAATGTTGAGAAAAATGTAGAGTCGTGAAAAAAGCGCCATCATTTCACCCAACCAGAAATCGGAACAATGGCAAACTTGCTAGCCTCTCTCTTCGTAACGTCACTTTTCCATGCAGCTGTGTTCTCTCATAACGAAGATGTTTTGCATTGTCATGCGAGCACCATAGGGCAACTCTTGTGGAAGAAACAGAACCATGATTTCAGAGTCTCCAGTCTCTTGCCAATCTCTTCAAAGGTACCTCGAGCAAAGTTTGGTCTACTGTGGGACTACTACCGACCCTTTGAAATGAGCATACTGTGAGCAAATAGAGTAGTTATTATATTACACATTGCAGAATGTCTCGAAATTATTGGGACGCAAGAAAATATCATTATGCTTTTGCTTGCATGATCACGGAGTCCACCATGATGTTAAACTGGCAAAGTTGCCTCAGTTTTCATTTCCCAGTTTGTACCAATGAACTCGACAAGCTTACACATCATTGAAAGAGAAAGGATTTTTAACGGCATTAACCTTGCAATTATTACTGAGGTAGATGATCGCCCTTCAAACTACATTTCACACGAGACTTTTGTATGTAAGGTAGATGGAGAAGGTTGGTCGGTTAGCACTCTAAACCTTCGTGACATTTCAGCAGTCCCTCAAGATGTTCTTGAAGAGATGAAGAAGAATGAAGGCATACTGAGGTTTGGCAAATGGCCAGATTTGACTGATGACAGAGGAAGGATAGTTTATTGTTTCACCAGAATGAACCAGCTTCTAACCAACCACTTTCCTCCTTCGAAAGACTTGAAAAAGGATTCTCTTGTAGGCGTCCGCTGCCTTCAAATCAGAGACGACCTTGTTCCCCTTGATGTTGGTGTGACTCCATTAAGAGCCAGAAGCTCACTCAATACGCTGGATAGGCTGTATGCTCCAGAAGCTTTCGTTGATGTAACGGTAGAAAAGTCCATCGAAGTGGAACTTTTGGCAAAATACAAGCCTCCCAAACAGTATGAGCTAGTGCTGCCTGGAAACTTGGTGAAAAGCGGTTCATTTTTGAAGGACTTCGTTCAACTTGAGCTCAAGCTGACCAACACATTTTTCTGTTCCTGTGAAGGTGACGTCTTCATAAAACATATCACCATTATTCTAGAGGAGCATTTTAGATATCAGCACCTAGAGCTGAAGGGGTGCTGTGTATCCGAGGAAGTTCGGACAGTGGTCTTGAAAGACTCAAGCATCAACTATTCCATCTTCCATGCTGACTTTGAGAATACCGTAAATGGGTGTCTGTTTGTTCCAAAAGATTTGTTGCACGATTGCAACCTTCCAAATATTGGGCCCTCCTTCAGTTCGAACGAATGTACCCGAGGTTACGCAATTCGGTTCGATATCGATCTAGAATGTGCATCAAAGAAGTGTGCCCAGCGTATTTTCACTGTCATGGAAATTGCAGTTGCTACAGAGGTTGATCTGTCAGAGCCCATTCTCCAAGTTCATAAGAAGCAAGATGTGACGTTAGTTGAGAAATTCCCCTTGAACTCCAATCTCGCAGAGAATGCTATCCAGTATTGCTTTAAAAAGCGAGATGAGATGAAATTGGACTGTATTAGTTTTCATCTTTCCTCTGTTGTTGAAGGCGATAAGGCTTTGGTAATAGCCACCTTACATACAACTGACTGCTATGACATGCACAGTGAACGGAAGGTAAAAGAGTTAGAGTCAAGTGAAGGTCTAGCCTTGTATCCAAGAAAAGGAGTGTGGACGGTCAATGCAGCAGTTTTGACTACCTCAATTGCTGGCATTCCGGGACGGATGTTCCAAGTTTCAAAATTTGTGAATGCTTTTGATGACTTCCGATTTTCAAATAACTATGGTTCCAGAGAGGGTTGCTATTTCTTCCTGTCTGACCATCGAGGAGTACTTATGGCTGGCCCTGGAATGACTCTCGATTCAACAATCACGTTCAAATTCACTTCAAATCAACGTCCAGGTACGATTTACTTTAGCAATCTTGAAGTTATTCTAGGTCAGCAGACTGTGATGCTCAACAAGACTTGCAGAGAAGCCGTCCACAAAGAGTACAAATTGCATAGCAGAAATGGTAAACGTCTAAGTTTCCGAGAAGTTGACGAAAACGGGCAGAAGAGTTTCGTATTTGAAGGATTACTTGAAGGCTGCAAGATCCCGAATGTCTTGCCCTCCACCCATTCCAACGATTTACACAAGGGCTACAAACTTAATGTAAGCATAGAGGCACATGGAGTTACATTGGGTTCTGGTGGCTGTATGGAGAGGATTGATTGTAAAGTCTCGGAGAGTATTGAAGTCCTCATGGGCATCAATGAGTGTTACCGTCTAGTGAGAAAAGAAGGACACGAAAAAACCTATATTAAGTAGATAACGGAAGCTTCAGTAACCTTTGCAAACTCCAGTAAAAAGTTCAAAGGGTGCTTTGGGAGGCCTCCGGCCCTTTCGTTGGACAAGCGCTGATGTTCGCTCAAATAAATTCTATTTTTGTGTCGACATTAGGAACTCTTGGAAGTGAACTTAACTCAGATGCTGATGAAATTGTGCCGTGGAGTTGACTTCTTATTAAAGGTAGTCAGTGAGTTTTAAAGAACCTGCCAAGCTTTGACATGAGAAGATTCTCGTACCATAGTCGGCGTGTGCGCTTCTGTTGTAACAGTGGTCAATCGCAACGACGTCGAGGACGTAGTGGCCAAGAATTGAGAGAAAAGTAGGAAGAATGTACTTTTCAAATTGCAGTTTGTCAAGTGTCAACGACTCTTGGACACCCTTGATGAATTGCGCCAAAGGATTTTCCGGAACATGGGGCTTTGATTCGGAAGTAAAGCTCAGATACTCCATGCCCAGATTAGTGGCAGTTGCGAAGGTAATGAAGTTGTCGGTCGAAATTTGTTGGTTTGTGAGAGAAGGAGTATTAACACTGGTGCTAGATCCTTGTTGGGAGTCCAGATCATTCAGTTTCAGAGCCAGAGTCGAGGTAGAGGAAAATGCCCACCAGCCAAGTAAACCTGAGAAGAACATGGAGAAAACAAGCGAAGTACGACGATTTATCGGTAGTCGATATTTCGGGCTTTCGGGACGGCATCATTTTGGTATATCTGATATTCATGATTGTTGTGGAAGAAAAGAGTAGTAAAGGGGGGGAGCGGCTCTGGGGTTGGCTGCAAAAAACACTGAAATCGCGTCATGCCTCCTCGAGTACCACCAATATCTAACTCATAAATGTCGTCCGTGGCTACGTTGGGGCATTGCTTCGAAAGCAAAGGAATCTGCATTTTCAAAATGGGACTCTAGCTCGTACATCTAGGTTCAGCTCATGTAGTATGGTGGTTCTATAGCAAGATTCAGTGACAATCTCAGTAGCATCAAGGAGTCACCTCAGATAGTAGACAGAAGAAGTGATTCTCCTTTGGCTCAATATGGCAAGTCTTACATCTGCGATAATTGGCAGCGTCCGGGTGTCATCAGCAGCATTGGGTTCCTCGATGGGTCTGTTCATGAGAGTTGCACCATGAGAGGCGGATCCTGAGGGTCTTTCAAAGCCTGCTATCAACTTATTAGAACAGAAGTACATCTAGTACTCAAATGGAGAGCCTGGTGCATTGGTGCTGCCCAATAGCTCTGCGGACTTTTACGTTCACCTTATTTTACGGCTCACAGGGAGCCTGGATCCTCGAATGCTCCTAGATCCTCGAATTATCCTGGATCTGCTTCACTGTATCCACAATGACCTTTTCAAAAGGCACAAAGTCGAACTGAAGCAAATCCCTGCTTCTGCCGTTCCTCTTCTCAGCCATGTGTGCAACGTCCTGCGGCCCATTGCCTGGTTTGCCCTTTGGAATTGCCAAACCCGGAAAGTTCTTGTGTATAGCATCAAGCATCATCTGGACGCTGAAGTTGCCGTTGGTCATGTAGAGCCTCTTTCCGGCAGTTTCGTCTTTCTGGAACGCAAGCAAATGCGCCCTGGCAACGTCTCTCACGTCGATAAACCCGCCGGTGTCGTTTGACCAATCGTCGCCCTCCTTCAACTTGAGCAACCCACGGATCATCTCGTTGGACGTGTTCAACTTGCCCTCTGCCTCGTTGTCGAAGGCCTGGGGTCCGAAAACGTAGACGGGATTGATAGCGGTGGTCTCTGGAAAAGGATCCATTTTTGCATACTTCCACGCTGTCCTCTCTGCAAACGTTTTGGCTCCGTAGTAGGCGCTGATGGGGTCCTTTATGGCCTCCTCGTAGGTGATGGTATTCCACGATGATTCGTCGAACTTCAAGCCTGTAGTTTGTTCGCCTTCGGCCGAATACAATGCTGCATCGCTTGACGTGATCACCACTCTCTGGACGCTTTCGTTTCCGTTTCGAATCTGCTTCAGAATCGCCTCAAACACGCTCTCAGTGCCTCTGATCGCTGGAATCACCAAATCGTGCTCGGGATCCTCCGTGTCATAGAAAAACGGCGACGCCGTGTGAAGAACAACATCCAAGTTCTGATGCTTGTCAAAAACAGCGTCAAACGCGTTGGCTTTGCTGATATCTGGAACCAACTCGTACTCAAAAGAGCCACCCAAACCGTCCACGTTTTTCTTCAATCTGTCTCCCTTGGCCGCCAGACGAACAGTGCCAACGACCTTGTACCCCTCCTTCACCAATTGCTTCACAATGTGCTGTGCTATAAAGCCCGAGGCTCCAGTCACCAAAACAGTCTGGTTCATAGTTGCAACTTCAAGGTGCGCACTGTGATAAGATAAGCGACCGACGTATTGGATTGCCAATTTGGTCTGGGTGGTTTGGGTGGAGGAATCTTGATGTCCAGGTTTTGTGGAGATAGTGGTGGGACTAGGGTTTTGGGTTTTGGACTTTCGTAGTTCACCGTACTGGATTCGATGAGAATGGATTTTTCAGTGCATCCGAGGGTGATATCTAGCACGAAGCACAAAGTCAGGAAAAGTCGGGCTGATTTGTAGTCTCTTCGTCTTTAGAATTTATTGAAGAGTGCTTTCAGAAAAAATGGTCATTTGGCAATATGGGTACTTGCCGCTATGAACTGTGGTATCACTGCTGCTAGTTTAGCACCACGAGGTCCAACACTGAATTCTCCATATCATTATTTCTTCCAGCCTTTCCATGTTTTTTCCTCGTCCATATAAAAGAACTATCTTTGAATCGATTTTAGTCACTCCATTCAAATAGGTCTCCCTACTATCTTATCTAGAGGCCTCCCTACTATCTTATCTCACGGCTTACCTACCCACTCAACCAAACCACCAATTGACCTTCAATTCTCTTACTAACCCAAGTCTTCAACTTCTTGATCCTCACTCTCTACTTCACCACCTAATTGACTTCTGAGTTGACTCGTTTACCCACCTGGCTCCCCATCTGACCACCCACCCTTAGCGGCTTTGGCTGCGAAACCTAGATCCCATTACCACCCACATGGCACATCCACAAAACCAAACCGCCAGAGCCTCCTCGATCACCAAATCCAATAAAAGGCATTCTTCTTAAAACGAACTTAAACTTCCCGTTTCCTTACATTTTTTGTCCCGCTACATCGTTACTAAAACACCCCTCCCCATTGGTCTGACTCACAGATAGCGCACTCGCGCTTATCAGTACCTGATCCGTTTGCAACCATTTCCTACTACTCTCTTCATGTACATCCCAAACCACTACAACGAGGACCGCTGGGAGCAGAAGGAGCTGCTTATCGTGCACCACCCGCTAGGCACTTTGGTCACTTTTGACCAGAAAATCATCGCCAACCATGTTCCGTTCTTTCTCCACACCGATAAGGAAACTGGAAAACGCTATCTTCAAGCACACTTGGCGAAGAAGAACCACCAGATCCCGCTGCTCCAGGAAAACGATCACGTTTTGGTGATCTTCCAATCGCCCGACTCCTACATATCGCCCTCGTATTATCCGGAAAAGCAGAAGACTCACAAGTTCGTCCCCACATGGGACTTTGCCTCGCTCCATGTCTACGGAAAATCCAGAATTGTGGATGATTTTGACTTTGTCAGACAGCAGTTGGTGAATTTCACCAATCAGAACGAGTCGGCCCGTGAAAAGCCCTGGAAGGTGACGGATGCTCCTGAAGGGTACCTCAAGATCATGCAAAAGGCCATCACGGGGCTTGAAATCGAGATTACTGAAACAGAGTGTAAGTACAAGTTTGAGCAGAAAATGGCACAGGAGAACATCGACGGAGTTGTGGCTGGGTTGGCTCACGATGGTGTGGCTGAGGTCTCCAACTTGGTGAAGCAGACCAACAGCTAGAACAGAGGTTTACAGACATGGAGGATTGGAGTTTTCGAAGATGTGACTAAGGATTCGATCTTAGACGGTGTATGTGCATATATTACAATTCGACTGCTTTACAGCTATGGGGCAGGGCTTATGGCGTGAGCTATCGTCGTATATCTAAGCGACGCTGCAACCACCTCACCTCGTCGTTAATAGAGAGCTATGTAAAAGCAAAGAGCTCGTATCTCTTTCCCTAACGTGTATTGTCCTTCGGACTGACTTCGTCAGCGGTTTTCGTCTAACCTTTATTTGCGATCATCGCTGGCCCAGCAGCATCTTCGTCCTCGCCTCTGCAACCTAGTAAGGGTTGAATCTGCTACCACGGAAGCCACCGCCGCCACGGAATCCACGACCACGGCTTCTGAAATTTCCTCTGCCACGGATTCCACGGCCTCTGCCACGGCCCCTCACGAAAGAAGGCACGTTGGTTCTCTTCAAACTCACTTTGAGCGGTCTGCCACGGAACTCAGAGCCGTCTTGCGTCGCCACGGCCTTGTGGGCACCCTCGGCTGTTTCAAACTCCAAGTAGGCGAAACCTTTGGGCTGTCCTGTGATCTTGTTCGTTTGAATGGTCAATCTTTCCACCACGCCGCAAGAGGCAAAATGCAGCTGCAACTCCATTGGCACCGTGCCGTAGTCCACATTGCCAATGTACACTGACCTGGAATCAATTTCAGCCTGAATGGCCGCTTTTTCAGCTCCCTCAGGATCGTTTGAACGAAGAGCAGCTCCTGCCTGTGCATTAAGCTCATTCAAAGCATCAGCTTCTTTTTCTGTCTGCTGTAACCTCTCTTCAGGCGAGAGCTGTTTACCTTGCTCTGCTTGTAGTTCTTCACCCTGTTGCTGCTCGTAGTTGTCGATATCAATGTCCTCTTGCATGGCATCGTCTCGCGTAACATTGGCCTGCTGATCCAATTGAACAGGTTCCGACATTGTCTCTGTGATTAGTCAGTTGAAAAAGTAGTAGTTGGTTACGCGAGATTGCGATTTTTAATGCCCCACTGGTTACGTGCGGCTACACGCAGGCCAGAGCGTTATCAACGGTTTTCAACTCCACAGTTACACCGGTGGGAGGTTTCTGTCTCTCGTAAAAGACAGCTTATTGGCTTTGATGGTTCTCGGAGTCGATGCCGGAATTGGTTTGGGTCGCTGGCTAGGACTCGAACTGGAGATGTCTTCTCTGATAGTGCCGTACCCGCGGCGTCCTTTCTTTCTGAGTCCTGAGGCCAGTAGTAACGATTCGGTTTCGTCTCTGTTGAGATCGTCGTCACTTTCGTATCCATTGTCGTAGCCGGCGTTGGTGTCCTCGTCTGACGTCACACGCATAAATGTCGAACCAGGCGGCGTGGGGAATCCAGTAGGTGAATTCAACGGTTTTGGCTGCTGTCTAGGTCGATTACCGAGGAACACCATGATCGATGTGAAAAGAGTTCCGACGAGGAGAACGCCGAAAAGCACTCCAATGGCCACACTGAACCAGCCAATGTGGACATGAAGGAAATCATCGTCATGCGAGAACCAGGCCAAATTCAACGGCTTGTCAATCAAGAAAACACAGCTGGCGTTGCTGTTGACAGATGTGCAGCCGTGAGTCACAATCTTGACCTCCTTGTCCTTGTTGTAGCCAAAGAGTTCAGTACGGTTGGTCCTCAATCTAAGGTAGGTCTTGCCGGTATCGAAATTCTTGCGACAATCAAAGACACCGTCGGAGCGGTTCGTCTGGATAGTGAAGGTCAGGTTTGTTTCAAAATGTTGAGATACGCAGTGCTTGAGAGTTCGGGCGTCCTCGTTATGCAATAAATGGAGCTGTAGAAATTCCGGAAGATGAACAAAATCCTTGGTGACATTCATGGATTCAAGTGACTCTGGGCGTGGGGCAAGGATTGAGTAGTCGGTAGCAAACTCTTTCTTGCCAAGCCCCAAAGCATCTCTTAATTCTGGAAACACAGAAATAAGGGACGTGATTGAAAAGCGCTCCTTCTTACCCTCAGTGGTCTCAAGCAAGTCCCGGAAGGAGACGTAGAAGTCCTGGGGAAGCATGAGCTTATTAGTAATGTGAATCACACCCTGGTTGAAAAGAACGTCGGAGTTAAGGGGCACTGAGAGAGGTGTGTCGTTAAGCTTGATAATGTGGTTGAAATCTCCAGTGCGGTAGCTCTCGCTGATGTTGATGGCGTCACCTCGGAGGGTCTTGGCGATTCTAGATGTTTCAATGTCGTCGTCGAGGCCAAAATCAGAATAAATAAGATCCTCAATGAAGAGTCCCTTGAGCACATCCTTCATTTTCTTGGGATGTGCTTCCAAAAACTTGAGAACAAGTCCAAGGTTCTTGATGGAGGCATCGTGTCGATCTTGTACACCAGAAAGGGGTTCCCATATGGTATGACCACACGGCAAGATTATGGAGTAACCCTTTCTGTTTTGCTTCACCGAATTGAGACCATGTTTGCTCAAATGCTCCAAGGTCCACATGCAAAATTCCTTGTCAATCTCAATGTGCTCCAAGCGACCGTTAACAGCGCCTTCAGTGAGGAGATCTGCCAATGTATGTTTAAGTGAGGAAGGCGGCTCGAGTGTTTTATCTCCAATGTAGATGGATGTATTTCCAGCAGCAATATGAGGCTGTCCAAACGCATTAATGTCGTTATTGAAGGTAGTCACAGCTTTTCCATTGTGATGTCCGCCCGTCACTTTAACCTTGAAGCACAGACCAATGCGCTTGTTCAGACAAAGCTTTGATGTCAAAAGCCGCTGGTATCTCTGGTTTGACTTTTGACCCAGCGCAGGCTCCAACTGGCCCTCCATGAATTTGTATAGAGTATTTTGTTTATTACTGAACGACGAGGCCACCACTTCATCATCGTCCTGGAGATCGTCACGATCCAAGGCATCCAAAAGAATGGTTTGGTTGGTGGTCTTACCGTTGATGAGTTTCCCTAGCTTGCGGAACATGAGCTCGTTCACAAACTGGGAGTAATGCAATGAGTAGAGTATCTTGCGCGGGACAAGAGTAGGTACTCGGAAATCCAATGCCAGGAAGAAAGAGCTGTTTGGGTTGCTTTCGGCATCGAAAATGTGAACAATACCGTCCCGGGCACTAAGACCAGTTGAGTTGACGGAGGACCGAATGCTATTATTAATTATCAACTGGTGTGTCTTGGTGTCAAGCGAAAAGCTGTAGTCCCAATGAGGAGGTGCCGGAGTGATGGGATTCTTCCTTTTGCTCAGAATGTCCACATCAGAGCACGTTCCGTTGACTCCATCCACGAGTTCTGGAATGAGCCAGAAGCTGATCATGTCACTGACGTCTCTGGAGAGTTCACTAATGGCGTCCTTCGAAGTGTCAAAGGTTTTGTCCACCAGGGACTCAAACAAAGCGGTATAGTATCGTATTTCCACATCCAGAAGCAGCTTCTCGACCATGTCGTCCAGCGGTACAATCACTGTGGATGTGTTGCCGAGGAACTCAGGACAGGTGGGTCCCCGGATCCTCGGATGCAAGAAAACCAGCTGGAAGAGTCGTTTGACGAAACTCATCTTGTGGCCATTGATGTAATCCGTGTTTCTGTCCAAGAGGAGCTCGCATATGCTTGGCTGGAGCGGAAGGAGGTGGTCGATCGCCTGGACGAACGAATGCTGGTGTTTGGCGTAGAAATCGAATTCCACAATCTGGGCCACGTCGTTGACATAGTACTGCTTCTGGTCCAAGTCAGCCAGCAACTTGAGCGGGAATGTAACGTTGCGGCTGGGCGTTTCCCTCAATATGTACAAGGAGTCAGCCACCATGTCCCTTGTGTCCAAGTAGCCAATTCGTAGTTTCTGGTCTGCAAAGTAACGCAAGAGGTTTTGATGCGTATCGTTGCCCAAAACCTCATCGTCCACGAAAGCCAGATTGACGGGAGCAAAAAGCGTCACGTTTTGAAGCGAATTGATCAACGGAACCAAGCCGTTTCGCTGGAGGTGTCTAATAAAGTAGGAGAACTGAACCTCGGATGAAAGGTAGTCGACTATGGAGGACGGCGACGGTTCTGGCGGAATCGAGGTCGATGTGGGTTTTGCCGAAATAGGAAGTGCTAGCAAAGCAAGCCATAGGCATATTGCAATCGGAAGCATAAAGAAGGTGTGGTTTGTGATATGCTCGTGATGAAGGTATAAGCGTATACGCAGGATGATGATAACGATAACGGCATGTGGCTTTGCCGGGGAGGTGGTGAAGAGGAGTAACGATTTCTGACTTTTGTTTTTTAAAATGGTAAGATTCTGAAAATTTCTGGTTCTGTTCGGTTTGTGTGAGGTGCTCCTCGAGGTCCTCGGAAGATCGGCATGTGTATTTTCTGTCAGGTGCCCCATTGCTGAAAACGGATTTAGACAGGCTTGGGAGGGGCGGATAAGCCGAGGGGCTGTTTTTGAATCTTTTTCCAAAACCTTGGTTTTTGTTTCCGGATGTCGCTTTTGTGTCTCATTTTGAATCTCTGATCGTACAGATAAGACGCATGGGTGTACCACCTTTGACAAGGCAGGGCATCGTGGAAAGGTATTGTGTGATTGTGTTACGGAGTGATGTCATAAAAGGCTGGTTGGTTTTTAGGTAGGTTTTTGGGTAGGTTCTGATTGGTAGTTGGGGAGAGAGGATATCCTCATGGTGGGTGAACATGGGTCTAGAACTAGCTTAAGGGTGTTAGGAACACGCTAGGACGATTTATACACCCTTCACAATAAGCGTGTCAGATATGAAACATAGACGAGGAGGTTCGTCAGAGCTAGTTTCCTGATTTGAAGAACACTAGGTGATACACGGTGTAACAGGAAACTCACGGTTTATCAGATAAAGAGCCGCTTTATGGAAATTCCTGGTAACGTAAGATGACAACAAACTCTATCTATGTTCAAGTATTTAAGTGCTTTAGCCCGAAGTTAAGGAAGTCATATCTGAGTGTTATTGGTAATTTGCTATGCATCCGAGCATCCTAACAACGGGTCTCAGTTATCTATAACAAAACGTCCAAGACGTAATGTATAATCTAAATAGTTGGTGTGGGCTATTCGTTGTTAAGCAATAGTTTTCGTAGAGTGTACTGCTTCACAGAAATATTCATGTCTCAGTGAGGAAACCCATCGACCACTCACAACCTCCCAAAACACATCAAAACTTCAAAAACCCAAAATCCACAAACCCGCCCCTCGACTGCAAACCTGCTGAATCTCCTTTGTTGCCACGGCAAATGGAGAAATTATCAGCGGAGATCCTGGAAGATCCCAAATTAGGATAATTTTCCGTTCGGGATCCAGCGGAGAAACCTCCCCAACTCCCTCCGGAGGTGATTCTCCAGAAATCAAACAATGGACGCTGGCAGCGAGTCTGGCCCGGAAAAATGAAAAATCCAGCAGACGAGATGATTTTTGGTTGCCAAAGTCAGCTAACCAATGTGGCGGCCATGTTGTGGTGTAGCTCAAAGCAGGCAAAACCTAATCTACAAACCTCTTTTAAATGCCCTCAATTCTTCAAAGTAGCTACAGATAAAACGCTGGCCTCCGGGCCAACGGACCCAACAACACCATCTACAACGGCTAAATCTTCTCCAGCCTATTGTTCGCTTTGAGTTACCAGTTTGTGTCCTTCCAGACTCCATTGTGTTTCCGCCGAAACGTCTCCAAGAGCCCGAGGCCATTGTGCCATTGGCTGCATCTAGTCACTGGTGTCAATGCTACAATTGAAGACAAAGAAGATTTTGTGCTTTGGCTTTACGGCAGCAGTATCGGGCCAATCAAGAGGGTACAGTAAAACGCCTTTTTGCAATTCCGGAGGCGCCTTCTGTTTTGGGCTGGGGTTCATTAGTAATCCACCGAGGACTTCGGCTGCAAGGCAGCAGCATGTATGAAGAGCCGAGACCTGGGGTGCAGCAGAATGAGATCTCCAGCTTCATCTATTAATTTACTAACTCTTAGTAACGAACTAATCTTAGAAACAGATTGTATCCAATCGGGTGAAACACACACCAGATAATATTCTTAGGGATCTGCAAGAAGCCAGACGCTCCGCTTCAGGCAGTTATTCCATAAAATACCCTGTTTTCGGCCGCAGCACGCGCGTCCAGTCCGGAACAATTAGCAGCATGGTTACGAGCCCGCGCGACGCACCCCAGAGGGGAACGCAGCCGTGAGGTCATTCGGTGGGGCCTGAGGGGAACCCACGGAGAATTGTGCGCCAGTGGTGGCGGATTTCCTTCGACCCTCTAAGTATTACGTTGCCTTCAGGGTCTGGATGGTGGAGAAGGGAATGTGGGGTACGTCGTGCGTGTCGTATATGGCACGGCTGGTGCGGCGGCCCGCGTGCTGGAGAAATCGGCCTGAATCATGTACCATTCCGTCCGGTGCCGTGCCGCTTTACAAATGTAGAGGGGGGTATGTCGGAGAACAATAGTGAAAACCGGCCGAGGCCATTATCCACGTTGTTTCAGTCCTCGTAAGTTGGAATAAGCTCGAAGTGCACAATGCGACAGTCAGCGACAGAGGATTTGTTGGAAACTTTAGATTTTTTTTTTTTTTTTTTTTTTTTTTTTTTTTTTTTTTTGGCTGTCTTTCTTTTGTAACCTGCTTTTGTAACCTGCTGTTTTGGGAATCTCTACTTATACGCTTCTTGCCCTTGCCGTCAGTCCCCTCTGTATGCCTGCTGCTGGTCCACTCTACTGGATGCAAGTACCCCAGTTTCAGTAACCCACGCATATCCTCCTCGGCATGTCACCCTACACTATATGGCAAAAAACCATATCTAGTTTTCAATGAACTGGCAATTCTTCCGCTCTTGTGCCAAGGTTGTTCCGGGCTTGGCCCCGTAACTGCGCTGCTCACGCCATAAGTTTTTCCTAGCGGAATAACATTGTGTAGTGGTGCCGCACAGATTTTCTGGGGTTCCCGCCTGGTTTATCCGGATCCACTCTCGGACGGGTTTCACCAAAAACAGCAAATCCAAAGCCAACTGGGCCAATCACAGCTCGAGAGCCTAATTTATTTTCTCCATGCAAAACGCATCCTTTCGGGCATCCTTGCCAGAAACGCCTGGCGTGATATCTCGCTTCTGCAGCTTCGGCGTCTTGGCTGCCGTTACTCGGTCCCCATTGTCGTTTTTCTTCCAAGGTGGAGAAGACTCCACTATAAATACCGGCCCATTCCGCCCTTTTCTCTTCTCTTTTCCCAACTACACAAAAACAAAAATGGGTTTCTCTGCGTACGAAGACCGCATGGTCAAGCCAGCGTTGGCTTTCCGCAATTTTCTCGACGGAGGCCCCAAAATCACAAACATCTACTTCATCGCCTGTATCTCGTGTATTTCCGGCTTGATGTTTGGTTTCGATATCTCCTCCATGTCTGCCTTCTTGGGCCAGGACGCCTACCTCCGTTTCTTTGACAGCCCCGGATCCGACATGCAAGGCTTCATTACCGCCTCCATGTCTCTTGGTTCCTTCTTTGGTGCCATGACCACCTCCTTTATTTCGGAGCCTTTTGGCCGTAGGGCCTCCTTGATGGTGTGTTCCTTGTTCTGGATGATTGGTGCTGCTATCCAGTCTTCTTCCCAGAACAGACCGCAATTGATTATTGGTCGTTTTATTTCCGGTGCTGGAATTGGCTTTGGTTCTTCCGTGGCGCCTGTCTACGGTTCCGAACTCTCGCCCAGAAAGGTCAGAGGCTTCATTGGCGGAATGTTCCAGACCAGTGTCACCTTGGGTATTTTGGTGATGTTCTACATTTGCTTTGGCTGCTCTCACATTGACGGCGTGGCATCTTTTAGAATCGCCTGGGCCATCCAGATTGTTCCTGGCTTGATTTTGTTCTTTGGCTTGTTTTTCATTCCAGAATCTCCCAGATGGTTGGCTAAACAGGGCTACTGGGACGAGGCCGAAACAATTGTTGCTCAGATCAACGCCAAGGGTAACAGAGAGGACCCCGACGTGATGATTGAAATCTCCGAAATTAAGGACCAGTTGATCGTGGAGGAAAACGTCAAGGGCTTCACGTTCGTCCACTTGTTCTCCAAGAAGTACCTTCCTAGAACGATCGTGGCTGTTTTCGCCCAGATCTGGCAGCAGTTGACGGGTATGAACGTCATGATGTACTATATTGTCTACGTTTTCGAGATGGCCGGTATCTCCGGAAACGCCAACTTGGTTTCCTCGTCCATCCAGTACGTTTTGAACTTTGGCTGTACCGTGGTTGCTCTTTTCCTCATGGACAAGATCGGCAGAAGACCTTTGTTGCTTGGAGGTGCTGCCATGATGGCTGCCTGGCAGTTTGCCGTTGCCGGTCTTTTAGGAAGCTACTCGGTTCCTTACCCTGACTCTGGTAAAGAGTCTGTCACCATCAAAATCCCCGATGACGAAAAGCCTGCTGCCAACGGAGTTATCGCATCCTGCTACTTGTTCGTCTGTTCCTTCGCTGTGTCCTGGGGTGTGGTTGTGTGGGTCTACTGTTCCGAGATGTGGGGTGACTCTGTTTCCAGACAGAGAGGAGCTGCTTTGGCCACTGCTGCCAACTGGATTTTCAACTTTGCCATTGCCATGTTCACGCCTCCATCTTTCGCCAACATCAACTGGAGAACCTACATCATTTACGCCTCCTTCTGTGTGGCCATGTTCGTCCATGTTCTCTTCTTTTTCCCAGAAACCAAGGGCAAGCGTTTGGAGGAAATCGACCAGATCTGGACCCACAAGATCCCAGCCTGGAAATCGGCTTCTTACGTTCCTGCTGTTCCTATTTTGCCAGGAGAGACGGACGACAAGATTGCAACCGAGCACCACGATGGTGTTTTGCGCCATTCTTCCTCGAACTCGGATCCTGAGAAGGACGCCTCGGTGGCCAACCAGGCCTAATGCGTTCCTATGTAATTGCTTTGACGAATATACGAAAATATGGAGTGGGGCAAGTCCTAAGTAGTTAGTTTTGACAGGGGAGTGAATCGGTGGTGTATCAGATGGAGATGTTTTTGGTTTATCCAGGAGGGTCTTGCATTACGTTTATGCTTTTAGCGATGAATTGCAAAGTTGTTGATTTACTCGTCAATATGAGTTTCTACTCAAGATACATCTGACAAAACCACAAACCCAATATTTCACGAACTTTCACCTCATAAACAAATGCCGAAACTGAGTCAATTGACGAGGAGCTAATCAGGCAAGTCTTACACGATACATCCCGTCTAAGACAATGGGCAGTGTCGTTTTGATCAGGCCCTCGATACCTGATTTCTGGTCTGATCCCACGAATTGCCATCCCACTATCAATTCCTTCAATCTGCCACATTCCAAAGCAAAAAAAGCCTGGCCAATTCCAACCCATCCTACAATTCCGATCTGAAAATCGCTTGATCCACAAATCCGGGGGCTTATTATTATGAGCACCGTCGCGTGTAAACAAGTATGAGCCCTGGCATTTTCTGAAACACAGGCCCCTTGGAGGCGCCACCCGGGCCAAATTTCAAAAAATCCTACTTTTCCAAAAACCTTGAACTTTTGATGATGGCGGGGGATGGTGGGGGAAAAAGCGCGGGGGATGACGACAGTGGGGTGGTTTTTCAAGAAGGGCCCGAAACGGGGGGTCAAGAGGGCTTAGACAGGGCTTCCATGGAGGCTCATTCAGGAGGAGGCTAAGCCCCCTGCCGCCCTTCTCCCAGTCTAGATCCGGGGTTGTAATTTTCTGCAGAAGGCGTGGAATTCTAAGTTTAGTATATGTCGCTCGAAATTCGGGCAGTAGTATTTTTCCACAAAGCTGGTGGAAACCTTAAATTGACCCGTTAGTCAAATTTTATTTACCGAAACAGAAAGCTGTTTTTTGGGTCTGCATCAGGGGATACAGGGCTCCGTCATGTCTCCCGCCGCCTCAAATCTTAATCTGGCTTATCGAAGGTCCTAGATGAGGAGGTGGTGGAGCGGCAATTTGATCGTTTTCTGCTTCCTGGATTGGGGAAGTTGATGGAGAGTTTATGAAATCTGATTTGGTTATTTTGATGAGGGGAAGAGGGTTTTGAAAGGATCTAGCCTACTTTGAGGTATTCACACGATGGTGCCAGTTAGACTGAGACGCAACAGTGCAATTCAAACAATTAGAATATTTGTGTTATCATCAATGGATCAATTCTGAACAAGTTGCTCGGCGTCAACCGAGAATCTTCCCGAAGACAGCACAGTATGAGAGGCTACTCAGGCTCTCCCAATCTGCCTCCACATTCGGCGTCTCTGGACCACTTGATCTCAGATCAACTCCACAGTTGGACGTGCCTTTGGTGGCTGATCTGGAACCAAGGAGCAAATAGAAAGAGCAGCTTCGATACCTTGCTAATTCTGGGTGTTGGGTGGAAACAGCGCAGTGGGAATTTCGGTGCCTAATACTTTCAAGAGCTCCTTTCTCAGAGCAGCATCCAAAATGTACTCTGACGATCACCGTCTCTGGTGGAACAGCCATCATGCCAGTCAGATTGCCATTTTCGAGTTCAAAAGCAATTTCAGTGACGCTTTTGATGATTAGAAGATAATGCCGTCCAATAAAACCCGGCAGCTCTACATCGGCCTCCTCAAAGACTGTGACTATAAATCAGATGTCTCTGGAACTCTGCGCTGGTGGGAACAATTGCATCTTGTTCCTAAAACGGAGACGCTTCTGAAGCAACTTCAGGCTTTACCTGCGCCTTTCGCTCAACGTCATGTCACGGTTCGTTAAAACATCAAGTTTCGTTGTAATCTGTTCGTCTTTTTCCCTCTCAAATTCATTCTTTTACCTATATCTGGATACTAACACTTTTCCAATAGATCCACAACCACACCCCATATCGTAAAGCCTCCAACACAGTCACAAAACACAAACGGTCCTAAAATTATTCCCGCTTTGCCTACCCTTCAATTCTCCATCACTACACTCACTCACTAGATCTTGGCTATCATTACTCGTTAAGTAGATACCTAGACTCCGCCGGTCTAGACGCTTCTTTCCTCGATGGAGATGGCCTCGGCCTTGGTGTCGGAACGGAGATCCGTAAGGGCGTCGTCTCTGAAGGCATGTTCGGAAGGAACGAAGCCCTGGGAGCGCCAGGCGTGAGGAACCTTCTCGTACAACTCGTCGATCTGCTCCAAAGAGAGACCCTTGGTTTCGTAGATCAGGTACCACGCAAAGAAGAAACACAAGAAGTTGCACCCGCCCCAAATGAAAAAGACGTTCGTGCCCAAGTTACCCTTGTCCTTGTCCACCATGTACGGCGTGGCGTAGGCAATGCCCCAGTTCCACAACCAGTTGGAGGCAGTACAAAGCGCAACCGACTTGGCTCTGGTTCTAAGAGGGAAAAGCTCTCCAACCACGACCCAAGCACAAGGACCCCAGGTGGCGGCAAAGAAGGCAATAAAAATACACGAGAAAGCAACAAGCACCTTCTTGGAGGAGTCAGACGAAGCTGCAACGCCGACAATGGCCACAACAAACTGGGAAATCGACATTCCGGCAGCACCGCCAAGGAGAATGTTTCTTCTGCCTGCAATCTCCATCAAAAGAATACCTGGGACCGTGGCACCGACATTGACAATGTTAGTGGCCAAAGTGGTGACGAACCCGTCCACACCGGCATCGTTGAAGAAGTTGGTACCAAAGTAGAAAATGAAATTCACACCGGTCAACTGCTGGAAAGCCTGACACAAAACACCCGTAGCCAAACGCTTACGCTGGTGGTTCTTGCTGGACAAGACCTGGCCCCAAGAGGACTTGCCGTATTCTTTCTCAAACTCGTAGGCGGCCTTGATGTCGTTGTACTCCTCGATAAGATCCGGGTGGTCGGCAGGAAGCTTTCTAAGCTGGGAAAGCGCCTCGAAGGCCTTGTCCTCTCTTTCCTTGGAAACGTAGAAACGGGGAGTTTCTGGCAAGAAAAACATACCAATACCCAAGATCAACGACCAGAGGAACTGAAGGGCAATGGGGATTCTGTACGATCCAGAGTCGTTTCTGGCGTGGGTGGCCTGGTTGAAAACAGCAGCCAAAAAGATGCCAATGGTGATGGCCCACTGGTAGCACGACACAATGGCACCTCTAATCCACTTGGGAGCAGCTTCCGACTGGTACAATGGGATGGTGGAGGAAATAAGACCCACACCAGCACCGGCAATGGCTCTACCGGCACAAAGCAAAGGAATGCCCGTGGCGGCGGTCTGCAAAATGACACCGATGTTGAAAACAACCAAGGAGGACAAAATCAAACACCACTTTCTACCCAAGGTGTCAGAAAAGAATGGAGCGGCAAGGGAACCGAAAAAGGTACCCACAGACAAGATGGAGACAATAAGCGATGTTTCCGAAGCAGTGAACTCGTTGTCGCTTCCAGGGAACTGGTTCTTCACGTAGTCCATGGCCATGATACCGTTAATGGTACCAGTGTCATAACCGTACAAAACACCACCAAAGGCAGCAAAGACACCAACAATGATACCCATGGAGGTGGAGCCTGCTTTCTTTTCACCGACATTGATGAAGCGCTGCACGAGCCTGTTGTCTTCGAGGCCCATGATAAGATTTAAAAAATGGATGGCAAAACCAGAGGGTAGGGCGATCTGTGGGCTTTTATAGGTGGAAGTAGGCACTAGTGCTGGAGCATTTTTAGCACCCAAAATGTCGCGGCTGCTGGCGTGCTGCGTGTCGTGCAGACAAACATGGGGAAGCCGACATGTAGGTCCTATTTACGGAGAATATACGGCCTGCGCCCCGCGGCGAAATAGTATATCCCGCAGCCGTACCCCACAGACGCACTCGAGCGCGTAGCCCGAAGCAACCCTTGCATATCCACACGGCGTAATCATTGTCTGATACTACTTAAAGTACACTAGTTATTGTTGTTGAGGGAGGGTGCCGGGAAAACTGTGACAGGGTGTCGCGACAAAAGCATCGAAAATTGGCTTTCACGCCGCGAGTCCTGCATAATAGCGGCGGCCATAGCTGTCAGCCCGGCCCTCCTACAAAGCGTCAGGGCCTCTGCGACGCATTCTACCCCATGGAGATGTGGGGCTTTGTGCTTCTTCACGATCCTTCAATATAAGTGGTCAAGGCAGCTCCTGGGTTTTTTTACGACATGCAGCTATTGCACGGCTCTCTTTACGCGAGGCTTACCGCGCTGTGTGCAGTACATACACCGACCAAACAATTGAGGCGTTTTGGCGGATAAACCAGCTCCCCTCAGTGAAGCCTCGTGGTTGCAATCCGATAACCATAGTTGAAAGTTGGGTGTTCCATTTCTGGCCCAGCCTGGACCGCCTCGTAAATGGGCCAATTGCTCCGGGGCTTTTCGGGGCGGATTAACCCTCATGCGTGTCTTACGCCCGAGCCTGCGTGTGGCGCCATTTCGCCGAGGCGGGTCCATTTTGGGAAAAGTTTCTCCAGCAACTACAGCACTCTCTTCTTGTATTGGTCAATTCTCTCTATTAACAAGCCCCGACACACTCCTTGGAGACACGCCAGCGGCACGCCGCTTCTTCAAGGATTTGGCTCGACCAATGGGGCGTTCTTCTGCCATTAAATGATCCGAGCCTCACATGGAGAAATTTACGGTTTTTCCTGACTGTTAGAGGCGCTGTCGGACTGCTCCTTCAGACTCTCTTCGCTCATCTCCTCTGCATCATTGGCTGGCGGCTTCTCCTCTTTTTTCTGCCCCAACTCCACGTCAGGCAAACGGTGGTTGGTCTGGAAACAGGTGACAATCATTGCTATGGCAGCAAATCCGAGCGACATGTAGAAAGTGTCCCGGATGGCATTCATCACCTCTCCTTTCACGTACGCTCTAGCGGCAGGACTGAGCTGGTCTAGAAGCTTGGTGGACGAAATAAGCGATTCGAGATTCACCCCATCGAGCTCTTTGGCAAGTTGGGCGCCTTGTTTGGGCAAGGTCTTCTTCATGTGGTTCGTCAAAGCAGCACTGTAAACGGCATCCGCCAAAGCTCCCGCTAAAGCACCTCCGAAAGTTCTGCAGACATTCACCAACGTCGTGGCCATAATGGTTGATCCAGGCGCTTTTGGTGCTGCAACCTGTGCGCCCAAAATTCCCGATTGCATCTGGAAACCGGTACCGATGCCTAGAGGGATGAGATAGCCGATTTTGTGGGAATTGGAGGAATCAACATCTAGAAGGGTGAGAAGACCACAGCCAACCATACCCATGGCAGCACCCAAAATCGCAAACGGCTTGATGAGTCGGGTTTTCTTGATCAAGATACCCAGGGAGATGGACGTAATAACGGTTGCAATGATCATGGGCAAAAGATGGACACCAGATTTCCACGCACTGGCGCTGTGGATCACCTGGAAATAAATAGAAACGTAAAGCACGGCCGCCATAAAGTAGGCAAACGTGCCAAACATGGAAAACGCAGCGGCGCTGACCTGTGGAACCTTAACAACGTCCCAGGGAAGAAGTGGGTGTTTCGTGTACTTGTAATTCCAAACACAAAAGGCAATAAACGCGAGGCCGCCCACGACAAAACAGGCAATGACTCCACCCAGGTTCCATTCAAAGTCGTTTCCAGAAGCCAAGGTAAGCGCCATAAGCAAAACCACAAAAGACCCCGTCATGAGCACCACGCCCACGTAGTCGATCATCATGATCTTCTCTTTCCAGTTGCCCTTGGTTTTGGGTGGGTTGAAGCAGTACGCGAAAAGCACTCCAGCAACTCCTCCCACAGGAAGATTAATGTAGAAACACCACCTCCACGAAACATGCGACGTGAAAGCTCCGCCAATAAGCGGTCCAAGCACAGAGGCAACGGCAAAAGTGCATCCCAAAAGCGCCATACCCAAGGGTCTCCTTTGAATGGGCAAAATCTCGGTGATAATGATAAACGTCATGGTCTGGATACCTCCACCACCCACACCAGCCAAAACACGGCCGCCGATAAGTACATCCATGCTATCGGCCAATGCACACATCAAGGAACCAGCCTCAAAAAGCACCACTGCCACGATCATGGTCAGTTTTCTTCCAAAGATGATTGAAAGCTTTCCCCATACTGCAACCAAAGCAGCCATTGATATGAGGAAGCCCGACGTGAGCCAGCCGATCCTGTCAAAGGCATTGAACTTGTTCCCCACTTCTGTCAAAAGCGTCGCCACAATCGTCTGGTCCAAGGCGAAAAGGAAAAGACAGAAGAAGATGGAGAAGATACAGAGCACCAATTTTGCACCCAGGAGGTACTGCTCTTCTCTGGTGGTTCCGTCGCCAGCATCGGACTCGATGAACTTCTTGCGTGTTTCCTCAGCCACGGGCGAGGTTTCTGTATTCTCTGAGATTTCTGGCATTTTGGTTTGTGAAGATAACGGTGGAAATCGGTTCTTTTATATCGTGGAATCTGCAGAAGCGATGCAGCCTCAACGTGCATTCGTAAAGCGGCAGCAAAACGGAGAGGACTGGGTGGTGGTGGTAAGCCAACAGAAACTTAAAAAGTCAGATCCCTACTAATTGCGCTGTCCTGATCCCGATGCACTAAACAAACACTTCTTCCGACGGCCCCTTCAGGATAGAGAGGCCAAATCAGGTTTCGTGGTGGTGGTTATGGCCTGCATATAGTGCGATCCGAAGCTGTCAAGGGCAAAATGGCCCTTCTCGCGAGCAGAACCGTGCATTAATGCCGTTTCTCCGTGTCACGGGCCCGCACCTCCGTCTCCGTCTCACACTAGTCCGGCTGCAAAAGAATAAAGATTTTCCGATCGAAAAGATGCATGATCGTTGAACTTGACATATGTGCCCCTTGCATTGGAAGTTTTTTTGCTAAGGCTATAGAAATATCGAAAAGATCAGCGCTACGGAAAATACTTCGGGAATGGCCGACGCACGCCGAACATTGATGGCAAATTACGACCCACCTGCCATTGATAAAAAATACAAGGAATGTGGCAATTCAATGAAACACAAAAAATAAGAATTTTGGTGAACCTGCTACCGCCGAATGCCGTATAGCCGTATGTTGCTTCAGGAGATTTTGCCACCACGATAAGCAGATATGTACGGCGCGTCACAGAAATGTGTCTCGGGGTCAAAGCCGAATCGACTTGAGAATTGGCTTTATTTTCGGGGCACTTCGGAGATTGATTTTGATTTTTTAGATTGTACAACTGTGATTCGGAGTTGATGCTTTGATGTTCAGGGTCATTGAACGGAAGGTTTCTTTTGTTGTATCGATATGGTCCAGTGACTTTATGAGGTATTACTGATAAATCAGGATCAGTGGCTTGGTTTGAGATCATGTCGATGACAAATTGGTTTGACTGTCATCATACACAGCAAAAAAGCAACCATCAAAGATTGGGTGGTGGCATTTTGCTGCGTTTTGCACTTACTTCGATCATTGTCTTCCTATACTCCAGAACCCAAGCAATTGAAGAGGTACACCACCACTAGGCCTGTGCCTATGTTTTCACTCAATGAGACATTTGAAAGAATGTAAAGTCGGAAATTTCGTTGATTTCATAGAAACCACTCTTTCCAAACCAGCTGGTCAAGTAAATCGACGCTTCACTGAACAACCATACACTTTCCAGACTAAAACCATCAACCACTCAACAAGAGCTGTCACCAAATTCCTCATTGGCACATCCACCTCCATCGTCACCATACCCCCGTTTCATCGTCATTCACACTTCTCACAATACACCCTCATATTCCCTTCCATCCATCTTATCACCAAACAGCATTTCCTGCTAATACCACCCCAAAACCCCGCTGACGTCACCTGAACTAGACCCATTCCTTCCTTCCATTTTAGTCACAGATCTACGGTTTCACCAGTCCAAGAAAAATAGCTGGCGATCGTCGCCCTGTTATTCATGGCTGACGTCAGTCTAGACTACCCCTACCTCTACATCGCCAGCTTCGATTTCTTGAAACTCCGCCATAATCTCTTCAACATCGCCAGCTTCGATGTCTTGGAACTCCGCCATAATCTCTTCAACATCGCCAGCATCGATTTCTTGAAACTCCGCCATAATCTCTTCAACATCGCCAGCATCGATTTCTTGGAACTCCGCCATAGCCTAACATTCCTATATTCGAGAACTCCGCCCGTTTCTCGGTTAGATCGTCATTGGCCCGTTTGGGACGCAATTAGCTCGACAAGGAAAAACGCTCACGAGATACCGTCAAAGCCATCCTTCGCGTGTGTTCCTTGTGCTGGCTGTTCCTCCTTGGGGCTGTTCCTCCTTGGGGCTGTGAGCAAATTCTGAAAATCTAGACAACTTCAATTCACTCAAGATTCCAAAAAACCAGCCATTTACTGCTCGGGCCGTTTCGGGGTGGGGTGTATCAGCCGGACTTGTCCTTTGCAACAAGGCCTAAGCCGGGTTTGGCCGGAACATGGAAGCTGTAACGCAGTCTACCGAACCTTTCTCTGCACTATGCCGTCATTGTAGGAGTCCACGCAGGGGAGGAAGCTGCTGTGTTCCTGGAAACCATCAACACATGAAATTATCAACACTTGAGGGCGATAACCAAGACGTTTATTCAATGACACCGCAATGAGCTCACCTTGATGAAGCTTCAGTAAATACATGGTTTTCTGTAATTAATGGATAAATTCTATCCATCGACTTGGCCCTCCACGATGGGATCTCCGTGGCAGACCGCTATTGGGGCTTTTCCGATCATGGTATGTGACGACCTAGCCCTCCAGAGCATTATAAAAAGCCGCCCACTTCCCTCCAAATCTCTCATCATCAACCCAATCTCCCAATCCTCCAACATGCTTTCCCTCTTCACTTTGCTCTCCGTCTCCTTGTCGCTCACCAACGCCTTGACCCTTCCCAACGGTCCAACCACCTTGGCTACTTCCAGAGTCGGCACCCAGTCTGATGCTTTGGGTGGTTCTGCTCCTCAGGGCTCCTTGACCCTGGCTCCTGCTCCAATTCCAAGCAACGGAACCAACACCGCCGGAAACGGCCCTATTACGGGAACCCAGACCGGAAACACCCTTCCAACGGTTTCTCCTTCGAAGGTCACCAATGCTCCTGGTGTCTCACAGGCTCCACAGCAACCGGGTAATGTTCCATCTCAGGCTCCACAACAACCAGGCCCCGCTCCATCTCAGGCTCCACAACAACCAGGAAACGCTCCTTCCCAGGTTCCAGAACAACCAGGAAACGCTCCATCTCAGGCTCCACAGCAACCAGGCCCCGCTCCATCTCAGGCTCCACAACAACCAGGAAACGCTCCTTCCCAGGTTCCAGAACAACCAGGAAACGCTCCATCTCAGGCTCCACAACAACCAGGCCCCGCTCCATCTGATCTCGGCGACAACGGATCCTCTCCATCAGGCTTCGGTGGTAACGGTTCAGTTCCTTCAGATGCTCCTCAGCAGCCAGACTCCAACCAGTCCCAGGCTCCTGAAGCTCCAGGCAGCTCTCCTTCACAGTCTCCAGAAACCCCAGACTCTGGATCTTCTGGATTGCCAGATGACGGTGGATTTTCCGGAAACGGCGGCCAGAACGAACCAGGCCAGGGTGACCAGGACAACCAGGACAACCAGGACAACCAGGACAACCAGGGTGACCAGGACAACCAGGACAACCAGGACAACCAGGGTTAGGGTGGTAACATTGTGAAGACGGCCACCAGCACCCAGGCTTTCGCTACCGCATAGGCATAAGTACGAATAAAGATTGATTTCGGGAAAAGTTGTAGAAAGTGTAGAATTATTAATATTCAATTGCATTTATGGCTCAAGAAGGTGTAACTTAAACGAATGCTATCATTTGTATTACGGTTTTGCAAGGATGATATGATTTTCAGGTACAAGTAGTCAATGAGGCATGAATGTCAGAGTAGTATTTGCATTCTCAATTGAAATCCGAAAAATGAAGCAAGTCAAGAATTCAGAAGAATTGACGTTGTAGGCCCGAAAAATTGACAATGACGTCATCGAGATGCCCTCATCTAGCCATAAAGATATGCAAAATTTCCTCTTTTGCCGTTCTATTCATCTTTCGATTACTTCCTCCTCCCTACACTTCTTTTCTGGATGCATCGATTGGCTATTTAACCCTCAACATACCACTCGTTGTTGGCGCCCCGGTTCATCAAGATATCCTCGTAGTAGTCCCACGGGTCTTTGCGGTGAATCGGAAGCGGCTCAGTCGACTCAGGATCGTAGTTCACGTACTCGTCAACGTTGATGTTGAGTTCCTGGTGACGCTGCACCGATGGCGTCACGATATTGTACTCATCAAGAAGCCACAGCTTGCCACACGCCTTATACCAGGACTCACGAGCTTCCGAAGGGTCAAAGTCTTTTTCAGATGGCTTGCACTCTTTGCTGGGCACCCACATGCCGAGGTCCTTTCTGAACTCGTGGTCTCTGAAAACGAGCTTTGTGGTGTACGAGCTCTTGCCGTACTTCTTGCCCAAAAGCGACAGAACGTTCTTGGGAATGTAGATCGGCAGGCCTTCAAAGTAGGTGTGTCTGAGCGGAAGAAGCTCGTCAATGCGGTGCCAGTTCCAGTGCTTGCAGTGAACAGCCATGGTTTTGAGCTTGGCCAAGTCGTCGTCCAACTCGTACACCGCCGGCGGAGGCACATCGTTGGTGTGAGACAAGGCGCTGATGTCTATGTATAAGCCCAGGTTGATGTCGATGAAACGGGCGTCGATGAAGTTGTTGCTGTTGCCCTGCTTCACGTAAGTGGGGGAAACCTCGAATAAATATGCAGCGTTTCCCAGTTTGGGGTTTTCGAGAATGAGTGTGTTGTTGTACTTTCTGGCCAAGCGGTCGAGCTGCACAATCGGGAGCTGGACGTCAATATCGGTGTCCCAAGGCATATTCACGCCATTGTAGGCCCAGCCGAGAAGAGAGCCGTAATTGACCCACAGAGCCACTTTTTCGGTCTCGGCAAATTCGAACCAGGCTTTGATGATGTGTTGCAAGATGCTTTGACGCTCACGGTTGCCAGTGTAGCGTTTGAAAAATGGGTAGTAGATGTGGTGGGAGTTTCGGGCGACAAGGTCACTGAAGATCCAGGGGTATTTGAAGAAGCACTCCTGGGTATCTGCGGCGGTGTTGGCGTACTCCAAGAACTCCAAGTACTCCAAGTCCAGCTTCAGGATGCGGTTCTCGTTGAGACGCTCTTTCAAGGCAAAAATCTCCACCTCTGGCTCAAACACAAAGTCCTTGGCACTGACAGCCACGGTTTTCTGCATCTGCTTGTATGGAACAGCACGGAGGTGCAGAGTCAGCTCGTCCAAAGGGAGGTCCAACTGCTCGGACTCCTCCATGGCCAGCACAAGCAGCAGCTTGGCCACGTTTTTCGTGAGGTTATCGCCAACACGCTTCTTTTCAGCCACAGCAACCTCTATGTAGCCCTGGTCGGTTGTAGCTAGCACACGTTTGGGCACATCCTTGATGCAGTAAAGATATGCCATGCTGCGGAGCACCTTGGTGTGGTAGGTCTCCATGAAATAGGGATTAATGGAAGCCAAGCGGTCCACGTCTCTGTTGCAAGTGCCCAGAGGCTGGCGATCCCTGAGACGCTGCAAAACAGAGTCTCCAGCCAGCGTGTCGACCCAGTCGTCCCAATGGAAGTAGATTCCGTCGGCGTTTCCGAGCACATGTTCGAAATCTGGATCGTGGGACGCCGCCAGGCGCTTTTTGATGTAGTCATAGAGCGCCAGGGCCGGGTTTCTGGGCTGAAACGAGCTTCGCTGGTGCTGTCTGAAGGCCTCGTTCGTGAGATAGGCCTGGGAAATCGGCGTAAAGAGCGTGTGAAGAATCAGCACGGTTATGCAAACGATGATGATGGCCAGGAGCGCCGCCACACGGCGGTAGCGCCTAGGAAGGGCCATGTGTGGGTTGAATATGATGGGTTTCTCGTCCATGGTGGGTGGATTTTGGGAATTTTGTCTTTGCAGATTTGTATCACTTCGGAAATCACTATGGATAGCAAAGACTAGCGGGAAAGGAGTGGTTTGGGTGGTTTGGGTGGCCTTGGATGGCGTTTCTGGATCACACTATGGATAGCAGTAGACAATGGCGTTCACGATGGAATTCGATCGAAAAGCAAATCGACTCGACAGCGTTACTGAATGTGGCACACAGGGGTCAACGGTGGAGCCTTCTCGAGGATTGTCCCTGGTAAAGTGTTTTTGGGTGGGTTCGACCGGAATCGATGGGATGACTTGAGCTCGTGTGAAGCTAGACGAGTAGCGGAGCAAAAAGCAAACTTTGACTTTGTTCGGAAGCCACAAGGAGCACGGACACGGGTTCTTAAAGGGAAAAAACGCCAAATGTCGAGAAATAAATGGGGAGTTTGGGAGCGACGGCAGGCGGTTATATATTGCTGGGGCTTATGCGAGCAAGGCTGAGTAGCGCACCAGAAAGCAGGAACGCCAGAAAGCACGGCAGTTACGATAAGCAGCCCCTGCCTATGGAAAAAGGTAATTTTTGGCTTTGCAGGAAACAAGAAACCTTTGAATTATAGGCTGTCAAGCGAAGAATTTGAATTTTTCTGGTTCAGAGGCCAAAAACTCAGCAGCGTGCATGGTGATGTCACGGCTGGAGAAGAGCGATAGTGATTTGCATCCGTCGGCGTGTCTCAGCACTAGCGCTGTACATAAGCAACAATATGGAGAAAACGGATGCGTGCAAGGCAAGTCCAACAGAGTCAGAGAAAAAAGTAGGGTCTTTGTGTTTGTGGACCTGTCAGAGTCATTTTCTTGTGCCTGGCATCGCACAGGCTTGACACATCGTTAGGCGCACTGCGAGATCGCGGTGGATTGAAAAAGCGGGATTCAAAAGCCTGTGAAAGAGGGCATGTAAGGGGGTTTGGGAGGTTTTGTGAAGCGGCGATTTGACGATCTGGTTTTAGCTTCTGTGGCGGAATCAAAGTCATTGTCTCGGAAGGGAAGGTGGGAGGAAGCTGCAGAGGTGAAAAATCGCAGCCGTCCGGTGCAGTAGAGGTATTAGAGGGTTAGGTTTGGAAGGATTTAGTTTTGGTGGTTTTTGAAATTCGGCTATTTTTGGTGGTTTTGCAATTTGGCTATTTTTGGTCAGTCGCTCAAATCGACTAGGCATCCTTTCTGCGATAAGTAGGGCAGCGTCACGTCTGGTCATTGGACCGTGCCCAAAATGAGGCACAAGCAGAGACCAAGTGTGACAAAAAGCCTAATTCAGATAGCTTGTACGCAGCACCGGTTGCAAAAAAAAAAAAAAAAAAAAAAAAGATATACGCCCAGGGACCCCTGGCCGACTCGCTGTTCTGTTTATTTACGCTGCTAAGTGGCTAAATTGCTTTGCACAGCCTGGCCTCGAGCACGCTTCCGTGGGGCTTTGTGGTGGGGTTATCTGGAGGAACCACTGGTGCGAATGGAGAAGTAGGAGAAGCGATGGAAGGAAAAAGCCAGGTGATGAGAGTTTGCGAAAATCTGGAAAGTCAGCGAAAATTGATGTATTAGAAATGAAATAGAAAAGAGCTTTTTCGCTTTTTCGCTTTTTCTGTGTTGGTCTGGGCCCAGTCACGGTCTCCTCTTGAAGCCTCGCTGGTATGGAGGATTGCGCTGGACATGGCTGAGACCAAGACCATTTTTGTGCAAAACAGCTCACGTGAACCGCCCGTCTGGGGAGGAGGTCGTTTGATGAACACGATTGGAGATATCTCGGACTCCCCGATGACGTCATCGACAGTGATGTTGAGTATGGATGCCTTGAAGCACCGAGCGATTTCGGCTTTTGACCGTATATTATGAAACTAGTTTTCATTAGTTTTAGGGCGCGCTGGTGCTGTGGCAGTCTTGGCCTTGTCGATCACGTCAGTGTGGTGAGATAGGAGGCCGTGCATGGACCGAGGTGGGGTGGATTAGGGATTGGACCAGGAGGAGATCAACAATCGTATTTGGTTTGCTGTGGGGCTCGGGGTGTTTGGGCGGCTGAGGTATTGTTGGCTCGTAAATGGAGTTTTCAGATTGCTGTTGCACTCGGACTTGTCAGGTTTGGAGATTCGGCAAATTGTTATCAGCGTGTTCTTGGCTCTCTTGACGCAATTGAGCTAAATTAGCCGCATGTTTCCTGTTGCGGTCCTTAGGATTGGTAGAACTGGATTAGAATTGATTGGTAGAACTGGATTAGAATGAGATATGGCAGGATGGTAGGTCCAGTTACACTCCACAAAGAGGCTCAGGCGGTTTCTGAAAAATGTGCATTCTGGCAGCCGAGCCTCAGATTTGTCAAGAGAGGCGTGTTTCTGGAGACAGTACAGACTGGTTCGGACCGATGTAGCTTGATGTCAGTGGTCGAGGGCAAGGTTCATGAGGATCACCGAAGAAAGGTGGTCATGGAGTACTGAGCTCCACCTTGGAGACCCATAGCTTGTGTGAAGAATGAGACGACGATATGGTCTGAGGCTTTTCGTCCAATTCGAGGATCAGCGTTACCTTGATCTCTATCTGAAACATGCCGTTAGTGCTGCAAGGTTGGTTCTCTAAGACATCTCAATATCCTATCACCGATGAAAGCGGCACCTAGTCTTCACCAAAATAGTGCCTAGGGAGGTCTTCTACATTCTGTAAACCTCAAAGAATGCTCACTTTGTTCCCAATGAGTGGCCGCTTTCAACTCTTGGACCACTTATCAGCCTCAGAGAGCAAAATTAACCATTTTCCATCTACAGATCATTATCCACACAACTTCCATCTCTTGAAGACCGTGCCACCTGTCGATGGCCTGTATAACTGGATGTAGCATATTTTCAGTACACTACTAGATCTCTCGGGATTCCGAATGGTAAGGCACAAACTTCGATTGCTGCATCAAGACAACACTGGTCAGGATATCATCCACAGAAACGTCAATCCCACACTTCTCCAGCTGCATTGAAAAGTACAGGTCAATAATCTGAATCGCCTTTTGCAGCAATAAGTCACTAAGACATCATCTACGGTGCTTTCTCTGGATTAAGCAATTTTCAAACCTTTGCTCCTTCTTCCCGAAACCCATCCATCCCTAACTTCATCAAGTTAGGCAATTCCTCTACAAATCACCTGATTATCCCACCCAGCGGACAGATCCTCCGCTGGTGCTGAGCACTGTCTATATGGGGAAGTTGGATCAGCGATACAGCCTCGGGCCTGATATAAAATCAAAATCCCAAAACTCAAAAAATCTCAATCAAAACCGCATCGAACTTCATCTCCGTATTTGTCAGCGTCGGCATCTTGTAACTCCGACATCCGAATCTCCAGATCAACGGTTTCTTCGGTGGGCTGCACGGCGCCTATTGCGGTGAATGACGGCCGTTTTTCGAAAACTGTGTCCTAGCGGGCAGAAAGAATCGCAAACCAAAGCAAAAAAAATAGAAGAGCAGCAAAAAAGAACAACTCTTCGAAGTCTACCCAAACAGCCTTCTGCCTCCACCTCTTTCCTTTTTCGGTCTCAGCCTCAACGGTCTCGGAGTTGAAGCCCTGTTCTTCTGTAACAAACACGAATGGCTGCAAATTCCAAGAACCCCTGTTTTCTTCAAATCTGCCCTAAACAAACGAACCCCCGCCTTGAAAAATCACATTTGGCCAATAGGAGATAAGTCCCACTACATCCGATCTCGCTTGCTCTCTGCCCTCATCGCACCGCAACACCGTACCATAATCTCCCAAACTTCTTCTTAAATCCACCTCGTCGTCAACCCCGCCACCTTTCTTCAGCCGCATTCTTCTTCTCTTTTCCTCCGTCTTCTGCGTTAGTAAGCAGCCTTCCGGAAAGTTCGCGGGAAGTTCGCACGGTGGTTTCGTGGGGTACTATTTAGCAGCCAGGATCGCCATCTTTTCTTTCCAACAATGTCCGAGAAAATCATCCTCCAGAACCCGCCATCCTCTGTCGTCAACTTCAATTGGGACGAGCCAAGCTCCACCTTCAAATTGGAGACCCATTCGCCCGAAAACGACCTCAAGGACGGCCATGTCTTGGTAGACATCAAGTACCTCAGTAACGATCCCACACAGAGAACCTGGATCCGTGGCGACCAGGACCCAAAGAGAGCCTACCACGCTCCTGTGCAGAAGGGCGCCATCGTGGAGTCTTTGGGTCTCGGAGAAGTCCTCGAGTCGAAGTCTTCCAAGTACTCTAAAGGAGACGTTGTGGTGGGGCTCTTTGGCTGGGCTAGACAGATTGTTGTTCACGAGGCTGCCATTGCCAACAAAGTGGACACGTCATTGGGTCTTCCTTTGCCATTGTACCTCAGCAGCTTGGGATTGACCGGCTTGACTGCTTACTTTGGATTGACCGAGGTGGGTAAGATCAAGGAAGGCCAGTCTGTGCTTATCTCCGCTGCCTCCGGTGCCACAGGCTCAATGGCTGTTCAGCTTGCTAAGCACGTGTTCAAGGCCTCCAAGGTTTACGGTATCGCCGGTAGCGACGAAAAGTGCAAGTGGGTCGAGTCTCTTGGTGCCGACTACTGCGCTAACTACAAGGAGAGCGATTGGAAGGAGAAATTGGACAAGGAGATCGGCGACAATTACGTCGACATTTACTTCGACAATGTCGGTGGCGAGATTTTGGACTTTGCCTTGGCCCACGTGAAGAGCTGGGGTCATGTTGTTGCTTGTGGTGCCGTTTCCGGCTATAACGACCCCTCCAAGGCCAGAGTCAACAACTGGTTCCAGATCATCTCCAACAGAATCACCGTCGAGGGTTTTATTGTGTTTGATTTCCAGAGCAAGATCCCCAGGCTGTCCAGGAGATTTCTGCTGCTTTGAAGGACGGCAGAATCAAGTCCACCGAGGGTGTTTCTTTGGTTGACATCACCGGCAAGTCCTTGGCCGAGGTGCCTCTTATCTGGAACAGATTGTTCACTGACGAGAAGCCCTTGGGTAAGTTGGTGACCAAGATTGCCTAAACTAGCTTATGAACAAGATTATGAATACATTTATGGTTGAGTCAATGTCGTAGTGGTGGAATTTTTCTGATTGAGAGATGAAGTAAGGGTTGAAGTGGGCTAAGGGTTGAAGTGGGCTAAGGTTTGGAGCTGATGAATACCTTACGATAAGGCAGGATCCGGGAGTTATGATACGTTGTTGTAGTTGGGCACGATTCATGAGAAGTCGATATTTCAAGGCTGGAAAGATGTGGCAGTGTCAATGACATCATCATCATGCTGGCTTTTTCATAAAGAGAATCACAAACTTTATGGAAACGACCAAAATGTTTTGAGGTAGAAGTAATTGTGGCAATATGCGAATAAGCTCTCCACATATGTAGTAAGATATGGTGTATGGGTTTTTATATATGCGGGTCGAAATTGTTATCAGGCCCTTCCCCGGATTAACACACATAGTCTGGCTAACATATGTCTAGGTTGAAACTATTTTCAATAGTCTGTGCAGCAACTTTACAATGCATACATGCAGCAGGTCTCATTGCAGTGAGTCATAACCTATTTACCTACGATGAGAACGTAGCTCACAATAGTTCCATTGTTAGCTGCCATTCAAAATGTGACTATGGAAGGCCAGTGCTTTTTTCTGAAGAGTCAAATGGTCTCCCGCTATATATGGTAACGGTCAAAGCTGACCTGAAAGGAATTCCAGATAGTGAAGATGATCAGTACGCGGAGTGTATGATTGATTGTATGGGCTTGTCAGCTGAATTATCACCAATAGATATTGCGACTGATCACTTCTATACGTTTGGACATGGGTACGATGACGCCAGAGAAGTGTTGGAGGCTCTCGGTTCAGAGATCACGTCTGATATAGCAGAGTCCGATTGGACCGATGTTGATCTGTCGAATGGCTATTATTCCGGATGGGATGATGATGATGAAGAAGTTGTTGGGGTGAAAAATGACTCCACGGTCCAAACCAGTCCCACCCTGTGTCTTGACTTCTAATCCACTTTGGCTCAACAGTACTCTCTAGATCATACAGACGACCTTCGATGAAGCGATTGACTCAACTTAACATAAAAAGCTAAAGCATCATATGCCGAGTTTCATCTGAAAAATAAACGTAACTACTTCAATTCTGCTTAGGGTCTGAAAGTCGCAGATTTAGCAAAAATAGCTAAACCACCGTATGCCCAGCAACACATACAAAAGTAGCCAAACCACTACAAGCATGCTTCACTTCTCTTAAAGCCTCGACGACCTCGCCACATCTTGTCTGTCAATTCCCCAAATGTCGCTTCAACATCAAATTTCACCAACGAATCGAGGAGTGGACTTGTTACAAGACCAGAGGATAGTGTCTTTGACGAAAACGGAGAGCCAACTGCTACGAAGATGGACATGTCTCAGTCCCAGATGGTGGTGCTCGGAAACATCGAAGAAAATGTTCAAAAGAGGGACAAAACAGGTTCAAATGATGGATGAGCAGAAAAGAAAGCTCCGTTATGAAGAATACCATCCCTGTGTCATCGAGGACTATGACGGAAAGAATGATTTAGTAGGTAATTACGAAGGCGGTCTGACCGATAGTACTCATTTTCCTTTCGTCTTCAATAAAGATGGCTTCAAGATGGTTCCAGCTGAAAAGTCTGCTTATCTACGTTTAGAAACCAGTACGCAATTTTGACCTCAGAAGGCAGAAGCCAAAATGGAGAGGAACAATCTGCTCCCCTTTGGCTCATGAAGCATATGTTGGACGAAGGCGAAAGCTATGTCCTCTGCTTTCACGAGCCGTTGGATTTGAATTCCACAATTTATTTTTGCCCAATTTTCATGATAAATAACAAAATCGAAATCTACAGTGTATTTCTCCAATCCATCTTCCATATCACACGCCGGGTGATTTCTGCTCGGCACCTTCCACCTTGGTAAAATCACTCCTGCTGAAATTCAAAGGGCATCCACTTGATCAGTAATATAAAAACCTTTCCAAAGATACAAAAGCACTGCCAAACAACCTACAGCTCTACAGGGGCCAACGATAAAAAGCAATCAATTAGTAGAAAAGCTCAGATCGAGCTAGCTAAAAAAATTAAAGAAGCAACAAAGCCACGGCCAAGCCTCCAGCGCCAACACCAGCAGCAGCAGCTCCACCCTCAAAGATGGACGAAACTTGAGGAGCAGTTTCGTTGGCTTCTGGACCCTTGGAAGCGATGGAAGGCATCTCGGAGGAAGTAGCCTGGGCAGAAGTGGCAACCTTGGAAGAAGGCTGGACGGTTGGCTTTGCAGAAGACTCCTCGGGCTCCTCAGGCTGCTGTTCTTCATCGTCTGGAATGTCCTCAACGTCAGTAGGAGCAGCACCGTTTCCGATCCAAGTGAAGAAGGTCTTGGTGTGGGTGTGGTGAGGCCTGGCGATGGTCATGTGAGTCGTGGTAAGGTGCTCTGCCTTCTCTCCGTAGAGGGTCTTGGTGTAGGTGTGGTGAGGGTAGGAGAAGATGAAGGTCTTGGAGTTGTCGGGACGAGCAGCAGCAGCGATGCCGGCCAAGGTGATAAGTGGGAAAATCTGCATGTTTTGATGTTTTTGGATTGGTGAAGTAAAAAAAAAAAGTAGGGTCCTGGCCGGGCTTTATATGGTGTTTCGTGAGCTGACTCTGAGACCGAATCGGCGAATTTCGTCCGAGCCCGTCGACCCATGGAGCCGTTGGCCGATGTTCGATACAGGCTTTTCGAACGATCTAGAGGTGTTTTTTGCTTGTTTTGGATGGGGCTTTCCCAATATGGCAGGGACTCACACCACTGCGAATGGGTGCAAAATCGAATAAGGTTCGGCACCGTCACACGATCTGGCGGAAGATCTCAGGGGCGATCCTGGTGTTGCTAAATTTAGGGTATTGAGGGGATATCTGGAGGGAAGGGCTTTGAAAGCTCCAATTGTGTGCTTTGGTTGAGCTGGTAGGTGAACATCACGAGATGCGACGAGCAAGTTCCGCTAGTGGATCTCTTGAAATGCATCTCCCTGGCCCCTGCATTATCTAATTTGTGGGGCTACTTTGCCCGAGGTGGTGCATCGATGGAATGGACTATAGTACGATAACGGATACATCAGGCGTGAGATGATGGTCGGATAATGCCGGAAGAGAGGAACTGTCTCCAGAACGAGGCTTTAGATTTTAGAGACGTCAGGAAAGTCAATTTGAGCAATTAAAGGTATGCTTTTCGGGTGTGCTTTTGTGGGTGTGCTATTTCTGGACCGTCTTCTCGTATGACCTCACAAAAGCTTATTTCGGGGTTGACCTCTCCTATATTCCGAGAATCATCCTGCTTCGGGTTTTTCCTTTGAAATGTAGATCGGCTGAGGCTCCAGACCATCGTGGTGCCATTGAACGTTACAGGGAGGAGGATCGAATATTATAAGGAGATGGGCTGGCGGGACGGATTTAGTGGTGAAGTCAAAGGGGAACATTAAAAGGGGCATTCATTGAATGGTTGAGAGAAATGCTCCACTGGGACATAAGACGACTTAGAAGGCACGAATTGTATGAATCAGTAGTGCAATGAAGCAGCCAGAGTATGGGTTGGTCACAGTGGTGGGATCGAAATCGGTCAACTAATAGCCTATTCCATGATTGCCTTATATTCGTCAAGCAGCAAAAATTCATGAAGTACGGAAATGACAGTCCATGAAAAGCCCCAATCCAACTCACAAAATGGCACCCAGCCAAGCCGCCCTCGCACCGAACTGAAACGCAATCGGCTCGGCTTGGAAACCTTAAAATTTTGTTAAGCTTCCGGCGAGGGAGCAAAAATTCCGACTTCTGACCACCCCTCACTTCCTCATCACCACTTCATCACCCTCACTACCACTGTATCACCAGCACATTACCAATCCACCTCCACCTCCACCTCCACCTCCACCTCCAATCCACCACCAATCCACCACCACATTTCCAAATCATCAGTCTGCCCACTTCCCAGTCTTGGCCCTGCACCGCTACCACACCATTCCAATTCTTTTCCAGTGCTAATTTCCAGAACCCACGCCCCAGCAACACCCACCCAGCCAAGCAAATGCGATTAATTACCCAGCCCAGTACCCTTTAGCCCCTGCTACAGACGATTCTCGGAGCACACAGCCTAATACGCTGAAAGGAAGATATCGCGACAGCCTCTTTTCAACGTGGGCTTGGCAGTGCAGCCGTTCTTCCCTGCGTCGTAGCGAGGCAGCCAGGCATCATTCCGCAGCCAAGGCGGCAGAGAGGTGGAGGTGGTGAAAAGCAAAGAGAATGGGAAAAAGAGGCGGGGATTCGCTGTATTTATAGTGGTTGGATGGATTCCGGGTGAACGGACGGCGGGGACGTCGTTACGGTTTTTTTTTTCACTTTGTGGTGGTATTTTGGGTGTTACGCTCAGTGGGTGGATGTAAGGCTGGGTTGGTGGTTGCAAACCAGTGGCCTGCGTCATTTGTGGAGACACCACTGCAACATCAGTTTCCAACGGCCTATTTGTGCAAGTCAGAGTTTGGTTTTTTGATTCTTTGTTCATTTCATTGCTTGAGCCCCCCGGGTCCTCAGTTCCTGAATCCAAAAAGCCCACCTCGTGTTTCTGCGGGTCGCCTGCCGAAATCATTTATTATTGGACACTCACCCACATGGGCCACACGCGGCTGCACTCAAATCATCAACACCAACTACTCTGTTTTTCCAAAAACCGGCAAAGTCTCGAAAACCAAAGGATCTCTCAAATTCCCCAAATTGGGCCCACCGAACCCCCACGTTGATAAGCAAAAAGCCCCATTCTTATCAGAATGACCCCGCGTGGTGGTACTATTGAGCCCTTCGCCAAGCATTTCTCAAACCAGACCGCACGTCAGCGATAGCTACTGCAGCTTTTCGAAGGGTCTACGGCTTTCTTTGAAATTGGGATATGCCAAGACCCCTCCGTATATAAACCTGTAGCTCCCCGTTGTTTCTGCTTTTTTTGATCAACCACATCCAAATGTCATTCAGAGACTTGCCCCATTCCTTCAAAGACGTGTTTTGCGGCTGGTACGGCAAGGTGCCGGGCGAATTGGCCTTGACCAAAGAGCAAAAAGAGAGAAACACCGCCGCTGTTGAAGATGGCATGGAAGAGCCTCCCACCAAAGTCGCCTTCGACTCCTTGTGGCCTGCCTTTACCGCTGGAGCGGGTCTTTTCTCTGACGGTTATGTCGCCAATTCGGTGGCTACAGTGAATATTTGCTTGAAGCGAATCTACGGCGACAAGTACACAGAGTCCACTGCCATCTCCAACGTCACCTCCATCGCGTTCGTGGGTATCGTGGTGGGCCAGTTGTCGTTTGGCTACATTTCTGACCATATCGCTAGAAAGGGCGGTATGATGGCTGCCAACATCATTCTTGTGTTCTTCACTCTTTGCTGCGCTGCCGCCTCCTGGGGTGTCACTCCAGAGGGCATGTTTGCCGCCTTGACCGTGTTCCGTTTCTTCTTGGGTATCGGTATCGGTGCCGAGTACCCCACGGCCTCCGTGATTGCCTCTGAATTCGCCAACCAGTTGCCCGTGGGGCACAGAAACCGTTATTTCGTTTGGTTCACCAACTCGTGCATCTGCCTGGGTTACGTGGCCGCTTCTTTCGTGCCCATGGTCTTGTTGTGGATCACCTCCACCTCCGACAGAGATTTGCACATTGTGTGGAGATTGACCCTAGGTATCGGCGCTGTTTTCCCCACGGTGCTTTTCTTCATGAGAAGGAAAATGAAGCCCTCCGAGTCCTACCAGAAAACCAACTTGAAGGGCGTCAAGAAGTTCCCTTGGTTGCTCGTCATCAAGTTCTACTGGTTCAGATTGGCCATTGTGTCTATCGTCTGGTTCATCTACAACTTCTCCGTCTTTTCCTTTGGTCTCTACTCGTCGTACATCTTGGACATGCTTATCCCCGGCAGCAACTTGTACTCTACCTTTGGCTGGAACGTGCTTTTCAATGTCTTTTATCTCCCTGGCACTTTTATCGGTGCATTCTTCACAGACTACTTTGGCCCCAGACTCACCATGGCCTTTGGTCTTTTTGTTCAGGCCATCATCGGCTACTCCATGACCGGTTCTTTCGATTCCTTGAAGACCAAGATTGCTGGCTTTGTTGTGGTGTTCGGTATTTTCACCTCTTTCGGTGAGATTGGTCCTGGTAACAACGTCGGCTGCTTGGCTTCCAAGACTTCTGCCACCGCCATCAGAGGTCAGTACTACGGTATCGCTGCAGCTTGGGGTAAAGTCGGTGGTTTCGTCGGCACTTACGTTTTCCCTGTTATTATGAAAAACCACGGTGGTGAGGACTCCGACGAGGGTATCAAGACTGCTTTCTATGTCTCCTCTTCCTTGTGTCTCTTCTCTGCCATCCTCACCTTGTTCTTCTGTCCTTCTGTGGGCCAAGAAGCCATCAACGAGGAGGATAAGAACTTTATTGACTACTTGAAAGCCAACAACTTCGATCTCTCCAGATTGGGCGATGGCTCGCTTGGCGAGGACCCTGAACTGTCTGCTGGATCTTCCGATGAGAAGACTGGTGCTTATCGTTTCGATGAAACCTCGGTTACGTCGCCTACCAACACAGCAACCAAGACTGTCTCGGACAATGTCTCCAATGACGCTTCCAAGGAGGCCCTCAAGGAGAGCAAATGATTTGCGCAATAGGTAATACCTTCAATTCTTCGGGCCGTCAGAATCCACTGTCGGTCATTTATTATACGCTCGAGGCTTACGGATGAAGGTGCTTTCTATAGATTTGAATTTAGCATGAGGAAACGAATTGTAGAATTGGCTGTGACGACTATCTTGAATTGGCAGGGTACAGTTACTCAAACCTTATGACAATTACTGTCAATTACTGTGTGCCACTGGCAAAAACAGTGTTAGTGTTCGCTATTCTTCATTGGAAGTATTATATAATTTGTCTAATCGTCGTGCTCAATTTCAGGGCATTCATCGTATGTATGCCCTGTTAAGTGACAATATGAGCAGTACATGTAGCAGAACCTGATGCAACAACTCATGTCATAGGTATCGTAAACAACTCGATAGGGTTTGGCTCTTTCTATGGAAGAAACAACAGCGCTCAATTTTCTCTTGCTTGGACTTTTCTGAAGAGCATACTTGAGGTTTCGCCTGATTCTGTCAACTGTGGCTCTCTTCGGTGGCACCATGTCTAGGCCGAGGCGTACAAGTACGTCAGCTTGCTCCCAAGTAGCTTGAATCTTGTCACGATTAAGCCACAGTAAGATTTTGTCATGTGGGTTGAGAAAGTTATTTTTGAAGTACAGTTGTGCTCTGGATGTTGGCTTATACAAAACCTTTGCCCAAAGAAAGTTTTCCAAGGTCAATTCGCTCTTGGTAAAAGCAAACCTTGCCCTTAATTCGGGATCCTCCATTTCACCATTTTTCGACATCAAGTCATGAATTTTCTCGCAAATGTCTTGTGTGCTCGCTTCCCCACCCAATTAAGTCGGTGTTCCCCGTAAACTAATGGGGGCACTTGACGTTCTAACAGTTGCAATAGCTCTGAGCTCTTTGTGCCGCGGAAATGAGCTTTATTGTGAATGATCCGTAAGTTCCCAATAAAGATACACGCGATCATAAGCTGTACTTTGTCGAGTGACTCGTGATGGCAATCAATGAGCTCATTTGCCTCCTCGAGATCCAAAGCCAAAGACAAACCTTCTTCGTAAGTGCTTTCCTCCTTTTGAAGCAATTTACCACGATAGTGTCTCTCAAACAACACATTCATTCTATCTGAGATTGTCTGGATATTTTCTTTGTACATTTTGGCAGATCCCCATGCACATCGACGTATCAACGGAGTGAGTGCTTCATCGGTCAAGTCGTAGCAGCTCCCGCTGATGACGTCCATTGTGAAATGATCATCGCTCTCTGGTATTGCCAGGAGATTAAGGACACAGTTTGAGTGCAAGATCCTTCCTATTTGTTTCGAAGCAAATTGAGATTGTTCTTCGAAGAAACATTTGCTCATTTCCGTAAAAAGATACTCGACAGTCCCCTCAAAACTGAGCACTGGATCATTCTCGTCAGTGACCGCCTCCTCTTCACTCAAACTGAAATCCGTGAAATATGTTTCCTTCCACCACATTGGCTTTCATTAGAGCGCTGGCTTTCACAATATGAATGGGCATCTAGAGAGGGCAGGTTCGTGATCGCTCGTGATAGCCTATAGGGCACGAGGGTATATTCAAATTCGTCCTCGGGAATAGGCTTCCCATCCTCTGCAAGAATATTCTTTAGAGCATTGCTGATACGGAATTTGTTCTGTCTCTGATACTTGCGTTGTTCGAAGTGGCTATACTTTATGGAGGTGGTACATTGAGGGTGTTATCGTAATCATGTTGCAGTTTGGGGTACGCGCAAAGGGGCAAGCTAGCCGGCAATGGTAGCTGCCAGATTTTTGCTCAATTTGGGTTCCATTTGTATCGTGCTATCGGATGTAGGTGGTAAAATGTCAAAAAAAATATTGTGTTTAGTTCTCAACTTTTGATTATTCTTTATGTTCTTCGCGAAAGTAGCGTTGCATTTTGGTGAGATGAGTGAGAATGAGACAAAAGATGTAAATGAGAGAAGGAAGAGGACATAAAAAAGTGCACAATCAAAGATTAAATCCAAGCGTTTGGATATGTCAGCATAATAAATCACTGAACTTTAGCTTTTTTCTGTTTATCTCACCCGAGCTGGCGCTAGACTTTTCTTGAAAGTACGCAATACTCGAGATCTCACCCGAGTCAAAGCCTAAAACAAAGCATTATCATTACTTGATTAAATTGATTTTAGGCCAACTCCAACCAAGGCATCACTGCATGCTCGAAATCATGGACGAATGGCTTTATACGATCGTCAAGACTTCAATACATCGATGTCTGGGACTTGGTCCCAACACCAGTAGAAAAAAGAGTATGGACAATACCAGCACAAGCTAATTTTGGAGTACTATGCATTTTTATTGCGCAAATATATAAATATTCTACCACTCGGGCTACTCCGGAAGCACCTCTTGCTTCAAAGACCAATCATGACTCTCCAATCGTTTCGTTTCTTTTCCGATTATTCAATATGCTTCGTGTTGCGGTTTGTAGCCATTATGTTGCAAAAGCGGGAAAGACACCAGCTCCGATTACACTTCACTTGTGCATGAGGCTGATCACATAGACTTTTCTAGGCAATAAGACTCCTAGCATTCCCAGGCTCAAAAATGACCGAAAATCACACTCCATTCTTTTTCTCTATAGCAATTTTCAATCTCAACCATAAGCTTATGTAGCAACACCAATCCATCTAATGAAGATTCCTCGGTGTTTTTCGCTGTTTGTCTCGTATACACGAGATGCGGCTCACTGGCGTGATATGTGGTGCATTGGCCACACGTCAAATCCGAGAGCGGCATCCGGCTTTAGATCAATTCACCGAATAAGAAAAACGCTTTTCGTCAATTTTAGGTATATCCTCACGAATCCATCAATCCCTGCTTGATGGGCGTTTGCAAAATATATGTACATCCTGTATACAACGCCGCACAAAGGCACGGCTGGAGAAAGGTCCGTCTGTGGACCGGGGCTTTATCTGCAATGACGAATTTAGTTGATGTCAAACGTGCATTGATACGGTTGGAAAGAACGTAGAAAACTGAGGCGAGTCCGATTTTTTCTGATTTCTTTTGGCGAGTTTCAGGGGATATATGGAGCTTTTTATTCTTGTGTTTCAGTGAATTCTCCGTGGAGAGGCGGAGCGGAGAAAAGCGGAGTGGACGGAGTGAAAAGTGCAACAGGCGGAAAAGAACCACGACAATGCTTTGACAGCCAGTATAGGAAAGGGATCGCCCGGTTAAGTCTGCAGTGCATTATTGGCAAGGAAGTGATGGTCTTGGCATCGACTCTTTGAACCGGGTTTCCAGTTATCTGATCGGATCTACAAGGTGTGAAAGTTTTGAAGGGAGCAGGTTGATGAGTCCAAATAAACAAAAAGACAGTCAAATATATAAGTCACGATTTTGAAAACATATCTTCAAAATGAAAAAGTCACTCCCGCCCTGCTTTCCCGCCAGGTGAAAAATAACCAAAGGTGACAAAGATCGTGCAGCGATGCACTAACCGCTGCAGCCGAGAGATGCCAATGTGTCGCCTCACATTTTGGAGTATATAAATGGCACATTCTCCCTGGATAATTCTCCAGCCATGGAACAAAAGACAAGGTTCTCCAGAGACGAGGACAGATCCTCCAACGAGAAGTCTGCAGACACTCAGACGGAGGAGCTCAAGCTCCAACCAGGCTTCACCGATGACTTGAAGGCTACTGAATCAAATGCTTCTACCGCTACTGACACATCCACCTACAAAAGCAAGTCTTTCGGTATCCGCAAGTCCGAACTCATCATGGCCCAGATCACCTCGTGGTGGATTAGAGGACCTTTCTTTTTTACCATTTTCATCTGCTCCTACATCAGTTTGTTGGAGAACTCTATTGTCAGAGTCTTTGACGGTTATGCTACCGATAGTTACAAGCAGCACTCGCTCATGTCCACCATTAACATTATCAGAAGTGTTGTCGCTGCCTCTTCGTTGCCATTTTACGCTAGGTTGTCTGACACCTTTGGCCGTTTTGAGTTGTTCCTTGTGGCTGTGCTTTTCAGAATTATTGGCAGAGTTATCCAATCCCAGGCTCATGACATCCAAAGATACGCCGCCGGTACCATTTTCTTTGCATTTGGTAACTCTGGTATGAGAATTTTGTGGCAGATCAACTTGGCTGATGCCTCCACCTTAAAATGGAGACTTTTGGCGATGTCCATTATTTTCATGCAAAGTATCATCACCACATGGTCCAGTGGTGAGATTGTTGCGTTGGTTTTGGGCAACAGAAACTGGGGTTTCGGTATCGGAATGTGGGCATTCATCACCCCTCTCGTTTGTCTTCCTTACATGTTGATTTTCTTGTTCTTGATCTTGAAAGCCCGCCGTCTCGATGCTTGGCACAAGATCTCCAAGGAGGAAAAAGACGCCTTTATGGCTGCCCATCCAGCTGCTAGGGAGTACCAGGATGCCATCGACGCCAACAAGTCTTCTATTGCCAAAGTGAAGGGATACCTCAAATACGGACTGATCCGTCTTGTCACCAATTTATACGAAATCTTCTGGAAAGTTGACTTCATCGGGTGTCTCTTGCTTGCTACAATTCTCGGTCTCATCTTGGTGCCCTTGACTTTGGCTGGTGGAGCTACCTCCAAATGGCAACGAGCTTCTACAATTGTTCCGATTGTCGTTGGATTCTGCAGCATTGCGCTTTTCGTTTTCTGGGAAACCAAAGTCGCCAAGAGACCCATGCTTCCATTCAAGGTCATGACCGACCGTGGTGTGTGGGCTGGCTTTTTGGTTGCAATTTTCAACTCTGTGGTCATCGCTATGCCCAACGGTTACTCCTACCCTGTTTTGCTTGTTGGTATGAACGCCTCCGAAACCGTTGCTACCAGAACTGGTCAGTTGAATGGATTTGTTGAGGGTATCGCTGTTCCCGTTGTTGGTTATGTCTTGTCTCGTGTGAGAAGAACCAAACCATTTGTTCTTTTTGGCAGCAGTGTTTTGTTTATCGCCATGGGCTTGTTTGTCCACTTCAGAGGATCCAACGACGGATACCGTGCCAAATACTTCCGTGACGGTGTGGCTGTGGGTATGTGTCTTCTTGGTTTCTCCAACACCTTCTTCTCCAGAGTTACAACGGTGTCGGTCCAGTCTTGTACCAACCACGAGTACATGGCCACTGTGATTGCACTCTTTGCTGCTTGTTACCATATTGGTGGTGGAATTGGAAGCTCCATCTCTGGTGCCATTTGGACCCAGCAGATGCATGGTATGATTAGTCGAAAGATGGAGGAGTTGAACGTGGACACTTCCTTGGCTACCTTGGCCTACCAGTCGCCTTACCAGTTCATCAAAAAGCACGAATGGGGAACCGAGGCCCGTAGAGCTGTCAGTTTGGCCTATGCGGAGCTCCAGAAGAGACTTTGTATTACTGGTCTCTGTCTCTGTGTTCCTTTGTTGGTGTGGGTGTTCTGCTTGAGAGACAATAGGTTGGCTGATGCCCAGAACTTGGATGACGAGGCTTTGCTTACACTGGGAGAAGGTGTTGAGAGGGCTGGTGAGGTCAAGAGATCCCAGGTTATCTTCAAGGAGGACGACGACATCATCTTGAAGTTTTTGAAGAAACAGTTGAGCAGACTCAATGTCTTCTCCAAGGCCTAATTTTGCCGTGTGATTCTTCTATTTGTTTAATATATGCTAATACTGAGAGCGTGGAGGTTTGTAGTGGGATCTGTAATCTGCAGCCGTGCAAGTCTGTCATAAACGATAACGAACAAGGCACCGCTGAATCGGGTGATTTTTACGATACTGGCTTCGATGTCGAAAAATCTGCAGGGCAGAGTCTAAAACCTTATCTAGCGTTTGACAGGAAACTCAGCTGAGAGGAAGTACGTTCGTCAATGGGTGCAGGGTCCCAATCAAGGTAAGTGAAGTTGTTCCCTTTGAAGTATGATTCCCGAGCCTAAGTCTCCATTATCCAGTATTCAAACCACATTCTCTTGTCGTGCATGCTTAAGCGAGATCTGTACTCCAACGGATGAAAAATCAGCGCACACATTAACATACTGGTGCATCTCAAGACAATTCCACATTTTGTGCCACCTTTTCTTATGTCAAAGAAATACGAGCATTCCATGCCCAGCAAAGAGCCACTTTCTTGGCTCAATCCAACTTATTCCCTATCGCCAAGATGTGCCAATCCAGAAAAACCTGTTTTGGGGTTGCTCGGGTACATGATGAGAACACCAAAACCCGCTAGAAGATACCGTTGGAAATTTAGCCGCCGCACATCAGTGTCATCAAAACAACATCCCAACTCGCTCAACCACAACACCAAAAAAAAAATCATTCCACTGATCAAAAAGATAAGGGACGATCCTCATCTCATGATGTGGTGTCTAGATCTAAACCTCGGGGCTTTTTTCGGTAGCCGCCTGGCGGGGCTTGTTCATTTGGAGGTACAGGCATATGCAAGGTTTGGAAGTTATCAAATCACATCAGATAATTCAACGTTGGAGGTGCAGTATGCTTGCAGCTGCCAACGCCATATACGGAGAACGCGTTGACGAATAAAAACGAAGTGGCACTGAGCCGCACGGCGTCTTTTCCTCCTTGAAAAAGTCATCAAAAGATTGAAGGTTGTAGTGTAGAGTTGTTTAAGAAAAGGGGCGGAAAATTTTGAGGTTCTTATGTCACATAGTATGTTTTTAAGTAGTGCCTCTCTTTTTTAAATCGACCTCCAACTCTCCTGGCTGACAAATTTTATCGAGAAGATCTGCGAACTTCGAAATCTGCGAAACACAATAACGATCGAAATGGGAAAAAGTGGCCGGAAGTCCAACACTAAAGATCCGATTGGTGGAGTTTCAGCTGTCAGATCTTAAAACTACCTCAATTTGCTTGGCAGACCTCGTTAGTATTGTTCGAGCTCTATAACTGCACGTCAATCTTGCATGACAGGCACATCAGCCTTACATAAGGCGGTCCGCTGTCGGGACCCCCACTAGAGCATAAAAAAATCCCACATTCCGCAATGTGATTTGGTTTTTCACTATTTGCAATGTCTGAAAAAATTGAGAGAAGCTCTGCGGAGGACATTAAGGATGCCACTGTGAATGGTGATATCGAGGAGCAGACGGAAAAGGTGGACTTGCACCCGGAAAATGACGCCGAGGTGTCTGATGCCAGCTCTAACGATATACGAATTGTCACCTCGTCCACTTCAGTGGAATATGAAAAGTCCAGAGGTGTCAGGAGAATTGAAAATGTCAGAACCATGATGTTGACCGCCAAGAACGGCAAGTCCATCATGGTGATTTTCTGTACTTGTCTTCTCATTATTGCTTGGGTATACTCCTTGGATGCTTCTACTACTGCAAGCTATGCCGTGCCAGCTACCTCCAGTTTCAACAGACACTCGATGATTTCCAGTGTGAATGTGGCTAGTGCTATCATTGGTTCTGTTGTCCAGCCTTTCCAGGCTAAGTTTGCCGATATCACTTCTAGACCTATCTGTTTTGCAGTCTCTCTTGCATTTTACACTGTGGGTGTGATTATTGCAGCAGCTTCGTCTACTATCGGTGCTTACGTTGTGGGTTCGGTTTGTACCGCTGTTGGCTCTAACGGTGTTTCTTTCGTTAGAGACATTATCGTTGCTGATCTTACCGACCTTAAATGGAGAGGTCTTGTCAATGCACTCATGACCTCGCCATATATCATCACTGTATGGTTTTCAGGTTTGATTGTGGACGCCATCTTGAAGAGAAACTGGAGATGGGGCTACGGTATGTTTGCCATCATCATGCCTGTCATTGTTCTCCCAGTCATCTATGTGTTATACCATTTCGAAAGAAAGGCCCAAAAGCTTGTGCCTCAGGTTGAGAAGCTGAAGAAATCATTCATGCAAGTTGTGTGGGATTCAGCTCTTCAAATCGATGCCTTTGGCTTGGTGATCATGGGTTTCGGTTGGGCTTTGTTGTTGTTGCCTTTCTCCTTGCAGCCATATGCTGAAAACGGATGGAAGAACCCTAGTTTGATCGCCATGTTCGTTGTTGGTCCCGTTTTGTTAATTGCCTTCACCGCCTACGAGATCTTCTGGGCACCATACCCTTTGATGCCTAAGAGAATCTTGTACAACAAAACCTTCATCACTGCCGTTCTCATCAACTTTATTTACTTGTTGGCTGACGGTGTCAGAGCCCAGTACTTGTCCAGTATCGTCTTGGTTGGTAAAAATTGGTCATACCAGAACTGGACTTACTTCAACAACACCTTGACAGTTTCTTTGTGTTTCTTCGGTGTTGTTGCTGGTGTCACCTACAGAATCACTAGAAGATACAAGTGGTTGAACTCCTTGGGCATTTTCCTCAGAATGGTGTCCTATTGCATTCCTCTTACAAAACAAGGAACCATGGCCAACACAGGCCAATTCGTCATGAGTCAGATCATCATGGGTATCGGTTCCGCTTACAACACCATCGGAACTGTCATCTCGAGTCAGGCCTCGGTTCCTCACCAGGATATGTCTTTGGTTATGGCGTTGTTACTTCTCTGGTCTACCGTGGGAAGTGCCATTGGTTACACCATCTCGGGTCAAATCTGGACCAATAAGATGTACAACTACTTGAGGGAGTTCATGCCCCTGAGTGTCACCGATGATGAGGTTTATGAGTACTACACTGATCTTTCGTCCTTGCAAGAACTTGAGTGGGATGATCCTGTCAGACAAGGTGCCGTCAAGGCCTTGGCCACCATCTGTCCTTACTTCTTTGCTGCTCCAATTGTGCTTGAGCTCATCAATCTTTTGTTGAGTTTCATGCAAACCGACTACTACTTGGGAGACACTCACAATGCCATCGAGGACCAGGATGGTAAGGATCCAACTGATCCAACGAAGGAAAAGCAGGAGATTCCCACAACGTGGAAGGGCAAGATCCTCTACTTGCTTTCGTAATTTGGTTTTGAGGTTTCAATAGTTCGTATTTAATGCAGTAATAAATTTATTATTAGTGAGGTCCTGGAAACTCGGACTTTGCTCTCGGTTGACCCCATCCACCCTTCCTACGTGAAACTGACCGATTGATTCTCTTTTGTCTAAACATACAATTGAATTGCTCAACCCTTTTTATATGTGTGACGAATCTGCCACAGGAATATGTTCCTCAGTGTAACCACTCGTGAGTCTTCCGCCAGTATAACGTGATAATGTACTTTGACTCCCGAGAACCCACTTGAAAATTCTGGATTTCATGGATCTGGGACGCTTTTGGCCCTAGGCATGACATCAACGTTCGTCAATTAGGATATCTCGGTTTCAAGTTGCTTCGACATTAAGACAGTGAAAGTTTAGGATAATCTAAATGCCTTCAAAAAGGGCCATTCACGCAAAGTGGTGCTCCATATTAGGGGCTGTGTCAATGCATCTCGTACTAAGCCGAGTCCTGATTGATATGAGCGAATTTCGGATATTAGACTTTGCGTCACAAAAACAACAAGTCATGCTCCTGTCAAAATTTCAAGAGCTGCGGCATATAATTTCTGGAGTATTTGAAGCCTTCCAGTTGACGTGCATGACACCTCCTTCATACAATTGTGCGGCAGCGTATCACAGTGGCCCTCGCTTATCCTGGAATTGAAATATAAATATGAGATGCTTTAGCCACTTTGTCTCCCAAGAATCATCAGATATATACTCCTTTGAACATGTTTATTGAGAACACTTTTTTGGCGCTCAAAGGCCTTTCCGTGGCCATTATCCTTTTCAAACTCCCATTGCCCATAGTGAAGGTATACCCACAAGATCCAGACTTGTCGTGGCTCGAAATAATCAACCAGCTCATTTTCAAAATCGAGAAGTACGACAAGGGCTCTACAGAGGGAGTGGCCAAATACCTTCCTGCAGAATTGCCAGTCGGTGATGTTACCTACTCCTTTTATCCATGGGGGATGGTTAAGAGTGACCAGAACTCAAACAAAAAGGTCTCTTTTGAAAGTGATGGCTTTAGGCTTGTTCCGCTCCTTGTCCGTGATGTCGTCTCACAGGTACGGAGCTCAACCGAAGTGAAGAGTTCTGAAGGCTGGGAGAATACCGTTCACGGCGTCTTGAAAAGAGCCCAAAGACGGGTGAGAAATGGCGTTTATTTCGACACAGATGGGCAAGGTGAATCTGGAGCAGAACGTAAAAGGGCTTTAGGCTTTTCCAAACTTTATTACACCCCATCCCAGGAAGCCGCTGCCCATAAAAAGTACCTCTACTTTCTATCCACCATTTCTGCTTTTGCACTTAGTTGGCTTGTCTTTGCGCAAGTACAACTTGGAGCGCTTTGGTTGATTCTTTGGCTAATCCTGAATGTTTGTTCCACTTTCACCTTTTTCACAATGCTTTCTGACACAGAATGTTTCAGTGACGACTATAACATCTTGAAGAACAATGACTTTGCGTACAAATTTGGGCCGTTCTTCTGGCTCCAACTCCTTTTATTCGTTGGGGGTTGGTTGGGGATGTACATCTCCCTGATGGTCCAGCTATGCATGACACAGCTTGCTGGACCCATTTAGACCAAAGGGGGCGTGCGAACTAATACATATTTTACTAGAGTTTTGACGTTTAATCCTCCAAAGCTGTCGTAGTGTGACTAGGAATTTCGCAGGATCATTTGAGACAAGTGGCTTTCATTGTAGACATCAGGTTCCCTTATTGATCTAAAACGGATACTAACAGTACCCATATTATTTCCACTCTACTAGAGCTCTTGATTCCACAACTCTTCTTGAATAAAACCGATAAATTCATGAATATTTCAAAGCCTTCCCTGTAGGCCTGTAAGGGCGCTAGACTGTGCATAATCTCACATAAGCCGAAAGTGCACGTTTAAAGTTTGACAAACGGTGACGTGTTTCAAAACTAATCTAACATATATCGAGCTAACAACGTCATTTTCAATCTCCGAACTGACTGTCATTTCCAACAAATTCCTCGCCATCCATCCACTCATTTGACACTTCTCTCAAACGCGGGGCTTTTAGTGCGTAAGACCCTTGAATTATCGGCACACCGTATTTTCCATCTCATGGCTTCCATCGCATCAACGGATTACATACGACGAACAAAAAGAAAACCCTTGGCTTGTATCCAATGCCGTCTGCGAAAAGTCCGGTGTGACAAGAAGATTCCTTGCAAGAATTGCCTAGAACGAGGCACGGCTAAAGAATGCAGAAGAGAGGTGGTCCTACTTCGAGGCAATGTCGCCAACAAAGAAGATGAAGAACGGAAAAACATCTCAGAAAAGAGGCTTTTCAACGAGTTCGAGATTGAAAATATCCGTATGTGCGTGGAAAAGCTCACGTTTGGCTTCAACAAGGTGGATAGGTTGTTCAAGTCAGAGAGCCAGAAAGAGGTGAATTGGCCTCAGTTTCACATCGACTTCACGTCCATCATGGCGAGAATTGACCATGCTACGTCCCATTGCTTGTGTTCGTTTGCAAGCAGCTACATCAACTTCATCCACAATGCTGTGGTTCCTGACATGTTCATCGATGAGCACGAGACTTTCTGGAACGAGCATGTTGCAGACGACCCAGCGTGTTTGGTTTATTCCAGACTGAGCAAGTTGCAGACCGAACTGCCGAGAGATTACTACTTCTGGATGGCCCTATACTACGGCACCTTATGCAACGGAATCTACTTTGGCTCTGAGCAGTTGAAGAGTGAGCTCAACTTCAGTGAACACGAATTGAAGACATTGGGGCCGAAGCTCTTTACTGCAGCCTACGACTGCCTCTGTCGAGCCCAATTCATGAGTCACGCTGACGTACGAGCGGTTCAAGTGTTCTGTCTCTTGAGTACATGCTTTCATGCCTACGGTAGTGTGGAGCTCTCGCAATCATTGCTCATTCAATGTATCCGAATAGCTCGGAAACTCGGGCTCGACAAGCCCCGAAGAAATTCCGTTTCATTCTCGTCCGAAGTCAAGAAGCGATTGTGGTACACTCTCTGCCTCAACGACTGGTTGGATCAGATAGAAAAACCACGCTTTTACGTGGAGGTCACTCAACAAGACTTTCCCCATCTCCTTACCGACGAGGAGCTTTCACAAGAAGATCAGGTACCTCGTGATTTCACAGCAACACGCGAGTACTGTAACATTTTCTACCAGCATATAATGATCAAAATGGCACTCATCAAGAAGTGCTTATACGAGAATCACTTCTCGGCACTGGCAACGCTTGATGCTTGGACCAAGATGTGCGACTTGAGAGCAAGTACAATCACATTCTTTTCAGATTGGCCAGAGCCAACCAGCGAGAGTCTCCTCACATATGACTATGCGAGGTTTTTGCTTTTCTCATCACTAACCGAGGAAATGTTAGACCTTGGAAGAAGAGTTTTGGCTATAGTTGGCAAACAGACCTGGCTAGCGAAGTATCGCACAAAGTGCATTGAAGCCGCTTTGGGTAACATTTCAAGGGCAACAGCCCCAATACCCTCATACTACAGACGACACTGGATCGTGGTTCAGCATCTAATATATGCTGCTCTCACCATTCTTCTAGACATCATCATGTTTCCGGCAATTGATTCGTCCCATGAGATGGGGCATCGGTTGGATCAAGTGGAGACTACTTTTGTCGTTTTCCAAGAACTCGAAGCTACACATATGCCTGCAAAACTTGGCATCGCTGTTTTGCCGAAGCTCTGCAAGCTAGTACGTTTCGTGATTGTGGAAAAACGAGAGAGAAACACGTTTGAAAAAGAGTCTTTGAAGTACTTGCTTGACGACTTACAAGTCAATGTTTCTCCAGTTATAGACTCTGTTCCTGGTAGAAACAAGCCTCAGTACCTCAGAGCCAATGATTCACCCCAATTTCAGGCGATATCCGGCGAGAGGCAGCAGAGTGATTCAGAAAGTACCAGTGACGGAAACTTCCTTGATGATGAGATGCAGAAGCTCTTTTTCGATACCGGTTGGTCGGAAGTTCTTATGAATGTCTTTCAACCAGCTTTCAACCAGCTACAATAACAATTCAAATTTATTTATCAAGAATATTCACTGCTTCTTGGATGTGTGGATCTCGTGTACTTCACTCACAGAGTCTGACCCGTCAGACAATACCAATGGGGGAGCCTCTCCCAAGTTTTTACCAATCACCTCCAAACTCAAGCCCTTAGTCTCAACCCAGAATAGGATGACAATAATCAAAAAGAGGACATCATAGCCTGCGTTAATGATGTAAAATTTCCATTCAACGTTGTCCATCGCTATTGGTAAAATAAACGTTCCCAAAAGTCCTGCCGCACAATTGCAAAACTTGAAGATGGTGGTACCAGCCGCTCTTGTCTTCATGGGGAAAAGCTCTGACGGGTAAAGACAGTTGAGTGGGGTTACACAAAAGTTGTAAAAGCCGTTGAAAAGAAACATCAAGAAAATCGTGGCATACTGCCCTTTTGTGTTAGTGCTCTGGCCGAACATTTTGACAAATCCTCCGAGCAAAGCAAAAGTGATAATCATGCCTGTGAGTGACCCTATAGCCTGCTTTCTTCTTCCCAAATAATCGAAGCTGTAGGCACCACAAACGGCACATACAAAGTTCCAACACGAACTGATCAAGTTGATCTCCAAGAGTTTCTTTGTTCCAGTGATTCCGGCCTGCCGGAGAATCACGGTAAGGTAGTAGCTGCCAACCGAAGAGCCACCCAACTCCGAAATAAGAGCAAGCGATACGATCATAATCAATCGCTTCTGGTCCGGTCTGGACGGACGAAGTAAAGTTGGCCATGCACCCTTGGTGTCTTGCTTTTCCTCCTCAATCGTCGACTGGATCTCTTGGACCATGACGTCAGCCTGGCTCTTCGTGAGGTTGTTACTTATTCCAAGAACCTCTGTGGCGTAATCATATCTCCCCTTGGATATCATCCATCTTGGCGATTCGGGAACGAATATGAGGAGAAAGATGGACAATGCACTCGGTATTGCTTGCAAAAGGGAAGGAAGGCGCCATGCCCAAGTCCCGTGAATGTCTTCAGTTCTAAATGTTATTCCTGATGCAATAATAGCGCCTGCGTTAAAGCAGGTAAAGTACATGCCCACCATGAAACCTCTGATCTTCTTTGGGGCCACCTCTGCTACCATGAGGGGAGAGGCAGCTCCGGTCAACTGGGTACAAAATCCAAGAACGACTCTTGCAAAAATGAACATGCCCATATTGTCCGTTGAGGCAGTTTGTAATGCAACACCCACAAAACTAAAAAGAGACGCTACCAAAATCGTTCTTCTGCGGCCCAAGTGATCGGCCATATATTGCATTAAAAGACAAGAAATAATCGATCCCATCCACACACTGGCGTTCATTAAACCATTGGTAGTGGGATTGAGGTTGAAGTATTCTGTGAATTGCGGGACGGCGATAAGACTGGACATCATCATGGTATCGTAACCCATCGTTATGGAGTTGATAGCAGCTGCTGCACAGGTCATGGGTAAGAGAACCTTCTGGGACCTAGGCATAAGCCTAGGAACACGATCAAGATTGAAGAGTGGAATTCTCTCCATGATTCAGAATATTGATCGAACTGAAGGAGGCCATTATCTACTTATAGGCACTACATAAAATTGAGGAGATATCTCTGATAAGGAAGATATCTCAAGATCATTCATGCTAATCCACGACTGAGGAGAAGCCACGGAATCTGATACCCGATTCGAATCTCTTTCTATTGATATGGATTTTTGGAGCTATACTTTACATTGTTCGGCCGAGCCCTAGATAAGGTTTCGGCCGAAGATCATAATAATGCATTGTATAAGTCGGCTCTTCACCAATTGTTGGTCGTTTTATAAGAAAGGCCTGGGGGTTTTATCTGTTCCACAAAAAAATGGAATTCAGAAAAATTGATATCGAATCGGTGCTTGACCAATTGACTTTGCACGAAAAAATTAATCTCGTCAGTGGACGTGACTCGTGGCACACTTATGCTGTACATCGCCTTGGAATACCATCGTTGAGGATCTCAGATGGACCCAATGGAGTAAGAGGAACCAAATTCTTCAACTCTGTCGCCACAGCTTGTATTCCCACGGGAACATCGCTCGGTTGTTGCTGGAACTCTGATTTGATGTACGACTTGGGCAAAATGATGGGCGAACAGTGCCGTGCTAAGGGTGCCCATGTTCTTATGGGGCCCAATATCAACATTGTTCGAAACCCTTTGTGCGGTCGAAGCTTTGAGACTCTTGGTGAGGATCCCATTTTGTCCGGATTGCTAGCTCTGGCTTACTGCCAAGGAGTCCATGATACCAACATCATGATATGTCCAAAACACATGGTGTGTAACGACAAAGAGGACTACCGGATGACAATGAACGTGCTGATTTCCGAAAGAGCTCTCCGGGAGATCTACTTGATGCCTTTCATGCTTGTGCAAAAGTACGCCAATCCTGAGATGTACATGACAGCCTATAATCGCTTAAATGGAGCTCACTGCAGTGAGAACGCCCACCTCATGAAGGACATTGTCAGGAAAGAGTGGGGGTTCGAGGGCTGTTTTGTATCAGACTGGTACGGAACTGTCTCGTGTGCTGACAGTATCAATGCTGGCTTGGATCTTGAGATGCCGGGGCCTTCTATTTGGAGAGGTAAGCTTTTGGAAATGTCCATTTTTCACGATACGGTGACGCAAAAGTCCTTGGATGATGCCGTCAGAGGGGTTTTGTACTTGGTTAACAAAGCTGCTGAATCGGGAATTCCTGAAGACGCTTTTGAAGGCCTCAAGGACGACGATGCGACCACCAGAATAGTTCTCCAGGCTGCTAGAGAATCCATAGTTTTGATGAAAAACTCAAACGATATTCTTCCTTTGAAAAAGAACAAGAAGGTGTTGGTGATTGGTGAAGCCGCTAAGAAGGCCAACTTTGCTTCAGGTGGATGCACTAATGTAAAGCCTTACCGCCAAATCTCGTTGTATGATTCTTTGGTGGAACGCTTTGGAGACTCCAATGTGACCTGGTGCTTAGGTGCCTCTAACAGAAAGCTGCTTCCATCGTTTTCGCTTTTCGCCAAAAGCAAGGACGTTTCGCCAATCCAGTATTGTGTTTATGATGACCCAAGGTCTGTTCCCGACCGTAAGCCCATTACCGAGGAGAAGGTGGGTGAAATTGATGCAATGCTTGGTGACTTCGATCCAGCCAAACTCAGGGACATTGATCAGTTGTACGCTAGTTTCCTGGTGGTGATTACCGTTCCCGAGTCTGGCTTATACAAAGTCAATTTGAAGGTTTCTGGTCTTGCCAGGGTCTACATTGACGGAAAGTTGAAGATGGTGAATGATCTTGAGCACAAAACCAGTGGAGCTTTCGGCTTGGATGCACCAGAGATCTTGGAAGAGATCCATCTTGAAGCCGACAGAGAGTATCTCTTCGAAGTGGACTTTAAAAGCACAATTGGCAAATCTTCCTTCATTACCGGTTACGGTTGTGTCACTTGTGGTATTGAAAAGGCCATTTCTCCAGAGGAAAGCATTAAAGAGGCAGCAACGTTGGCGAAGCAGTTTGACCAAGTCGTTGTTATCACCGGACTCAACAAGGACTATGAATGTGAGGGTTTTGACCGTAAGAATATGGATCTTCCCCCATACCAAGATAAACTCATTGAGTCAGTCTTGGCCAGCAATCCTGATACAGTTGTGGTAATCGAAAGTGGTACACCCGTGACACTTCCTTGGCTGGACAAATGCAGCACTCTCTTACACTCTGGGTATATTGGAGAGCAGCTTGGAAACGCTCTTGCAGATGTGCTTTACGGAGATTACAATCCCAGTGCCAGGCTCTCTTATACATGGCCTAAAAGATACGAGGACTCTTCCTCTGCAACAAGCTTTACGGTTGACAAGAGATATTCTTTGACATACCTTGATGACATTTACATGGGCTACCGCCACATGGATTATTGCAAGATTGAGCCACTTTTTGCGTTTGGCCATGGACTCTCCTACACCACTTTCAAGTTCAGTGACCTCAAACTTGAAGTAAACGATACGACCGTTTCTGTCTGTTTGAATGTTACAAACACCGGCTCAACCAATGGCTCCACAATCGTTCAAATCTATGTTGGTCAAAATGGCTGTTCAGTGCCTTGCCCCATCAAAAGCATGAAGGGTTTCAAAAAGGTTGACTGCAGAGCCGGTGAGGTTGTCACTGTGAAGGTTGACATCAACAAGAGGATTTCGTGCTCTTACTATGACACCAGTCTTTCTCAATGGACTTTGGAGAAGGGCACTTACGAAGTAATGGTGGGTTCATCAAGTGACCTGATTGAGCTTAAGAGCAGCTTTGACATTGAAAAAACCACTCATTGGCTTTCTCTCAAGGAAGCATGAATTTAATGACCTCGTAATGTGGGTGAATTTGTCACGGTAATGAAAAATCAGTCCTGGGGAAATAAACCCCTCGGAGTGAACATATCAGTGCAGTTGCGAAAGCTAGCAATCGGGACGTCCAAAATAAAATAGCTCTCTATATGCTATCTATATAAGTCTATTTCAACGGAAAAAAAAAGTTTTCGAAATTCATTTTTGTATTTACAGTCTTCGCCGAGTACTTTACTCATTCCACTTCGCGTTCTCACTTTATCTGTAGATTTTCACCTGCTTACTAAATTCTACAAATTATTCTTCCCGAGAAAAAAATCGAAGTTGTGACGCAAAAGAGATTTATTCTAAACCAGGGACTTTTTTCGACGTCAATTCTTTGATCTACATCTTTCTCAACAATTAGGGCGAGTTGAGAGGTAGCTTCCGAAATATCGGTGCCATTACCGCTTTTGGAAGTACGCCCGCATTAGTCTCGCTTATGCACCGTACAGATCAATACATACTTATCAATACATACTTAACATGAAGCTCTCCCTCTGTTATCAAGCTGATATTTTTAAGTATCTTTCAGCTTCTAAATTCCCCCAATACCTACTTTTTCTCTCAAATTGTGTGGTTTAAAGCAAGCAGAACGCCACCCACAATCTACGCAACCTCGCTAAAATGGAGGATCTCACGTAAGCAGCAGCCACCGAAGATCTATATAAGGTGGAAATTTCAGAATAAAAAAATTTTTTAATCAGAATCCTCACAGCATTCAGAAATGTTGAACTCAGTCAACATTAAGCCATTGATCAATACCAAGGTCTTCGAAGCCATCAAGGTCGGCAAGAACCGGTTGCAAAACAGAGTCGTTTTCGTGCCTTCTACCCGGTACAGGGCTCTTGACGATCACACACCCTCCGATCTTCAACTTCAATATTATGATGACAGATCAAAGTACCCCGGAACGTTGCTTATCACCGAGGGTGTGCTTGCAACCGATAAGACCGGAAGCTTGTCCAAAGCTCCTGCTATTATAACCGAGAAGCACGTTCAGGAATGGAAGAAAATTACAGACAAAATTCACGAGAATCAATCCTTCGCGTCTCTCCAGCTTTGGGCTTTGGGTCGTGTTGCTGATGCAGCTTTGAGTAAGAAAGAAGGCCAGCAATTGAAAGGTGTATCTGCGATTTACTCCGACGAAGCTTATGAGAAGAAAGCCAAGGAAGCTGGCAATGAATTGGAGGCTTATACGACCGAGGAGCTTGATCAATTGGTTGAGGAGCTCACAGATGCAGCTAAAAGAGCTGTGGATGCTGGTTTTGATTACGTGGAGCTTCATGGAGCGACGGGCTACCTCTTCAATCAATTTTTTGAAGCATCCTCTAACAAGAGAACTGACAAGTACGGTGGTTCCGTAGAAAACAGATCACGCTTCACCTTGAATGTTATTGACCGTATTTCAGAGGAGATAGGCGCCGACAAAGTCGCCATTAGATTCTCACCATGGCTCCAGTTCAACGGTATGAAATCTTCCAACGACGAAGTTCACCCATTGGTCACCTACGGCTACATATTGAGCGAATTACAGAAAAGGGCTGATGCTGGTAAAGCCCTTGCTTATGTTTCTTTAGTGGAGCCCAGGATTCCCGAGATGCTGTTTGGAGAAGACCCAGATGCAAGCAATGATTTTGTCAAGCTTATCTGGAAGGGAACCCTTATCAGAAGTGGCAATTACACCTACGATGTTCCTGAATTTAAAGATCTTTTGAAGGATCTTGAAGACGGACGCACTTTGGCGGGATTTTCCAGATACTTTATTGCCAACCCTGACTTGGTACATAGATTGCGTGATGGAAAGAGCTTGAATAAGTACGATAGAAGTACTTTCTACACCAACCAGAACTGGGGCTATAACACTTACCCAAATGCGGAAGAGGAGGAGAGCTTTGACGAGGAAGCAGAAAGGGCTCGTGAAGCTGCCCCAATTGCCAATTAGACCAGTTTGCTGGATATAGATGGATTGTTTCTGTTAGTTTGTGAGACGGGCCGTTGAGGTCTATGAGTGATTAGAGAGAATTGATGTACCTTTTTTGAACAATAAGAGCCAGGTACCCCAAGTTAAAATACTCCTTACACATTGATACCCCAAATATAAATATTGCTCTTTTTGCTTGTCGAATAAAATTCGTCAAATGTGACATTTGCGAAATGACGTAGTTGTGCGGCACCGCAACATGCGACCGTTGTTCTGGCACAGCCGTACATGTGGAGATTCAGGTTTCAACGAAGTCACCGCAATTGCAGCACCTTAGACGGAATCAGGTGGCCTCGGGAATGATAAAATAGTTATTGGTCGTTGTATTCTCTAATCCCTATAAATTTTTGCAAAAGCAAAACTGATACGAGTGGATAAGCTTGCTATCTACAGTCCCCGCAACTGAGGCACTTAACCGACCCGATTTTTCAGATCTGGAGTTAATGAGACTGAGACTAATTTGCCAAACTTAATTTGCTATAGACATAAAGGCCATAAAATGAAAATACTGCCCTTTTCAACTAATGGTTTTATCGTGACTCGAGAAGTATTCTCACAAGGCACATTCAATGCGGGCGCAAGATCACAAAAGCAGATTTTCAGGCACATGCTATTAATGACAAAATTCCACGAGGTGAGTGACATCCGTGTTTTTTGATTCTGAGATACCAAAGATGTGATACCACAGATGGCCCAAATGCTTACACCAATTGGATCTCTTCGGTACCCAAGTACACATGTGTTGTTCGTGCTTCTGAATTTCGAGCTAACATGCTGAATATAGGCGTGACCACACCACAAGAGGTAAGCAATTCTGCGTTGACATTGCGTAAATAGCAAGCCCTTGCATTGCACTATATATACTTTCAGACCGGCCCTCGTAATTTTTCGAACAACATTCGCAAAACCACCTACAAGTTTAATCCATATTAGGCAGCATAAAAATGTCCTTATCCCTGAGAATATTGTCATTTTTCTCAAAGTTGCTAGATAGTTCAATTCAGAGGTTTAAATATCAAATAGCTTACTCCGTGACTCTCAGCATTATTTATGCAATCTTCACCTACGTCGCGATTCCTATCTTCATATACTTCCTCATCAACCTAGCCCTTCGCGAAGCTAATAAAAGGGATTCGGAAGTCAAGGTGCATGAAGAAGTTGTAACAACTGAAATCTGAAGAGCAGTTGCAATGGATGGCTACTTGACATCTCATAAAATGAAACAGCAGTCACCCGTACCAATGTTGGAAAGAAAGAAAAAATAGTTGTTCATGAGTCTCGCGCTCAAGCAACTCAAACGTAAGTGCCTGTGAATCGCTTGATCGCAGATCCTTCACAATTGGTTCAAAAGTATTGTATGATTTTTCAGTTATAGTTTATTTATAGTAATTACCTACGAAACGCAAAGTTATGGAACAAGCTTGTAAGAGAAATACCCTAGTTTTAGTTAAACAAGAAACAGCATGAGTCTTAACCATCTGTAAAAGCGCATACAAATTTGTTGCTTAAGTCAGTGACTTCAGCTTGTTTGCAACTTCAGCGTTGATAGACTCGACAGTCTCGTTCAACCAATCGTCTGCATTGACTATAATGTCAAAGTGATTGATACTGACCACCTCTTCTTTAGAATCAATGATTTTAACGCAAATTTGATAGTCCGATTCCCCAAGACAAAGATGCTCATAAGTGTCTGGGCGAGAGTAATCATCCGCCCAAGCACGGTACTGGGAGATCTGGGTTTTTTCTTAGGGATGTCTGGGTTTTATCTTAGGGATGTCTGGGTTTTTTCTTAGGGATGTCTGGGTTTTGTCTTAGGGATGTCTGGGTTTTTTCTTAGGGATGTCTGGGTTTATTTCTTAGGGATGTCTGGGTTTTTTTCTTAGGGATGTCTGGGTTTTTTCTTAGGGATGTCTGGGTTT